TTGTAGCTTACAAACATGTTGCAACAGTAGCACTTATATTAATCGTAGTTACCATATAAAAGCTATATATTTATGTCTTTTGCATTAGAGGGTCTATGTAGCTCTCAGCATATGCTTGTATCGTTGATTTTTGTTGACCAGATTGTTGAAGACACGCATAAGATGCAATGGTTGTGTGATATTATTGATGCAGATAAAGCAGGTGACATTAAATGTCACCTGGATGACCTTTAGGATCATCCATTTGGTCAGCAATCATAAGATAAAAGCGTAGGAATAGCCTATGGGGAGAGGTTTAAATAGACCACAATTACGTATGATATAAGTATATAGGTTTTATATAGTAACTATGATTAATATAAGTGTTTTGTTTTAAAGACTACATTATGGATTCTACTACATTTAACAAACAAGACATCGATGATCTCGTTCTGAGATTGAAAACTTATCAACACCAAGCTTCGAAGATATTGAATGGATCGGCCCGAATTGGTGTTGCAACATGATTGTAAGGTACAATGGTTGATAACACAAAAGGTGGGTTATGACTTGCTACAAATGGTTGTAACTAGATGATTGAGGATCTAATGTTTTTTGTACTTGAGCTACTTGAATACTTTGTAAATTTGATACTTCATCTAAAGTAACATCAACTGGGAATGGAAAATGTAAATCTTCGTTTCCTCCTCTTAATTAACAACTCTGCTCAATATATATTTTTCTTTATGAGAATTCATTGGACAAGAATTTAAAGTTAATATGGCATTTCAAAATCTCCAAGTTTTGTATATACTTTTTTTACTAAAGTTGACCAAGTTTTAAAATCAGATGGTGAAGATTTTACTGCTTGTTTTGCTGATTTTAAGGCTAAATCATATCCTTTCTTATCTATGCAGAATTGAGTTTGAAGAATCAATAAATATGCATCTCTTTAAGTGGTAGAGTTTGCTTTTTTTTGCAGATTTTATGTCAGTGGTTTGCTTATTAATAGTCGATCGGAGAATGGTTGAGAACTAAGTTATCGTTTTGAGTATTTGTATTTTGTTTGAGTGTTACTATTTGTGAGATCAGTGTGAGATCAGTTGTTTACTAGCAGGAAGAGTAGGTCGCTTATTAATTGGATGAAATGGTTATAATAGATCAAATATTTCAGGGAAAAAGGTATATTTCCATTCTGTTTTCTTTAATTCCGGGGAGCGGTGTGATATGTATTTTATTTTCCAGGGGGTTGATATGATATGTATTTCCTATAAATAGTCTAAATAAAGAGTAGAAATTTAAATAAAGAAGCTGGACAAAACATATCTAGGTTGAATAGAGAGAAACCTATGTAATATAAAATAGACCAAAGGGAAATACTCTTAATAGTTATGATCTCTTAAAGGTTGGTAGCCCAGAATCATCTGATAGTACAAAAAGTTATAGATTTCTAGTGAAGAACGATACCCAGGATTTCTCTCTCTCAAGTGTGGCTCGTGATTGTCCGCGAATTTACGGCAAAGAATTGATTAAGGGAAATGAGTAAGATCTAAGTTAGCAATATATATTGTCCCGATCTCTAAGACCTGGCTCGCGCTAGATGAAGATATGATAATTGAGATATAGGTGTTCAACGTAATATTCTGTCAATTATTCGTCGCGTAATTCAGGGTCCCAACCGAGGTGTAGGGTATCCCAATTGGAATCGATGAAGTTCTTCAGACGGTTGCAGCCTTGGTAGTTGATAAGCGAGTCCAGAATTTGAACCTCGCCTATGTGATATGTATCGCATCAGTCAAAGTATACGGTTCGAGAAATTTGCGACTCTCAAGCTGTAGTTGTCTACCCCTGCTTTTAAATGTAGTAGGGGTGATAGGTACCATGTCTTGTTGCCATTTGGACATTTCCGGAGGGACCAACTCATCTTCCTCATCTCCACTCACCAAAATTGGTAGTTCCACTGATCTCTTATTTTGCGTTGGCAGATTGCAAACCACGCTGCAAATCTAGCTCAATCTCCCAGAGTGAGGAATTCAACTCTTGTGAGATGAGCTTTTTTATTAAACCACGAAGCTTATGACGTACATTATTACTCAGAAATACACGATACTGGGGGAAATGTATTTCTTAACTGTCATCCCAGCCGATATTTTGTTCTTTAACTAACAGATCTTTATACATGTATACTCTTTTTATTAAATAAAAGTAGATTTGTTCTTTATTTTTGGCTTTTATTAAATTTTAATTTAGTTTTAGTGTGAAGACAATAAAATTGAGTGATTCTTATTCATTGTTCCAACTTATTTGTTGTAATTAATTTTCAAGCTGCAATTAGAGTTGAGGATTTCGACATTGATTTTGCCAGCAGCACAGCTATTTTATTTGAAACGTTTCAAAATTTGAAGAATTTAACTGCAGAATAATTGTTCATTCTAGTAGGCTCAAAATTGTATTGTGTTCATTACTTGGGTGAGCTTTCACCTTGAAAGTTAGTTGCAGATGGTGCTTTTATGTTAATTTATCAATTGACACTGTAGCATTTGCATTCTTAGTATGGTCTTTCAATCCACCAAGACCAAAAGTTGATACTAAACAAGAGTTGAATTGATTTGGCTATTTAGAATCGGTTTTATTAGTTGCTGGCTGCATTATTCTTTTATTGACTCTTAGTTTTGGAGGTTACAACTATAGTTGGGCATCCGCTACTGTCATTATAATATTTATTAAAGGTGGTGGCTTCTTAATTAGATTCACAATTTGGAATTGGTTCTTTTCCAAATATCAACTTTTTGCCAATAATTATTGAAATCCCACAAATCATAGCCTCTGTACTTGCCGTCACAGGAGTCTTTACTTTTTCAATGCTATGTATTTCCATTTATTATCACGTTGTGCTTGGGTATCATCCCCTCATAGTGGTATCTGGTTGTTGCCTATGAGTATTTCAGTTGTTGTCTTTTAATCATTGCCGGTGTGTTAGTTCAAAGGTGCAGATACATAAAACGTTTTAACATAATCTCAGGAATATTGTCACCTCTTGCATCTGGATTACTATTACTCTTTAATTTAAACCGCAATGCCGGAAAGCATATCGGTTTTTCAGTATTGGCTTGTGTTGAAAAGGGAATTCAAGTTCAACCTTCTTTTATTAGCAGCACAAATGAAAATCTACAACCTCTTGGGAGTAAAATCATGGACTTTGTAGATCCTTTGCAAGTGCTATTGCTTTAGGTAATCTATTCTGTATCGTTGAAAAATGAATTTGTATCAGCATTCGAGTATAATGCAAGAGTTGGCATAGTTGGATGTAAATCAAATAGTTTCTGATAGCTTATTCATTGCTTTATCTCCAGAAGCACAAGTATTTGTTAAAGATAAAACGATTGCAAATTGGATTTGCCGCTATTGGAACAATTGGAAGTATGATTTTCACTAATCATAGATTTAAGGTTAGTGGGCGCGTTAAACAGGGAAAAGGAGTAGATGGGAACAGAATGTAAAGAAGCCATCGTCGTCAGATCTGCTAACGCCGAACAAGTCGTATTAAAATTGACTTCAGACGAATAACGCAATAAAAGTCTTGTATTCGAAATTACACAAGTTTGTTTTTGTCCTTCTTTCTTAATACTTCGATAAGCAGCAAACAATGATATCTATGGAATAACCTATGAATAATCTTTTTATTAAACTATAAGGAAGCAACTTTCTTTTTTTTTTTTGAATTAATCTCGAGTACTCTAATTCGTATTTTGTTGTGGGGTTTATTTGACTCGATGCTGTATATAATAACGCATATACTATGCAGAATACTGCTTATAAATATTACATAATATAATAAAAATAAGGTTGTTTTTCACAAAGAAACTATATATCGAATTCCTACTTAACAGAAGGGTATAGATATGTAGGTACTATCTTCAGCAAAAGCATTTAATCGAAGTAGCACTCCTGCGTTTTGATTTCCTGAATTTTTATTAGTTCCGAAGATATATTCTCTAACTGTGGCAAATTAAAAAATATTGTTAAAAGGACTACATAAACTGGAAAACTATTTTGATGCTAGTTTATTTTCTTTTGTGTCTATTAATTTAACGAAATACATTGCGCTAAATAGAAATTATAGATCGAGTCAAAAATGCATGATCTATTCAGCCGCGACGAGTCTAGACACTGAATAACAATCCAAAGTGTAATGCGCCTGCTTGAAGAATTATACAGATTTCTTCCCCGTCTAAAGATCTGCGATAAGATCTGCGCACTCCAGATTCGTCACTTTTCTTTTTCACTTTAGTTCATTCGTAATGTAAGTTCTCGTGATACAATCATCTGATTATACTGTCATAATTTACCCTGAATGTTCAAGATATCTATTTCAAGAGGGCAGTAAATTACTTTAGGATATGAACTTGGCCAAACTCTAATAAGTGAATCTTACTTGTCTTTCACGAAAGCATAGTGCTTATTTTCTACGCTTCTACTGCAGATGCGAGAGAAGTATCTTAATAGTATATTAGGTGTTAATGTGTGGAGATTTGCAGACGTCAACTATGCATCGAACGTGAAAACTCGATTTTTTAGTTATCAATGACTTGACACATTAACAATGATCTTATGGGGCTTTACCCTAAAATATGATCCAATTATTGGAATAAATATCCAATAAGAACAAAAAGAACAAAAGAATAGTCATCACTATGGTGTGCTTTTCAGCAGATTATGTCATACTGATAAATAGTTTCTATTGTCATTTTGTGATGCGTGGCCATTGTCTTGTTTCTTTTTTTTTATTAATCGCACTAATCCGGCACTATTCCGAAGCTGCAAAAAATACCAAGAATCTCGATAATTGCGACACACCAAATATACAATGGTGGGCTTGGGGTCAGTCCTAGTACATTCATTACAGCAAATTCTTGCATAGCCTGAATCACCTAGCCATATATATATGGAGACAAATCAACCCAGGATATACAACTAGCTGCTTTTGTAGTATACTTAACTACTTATAGTTATTCAATAATATGAATTTGAATTACAAAATATTTACAATCTTATTGCTTTCGTTGAGCACAGCTACAGTGAGTGGCCGTGCAATTACTCTTGATGATCTGTTGCAACTTTCAGACATTGAAGTATATTCAGGTGATCAGACCCTTGTTCAAGCTACACAGATGACACTTGATTCAATACAGGTGGAAGAAGATGCTTTCCTATATATCAGAAGTGCAGCTTCACCACCATGGTTGATTTTTGATTCAGATGATTTCAGTGTTAATGTAAATCAAGAAATAGAAGTTCAAAAAGGAGCTTACTTGATAGTCGCTGATGACTCGCCTAGTGAAACGGATTATTCACTTCATCAATGGTCTGATGTTGTTCTAAATAACGAGGGATCAATCTTTGTTCAAGGTTCTTCTCTGAACTACCTTTTGGATTTTTACGTTGAACCTAAAGAATTTACAAATAGTGGTAAATTTTACATCAATAATGGTTTGGATGCTAAAAATTATTACGCTTCTGGTTGGCTCACTATTGGTTCTGAAGATGATGTATTTGAAAATTCGGGTTCGATATGTATTAATAGAGTTAGTGACAGTCACCAATATGCTACCTTGACTGGAGGCGGTTGTGTAGCGATCAATACCATTGGTACTTACATTATCAACGATCCTTATGATGCTAATGATCAAATGTATTACATGGATGAAAGCATTACACTTTTATTACTTGATTTAGATGACGAATTAAACGAAAAAGAAACACAAACGCTTGAAATTTATGGACTTGGTCAAAAAAATAATCAAATCTCTATTCTCAGTCACAACGATTTTGATTCTTACAATTTCAGTTACAGTGGTGACACTTTAAAATTTACAACGGATACTATGAGTTTTGCATTCAAAATAGGAACAGGATATGATGAATCAAACTTTGTATTGACATCTTACTGCTATGATATTTACTGTTATGGTTACATTTCTTACAGTGGAAATGTTACACCTACTATTCCATATGCATGTCAATGTACTGATCAACAACCTGATTTTCCACAAGATTTATGGGATAAGTTAATTAAAGGTGAAGTTGATTTTGAAAGCTCATCTGAAGCTGAAAGTTCATCCACTACTGCTCCCGAAAGCTCATCTGAAGCTGAAAGCTCATCTGAAGCTGAAAGCTCATCTGAAGCTGAAAGCTCATCTGAAGCTGCTCCTGAAAGCTCCTCCGAAGTTATTCCTGAAAGTTCAACTGAAGCTGAAAGCTCATCAACTGCTGCTCCTGAAAGCTCCACTGAAGTTATTCCTGAAAGCTCATCTGTGGAAGAAATCTCATCTGAAGCTGAAAGCTCATCTCAACTTGAAAGTTCCTCTACCACTGCTCTCGAGAGCTCTGTATCTGTTCCTGGGGTTACATCTGAAGTTGAAATTTCATCTACCAATACTCCGGAAAGTTCGTATGAGGCTGAGAGTTCATCTGCCGCAGTTTCTGAAAGCTCATCTATGATTGCTCCTGACAGCTCGTCTGAAGCTGAATTAGAAACATCATCTGTAGTAGGAGTAGAAACTTCAGTCGAGCCACCTATGGAAACGTCAAATGAAGCAGAAATAGAGAGTTCTTCAGTTGGAACATCATCAGAATATGAAGTCACTTCAATATTATCTGAAATCACTTCACTCCCAACCGAAGAATACTCTGAATGGACACTGACAACAACTCAGACAATCACATTTTCTGATGGTAATGTCTCAACCAGAACAGGTATCATAATTGATCCAACTGACTCTTATGGTAATTGGTATACCGTTACATCCTGGTTTGATGAAGATCCAATTTCCACTGCAGTTGAACCACAACTGTCCTCAAGTGAGTCCGTACATACATCACAAGAAACTTCTAATAATAGTGAACATGATACCATTACAAATGCTCATTCTACCACTACTGTTACAACTCCATGGACTGGTACTCAAGTTACAACAAGAACGATAACTGGCGATGATATGGATACCGTTTTAGTAGAATCACCAGTTGTCACTGCAACTCAAAGCTCTACCTGGACAAATACTTATCCAACCTCATACACCATCACTGGAGATTTCACAAATACTGTTGTAATTGTATTACCAACCTCCACTGTTAATGACGGTAATGATGACTATACTGAAACTACCACCAGTACAAGTGCTACCCTTTCGGAAGCACATTCAGATTGGTCGTACACCACTACTATTGTTATTACTGAACCTGATGGAAGCCTTGAAACTAAGACTGCCATAGTGGTAGATCCTCAGAACTCTGAAGGTGAATGGTACACTTACACTAGTTTCTTGGATGAACCTAATGATACCATGACAAATGCTCATTCTACCACTACTGTTACAACTCCATGGACTGGTACTCAAGTTACAACAAGAACGATAACTGGCGATGATATGGATACCGTTTTAGTAGAATCACCAGTTGTCACTGCAACTCAAAGCTCTACCTGGACAAATACTTATCCAACCTCATACACCATCACTGGAGATTTCACAAATACTGTTGTAATTGTATTACCAACCTCCACTGTTGATGAAGATAATGATTCCCATAATGATGGCTCTGATAATGCTACTGTAGTTTTCACAACTGTTTTCACTACAGTTGCTGCTGATGGTTCAATTGCAACTGAGACTGGCTACTTCGTTACTGATGAAGAAGGACAAGTGTCAACCATAGCTACCTTCTCACCTGATATCACTACATATACATCCACTGTTATTATAACCTTGGCTCCAAATCAAGAAACTACCGCAGTTTATGAAGTCATTGTTTCATCTGATGCACAAGGAAATGTCAACACTATTACCAATGATATTTCTGATAGCCATAGCACACAGGTAGTCGATAATGATTTGAATGTTGAAGGTTCTGGTAACAATTCTGATATGAATGACGCTGATTCCAATGATATTGTAAATGGAAACCCTGTAGGTGATATTACAAATGACAATGTCATAAACGATGGAAATACCAATATCACAGGTGATGAAAATGTCCAATCCAACCAAGGTGATTCTAATAATGTCGAATATGTTGCAAGTGATGGAGCTGGCTCTAATGCTGTCAACAATGCTAATGATGGAGCTGGTAGTAACGAAGTTGCCGCAGATGTGGTAAATGATAACAATAATCCTGGTTACGTTAATTCTGGTAACAACGCTAACAACGCTAACAACGCTAACAACGCTAACAACGCTAACAACGCTAACAACGCTAACAACGCTAACAACGCTGATAACAACGTTAACAATAATGTTAATTACAACGCTGACAACAACGCTGGCAACAACGTTAACAATAATGTTAATTACAACGCTGGCAACAACGTTAACAATAATGTTAATTACAACGCTGGCAACAACGCTGACAACAACGCTGACAACAACGCTGACAACAACGCTGACAACAACGCTGACAACAACGCTGACAACAACGCTGACAACAACGCTGACAACAACGCTGACAACAACGCTGACAACGCTAACAACAATGGTAATGCTGGCAATTCAATTGTTGGTGGTACCGATGCAGATTCTAAGGCAGATTCAGATTCCACATTAAATGAAAACGTTCTGAATGAAAAGGAAGTGGAAGAAGCTGCAGTAACTGATCTTAACTTGGTTACAGTTGTAACAACATTTGCTGATGGATCTATTGTCACCGAATCAGCTAGGATTATCACCACTACAGATGCCGCTGGTTCTTTAACAACTGAGACCGTGGCCCTTGTGCATGATGCCAATGTTGATTATTTCACAACGGTTTCCACAAGTACTCCTAACTTCGTAGAAGATGCTGTAGAAGATAATTCCGATGTCGCATCTAACAATGGTCAATCCTATAAGGATGAACCAGAGTTGGAAGTCGTCCAAAGCCATAGCTCAGGACATACAGAAGGCGGTGAAGGCAATATGGAATATGAAGTTGAAGAATACGCCAATGGAGCAAGTACATTCGCTTCTACCACTGCCTTAAGCATCATTTCAGGTTTGATTTTCATGCTTATGATTTAAACGATTCCTTTTAGTTCTATACACGTTTGCAATTTTGTAAAATAGTTATTATATTATAAAAGCACTTTCTATATATTGTTTGATTATGATTTTGCTTATATGATCCTGCATTAAAATATATGTTATTATGTTATTAGAAGTTATGTATGCTTTTATAAGCTAATCATTCTACAACTATTTGTAAATACTGTACCCCAATCCAAGTTTAGTAGTTCCATGAGTTTTATTTTATTCGTAGGAGTGATAGTAATAAATAAATAAATAAATAAATAAATAAATTAATTGATATTTATATATAGTAATACAGAAGGTAAAAAGACTATAGAATTAAAAGGGTAAGGAACAAAATTTCGTATGAGATAATATATCCTTAATGTCCAGAGGTTATGCATATTCTTAATGAAATTAAATAAAATAAAATAAAATAAAAGTAAAGTGGTAATTGAAATAGTAATAGTAAAAGTTGTAATAATAATAAACAAACAAGAAGTAAATTGAATTTTTTTTTGATGATATGAGGAAGATATTTACTTCTCATCCTGACGATTTTCTCCTACCGCAATAGCAATTTGTTTTCGAGAATCTTCGAAATATTTGAGTCTTGTCTTTATTTCTTCAATTGGGAATTTATTGAAATCCCAACTGTCTTTCAGGGCTCTCTGATAAGTACGTAAAGGGGTAGTAATATTGAAATCAAAGCTGAACATTCCTATATCATAATTAAATTCTTTAATGATTGTAGAAGAATCATAATCAGCATTCTTGATTCGTTCATGTTGACTTTCATTTTCTTTTTCAATAATCTTTCGATAAAGACCTCGATCTTCATCTGGGAATGGGAAAGATTCATGTACCAAATCAGGTAATAAAGGATAATTCCATAAACCAATTGCATTCTCAACATTGAAATTAGTCATCATGATTTCATTAAGACTTGGAAGTTTACCCGACTTAATTTGTATAATATCGCCTTGATTATATCTTGATCTATCATGAGTAGGTCCTACTGCTTGTAAATATGAAGTAGAATGTAAGATAGTCTTATCTGCTAAAAAATAGCCCAATAATTCAACTCTATTATTAAAAAATTGAATAATCCTCATAAGTTTCATTGACATTCTCGAAAGATAATTATATTGTGCAAGATCAGGACAATGTTCAGGATGGATTTTATAAGTCATACAATCTGTATCAACAATAGGATACATTATATTTACAGAATCAATCAACATAACACTTCTAAAGGGAGTGAAAACATGACCTAAAGCTTTACCTATAGCATTAAAGAATAAGTAAAAAGTTTTCTTTAAAGGTGACATATCAGATCCAACTGAAGATGCTTCACTAGGAAATATTCTAAACCAATGAACTAAGATATCAAACAATAAAGATGGTGAAGTAAATATAATATTATCGGAATTATCCTCAATGTTATTAGCAGCCTTATAAAAATTATTAATATAAAGCATCTTAGGGTATGTAACCTCTATTAAATCCTTTAAGAATGTTTCTAATTCAACAAATGTATTCACAAGTACTCCATTATTCTTTGAAGTTAAATCAGGATTATAGATTATAAATGATCGAAGATCAAGTAAATCTTGATATAATTCACGAATTACATCGAATTTATAATCAGGTACTAAAGCAAATGATACATGATTAGAATGATTTTGAATAGATGCCTGTAATGTTGAAGTAATTTCGCTAGTACTTGACATCTCATGAACATAAGTATTTAATAATGATGCAGTACCAGTATGCATCAATACTACTGTTTCAACTGCTGCATGTAAGTGTAAGAAAGTTGTCCAAGCTGAATAAGTTGAAATTTTAATAGGATATTCAATATGAATATTGGTTAATGATTCTCTTAATTCTTTTATTAACATTCCATAATAAGAATAAGACTTTTTAGTTAAGATATTCAAATCTTTAACTGTGAATGATGTAGTATTACTTTCAGCATTAACTACTGTATTAATAACTTTTATAAGTACACTTAATCCTCTATCCATAAAGAATGAAAAATAAAGATCTAGGACAATACTTTGATTGAAAACTGCCGTCCAGAATATATCGGTATGTTCATATCTCCATACTGGTGCGTAAAGGCTGTAAAATGATAAACTACTTTGATCAAGACCTGATCTAAGAGGGATAAACATCCGCTTCCTCTTATAAGTTTTTACAAGTTTCTGACAAGTAAATGGCATACTTATTGCATTATCTAAGGGAGTACCTGGATGTGAAGGATGAGCCGATGGTGGAGGATGACTATGAACAATATTGTTATTCAAATTGAATGACTGTTCAAGTGGAGTTGCCGGTTCTAAGAATCCCAATGATGAATCTTGATCATTCTTATGTCCACCTGTATCATTATTATTATTGCTATGATTATTATTGTTACTGAAACCATTATTGTTATTGTTATTGCTGTTGTTATTAGCTCTACTTTCTAACACTTGATTAGCAGGAACATCAAAGAGGTCTTTGGTCAATTCTTCAATATTATTATCAAGTGAATGAATATGACGACTGAAAGTATTAGCAGAATTTTCAAAACTATTACTACTTACATTATCATCTTCATTAGATGTACTTGTTGCCGACAAGAAATCATCTTGAGGAGATTGATGTAAACCAGGTTGTAATTGTTGTTGGAACTGTTGAGAAATTAGTTGTTGTTGTTGCTGAGGAGGTGGTTGAGTGAGTAGCTGCTGATTTTGATGGTTATGACGATGCTGGTGCTCATGATTATGATTATGCTGATTGACACTATGTTTCAAATGCTGGATTTGTTGTGGAGGTAAAGGGTGAGGCCATTTAGCATCACTAGAAGTTAATTTGAATAGAGAATCCTTATAAAGAGCCACTCGAAGATCATCCTTTGTTATGTAGAACTCCGAGGGATCAATATTTTGATTGAAGGGAGATGCCGATGCAAAAATGTCTGGAGGTTGATTTCCATTAGGATCAGACCAAGAGAATAAGCTACTATTATTATTATTCTCATGATAAGCAATATGAAGATGATAATTAGATGAAGAAGGATCAAAGTCATTTGAAGTTGCAGTACTATTGGAAGCAATTCCATTAGAAAATGAAAAATTGGATTCCGATATTGGTTTATATGCTTGAACTGAAGGAGAATTATTAATTAATGGAGTTGTATTTAATGAGGAATTTGAAGATGAATAGTCAATTTGTGGTTGTGGAGGTTGCAGTTGATGAAATTGAGACGCTATGGAGATCGGAGTTACTTCATTAGTTGAACTGTTGGTAGTTAAAATAGTGGTATTTAATGAATTTAGATTACTAACAGCACTATTAGAACTAGAATTTGACATTATACCTAAAGAATTGGCAGGAGATTGAAGGATCTGAGAGTCATGAAATTGAGGATGTTCTCGTTGTCTCTTTTCATTCTTCTTTCTTAATAGTTCCAACTTTTCTGCTGGAAAATCTAGATAACCACAATGATAATTCTTCTTAATACAATTAGAACATGCTGGTAATTCTTCCGAACACTTTATTCTTTTGGCTTTACAATTTGGACAGCCATCACGAGAGTTCTTATGAGTTCTTCGACTCTTTCTCTCTGTTACTAGTCTTGAAAATGCAGGTGTCTGAGACATTTCTTGTGACACTGTTTCAAGCCGTACGATATGTTATCAACTTTTATCTTTCAATTATTTTAATATTATTCAGTAAGGAATTATTTGCAACTTACAAATTTTGTCTGTCAATCTGTTCGTAAATGTTTATAACTTTGAATTTGACTCCGTGTCTTGATTTGTACTTCGGTCCTATCCGGTTTTTAATTATCAACTGACTTCTGCTTCGGAGCTGGCTTTATTTTGTGCCCTAAATATTTTCAATTTTTCAGTGGAGCAGATGACCTTTACAGCATACAAGGGAATGTTGGAGCCCGTACTATATGCCTATGTGTCTGTGGATCTTAGTTTGGTTGAAAATATAATTATGGTTTAACTTTAATAAGTTAAGGTTAAAGTATTTCTATTGATGAAATGGTTTTTTTTGGATTTCTTGTTATTTTTTTTTTTAGATGTGAGTATTTTTGTGTGAGAGTGGGGGGTGCTTTTTGTACTAAGTGTCGTTTTTTTTGTCAATTATATTATAGTGATTGGAAAGGCGGGTGTGAAAAATGATGTTGGTGGTTATAAAATATATCACCGATATTTAAGCTGGAGATGTGGATGTGTATATGGATGTGTGCACACAATGTGGATATATGTAAGTAGGGATGAAACAATGGAGATGTCAATTTATAGCAGCAAGTTTGAGATTTGACTTTTGGTCTAAGGTTGAGGTGATGTGTTCATATGGTAATAAGTTATACAAATAGTGAATAAGACAGAAAAGTAAAAGTATAATATTAGATCGCAGGACACAAAATTTTTATTCGGTTATATTTGTGTCTAGGGTCTCTTTGAGGGTTATATATATATGCTCTTATACTAAAACCATGCACGCTGGTCCAAGGTCAGACAGTTCCGACGAATCAGACAAAAATATTTATGTACTTGCACTTCACCTATAAAATAAAAATCTCTCATACAATGGGCAATAGGGGACTCTTACACATAGAATATTTTTTTTCCAAAATACCGGATTGTTTGTTCATGGCTTATTTCACTCTCCATGAAATAGTTTGGTCTATGTACTGCAGTTATGTTTTAACTACATTTATGTTTTTAACTGCAGTAATGTTTTTGTTGTTGTTGACTAACTTATTTCTCATATTGAAGTTTTTTTTTCAATTTATATTAAGCATAATCTATCTTCACTTGCATGATATCGTATGTTATCTATACAATTGACGAACAAAAACTTTTGCTATTTTACATTTGACACACATATTAAACATATTACTTGTTCTAGCTCTCTACAGTCTCGTCTTCATCTGATTATAAATCAGAAGATGGAATATTTCAGTTACGATACAGCCGACTATTACCTATCTTTACCACAATTCTATTGTTTATTGTAATTTGGTGCAGCCATCTACGCCACCACGATATATTTACTATCGTACCTTATACTGCAATTTTTTTCCTAATTCGTTCACTTTAAACATTGACTGATTGCAACATGACTCAAACAAAAAAATTCGTATTCTAAAAATGTATTTTCTTTTGTTTGTTCTGACACTTTGATAGATTTCGAATGTGTAAAATTTCTTGGATAAGCTTATTGTTTTAGTTTGGCAGTAATTACTGTTTTCGTACTTTATATGTTGTATTCGTGTATTTGCAATGTTAATGGTTCAAGAACTAAACCTAAAGATTCATTCTCTATATAGGCATATTTAAAAGAATCTAAGGTTGCAGGTATTTTATGCACAGTTTATTTGCTAATTTTAACTGAAATCGTGTATCGAGACGATTTTCATGTTCTATACTAATATACTATCATTAAAGCCGTTCTAGTTAGTTTGCTATGAATAACTATGTGAAAACATAAGAATAAAGAGGGGATGTTAGGGTTACTAATGTTGTGTTACTAATCCTGGGGTCTTCTAGAAGCCCAATCGATAAAAAATATTATATAAAAAAAATAATTGTTGACAAACGCAGTCACAAATTAAAGATGTGAGGCCCGAACTTTCAAAACCCGCAATATTTCGGTGTGCCTGGACCACTAACTTGCGACAGGATGAAATAAGCTCGTGTACGTAATTGAGTTAACATTTACTGATTGGTAATTCAAATAAACAGCAATTGTATATGGTACGATTTCAGGGCTGAGAAGTTTCGTAAAGATAAATAGGTTTAGATCTTACTTAAGCTTTAATCAGCCAATTATATTATTCAACCCCAGAAGAAATTAAAAACAGAAGCTAAAAATATAAAAATAAATATTTTCGAAATGCAAACAATCGTAGAAGAATGCCGTAGATCAGTTTGGCTACAATTTTATCCGCCGCCATGCTTTGTTTAGACAAAATGTTCCGTATAGAAGAAAACTGTACAAAAAATATTCTTTAGTCTTATAATAGAAATGTTCCTGTTAAAAAGATTCTTTAACGTTGCCATTGTTTCAAACCACATTTACTTTCTTCACTATTCGAATTTATTTTTTTATAGGAACATTCTGCCCCCTCTCCAAAATGCCTTCCCATTGTACGGGTTCTCGTTCCCTATCAACAATCTTGGAGTATACAGTTTCTTTTTGTTTCCTTTTTTGAAATTTAAGCGCCAGTCAATACTTTGGATCGGGTTGAGCTGCACTACATGATCATAATAACAATTTAGGCATTATGCAGCACTGTAATCCTTTTCTTATTTGTCAACATATCATGCATGTAAATCAATTAAAAAAACCAGGCGGTCTACTACATACAAAAGTCAACTATTCTAACCAAAACACAGATCTAATAACCACCCGATGCACATTTAATCTTGGTTGTGCCAGCAATGGTAAAATTTCAAAGCTTAAGCGCGCCTCCAGCGGGGTAGAGATATAAACTTCAACGGTAGATTTCATCTTCTTATCGCAGCTCTCATGCAATAAGAATTATATATGCTTTTTATTATTTGAAATTCTTAATAGAGATGCTGCGGCATAAAAATAAGTCGCAAAATAATGACCTAAAAAATCTTCATGACATTGATTAAGTCTTTTAGCTTATGCAGATAACCTGTACAAATTATTTAATTTCTATGAAATTCAAGATCCCGCGTTATACCTTCGTTATCCGTCAATGCTGCTCTAATATATGCTAAGCTATTTTATGCTTAGCTATTTTATGCTATGCTACGCTATGCCTCGTTATGGCTTCATTCAAATTATATAGAATTGTCTAGCACATTTCTAAAAATAAATATATACGTTTATTATCATAATTTACCTATATCAAATCTATTTTGTCAATCGTAAATGTGTTAATGAGTAACTAGCTTCCGTTGGGACAAAATAACATATTTAATAAGATTGAATATGAAAAAGAAAAGCTTCTAGAAAGAATGTCTGATTTCTACATTGTACCGTACAGACAGAACCGTTATTGTGACAATGAGCATTTCATTTGCTTAAATTTACCACCGATCCCCTCTTTTCAAAAATGATGTGTCATCTTTACCATACCTTGAAAGTTATTTTTTGTCACTTTTTAAATTTTTTCTAAAATTTTTTTGTCATTTTTCGTATTTTGTGCAAGTGTCTTATTTTTTGCAACTGGTTCAAACTATCATAACTGATAATCTTGAAGATTATTTTTCCATTTATTCAATTCAATTAAATGTCTCATTGTTGGTCTACCATGCGGACAATTCCAAGGTTTATCTAAAATATTCAAATTCTTAACCACTTTATCCATTCGGTGTTTACTTAAAGATTGTCCTATCATAATACTACTTCGACAAGCTTTCAGGGCCAAAATACTCCGAATCTTACGACACTTTATTGACTTGTTATGAGGATGAGAATTTACTAAATCAATCAATTCGTAAAAGTCATTCAAATCGAATACGGTACCTTTGAAGCTTGGGAATGTAGTCAATTCAATTCTGAACCCAGGACGCTTTAGTTCATTAATATTAAACTTGAATCCATTAGAATTAATAATCTTCTCATTTTCTATTACAACCATTTCTTCAATAATATTTAATTCAACTGGTAATGGAGCAATTAAATTTTGATATTGAATTTCAAATTCATCTTGCAATCTTTCAAAATTGAACTTTTCATCACTTGCATGTTGATCGATTATAAACAAATTCTTTTGATGATTTAATGATACCAAAATAAATCCAAGATTGAATTGTCCGATTAATTTCATATTTAAAAAGTCTTGCTTGGAAATAATATAAGAAAGTTTACTATCTTGATTTTGTTGGATATCATCAATCTCAAATTCATTTCTCTCTTCATTTTCACTTTTAATATCAACATCTTTTAATTCAAACTTATCCAAAGTTGAGAATATCTCTTGTGAATTCAATTGATAACTTAATTTATGAATCTCACTTGTTTTAAGTTTCTTTATGGGAGGTTCTTCAGTTATTTCAGAACCAATCTTAATCTCTATTTCTTCTTCTGTCACATTTACAGGATAGAAGTTCTTTCCATGATTATCATTATCATTATCATTATGATCATGTTCACAACCCTCAATACCATCTATAGTTTGCGATGATCCTTGAGGATGATCATCCAGTGAAATGTTGGAATCAATAGTTGATGAAATGGGTGTATCTCTGTTAGTCATAGATCTCTTGTTACTTATCTTGACAGGATGTTCTTTAATGGAATTAACGTTCACTTTGCTATTATTCTGCACCTCTTCTTCTCCTTGATCATCTTCAAGTTCTTCTGAGCTCACACTTTCTCCAACCCTTTCACCTTCAGTTTCAGTCATTTGTACAACATCAGTAGCAGATGATTTCAGACCATGTTGATCATGCACTTGTTTGATTTCTTGACCATCTTCTTGTTCCTCCTCTTCGTCTTCTTCTTCGTCTTCTTCTTCGTCTTCTTCTTCTTCTACTTCCTCCTCTTCTTCATCTACTTCCTGCTCTTCTTCTTCTTCTTCTTCTTCACTATCACTTTCAGACGAGACTTCTTTGTATGTGGGCCTCGATGTCTTCACCTCTACTTGTCCCTCACTATTCAAGTTGATCTCTTCGACTATTACTCTTTTAACTGAAGGTCGTACTATTGAGTTTACATTTTCCTTTTCATTATCCTCTTCATGTTCATCTTCTCTAATTTTGGCTTGTGTGGAACTGTCAACTTTTTCAATTTTGGCAGTTAAATTACTCTTCGGCACATAATTGTCTTGGCTACTAAAATAATCCGACAATTTCTGTCGTATCAATTCAAAGACTTCAGACTCATTATGAATTAATACCATTGTCTTATCAGGAACCAAATTAATATCCAAAATTTGTGGATTAATCTCCAAATTAATTATAAAAATTGGAAATTGCAAATGATTAAAAGTTTTATAAACTTCAGTTATAAGTTTTGATAATTTTTTATTATTAATTGGTCTTTTATTAATGAATAAAAATTGTTTATCATTACTTGAACGACCCAAACCAAATGAATAATTTGATATATACCCTTTTAAAATTATATCATCATTAATTATTAAATCATTTATTGGTAATAAACTCTTAAATTGATTATTAGATCCAAATACATTAATTAAATTATCAATTGGATTAATATTTATACCTCCACTAGTACTTAAAATTAAAGATCTTTTACCATTAATAATATTAAATACTGAAAATTTAATGGTTGGATATATAAGTAAATAATTTATTAAGAATTGAATACATTTATGAAATTCATTCTTTATATTCTTTATAAAGTTTTTATATCGAACTGGTAAATTCTTAAACAATTGATGGATAATGAGGGAAGTACCATTTTTCAGAGCCGTTGGTTTCTTAGATTGACTAGTTAATTGACCTAATTGATCATACTCTAATTCATATTGATAAGTCTTGTCTTCAATAGAGGTGGTTAATACTCTAACTTTAGAACTTATCGAACATATAGAATTCAATGCTTCACCTCTAAATCCTAAACTGGTTAAAGTATGTAAATCTTCAAATTCCACTAACTTTGAAGTATGAGATCTTAAGCATAACCATACAAAATTGTCTTGACTTATACCTTTTCCATTATCATTAATTTGAATTGATTCACTACCGTAATTTTGAAATATTATTTCAATTTTATTGCTATTGGCGTCAATGGAATTTTCTACCAATTCTTTGACAATGGATCGTAGATCAATTATGACTTGTCCCGATGTTAATTTGGAGATGTCATGGTGGTTAATTTGCTTAATGGACATTTTATGGTATTTGGATGTGAAAAGGTGGGTATAATCAGACATTTTTTAACTACGCGTCTTTTCTTGAGGGTATACATGTACACTTTAGCAAAGACAGACAACAGACAAACTAAGTTACTAACAGACACAGACAGACACTGAGGGATGAATGAGTATCACTGTCAAAGCACTCGTGTTAACCTTCAAGGAATTCTTGACTGTCTGGATTAATCAAATCTTGTACTACAACAAAATATACGACATTGAAATTTATGATCAATCAAGAGCTTTTGATATATTAGTTTATCATAATAGAAATCCTCAATTACAAACATATATAAATGAACTAATTAATAAATTACTTAACAATATAAATAATACATTGCAATTGACATTAATTATATATAATGTCAAATCTCAAAAGCCATTACGGAATTATATAATAAATTTCCATGATTTATTAATTAATTTTCATGACTTAATAATTATGCATGACAATTTTAATAATGATGACATAAAAGACGATAATTCGACAATAATTAATGATCCTCAACTCAGTTGGAAAGACATTTATTTACAATTTAATACCTTATTATATCACCATATAAATGAATTGAAAAGAAATCAAATTGTCACTCCTGATAATGAATTATTTTTTAAAGTAATTGTTAATGTTCCTGATTCACTAAATTTAGTAAACTCCAATTGGGTTAGACTATCCCAGTCAGACAATAACACCAACAATAATAACACCAACAACAACGCTATAATTAAATTTAAACCAATCGGACAAATTAATCTTTACATATTTAATTTTGATATACATAATGAATATATGTAGTCTATGTACTATAATGAATGAATTGAATTATACAATGAATACCAAATTATCGGGTAGATGTTAAACCAAATATATTCTTTAAATTCTCATACATGAAATAGGTAATTGAAATGGCTGGCGCTGCCTTTGCTAAATTAGGTACCAAACCTTTAAACAAACCAGGAACACCTTCTCTTTGTATAGTTTGTTGTAAAACATCTTTAAACCCATTATATCTATAAGGATGAGCATAAGTTCCTTGAGCTTGTAATCTTGTTCTTAATAAATTAATTGGATAAACTACTGTGGCTCCAAATGTACCTGATAAAGCTCCTAAACTTAAGACAGTAAAATTAGAAAGTTTAACATGTTCTTCTCGTTGTCCAGTTAATTTACTTTGTCTTTTAACCAAATAATTCTTAATTGTTGTAAAAGTACCCAAATCTAACGCAGCATATGGAAATATACCACTTAAGCCAACATATAATCCACGATAAAAGATTCTAAATCCTCCTTCTTTATACATTTCTTTAGCAGTTAATATTAATAAATCATTACCCTTTATATTGGAATCTAAATTTGAACATTGAACTCTAAATTTTAAAGTATCAATTGGATATGTAGTGAATTGTGCACAAACTCCCCCAATACCTCCACTCAAATAATTAGATCCTTTAGATAATTTAGATGTATCATCAACACCTTCAACTCTAGCTAAAAATCTTTTTGTTGCTTCAAATGATCCGAATTTCATAGCAGCTTCAGGAAACACTTTTAAAACATTTAAACCATTACCAACATAGAAACTTCTTAACCCCCCTTGTTTATATAAAGTTCTTGCTGCTTGTATTATAGGAGATCTAATTGTCTTTTGGTGATGAGGTTCAGCAGCTGCTGCTGCAGCTGCTTCCCTTTCTATATGAGCTAAATGAGCTCTTGCTTCTTCTATTAATTTGGTTGATGCACCTTCTTCTATTTGACGAGCAATCTCTTTTCTTGAATGTAATATTGTCGAAGATAAATCAGTTCTTGCAATTAAAAATACTTTTATTCTATCAAATGGAGCCGTACAAGTTCTTGATACAACACCAGAAAGTCCACCAGCTAAGAAGAAGCCAAAACCATTTAAAAATTGATTAATTAAAGTGACTTCACCATCAGGAGATAAATCGAATTCTTCAGCAATGAAATTATAAGCTGTTCTAATTCTTGAACCATCTAAACGAGGCATTAAGATTAAAAATTCTCTAAATTCATCATAAGTAATATATCCATCATGTTTATAATCAATTTGAGAGAATAACATATCAATATCATAATCTGAAGGTTTTAAATGTAATGATTTCTTTAAATAATGAACAAAATCTGCTTTATTTAATTTCCCATCATTATCTTGATCTATTATATTAAACCCTTTTAAAATTTGATCATCAGTCGTTGTTAGATATAATTTAAAATCATTAAAATCAATCTTTTTATCATGATTTGAATCGAATGAATTAAAAACTGATTGTATTAAATCGGGATTTTCACTTATAGGATGTTTTAATTGTTTTAGAGATCGTTTGAAATCTTTTAGAGTTATTTCTCCATTATGTTCAATATCTAATTTTTTGAATAGTGCCTCATAATCATTAGGTTTAGCAGGGATTATTATTTCACTTCCTTCTTGTTTGGAAGTATAAGATGATGCAGAAGTTATTATGGTATTAGGTGACATTTTTTTGTTTATGTATGTATAATGCAATGAATAAATTATTAATTATTAACAAAGATACGTAGGATGAAGTGATCTATTGTTACTTTTTGATTTATTTGGTTATAGGGTTAAACAATGAATCTATATGAATTCTAATTGTAACATAAGGTATGAATTAAATCAAGCGAATTTGGAGATGAAGATGGAGATGGAGATGGAGATGGATTGCAACTGCAACTATTGAGGATGGAGAAAATGATCTGATTAGATGACTTGCCCTAAAAAAAATTTACCAAGACTTGTAGAAAAACAAATCTTATTGGTTCTAAAATGGTCCACTTTATTTCACTACAAATCTACTGATTAGTTGGTGAGAAAGTCAATTGCCGTTAAATAAAGTCAGTTCAAGCCGAGCTAAATACCACCCGGGATACGCCAAAATTTTTTTTAGGTGTCTTTTGAGGATTTTGTTTGGAGTAAAAATAATTGGGTTGATGTTTGGATGTAGCCAGCTCGCTTAGTTTTACTATAAATATATTGGTTGCAAATTGATTCGAAAGTGATCCTTGCGTTTGCTTGAAGGAGATATAAAGAACTAAATTTTATAGAAAGTTTAATATTATATAGACTATGTACTTATATTGCTTGTAAATTAAATCCAATTACGATAACATTACTCTTTGTCTTGTTCAATACTGTAAATGTATACTAATTCTTACACTCTACGATGAATTCATATAATTAACCAGTCTAATATGAGATCCTAACGTTTAGAAAATCTAAGATAGGTATGAAATAAAAGGAAAAATTTAGTCACTGTCAGATATGGCCCAGAGCCCATATAATCAACAGGTGAATTTAAGCAGAGGAAATCAAATACTTTTGATATAAAATTGGACACCGCACACGACTAAAATAAATTTTTGTTTGTCAACGATCAGACTTCGAGAAACACGTTAAAAAGCATGTATAATTGAGCTGATTTAGATTGATTTGATTTATAAGCAAAGTAATTGAATAACATTATGTCGGTTCAAATATTCGGTGATCAAGCCACTGAAGAAAGAGCTGAAAATGCTCGTATGTCTGCATTTGTTGGAGCTATTGCTGTTGGAGATTTAGTTAAATCAACTTTAGGTCCAAAGGGTATGGATAAATTATTACAAAGTTCAACTAATACTGATTCAGCTTTAATAACTAATGATGGTGCCACCATCTTAAAGTCTATACCATTTGATAATCCAGCTGCCAAAGTTCTAGTTAATATATCTAAAGTTCAAGATGATGAAGTTGGTGATGGTACAACTTCTGTAACTGTTTTATCAGCTGAATTATTAAGAGAAGCTGAAAAATTAATTGATGAAAAGAAAATTCATCCTCAAACAATTATTGAAGGTTATAGAATTGCTAGAAATGTAGCTTTAGAAGCCTTAGATAAAGCAGCAACTAATAATGGATCTAAACCAGAATTATTCAAACAAGATTTACTTAATATCGCTAGAACAACATTATCATCAAAAATTTTATCTCAAGATAAAGAATTATTTTCAACCTTAGCTGTTGATGCTATATTAAGATTAAAAGGTTCAACTAACTTAAATAATATTCAAATAATCAAAAAAATTGGTGGAAAATTACTGGATTCTTATTTAGATGAAGGGTTCATATTGGAAAAGAAATTTGGTATAAATCAACCAAAAAGAATTGAAAAAGCAAAGATCTTAATTGCCAATACTTCAATGGATACTGATAAAGTTAAAATCTTTGGGGCTAAATTTAAAGTTAATTCAAGTTCAAAATTAGCTGAATTAGAAAAAGCTGAAAAATTAAAGATGAAAACTAAAGTTGATAAAATTGGTAAATTCGGTATAAATGTCTTTATTAATAGACAATTAATTTATGATTATCCAGAACAATTATTTACTGATGCTAAAATAAATTCCATTGAACATGCTGATTTTGATGGTATTGAAAGATTAGCATTAGTTACTGGAGGTGAAGTTGTTTCAACTTTCGATACTCCTGAAAAAGTTAAATTAGGTTATTGTGATTTAATCGAAGAAGTTTTAATTGGTGAAGATACTTTCATTAAATTCAGTGGTGTCGCTGCTGGTGAAGCATGTACTATTGTTTTAAGAGGTTCTTCTGATCAAGTATTAGATGAAGCTGAAAGATCTTTACATGATGCTTTATCTGTTTTATCACAAACTACAAGAGAAACAAGAACTGTGTTAGGTGGTGGATGCTCAGAAATGATTATGGCTAAAGCTGTTGATCAATGTGCAGCCAATGAAACTGGTAAAAAGTCTATTGCTATTGAATCTTACAGTAAAGCTTTAAAGCAATTACCTACTATTTTAGCTGATAATGCTGGGTTCGATTCTTCTGAATTAGTGACCAAGTTAAGAGCTGCCATATATAATGGTTTAACCACTTCTGGTCTTAATTTAAATAGTGGGACTGTCGATGATATGAAAGAATTAGGTATTGTGGAATCTTATAAATTAAAAAGGGCTGTTGTATCATCAGCTACTGAAGCTGCTGAAGTTTTATTAAGAGTTGATAACATTATCAGAGCTAAACCACGTACCGCTGATAGAAACCATTAGTCTGGGGAATGATTCTTGTATGTACATATACCAAATAGTATTTAATAGATAGCATTAATTTAGGATTAGGGCTCTGTCTTAACATTATAATTGTCATGTAATTGTAATTGTAATTGTCATACAATAGTAATTGTAATTTAATGGTGGCCATATAATCCGACATTTACATAGTACCTTTGAGAAGAGTATACTTAACATTAAGTTGCAAATAAATACTTAAGATTTAGACATGAAACAAATACGATTGTTAACTGATTGTAAACAGAACTTGCTTACTGATGCCAAGTATAACTATAGAGATAAACATTTAAATAAAAGTTTGATATCTCTATATAAAGTAAAGTAATTACTGTCACCAATATGGTTTATTGGTTTTAGCGCTCTTAGATATACTTGACTCAGTGAAGAACAAAAAGAAAGAGAACTTCAAAGAATGCAACCACAGTGAAGGTTTGCTTTTACGAAATAACCTCTCCAGACGCATATTTACATCTTGGACTCAACCAGGTGAACGAAAGTGTAACCTTAACAACAATATACAATACAAATGCCGATCTACGAATACAGAGATGACTTAATTTCTTGAATTGGCCATCTGCTGTTAACTGTGGGGCAATGCAAATTTGTCTGGCTCAGAAGTCCCATTATTTTAACCCTCTTCACTAGCAGAGGATTCACGTACTTGAGTCACGTTTTTTATGGAGAACTCCCAACTAAATGTTAAGCTGATATCGTCATGAAGAGAAGAGTAACATATACACACTTTGGCCTACGAGCTAATTATTCCATAAACTTCTGGGGAAATATATGTGGCTACAACCTTGCAACATGCCAAGATCGGAACAATAAGGTTGCTCCCAAAAAAGACAGACAGAATATATTCTATTTTATAAATCTTGGATCTCTTCCTAATGTATGATAATTGTGTTCAAATTCAGTCTTATCACAGTAAATTATACTGTGGATGGATGTCTTATCTTTGATTAGAGAATTCTGCTAGATTCTTTGGCCAAATATAAATATCAGAACGTGTTACCCCGTTCTATCGGAAAAATACCTGTCTTATTAGGATGTCAATTTTCAAGTGACGTATTTACTTTTGTGATGCGGGATCGCGCTACAGCCTGCTTAAGGAACTTTCAGTACTCTGATGCATATTGTGAACTACTGTCAATGAATAGATAACAGTACTGGTATACTAAGAGCAAATTCAATTATGGGAGAATGACGTAACCATGTGAATTGAATGTAGCTTATTTTGAAAATAGATCTGGGCCAAGTTGATTTAAAGAACAGGTAGTAAATGTAGACAACAAAACATAACAATACATAGTAACCAAAACAATTATCTACGATGACGATGAAATCGTTCTATTATTAACTGCTGCATACAGTACTCTACAGCACAAAACTGGACCAAGACGGACCGGAAAACGAGGAGGTCTCAAAGATAGTAATGATACCATAGACGATCGGATATATGGTAGAAACAAACAAATCTATATAATCAATTAAAGCAATTCATGTAGTTCCGCAAAAAAAGGAGGCAATGCAATTCGCAGATGAAAATATCAAGTTGACAGATTTTCAACCATTCTTTAATTCGATGGATATCTACAAAGCAGATCGACGACACGTTAATAAGAGTATGACTAAGGGAATGGAATGACGACAACTCACTTAATAAAATAAAAATAAAAATTAAATTAAATTACATTAAAATTATATAGCAATCTTAGATATTGACATTTATTCCATTACATAGTATTACATATGGAATGAAATTCTGTTTAACTCAAAGTCAAACGCTTGTCATTATACTGAAGGCATCGATCAATTGGGAATTCAGGTTGAAGTTTCCTTACTTTACCCAACTTTAAATTTTGAATCTCTTTTAACCTTAAACAGCAAATTGAGGCTTTTCGCCGTGAAGCTTCGTAGCAGGGTAAATTCTGAAATTCGGTAAACTTTTAGTCGGTCAGTCCAATTTGATTGTCCAATTGTGTCAGTTTTCTCTACTGCTATGTTCTGTTCTACTATGTTGCGTACTGTATGCTACTAAGAATCCCTCAATTCTTCCTCCCCTTTAAGTTTTCTACTCCTCTCGTCCCTATTTTCTTATTTTTTACATGACAATAAGGCAATTGGACAATAGATTAGTTCACATAGGCTGCTGAAGAAAAAGCAATTCAAGGATTATATACTATACAGTCTTCTGGGTTTAGTTCTACTTAATCAGAAGAGATGTTGGCAATTCTGACTATGTCTTACTATAAACTATTAACTACTATTCCTCTTTATCTTATATCTTTTTTTGAGACCAATTGAGTCTACATAGGCCCTCATCACTGTAATTTTAATTGGAATTGGCGTTTGATCTAGTCCTGAAAGATTCACAACGACCCACACTGGGTCTCTCCATTTTATTTCAAATCACCTCCGAACCGCACGCACTCGTCGTTCCTTAAATTGTCTATTTTTTAATTTTTTTAATTTTTTTTTTGATTTAGTGGGACAAAATTAACCTATAGCGGTAATTGTAGCAGCATCAGCAGGACCAGCAGGTTGAGAAATTCCGGCATCATCATCAGCAATACTTGAAGGTGTGGGTTAAGTTGGAAATTTAGTGATAGGTGTGGGTCCTTTTAGTGCATTTATTATTTTTTTGTCTTGTTTTTGTTTGTTTGTTTGTTTGCAGACAGACAGACATCCCCAAGTTTCATGTTCTTACAATACCTGAACCACTAAATTAGTTTTTCAATTTTTGGGGATCACTGCTTGGAATGGGAAATTTGCCATTCTATTACCTTCGATTTCAATTTCAGTTACGATAGATTTTCAATGGCTCAATTGAGTATAAATACTTCAATATTTGTCTTGTAATTTTTAAAAACGTTTTGATTCTCTTGATTTCTTTTTGTTCTTTTATTATTTATATTTGATCTATACTTATAACTCAAATACACTCAATTAATATTATATAATGGTTTTCGGATTCGGTGACGACAAAAAGCACAAGAGCGACAACAGCGACGACTCTTACGGTAACCAAGGTGGTAACCAAGGTGGATATGGTGGTTCCAACGATGATTCCTACGGAAACCAAGGTGGTAACCAATCCTCTGGTTTCGGTGGTTCAAACGACGATTCTTATGGTAACCAAGGTGGTAACCAAGGTGGATTTGGTGGTAACCAATCCTCTGGTTTCGGTGGTTCTAACGACGACTCCTACGGTAACCAAGGTGGTAACCAAGGTGGTAACCAAGGTGGTTTCGGTGGTTCTAGTGATTCTTACGGTAACCAAGGTGGTAACCAAGGTGGTTTTGGTGGTTCTAACGATGATTCCTATGGTAACCAAGGTGGAAACCAAGGTGGTTTCGGTGGTTCCAACGATAACTCCTACGGTAACCAAGGTGGTAACCAAGGTGGATACGGTGGTAACAACAACGATAACTATTAAGTTAAAGTATATTTAACTACTGCTTCTACTGCTTTATTTCTTATTTAGTGTTCAAAAAAACCGCTCTTAAGGAAGCTAGTCTTGCTTTAAATGTTCAATTGAACTTCTTAAAATATACACAGATATCATAGTCTACAGCAATTGAAGAATAATTGAATTAATAACAAATTAAATTAAATTGTAAACTGAACATGTAATGGGGCAGTTGGCCATCGCAGACGTAGTTTTTGTTGCAAATCACCGTGGCCGGCCCGTGCACCAACAATATATATGACCACACCTGAGGTGCGGAAAAACTGGGGGGATGTGTCTGGAACAGACGCCTGGAATCAATGCCTAGAACAGGGACTTTAGAGCCTATACATTATAGTTACGTAATATTATGAGATATTTTATACACTACTACTTATAAGTTATAATAAAGATTCTAAAAGCTGTTCATAAAATTTTGATTGATTGATTGATCTATCACTAAGTCAATTGAGGTAGAGGAGCATATAACACTTGTGTTACATATTTTCTCTTATATCTAACTATTGAAGCCACTGCCAATGTATGATTTTTTATAGAAGTTGTAGTTAAATGATTAAGAACAACATGATTTGGAATAGGTAATGCTCCACCATTATTATCTCTATCTAATGAATTATAATTGTTTAATATAACATTTTCTAAATGAGGTGGTAATTGTGGAGGATGTAACCATGCTTGTTGTTGACCATTTGAACTTTTTGATTGCTTATCAATTGCCATATAATATTGTTCCATAACTTTTGGATCGGTAAATATTGGTGGTATATCATTAATATACTGCAAATTTCTTCTATTCAAGGGATTTTCTTCATCTTCTTCATGATATCTCGAATATCCATTCCCCATATCGTCATCATCATTGGTTAATCCCCAAGCTGAATCTACTCTTCTAGCTCCAGATACCGAAGATTTACGAGATTGAGGTTGAGATTGAGATTGATCTTCAGTAGATGGTTGCAGTGGTTGTAATTGTTGCAATTGTTGACCTTGTTGGCCCTGTTCTTGTTGTTGCTGTAAATGAGCCTGAATATGTTCCGGAGTAACTTCAACATAATTAACAAAATTACCCATTTGATCTGTAGCTGTAGGTAAGAAATCAGAAAATCTTAACTCATTATCGATCACAAATCTAAACCTGTGAGTTCCGACTGGTAATCCTAATGTGATTAAGAAAGTATTATCTGGTTGTTTTGCTAAACCAATCATCTTTCTCCATCCCGTGAAAGATCCTGTTACATATACCTTTTCACCACCTTGAACCCATTTGATATCGACTGGAACGGCAATATTTGGGTCTGGGACAGCTGGCTGAGGTTGCTGTTGTTGTTGTTGGTTTTGCAGTTGTGCCGCTTGTTGTTGTTGGGCCTGTTGATTAAGTTGAACCGATGATGGGTCAATATGCATCTGATCACTACCATCCAAATCTGTGTGATCACTGTTTCCATTGTTTTTGTTATCTATATTCATTTTATCCAAGTCTATATCATCTGTCAAAATGATTGTTGATTTTCTTCTTGGTGGAAGTGTATGTTCATCATGAGTTTGATCATCTTGTACTGGCTGAGGTGGTTGACCTGAGAGAGAATTAGTCGGAGCTTGTGTTTGGGAATCTTGTTGAGATGCAGTAGATACATCTACCATGGATACATCTTTTGGGTCTGGTGGACCAGAAGATGAGGGGCTGTACATGGTCTATTGAATGTGATTGTGAATGATGAAGGAAAAGAATTGGAAATTTGATAAATCTATGATGGAACGAAGAAGTGAATTGAAGGGAAAAGAAATGAATGAAGTGAAATTATATTAAAACCAAACGAGGAATGTCTTTAGTATCTTTTTAAAAAGTAAAGATATGAAGGGATGCAATTAGATGGTGCTGGTGATGAGGTGGGGAGGGGGGAAACAAATGAGTTTATCAACTACTTTATATGACAAACTGATATGAACTCTATAGGTTATAGCAGGCTGTGTACTCTAATTCCACACGATTGAACCTATGCTTGTAAATTTCGCTAATACGGTAGCTGCCTGAAAATGACTCTTACTTTAGTGGCTGAACTAGTTGGTCCAATTCCAAAAATTGTTGTTGATAATTGTGCCGATCTTTTTTCCCTGTCTTGAGGTCGGAGGTCGAGAGTTTTGAGGTCGAATATCTTTAGAGTGAGCTCCCTACTTAATAGCTCCTTATAACAATTTATACAGTTATAAGATATTAATACTGGATATATTATTTAGAAGCTAATTAGGTAGTATATGTACAAGTACAAATTGTTGTTGAATTGTTGTCTGTCCCGTTAGTCCCTCGTAATTCCATTAATTCCAGACCTCCGTATCACTCATTTTCGCAAATAAATGACACGGTAAGGCTTTAAATTCCGGTCGGGAAAACTTAGCGCGCACGTGAAACAGACCTCGTATGTAAACTTCCTAGAGAACACTCTTCTGCTTAAAGCTACAGCAAGGACTACTTAGCTTATTAATCAATCTAATGATACTACTACGAACAGATGAATTCCTGATTCTTACAAATGTAAATGTAAAATGTATACCAGTACGTTTTATTATTTTGTATGTATTATATAAATGAGGTAAAAGTTAAAAGACGACCAGTAAGCTAATAATACAATAGACGGCATTGTCGACGGAAGACTATCCGTATGTGATAGTGGTAAAACCAAGATAAATTATCTAATTCACTTGCAAGTCATATCTTGTTCACTCTCATTCTCACTCTTTATTTAAATGCTTCACGTTGGTGGAGATAGCATGATAAATCAAGATCAACACTATAGATGCAAACCCAAATGCTAATGCTATGGTATTCAATTGATCATCTGTAATCATTCTATATGTTCTTTATCTTCGAATATAGCTAAGGATCTGGACTATGTATCAGATTTCATACAACCGTAAGGCTATATAAGTTTTAAGCTTTGAAAATGTTCAGCTTTTCAAAAATTGGTTTGTTAGTGAATCACATGAAATAAGCGTGACAAGTCACATGCCGCATTTATGATTTAAAATTTTTAGTATGCATCTCTTAATTAACTATTCTGCAAAATTATATATTGCTAGTAACTAATACGTTGACCAAAATATTATATGTACATATGTCTGTGTAAATGTTCAAGAACTTAATACTGACAAGGTCCTTAGTGGCAACATGTTTACGACATGGTAAAACTCAAATAATGTTACAGCCACGAATACAATCAGCATTACCATTAGCATTATTACAATCTAAACTTCAAACATACAAATTCTATTCATCTAAGTCCACTGATGATTTACAACAACCACAAGAACCAAATCAAATGGAACCAGAATTAGAACCAGAGTCGCAGCCAGAGTCAGAAATACGATCAGAACTATCAATCTCGAAATCAACATATCAGAAAGATAATGCCAACCAAAAGAACACATTTTTCCAGGAACGAGAGAGAAATTGGTGGGAAAAGAGAGAAGATTCCTTAAAGAAGAGATACGAAGCTTGGAATCCAACTAGAAAATTATCAAGACAAGCCATGGATGATATAAGATCATTGGCTCGACAAATGCCCCACTTAAAAACTGTGGATTTAGCCAATCATTTCAGAATATCTCCAGAGGCAATCAGAAGAATTCTAAAATCCAACTGGGTTCCAAATGAAGATGAACATCTCTCAATAATGCAAAGGGCTGAAAGAAGAAAAGTACAACGGAAAGAAATGAGAAAACAGGCTGAACAAGTTGAAAAAGAAGAAAAGAGTGAGAAGACTGCAAGGACCAAGAATTATGTAAAAAGTGTTGATTTATCAAATGTCTATGTTAAAGGTCAAAAATACAATCCACATAGTCCAAAGGTTCTACCTCCTTCGTATGCTACTAGGAAAAATGGTAAAGTTCTGAATTCAATTCGACATAATCGAAATTCTTCCAAGCCAAAGCAGAAACAACCTCAATCAAGAAAACCATTTACTACAAGTGTTGCTGATATACTTGATTAACTTTACTAACTAGCATTTACAAGCATCCAATTATTTTACTTTAATGATTTCTCACAATTACATTATTACGACCATCCATACATATGATTTCTGTATATAGATCATAAATTCTCTCCATGTAAATATAAATGTACAAATAAAGGGAATATTTATATGTAGTTATAGTGTCGTGTACCGTGCCTAAAACCACAAGGTTTACAATCCCGAGGTATCTCCACAAAAACTTCACAGTTCCGCTTAATGAACAATCAGAAAAACTGCTAGTCATATAGTTAGACATATTATAAGCTTATATATATATATATATATATAGAAAGTAATGTCATCTATACCGATGTTAACTATCCCCGAAGGGGCGTATGATCCAAATGGGTTTACATCCATAAGGAGAAAATCACAACTAGTTCAATATCTTATTCGTCTCACTAATGGATCATCCATTGGACTAATATTAGCATATGCTATCGGGATGTTTGTGATTAAACCATTATTGGAAACTACTGCAACAAGACGTTTACAAGTCTGGGAACTGTATAGAAAGAAACTCATGGATTTTTATCTTAGTTTAATTACTAAAGTAAGTTATATCCCCATAGTAGCTAAAAAGAAAGATAATGATAAACGATTATATAATGATATGGTTATACAAACTGATGATTCATATTTAGATAAGTCCCGGTATAAGTCAGAAAAGGAGAAAAATGAAGAATTGGAAGCTAATGATAAATTGTATCAATTAAAATTGCATAACAGATTAAAGAAGTTGAATGTTGCATTAAACAATATCGACACTTATCTGGTACAGAAATTGTCTAATTTCAAACTGGCATCGTTTGCCATCAAGGATTTCCAGAATAAGACAGATCTTGTCTATTTCACCCATAGTAATTATTTTACTGATGATTCAGATACTAGTAATAGTATTAATACTAATACTAATACTACTAAAGATAGTACTAATACTAATACTACTAAAGATAGTGATAACAAGGATTCTGAATCTAAGAAAAACTTTAGTGGTGTAAGAAGAAAAAACTTGGCTACCGAAACCAAGAACGAAATCAGAAGTATTAAGGGTTCGTTAATGACTACTTACTAATCCTCTAAGTATGTAATGTTGTATGTAATGTATGAACGTATTAAATTAATAGGCTGTAGGTGTGAGAGTGCACCACACAAAAAGTAGAAAGTTTCAACAGTGCAAAGTGTACAGTACAGTATCGAATAGTAATAGTAACAGTACGAGAGTCAGTAACTCACTCAAAAAAGATCCAAACATCAACACAATGGTAGCACCTCCTCCAACAATTAATGAGAGCGAAGATGACTCGAGTGATTTGGATACTTCTATGTTAGATAGTACTAGAATTGAAGAAGAACCCGAGGACGAGGGTGAAGATGTGGAGGAAGAGGACGAAGATGATGAAGAAGAAGAAGAAGAAGAGGAAGGTGCAGCACAAAACGGAAACGAAGAATCCGATCTGTTGTCAGATATAAGCGATGTTGCAGAAGAAGAGGAAGAAGTTGAAGCAGTGGATGAAGAGGAAGAAGAAGATGAAGAACAAGAAGAAGTATCAGGAGACGAAGACAGAGGTGATGCGTCGAGTGAAATAGAAGACGAGGTACAGAATGAAGAAGATGAGGAAGAAGGAGAAGTAGAAAGAGGTGAAGAAGAAGATGGAGATGGAGATGGAGATGGAGAAGGAGAAGAAGAAGAAGACGAAGAAGAAGACGAAGAAGAAGAGGAGGAAGAGGAAGAAGAGGATGAACTTATAAGTGAAGAAGAAGACAATTACAAACTCGAAGATCTTGATGAGATAGATGAAGATTTAGAACTCAAAGACGATGATGACGACTATAGAGAAGAAGAATTGAAGCCAAAAGTATCCCCTAAGAAGATCAACATAATTGTAAAACCTCCAACAAAAGCTAGTAGCAGCAGTTCAAAGGCAGCCATTACCAAAAATATAGCATCTACCGCCCGTGAAACAAGGAAAAGACCACAATTGACATATTATGAAGATGATGAAGAGGAGCAAGATGATGAAGAAGATGAAGAGGAAGAAGAGGAAGAAGTGTACACCAAAACAAAGAGTCGTCGTCCAGAGAGGAAATTACAACCACAAGAGATAGATGAAGATCTTTTATTAACAGACGAAGAACAAGAATATAACCCTCATGGAAATCCCGATCTTTCAAAGATGACAGAAAGACAAAGAGCGAGATATTTGGAAGAGGAAAATGAAGATTATGATTCTGCCAAAGACAATAAACGAAAGTTTGAAGATTTGGATGCACATTATAGTAGTCTTAAGAAGATAAAAGTTAAAAAAACTGAGACAGAAGAAGAAGTTGCCTTGAGAAAGGCTGAAAATGCTAGAAAGAGACAAGATTATAAGAATAAAATGTTAGAAGAGGAAAAAAGAGATACATTAAATAAGCTATTAAAGAGAAGAGCTACTAAAACTAGAGAAGTTCAGGATAAAGAAGGTACCGTAGAAGCGTCCAAAACGACAGGTGGTTCTGAAAATCCTCGTAGACCAATCTTGAGTCATCCTGCGCTTATTAGATATACCAATAACATAACCACATTAAATGGTAACTCTATATTAGCATTCAATAAGATTTAGTTTTGAGTAATTTATAGTAAATAACTTATCTATAGCCAAGTGATTTTATTATTATGTAAGAGTAAACTTTAAACTAGAACTTTCAGAAGATACGACATAGTGCACCCCTTTCAAGGTCACGAGATTGCATGTGAAGCAATTAGTAGAGGTGTGATCGAATACTAAAATAAGATTCGTAAAGGTCTAGCAACTTACGATTAGTTATGGCTTTGTAGTTGGCTTTGCATTCGCTCGTAACAGTAAATCACAGAAAACAAAATGATTAGCTACTAAAAATGGTCACAACCAAATAAATTAAATAAATTACATACAAAGCGCTGCTTCACGGGGTCCAGAAAGGCTTTCGTGAGCTAGTTCGCAGAGTCAGATCGGACCCTCAGTGAGTAATCAATGTCCAATTCAACCAGCACACTATTCAATCTATCCAAAACTACAATCTACATATCAATAATATAAGCAATTACCCTCTAATAAGTACACCCCAAGTTGTTGCTTTATCCGTGTTAAAATTCAACTCTGATTAATTTCTTTTTTTTTTATTTTAATTATTCAATTATTTTTTTAGTTTTTTTCTTTATACTTTTATTTTTATTTTTCGACCTTTTATCGAATAATCCCTGGCACAATCGCAGTATAATTCCAAGCAATTCAATTGCATTAATTAATAAATTCTAAAGTATAGGCGTCCCACGAGTAGAATGAATGGTAATGTCAACATGAACGGCATAAATATGGCGGCAGCAGGTATGTTGAACCAGAATATGACCGGGTTGAATACCAATCAACAAGCTATGGTAGCCTTAATGCAAAACCCAGGGTTCAATAACCGAATGCTTCAACAACAACAACAGCAGCAGCAACATCAGCAACCGCAAGTTCAACCTCAAGGAGGTGCTGGAAGTCAACAGTCTCCGACTGCTCAACAACAGCAGATGCAAATACCGGCTCAACAAATGTATAATCAGAATGGTCCTATACCTTTTCAACAACATAGATTAAGCATATCTTCCAATAGTGGTGCACCTGCCATGGGTATGCCACAACAGATACTTGTGAATAATCAACAACAGCAACACCAATTACATCAACAACAGCAGCAACAACAGACTAATCCTAATCTACAAAGACCCATAAGTGCTATCCAAAAAAGTCAACAAATGTCCCCTACAGGTGGAGTAGCCAACGTTCAACCCGGTAAACAAAATCAATTTAGTGCTAATGTGCCGTTAGCAGTTCCAAATAATGGAGCTATCACGCTGAATCCCTCAGCAGGAAATTCGCAGGGTCATACTCCTCAAATGGCTAATCGAGCTCAACCTGGCCAATTCAATGGTCAACCGGTAGGTGCAGTAACAAAAGTTAATGGAGTCATTCCTAATAATGTTACCCCTATAATGCCACAACAGCAGCAACCAACACCACAAAGCCAACCAAGACAGAATGGTAAATACCGATCACCTTCTAATGTAGCAAGTCAGATTCCACTTAATCAGCAACAGCACATGCAGGCTCAGGTAGCTCATGCACAGGCACAAGCCCAAGCTCAGGCCCAAGCTCAGGCACAAGCTCAGGCACAGGCACAGGCACAAGCTCAAGCTCAAGCGCAAGCGCAAGCCCAAGCACAGGCACAAGCCCAAGCTCAAGCTCAAGCCCAAGCAGTACAAGTGCAGGCTGCCCAGGTACAGGCTGTGCAAGCACAAGCGACCCAAGCAGCGCAGGCACAAGCACAGGCACAGGCACAAGCACAACTCCAAGTTCAGCAAAGAAAGTCTGTAGCACCCCAACCAGTATCAGGGCCAACTCCAATAACTACAAATACGGCAGCCACTCAATCACCACTTGAGAAACAAACTATAGTAGGAAATCCTCCATTGACTCAAGAACAAGAACAAATACAAAATGAAATAAATACCCGAATATTAAAAAGAAATATGGGAAATGCTGCAGCCCTCAGAATACTCGATTTAATTGATCAAATTTCCAATGAATCATTTATAAATTTATCAAATATTGACTACTGGAATCGAATTATTCAAACATACTTTTTACAAACTTCAGTAATTAGACTTAATATGTTAACGAGTCCAACTCCTAAATTTGATAATTCCAGTCCCGATAATTTTTCAAATATTCCTAAACAATTTGAACTAACTACAGCAATTGCTCCCAGATTCTTTGTTGCAAGTGTTGTATTGGGGAATGTTGCTAAATTAATAATTACTTTACCAGGATTAAAATTCCAAATTTTAAATACGGGATCAATATTAATTTTTGCTAGATTATCTATGCAATATTATTATAATGATGGATCAAACTCTTCGGTTAATGGTACTGTAAAGATATTAATGAGTAGAGAATTAAGAATTGAATGGATTGATATAACTAGTCTAAATTATCAAAGTTCTATAAATTTCATTGCGTTAGAAAGGAAATGGAAATTATATTCTGATAGTTATATACCTCCTAGTAAAGCAAAGGGAGCTAAAGATCAACAGCCCAATCCGGTTGAATTCTTTAAACAGATGTTTGAGAACTCAGAAGCAGTAAAGAATACTCCAAATTCAGGACTTCATGAGGATGCAATGAGAATATTACAAGTTGGAGATATAATGTCTAATCTCCGATCGTTGATGGGATTCGCCATTTTTAATAATGTAAATTCTCCAATTAAGGCCCTTGAATTATTCATGAATTCAAATAATCAACAAGCAGCTATACTTGCTCAACAATCACAATTAGCAGCTGCTAAAGCACAACAAATGGCATTGTTAAACCAGCAACAACAGCAAGCTCAACCCAATCAACCACAGCAACAAACACAAGTACAATCTCAAACACAAGGACCACAGGGTCAAAATAGTATATTATCACCATCACCTCATACTATCCATCCTGAGGATCCAAAAGGTGGAGCTGCATTAAAGAAAAGAAAACAAAGCGTTAGCGCTGGAAGTCCTCTAGCCATTGACAGTACAGGTATCAAGAGAAGGAAATAGACCCAATATATATGTATAGTCTTGTAATCTATTATATATTCAGTTCTATGTATTGTTTATTATTAATTAGCAATTGGTAATTAGTAATTAGTAATTAGTAATTAGTAATTAGTAATTCGCTCTTCATATGATGTTAATTAGGTGCGCACTCATAGTCGAATAATTGTACTATGACTTTCGTCCCATTAATTATACATTATACATTACACACTATCTTTTTTCTGACCATAAGTCGATTGGTAATCGACATTTGTACTGTAACGCTGTCCAAACTATCGCGAGATTTGATGATATGATATGATATGATATGATATGACATGTCAGATGAACGCACTCAACAACTATATAAAAGACTAGCTCTTCCTTTAGCCGAGGCCATTCGTCCTCAAACATTATCGGAATATATTGGTCAACATAATCTTATTAATTCAGAAGATGGAGCTATATGGAACTTTATCCGATTAGGTTACTTACCTTCCATGATACTTTATGGACCTCCAGGAGTTGGAAAGACAACTATAGCATCTTTAATAGCCAAACGATGTGGATATGTATTTATAGAACTATCAGCCACCGATGCAACAGTACAAGATTTGAAGGATTTACTGACATCAATAGAACAAGAGAATATATCAAGATCATCCCAAACCAATGATAATCAAAGTCCATTAAAAGTAGTAATATTTATAGATGAAATCCATCGATTTTCTACTACCCAGCAAGATTTCTTACTACCATATGTTGAAAACGGGAATTTTGTATTTATTGGTGCAACCACCATCAACCCTCAAAAGAGAATACGACGAGCCATATTATCAAGGTGTCAAATATTTAAACTTGAACTATTAAGTTCTGAAGAAATAGGTCTTATTGTCAAAGGAGCTATTTTATTTGAAAATATCAGAAGACGTCATATTCATAATTTAAAGTTCTTATCATACAATCAGGAATGTTTGAATTTAGTAATTACTCGTGCTCAAGGTGATACTAGAATTGCTATTGGATTAATTGAATTAATTGGTACCAAATATTCTAATGAATCTTATCAATGTATAGCAGAAGAATCTAATACTCCTATTGAATTACATGTTACTGACCTAATTCAAGCAATAAAATCATTAAAGTATTCATTATATGGTTTACAAGATGCTAATAACATTAAGCATTTTAAAAATTTGTTTAAGGCATTGAAGGGAACTTATGAGGATGATATGAGTTCAATGCAAATGTCAGATACTCAAACAAAATCAAAGAATCAAGAAGTAACTGTCGAAGACGATGAAGATGAAGATTTCTTTCTTGATGATTTCAAGAGTCAGCAATTAGATGATTCAATACCAAACTATGAATATTTACATCAAATGCAAGTATCTGATGATAGTGATATTGAAGAAGAGGGTGATATCTATGGTGTAACAGAGAGTGAAACAAAACCCATAGATGCAAATAATGTGTCATCACTTGAGTTCTTTCAATTTCTAGCAGTATTTTATATAGAATTACTATTGAAGAATGGTGAATCACCCATGTTTATTGGTAAACAGTTAGTACTATTTACTATACTCTATACTGAAACAGACTTGTGGTCATTGAGAAAAGTTTTAAACCAATTGAAGGCATTGAAGTACTCAAATGCTGATGTCCATATCACACTAGCCAATACAGTAGAATGGATAGCCAAACAGCCACGATTGAAGTTGACACCAGAGAATGATATTAGGAGCCAATTACAGCTTCTAAAGAGTTATCATAGTCGGAATTCTAAGGTACCAACCAGTTCTACTACGACCGCAACCACAACTAGCACTAGCCTTCAGTATACTATAGATTACGATCCAGCAGCTGTATCAAGAGCATTACAAGACCATACACAATACGACGAAGGCATAGATCAGAATCCAGGCTTCTTAGTCCAGAACTTGGAGGACTTCAAAGAAGGTGATGATATTAATATGGGTACCAGTTTTTAGGTGTAAAAAAAATTAGCAAAAATATAAAATAAAATATAAAATGGGCGCAAATTTTGCGACTTCGTACTAGAACCACTTCCCTCTATTGACCCACCTCTTACCCGCCAGATATATACATCTTAGCGGTAATGACAGAAGATACCATAGTGAATAGTATGGTCACAGTACCACCACCAGAGATGGTTGTTAAGTCTACTAGTGGTTCCGGTAAATGGTTACCGTTTGATAATTCATCGTTGTTAGGAAATGCTGCAAAATTCATTGGCAATACCGTATCAATCTTTGTTAATTTTGCCTTACATTTATATGTTAATAGTCTTATATTTGAAGTGATGGTTGTATTCAAGATTAGAAGATGGATCAATTCATCGTATAAGAAAATCATCTATTTCCATTTGTATTTGCTTGAGTTGGTTATGATCATTAACCTTATGATTATAGGAGGCATTTATTCATTGACAGGAACTATTCCAGAACAAGAACAGAATCACCATCAAGATCAAAATCACGATAAAGGTCAACTCTACAATGAGAAGGGATGGTTAAAGATTTCCTCTGTTCACGATGCTTACTGGAAGAACTTGGATATTGAGTTCAAGAGAAGGTACAGCTCCAAGGCTACTGACTCATTCTTGGCGCCCTTAACACTATTCATTGATATAAAGTATTCCCCATCTAATTCTTCACCCGATGAATTCAAAGAGGTTATTTGTCCAATAGTCGATGATAAGTTAACACATCTTGCTGGAGCTTTAATCCATGTGGATCCACTACCCAGTGTGCTTTATGATCAAGTGAATGAAGAGCCCACTTCAGTACCAGTACCAGTACCAGTACAAGAGCAATCAACAGATCCTATTGAAAGTCCCGTGAGACATCACTTCTCCTTCCATAGAAAGTCGAAAAGAAGTGATACAATCAACGATGCTAGTTCAACCTTTACAGTTGAAACCAATTAATAACTACTGATTCAGCGATTAATAAACAAATGTGTTGTTATTACAGATATATAATTTAAAAAGTAGAAAAGACGTGATTAAGAATAAAGTTCATGCTATATTGTACAGATTCGATTCGTTTTCTTATGCAATGCAAAATGACAAGACAAGATCATGATTATGTAAACTAGTTACAATTAATCAATCAATCAATCAATGTATGACTATCTAATTTTCTTCCTCTCCAGCTTCAGATTCTGCTTCATTATCATCACCATCTTCTTCATCACCATCACCACCTAATGCAGCAAATCTATTTATATGAGTGGATTCTGATCTTTTTGAAGTTTCTCTTTGAATTTCAGCACTGGAATTACTGGAATTTGGTCCATTAGATGAAGATCTTTGACTTACAAAAGATGGAGACTTCTTTATACTATTTAATAATGCATTAACTCCAGTACCAACATTACCAGAATTATTATTATTATTATTATTATTGTTATTATTATTGTTATTATTATTATTATTCCAAGATGATCCAGCTCTTGAAGAATTGGATCTACCTTCATTCTGTCTTCTTTGTTTCTTATCACGATTAGTCTTTTGTCTCATCTCCTTAATTTCTGCATCACGATGAATTTCTTCTATAGTCTTTGGACCTGCATCAGCTTCAGATTGTATAAAATTATTTCTTCTTAAATCTTGTAAATCCATTAACATAAATTTAATTCTTGAAGATAATGTTTTTACATTAGCTAAAATCTTATCTATATTTTCAAAGACAAATTTTAATATTGGTCTTGTTTTTTCATCACCATATAATTTAAATCCCACAGTTTTAACTAATTGAGCTAAATTTTCTAAACTATCTTCTGATGGATCAATTACATTCTTAGATTGATCCCTTAAACAAAGGGTGATAACTGGATCATTTAACATTCCTAAATTATATAAATAACCAATGAATTTAACTAATCCAAGACCTCTTCTTTTAGCAGCTGCCATAGCATAATATTCATCAGACATCATTTCTGGTTCAATTGGTGATCCATCTTCATTAGTAGGTAATTTATCAGTCCAACCCGTTTCATATTCACTTTGACAAGTAGCTAATAATAATCTTCTAGCTAATTTACCACCTTTTGGATGGGAACCATCTGGAAGTGTAACTGTTTCATCTTTAACTTCATCAGGAAGACTTGTACATAATTTAGCACAAAATTTAGCATACATTTCTGACCAATAAGGTTCATCACATGCCTTAGCAAAAGTTAAAGAAATAATAGATTTTATAGTAGCAGCATCGTTTTCCCATTTAGCTTGATTTGCTAATGCTAAAACTTCATTAGAAATTGCATCAAACATTTCTAAAGTTAATTTATTTAATAAAGATTTAGTCTTTCTTTCAATATCTTCAGGTGGGAATATTTCTGTACCATCTTCAGCAAGTTTAACTTCAGTCTTTGTAGCTCTTGATCTTGGAACCCATCTATTCGCAGATTTTTCTAATGGTTTAACATCTTCAGCAGGTTTAGAATCTTCTGATTCATCATTTCTATCTCTTTGTTCTCTTCTCTTAGATTTATTCTTTGGAGAAGATTTAGATCTTTCACCTCCTGGTCCCTTTCTTTTAGATCCAGTTCTTGAAGCTTGTCTTGGATCATTATAAGGTCCTCTACCTTGCATTGGGAATCTATTTGAACCACCTGATGGTCCAAATTTATTTCTTGAAGCATTAGATGGTCCATTTCTTTTAACATTAGAAACATCAATATCCACTTTTTCTAATTTAGCATTAAATTCTGGATCCATAGTATATTGAATAACAGGACGGAATTGCATTAAGAATTGAGGATCATATCTGTATTTTTTATTAGTAAGTTGCTTAGAAGCATCAATACCATTTATATTTTCTGGGTATTTTTGTTGTAATAAATCAGGAATAGAAGTGGCCTTTTCTAATCTTGATAAGAAATCAGAAATGGTTAATTGAGGTTCGGCTTCTGCTTCAACTTTTTCTTCACCATCTTCTTCAGTCTTTTCATCTCCTTCTTCAGTTTCTCCTTCACCTTCAACTTCGGCTTCAGCGTCGACATCAGATTCTGCTTCTGCTTCAGCTTCAACTTCAACTTCAACATCGCCAGTCACAACTTTAGCTTCAGCTTGTTCAGTTTCAGTAGCAACTTCTGGTTCAGTCTCAGTAACAGCTTCTGGTTCAACAACTTCTTGTTCAACAGATTTTTCAGTTTGAACTTCAGCCTTTTCAGTACTTTCTACTGGAGCTTGTTCAACTGGAATTTCTACTGGAACTTCAGCTTCCTTGGATTCTTCCTTTGGTTCAACAACTGATTCTGGTTTGACTTGTTCATCTGAAGTAGATACAGGAGCTTCAACAACAACTGGAGGAATAGCAACATTTTCCTTATCCTTTTCATCAGCTTTTGGAGTTGGTTTAACTTCTTCAACTGGAACTTCTTCAGCCTTAGTCTTTACAGCTTCACCAGGAGGAGATTGAACCTTTTCCTTTTCCTTTTCAGCATCTTGGGGAGCGGCTGATTCCTTCATCTTAGCAGCAGCAGCTCTAATTTTTCTCATGAATTCTTCAGCAGGAGATGGAGCAGCAGGTTTACTTGGACTAGTTGCATTAGTTGAAGTCGAAGTTGAAGTTGAAGTATTAACGATTGAAGTGGATGAACCAGTGGCAGAAGTTGTTGAACTTGTTGGAGGATTTAAATCTTTAGTTACAGGTACAGGAGATTTAATTGAAGTAGCAGGAGATACAATACTATTGGCAGGAGATGAAACAGGAGATGCCGAAGAAGCAGCAGCAGCAGCCACTTTCTTCTTCTTTTCTTCTAAATCAACAAGTTTTCCATCCTTAGTAGTTAATTTAACTTTAGTAGGAGGAGGAGTTTGAATAATTGGTTGTTGAGTTGGAATTTGAGGGACAAATTGTTGAGTTGGAACTCCATAAGGTACAGGCATATTTGGTACCACTTGATAACCACCATAACTTGGAATATAACCATAATACATATTATTAGCAGCCACAGGATATGCATAATTATAAGCAGCTTGAGGATTATGATGATTAACCTTTTGATTATTATTATTATAAGAACTCTTTCTTGAATTATACAGCAGTTGTTGACCCTGTTGTTGTTGCTGTTGTTGTTGCAGTTGTTGCAATTGTTGTTGTTGCAGTATTTGAGCCTGTGATTGCAGAGGTTGTCTATTTTGATTATTATTAGACGAATTGCCACTGTTATTATAATTTTGTCTACCTTGATAATTCTTATTATAATGCTTATTATTATTGTTAGAATAGGTATTGGCTCCATTATTGGAGTTGGCGTTTCCATAGTTATTGTTACTATTACCATAGTAATTGTTATGTTGGTAGTACAGCAGTTGTTGTTGTTGTTGTTGAGGTACTTGTGCTTGTGCTTGTGCTTGTGCTTGATGATGCACAGTACTACCACTATAAGATGAGGTCAGAGTTGCAGTTGGATGAGTAACGTGACCATCATTGACTACATCTGAAGTGGTAGTAGAAACAGAGCCTGTAGACTCTGTGGTTGGCTTATTATCAGTCATATTGGCTGAGTGATAATAAGAGTTATTCCGGGAATAGACTATGCTTCCTGATTTGTACTGGGCTCTCACCTCTTTCGGTGTCATTGAAAATTTTTTTTTGGTAGGGTACTGGATCGCTCGAGGTCGTGTGGGGGTGATAAATCAGGTAAATTTTGCAATCGTAGATAGTGTCAATAGTGTGTGTGTGTGTTTAGATAGAGTATATGTGGTGTATGTATAAGTATGTGTACTGTGTATATAATATATGCATAGTCTGGTCTATACAATGCACATATATTATATATAGTGTATGCACTGTATCTAGTGAATAGTTTATAGTGTGTAGTGTATGTGTGTGTGTGTAGTGTATAGTGTATCTACTGCATCTACTGCATCTACTATCTTCAGTATTTACAATTTATTCTATATATTCCTACTCTATAACACTTCCATAATTACTCTGGATGAACAAGACTAAGCAACCCATAACAATAACTCAGCTCGTGAATTATTCTTCTTCCAAACACCCTCTCGATAGTTTTGTGAATTCTTAAACTTTCCATAGCTGGTTGACCTTCTTCAAAAGAAATCTCAAGAGTTTGTAAATTTGACCCGTATGCTTCTTCATTTTCTTCAAATTCCCAATTATACTCTTCATTATATCCCAAAAATAATTGTATTAACTTTTTATGTTTGGAAATAATTGACGGGAGAATCGGCCTTTTAATTGGATTGCAACTAAGGTTTAAATACATGACATTTTCTGGTAAATACATACTTGAAGGTATATGTTCAATATTACAATTGTTGATATCAACTGAACTCAAACCACTAGTGTATTCCTTCGTTTTAATATCAAAAATGGAAATATCTAAACACTTAATACCACTATTATACCCTAAATCCAAAATCTTTAATGACTTAGGAGGAATCCAATTCTTCAATGACACAGAACTAATCTCATTATCGGATAATATAAGTTCCTTTAGACAATTAAGTTGTGACCACTCTTTACCAATTAGTGGGTTTCTGTACAGGTTTATGTCTTTAATTTCATTCAGCCCCAAGTCTATGCTTTCTAGACATGATGGAAAAACAAACTTCCTTAGTGATTTGATGGACGAATCATTTATCTTCAAACTTACTAGACCATCAGGAAAACATATAGGATGCTCATCTTTACCAGGCCATATAGTCCTTGGACCAGCATATTCAAACTTTAGTAACGAATCAGGAAGTTTGAAATAAGGATACGAATTCCTTGAATTAAAATTTACTCTTAAAGTGAATACCTTGTTAAATAACACTTTCAAGATCTCTAAATCCTTCGGTAATGAACCTAGACTAGAAATTCTACTGATATTGGTTCGGGCTATCACTAAAGATCTCAAACTTCTGGGCCAATTACATAACCTAAGTAGTTGCTCATCATTGATATTACAATGTCGTATCTCAATAGAAGTCATATCCGAGGGCCATTCAAAGTGTAATGTATTAACATAAAAATCAGCTGAAACAATCAGTAACTCTTGTAATGATTCAGGTAACTTTGGTAATCTGCCTATGTTGTGATTCAACAATCGAAGTCTTCTTAATTGACCCAAGTACTTTATTTTAAATTTTTCCTTTCTTCTAAACATAGTTAAAGATTCTGCTTTAGAAGCACATTCAGCTATGACATTGAAAGCAGCATCATTGTCTCTAATCTTATTTAGAATTTCTGTATTTATAGGGAATTTTATAATGAGATGCTGCTTACGATACACTTCCAAACTAGCTAATTTTGGAAACCAATGTATAAATAAGACATCGGAGTATTCTAAAGTTTCCTTTTCACCTCGCAAAATGATATGCGTTCGATCAACATTCTTAAGTAATGTGTTGCAATATTTCTTATAAAACTCTTCCAATTCAGTTTGGGAATTAGCAGTAATAGTTAAGCTCCTAGGTTTCAAGTCCGATGGAATTTGTGAAATAGTAAATGTGTTAGTTAACCCTACGGCATGAAATGGAAATGCATGATTTGTTATATCAATGATTATCTGTAAATCCTTCTTTTCCAAACTTATCTCTAAGTCGTTATAGAACTCGTGGTATATCAATGGCTTAAGACAATCTATCAGACTTAGACAGTTAAATATAATATCAGGGGTAGTTAACCACAATATCTCCCTAATAACATCGTCAGGCAAGCGGGGTAAAAATTCTAACCAAAAAGTCTTAATGTAATCAATAGACATGACATTACCATTGAATGTTCTTGCTGTTGATACCATTGGTACTGGCTTAATTATATAGCTTATAGATAAGCGCATGTTTTGATATGATTTCTTACATGATACTTTTGCGCGTTATATATGCACGTTCTTCCCCTCCCCCACATTATCTGATTGCAAAAAAAACCTTATATATTACTAACTATGTACATGGTATTTAAAGTGTTTTAAAGTGTATGGATAATTCTCAATAGATTTAAGTCGAACCTTATTGTCTGAAATTGTAAAGTCAATTAGTCCAATTGGAAGTTCCTTCCCATCCAAGTGTTTAAGCCTGGAATCATGAATAGTTAATGTTTTTAAATCACTTATTCCATGAAGGATTTTCTTTAAAAACGAGTCCGACAAGTCAGGTATAGTTAATGAAAGATGATCCAAATGTTCTGGAATCTGGAGATGTTTAATATCCTTGATGGAGTTTGCTGTTATGAATAGATTCTTTACAGATTTAGGAAACGAAAATGTTTGCCAATGCTTGAATACGACTGAGTTCAAGTGAATGTCTTCAATTGAAGTCAAATGGCCAAGATTGGTAAATTCCCAATCCTGGAAATCAATGTTATTAAATGTAAGTGATTTCAAATTGTGGAAGCTGAGTAATAAGTTTAAATTGATGTTACCCCAGCAAACTCCATTTTCTATAACAACACTTAATGTGGTAACACGTGTTAAGAAGAATACATTAAACTTGCAAAGTAGATTCATAAGATTAGTGAAGTCACTGTTATGGTAGATCACAAGCTGATCTACATAGATATCATCAGAATTAGCTTCTAAAAACTCATAGACTGTATTGTAGTTTCTTATGGTTCTAACTTCGATATGAGGATAAGTATCATTATCAACAGTTCTAGATTGATTACCTGTAAGGAAGTTAAGTCTAAGACTCATATGAAAGTGTTGATGTATCACTTTCCTGGTGTACTTGATTTCCTTCATTCTAAGCAAAATACCAATACTATGAGGATCAAGTTCACCGACCTTCTCGACTATGCAGCGATGTGGTAGATTATTTAAAGTAGCATTAGCGTATTGTTTGAACGATTCAGCTGACTCAAAGTGGTCTTCTACAGACATGTAACTGGAGTTGAAGATGAAGATACTAAGAAGAAAAGTGACCCATACGAGGGAAACTTTTGAAATTGAAATTTCTTTCTCATAGCTACTTTTTTGCACTTACTTAAAATAAGTCTGATACACTGATATTACAAATAAGGAAACAACAAGCCCAGCGAAAAGATAAATTATAAGAGCATCCTTAGGGGACTCTATTTGGTAGCAACTGATAATAATATTTTTCTCAACTTCTGATCGCACATCTTCTTCCGATCCATCATTATTACCTTCAATTGAACAAATTGTACTATCAACTTCTAAGCAGAAATCTTTTGTACATGATCCACATTTGTCTATGGGCTTAATGACAAACTTGGAGTTGCACTCACATTTACAAAATTGTTGATACGCTACTACTACTGAAGCCCATATTAATACCAGTACAACAAGTCTTGATACTGATCCTGAAACTCTCATATTATAGTTCCTCTAATTTTCAAGCTAGATATAGTCTGGGTATTGATATATTGGTATAGTCTGAAAAATAGGGTCGTGGATTTGGGTGTATGTCTGGTATGTTAAGTTTGTGAGTGCGACTCTGTGTGCAGGAGCGACCCAATTCGAAATGGTCAAAATTCATGAAGGCAAAATTGAGCATTCGTACGACAGACAATTATCACCACCCATTAGCATAATCAGAAATCATCAGCAAGTTAAATTGTGATTAATTAGTAACAATGGCCGTAGTATCCATAGATAAGCCATATGTGCACGAAGGAGGAATTAGACCATACTTTGAACAACAAGTTGAGGCGACGGAAATCAAAATCCAACAGACGACTCAAAACTTGAGAAGATTAGAAGCACAACGGAATAAATTAAATAATAAAGTTCGACAATTAAAGGATGAATTAAGATTATTACAAGAACCTGGATCATATGTAGGAGAAGTTGTGAAAGTAATGGGATTGAAAAAAGTATTGGTTAAGATTCATCCTGAGGGGAAATATATTGTTAATATTAGTCCTGATATAGATATTAAGAAATTAACTCCATCAATTAGAGTATGTTTAAAAGCAGATTCATATGATTTACATAAGATTTTACCTAATAAAGTAGATCCATTAGTTTCTTTAATGATGGTTGAAAAAGTTCCTGATTCAACTTATGATATGGTTGGAGGATTAGATAAACAAATTAAAGAAATTAAAGAAGTTATAGAATTACCAGTTAAACATCCAGAATTATTTGAAAGTTTAGGTATAGCACAACCAAAGGGAGTTATTCTTTATGGTCCACCAGGTACTGGTAAAACTTTATTAGCAAGAGCTGTTGCTCATCATACTGAATGTAAATTTATTAGAGTTTCAGGATCAGAATTAGTTCAAAAATATATTGGTGAAGGATCAAGAATGGTTAGAGAATTATTCGTTATGGCAAGAGAACATGCACCATCTATTATATTTATGGATGAAATTGATTCTATAGGGTCTTCACGTGTTGAAGGTTCAAGTGGGGGAGATTCTGAAGTTCAAAGAACAATGTTGGAATTATTAAATCAATTAGATGGATTTGAAAGTTCTAAAGATATTAAAATCATTATGGCTACTAATAGATTAGATATTTTAGATCCTGCTTTATTAAGACCTGGTAGAATTGATAGAAAGATTGAATTTCCAGCTCCAACTGTGGCTGCTAGAACTGATATTTTAAAGATTCATTCTAGATCTATGAATTTAACTAGAGGTATTGATTTACGTAAGATTGCTGATAAAATGAATGGATGTAGTGGAGCTGATGTTAAGGGGGTTTGTACTGAAGCCGGTATGTATGCATTAAGAGAAAGAAGAATTCATGTAACTCAAGAAGATTTTGAATTGGCTGTGGCCAAGATCATGTCTAAGAACGATGAAGGTGCTGTATCATTAGCTAAGTTATTTAAGTGAATACACATTATCTGTCTGTTTGTAAAATTCTTCTGTAGTATATTTGTAGTGTCTGTCTGTCTGTCTATCTGTCTGATCTGATCTGATGTGATGTGATGTGTAACGTGTCTGAAAGATTTGCCTAATCGGGACCCAGCACCAAAAAAAGGTTCCACGTAAATATTTAGCGTAATTAATTTTTCAACTTTAATACCAGTCCAACACAGTGTAACAAGCAGACAGACAGTCAGTTAGCCACTCAGTCAGTCAGTCAGTCAGTCAGTCAATTAACACTACAGTACATATCCTTGACAGACACCAGTTATGATCATCATACAGTTCTTTGTCCTTTTTTTCACATGTTTCAACGTAATACTATGCTCCAGTGACTTACTACTGAGAGTTCAACAAGTAGACAAACTCTTCTCAGCTGAAGGTCCTACTTCCAACGTATTACATGAATATGAGAAACTTGTAAATGATATAGATGCTAGTGGAGAAGATTTTACTGTTCATTTACCTCAAATCTTATTTAAAAGAGCCTTAATTGAAATCAACCTTAATAAGGAGATTCAAGCCATTAGTGATTTAAAGCGAGTACTTAAATTAGATTCGTCTAAGAAAGCAGCTAAACAGAAGTTAGTGGATTTATTAACTACTAAGGGAGATTTTACTCTGTTAAAACCATATTTACATATAAATAATGATAAATCAGTATTAGAAATTATCAATAGATGGGAGAGTAATTTTAAATTAGCTCATGAAGCTTATAATGTTCATGATTATGAAAAGGCAGTTACTATCATTGATAATGAATTAATATCAGTATCACCCATGAGTTTAGAAGTTAATGAACTTCATTATAATAGTACTATGAAATTACTTTTAGCTGGTCAATCATTTAATCAAAGGGTAGGAGAAGAACTGATTAATAAATTAGTAATTACTGATTTAACTAGATTAATTAAAATTCAACCCATGTCAAATCTTGCCAATTATGAACAATTAGCTCAATATGTTTGGTATACAGAATTAGAATTTGAGTTGGGCAAATCAATCATTAAGAATTGTTTAAGAATTAATAATGAATATAAGCCATGTGGAACCATATCTAAATTCTTTACTAAATTTCAAGAATTATTTAAAATTTTAGAAGAGTATTCTATTTTACTTGGTCATCATTATGCTATCCAATTAGATGGTACCACTACAACCAATACGGTTGAAGATCTGTCATTTGATTTTGAATTCATAAATGAGTATTTATTTGAATCTGAATTAAAAGTTTCTAAATTAGAAAAGAGAAATCTTCCTCAAAAAATTAAAACTAATTATGATTATTTAATTTATAAAATTGAAAGATTTCTTGAAGATAATCATTTGAACAAGATTCAACCTTTACAAGTTAGAATAGTTCGAGATTTAATTAAATTAGGTTGTGAATCATATATCAGACTTAATAATTATAAGGGAGCCATACCATATTGTTCTAAAATTGATGATAAATTCTTACCTAAAGAAGTTCCTGTAATTGATCAATTATTGAGAGATGAGAAGTTTCTAGAAGCTAAGTCTATATTAGATCAATTTAACAATAATGTTAAACAAACAAGTATGTTCCATGAAAGATATGTAAAGGTAGAGGAATATATGATGAGAGAGCAACAGAAACAACAACAGCAACAACATCAGCGTCAACAACAATTTTTCAATCAACAACAGCAAAGACAGAGACAACATCAGCAACAACATCAACATCAACAAAGACGTGAACCAGCTCATGATTATTATAAGATTCTTGATATACCTCGTGATGCCGATGAAAAAACAATTAAGAAAGGATACCGAGCTCAAACCTTAAAATATCATCCTGATAAGTATAAGGGTACTGATATGACAGCTGATGAAATAGAAAAGAAAATGCAAACCATTAATCAAGCATATGAAATATTATCTGATCCCGATTTAAAAGCCAGATTTGATAGAGGCGATGATCCTGCTGATCCTCATAACAATGTACCTGGAGGTGGAGGAGGTGGTGGTGGTGGATCAGGATTCTTTAATCAAGGAGGTCCTATATTCAACTTTGGTTCAGGTGGTTCCTTTCAATTCGGAGGGTTTGGAGGTAATGGTGGAGGTAATTCCCACTTCCGATTTACTCATAACAATCATCAACGAAGACATTGATAGATATATACCTCTAATAGATAATCAATATAATAAGTTTAGCACCCAATTTCCGCATTCGTAGAGCATCTGGCCCAATCGGGAACCAGTCGTGTGCGCGGCCCTTTTCGCGCCCATTTCGGGAAGCCGGTGCCACAGATTGAGATAAGATGCCACCACAAAGAGTAATAGGCAAAAACGGTCGGTGAATGTACCCGATTACTCATTACTCATTATTAAGATATTAACTATTTAGAAGTATACGATAATTAGAATTATACTATAATTAGAATTATACCATAAGTATGAAATTAAGTATCTGTACATTGGCAGCCACTGTAGCCATCTTTAGTTCTATTCAAGCTCTGCCAATTAAGCAACAAGCTATTTTAGATATTGAAACCGTTAATAATGATAAAGAAATTAATGAAAAATTTGAATTTAGTGAATCTCAATTTAATGAATTACCATTAATTGAGACTGAAGAATTACAATCTTTAATTAGTGAGAAAGGATTGAAAAAAAGAGCTAAAGTACTTTATGATATTGCTAAGGGTTCAATTGGTAAATATGGTCATCCAACTCGTGTAATTGGTTCTCCTGGTCATTGGGGTACTATTGGTTATATTAAATCGGAAATTTATAAATTAGGAGGTTATTTTAATGTTGATACTCAATCGTTCAATGCTATTGATGGTCAAGTTAATTCTTATTCTTTATTAATTGATGGTATTCAACCTAAAAGTTTACTTGCTTTGGCTTTAACCCCACCAACTCCTCAAGGTAATCCAGTTCATGGTGATTTAGTTCTTGTTGATAATTTCGGTTGTGCACCTGAAGATTATCCATCTTCATTAACTAAAGGTAATATTGTATTAGTTCAAAGAGGTGAATGTTCATTTGGTGATAAATCTATTAAGGCAGGTCAAGCTGGTGCATCAGGACTTATTATTTATGATAAAGAACCATTACATGGAACTTTAGGTACTCCAACTGGTGATGAAGTTGCTACAGTATCTATTACTGAAAAGGATGCTGCTCCATATATTAAAAAATTAACAGAAGATCCAACTTTCAAATTTGAAACTACTTTATATGTTGATTCAGTTATTAGAAATATTAGTACACTTAATGTCATTGCTGAAACCAAATATGGTGATCATGATAATGTGGTATCATTAGGTGCCCATTCAGATTCTGTTGCTGAAGGTCCAGGTATTAATGATGATGGTTCAGGTACTATTTCATTATTAGAAGTTGCAGAAAAGTTAACTAAATTTAAAGTTAATAATGCCGTTAGATTCGCTTGGTGGGCTGCTGAAGAAGAAGGTTTACTTGGATCTGATTATTATGCCAATTCATTATCTCCAGAAGAAAATGCTAAACTTAGACTCTTTATGGATTATGATATGATGGCTTCACCTAATTACGAATATGAAGTTTATGATGCTAACAATGTTGATCATCCAAATGGTTCCGGTACTTTAAAGGATTTATATATAGATTGGTATGTTAAGCATGGTCTCAACTATACTTTGGTTCCATTTGATGGTAGATCTGATTATGTAGGATTTATTGATAATGGTATCCCAGCTGGAGGTATTGCTACAGGTGCTGAAGGGCTCAAATCCTCTAAGGGAGTCGCTAAGTTTGGAGGTGTCGCTGGTGAACAATTCGATCAATGTTATCATCAATTATGTGATGATTTATCTAATCCAGACTATGAAGCTTGGGTTATCAATACCAAATTGATTGCTCATTCTGTTGCCACATATGCCAAATCATTTGATGATTTCCCCATTAGAGACACTATCATTACTTCATCGAACTCAAAGTCTGGTAATGACTTCAAGTACCATGGCTCTAGATTGATTATGTAAGATTTTCTTTCCCATAGTAATTTCTCTAGATTAAAATAATAAAAGTTAGAATTGAATATCAATATCATATTACTATTAATAGTTCTGTTGTAGTATAGTGAAGTAGGTGGGGCGCTAGTACCGATGTTTAATCTCCGTGAGCAATTTCGCGATTCTGATTGATTTTTGGGGGAGTCACCCAGTATGGAAATTAAGCTCGGGAGTGCCTCCACAATAAGCTAGTACCCCCAAAATCCAAGCCAATAGTACTGAGAGTATATGTCGAAGAAATTGTTGAGTGGTGGTAGACTTAATTACGTATTGCATAGCTTGATGCTTAGAACTATAAGAAGTATAAGAACCATGACCACTTCATCAGCTATTAAATCACATCCTAAAGTTCTTAGACTTGGACGAGTCGAATTTGCTCATGCTAAATGGGCTGAAGTTTCTAAGATAGCTACAGTAATTGATTGTACTTCAAAAAACAGAGAAGAATTCTTTGAAGATTTAAAGGGTAAGTATAAGGATATCACTAATATTAGTAGAACTTATCAATCGGTTGCTTATACGGGAAAATTCGATGAAGAATTAGCTTCTCATCTTCCATCTACTGTTAAATCAATTAGTCATACTGGTGCTGGATATGATCAAATTGATCCTGAACCTTTCACTAAACGTGGAATTCAAGTTTCTAATATTACTGTACCAGTTGAAGGTCCAACTGCTGATACTGCAGTATTTTTATTATTGTCAACATTAAGAAATTTCCAAGAAGGTCATGACTTATTAGTCAAAGGACAATGGCCAGGAAAAAAAGCTGCTGGAGCTAAATTAGGACAAACTCCACATTCAAAAGTGGTAGGAATCTTAGGAATGGGAGGTATTGGTAGATGTATTAGAGATAGATTAGTACCATTTGGATTTAAGAAAATCATCTATTATAATAGAAGTAGATTAAGTAAAGATTTAGAAAAGGATAGTGAATATGTTTCATTTGAAGATTTAATTGCCAAAAGTGATATCTTAGTAGTTAGTGTACCATTAAATCCAAAGACTAGACATTTAATTAATGGTGAAGTTCTTGCCAACTTAAAACAAGGTTCAATTATTGTTAATACTGCAAGAGGTGCAGTTATTGATGAACAAGCATTATTGGCAAGTTTAAAGTCTGGACATATTGGAGGCTTTGGATCCGATGTGTTTGAACATGAACCACAAGTTCCTCAAGAATTATTGGATTTACCCAATGTCATTAGTTTACCTCATATGGGTACTCATGCGCTGGATGCTATTCAATATATGGAAGAATGGGTAGCTGAAAATGTTGAAAGTTGTATTTTGACAGGTAAAGTTAAGAGTATAATTCCAGATCAGGCCAATTTAGAGATTTAGATATATACAGTGTTTTTACTTCTTTTTGAAAATACAGACTTTTTTCTTTAGAACCGGATAATCTTCTATTAAAACTCTGTCTCGGAATAAAGCTAACAATGTCCTATTATTTTTTAATATTTTTTTTCTATTAAGTGAGACCTACAGTTCTTAAGTCCCCAAAGAGCATACCTTTTTTTACAATATGAAATAGCTTGGCAAAGTGATTTTTCCAATCACGTTCTACCTCTTAATGCGTCAAGTTTCTAGAATATGAAATATTTTGCCATTTAGATGCAGCCTAATTATCCATTTCTCAAGGTGAAATTTTTAAATTTAGCTGGTTTTTGGGACTGAAACATTTGCCGACTCGCTACATTTATTAGTAGAGGAGTTTGGGCACAGGGACAAAATTTCGTGCGATCTTTACCATTTGTTCTCACGGCCATAATTAGCTACTGGTTCAAGATATTAGATTACCCAGTGCAACGCGAGGCTGAACCATACTTTTCAGCATGCGTAACTCTGGTTTAATTTTTTGATACACCCCTTGCAACATATCCACGAAGTCGATGCCTATCACTTTAACTGACCTCGGCTATAGTTTTTATTAATAGGGATATATTTAAAGCCAGTATTCTAAAATGTTAAAGCTGGTTGCCCAATTGATTGAGTGGCACCGATAGCAGGTTGAAGTTATCTGAATTTTATTTTCTAAGCTACCTTCTTTATTTATACTTCACTAACTTTCCTACTTTTATTATTGTACGCTATATTAAAATTGACAACTGTCTCTTTCTCAATTCCTGTTATCTCAATGACTGTGGACTATTCTTCAAATCCTTCAAACTTGACATTCTTGGATTGTGGTGATTCTAATATCACTGTGACAAATATTCCTATAAATATCAGTAACTTGACTGATGTGAGCTACATCCTAGACCAGTTCAATCTGGACTATCAATGTGGAATAAACTATTACCAAACAAACAAAAAATCGAAAAGAGATCTCTATAAGATGGAAAGCGAAATACAACCAAATATCACTCTGGCAGTTTTCAATTGTGGAGAATCGAATCTTGATATTTTCCTTACCAATGGAACTAACTATTATGATAACTCAGTTTATAACTGTGGTATTTCTTATGAGGCTAGTAAGTCATCCAAATCGGGATCCCCTACTGTAAAGATTCCAAAGGTGTTGTTGCTAGTCGGTATCATGATTATCGTATCTAAAGTGGTTTAGCATAAGTCAAATAGTATTAAAATGCGCAGTGTGCACTGTAACGCTTCTGTTGTAAAGATACGTGCTTACAAACCTACAGCATTTTACAAGTCTATGCTTTATAAGGACGACCACATATTCTTAAAGTCATTCCACCACAAGAGTTTTTACTATATACGTAGTTTCTCTAGCTTAATTACCATTTATAACCCTCTATTTATATAGAATTTAATAATTGATGTATCCAAAAAAAAAAAACTTGGTATATACACATTCTGTATCCATATTGCTTAGCTTAATAAAAGAAGTTATATTTATTCTAAATCATTTCACTCAGGAAAGAGCTTTTATGCCGACATACTATGTAGTCTCACGCTAAGAATAGCCCAGAATGCTCACATTTCTAGACCTTTGGTGCATTAGCCCAGCACTGATAACCGCTAGTTGGTTTTAAACAGATAAAGATGAAAGATTAACATTTAAGTTAATTTGATAAATAATATTTCTAATTCAACAACATATTTATTCTCTCTATTAAATAAGTCTAAAATCGTTTTGGATTTCTCCACTTTCTTCAGAAACTTCCGACTTTTTTCTTTAGACCAACCGAGCAAATAATCTTCAATCCACTCCTTTTATTTTTTCGTGCCGGTCGTACACAGAAGCTGCGTATATCTATAAGATCAAATAAATAACTGTAATCTATTTGATATCAATCTATTTGCTAATTGCTATGAAATAAAAAATGTGGTATGAATGTATTTTAATCGGTACGAACATTCGATTCACCAATAGTATTAAAAGTTCCGGTCAAATGACATAAGAATTAAAACCCGGTAGTATGAAAAATTCCGGTCCGGTGTATGAGATCTCAGAATTCGCTTTGAAGAAGTATCATATCTAAAAACTAGCATATTACTATCAAAACTTAAATAATAAAGAGTAAAAAGAATGTATAGGCCAGTTAATATAAATCATATGTAGCTTTCTTCGGATCCGGCACGTTAGCCGAGTCACTATAATGCACAGTAATGAGTACACAATGCGAATACGACCGAGTGAGCCATCCAGTGAGGATTTCAGTTATGAGCGATTAGCTAGTACAAACTAGTAAATTTAATATGGTAAATATGTTCAGTATGTCCAGCATGAATCGTATTCTATACAGTCGTTTCATTGCTCTACTTCGTGGTTTCGTCAAACGCTACGATAGGGTCATGTAAAACGATCAGTTGATCATTGACTCTATTAACCACTGACAGACTTTTTTGCAGTAATCAGCGCCGTTCAGAAAAAAGAAATACAAAAGGTCTAGTCCGCAGTTCGGGTTTGTAATCTGATAACTTTCTTTATATAAAAGTCGGTCATACCCAATCAGCATACCAGAGATGACTTGGTGTGGCAATAGTTATATTGTGGTTCGTATAGTGTAGTAATATTCCAGCTAATTGTATTACAATTTATTTTATTTTATTTTATTTCATGTCATCCCATACATTTAGAGTCAGAAGTGTGTCTATCTAAATTTGTATCTATCTAAATTTGTATCTCAAATCAAACCCCGATATACTCCTCCTCTAACAATTAAAAATTACTGTCTGGGCGGCCCTTTCCATTCACAATTTTTTTTTTCGGACTGGCACCGACAAATTTTTCAACGACATTTCCCATCAACGTTTATTAGGCGGGAAGAAAATAGTATACAGAAGAGGCACAAGCAGAGGATTGATTTTTTTCAACTATCGAAATCGAAAAAAGCAAGTCAAAAATTTCTTGTCATTTCACAATCAATTATCATTAACGATTAGTTCTTATTATATTGCATCTAATTGCAAGTATACATAATAGTTTAACTACCGATCTGCCCTTGGACTTTAAAATTCCGCATTACCACCGGACCTTTCTTATCAAATTCTCATATCATATCACTCAGTATAGTTCGAATTATATAATCGGTTAAGTACTTAACTATTCATCACATTTCATTTATATTTATATATACCACAACCATCATTATATCATGGAACAGCATCAATTACAATTCTTACCGAAAGATACAGTTGAAATAGACTATGAAGCATTACCGGATGATGCATCTCTCGTAGCTCATTTATCGGCTGGAGCATTTGCTGGAATAATGGAGCATACTGTCATGTACCCTATTGATTCATTAAAGACAAGAATGCAAGTGGCAACTTCAACTCAAGAATTTTCTAAGTCTGTCATATCGACTATAAATAAAATTAGTTCAAGTGAAGGAGCTTATTCACTTTGGAGAGGTGTTTCATCAGTAGTGGTTGGAGCAGGTCCAGCTCATGCGGTATATTTCTCTGTATTCGAAGCTGCAAAGACCTTATTAGTTAATAGAATTATTCATAATGGGAATCCTAATCATTCAAATACAAATAGTAATGGATCAAGTAAACTTGTTACTGATGAGAATCATCCTTTAATTGCATCTTTAGCAGGGATTGCTGCAACTACAGCTAGTGATGCATTAATGACACCATTTGATGTACTTAAACAAAGAATGCAAGCTACTGCATCTTCTTCAAATCAATTGCAAAAGGGTAAAAATAATACAGTTAAATTACTTCAAACAGCTTCTTCACTCTATAGGCATGAAGGTGTCAGTGCATTTTATATTTCATATCCTACTACATTATTTACCAACATACCGTTTGCTGCTCTTAATTTTGGATTTTATGAATACTGTTCTCTCATGTTAAATCCAGATAATAATTATAATCCATATTTACATTGTGTTTCTGGTGGTATAGCTGGTGGGATTGCAGCTGCATTAACAACCCCATTAGATTGCATTAAGACAGCCTTACAAACAAGAGGTATTAGTCAAAATGAAAATTTAAGAAATGTTACAGGTTTTAAAACGGCTGCTAGAGCTATACATAAAGAATTCGGAATTAGAGGATTTCTTAAAGGATTAAAACCTAGAATCATATTTAATGTTCCAAGTACGGCTATTAGTTGGACAGCATATGAAATGGCTAAGGAGATCTTATTGAGATAGAATTAAAATTAAGATTAAGATTTATCAAAAGTTCACTAATTAACATGCATACATTTTACACGTCTCTTGTACCATAGTTTTATATTTATATTAGTATTAATATTATATATCAATTGTATATTCTATAACTCATCAATCATTAAGGAAGTAGACTATCTTCTAACTTTGTATAGCTTGGATCAAGGCATTGGCTCGAGCAATATGATTTAATTCTCGGATATTATTCTGACTCAATTTCTGAGCCATGAATGAAAACATAACACAACTACCTAAGAATCCGAGTAAGTTGAAGAAGGCCTTTCGGGAATATGACCGTTCTTCTTCTTCAGTTCTAAACGAGGCAAATATTCGACGGATGGAGGCGACTATCATCTTGTATAGTTTCATTGGTATAATGAATGATGTATTATGAAGCTTACTGAAATGGCTCTAAAGTTTGAGTTGCCAAGTGATTTCCAGTGTCGCGATGGTTGAGAAAAATTACTGACGATTTGATCTCGTCACTAATTGAAATTCGAACCACGGACTAATACCATATGTATAAAGAAAAAAAAAAGATAAAGACCTAACTTACAATGTTGATCGGTATCGGGTGCCAAGGTTCAACTGAACCAAGGTTCGCATATTGCACTCAATAGCCCTCAGTACTGAAGGCCAACCATCCGCGATGTCATTCCCATAACAGGCCAGGGGCCCATCGATATTTCTGATGGCATCGCCTCAAACGTTTCCACGCTAGAGAAGCTCTCACGAGCAATGAGAATTAGCGAGAATTCTCAGTAAATTGGATGGAGTACCACCGAATTTCCCACCCGTTTTCTCTAAATTTAGTGAGAAATTTTCATTTCTCCTTACGTTGACGGGTAAATGCGAATTCTTCATTATAAGAAAAGTCATTAACGATTAAACTACAGATAGTAATCTAATCACACAAAATCATGTCCATTCAAACATGAGTAGTATAATAGCGGCATGGATTTTTAGTCCAAAATCCTGCATCTAATCTCTTAGTTGATTTTGCAATTACGAAAAAAAGATGAATAAAATTTTGTAACTATCTTTATTTCGATTCTTCGGGATGTTTACAGCGTTTGACGTTGAAGCATCGTCCATTCTTCTTTATTGGATATCCGCTTTTGGGTCTTCTTAATTTTAGATTTCTTAACTTTCAAAAAACTGTAGGAACATACTAACTTTCAAAAATCTACTAGGATTCAAAAATCTACTAACTTTCAAGAATCTACAGGAACTTACTAACTTTAAAAAGAATATCTCGAATACGATATAGTCTGATCGTACAAGAGATCCAGGCACGGCGCCATAAATCAATGCTGTTGTAGTAGTAATGTTTAGGCTTTTGACTCTTAATCTTTTAGAAAAATAGTGTATGCAGGCCAATTAATAGTACGTATAAAACTTTTTAACAAACTACGGTTTAATTAAATCCATATTTATATAAATTGTACGCTAATAAATAAATCATTTTGCGTATCTATTAGATTATTTGCATATGTAGTGCCTGTAGCTAAACGCCACTATATACAAGAACAATTTCTGTATACATTACTTTACTGTGGTAGATCATTGGCGCTAATATGGTGTGATAGCTTTGTCATATCAGAAGCGCTATGTAGACAAACCTATAGGGTTTTGATATTCTTACTTTTATTTATTAATAGAAATAAATGTATAATATTTGCAACCTAAAGTTTTAAGTAATGATGTTAAATCCTCTTCATAACACATGGGATTCTAATGTGCACACATACTCACTGATTAATATACGTAGAAGTGTTCTCAATTCTTCTTACTTGTCTTATGACTATTCATTACTTTCTAGTCTATTGATTCTTAGAAATCATAAACTACTTATTATTACTCAATTGAATTTATTGCTAGTACTATCTAAGAACTTTTAATACAAGTCTTTCATAACCTCGTCTATACAATTGCTCACAATTAATACAAATACCTGTTTATTGAATTCGAAATACTTGACGTTTATTAAAAGTAACTGTGTAATAAGTGCAGCTGTGATTAATCGTTGGAAATTCCAATATGCTCTTATTTGTATTTTTGGCAAGAAAATACCAAAAATCACAGAGCATCGAACATAATTGGTAATGCATTGTTTTATACTAACTGGCAACTAACAACTAATATACTACATATAAACGCAGCAATGTTTTCTTGGTTGTAAGACAAATGCAGTACATTATAGAGCAAATTTTAGCAACAGAAATGGCATATATTAAAGCACAAAACACTTTAGACAGTAGAATGCCAAGGTAGAAGAGACAAATAGAAGTTCTGATGGCCTCAATATTCGTTAAATTAATTGTCGGTGCATATGCCCATTCTTCAATAAAATTTGAAGGTCAAATTTTGGGCTTATAAAATCATAATCGCTTAGATGGAAAAGATAAAATAAGGTATACTCTAAACTGTAAATTGACTATTTAAAAAAAGTATAATTTTGTATGCATAAGATAGCTCATTTCAATTTGTCTTAACCATCAACCAATTTACTGTTTCTTGGGTCATTGTTTCATATCGATATAACTATATGGATCAATATTCGGGAAGATCGTATCTGTTCATTAATTGGGATTGAAAGTTTATTTTTAAGGGAATGAAAATTTTGTGAAATGCAGACAAAAATGAAGAAAAAAATATTTTTCTTTGTTCCCTGTCATCACAAAAGGCATTTTTCATCTAATCAGTTCGATCAGTTACGCCATAACAATCTCACTTTGTAGTTACGCCCAGGTTCTTGGAAACTATTTTCGAAATGAATTAGTTGCTACATTGCATATATATATCTTTTTTTTCTAGTATTCTAGTTACTTTGATCCTGACATTTTATTGTCTTCGTTTTGCTTGACTTTTTGTCTGAATATTTTCATTTTATCCATCTCTTCTCTTGCTTCTTGTGCAGACGGTTAGTATCGTTGTTACCTGCTTCTTGTATATTCTGGATTAACATAAAAGGACTTGATTCTGTCCTTTGTTTGGCAAATTTATGACTTGGAATTTTTCTTTTCATTAATCATTAATCAATTGTAACAATGTCAGATAGTTATCAAGAAAAGGCATCTGGTTCAGATGTCGCCTCCCATTCTTCTCAAGTTTCAACTTTTGAAGAAGAAAAATCTATTGGTGTTGAGAAGGCCGAATTGTTGGCTGCTGCTTGGGATAATAAATTTTATTATAAAATTATCTTATTATTTTCATCATTCTTGGTTGGTTATGGTTATGGTTTAGATGGTCAAACTAGATACGTTTTTACTGGTTACGCCACTCAAAGTTATGCTGAACATTCTTTATTAAGTACCGTCAACGTCATTACTGGTGTTGCAGCTGCTGCATCTCAACCTGTATATGCAAGATTAAGTGATGTCTTTGGAAGATTAGAATTATTTATTGTTTCAGTTGTATTCTATGTTGTTGGTACTATTATTGAAAGTCAAGCTACTAGTGTTCAAAAATACGCTGGTGGTGCTATACTTTACCAAATTGGATATTCTGGTGTTATTTTAGTTCTTTTACTTATCTTATCTGATTTTTCGTCTTTAAGATGGAGATTATTCTATACTTTTGTTCCAGCTTTCCCATTTATTATTAATACTTGGATTTCTGGTAATGTTACGGCTGCCATCGGTATGAATTGGTCATGGGGTGTTGGTATGTGGGCTTTTATCTTCCCATTATGTTGTATCCCATTAGTTTGTTGTATGATTCACATGAGATACCTTGCTGGTAAAACTCCTGAATGGAAAGTTTTCAAACAAAGAAAGACTAAATATCAAGAATTAGGTCCAATTGGGTTTGCCAATTACTTATTCTGGAAATTAGATATTATTGGTTTATTATTATTAATTGTTTGCCTTGCTTGTATATTGGTTCCATTAACTTTAGCTGGTGGTGTTAAAGATACCTGGAAGAAAGCACATATTATTGTTCCAATCGTCATTGGTGGTGTATTATTACCAGTTTTTGTTGCTTGGGAAACCTATGGTGCTAGATTCCCATTAGCACCATGGAAATTATTAAAAGATAGAGGTATTTGGTCTGCTTTAATAATTTCTTTCTTATTAGATTTCATTTCTTCTATTGAAAGTTCCTATCTTTACACTGTTTTAATGGTTGCAGTTAATGAATCTCAAAAATCAGCTACTAGAATTACTTCTATATCATCATTTGTTTCGGTCGTTGGTGCTGTTTTCTTTGGTCTTGTTATTGTTAAATTTAGAAAATTGAAAGGATTTATTGTTCTTGGTTGTTCTCTTTGGTTAGTTGCCTTTGGTATTATGTACTACTATAGAGGTAACTTAGCTGCACATTCTGGTATTATTGGTGGTTTAGTTGTTCTTGGTCTTGGTACTACCTTCTTCTCATATCCAATTAATGTTAGTGTTCAAGCTTGTGTTACTCATGAACATATGGCTACTGTTTCTTCATTAGTTTATACTACTTATAGAATTGGTTATGCTGCTGGATCATCAGTAGCTGGTGCCATTTGGACTCAAACATTATATTCCAAATTATACAATGCTTTACAAAGTACTGAATTGGCTACTTCGGTTTACACTCAACCATATATTTTTATTACTGAATATGCTTGGGGTACACCAGTTAGAGAAGCTGTTGTTGAAGTTTATCGTGAAATGCAAAGAATTTTAATGATTGCTTGTATGTGTTTCACAGTTCCAATGATTATTGCTGCATTATTCTTAAGAGATCCTAAATTAGGCGTAGATCAATCCAATGATCTTGAAAAATTAGATGCCAATGAAGGTATTACTGATTTCTTTAAGTTCAAGAAACTGAAATTGGAAAAGCAAGATCAACCAGTTGTTTAAACAGTATGTAAATATATTCTTCATCATTTCTATAGTATACTTTAATTCAATTAATATAATCATTTTTAGTAATATGCTTATTATTTGCTCAAAGCTTTATAATTATACCTGATTACTTTTACTTTTTAATTGCAATAATTCACAATTTCAATCGACTTTTTAGTTGCAATCATTTACAATTATTATCTCATCTTCAATTTATGTTCATCCTTAATTTCTGAATAAATTTAATGAATTTGAGTTATTAAATTGAATTATCATCATATGAATTCGATGGAGTTGAAGAAACTAGAATAGGAAATAGAAAATGTCTGCATTAAAAATGCATTTGCAATAATCCGAAAATCGGAAACCAATACTTTTTCGGTCAAATTTTCTGGGCTGAAGTTCCTTTTTTTTTATCTGATTGATCAAATCTGATAACTTAAACGCAAAGTGCCGTACGAAAACATGAGCAAATACGATCCAAGTTGCAGAAAATTAGTAACTCACTAGTAATTAAGGAGTTAATTATCTTGGACTAATATGTCAGCATTTATGATGAATATGTTACATAAGAGTTTGCAGGTTATTAATAGCACATAGACACCAGATAGCTCGAGAAATACTATACTAATGACACCAATGCTACTACATTATAGTCTTATAATTTTTAATATTAATTAAATGAGTGATTATATGGCTGGTTATGAACTAGTATACTAATAAAAAATATTATACCAAGTGAAATTAGTGGTGAATGTTACATAGTTATATGAACACGAGGGCTTCAGCCCTAGTCGCACGAGATAATATTATTTTTCACGTGAGTACCGAGCAATCCTGTACTGACACAATTCTCATTACTTTTGCACTACCATAGTTAACAATCTATAGTGAGCGCTCAGTGAAAAAAAGATGAAAATTTAGAACTGTTTATAGAAACGTTTAATATTCTTTTAAGATTAGTCTTAGTATAACCAACTAGTAGTAGCCATCATGCTTATTCCAAAGGAAGACAGAAAGAAGATCCACCAATACCTCTTCCAAGGTATGTTTATTGAGAGAGATAATGTAATAGGAAATCAGAAGAGTGAAGAAACAGTAGAGGTTGAGTAGAGACCGAAGACCGTAGAGAAGAGATATTAAGATATCACATAATACAAAACAATAAAAGAATAGAAAATAGAGTCAATATAAAGAAAACAGAAGATATAGAACATTCCAAACGTTTAGAACAACGATCAGAACAATCATAAGATGAATTTATATAAAGTTGTCATTCCATTAAAATCTACCACTAAGTAATATTCCATATCAACGAAACTCAAACCTCCTGTAGTTATCACCCATCTTAATTTTCCTATTATATAAGTATATTTAATTGTACATTTTACTAACCCATTTTATAGAAGGTGTTGTCGTTGCTAAGAAGGATTTCAACTTACCAAAACACGATGAAATCGATACCAGAAACTTATTTGTCATTAAAGCTTTACAATCTTTAACTTCTAAAGGATTTGTTAAGACTCAATTCTCATGGCAATATTATTACTACACCTTAACTGATGAAGGTGTTGATTTCTTAAGAACCGAATTAAACATTCCAGAAGGTATTTTACCATTAACCAGATTAAAGAATGCTCCAGCTGAAAGACCAAGACCATTCAGAGGTTCTAGAGAAGGTGGATTCAGAAGAAGAAGAGATTAAGTAAATAGTCTTAATATATAATAGTATATGTATCAGGCAGTGTAGTTGATGTAGAAGGTATTAGAAGTGATTTAATACTGTATAATATCTGTAATAGTGGTATGTACTACAGTATTATAGTACTCATTTCATTTACTACTAGTATGATATTGTACAGGATACTTGATACTTTAAACTATATGACATTCTCTCTTGTAACACTCTCTGAGTGTATAGAATCTGAACCTGTATAGTGTCTATATGGTGTCTATACCTGTATGGTGTGTCTAATATACAGCATATATATTGTTTACATACTGTCATAGATTACGGTTATCGTCAACCCTGTCTATTGTCTACTGTCAATTGTCTATTGTCTATTGTCTACTGTGTATAGTGTCTACTATCTAGTGTATACTGTCTACAAGTGTATTAAACTGTTCATACTGTACCATACTGCACCATTCCGCACCATAGTCTACTTCACTGTGTTACACTACGCTACGCTAAACTGTACTATGCTACACTATGCTACACTAATCTACATACTTAGTGGTTAGAAGTGGCTCCACTCGCACCCTGTCTCCGTTTTCTGTCATTCTTTTTTTCTCTGCTTCTTCCTTTGCCTCATTTCTCATTTTTTCTGTGTCTTTGTCTGTGTCACATGTTCCCAGATCACGTTCTCCCATACAAAAATTATCGACCATCCCCATACACTAACTACTACTAACGTTCTACGGCTCTAACACTATCTCCATAACTAATACCATTAACCCCTCACTAACTATGAATGAATTACCTAGTTACCCTACCCCACAACAGGCAGCCTATAGAATAGAAGCACGTAAAAGTCCAAAGATACGGACCACTTCTCAGCCTGGCCAACAACGTCAACAGCCATTCGCCAACCCCAACAACAACCCCAACGTCGTATATCGTCCACCAGGTCCTAAGACTCTGCATCTGCATCTGCATCTGCACCCTCAACAACAGCAGCCTCCACCTCAGACTCCAAATCAACCATATTATCAACAACAGCCTCAATATGCTCAACCTCAATATGCCCCCCAGCCTCAATATTACCAACCTCAACCTCAGGTTGCTCCACCAGCCCCTGCTCCAGTTGCTTATCAGCAACAACCACAGTATCCTCGTCAGTCAAATCCTCAGTACTATGTACCTCCACAACCACAGCAGCAACAGCAGCCACCTCCGCAACATCCTCAACAACAGCAACAACAACCACCTCCACAGCAGCAACAGCAACAACAACACCACTATGTACCTGCTCCGGAACACTATCAGGACAATTACAGCGATGTCCAATCACAATCGTCCAGAAAGCCACCTCCTCAATTCCATAACAAATCCAAAGAATCACTTGAACCTTCATCTAAAATACTGAAAGAAGAACTTCGAGCATTATTTGATCGTACCGATACTAATCGTAGTGGACGTATTTCAGCACGAGAATTAACGGCTTTACTTTCAAATTTAGATAATTCTCGATTTAATGATCATACGATTGTATTACTTATTAAACTCTTTAATCAAAAGGGTTCATCATCATCAGCTTCTTCACCAACGACAACAACAGCCTCTCAACAAGTTACATTTAATAGTGCAAGTCTTACCTTTGAACAATTTTGTTCATTATGGAAATATATTTATGATTATCGTAAACTCTTTAAACAAGCTGATAGTGATGGATCAGGAGATATATCATTTGGAGAATTTCAAGAAATTCTTGGAAAGATTGGTTATAAACTTAATATTGATTTAATTTTAAATATCTTTACTAAATTCAGTTATAAAGATGTTAATGAATTTAGTTATAATAATCCAACTAATTTAATTGGGAAATTAAAATTTGATAGCTTTATTGAATTATTAGCTTATCTTAGTACTCTTACCGATATCTTTAAGAAGTATGATAAAGGTATGGTAGGAGTTGCTAATATAAAGTATTCCGATTTCTTACAAGAGATTATTAATATTCCCTAGATAGATAGATAGATAGATAGATAGATAGATAGATAGATAGATGTCTATACTAACTATATACTAACTATATATTATATTTATATTATACTAACTACTACTATATAATAATACTTTGTCTATATTTATATTTATTATTCAAATGAAATAACTTCTCCAAAGTACTCCTTCCAAATCTTGCATTTGTTCTTCACTAAATACTTTACTATCAATATGCCAAGTATCTTGTCTATCCTTTTTAAATTTACTAAGAGTTTCCTTAGCAGTTCTACCAACAATTCCTTCAATTCCACAACATTTATTGGCTAAAATAGTAAGGATTTGTGGGACCCATGATGGAGGAGGAGAAGAGAATGAAAAGGCATGAATTAATGCTCCTAATCCAAGAGTAATTCCATGTAATTTAATTAAATCTTCATTACTATATCTATTGGTGGTGGTGGTTTTATTCTTCTTCTGTTTCTTCTTTCTAATGGTATCTAATTGTATAACAAATTGATGATTATAATTATTAATTAATTGTTCAGCTTCAACCGGGGGTGACATATGAATAAGTCCAGCAAATGTCTTAGACCCTGCCTCTCTAATTTCATTATGTTCATTAAAGAGTCGTTGATAAGTTATATCAAACATTTGATTTCTCTGTTCATTAGTGAATTTGAAAAAGTTCTTAAAGTATACAGTTTCAGTAAATAATCCCATTAATAATACTGTATGAACTTTGAAAGATTTATTATGACTATATTGATTAATAGCAATTATAATCAGAGGTAAATAATCAATAGTATAATGAATTTGACCTAATTTTCGAAGTAATCCAGTAGGATCAACATTACCCAATTGACATACTTCCTTTAAATCAATTAATTCTAATACAAATGGTAAAATATAATCAACCACATAAGGTTGAAAGATTATAGAACTACTAGTACTTAAGATTTGTTTCATCCATGTTAAAACAGTGGTAGATCCATAAAAGTAATCGGATTTAATGATTTGTTGAGGAGTTAACGTCAAAATAGCTGATCTCCAAGCTTTAAGTTGATTGAATACTTGAGGAATTATCGTATTCATATGATTATCCAATACATAAAACTTCAAGTTTTGATGATTATTACAATTCTGGATGAATAGTTGACTATTGGCTACAGATTCATCATAATTTACTAATGATAATACAGCAAGTAATGCTCCAATTTGCGATCGAACTGCTTGATATCGATGATTAATATTATTTAAACATAATTGAATTAATCTTTCACAATCATCAGTAGTTAAATTGGTATTAACCGTAGTAACTAAAGATCTTATAAAACTTAATTGAGTTGATTCTTGAAAGGAGAAATCCGAATGAATATCTAATTTAATATCAGTAATCTGTTGCATGATTATGGGGAATCGTCTAATATCAATATGAGATGGAATCCACCATGAGAAGGTATACCAAATATACTTTGTATCGGGAGATAAGTCATGATTAAAGAGGTTATTTAAAAAGGTTGATATGAATTCATCTCTTCTCCTAATTAAACTAGGATTAATGAATTTAGATCCTAATAAGATTCCGGTAATTATTTCACATACAACTATATGAGTTGATTTATCATCCAGGACATATATCTCCGTCACTATACTTAATAAATCTTCAAAATTAAAGCTGGGAGTATATCCACTAGAGATTAAATGAACTAAATCATTAATGAAATATACATCTGTTACTTGAAATGAGATATTCACATCATTATCATTAATCCATAGTTTGATTATATTAAGTACCCATGGTCGAGTTATACAATTGCCAAACGCTGTAACGGTAGTTTCATCATTCTCATTCAAAGTCATTTGATAGATAGGCACATTCATTAATACCTTCAAGGTATCTCCCCAGAAGAGCCAACCTGGCAGATCCTTTCGATCTATGAAATATGTGGGATTGGTGGTATTGGCAAGTTCTTGACGATAAGTCTCAGTATATGATTGACCACCATCAATTGATGATTGAGTATCGATATACTTATACCCTTTATAGAGGAAATCAAACGTATACCCCTTAGCCACATCATAATTCAATCCATCCAAAAGATTAAGTTTATTAATCATATTCAGAATGCCCTTAAGAGCCAATCGAGATAATACAGGATGATCATTGGCTGCTACTTTAGCCAATAATTGAAAGAATTCATAGTTGGTAGGGATCAAAGGATCCATCTGTAAGTTAATAAGGAGGGCTAGATTGATAGAAGTTGTTCTCCAATGAGAATTAGTACTTTCATGAATCATTACGGCCAGTTGTAATTCTTCGATTTTATTCATAATCACTTGACGTTTATGATCCTTAGCTAAAGTTACAGCTTTAATTTCTAAATCAATAAACTCATCGGGTGGTCTTATGGTATCTATAAGATTATGATTAATCAAACAGATATTAGAAGGGGGAGTTATATTCTTATACACGCCCTTAAATAATTGTTGAGTGGTGTTATACACTTCGACATTATCGACTTCTAAACATCGATGTAATAGTTCAACATATCGTTGAATGTTATAAGAATCATTAGATAATTTATTCTTAATCTTTCTTAATGAAAACACATTCAAAGCTCCTTTAATTTGAAGAGTATTGGCTTTATCAAGAGCTCGAGAAAGATGTTTAAAAGCAGATTTAATAATGGTAGTATAAGATCCATTAACTCGTTTAATTACATCTACCAAAAGTGATTGAGCACTTCGAGATATAGCCGTATAAGTTGAAGCTGCTAATTTCGTAGCATCTTCAATTAATACTTTATCTAAATCAGTTTGAGTTCGACTAGTAGCATGTAATGCCACTCTTATATTATGATACTTTTCAATTCTAGCTCCAATAGCCACTCTAGTGAATGGTTTTCGAATTCCCGATATCTCTTGAAGTAATGAGATATATCCATAACTTATACAACTAACGGTATCTCCAAGTAATCGTTCTCTTCCCACATCAGCAAACCAAATATTCATTACAAGTAAGAAATGTTTAAATAGTTTAGGATTATCAGGATAATGATTGACTAAGAACTTACTAAGAATATGAAGAGATTTACCAATTAATCGATAAATCTTATGAAGCTTCAAGTATAATGGATCAGCTTTACGAAGTTCCATATCATCACCAAAGTAATAATTGGACGTATAGAGTTTCCGTTCTCTGAAGGTGATAGCAGGATTCATCAGAGACATATCTATACCTTCAATTTGAGGAGTGGCTCGAAGACTTTCATCTACTGATGGAGCTAAGGATTCAGACTTATTCATAAACATGTGCTCTCTCATCATATTGAATGAATGATCATCAGTATGAGCTTTACCGAGACTATCTACTGATTCAAGTGGTATATCTTTATTGTTATTATTGGTGCTGGTGCTGGTGGAGGTATCTTCATCAGACCCTACAAGCTCATTAAGCTTATCTCCATCAAGCATATAAGTAAACAAATCATCATTACTGAGATTCTCAATGATTCTCTGTAGATTCTCATTGATATTCTCCGGGTCTACTTCCTCCTTATGGCCGTCCATTTCTCGGATTTTCTTTAAAAGTATCAATCGTTGTTGAATAGACTCAGTTTGATGATTTAGTTTGGGGATATACTCTTCAAACGAGGGATCCAAAAGGCCCGAGACTCCACTTAGAGCATACCCTAAATAGTAGAGATATACTCGTAATTCATCAGTTCTTTTAACTGAAGTATTGGCATCCTCGTGAACATGAGGATTGAATTCTTTAATGAGAGTTTGAATATGTTCTAAGATTCTTGTGGTATGATCATTAAAAGTTTCTACGGCAAATTGGACATGACTTTCTTGAGGTATAAACCAATCAAACGTCAAGTTATCGCGATGAAATCGATCCTTGTCGAATTGGAATGCTCCCCAACACTTTTCATCTAATCCATATTTAGTAATGTATGCTGGAGATATAAGTCGAGATTCCTTTAATCTTATGGTAGTTGACGATTGAAGAATTACATGAAGGAGATAACTACTGACAAATGTAGTTGGACCTCTAACATTATCCATGAGATAGAAGGATAATTCCGTTAACTCATCGCCTATTTCAACTACACTACCATTAGCATTGGCCACACATTCATTTAAAATCACTAAATTCCAATGTAAACCCTGATCTCGAGGTACAACTTCTTCACCGGTTCGAACCTTACCAGCACCATTGTCTTCAATCTCTTGTTTAATTCGTTCAATGAGGTGTCTAGCATACTTTTTAAATGGTTTAGGATCTCTCTTTATGAGTGCTCCACAAATATCAGCCGCGATATTGGCAATTGCATGCACTTGATTATTGAATATAAAGTCAAAGAAATCATTTCGGAAACTGGTAAAGATGGTATCGGATAATGATTCACTTAATACATAAAGTAATTTAGGTAACACATCCGATATCTCTGCCTCAGCTCCATCACTCTGTTTAGGATCAGTAAGATTCTCTAACAATTCAATGATACGTTGACTTAGAGTTTTCAGAATGGTTGTAAATGCTGCACTAGCCGATTTCAAAGCTTGTAATTCAGTTTCAGAATCAACTACAAATGTCTCTGACAGGTCCTTTTCATATTGACGATGACTGAGATACTGTAAATGATCCTGAATAAATGTCCAAGCAAAAGTGGGATCACCCTGTCCGTCAGTTAAATCAGCAAATGGAACTACTGAAGCATAAGCAGATATACAATTCAAAGCTAATAAAGTCTTTTCTAAATCGTTAGTATCGAAACCTGGAAGGATCATTACGAGTAATTTAGGAACATGAACTCGATATATCGGGGTAGCCACAATATATCGAGCCAATACATCAATCTCTTGGATAGCAGTATATACTCTATGAGTTGATATAACTCCTTGAAGTGATTCATAAATATCTAATAATACATAATCAAGCACCTTTGTTGGATTTAAATGAGCCAAATGTTGTAAAGCTCCAATATATTCTTCAACAATTTCATTATTCTTGGATTGAATTCCCGTATTAACTATCGGAAGAAACATTTCTACAAATTCATCAATCATAGATTGACTTAATTTATATCGAGTAGGGATTTGATTAAGCATTCCAAATGGTTCATTTTCAACATTATATCGGGAATGGAATTGACGAATTAACGATGAAGTAAAGAGGGCGATGGGTTTCGACCAATCGCCAGAATTCGATGGATGAACATAACTTTCTACGGCATTTAACAAAGTCTTTAAATAATTCATAATGGTGGAAGATGAACCAGATGAATCTCCAAACATCGAGAATACCAACATCAGAGCAAATCCATGAAAGTATTTACACTTATTAGAAGCATACTTTTCAATCATAATTCCTAAACTATTAAGCAAAGTATTAATAACAAATTGCATTTGATCTTCAGTAAATATCCCAAATTTCTCTAATTTAAGATATTCATGACTTTGAGGATTATCATTTAAGAATCTTAATGATGATAAGGCAAAATGTCCTAAACGAGAAGTTACTTGTTCTTCAAAACTTGTAGATTTACCTAATTTTTTCCACATATAATATAATGATGATATATAATGACGAATATCTAATGGATCATTTATACCATTAGGTGTAAAATTTTGAGGTAATAATGAAAACGCTGATAATACTAAACTTGAATCAGCTAATGTAAAATGTGCCCCTAATTTAGTATAAATTTGTGGTAATGCTTGAGGTTCAAAGAAGTAAGAAGCTCGAGATGATAAAATAATTAATTGTTTAGTATTCTTTAATTCAAATCTAGTAGCAGAAGGTTCTAAAGGATGAAATAAATTAATAAATTCTTGACAAAGATCATTCCAATCAAGTAGTAACCCATTAGTTTTAAGAAAATGACGATCTTTGGTAAGTAATTCAAATACTCGAACATAAACTTTTAAATTAATATGTTGACCACGAGATAAACATATAGCATAATAAACTCGAGCAAGGGAGATTCTTAATTGAATAGGCATATCATATTTCATATTTAACCATACTAATAATTCATGAGTCCATGTTCTTATACCAACTACGGCAGCAGATTTTGGTGATTTCTTATATTGAGATGAACCTCCAATACTATGATCATTAGAATTCCCATCTCCATCTCCATTGTCTTCTTCTTCTTCATCATCTTCATTATCAGTATCAGTTTCATTATCATTAAAATTGCCTGAATCATCCATACTTGCTCCTCCTCCATCATCACCTAATTCAAATAAATTAGTTTCTAATGCTAAATCTACATCAGATAATCCACTTTCATTCTTTAATGCTGCTAAATCCTTAGCAGTTACTGTAATAGCACCTCGAAGATCAAGTGTCTTAATGGCAATATATAAATGAGATACAATATGACTCAAGAATTTCCCCTGATCTTGTAATGATTCGGTCTTATACGGTAATAAAGACGGAAGATTAAGAGTTCGAGGTCTCCAACGAGAATAATATCGAGATTGAGAATCTTGTTGAAGTTTCAGAATATCTGGAGGATAATCTAAATTATAAAAGGACTCTCTTGAAACTTCAATTGTACTATAAGAAGGACGACGATGAGTATTTCTTAATTTAACTTTTTGAACTGTCCCCGGAGTGAAGGATCTTAACTCATCTTCAAGGGGGTACCCAAATAAATGAGGTGATTGATTAGCAATTGAATGAATGGCGACATTTTTACCTTTAATAGGTATGGGAGCCAACATATCTTTAGGAGATTGTCCTGAAGAGTCTGTAGGTGGAGTCATGATTGAATAAAGAGTAGTAGTTAGTGGTGGTAAGTTCTTAGTACCAGTGAAAAGTTGCCGGATTTTATGAGACTGTTTGCCACCAAATTGCCACCAAAAAAATCGATGGTTTCGGGGTAGATGTGGTTTGGTTGAAGTCTTTATAGAGAGTTAATAATCGTTTTTATATTGATAATTAGGATAGTAATGGGGTTTATGTAGTTAGTCATCGTATGATGATTGGGGGAAATTGAAGTCATGTGATGTGGCACATGATGTATCACGTTATGTGTCTAATGACGTATCACGTTCTATATCTCACGTGCCCCCTTCGATGCCCATAAAAATAAAAACTTTTCAGAATATTCTAGTATTATCTCTACTAAGTAATCATTAATCATGTCAGTCTCCGCATCCAAAGCTAAAAGAGAACAAAAAAGATTGGAAAGAGAAGCCAAAAAGGAGGCAGCTGGTAAAACTACCAAAAAGACTAAAAAGCAAGCCGCTAAAGATGCTGAAGAAGATGAAGTTGAAGATTCTCAAGCTCAAATTGCTAAATTAAAATTACAACAAGATGATGATGGAATTTCTGATAGAGTTACAACTGGTGTTTTAGAATCTTTACAAACTTCAAGAGATATTAAAATTTCTTCTGTATCTTTATTATTTCATGGTAAAGTTTTATTACAAGATTCAACTTTAGAACTTAATTATGGTCGTAGATATGGTTTATTAGGTGAAAATGGTTGTGGTAAATCTACATTTTTAAAAGCTATTGCTGCAAGAGAATATCCAATTCCTGATCAAATTGATATTTATTTATTAAATGAACCTGCTGAACCAACAGAATTCTCTGCTTTAGAATATGTTGTTCGTGAAGCTGAACATGAAATGAAAAGATTAGAAGATTTAATTGAAGATATTATTGTTAAAGATGGTCCTGAAAGTGCTGCTTTAGAACCTTTATACGAAAAAGTTGATGCAATGGATCCTTCAACTTTTGAAGCAAGAGCTGCTGTTATATTAACTGGTTTAGGATTTAATTCTATTACTATAAAGAAAAAGACTAAAGATATGTCTGGTGGTTGGAGAATGCGTGTAGCTTTAGCTAAAGCTTTATTCGTTCAACCAACTTTATTATTATTGGATGATCCAACTGCTCATTTGGATTTAGCTGCCTGTGTTTGGTTAGAAGAATATTTAAAGAGATTTGAAAGAATTTTAATCTTAGTTTCTCATTCTCAAGATTTCTTAAATGGGGTATGTTCAAATATGATTGATATGAGAATGAAACAATTATTATTATATGGTGGTAATTATGATTCTTATGTTAAAACTAGACTGGAACAAGAAACCAATCAAATGAAACAATATAATAAACAACAAGAAGAAATTGCTCATATTAAAAAATTCATTGCATCGGCTGGTACTTATGCTAATTTAGTTAAACAAGCCAAATCTAGACAAAAGATTTTGGATAAGATGGAAGCTGATGGATTAATTCAACCAGTTGTACCTGATAAAGTATTTACTTTTAGATTCCCTGATGTTGAAAAATTACCACCTCCAGTTTTAGCTTTTGATGATATGTCATTCTCTTATAGTGGTAAACCAGAAGATAACTTATATGAACATTTGGATATTGGTATTGATATGGATTCAAGAGTTGCTTTAGTTGGACCAAATGGGGTAGGTAAATCTACTTTATTAAAATTATTCCAAGGTATATTACAACCCCAAACTGGTAGAGTTATTCAACATACTCATATTAAATTAGGAGTTTATTCACAACATTCTGCCGATCAATTGGATTTAACCAAGACTCCATTAGATTTCGTTCGTGATAAATTCTCAAGTATTTCTCAAGATTATCAATACTGGAGACAACAATTAGGTCGTTATGGTTTAACTGGTGAAGGTCAAACTTCTCAAATGGCTACTTTATCTGAAGGTCAAAGATCTAGAGTGGTATTTGCCTTATTAGCCATTGAAGCTCCAAACTTGATTTTATTGGATGAACCTACTAATGGTTTAGATTTATCAACTATTGATTCTTTAGCTGATGCTATTAATGCTTTTAACGGTGGTGTTGTTGTCGTGTCCCATGATTTCAGATTATTAGATAAAGTTGCTAAGGATATCTTTGTCATTGAAGACAAGACTGCCACCAGATGGGAAGGTTCAATTTTAGATTATAAGAAGAAATTGGCCGATAAAGTCGTTCTTTAGGTATATAGTTAATCCACATTGATACTTTTTTTGCACCCAATTTATTTTTTCACTTGTAGCGTTCCTAACTGCACCAAAAATTATGTAAATCACTTGAAAGTTATTGCAATCGATTCGTAATTCATTATCAATGATTTTAAAGGTTATAAAATTAAAAAAAATGGACGAGTCCGGAGTCGAACCGGAGACCTTTCGCATGCTAAGCGAACGCGCTACCAACTACGCCACACGCCCTAAGAAATTTTAGAGGAAATGGTCCCTAGCAGGATCGAACTGCTGATCTTGGCGTTATTAGCACCACGCCTTAACCAACTGGGCCAAGGGACCTTTTCTTGCCAAAAAATTTTATATGTTTGAACGGTGCGAACTTAATCACGTGTAAAATGTCATGTGACCAAAAAGTCACGTGGGTTGGATAATATTTCACTTATTTGACCATTTTCTCTACATTTTATGCTATATTTTTGATAAATTGAGAGTTTTCACTTGTTATAAGTTTCTATCAAACGTCTTAGCAATCATATATTCGGTCTTATTGTAATTTTATATGAATTCATAATTTGCCACGGCAAAAGAAAAATGTGAAAAATCGAGGGTCCAACATGCAGATACAGCTTTGCAGCTATTTTTTTCCCTGGCAATATATGTATTCACGCTATACATGATATAAAATTATATTTATTCACCTTACATATAAATTTAAACTGTACAGTATTACATCACTAAGCGTATAATTCAATAGTCTGTATTATTATACAATATCAATTGAAGTATTGATGGGTGTCGTATAGGCAGGAAATGCAATGTTGAGTTATATTTAGATTTAGCATTATTTCTATAGAAAAGTTCAATGGTAAAAGAATATAAGCAAGTAGTCTTTATATAAGAAAAATTTTATAGACCATAAAAGGGTTTTAAGTTCAGAGAATAGTATACAAATAACCTTAAAAAACTTGTAGCTTACAAAGGTAAGAGGTCGCCCTTGTAATCAATAAATTTACCAGAATCTTCATGTTTCAAACCTTCAACAAGTTTAACAATTCCAGTAGTACTTACTTCAGTAGTTATACTATTTGCTAAGAAATATTCCCTATAGCCTAATTTTTCAGCTGCATCCAAAACACCTTTAGTTGAAACAGCTCCAGGGTGTAAAGCAATAATTGTGAATCCTTTATCCTTCAACTCTACATTCAATTGTAAAGCAGCAAAGTTCAAAGCGGCCTTTGACATCCCATAACTTGAAGTTGTAAATTCAAAATGAGTCAATGAAGCAGCTATGGTACTCATAAAGACAACCTTCTAGGTTTCCCTTTCCAATAAATATTTGTATACTTTTTGGAAAATCAAAACTGGACCTACAGTATTGACTGCATAATGCTTTTTCAAGTCTGCACCATCAGTTTCAAAAAGGGTAAGCTTGTTTTCAAAAATACCTGCATTTGAAATGAAAGTATCAATTCCTTTAATTCCTAAAGCTTCTAATTGTTTATCAACAGTATTGATAGATTCTTCGGAAGCGAAATCCAATTGAATAATCTTGATGTTGGACAATTTCGCAGCTAAAGCTTTCAATTCATCTGACTTATCTAAATTTCTAGCAGAGGCAATAATTAAATTGGAAGAATTGGCTTCAGCGAATTTCTTAGTCAATACAAGACCAATACCACGAGTAGCACCAGCAATAAAATAAATTTGTTGAGTCATGTTTGATAAGTTTAGTTAGTTATACTTGATATCGAAAGTACACCGAATATAATTTCATAAGGAATTTACTGATCGTATTTATAGCCCAATTCGTCCACTATTCCAGTCATATGATACTATATAATCCCAATCCAATCAAATAATGAAAGAAATTTAACACCGAAGGGTTATATGTATCTATACTTCAATTAAGTCTAGGCTACGAAGGAAGTAATAGTTCTTTCTATAAGCTCGGTGTTTATTTTCACAACTTAATTTTTCACACCCACGCATCCAAAAATATCACCGAATTGCTCCGGACTTAATGATACATATAGAATACATAAATTAGGGTGTTTAAATTTCGGATCGGAACTCGGAACACATTTGGTCTTTTGGAGTACTTACCGTTTAAGTAAAGTGAAATATGATTGAGAGAATAAAATCAATAGTACTTACATACGATTTCGTAACTAGAAGGGGCGATTTTTGTTGATATGCTATGTCTACTTCCATTTTCGTACATTTCCATTTTGTAACCATCTCCATTTCCATTTCGTATCCACTTCCAGTTTTGACAGTTAAATCTTCTAGATCACGTTTAATATTAATAATGTGTGTGAACGGATTTTATTATAGTGATACATATACTTAACTTTATTCTTCTTAGAGATTCCACTAAAGAGTGAGCTGTTAATATTGTGTCCGTACATTTACTCTAATGTGACCCTCAAAAGCTCATCAAGAAAGTAAAGTCTGGAAGTTATTAATTCTTCTCATTATTAAAGCTCAACTATCACATAAACTTGTTCATTAAATTCGTATTCGTATTCTTCTTGTACATTTACATTTCATAAATGTCTACAGTATATGGTAGCGCACAATGATCATTTATTTTTTGCATTGTCAAGAGTCACGAGTTTCAGAATTATTTCTTGGAATATCTGAAACACTCTTAATCATTTCTTTGCTAGAATAAAGAGAACTATGTTACCATATTCTTCGCATACGTCGATGTACGCTTCATCGCTATATAACCTTTGATCACAGGAATCTCAGATAATATAAAAACTTTTTGAAATTGGTTGAGCAACAGTAATATGTTGATGCATTTTGCTTTGCTGTTCATTGTATATCGTTAAGGACTTCCCTTAGATACTAACGGTGTGAAGTATTTAGGATATATTCTACTGACATTTAGGATACATAACAATATTACTATTACTAATATTTAGGATACTACTAACATTTAGAATGCCGTAAGAGCATCTTTCAACGCTTAATTCAGCATGGAAGATGGTACAGTATTTCACCGATATTTGAAAAACTATTATATATTTTTGTGTGATTAGTATTGATATTGGGCTATATGTAGTGAATGCTTGTGAACAACATTGTGCAGCTAGGGCTGCCATCTAAAGTTTACTTTAAAAATCATACTGTTTTCATCTGATAATGTGTTTTGATTCTCCTAACATTTAGGTCATATAGAATATTAATATAATGCAAATTTTTACATGCAATTTACCGTTAAAAAGGATTTGTAGGGCTCTGTAACAACTAATTAAATACGTATTTACGAGATTTACCATTGTGAGTGTTGTATAATGGAGCTGTTAAGTTCTGTAAGTTCTGTAATTACTGTGAGTACTGTCTGACCGTATCATGTGTAGAAATTTCTTAAGTGTTTCAACTACATTCCACACTTTCTATATTCTAAAGAGATTTTACTTTACTTAGTTAGTTGTATATTTCTATTTCTACTTCTACTTCTTCAAATCTTATTATATACACATACTTAACCGCCTTCTCCTCGTTCATGGGTCCATTGCTTGCTTCCTGTTTGTCTTCCCTTTGGAAGTTCATTCGCAATGGTTTTACTAGGAACAACATTTAACTCTCTCAATGCTTTCAATTCCTGATTCATAGGAAGGATTCGACTGTAGTAAAGCTTAATTATTTTCTGTGATACTGATAACAGACACTTTTCAATCTTCTTATAAGTCTCTATCAACTTAAGATAATTCAAATATGCCATATACTCTTTGAAATGATCTGGACTTGGTACAATAGACTTCTGATCAATCTGTTTATCAGGAATAATATACTTTGAACTTAGATCAATCATATAAGTATCATTAAATCCTATAACATAACTCATCTGTTTCCCCCAATTACTACAATATAAATGTGGTTCATCATAGACAGCCTCACAGGGATCTAAATGAATCCAACGTTTGAGACTTTTCGAATAGTACTCGATCCATACATGATCTTCATAGTTCCAAACATACCTTAATCGATCTTCAAATTCATTAACACCCAATAATGACTGGAGTATTAACATAAAGCAATTAACCCATTCTCCACAACGACCTTCTCGAGTAGTTAATAAACTGATAGGATTATTCATACGAGAGAATTCAACACTATTATGACACACTAAACATCTATATTTCTCTATACGAGTAATTTCATGAGGATTCGGTATATTGGCCGGATACGTTGCCACACCAAGTGATTCGATCTTAGATTCATCAGAATTATGACATGATGGACAATGAGGTTTATTAACCCATTTAAAGAAATCATTCTTGAAGTAGTGGAGGAGCTCTTGAACTAATATATCTTCATACCCAATACCAGAGATCTCTTGCTCTTTCTCTCTCTTATCGACATTGGCATATATCTGGGGCAAATCAATAACTTCCAATACTTTATCTAAACCTTCCGTATTGTTTCTATACTTCAGAACTGTATTCATCATTACCGTTACATGTTGATACAAGGACAGGGTTTGGTTTCGAGGGGTATTCTTCAGATATTTCCGTATACTCAGAGTCACATATTCAATAGTGTACGACTCAATTAGCTTCTCAGCTACTTGCTGATACTGTTCCTTTAGCGACATCTCTCTATATATCCATGACTTGTAGAAGGTTACTACGTATAGTTAAATTGCTAAACGCTTAGTGATCAGAAAAGCTTGGGCTTATATGCAGACACAAGATTCCTATGCTATATCATTTACAATACTATACATGTATATACAGAATATTAAACATTAATATTAACTGGTATTTGACTCAGTGGATGGTTCTTCTTCACTGTCGTTAATGGGTTCATTCTTGGATTTCTTTCTTGGAGGTAAAACTTGGTTAAATGCCGTTTCCCAATCTCCATTATTTTCAAACCACTTACAACAGAGCTCATAAACATGTGAAGTTGCAAGAACATGACGACCATTGATTTCAATGTATTTATCAATGGGGAGCTTTCCAACTTTCAAGCCCAATTCTTTAGCCTTATTGACACATAAGAGTTTATGTCTGTTTTTATCAACTATACCTCCTATGATATATGTTTTGTGAGGTTCAAGACTTTCTATTACTTCATCCGTATCGGCTGTGAGATAGACATACTGTGACAAGTCTTCTTTATTAAGGAGATCAGAAAGTGTATCATTAGTATTGAAGGTGATATTCTTATTCCAGAGAGTGTATTGAGGTACACTCTTATCGAATCGTGATTTGAGATTCTTATTGAATGAAGACACCGTTATGGGCAATGAATGAGTGCAATGTCTCATGGCCGAGTAGCTTCGAGTGATTTGATTGGACATACTGACTATTTCTTTGGTATTCATTAAATCATCAAACTCACAATCAAATATGATCTTAACATCAGTAGGACTCTGAACTGTAGGTAAGGCTGTCTTCTTAGCAGTATGGTAATTCTTATTCTCATTATCGTTGTCATCATCATCATGCTGGTGCTTTCTCTTACGGGCTGCCTTTTTCTTCACTCGCTTCATCTGTCTATATTCCTCCTTAGTCTCTTCCCATTTCTTTTGCTTCTGTATTCTCTTCCATTCATTCTTGGACATACCATCGGGAAGAACCACAGATTGTTTGGCTTGTCTAAGTTGCTCGATTTCTTCAGCTGTGGGTGGGGGATTGCGCTTCTTAGCTGCCTTTGTCGCTACCTCTTGGTCCGACATTTTATATGGTTGTTTGTTATAGATAATCGATATATATCTGAAAAATTTTTGTTAGCTTGATTTTAATTTTTTTCTACGATGCGTAAATGGAGCTGCTCCAGAAAATAAACACTTCCAAGAAAATACCTAAACTTTGACTGCAAAAAAGTTAAGATTAAACTAGATAGAAAAAAATTATTAGAAAATTAAATTAACAATTATTTATTATCAAACTATACCAAATTAAAAACTTATATTATTTATGTATATTATTTTAGAAGTAAAGAAATCTAGTTCTTGTCGAAAGAATCAGATTCAGAAGTTTCCAAGTCTTCTTCGCTATCGTTTTCTCTTAAACCGAAATGACCAGTCCATCCTTTTTCAATCAAGTAGTTCTTGAATTTAACATCTTCTTCCATTAAATCATCATCATTTAAGTGAGGAATGAAGAAAAAGGTAACAAGGACACCAGCTAAACCACAAATAGCAGCAATGATGAAAGTCCATCTGTCACCCAAGTTAGTTTGAATTGGAGTGAAAGTTTTGGTACCAACAACAGCACCAACCTTACCAATAGCAGCAGAAAGACCATAGAATGTACCTCTGATTGGAGTGGCATATGATTCAGAAGAGACTAAACCCATACCATCACCTGGACCTAAGTTACCACATGACATCATTAAACCATAAAGAACAATGAATAAGGCAGTAATGTTCTTAATCTTATCGTAAGCTAAACCAACGATTAAACCAAAGATGATATAACCGGAGAAACCAAGCATAATAGTGTATTTTCTACCAATGATATCATTTAAGTAAGCACCAAGGAAGACACCTGGTAAAGCAATAACAGCAATTAACAAGTTCCATTCAGCAATTAAGGTCAAGTTAGAAGCTTCAGATTTTGGAATAACATTGGAAATAATACCAGCAGAGAAAATACCGTTAGGGAAAGTAACGAAATCGTAAAGGAACCAAGAAAGAGTGGTACCAATAATTCTCTTCCAGTAATATCTGATAGCTAAATGGTATGGGACAATTTGCTTAATAGCAGATTTCTTATATAAGACTGAGGTTGCCATCTTCATTCTGAAGTAGAAGACAGACAATGGCCAGAAACATCCAATAGCGAACATTGTTCTCCAAAGAGCATCATAATGAGTACCGGTGATTCTGTGAACAATTAAGAAGATGATTAATGCGAATGGACCACCAAATGATAATGGCAAGTTAGTACATAAAATGAAAGCACCACCTCTTCTTTTAACAGATTCATTAGCTGCTTCAGAAGCAGTGACAGATGATGATGGATATTCGGCACCAATACCAAAACCAGTAATACCTCTAGCAATAGTTAACATCCAGAATAAACCACTAACAGTAGCACCGTGAGAAGCAGCACAAAGAATGGAACCAAAGATAAGGAAACAGGTAGCAGTGACAATGGACCATTTTCTACCGATGTAATCAGCAGTAATACCAATGGCAACTTGACCAAAGATAGTACCGACCAAGGAAGCATTAGAAACTTGAGTTGGTAAACCACCGACATAGACTTTTGGATATTGTAAAGCAAAGACCTTGTTTAACATGGACATAACGTTATTTTGATAACCATCTGAGATTAAGGCAAACCCAGCACAAAGAATCATAAGGATATCCTTTAATTGAGCTCCACCAGCTAATCTTTGAGCTCTAACATCAGCATCATACTTAAATTTTTTACCATGAACAGGAGTTGGTTCATATTCAGCTTCAGTTTCAATAATTTGATCAACTTTGGCAGTAGCCAAGTGCTTGTCGTCTGTGATTTCAATAGTAGACATCGATGTAGGATTTGATCTTGCTTGATTGAATAAGAAAACTATACAATTAACATTTTAGATTTAAGATCAGAATCGGGGAAATTTCAAATCCTTTATATATGTAAAAATTGCCTATTGAAGGGAATATAGAATGAAAAAAAAAGCGAAACAAAAAAAAAAAATAATTAAAAAATAAAAGTTAAAAGAGACTCATATAAAAATCTCTATTATAAAGCGTTTTGAAATAAAGGCATGGTAAACGATGCATAAGATCACCAGTATTGTTATGTGTAATCAGGGAGGCTTGCATTTGCTACGTATCAAACTAAGTGGAAAGGTTGTCGAGCAACTCTACTATTAAGATAATTAATAAATTCTTTACGCATCAACGCGCTTGTTCAAGGCTTCTCCTCTTTTCTGAAAAAGCGTATCATCATTATTACTTTAAATAGGATTAGATATTGAAATAAAGTAGGATTAATTGAATCCAATTGCTTAAAATGGCTTGGAATGTAAAAGATATATTTTACGAGAACTTTTCAATAGCAGAGAACAAACGTTGGTATGGTTTGATATTATCAGAAATATTATTATTTTTTGTTTGATTTAATTTAATTTAGCTAGTACGTTACTGCTATGTGGTGTAGCTAATTGCCTTAAGACTTTTCAATTAATAATAAAACTATTATTAAACCTAAACTAGTTCGGAAAGACAATACCGTTAATGATCCAAAATTTATGATCGCCTAGTTTCGGACCGTTATACTAGCCAGATGGCTCGAGTTAATTACATACAGTTATGCATACGACGACAAGTGGGTTGCATACTAGGAATGAAAAATATAAGAAAAAACGTTTTGAAATGTATAGTTAACTATTTTGCAATCCCTTAAAATCAAACAAATTGACTTGAAACCACACGTTGTTGATCTCCTTATAATAAATTATATTGTACTGTTAAAATAAAACAATCCCTATCGTGCCTCCTGCCTGCATATATTCCCAATAGCTGCTAAAATTATTTTATGTGATATACAAAAAATATGTCTAAGTTTCTTTTTTTATTCTAGTTCAATGCCTTTTTTTCTCAGGTTGTTGGTTGCGTTTTTTCTTTTCCACGTGGGGTTGAGTTTACACTATTAAATCATCCATACTATACTTATCATAAGCTGATTGCAAAGGACTTATGTTAGGTATAGAACGGATTTATGGAGGGAGGGGGAAGTTTAGGTAAGAAGGAGAATTTAAATTTATCCTAAATAGTAAGAGGGATGAAATGTGGTCTAAGATAAGCTCAAACCGTATTATACTTTATTTACTTGTCTTTTTATTGTTTAACAGCACGATACTATAATCAACCATGTCAATGAATCTTTCAAAGGTCTTGTCGGTAACATGACTTCAAAATGGAACATCTGAACAAATTTCTTGAACCCACCTGGAGTCAAGGATGAGAAACCCATCCGCTCACATCGTTGCCTAATTAGGCAATTATTTGCTATGTTCGAACGGCTCTCAATATGCTTTTTTTTATTTTTTATTTTTTATTTTTAATTTATTTTCTACTAATTTTTTATTTTCTTTGCTCTTTCTCCATTTACCTTTTGCTTTTTCCTCTTTCATAACTGAGAATTACCCATGATTCTCTACACCCCATAGAAGTATTGAACAAATTAATTTAAACTACTTTCAGAGTCATAGTTAAAATAGTTAAAAGTATTACTATAATCATTGCTAGTTTGTGTAGATCATATTCCAACTACTTGCCACGAGTTCGCTAAATTTTCCTTCTATTAGACCAAAGTAATTAACATGCGCAAAATTGCCCCTTAATACGTACAGACCGACAGCCCTCACTTTTTTCTGTTTAAATTTTTGATAATGAGCATGATATCAATTGACTTTATTAGAAGGTAATATATCCATATATGGGTATAACTGAAGAATAAAATAATTATACAAATAATAATATTATTAGGAAGCACGCTTAATATAAAAGCCTACTATCTGGAAATAATAACAGAAAACGGAAGAAAAACAGAAAATTGTCGTGGCTGATTGAATAAAGTTCGTGAATAGAAGAATCGTGACAGGATCATTCGTTAATTGTACTTCATCTAACATGACCCGAAACATTACACTAACATTCTCCGTAAATTAAAATAAGGTTATCTATTTATTTACATTTAGTTGCTTTTAATTATACTCCTCAAAGTTTATCGCAAAATCTCCATGTTAGAAGATGCAATTGTCCATTACAAGCAGATCGGGGAGATTCCCGGTCTGCTTAGAGAACGCAATAGATTTTAAAAATAATGAAATGTAAGAAACATTGTTATGGTATTGTTATAGTTGAGCAGCATAACAACTGGTGAAAATCGCGTGTGAAGACTCAGGCGGGTACGCTAGACCAATAAATAATAATTGCTAACAGTACATTCGAACAATGACTTGACCAGATGAAGAACAAACGTTGAGTACGTTAAATACTTATTCGTGCCGGGAATAAGTTTTTCAGTCGGGGAATGCATGTCGGGATTTCGGACCATAATCCATGAAAAAATAATGACATATAATAAATGCGATGTGAAAGCAAGAGCAATGAGTCAAAAGGAACCAAATAAGCATATATACTACACCCCCCATGTGCTCAGTAACGAATTATTTGAAAATAAGCCATAGAGTTACAAGTCCGTTGTAGCTAAGGTATATGGATAGGTTACATACTTTGGATACGGCTGTATTAGTGCCAAGAGAAAGAAAATAGACGAGTCATAGTCAGGGGACATGTCAGATAGAGATAGTCACAGCGAGCTGAAATAAAAGTATTGTAAGTACGCTACCATAGTAGTGTAATTTGAAATTAATAACATGGTATGGTACAGAATGGTATAGTATAGCCAAATATAGTAGAATAAGCATAGTACAGTAAAGCAGAATAAGCATAGTACAGTATAGTAGAATAAACATTAATTATAGATGTCGTAGATACAAAAGGTAATGTTGTGGAATAAGCCTAGCATAGTATGTCGTAGTATGTCGTAGAATTTCAAAGTATGTCGTAGTGTGGAGGAGGCGTGTGCAGGACAGTCTCATTGGGCATCTCCAGCACTGACGACACAGGCAACCCCAACAGGCAACAGTAAGCGTAACCAGTAGACTCACACTACTACAACTACAACCATTACTTGAATAACAACACACTAGCACCATCACTGCCACTACTTAACTACTAGTAATTTAAGAACTTATACTTATTAAAGCAATTACTGTATCAGGAAGTATCCCCCGGATCACGCGCATGCCCACACGTGAGCTCCCCTTACTCCGCCATAGTTACCATAGACCCTTATTACTAATTTACACTGCCATCTCCCCCACTACCACCACAACAGTTGCAGATCACTACTAGGTTGTTGAAAGTGACTGCATACGTTGTACTTGTCACTATATTGTGGTCCTGAATATACTAATAAATATCACCAATAAATACTACTAATAAATATTACGTCCATTAAATACTATTGCTACTACTACCACTACATATCACTAATTACACTAAATATTACTACTATCAGCACCACAAAATTTTACTATCACTATAGCAGTGCATACCACTAGACCACCGTACCATGCTCCTAATCAACCGAAGTAATCCCAGCATGAATAGTACTTCAGATACCACAGAAATCGTTTCGGCCGAGCTTCCGGCCGAGTCTACTACATCCAATGAAGAAACAACCACCAGAAAGACTAAATTGTTTGGAACTCTCTTCAAAAAGCTACCGATAATCTCCCCCAGTACCTCAGTAAACAGTACGACTACCACCACCAATAATCCTACGACTACTCCGACTTTAAAGGCTGCTCCGACTCTAAAGGCTGCTCCGACTCTAAAGGCTGCTCCGGCCAATATCATATCGGACTTGAACGACATCACCATAATAACGAGCGACAATGACAATGACAACGATAATGATAATGATAATGACGATTACAATGATAATGATAATGATAATGAGCCCGACGAAGAAGAAGAAGAAGTAGTAGAAGAAGAAGAAATCACGTTGCAATCCCCCATCGCTGTACCCCCAGCAGCAGTAACAGATACCATGCATAGATTATCGGTAGCCACCATCTCTCCTCAGAATTACTCCCATATGAATAGTGATCAAGAGAGATATACGTCATTCACAGCAGAGTGTATATCACTCCAGAATTCGGAGATGACATCGCATTTTGAATCAGAAAGTTACATTGATCAGACTTCCAGTATGACCAAGAACGATCTGATGATAGTTAGTCATGATACAGAAGTTCAATCACAACCAGTTCCATCTGCAGTATCAACACAACCACAACCACAATCACAACCATTAGCACCACTTCCACCACCAAAGAGAAATCTCCGGAACTTATTGCGTATAGCATCCTTCTCTAATCCGGTAAACGTCCACAGTAACAACCCTCACAACAGCAATAGCACTACCACTACCACTAACCCTACTGATCCACTATATTCGCATCCCAATTCGACTCACCACTCACCGGAAATACCACTCACTTCCGACCCCTCGGTGCCCAACAATTTAGTATCAGACAATCAATTTGCCTTTGATGAAACGCAGGACTTGACGGCATACCTCTCTGATCTGGAGTCGGATCTCAATTTCGATCCTAAGAATGAAGAGAATGAATTCGAATATAAAGTCGGAGGTTATCATCCTGTTTCAAAAGGTGAGACATACTATTCGAAGACATTCCCCAATCGGGAATATATCATACTCCGGAAATTAGGTTGGGGACATTTCTCAACGGTATGGCTAGCCAAGTCTCGGTATAATCCTAATTTGAATGTTATGGACTATGAGTCATCACCCATTAATACCGAAGAAGAAAACACAGCAGAATTCTATGTAGCCATTAAGTTTGTCAAATCCAATAAGAACTACTTGGAAGCGGCAGAAGATGAGATTAGAATCCTTAAAGCATTAAGTGATCCAATTCATTACAGTCGTCTAACCACAGCCAAACAATACTGGCATGATCATGATCCTCAACTTCATCCGGGCTATAAACATATCATGAAGCTATTAGATAACTTTCAGATTATAGGACCCAATGGGAATCATGTGTGTATGGTGTTTGAGATATTGGGAGAGAATGTATTGAACTTGATCTACAAGTATAAGCAGTTGTATCTGAGTGTGGGGAAGAGCAAGGCTGTAGAAGCAGCAACAGTCGCTGAACCAACAGCTGCACAACCACCACCACCACCACCAACTACAGCCACTGCTGCTGCTACTACTACTACAGCAGCAGTACCACCACCAACTAATGCAACTCCTCTAACAACCACCCCCAATATGAAGTTCGGCAAGTGGGACTCCAAATACTTTAAGAAAAATACAAAGTCCATGTTAAGCTTGGGCCTCACCAAGAAACCCACCTCCAAACACAGAAGCTCCATCTCCCCTCATTCCAACTCCATCACCATCACTCCCAGTATCTCTCTAGACCAACACCATCAACCACCAGGGGTCTCCTCATCAGCTGTATCCATCAGCTCCGAAACTGAACCAGAAGAACACCATCATCACAACCACCACAACCATCAAAACAGTCACAACAATAATAACAGCTTGGAATCTCAATTAAACTCTTCATCTCTCCTCAAATTACTTGCCAACTCTCAGTACTCTGGTGGAATCCCTCTCAATTTAGTCCGTCAGATTGTTAGACAATTACTATTGGCTCTTGACTATATGCATCGATGTGGAGTTATCCATACGGACTTGAAGCCTGAAAATATCTTGATAGAAGTAAAGGATATCAATCGACTAATTAAAGTGATTGAATTAGAGAAAGTAGCCAAATTGGGTATAATCCCCCCCGTACTGCTGCCCCTCCCTCATCTGGGGAAACCTCCTGGACTTTTATCACTCTTTGGTAGGAAAAGTTCATCTACTTCTATTAAGAAGAGACAACCAACATCTACTTCATTATCGAATTCTCGAAATCATTCAGTAGCTTCAACTAATTCTGTAAGTTCTTTCCATTATAAGAAGTCTAAGAATTCGATTTCAGCTCATTCAGTAACTCCTATAAGAAGTTCTAAACCATTAAGTTCATCTATGAATCAAGAGATCTTCTTTAAAGAGGTGAGTTATAATGAAGATGATAAAGAAAAGGATAAAGTAAAGGAAAAGGATAAGGATAAGGATAAACATTCAGTACTCAGTCAGAAGGCAGCAGTAGGAACAGGAACCATATCTCTTGCCTCTATGAAAGAAGAAGATGACGAAGAAGAGCCAGTTGATAGTAAAAGACATCCAGGACCAGATATATCGATAAAGATTGCTGATTTAGGTAATGCTACATTCACTAATTTCCATTTCACCAATCAGATTCAAACCAGACAATATAGATCACCAGAAATCCTTTTGAAATATAAATCTTGGGGTTCATCTACTGATCTTTGGTCAGTTGGATGTATAATATTTGAATTAATTACAGGTGATTACCTCTTTGATCCTCATGATGGACAATATTTTGAAAAGGATGAAGATCATTTAGCTCAAATCATTGAATTATTAGGACATTTCCCTCTGGATGAATACCTTTTGGATAGTAAATTAACTTCGAAATTCTTTAAACTTAATGCATTAAATAATGAGATTGTATTTAAGAATATCTTTAATTTAAAGTATTGGGGTTTAAGAGATGTACTTATAGAAAAGTATAAATTTCATCCTCAAGATATTCAAGTTAAGTTGATTAGTGATTTAATCTTAAAATGTCTTCGATTCAATCCTCATGACCGATTTGATGCTGGGTCATTACTTGAGCATCCTTGGCTTGATGAGGAGTTGAATTTTGATGAGATTGATATTGATGATGAGAGGATAGATGAGAGAATGAGGAGGATGAGGAATAATAGTAGTGAATTGCCAGGGTATACGAGAGTGTCTGAGAGATGAGGGCTTTGAAGTGCTGTATATACTAGATATGATATATATATACTCTATACTATACATAGATACTATATAAAATAAATACATAATATAGATACTATACAAGAGATGATGTCAACTATGTGTAACCAATGGAATGTACTTAGTCTATAGTAATCCTCTAATACAAAACATATGACAGTATACTTCTATTAAGTACATTACACACTATACACTTAGTACTCACACTACTCTTCGTCAGAGGTGAGATCGAGATTAGAGTCGTAGTCAGAGTCAAGCTGACGATCCCGAGTGAGCTGAGAGGCTGACACATGAATTGGGTGTGACTCAGCATCTGAGTCAGACTCAGACTCAGACCCAGACTCTTCCTCTTCCTCTTCCTCTTCTGGTACATGTTCCTTCTCAGTCTCCTTCTCCTTCTCAGTCTCCTTCTCCTCCTCTTCCTTCTCTGCCTCTTCTTTCTCTGCCTCTTCTATATGCACTTCCTCTTCTACAGGCTCTTTTATCTGTTCCTCGTCTATATCTTCACTCCTCCCCTGCGCCCTCATCTTCACCTGCACACTTTCTTCCTCCTCCTCATAACTCAACTGCACCACTCGTTTCCTCTTCTTCTCACTCCCACTCTCCTTCGCCTTCTCCTTTGGTTCTACTTTTCTCTCCAATTCAAAGTATCCCTCCACCACCTCTATTCTCTCAATCACCACCGGATATAATGGCTCACCATTTTCATCAACTACGTCATCATCTCGAATTTTTCGTATCGTATAGACAGAATCTCCTGTAATCTTCCCAAAGATATTATACCTTCGAGTAAAGCTCGGTATTATCTCGGTTGTAATCATAAACGATTCCAATGATTGATGGTTCTTTACCTCGGAATCTTCCTTAATGGGACACAACATAAACTTACTATTACTCCGAATCCTTGAATGGAACTCATCTTCAAGATCGTATGTACTCTCTGATTCTTTATCAATGCTTCCAGCCACTATGACATTATTATTATAGGTAATATTAAACTTCCGACCATCATACTTACCATCCACACAATTCTGTAAGAATAGCTGCGATGTGGTTGGAATTTCACGTGCCCAGATATCTATATCTATAGGACCTTTACTAGTCACTATACGCACCTTAGCGGTAGTTTCTGGTTCTAAGGAGGTCATTAATGGATCTATCAATAATAATTAACTAGTGGATTATTTCACAAGTTCCGATGCTCTTCTTGTTCAAATTCCGACTTTCCGGAACGTGTGTGCTCGTGATGTTTCCGTTCTTTCCTGCACACACCACCAGACCAATCAACTAATAACGAATAAGAATTTTCGACCATCCATCAGTACACTTAACTATTGTATAATAATCACACTCAGCATGTTAGCCAGAACCACAAATGGAGTTAGAGCTTTAAGACTCGTTAGATACAACTCCGTGGTAGTCCCCAGACCAAAAACCACATCTACAGGATTAACCAAAGAGGAATTAAAAGACAATGAAGTAGTAGTTAATCAAGCTCCTAATAGAAGTACTACTTGGTCAGATAGTCAAGAATCCAGAATAAATATTGTTAGTAAACATCCGGTTAGATTTGTTCAAAGAGAATTAGATCAACAACCAAGAGCTTATGCTGCTATAGATTTAATTGCTAAAGAACCTATTAGATATTTAAGTCATGAAGAAGGTAATATAGCTGTATGTGATGGTAATAAAGGTAGCACATTACAGGGACATCCTAAAGTATTCATTAATTTAGATCCTGCACGAGCTCATTCGTGTGGATATTGTGGATTAAGATATGCCAAGGAGGAGTTTAAGGATATTATTGAAGCTCAAGAATAAATGCATTGTATACATAGATAGTATACTAATAAATAGTCAATTGTAAATTACTGTGAAATTACTGTAGATATGAAGGCAGTTACTGAATAGTCTACATACTGTGTTACTAGAAATTGTAGATACTCATCATTCTAGAAACTGTAGATATAGTACTAGGCATACAATAGATACAGAGTAGATGTATACAAACAATACAGATATAGTCTTACGACTCATACTACTCACTAGTAATACTACCTACTAGTAATACCACCTACTAGTCTTACTACTCACTTGTCTCACTACTCACTAGTCTTAGTAGTTATACTAGTCATACTTCATCTGTTCAGTACTATACTACCAGAGTCATCTGACATCATGACTCTCATGACTCTCATGACTCTCCTGACTCTGATCTCCGTTCTCCCGCACTATCGGGTCTATCACCGACGTCACTTATCAATTACCGAACTACTGCTTGGCACTATAATGTAATAAGCACTATATATACGATCACTATTCCTTATTCGGACTCATACCACTCCAATCAATAAATCATCTATCCAAATACAATTGTACGTAATTTTGTTGTACAACCACTAAAGAATAATTTTTCACATACCCCGGAAAACTTTTCTCAATTCCATCACTATCGTTATCAATATCACTATAAAATAACCATATATGTCGGTTAACACTACTATATCGGACGGGCCTATCTCCATTACTGTATCGGATACAGACGGTGATATTACCACAGACACTCGTACTAATTTCTGGAAAGATATCACTATATCAGATATAGTCAATGGGATAGCTTATGGATTATGGTATTCATTAAGTCATATCTATCATTCATATATTCTTATATTAATTGGAGTACTAGTACTTTTTGTAATATTATATGGTATTAACCAATTACTCACTAATGTAATCCACTTTAAATTCCCAGCTTCAGTATTAATGATGTTGGTAAATCTTATACTATTGGTAGTATTAAATTCATTATCTACTTTACCCAATAAAAATGATAATGAACATATTAAACGGATAAGTTATGGAAGTTCTTGGTTATTAACTCAATACTTAACATTAACAAAACCCTGTATGAACTTTTCATTAAAATGGATCAATGTATATTTTATCCCAAGTTTTGTAACTTTACCATTAAGTCAACCTATAACTTTTGTTGAATGTATGAAAATTGCTGGAGTATTTGTTATAGGTTTCTTAGCATTATTCTTCTTTGATGTATATTTTGTATGGGGATTAAGAATTATCTTAGATCACTTTGGCTGGCATAAAGATGATACTAAGATGCATCTTGCAACTAGTGGAGAAACTGATTTTGATGATCAAGAAGCTTCTATAGGATCAGGTGATGAAGATAATGAAATTATAGAATTACAAACATTTAATACCAATTCTCAAAGTCTTTTATCTCATATGAGAGATGACATAACCACCATAGATATACAAAGTTTAAGATCTACTGGTATAAATAGAGATACTTCTGATTCAACTACTAATTCAAAACCAAGAACTTTATCTATTCATGAAAATCCCTTTGTAACTGAAGGAGCAGATATTATTCCTGAACCTCAACCAGCTCATCAGAAGTTACCTCATGATGGATCTACATCAACTTTCCATAAACCAACTCCATCACAACTTTCATTACCATCATTAGCTCAATCAGCAACAGAAGAAGATATTGTTAATGAACCATTAGAGAGTGAATCGGATAAAGAATCAACACTTGCTGCCCATTTAAGTAAGAAATCTCAAATCATAGTTCTATTCATTACTGAATATTTTGATTGGTTATTCTATGGATTAATGTTTATTTGTTCATTACCATTCTATTTCATTCCTTCTATACATTTATTTTTACCTTATCATTTAAGTATTACTGTATTGTCATTCTATATTGCCTTATCAATTCCTCAAAAATGGCCATCAACTAGAAGATTTGCTCACCCAATTTTAATTCTGACTTTTCTCATTTTATTATTTTGCTTTATTGGTTCATTAATTTATCATCAAGGCAAACTTCAAGGATTTCTATTAGATTTAGAATATTATAGAACAGGAAGAACTTATTTAAATTTATTCAGTTCTGAATTAATGTATAACAATGGACAAACAGATTTAATGCCTCCTCATGATGAGACATTATTATATAAATGGCCAGGATGTGGAGATGTTTTAGCTTCATTATTAGATATATCGATTGTATCTTTAAGTTTACCAATGTTTACTCATCGTCGAGATTTTATTAAGAATTTCTGGGTATTAATGACTCCTTGTATGGCATCAATGTCATTATCATTCTTTGTATATCCTATAGTATGTCATAGGATTGGAATTGAACCTACTAGATCAATTGGATTTATTGGTAGATCTATTACATTAGCTCTTGGTCAACCTCTTATGTTAGCTCTTGGAGGTTCTGTATCACTTATGGCAGTTTGTACTATATTAAGTGGGATTTGTGGAGTATTAGTTGGAGATTATCTTTTTAAATTAACTAGAGTTGCTAAGAATGATTACGTAACTAGAGGGGTTACTTTAGGAATTAATTGTGGAGCCATTGCTACTGCTCATCTTCTTACTGTTGATCCAAGAGCTGCATCTATGAGTTCATTAAGTTTTAGTGTGTTTGGTACAGTAATGGTTATCTTATCATCTATTGATGCAGTAGTCAATGTTATACGATCTATGGTCGGGTTGTAGTTGAGTGAAGAGTGGTTTAGAATATATACTATTTATTAATTATAGAATTAGATTGAACAGGTGTATTGTAGAAATAGACTGCTTAATATAATTTGTGTGAGTATAATGTTAGCTCTGTACTGCTAAATATACTACAGCAATACTTTCTTAATATACCATACTTAATATGCCATACTTCTCTTCTAACAATACGCTTCTGTTAATATCATATTTTATTCACTGTAACAATACTCTTACAAAAATACCAACACCACTCCTAATAATAGTACTTTACACTACTCAGTCATACCATACTACTACTCCTAAATATTCTACAATACCATAATATTATATCACCATTACACTACTCTTCTACCGGTGTACTCTTCTACTTGTACCCGCTGTACTGTTCTTCTTCTCCCCTACACTACCTTTTTGCAACCGACGCGTCCATAATTTTTCACTTCCACTGCCTCTATACTATAACCCCACACTATTACTACTACATCCTCGTCCTTCTACACAATGTTGGTGGATGCTTCGACTAAAGTCATTCTCTTACCAGCAGCACAGAATGTCTCTAAATCCTATAAACTTATTCGGATGCCCATACCGAAAGATCTTACTCAATACAAACCGTATCTCGTTGATGAGCAACGCATCTACGAATTGAGTCAAGTCAAAGGAGTCAACCCTTATGGAGAGAAGGCGGTATTACTAAAGAATGGGAATGCAGTCAAGTCATATATATTTGAGTCACCAAAAGAAGATGGTGCTGAAGCTGGAACTGGTGCTGTTTTACAGTCCAGTTCCCTTACGGTATCCAACACCTTCAACTTTGTCTATTTGGTATTGAGTATAGTCCTTAATCATGAAGATACCTTCACCAAAAACTATATAACTGTGCATGATTTCATTGACAAATTGTCTCTGATATTCCCTCAGAATGAATGGATCGATACGGTTCCTGTAAAGGTATATACCGATGCATTACTGTTGATTAGTGATGAGATAGAAGAGAATGATGAATTCTTCTATAAGTTCAACAAGACTCGATCGTTGGAATGGATTAAAGTGAAAGTTGAAGCACTCAACCAGTACATACATTCACAAAGTGGCGATTACACTATATACAGCCATATAAAATCAAAGTTATACGATCATAATGGGGTCTTACCCAAACAAGAAATCATTGATTTACTAAGCTTACACTATTCCATTGACTTTATTATAGATTCCTACTTAACCACCCAATTCAAACATGACTATATTAAACACTTTAACTATGACTTCCAACCTTTGGATACATACTTGGCCAACTTATCCACCACCAAAAAGAAATTACAAGCCATAGAAGATAACATGAACGCTATAGTGCAATCTACGGCCAACGCCACTAGTGGCAAGAAACTGGCAAAGGGAGGTGCCAAGCCTGTCAAGAAAAAGGAAATCAAGAAAGTCGCCATAGGCAAGGGAGCACTAGATGGGTTCTTTAAGAGAGCAGCCAAGTGAATGAATGAATTATAAATATATATAAATATATATATTGATAGATAAAATATGTACATTTGTTCTTAGATATAACGCCTATTTTTTAATTTTATTAGCAGTAGATGATGTTGATTCTACAGTACTATTTAAGCCCTTGTATAAGGATAATCCAGAAGCCATTAAACCTCCAAGATCACCCAAATTAGCTGGAAGTACTACAGTATTAGTTTCCTTAGCTAATTTACCAAATTCTTTAATATATTCTTGAGCTACTTGTAAGCTAACTGCTTGTTCACCACCAGGAGTATCTCTTATAGCTTGAGCAATATTCTTAATGGCTTGAGCAGTAGCTTCTGATTTCAAAAGAATTGATTGAGCTTCACCATTGGCTCTATTAATTTGTTCTTGTTGATTAGCTTCGGATGATAAAATTATACTTTGCTTTTCACCTTCACTAATATTAATCTTTGATTGTCTTGTACCTTCAGATTCTAAAATTTCGGCTCTTTTAGATCTTTCTGCTGATACTTGTCTATGCATTGCATCTAATACATTTTGAGGTGGATGAATATCTCTTATTTCATATCTAAGACATTCTACACCCCAATTATCTCTAGCAGCTTCATTTATAACTTGATTAATATTAATATTAAGTGCTTGTCTTTCCTTTAATACAGCATCTAATGTCATAGATCCAATTTCTGATCTCATAGTTGTTTGAGCTAATTGACTAATAGCAAATTTAAAATCTTCAACTCCATAACTTGCTTTATAAGGATCAATAACTTTAATATATAAAATACCATCTAATTCTAATGATACATTATCACTAGTTATAGCATTTTGACTAGGGATTTCAATAGCTGATTCTTTAAGTGATTGAACATAAGCAACTTTATCAAGAAATGGAATAAGAAATGTTAAACCAGGAGGTAAAATACGATGAAATTTCCCCATTCTTTCTACAATCCAAGCAGTTTGTTGAGGTACAAATCTTACTATGGTATTAGCAGGAAGTTGTTCTCTTTGAAAGAAATTTAATGAAGGAGGAATATAATTATTAAGTCCATTGCCATTACCTGGTCCACCAGTAAAATATCTATTACTACTAATATTAACTCCAAATCTTCTTAATCCGTAGCTTAAAATAGCCGGAGAAAGTCTTGTGACTGGTACACTTACAGCCGATACTGTTAGTGATCTACTCAACATATTTTACTATGTATATTTCTGATGTTTCAATACAAGTCAGTGGCCAAAGGGTAGAGGATTTTCAATTTCCCCTTTGGGCATGTCCATGGAAAATGAGTGGTAGGTTGGGTGCGGCTCGGACTTCGTCTCGATTGGGAAACTGTCTCTGACTCTGTGTGCAGGAGAAAAGCCTACTGAAAAATTCATAATGAGAGAGCAGAGATATCTGACTCGAGAGAAGAGAAGACTAAACTATAACATATAGATACATAAGAAAGTGGTAGTGGCAGTGGTACAAGATGTCCAGAAGCGTAGACGTATCGACCAATGAGAGGGCGTACTTTATCGAAGGGTTAAAGGCCGGAATCCGGTTAAATGGACGTCGATTTGATGAGATTCGTTACCCCCATAATATTCATCTTAGTAAAGAAGAATATGGATATGTTGAATTAGAATGGGGAAAAAATAAAATAAGTGTACGAGTTAGTAGTTATATACGGAAACCATTTGAAGATCGACCATTTGAAGGAATATTTAATATCAATTGTGAAATTAATTCTATGGCAAGTGCTAAATTTGAGAATGGTAAAAATTCTGATGAGGAAGTATTAATTAGTAGAATTATTGAAAAATCTATAAGAAGATCTAATTCACTTGATTTAGAAAGTCTTTGTATTATAGCAGGTGAAAAAGTTTGGAATATTACTGTTGATTTAAATTTTTTAAATTATGATGGGAATTTTATTGATATTGGATGTTTTGGAGTTATGTTAGCATTACAACATTTTAAAAAACCAGATATAAGTATAATTAATGGAGGTGAAGATATTATAGTTCATGATATTAATGAACGAGAACCTCAACCTTTAAGTATTTTACATGTACCTGTATGTCTTACTTATTGTTTTTATAATATAACAAATCAACAAGAAGTAAACATTAAGGGAGAATCAACTTCTGATGATATTTATTTATTAGATTGTGATTATAAAGAAGATCTATTAAAAAGTGGTAGTATCATTATAACTTTAAATAAGAATCGAGAAATTATCCAATTAAGTAAAAATGGTGGTATACCGATAGATGCAAGTTTATTAGTAGATTTAGCTCTTGGATCAATTAAAGTAGTGGATGAATTAACTGATTTAATGAAAAAATTAATTAAAGACCATGAACAGCAAAGGTTTGACGAATTAAACTTGAAATTATTACAAGTAGGAGCTGACCGTTAGCTTTATACTAGTGTATATTACGTTATAAACAAAAATTAAAAAAATGTTAATAAAAAGTAAAGATTAAATAATGTAGATGTAAAGGGGGATGAAAGAGTGCAAAGTTAATTAAAAAGTTCATGAAGTATCTATACTAGATTATTAATGTTATTATCATACAAGACTATCGTTATTTTTGGAGATATAATTTTCTCCATCATCATTAGGAGTGGTGGTTGTGGTTGTGGTAGTGGAAGTGGTATTATTGTTATTATTATTATTATTAGTAGTGACATTATGGTGGGTGGGGGAACTTGGTGCATCATCGGCTAAACCAAAACCTAAACCTTTAGGAGAATTCAAATTCGAAGTTGGATTAGAAGTCGAAGACGTTGACGATGAGTGCGAATGCGAATGATGATCATCTATAGTGATCACTTCAGCATCATCATTCAATTGGTCCAAGTAATCCAAATTGACAGGCAAGTTGGAATCCTTTCTTGATCTTCTCTTAACGAAATTTTGTTGTTTTCTAGTGAAAAAGGAAAAGATTGAAAGGACAGGTCTATCACTGTTTCTATTAGAATTTGGGTGATTATGTTTATCTGATGTATGATTAAATTTAATTTCAGATGAGGTAGGAACTTCAGTATATTCACCTTTATCAGTTGAAGAAGTTCCTTGACCAGATGAAAGGAATGCTTGAGGAATGGCTGATTTAATTAATCTAAGGAATGCATTAATGATAGATCCAATAGTAATACCAATCTTATACATTAATTTCTTAAAATTATTTGAAATTACCCATGAATAAAATAAATATTCAAGATAAAAGATTAAACCAGCAATAAGAAATCCACAAAATACAGCTAAACCAATATGATTAGCCATGCCTTTAATGAATTTAGCATCATCTAAATGCCATGAAGAACCAGGAGCAATAGCAAAGAATGAATAACTTTTAGTTTTATAATCTTCTGGTAAAAGAATTCGAACTTTACCTGCTTCAGGTACACCCCATCTTTTATATTGTTTCCACATAACTGAAAGAAATAATGGACCAGTTGAAAACATAATGGTTATATAAGGTACTAACCAATTACGTTGATAATTTTGTAAAGAATCCAAGACTTTTTTAAAGAATTCATGATGAGGTACAGCACCCATAACATCATTAGAAATTCCGGTAGGTATTGTTTTACGAACAAAAGCAGGAACAGTTAATAAAGGATCAAGTCTTCTTTCACATCCATCATCTAAATCAATATATACTCCACCATAATGAACTAAAGCAAAATATCTTATAGCATCAGCTCTTTGAATAGGATAAGGATAACGATCCCAAGTCTTTAAAAACCAAGGATATTCTTCAGAGATGAAGTCGCGTGCCATTTCATCTGTCCAAAGAATATATTGATAATCAGGATGTAAATCTACGCAAGCTTGTTGACCTGCTTTCCAAACTTCAGGGATTTCAGTTGTTTTATAAGTTTGATGAATAATTTTAGGAATTATTAGCTTTTTATTTAATGTACCATCAGGAGGATTTAATTCAACATCTAATAAGGCATCACTAAATGAATCATCATGTAATAAGGTAATTAAATCAAAAGTTAAATATACCAAGTATAGTATGAATAGAACATGAGCTCCAATGATATATTTTAATTCTTTCCTCATATTGTTAATAATTAATATTTAATTATAAAAGTGAAAGTAAATGCAATGTCTATAATGTGAAGTCCATAAAGTGGACGAATGCGATTAACGAATGAGTTTGAACAAAATGTAAGTGGGGAGTTGATGGGAGAGTGGGTTAGTTAGTGAATGATAAGTGAGCCAAATATATGTTACTTATGATAGTTCTGGTATTTCTGATATTTCTGGTAGTGATCACAACAGTTAACAGACTATGGTTGGAGAGTCACCGCAATGAAATATAAATAAAAATAAATAAATAAAATTTTAGTAACTAATGCTAGGTAGTGAGGTGAGCAAAGCTGGACTGGGCTAGGCTTGGCAGGGATAAATTCCACTATTATACAGTAGATAAGATAGATTTATAATAAGTAGTAAAGAAATGGAAATTGAAATAAAAATCAGGTGTACTAATACAATTAATAGTTAGTGGAATGTATTCTTTGTCGAGATGGTATATTTATTGTTACCTTTTTTCGCAAGTCAATATAGGGGTCGCTTTTTCAGATACAGGGTTTTCAGATGAGTGAGACTTAAGACTGTAGTGTAAAGTAGAAAGAATAGTGAGGATTCTTGAAGTTAATTACGATTAGTGAGTAATGAGTAGAGTAGAGTAGATTATATTACATATTGAAATGTTTATTAGGTCATACAATACAATATATTATATATATAGTAGTATTAGGGATAGTATTATTACTGATAATCAGTATAGCCCATTCTTAACATTGCTGGGCAATGCCCCATCATCTTCTGTCATAAAGATCTAAAATTTCTTTTCCTTTACAGGTTAGCCTGGAATTTTACAGCTTCTCCTATTCGCGCCGAATAAAACTTGTTCTCTATACAGGACAGATCGTATCAGAGAAAATTATTAAATCCATTAAATCCGTCTCGTCTGTCAGCATACAGTACAATATATGTCAATCACAAAGATGTCAAAGACGACAAAGACCGGTACAACGTATTTGTGTATATGTTTATTTGTTTATTTGTTTATGTTATGATATAGTTGAAGCGCTCTGTTATACTATTGCGATTGCGGCATATATATTATATATACGTATATTGTTGTACTTTATTTTATCACTGCTATTGGTAAACTGAACTGTGCATCACTAGAATGAGGCTTTTGACTAGGACTATGTACTTAGTGTGTCGATAAGACGACCTTCGCTAATATTGACCTTGACTTTGTCAATATCGATTACATCCGTGAGTGCTTTGATATCAATCGCGTATGAACTACGTCATAGTTACAATTTCTCTATGAATAGGTATTATTATTCTATTCCATGTAGTTTCTCCATATACTATTTAGTAGACAAAATTTTGCTCTAGTCTATGTATTCCACTAGACACCAATGCAAAATATAGACAGATGATTCCGTATTGAAGTTTAGTATTGGTTATAGCTATTGGAGTTCATTTTTGGTTGCATGCAGGCTGTTCTATACTACAGTACAAAGAAAATTAAATGTGATTCTTTTATTAAGCTATGAACGAGAAGAGCACGATTAATTCATTATAGCAAGAACATATATAAAAGAACCAAAAAAACAATATAATAAGATAAATTTAAATTCTGAAGTATGCAAGAAAAAGGGCAAAAGATACAAAAACTGGATCACTAATCCAACAGAAGCAACTTATTCGTTCGCTTACTCACTCTCTTAGGTTTTAATCTTGAATAGTGTCGTGTAAAGAGTTTATCTATCGTGTTTTCATCAATCCTTTTCATTGCGATCAATGTACGGGGCAGTTTATTTCTTTTGGCTGTTGTTCTTTTTTCGGGCCAATAATATTCCCTTTGCCACTCCATGTAGGAATGCCCAAAGTCGATAAATTTGACTCTTCCGGCTTCCACATCTTCTACGATGATATTGTCGTCATTTAAATCCAAATGAACTATGTCTTTACTGTGCATTCGTTTGACATTTTCCCTAATGACTGGCTCTATTGTCTCCAACTCTTCTAAATTAAGTTCACCAAGGAGTTTTCCAGTGATATACTCATACCGATAGAATAGTCCACAAATGGACTGGGAATTAGCAATTGTTAATTCATAGACATATTTAGCATCTGGTCCAACAGTGACACCTACTTGCAAAAGCCTAGGCACGAAATCAAATTCTCTAAGTTGGTATATAGAAAAAATTTCTTTTACGAAATTTTTCAAACAGAGATACATACTTTTACCTGCCTGGCCGTTACTTATAGTAAGGGCTACGGTCCTCACTGGATCAAATACTTTGACTGTATTATCATTGGTATCTGTTCTTACCTTAAGAACGATTGAATTACGGGAAGAAAACTTTTGCCCGGATATTATGCTGTCCCATTCAAATCCTTGATTATCTGCATTCAATATATCAATGTTACCTACTTCATGAGCCATTTTGATTAGATTTTTGCCTTCAACAGCATTCAATCCATAAACTTCGTTTTCAAGTTGATTAGCTACATAATTATGGTCTGGCTGAATTGGCAGACTCGCTGTATCTTTTTGTGAGTTTATAGGAGATGGCTGAAATAAGTTGTTGTTGTTGTTTACAAGATTGGCTAATTCTGTGAGATACTGAGTCAAATTGGTGTACAAGTAATCGATGACAATTTGTCTTTTACTCCCTTGTATTTTCATGCTTCTATAAAGTACTTCTGTCAGACCTAATTGTTGTGAAGTTTCAAGGCTTGTTTTAATGAAAATAAACAAATCATAATTTGAATTTAGATTATACAAAGGACAATTCATTCTCCTTAGAATTTTACATTTCTCCAATCCGAAAAATTCTTGCAGTGGAATACTGTCCCTAAAGTCCAATCCAATATTTTGGATATAATTACTCATTATTCCGAAAAAAGAATTGGTAGAAATGCAATGTCGGAGGACCTGACTAAAGCTCTCATTAAATATAATACCTGGTTCCTCGCCAACCTGGGGTTCATTATCAAAGTAACGACTAAAGCTAAATTTTTTTAACTCTATTGGAAGTCTTGATACTTCGTACATGATGGTAATGTCTGGTACAGATGATGTACCATCAATGGGATCTCCTTGATTTTCCAGATGATAACTGACTACCTCTCTCAAGCTTGCTTTCAAGAGTTTACATAAAGGATTTAACACATTCGAAATAAAATACAGCTTTATATCCAGTTCCAGGTTCTTCTCGCCGTCATATGGATACTCATATGACAATTCAAATCCTTTAAGTTTTGACATAGATATTCTAAATGTGAAGTTATCAGGCACTTCATAATCGATCAAGGTATTTGATTCTGGGAAGAAGTTTCCAACTAAAGATTTCATGTGGTGATCTCTAATATCTGAAGAAGCTTTTACTTCAATCTCAATTTTGGGGGGTTCTATTCGAAGGAAGAAATTCATATTCATGTAACGTGTAAAGTAATCTGTGAAATTTAAACCATTTGATAATAAATAAAAACCACAGTGCATTTTAAGGACGGATATTATATTAGAAAGATCCTCAGTATTTGCGAATGGAAGAAAATGTAATTGGTGGAAATTGTGAAGCTCGAAAAGAATCATGATACAATCTTTTTTAGTATACATCCTTTGCAACTCATTCAGACCTCTATATTTTCCTAGGAATGCTAGCAAGTCTGTGTCATTTACATGGTCGAGATATTCATTCAATCTTTTCTTTTGTTGTTCATAGATTGGTTTACCATCTCGTTGAATGTCCAAAGGATCCACCATATCTCCTTGAGCAAAATGTTCTGCTAATATTCTCACTGAATCTTCAAAGTTTACGAGGTCATCTAAAGGGTGGCGTGCTGGTTCCATTGTTTCAAGTTAGATCAATTAACTATTAAAAATCAGTTACTGGTATAGAGTATTTCCTCTAATGTGATGTGTAACGTATATTTTTATTTTTTATGATGTATCACTATTTCTCATGTATGTGTATGTGTGCAGGTGTGTATGCATATCTGTACCACATACCTAGCTACATCAACCGAATTAGTACGCTTAGCGTTCTACTACGTTTCTATGACTGGTTAGCAAGAATTGAATATCCATTTAATATACTGTATTACTCATATTCACTGCCTCAGACCCATAATTTTCAAATTCACTATCTTTAATTCTACTGGTTTGTGAATAGGAATTGGTTTGACTTCCTCCAAATAAACTTTCAGCAATTTTGAAGAATTTTCTGCTTATCAGCCATCACAGTTGCGGTTCAAATGGTTATTGTTTGAAGCTCCATTTAGAATAATATAATGATTGTGAACCTTGGATAGTTATTGGTTAAAGACTCAAAAATAGTTCAAGTGATATAGTACAGTCATAAGACTAGGCAGATAATATTACATCTGGCCATTAATGTTGACGGCTGCAATGAAGTTTTATAGTCAAAGCCTTGATTATGTGAAGTTCTTAGAATCAAGATTAAAAATGATTTTTTAAGAATCAAAATTTCATTAATATATTATTGCTGTTGCTATACTCCTAAGTAAAGTATTAATGAATGTCACTACTAAATCTCACAGTAAGACAGTTACATTGGCAGTATAGTTCAGTTGTTATCTACATTTATGTCGCACCCATTTAGTGAGATCTGTAAAAAAGTCGGCCCAGCCTCTCGATGTCATACTGTTAAGAGATAATGAAATATTAGTTTTAGTATTAGTTTTAGTTTTAATTGATAATTGCCTATACTGTATTCATTGTTTCTAAGATGGAATTCGATATTCTATATAAGAGAAATTCTGACGTCAGTTTGAGAAGATCTAACTAACCGAGGGAGGATTATTCAATATCTAATGGCTTGAAAATTTTATCTACAGCCTTCCAGTCTAATTGACACAATTGTTCAAAATAAGTACTTCCATCATCTGAATAACAATGTGGCCATTGATATTCCAAATATGAGTGGCCAAAATCTATTAGATGAACCTTTTTGGACTCTAGATCTTCGACAATGATATTATTCGCATTTAAATCCAAATGTGCTACTCCTTGTTGATGTAATTTATGAACTACTTCTCCAACGGCAATATCCAATTTGCATTTGTCATGATAATTAAATTCACAAAGCATCCTCCCCTTCAAAGGATAGGTAATAAATAAGCCCGTTACTGCAGGACTTTTGATAGTCAACTCGAAAATGTACTTGACGTTACTGTTAAGAATAACACCTATTTCGGAAATTTTTGGAACAAATTCACAATTGCGAAGCTTATTAAGAATAAGTACTTCAGTAGAAAAATTTTTAAGACAGATAGCTAGACTCTTGGATACTTCACCATTTGCAACAGTCATAGATACCGACCGTATGGGGTCGAAAACTTTTAGAATGGCATCAGTTTCAAACCTAGTCTTCACCTTTATAACGATAGAATTTTTGGTTCCAAACTTACCACCAGAAACTATTTTGATCAATTTAAATTTATTAATTATAACATCTGAACTAGTAATTTCTAACGGTCGTAGAACTTCTGATAGCCTTTTGGTATTCAAAGCCAAAGCTCCAAGTATATCATGCATGAACTGGTTTGTTAAAATTGATTGACTTGCTACATCTAACTGCGAGCACGGGTGTGTTTCGCCTTTGTGTATAGCTGAAAGTAGCTGAAATAAGCCATTATTCAAATTTTTATAAAGGGAGTTAACAGAAAACTCTTTCTTTTTTCCTTTTATTTTTAATCTTTGAAGGAGAGGTTTTGTTTGCTCCAATTGTTGTGGACTTTGAAGGGAATTATTAATGAAGAGAAGCATCTGAAGTGGACTTGTTAGTTTGTGCATATCACAAGAGATCTTCCTCAAAATCTTTCCTTCTTCTAATTGGTAGAATTCATTCAGTGGGATCGAGTCTCTGAAGTCAAGAGCAATCATTTCACTGCTATTTGATAAGATTCCAACAAAGGAATCTAATGAAAGACAGTGAAGAAGAACCAGACTAAAATTCTCATTAAATCCAATAACCAGGTCCACATTCTGCGTATTAAAATAATCTCCTAACGAAAACCTATTCAATTTGATAGGTAAGTTCATGACGTTGAAAGATCCGATGGTAATGTCTGATACAGATGGTGTACCATCAATGAGATCTCCTTGTTTTTCCAGATGATAGCTGACTACCCTTCTCAAGCTTGCTTTCAAGAGTTTACATAAAGGATTTAACACATTCGAAGTAAAATACAGCTTTATATCCAGTTCCAGGTTCTTCTCGCCGTCATATGGATACTCATATGACAATTCAAACCCCTCAAGTCTTGACATATATATTCTAAATGTGGATGTAACGGACGGCTCATAATTGATCAAGGTATTTGATTCTGGGAAGAAGTTTCCAATTAGAGATTTCATGTGGTGATCTCTAATATCTGAAGAAGCTTTTACTTCAATCTCAATTTTGGGGGGTTCTATTCGAAGGAAGAAATTCATATTCATGTAATATGTAAAGTAAACTGGGAAATTCAGATTACTTAAGTATGTATAAACAATAAGATTCATTTTAACGGTAGTTATTACTTTTGAAAGATCCTTAGTATTTGCGAATGGAAGAAAATGTAATTGGTGGAAATTGTGAAGCTCGAAAAGAATCATGATACAATCTTTTTTAGTATACATCCTTTGCAACTCATTCAGACCTCTATATTTTCCTAGGAATGCTAGCAAGTCTGTGTCGTTTACTTGGTCGAGATATTCATTCAATCTTTTCTTTTGTTGATCATAGATTGGTTTACCTTGTCGATGAATTTCCAAAGGATGCACCATATCTCCTCGAGCAAAATGCTCTGCTAATATTCTTGTTGCACTATCAAAGTTTATGAAGTCGTCTAAAGGTTGTGATTCCATAAGTAGTTCAATTATTGGCCATTACTCATATAGGCACTATATGTATTACTTTATTAGTTAGTTCATTTATTAAATATCTTTTGTCGCAGGACATCTTATTCATTCTTATGTGTAGATATGTTTTAGTGCGTTTAAATCTGTAGCTCGAAGTAAGAATTATATCGTTCCCACTCCCATTCTATAATTATTGAGCTCAACTATAACTTCACTATAATAAATAGTTATTCAAGATACCTTTCTTTCTTTAGTATGAATGGATTTTCTTCTCATTTGTCTAGCTTATGCGACATTTTTTTCTAGAATTATTTTGCATCCATTGATGAGATAATAAAAATGTCGGACCAGTAGCTGCGAAATTTCATACATTTATAACTTATACATTTTACTCTAACTTTTACATACTATAACTTACTCCTACCACTGATTTCATCAAAGTCTCGATTAAATCTCTTATCAATAATATCAATTACATAGTTAAGATTAATTTCATTCTTAATTAAATGGTTCTGACTCGTACTGACCTTACCTAATATTTGTAATAGGAATTGATGTAAAATTCTCAAATCTCGTTCATTGAGAATTTTAACATATGCTTTAGTCTTGGCTTTATTCTTAACAATTCCAATCACTTGTAAATTATTTAAATAGTACAAATCTGATAATAAATATTGCTTATTGATTGATTCTAATGATATAATGCCTTTGATGGTATTGGTCTTCCGATCATGATATCTTCCAATAACATGCTTCAATAATCCCTTAGTATCAGGGAACTTCAAATCATCTTCATCATGAATATTAATTTCTCCCTGGCCCGCTTCAAGCTTTTTCTTCTCTGATTCATACTTTGAAGCTTTGGAATTAGTAAGACTAAAGATATTCTCAATTAATAAACTATAAGATTCAACAAATGGAATAGCAAGATTAGCTAACATTTGAAGATATTGTTTATCACTAATGACAAATGATATGATTCCATCATCATTAATTGACTCCTTTAATACACCCTGTTTAACAAAATCTTCTAAGATAAATGTTAATTCATACCGTTCATTATAATTATAGTCAAATAAAAATTCATTCTTTAAAAATCCAGTTAAGATATAATAGATCTTAGTTACTATAATATGGTTGGATTCAATACCAGCATCATTTAAATATAATACAATAAATCCAATCAAACATCTCTGAATAATTAAATGGATAGAAAGATTTTTATAGTACAACAATTCAATAGGATTAATTACTCGAATAATATTCTTAGTCTTATGAACTTGAATGAATCGAAAGAAGTCAATAATCTGATCCCTAATTAATTCAATCTTTTCTTTATCAGTCATGGTTAGAACATCTGAAAGAATTTGTGAATTGGTTACTGAATCAATATTCTCATTGTATAACAATTGACTAACCAACTTGAATACTGGTAATAATTCTTCAATCTTAATCACTATAGGTTTCCCATTATTACTACTTAAATGATCCTTAAAATAATAATAATAATATACCTGTAAAGTTGTTCCAACAATAGATACTTCTGGTAAATAACTAATTCTATTAATTTCATGTAAAATCTTAAACCCTAACTTTTTAAGATTTACATGACCTGAATCAACTATTTCATAATTGGGTAATCCTGATATGAAATTAGAATCTTCAGCTTGTTGTTGTTCAAGAAATTCACTTAAATGGAATCGGTTCCCTAATTTGAAGAATATCTTTCCTGATAATGTTCTTTCACTATTATCATTATATTCATCTTTACCCCATACAATAGGTTGAATCTCTTTATTACGAAGTAAATTTGATACACCATTATATAAGATATTAGTCATAGATTCTTGCTTTTTATCACTACCTACCAATTCCTTTAAATATCCATCACTTTCATAAATTCTTTCATAAGTAATAGAAACAGGTTGAAATAATAAATCAAATTCTGGATTGGAATCTGTATATCGTTGTTTTAAAAATATATTAGTTAATTGTTTTAAAATCCCATATTTAGGTAATAATAACTTGCCATCTCTGGATCTTGTTCCTTCAATAAATACCTCGAAATTGATTTTATTTAATAATAAAAATTCAACCACATTATTAAGATTTCTTTCAGTATATAATTCATTATTAAATGATCTTTTAATGAAAATAGCTCCTAAATTTTTAAGAAAAGTTCCAAATACTGCTACATTTAAATTTTCTCCCGCTACAACAGCTGGTGTTGATAATTGGAATCTTCAAATGTAAGATTATATAATCAACATGACTTTGATGACTTGGTAAAAATACAATGGACATAGGATTATCAAGATATTGCCTATAAAGTTTAGATAATTCATCTCTTGAACACCAAATACCTCGTGGAAACATTTTACGCATAACCGACATAACGGTAATATAAGCAGTTTGAATAAATTCTATGGATTTGAATACGGGTAAATTCTTTGCATTCTCTTGCTTATAGTAATCCACCATAAACTTCTTAACTTCTTGAAATCGTTTTTGATAATCAGCACCTTTAATTAAATTTAAATTAAGTTCTTGATTAACCAATTGATAAATTAATTCATCCAATTTCTTGTCATCTCTTTCCAATTTGTTATTCATATATTCTTCAAATTTTTTATGAAATGTCAGATTATATTTATTAGTAGCATAACGATATTCAGCTTTAGTATAAATATTATCAACATCAACTCCTAAGAATAATCGGAATGAACTAAGAAGTAAACTGAAACTTTTTTGAACTTTTTCATTACCTTCCAGTGGTACATATGTATCCTTATCAGTAGGTAGTGGGAAAGTTAATGGAATAGTGGGTGAGCTCAATGCATGATCGAGAATATTGATATCAAAATCACTATTGGCTATATCATGATCTGCGGTAGGGTTAGTACCTTCTAATAAATTCCAAGTTACCATTCTTAACTGAAATATTGTCAACGATATAGACGAGAATTAACTGTCCATTAAATTACAAACTATTACTTTTACTATTTGACTACTTCTCATCGACCACTGGCATACTCCAGCAACTATATATTCGAAAGTTTCATTAGTGAGATTTCATATGGCACCCAACAATTTCCAATTTTTTCTGCCTGCGTTTTTACCCTTTTTGTCGCTAAATTAAATTGTACTCGCTGGAATCGTCACTAGAGAGAGGGGAGACCTTAGCGAAGGGTACACGATGGGGTTAAGGACCATGAGGATAAGTTAGAGCTATGACCCATAACTTAAACTGTTTAACATCATTATTCGATAATATCCTGTTATGTGATTTACATGGTTTACACTATCAATTATCACTTATACTAGTACTATCTAAATTACTTCTCTGCTTCCCCACCGCACATACGTAATGCTCATTATTTTCACTTACTCAAACAAAGACGCAACCACAAACTTGAATTGCTGTATTAGGAAATTAATAATTTGTGAGTGCCTATACCTCGGGCAGGAATTTAATAGCCTGGAAATGAGTCCCAGATTTCCGTGTTTGAATTTATGACATAGAGTAGTGTAAGTAGTTTAGTTTAGTGTACTGGACCAAGTATGATAAATTCATTAATCATTGTATTCCATTTAATGCATGTGCTTCGATATAGGGACACATGGCTTATCGAGATTCAGATTTTAGATAAATCTCTAAAAGCCGATTTTATGCACTATACCGTAAACTAAGTCAAACACACGCCCAGTTAGTTTAATTCCTAATTTTCAATTCAGCCGTGGCCCTTGACGACAATGGTTTCTATCCTCTGCAAACAATGGAATCAAGAAATTTAGATCTTGCCATTATCCGAGGCCCTGAAAAATTTATCCAAATTTCCAATTTAGGCTTACACTGTACTGTGAATTATAACTCAAATATTGTCCTAATTTATTATTTTTCCTTCATCTATAATAACCAACTCTATTTCATTATGAAGAGTTAATGTCCCAAAATCAGTATGAGCTCGAGCCCAAATGTTATCGACTTTACTATCATCTTCAGGGGTTCGAGGATGATACTTCATGTACCTGAACTGATCATCACTTGGATCCTCATATTTGTGACGATTAGCGAAATATAACTCATCATCCAATTCCAAGATAATAGCAAAGAGGATCAATAACTTTCTCACAATATCAAAGCATTCGTGTGACACTCTAGAGAGTTGATCATAGTTATTATGAACAAAGTCTAAGCCATGAAATTCATCATTCAAACCATTGAACTTGGCAATATTAAAGATTTCTGAATTCTCCTTGACATCAGTCCCAAACAAGTACTTGTTTCCTTTAGATTTATCTGTAATTGAATTAAGAGGTTAATGATATATTGGCATATATATTTCCTTACTTCCTTTAGCTTTCTTAGTAATTTCATCTCACCAGGTCGACACTGAGTGTCAATAATTACTACCTCATCTCTTTTCTCATGTTTTGCTTCATAATACTCTTCCCATAAACGGACATCCTTGACTGGGTCAACTATTTCTTTTGAATTGGACATTGTTGATTGATGATACAACAAGTATAAATTTGCCAGGGGAAAGTGTAGTAAAAAAATATGTGTATTACACTAAGGGGCCGTATAACCTGCTATGTGTAAAACTCTAATTTTGCAGCTTCTTAGCGCTACCATATAATCCAAATATGGCATTTTCTAATTATATTCTTTATAAGAAGACCAGACTATTTTTTTGGTTTAAGTATAACAAGTACAGAGTTTTTAAATATATAATATAATATTTATGTTGATTTCACCTATACTATAGTGTATTTAAATACAATTTCAACAAATACTAATTTAGAAGTTTATAAACAATATATAATGGAACAATGTTTTGGAACGAATTTTATCAAAGTCATATACACACTTTTTCTTAGATGGCCCCCCTTCAAATACTTTGAAGAAGTGAAAAATAAATCACATCGCCTTTTCAACATATTTCTTTTAGCATGAATGCCCAAAAACTAGTATAGAAACAAAGGGCCAACTAACAATTCATGTTCTTTAGAACCATTCTTTTCAGGGTTAAGCAACAACTATAAAATCGATCCTCCTAAAGACTAAGAAAGAATGCTTCTAGTAAAAATGAACCATATCATTGCTGATTCCCAGTTAATTGAATCCACTGACATTTTCCTCCAACCCTATCTATCACAAACTGATATGTATAAAATACAAAATACCTAAGTTTGGGATATTTGGTAATATTTGACTTTACCCACTGCACTAAGCTCTCTATCTCTTGCCGCATCTCTTCATCGAGATCATCAATTTGATCATAAAAAAGGTCAACTGTCAATAGAGTTGTCCTCTCCGCAGCACTCACTTTGTTAACCCTGACAAGTTCAAGATTCGAACCCCAATGGTCCAACAATGTCTTAACAAAACTAATGTTTCCCCTGCATTGACTCAAAGGAATATTATCCAGGATATCTAAGGAAAACTTGCGAACCAGGTGGTGAGGTAAATTTCTAAACGCATGAGCAACCATTGCTGCCAAAAAATGACTACCATCATTTTGAATTACTACAACTCTTATATTTGGCATTGCTTCCATTAATTTCCAGAGTGCAAATGAACTATAATACCCACGAGCCAATGTTATTTCAAGTTCTTTGATATTTTGTAAACAAAATAGAGAAAGAACTGAATTAAGGTAGCGTGTTTGAATCTGCATAGGTTCTAAGGACAAACATTTGGTTGCACTAAATAACCCGTTTAATTGTTTTAACTTGCTAAGTGGGCTGCAAATATCAATTAATTCTACTTTCTTGAAATGGATAAATTGCTTTGAGTGTTTTTCAGATTTTGTATAACTTGACAAATCCACTTGTAGCATTTGATATGATTTTTCATGAATTTGATCCTTCGGCTTTAAGGGCTCCTTGTAATTCTTTGCTGGTAAGAAATAATTTTGGCTGCTTCTGTATTTATTTGGTGATAGGTTTGGTACTATGATATGATGAATTTTTTTGTGTTTGGTTTCTAAATTATTAACAACCGTGAAATGTGTATATCCAAATGTATTCAATTTACGATGTATTATGATTTTGCGACCAATACTATTGACTAAAACTCGCCTATACAATCGGACTCTACATAACTTATAAATCTTTCTATTCACTAGGCATAACTGTAATACATCAAGCTGGTTCAAGCAATATATTATTTCAATCAATATCTCATCAGGTAGGGATTCGAAACCTATGGGGAGTTTTGGTGATTTTGCAGATGAATTCTGTAATGAAAGTTTTGTCCAACAAGTTAGCATTTGCTCTTAAATTGAACTAATCATCTTTTATCTATTAATCTATATGATCTACTCTAATTTTTAATCAAGTATCAGAAAGATACATTTAAGATGTTAGCACTGGAGTTGCACTTTTTTTGCAACTTTCAAAATGCCACAAAATTATTCTAAGAAAGAATTACATATCCGCCAGGCACTTTTTATTTCAGACTTGTTTATGAGCTATATATTATCTTTTAGAGTTTAATCAATTGATAAAGTCAAAGAATAGAGAAGGGGTGATTGCTCTTACTATTCAATGCCCACTTTTAAAGATAATGAATAAATATCTATTATTTGTTCAACTAATGATGAATCAACTAAAATTAAATTTTTTAAGATTTCTTAGAATTTAAGTTATCTTGTAATTCTGTAATTATATTTAATAAGGATACTTTAAATTCTTCAATTTCTTCATTAGAAGAAAAGGCTTTAGTAAGCTCTTCTTCTGTTATTTTGAGTGGATATTGTTGTTTACCTGAAGATTCAGAAAATTTTTGCTTTACCAAGAACTTAATGATATCTTCAATTACCTTATTATTTTCAATAGTAGACAAATTAACTAAATTTCTTCTAACCACAACTAAAAGTTTATCTAAACACCATTTGATTTTATTATCGTTGGATTTTTTAAAAGTATTATTGTCAATTTCTTATTGATTTCCAACATCTTCATTTAATGTTTGAATCAAATAATCTTTCATTTGTAAAAGTACTTGGTTATTTAAGTATCGATTGTTTTAGATCTCGTGATCAAATCAAAATTCCAAGTACCTCCATTATTTTTTAAATATTATATTTAATTTCTCAGGATGAGCTTGAGCTTCTTCAGTAATAGTTTTAAGAGCCTTTGAAGAAATTTTATGTAATATCTATTGGATTGAGCACTTTGATTAACCAAACATCTCATGAAATTTGGAGTAAATAAGGAACATGGGGCATATATGTGGGGTAACCTGCACGCAAATAACTGCAAAAATTCAAAAAGTAAAAGTATATTAACGATATTTTGCAAAATTTTATATAAATATTTATGTCTATGAATCTAATAAACTTCTAAAATGTATCTTCCTTCTTCTTTCATATCTTCAACTACTTTAGCAACATCTTTAATTTCTTTACCTTCTCTCTTAGCACCATTAGTAACAATATCTTCTAAACAAGCTGTGATATCAGGAACAGGCCAAGTTGGTCCACATAAATAGAAAGCTCCTTGTTTTTTACAAACTGCATCAGTTAAATCTTCAATACTTTCTCTGATTTTATCTTGAATATAAATCTTTTGTGGTTGATCTCTTGAAAAAGCAGCACCAATATGAGTTAAAACTCCCGCTTCCTTATAAGCTTCCCATAATTCTCCATAAAGATATTCTTCTTTCTTATGTCTTGAACCTAAATAAAGATAAATCTCTCCAATTTCCATTCCTTGTTGTAATTGCCAAATTTTCTCTTCAACAAACGCTTTAAATGGTGCTAACCCAGTACCTAATCCACTCATAATTATAGGTTGAGTTGATAATGGTGGTAATTTCATAACTGAAGGTTTAACACTAACCACTAATTCATCACCAATCTTTAAATCAGAAAGGTACTTAGAACAATGTCCATATCTAATTCTACCTCTTGAATCAACCCAATCAACAACAACAATTAATAAATGAATAGCTTTGTTGTGAATCTTTTGAGAGGATGCAATTGAATATTCTCTTCTCTTCAATGGACTAATGATCTTAATTAATTCTTCAAATGGTGGTCTAGCAGATTTAAATTCAGATAAAATATCAACATAAGTATCGAAATCAACTTCTTGTCTTTTCTTTAATTCTTCTGCTCCTTCTGCACTAGCTAATTTTAATAAACTTTCTCTTTCTTTATCTTCAGAAGCATATTCGGCTAAACTTTCATAGAATCTCTTTGGTGGTTTACCTAAGAAATCAACCGTATCACTTAATGTTTGTCTAATAGATTTAATTTCTAAAATAGTTGGATCATCTTTATTGGCGACTTCAACTAATGCTTCACCATTAAGATCATAAAATTTTAAGAATTCACTAACTTCTTCTTCATTATTTCTACCATGAATACCTAAGGCTTCACCAATATCATAAGTTAATCCAGTATCGCCAATATCAAATTCAATATGGAAGATATTACGAGAATATTCTTGAGGAGTTAATCTTTTATTTTCTTGAACCTTAACAATAAAATTCTTAACTGGTAAGTCTGGACGTAAATCTTGTTTAACTCCATATGCTTCAGCAAAAGCTAATTTAGTAGCAATATCATTAACACCAATAACTTTAGTTTCACTAGTTTCAGAATCAGCTGGTACTTCACGAGGGTTAGGGAAAAAGGATGTTTCAAATGGGAAAAATGGTAATTGCTTAGCTTCTTCAAGTTCTTCATCAGCATCATCATCATCATCGCCATTTGCTTCATCTTCATTTTCAACAGGAGCAATTTCTAAATTAATCCAATCGGGTGAAACTTTAATTGGTTTCAATCCATTATTTTCATCAATAGTTTGAATAAATTTATCTAATACAACTGCTAATAATTCAAATCCATTACCATTAGCTTGTAATAACTTATTAACAACAAAGGATTTCAAATCAGGTAAAGTGGATCTCCAGAATGCTAATTGAACTAAAAATTCTTCAGAAAATCCCTTAGTAGATTGATTTAATTCATCTAAATCTTTCAAGATAGTTAAATCAACTACAATCAATTTATTATGATTCTTAGCCAAGGCAATTTTGAATTCAGGTGATAATTTCTTTTCAACAAATTCTTCAATTTCTTCAATTTTAGAAGTAGTATTCAATAATAAAATAGTTGATTCTGGTTTAGAGGTGGCTAAAACATCATAATCTTTTAAAATTGATAAATCTTCTAAAATTACTAACTCAGCAGAATCAATAGATTCACCATTTTTATTAGAACCATTATTAGTAGAAATGATTTGAGATTGGAAGATACCTCCATTAGATGAATTATCAAATTTATTTCTAATAGATACAACTTTAGTATCATCTAATGATAATGAAAAGGCTAATTTATCAGCAGTTTTAACTAATATTCCATTATCTTTTCCCCATAATAAGTATTTACCAATAGGTGAAGAATTAGCAGTTAATGATTCTTCATTATGACCATTACTTGAAGATGTATTAACATTATCAATCAATAATTCATCTTCAGTTAATGAATCAATAAAATTAACTAAAATCTTACTAATAGTAATAGGAGTCCATTCAAAATTTAAAGGATAATTGAATTCTTCAATTTTTAAATTATGATATAAACCTTGTAAGAATAAAGTTGAAGTAATATCACTAATTAATCCAGTTCCATTACCATCAGCATTTACTTGATCTAAAATAAGAATCTTTTTAGTACTAGAAGGTAATGAAGAAATAAATTTAGTTTGATTAAAAGGTACTGGAACTCTAACTTTAAGTAAACCAACTGAATTAATTCCTGAATTTTCAATTAATCTTAATAATTGACTAGTTTCAAAAGTTCCATAACTAATTAAAACCGTTTCTGGATTTTCTGATCCAAAATATTCAAATTGTGAATAATTGGTACCACTAAGTTCATTTAAATTATTAAAGGCAATTTCAATAGCTTCATCTAAATTTTGAGGAATTTGTTGACTTTTACCTAAAAGTTGTTGATATAAAACTCCTAATTCTTCAACACTTAATAAATCATTATATTTAGTATAGTATTTAACAAAATTAGGTCCATCAAAAACATTTAAAGATGGTTGACCAATGAGACTAGCCAAATAATGATTTAATACAGTAATATGTTGTAATTCAACTCCATTATTTAAATCTAATGGAGTTATAACAGAATAACCTAAAGATCTAGCAACGTTTAAGGGAATACCATAATTTGAAACTAAAGAATTGGAACTAAAATCAAAATCAATAGCACTAACATTAAATGATAAAGGTAATGAAACATTAGTGGTACCTGATAAAGTTGGTTTCATATAAGTTAAAGCATTAGCACCAATAATAGTTGATAATGGTTGACCATTAGTACCATTTTTTTTAAAATAACCTAAAATAGCACTGGCAGCACCCGATCTAACTTGGAATTTATTATAGAAAGGTTTAATACCAAATGAATTAACTCTATCAAAATTAACATTCCAATTATAAATATTAGAATCTAAAAGATTATCAATACCAACACTTTCATAACTAAATATTTTAGAAGATACTGAATAAATAGCTTGATTAATAATGGTTAATGGTGATGTATAAATTGAACCTTTAATAAGTTGAGGATCAGCAGTTGAACCAAATGGATTTGCAAGATGTTCATTAACAAATTGTTCATTAAAACTATGATTAGAACTACTATTTCTACTGCTTTCAACAGTTAAAGCATGAGGAGCCATGTTTGTATTGATTCTTTTTCAATCACTATTGACACCTGTACTAACCTAAAGCCTATGAATAATACAACAACTATAAAAAGTCTTAAAAGTTATAGATTTTTCACTACTTACTATATAGAGTAATAGATCTAAGTTGAAATATTTTGGATTTGATGCTGCACGTGATATGTTCTAATCGAATTTCTTTTTTTGTAATCCCGGTTCTTCTGTCGTCTGTCGCAAAATGGGGTTTGATATGTCGCAAAAGGATTACAACAAAATAGTCGTTGTCCTTATCGTCTGCGACAAACAAACATAACAAAAATTTGGGGGAACCTTTCCGATCGGCTATCGGGCCTATTACGCAATTTAAACTAGCATAATTTGAAAAAGTGTATAGAGAGCCACAATAAAGAAGATCAATAGGATCTGAATTTTTTTCACAGAAGTTTGTATTACTAATAATCAATATTATGTTAATGAACTGTAAGGCTCACTAGATAAGTGTAAAATCAATTTTATAGAGTTAGATATATATACATCTGCAATAGAGAGTCAATTATGTGGGGTAATAGTATTAGAAAAAGATTAGTTGGAAGAACACTAAGACTCCCAATTAGATTTAATTCTACCGGTCCTAAAGTCCCTCCACCAGTTAAGTCATCCAGTAATATTGTCAATTATTTATTGATAAGTTCAGTATTTTTAGGGGGAGGAGCTTATCTTGGCCTTAGTTATGGTCGAAATGAATCAACTCGCTTACATCCTTCAACTTCCGTAAGAACCATTTCAAGTTTAGCAGAATTGAAGTATGCTGATGATGCTACATTCCAACGAGGAATCGAAGCAATCATTGCTGTGGTTGGTAAAGAAGCCTTAAGTTACGACGAAGAAGTCATTAAGTCCCAAAGTGACTCATTCTTTGCCACTCATCATCCACCAAAACCTCAAGAACAACGTCCTAAAGTTATTATTTCACCTAAAAATACAGAAGAAGTTTCAGCTATTTTGAAAATAGCTCATGAATTACATATCCCCATTGTAGCAAACTCTGGTTTGACATCATTAGAAGGTCAAACTATGCATACTAGAGGACCTAATAGTATAGCACTTTCTTTTGCACATTTAAATAATGTGGTTGAGTTTAATCCAGAAGATTTAGATATAACTGTTCAACCTGGTGTTGGATGGTCTGAATTAGATGATTACTTGAAATCAAGTCCTGATGGTAAGCATTTACTTTTCCCAGTTGATCCAGGTTTAGGGGCAACTATTGCTGGTATGGTGGGTACACTGGCAAGTGGAACTAATGCATATAAATATGGAACTATGAAAGAAAATGTAGTTAATCTTACAGTTGTATTGGCTGATGGTACTGTAATTAAGACAAGACAACGTCCTAGAAAATCTGCTGCTGGTTATGATTTAACTAGATTGTTTATTGGTAGTGAAGGTACTTTAGGTATAATTACTGAAATAACTATTAAATTGCATGTTAGACCAGCTAAAGAATTAGTATCAATTGCTTCATTCCCTACTATAAAAGATGCTGCATCAACCGCTCAAGAAATTATTACAAAGAGTGGATTACAATTGAATGCTATTGAAATCTTAGATCAAACAACTGTATCATTTGTTAATAATTCTGCTTCTGCAGGTGGAAAGAAATTTGATGAAAAGCCAACATTATTCTTTAAAATTGGTGGACCAACTCAATCAGCCATTGATGAACAAGTTAAAGTTGTCAAGGCTATTGCTAAGAAGAATAATGTTATTAAGTTTGAGAATAGTCATAATGAAGAACAAAATGCCGTGTTATGGAGTGCTAGACGTCATGGATTATGGTCTACTTTTGAATATGGGAATAAAGTATTAGATGATCCAAATGATGTACAAATTTGGACCACTGATATTGCCGTTCCTCTTTCAAAAGTTAGTCAAGTAATTAGTGAAACCAATGATGATTTGAATGAAAGTGGATTTAGAGGTAAATTTAGTGTAATGGGACATATTGGTGATGGTAATTGTCACTTTTTGTTACTTTATAACTCTAAGGATTATCATTCTACTAAGAAGACTGTTGATCGTATGGTTGAAAGAGCATTAAAATATGGTGGTACATCAACTGGTGAACATGGAGTTGGGGTTGGGAAAAGAAAGTACTTGGTAAAGGAATTAGGAGAGAGTTCATTAGACTTAATGAGACTGATTAAATTAGCATTAGATCCTCATAGAATATTAAATCCTGATAAGATCTTTATTATTGATAAAGATGAGAATTTAGATGAATTATTAGACGCTGGTCATATAGTGGCCATAGATAAACATGATTGTTGTCATTAGATTCTATTATACAGTAATATTATTTATATATATATATATGTATTCCATTAATTATTATCAATTATTAATTATTAATTATTATTAATAATTTTAGATTTAAGTCCAAAATGCTTACAAGTGAAGCTATAACCTGAACAAGAGTTCTCTCCGTGTACTGAAGCATATCCTAAACCACCAAAGCTCCATATTGATGCCTTTGACCACGATAAACAGCATGAATTATAACCACACATATTTCTGTTATTTTTATTATTAGTATACCCAAATGACCCTACTTCATTATAAGCAGATTCTAAAATTTGATTACACTCAAGTTCACGACGGTGTGATATGACTTGCTGAACTTGTTCAGTATCGAATTTTTCAATCAACTCAGTATTTAATTGACTCTTTAACTTACTAGAGTTAACGCTTATTTCATCTAGATATTCAATCCAATCTATGTATTGATCAATATCAGTGGGATAAGAGTATCCAAACAAGACATAGAGCCAAGCCTTAAGATCTTCAGTAATATTTCCTGTAGCCTTATACTTGGCTAATATTTCAAACTCTTTAATTTGAGTATTACTTAGAAAGTATCGACTCATACAAAGATTATTAGATTTAAATTTGTAACCAGTCATATCTGTACCATTGAAACAGATATCTTCGTTATTAATGTTATCATCTTCAATATGAAAAATAGATTGATCTTCAACATAATAACCAGACAGTATTGATACACAGGCTACTGCAATAGCTATAAGGTATTTAGGATACATGGATAATGATAATTCTTTAATGATATCTTCATACTCATTACAATACTTGGCCACATTTGCTTATTTATAGGACAATGGATCCCGCAAATGTGTTAAGCAGAACAAAAATGTGTCAATTCAGTAAATTCTAAGAAATTATTATTCTGCTTACTCCGCGCATCCACACTTATCTATACATTATAGTTATGCGATTTTGTTATCTGCTAGAAGATACTATATAAATTATCACATAACTATTAATTGTATTAACTAGTAGATTATAAGTTTCATTTTCAACTGTACATTCTAATGTCAATATCTTATCTATAGTATCTTTATTCACCACTTTTTCCACAACATCGACTAAGGCATCACACAATGAGTAACTTAAACTATGTCTCAACTGTAAATCAATTGATCCAATGATGTTGAATTTTCGGGTCAAGATAAGTATTGACTTTATAGACGAGATACGTCCGAATTGCTTAGAACATTGAGTAAATGTCGATATTGTAGATTCCGGTAAAGATGGTGTGTAAAGTTGTTGTGTCATCAGTGCGTTGCCACTAGTCTCGTAGTTATTTGAGTTATATGAACAATGCTGTTGTTAGTGTTGTTTTAAGTATCAACAAATATAGCTTGTCCTGTATCAACAAATATAGATTGTCCTGTCGCAAACTAACGTCGGAACATTTGCGTTTGTAGTTAACTATGTCATTTTACGCGACATAATTAAAACAATTAGTATGCCTAAAAGGGTTTAAGCTAGTTCTAAAATGGCAATCTACGCATCCGCAAAGAAAAACTAGTGACCAAACGATAATAATAGAAAAAGTGTTGGTTACCCAATTGGAAGAGGGGCTTAACAGTGGAGTATATCGAAAACTCAACAGTAATGTTATTGTTCGGTAAACATTTTGGTTATGATATAAGGTCAGTGGGGATGGAAAGTTGAGCCAATTGTAAAGCTAAGTTAAAGAGGGGGAGGGGTAAGAATGTCAGTAGTTAATACAATTAAATAGTATCATTCATTAAGTTAGTGATGTAATGTAATGTCACCCGTAGAAAGAAATTACCGAACTTTATCCGAGTGGCTAATTCAAAGTACTGCTGAGCCCAATAGGAGATTAAAATATGTCTATTTGATCTTGATGTGTGGAGAGGGAGGCAAAATACACAGCCATTTGTAACAAAGAATGTCAAAGTAAAGTACAAGCAAAAAAAAAAGGATAAAGAGATATTGCCAGGAAGCAGAATGTAGGTAGTGAATAAAGACTATGTAACGTACGTCATTCACAGTGTACATATGAGGCAGGCCAGATTAAAATTAAAATCAAAATCTTGAATGTTAGCAGAATAATATTGGTATGGTGCTGGTATTGTCACTAAATTATTCTAAATTATCCTAAATTTACCGATATAACCAGGAGACTTTTTCCCGCTAATCCCTACAAACACACCACCGTAAAAAAGTGATCCCCAAACAAAATTACCGAGAACAGAAAACGCGTCAACAGATCTCGCACTAAAGTTCCGTAGTTAAATGCGTTAACTCACCTGTCCCGAAAAGGGTAAAACACACAAAGGGAGTCCTAAAAAAAAAAAGAGTCATAAATTTCATTTTGAATGACTCGATCAGCAAAACACAGTTATAATAGTGTAATTGTATTGTAAAAGTTGTACAAATTTAGTAAGCATGTCATAAAGTATATATATAGTAGCTATGATAAAAGGGGAAAGAAATGATCTTTTTAGAAAAGAAACGTATCGAAAAATTTAGTGAGCCAAGTGAAATTTTCACAATTATTTCCTTTCTAACTATAAAATTTGCTGTGACAACACAAACTATATCCTCCCCACAACCACTTTCCAGTTTAAAATAGAAATTATCGTAAACATATATACACTCTACAGTAATATATCAACTGCAATCATTTTCATTTCCTAGGCAACTATTGCGTACTGTCTACTGGGTTCTGTAAATGTACAAAAATAGAAATAATCACCTTTAAAAAAAATAGATAAGAAACCAGTGAAAAATTACACAAACGCAAATTCCAAAAACAAATATTATAAATTTAAATTTAAATTACTACTTTAAAATAACATAAGCAAAAACCACCTGGTCAACTCAAAACCTAAACAACCATAATTAGTGATTCATTAAGACTATTACTGATTTATACATATAGTAAGTACATCTGTTAGTAGCCCACAACTCCAAATATCATATCTTGTTAACTAGATATATCCACAACTGCCAGCAACTGTACCAGTTTAACACACGCACTCCCCCACCCCCAAAATTTCAATCTGAAAAACTCCCACCACCAAACCAAAACAGACACACTAATTACTCAAGACAGTTTCTACTACTTGTCAAATTGAATAAGTAGTATTGTCAAATACAAATTCAACTCAAAATTTAGTAATATATCCAATTAATAATTCAAAAATGTCAAATATTCACGCTCTTATTAATGATCCCTCACCAACACCCACACCTCCACCCCCACCACTTGAACCTTCTATTACAATTACTAGTAATAATAATAATAATAATAATGACAATATACCACCACCATTTTTACCAAAACATGAAGAAAATGAATCATCAATACCTAGTCCACCATCTCCTGTTATATCATCAGCTTCAACTTCCAAACAAACAAATAAGAAACTCTTATCCACTTCCTCACCTGAAGGTATACAAGTGGCTGCTAAAATAACTCCTACAAGATTAGCTAATTTACTTATACGTAAAGGTCCTTTACCAATCCGTCATATAACTCACCAATTAGCCCTTGAAGTTCCTAGTTTTGAACTGCTCTCATTATCAAAACAACGACGTCTTATAATGGCAGCAATGGAACAAACTGATACATCAAATAATGTGGTATTTGAAAAAATTGGTTGGGGACAATGGGCAGTAAGAAAAGTTGATAGTGATTATATTGTAACTGAAGGTATGGAATCCATAAATTCAAATATTTCTACTGCCAATAAAAATGGTGCAACGATTTCTTCTGCTATAACTAATAATGGCGAACAAATAAGTAATGAAAAATTAATTAATGTTAATGATTTAAGAAATAAAGCAAACTTGAAACTTGGCTGGTCCAAGAAACAAAATGCGACAACTAATGGTCATGGAATAACATCGAAGAAAAATAGAAGGGAATCAATTACTAACAATAATAAAAACCTTCATAATTTGAAGTTACCTAAAGAACCAAAGAATAGCTCTATTGCAATTGCAAGTGATTCAGATGACGAAGATGATGATGACGATATAGATGATATAGACATTGATGACATGGAACAAGATGATGATGATGCTATTGTTGCTGAAGAAGCACTCTCATCTTTAACTCCAAGCTCTAGTTCGGAAGATGAAGAGGCTGAAGATGACGATGATGATGCCTTATTCCCATTCGACAACGATGAATCAAAACACAAGCTAACTACAAAGACTTCTCCTCCTCCTATCAAATTTGCTAAGAGGGTACCTATCAGAATAAGTCCACCACCATCTAATAATGGCGAAAGACGTCGGAAGTCTTCAAGTTCAATTACAAAACCAACTTCTAATCATCGTTACCAAATCTTCAATAGATCAAGATTAGAATCGTTTGATGGTTTGGATAACTATATAGTGTCCTCAGCCAAAAATTCAAATGTATCAATCAATTCTCCACCTCCATTACTTTCTTCATCACCTTTAAATTCATGGAATGGAAGTGGTATAATTCCAGCAAGTAATAGTAATTATATCCATCATGATAATTCATCTTCCTTTATAATTGAACAATCTGAGTCTGTGCAATCAGGAAGAAGAAAGTCGTCATTCAATGAATCTCACTTAAGATCAACTTTAAGCACATCGTTACCTCATCCTCAACAACATACAACATCAACTACCAGCCCAAGCATAGTGACAAGCACTCATCAGATTCCATATGAAAACTCCCATTTTGCAAATTCTACTCCAAGTTCTATTCATTCAAAACTTGAGCACCCTGTAAATCATCGTCATCGTCATCACAGTCATAGTCATGCAAGTCATGATCATAGTGAAGATGATACAGATGAAGAAGATTGGGCTACTATGGGTGCAGAAACTTTACGAAAGAATAGTATTACTTCATTGAGTAAGAATAAAGGCACACCTCGTTCATCATCTGCTAAACCTGCTCGTTCACATTCTCAATCTCATTCTCATCATAAGATACATCGTGATCAAAAGCATGGTACAGGCAGATCAAGATCAGGTGAAAGATTGCCACTTCCACCATCTGATAGAGACAGTAATACTATTGACACTATGATGGATGTTGATGATGAACAAAGATTAGCTGCTTTTGCCTTAGTAGATTTGAGGAATTAATCCAGCCAAAGTTGCACATTGAATTTATTTGTACTATTTTATATTAATTAATTGATCAAATTAGATTATAGCAGTGTATAGATACTAGTGTTTATGTTAATACTAATACTAATTTTTTTATGATATATTTCTACTGGTACTACAATAATGTAATCTCCTAACTACTTAGTATCTCTGGTAAACTTCAGAGCGCTTTTTTGAGAATGGTGAATGCATGTCATTCGTCAGCATAGAAACAGAATACGGTAATTCTACAATTATTGCTAATATAACTGTGAATATCAAAACGATTATTTCACTCTTAAATGAACTTAACAGGTATTAGATGCTACGGTGTGAAAATTTTAGCCCATGTACGACCCAACCAATTGCTGCAAAACAAAACCCGCATAAGCTGTCTTATGCAGATAACAAACAAAACTTCATAGTTTTCTACTTATGATGACAAGAGCTCAACTTATTTTCATCTCAATATATAAGACTAGTCTTTTCTTTCTTTTCGAATAAAAGTAAGAAATACTCCACTTTAAATCCTACAAATGAAGAATATTCTTGAATATTTAGATGCTAATGTTCTTCACAAATCTACTGAATTTGTTGTCAAGAAGTTGAACGAAGAGCCAAGCTACAACTTTTTCAATGATCCAATTCAAAAACAAATCCTTGATAAATCCTGGAAAGATTTACTTACAAGATTGCATGAGCCAACAGACGAAGAATCTATACTAGATAGAAATCGCCAGAAGTTAGCTTTCAAGATATGTAATTATCATAATATTATTCCTGAAAATACAATTTTTGATGAGAATTATGTTTTTAGTGAACAGTATGTGGTAGATCGTACTGATGCTATGCGCGAAGCTTTTAGATACGTTTGGTTTTCAATACTTCTTATACTTCGAGATAAAGACAACTATAACGAAAACTCAATCGAGCAGGCGGTATTTAATTTATTATCCATCTCTAATTCTATATCAGTTCCAATACCTAGAATAAGGGTTGATCTGGAAGATCTGGAAGGTCGGTATTTATATGATGAAACTACCAACCGATCAACCCTTATCCAAGATGATGAATACAAACTGTCGGAAAACCCTTTCTCTAACTACAATATCCCTTCAAGTTTATTAGGGACACATTTTCAAATGGTTATTAAATGTGATGAACAAAGGTTCAATGCAGCATCCTTGAAAAAGATGTTTGATGCATTCAGAATTGACCGATCTCAATTGTTTGAAATAAAAAGCACTTCACATGATAATAGTGTAAGTAACTTTGATCCCCAACCAGATCTTCCTCTGGGCAACATCTATAATATCAGCAAGTATCTTTTGGATCCATTGTATTGTTTCTTACAAGATAGTTTAAATTCCATTTGCAGGTTTCAAAATGTGAAAAGGATAGGTGTTAGAGCAAAATATACTATTGCTATCATCAAAGATGACCATTCTTATCATATCCCCTTCGAAATTAAATCTAAGAAAATATTTGGGCGCCTTGGAAATGGAAAGGAACAACTAAAAGATCCTGCTTTGCAAATATTAGCAAATCGGATAATCTTTCAATTAATGACTTCAAAATCAAGGATAGGGTTTGCTATTGACTTAGATTGTGTAGTTATTGTTGGACTTGATGAAAATGCTCATGAAAAGGTTAAAAAAATTAAAACAATAGTTGGTTTTGTATATGAGGTACCATGTAGTATGAAATGCTTTAGATTTTCGGAATCAAAATATAGTGTTTCTTGTTTGATAATGATGCTAATAAAAGATTATCTTGCTAATATTAACAAGGAATATGAACACCATGTGGTCAGGTTATTTGACAAATTACAAATGACCGAGCAAGATAAAGTTATGAATGAGAGATGTCAAGCAGAATTTGCTTATCTTGAATTCGCTTCTAAGCATATTAATTACCACCAAAATGATAAGGGAGATTATATCCATAATATTTATCCATCAATTATAATTCCGCAAAACAGCTACAAGGTATTAGATCAAATGAGAGACCGTAATTTTGAATGTTCTTATCATTTCAGACATGTTTATCCGTATTTTGTAAGTGAATTTGGTCATTGCCATATTTATAAAAGTCGTTATTGTCCTACTGATACAAAGTACTATACTTTTACAAACCACCAATCAAGGGGGTTGCTAAGTAAGAATTCATTTTTAAAAGCATATCTGCATACTTTAAGAGTGTTCTTGTCAGAAATCCGTACATACCGTGAACTCTACAATGTTCTGAAAAGTGGTATTTTGTATAATTATGCAGTAAAATATACTAGAAGGGGTTGTACTAGGAGTTGCCTTCCTAGTTATAAATATGGAAGATGTGCATGGAATAATAAAACAAACCTTTGTGGATTCTATATAACGGTTAAATACAAGGTAAAAGATTCAGTCGTAGATTCTAGAAAAAGACCATTAGAGATCATTCATGACTATAATCCAGATGATTCATTTAAGAAGTTTGTACGCTTTGTAGATTCATATCTTACGGTGCACAGATTTAAAAAATACTTTGAGAAGGATAATCAAACAGAGTTAATAAAGGGTATAACCTCGGCATGCGAACTTGATATAGCTAAAATTATTCATCCGCCTCCAACAATTGACAATCAAATATTTAAAAGGCGTAAAATTGATGTATAGTTAATTAATGAAAACAGTTTTAATGAATATTCTGAGAGAGTAACTAAACTAATTATTATCCTTGGTGGTGCTATCATAGTTTGTAAAGCTGAAAAGATATTTAGGATGTTGAATCATTTAACATCAATTGTAGTATTTAAGTCATCCCTTTAGGAGGTAGTGGTGCCAGTAGAGTGCAAAAAAAAGTAATAGCATGTCTTGAATTCTATCGAGTAGATTGACGCGTTATTGTATATAACATTGAACTTTACATATAATGCGTAATTAGTGAGTGAGTAAAAGCTGATTCTACTTGTTTGCTCATTACGACACATTCACTACGTGAGACTCGTAGTCAATTAGGTGTCTTTGCATACTTACTCAATACTCACTAGTACTTATATTAGTTAGAGTCAAGGCTACACTTAAATATCCTATAGAGATTAATCAATATACAGTATTTACATCTCCTATTATGTCTCTTAATAACTTCACTTTACTTCACTTCACTTTGCAATCATTCATTATTCATTATCCCTTTGGGGAGTAGAACGCATAGGTGGTGGTTGACTTTGTGATCCTGATAATTCAATTAAACCAGTATTTCCCAATTAGGAATAATGATTACACGCGCGCGTCACAAATTAAAAATGGTATAACTGAAAAATTTCGATGAACTATCTACAATCTACAGGTTATACTTAAGTTTACTTAACTTAACTCTTAACTTATATAGTGTTACAGTTGGTTGTTGGTCATTACCGTAAGTAAAGAAAAACCATGTCGACTACCACTGCTCCGGTATTACCTACCATACAATTAAAGGTTAATTATAATGATATTCAAGCTATAATTAAAGATTTTATTCAATCATTTAAAGATAGTACAATTGATATTGAAGATTTAGATATTGATAATGAAACTCCAATTCATTCAGGTAAATATATGAATTTACTTCAACGTGTAGCCAATCGTGAAGAAACTTCTGTACTTATTGAATTTGATGATTTAAAAAGTTTCCTTAGTAATTATGAAATTAATCATGATGGTTCAAGTTCTCAATTAACTTCTTCAAGAAGTTTATTAACTACTATATTAAATAATACTCATAGATATATTGAATTATTTTCAAATGTAATTGATGAAATAATGCCCGAACCAACCAAAGATATTAGTTATAAAGATGATGTATTAGATGTTATATTACATCAACGTAAATTAAGAAATTTAAGATTACAACAAGATAGATCGGAAGAAATTAATAATTTAAGAAGTGGATTTAATATGAATGATGATAATTCAACAAATAATAATCAATTAATTAATTCAAATGATTCAAGTGATGGATTTTCTCCTAAATTAACTCGTCGTTATAATCTTTATTTTAAACCTTTATCATTTGATAATGGTGTTAAACCAGCTTTAGCAGTTAGACAAATTAAAGGAACTCATGTTGGACATTATATTACAGTTAGAGGTATAGTTACTAGAGTATCTGATGTAAAACCAAATATTTTAGTTAATGCTTATACTTGTGATAAATGTGGTTATGAAATATTTCAAGAAGTAACTTCAAAAACTTTTACACCATTAAGTGAATGTACTGCTCCAGCTTGTAAAGCAGATAATAATAAAGGTCAATTATTTATGTCAACTAGAGCTTCTAAATTTTCAAGTTTTCAAGAAGTTAAAATTCAAGAATTATCAAATCAAGTTCCAGTTGGTAATATTCCTCGATCACTTACAATTCATGTTAATGGAGATTTAGTTAGAGAAATGAAACCAGGTGATACAGTCGATGTTTCAGGAATTTTTATGCCATCGCCATATACAGGCTTCCGGGCATTAAAAGCCGGATTATTAACAGAAACTTATTTAGAAGCTCAATATATTTATCAACATAAGAAACAATATGATTTAAATAATATTTCTAGTGAATTTGAAAATATTATTGAACAATTAAGAAATGATGGGGATGGATATACAAAATTAGCTAAATCTATTGCTCCAGAAATTTATGGACATTTAGATATTAAAAAAGTTTTATTATTATTATTATGTGGTGGAGTTACTAAAGAAATTGGTGATGGATTAAAAATTAGAGGTGATATAAATGTTTGTCTTATGGGAGATCCTGGGGTTGCTAAATCTCAATTATTAAAAGCTATTAGTAAAATTGCTCCAAGAACTGTTTATACTACTGGTAGAGGTTCTTCAGGAGTTGGATTAACTGCTGCAGTTATGAGAGATCCAATTACTGATGAAATGGTTTTAGAAGGTGGAGCTCTTGTATTAGCAGATAATGGGATTTGTTGTATTGATGAATTTGATAAAATGGATGAAAGTGATAGAACTGCCATTCATGAAGTTATGGAACAACAAACTATTTCAATATCTAAAGCTGGTATAACCACAACTTTAAATGCTAGAACATCTATTTTAGCAGCTGCTAATCCATTATATGGTAGATATAATACAAGATTATCTCCTCATGAAAATATTAATTTACCTGCAGCTTTATTATCAAGATTTGATATTATGTTTCTTATATTAGATCAACCATCTCGTGATAATGATGAAAGATTAGCTCATCATGTTGCTTATGTTCATATGCATAACAAACAACCTGAAATGGATTTCGAACCATTAAATTCTGCTACTATTAGAGAATATATTGCAAGAGCAAGAACTTATAGACCAGTAGTTCCAAAAGAAGTTGGAGATTATGTTGTTCAATCTTATATTAATATGAGAAAGGAATCTCATAGAAATGAAGATTCAATTAAAAAATTTAGTCATATAACTCCCAGAACTTTATTAGGTATATTAAGAATGGCTCAAGCATGTGCAAGATTAAGATTTTCAAATATTGTAGTAATGGAAGATGTTGATGAATCATTAAGATTAATTCAAGTATCTAAATCTTCATTATATTCTGAAGATGAAAAAGTAAGAGAAGATGAATCCAGTACTACTAAAATTTATCAATTAATTAAAACCATTGCTGAAAATAATGGTTCGGGATTCCAAAGAACTTTATCCTTAAATGATATTAAAGATAGAGTAATTGCTAAGGGATTTACGGTTCAACAATTTGAAGATTGTATTTTAGAATATGATCATATTGGAGTATGGCATACTATCGATAATGGAGAAACTTTAATGTTTGTTATGGCCGATGAAGATGAAGATGAAGATGAAGATATGGAATAGATTTCCATTTTTGTATAATAGTTCCCTTGTTTCCTAATCTCTTGTTTTGTAATAATAATAATAATGATATATAAATAAAATATATATGTTCTACATTAAATTTTTAACATATACATCTATTGTATTAAACACTATAAAACACTTATAGAATAATATCAATACTGTAAAAAAAAATAATACAAATTATACTAACAGATATAGTAGTAATAAACAAACAATTTAACAAACCATTAAAACCCAATCTAATAAATGATTCATACCCAATATAATGTTTGTTTGTTTGCTTGCTTTTTTTTTCTTAATTTAATTTAATTAACTCAAAATTAACTCAATCTCTAACTCTTTGGAATATTCTCCAATTTGACCTTACCTGTTTCAATCCAATAAGGATCAATCAATTTTTCCTTTTCTTCATACATAACTTTATAAGAAGTTTTAATGGTACCATCACTTACACCAGTTTTATCACTAATATTTGATGGTTGTAAATCAATACCAAATACTAAAGCTGCCATATAAATCACAGTGGCAGCAATAGTTGTTGGAGATCTACCAGCTAAAACTCCAACTTCTTTACAACGTCTTGCAATATATTCTGCGGCATTCGTAACTTGAGTATTTAAACCTAAATGTGAACAATTTCTTCTAATTAAATCTTCTGCAGAAGTTTGAGTAGTTTGTTCATTATCAGGAATAAAGTATGAAGCATTTGGATTAGATGCATTCTTTTCTTGAATGAGTGTATTCATAATTTTAAATACTTTACCAATTTCTTTACGAGGAACATTAGTTAAAGCCCAAATTTCTTTAAATGAACGAGCAACTTTAGCTTTACGACATCCAATAAAAATTGAAGCTGCCATAATAGATTCTTGAGATTTACCTCTTAATCTTTTTTCATCATAAACTAATTTATAAACTTCTTTTGCACCATCTTGAACAATCTTTGGTAATTGATAACCATCACACATTTGAGAAATTTTTGCATAAGCTGCTGCTAATGCATTATCTTTTTTATCAACTAATGATTTAGATTGTGCTCGATTTAAATCTCGACCAGTTCTACCAGCTTCTGGAGCATAAGAAATAGCAGTTGATAAATCTTCTGTATCAAATAATGGATTACCTGCATCACCTACACGACTTGGATCATCCCCATTTTGATCATCATTACTAAAAGTTCTCCATTCAGATCTTGTATCAACAACTCTATCACTAAGAACTAATCCACAACTACCACAAACAATATCTCCTTCACTAAATCTTTCAATTAAATCTGGTGGAAATATTTTACATTCAGGACATGTTAATGTTACATTCAAATTTGGTCCAGTAAATGGTACTACATCATCATCTAATAAATTTTTGGTTGATGATGCATTTGATGATGCTGCAAGTGTACTTGTAGCTGCTACCATAATGAAAGACTTTATAAAAACCTTTGAACTTTGTTAGATATTGATTATTTGATTTGATTAGTAATATATATATATATTCTACAAACTAAAAAAGAGCTTAGCTTCGCTATGCTTGGCTTCGAATCTTCCAAAATTCACACTCAATGATTTCGACTTCGATAATCGATGATGTGGACAACTGCAATAGTCGAGTTAACGGTACAGCAGCTATACGATGGATTTATACCTAAATTTATTAGGTAAGTTATGGGTTGATGGAAGGTAGTTATTCACCTCTGAAGAACAAACAGTTACTCCCATTAGTAATTTACCAATGGAAGGTCACTATTCCTTTATAGATTTTTTTTTCCTTTTTCTGTTTTGAGGTCGTGTGCGCCCCCTCATTTTTTAGAGTAATTCGCATGATGCTGATAAGGAAGGAACTAAGCGACAGTTTGCACCCATTACTAAGCTATAGAAATAGGGATATTTAATGTGAATATTAAAATAGAAATATATATTTAACTGAGTATATATTATAGTATAGTATATATTATAGTATCTATTATATTATCTATTATATTATCTATTATATTATCTATTATATTATCTATTATATTATCTATTATAGTAACTACTATAGTAATCATAACACTTTTCTAGTCTTAGAAAAGTTTACATGTAGCAAATGTTAGCTTTAATTACCTTATCAATCTATAACCAGTAGCAATAGTAGCAGTATTAGCTTAATTACCAAACCAATAAGTCTGTAAATGTGATTAGTAAAGTTAGGGCCATTCATATACATGTTTATTTATTACTTCTCAAGCAACTTATTTGTCTTATGTTGGTTGTAGAAGAATTGTGTAATGATTGAATATCAAAAGAGAGTAGCATTACCAGCAAGTAATGATCATAAATGATCAAAGCTATTATCTCCCTTTCATTCTGTATTCAACAACATGATCACGAATGACCAAACCACAACTAGTACAGACTAGATCACCTTCTCTGAAACAGTATTCAAGATTAGGTGGATATTCTTTACAGGATGAGCAAACTATCCGAACATTCAAATTAGGAATGGTTGTTGGGGATTGTTTATAATTGAGCTTATCCATCTTGAAGTGTGGTTATAAGAAAGAAAGGAAGAAAGAAACATATAAAGATAATTTAAAATTAAATCCCCATTTCTTTGGCAAATTTAATGCAACTTTTGCAGCCATTATGCCCTAATTTTTTAGGGCAACTCGTAATTGACTCTTCTATATCGAGCATATTTACAAATCTTAAAAAGGAAATTTAATGATACTATAAACTACTCTAATCTAATGTTACTGGATCATCCCAACTACCCATACCCTTACCTGCAGAGTACTTTTTATTTAAACTAGGATTACTTCCAGATTGAAGAGGATTAAAATAAGCATTTCCTAGAGCCAATAGTTCCTCGTCTAAGCTATCGTTAAACTCGTCAGTTTCATCGTCATTGTAATATGGTTTTCTCTGAACTGGGGCTGACTTGGTCTCTCGCTTTACAGCGGCTAATGGTCTATCGTCATCATCTTCATCTTCATCGTCAGATAAAATTATAATGTTTTCGTCCTCTACACCTTCGGAAGCTCGTTTACTGGCTGTTGTAGAGTCATCTATGATCTTATACAATCTCATTTCAAATAATTCAATTTTCTCTGTTTCCTTAGGAGTCGATTTAACAAAATAATTGTATGAGTCACTAATTAGTAAATCATTAAGATAAAATTTGGTATCACATAATGGACATTTATATACGGGAACTGATGGAGATGGTGGTGGTAAATTTCTAATCGGTATAGAAGAAACTGGATTTTCAATTAGTCGAACGTAATCTGAAGCCAGCGATAATATACCCGGAGGTGGCAATGAAGTATGTGGATTCAAGTTCAGCGAAGTTCGATGATCACGAGAATTTTGATTCTTATGTTGTCCATTGACATTTCTTGAACTATTGTTGTTTTTATTATTGGCGGCTTGGGCATATTTCTTTCTTAAAAGATTCTTCTTTGATAAATCATGCTTTAATAAGGATTGTATATGGAAAGGTATTTTATTAAATATACAAAACGTGTCAAAGTCAAAACATTCAAAATGTATGCAGAATCTTGATTTAATTGGTAATTTAATTTTAGTTGCACTCAAAGGGTCCTTTAATGTGAATATCAATTTCTCAGCCACTAATAATTCGTCTTCAGTTGACTGAGATTGGTCACCTTCATTAAATGCATTTAATCTACCTAATTCTACCTGTAGAAGAGGTTTTATATTTGGTGGAACAGGTTTATAGGCAGACAAATCTGGTTCCTTAGATTTTGGTGGAGGTGGAGGAGGTGGGGGTGGAATAACTTGCCTTTGAGATTGTATTGGTGATGATGCAGGCTGAGATTTGGTGGTGGATGGCTTAACTTCATTAGATGATTGGAAATAAGTAACATTTGAAGATAAAGCTCTATTTATTTCACTTTCTAATTGGAATATTTCATCATCTGAAGAAAAGGGATCTTCAGATATTTCTTCATCATCTACGTTGGGGATTTTTGGGATAGAATTATGGTGATTATTAACTACAATATCTTCTTCGTGATTTTCTTCTGGATCTTGATATCGTATCTTTTCTTGTGTTGTATTAGGTGGATGCTTGTCATTTGATGTAGAATATTTATAATCTGGAGTTTGGCTCCTTTTTACTATAGTGTCAAATTCATTTTTTAAGCTGATAAATCGTAAAATAGAAGGCTGTAGATTTATAGTTACTTTTAATGACGGTATGCTTTCATTATGTATTGTAACTAAGTTACTTTTTGGTGAAGAGCTACTTGTATCTTCGGAAGAATCTAGTCTTTGTGATGATCGTAATATTCGGGACATTTGAAGATGTGATATTTCTGCAATATTTAGCAATTATAATAGGCCTATATCATTATCTTGATATTAGAATATGTCGACTCGTCGATACTTCAGACAGTAGTGAAGATTAGTAAATGGTTCCATTTTGGGAGACTAAGGCTTAAATTTTTATATATTACAGATCCTAAAAGTTATGTCGCGAAAAATCTACAATTTTGTCGTAAACGTTTTTTTTATTTGTGACAAATGCATTTAATATATTGAAAAAGTTAAAGTGTATATATATACTGTAAAGAAGAATTGAATGATGATATTGAAAAAATAGCTATGCAAGAATGTGAAATCTATAGCTTCTAAACCAGAGAAGGATAGTACCATTTTTTTTGCTTTCACTAAATTGTTATTGAGTTGTATGAATAGAAAGCGTTTTGGTACCTTCCTTATGCGATATGCTTGATTTAATATAGGGCTAACTATATTGATAACGATAATAATGCTAATAATGATAATAATGATAATAATTATAGTAAAGTGGTCTAGTATCTTCTAGCCATTCTTCTACCCATCATCATACCACCTCCTAACATCATTGGAGCCATCATTCTTCTTCTACCCATCATGGAACCAACTAAAGCACCACCAGCTGCAGAAGCTAAGACGGTACCCATACCGACACCACTCTTTTGGTATACTGGTTGTTGTTGCTGTTGTTGTTGATGGTGGTTGTTATGAGATCCTTGACAACATGATGACTGTTGTTGAACATGTTGATGTTGTTGAACTTGTTGTGGTTGAGCAGTATAACCATGTTGTTCATAACTTGGAGGAGCAGCAGAACGAGAAACTGCAGGAACTTCCCATTGAGATTCACCAGTTGCAGTATTGACGTAATAGTAACATTTATATTCTTCATCCCATTGAGCAATCCAACCTTGAGGTAATTGAGGTGGAGGAGGACGAGAAGGTCTTGAATTTTTTGAAATTGAACTAGATTGAGCCATTGTAATAATAGTTGTTGTAGTTATAATAAGCGTGTAATTTGTAAACTGTTAAGTTATAAGTAATAATTGTTTGTGTTTGTTTGATGAGGTTATAAGAAATATAATTAAAGTTGGTTGAATCAACTGGATCTTGGACAAGTATTTATATCTTTTTGCAATCGCTCATTGCATCACTTCCCCATACAACCTCGCCAGCTTTTGTCAGGCTGAAAAATTTAAGGAGTGCGCACTTTTAACTATGTCATGAGTCCTTGTGCAGGAAAATGACTTTTTTGGCAGTGCTTTTCCCGATGAGGATGATCATAGTAATCATTTTTATATGCATGATATATGACATGAATGATAAATTCCCACATTAAATTGTTACGTCGTAGATCTTTACTTTTACGATGATATGGTTCAATTTACAAATACGGATAAACTTTTTAACTTAGCCTTTCCGACCCTTATATTATCAAGAGCCCTTGTGACTTCGGCTTTCTATGGCAATTTACCGGAATCATTCCTAAAAGCTTCTATACAGCTAATAACCATCTATTTTCATGCAACTATAACAATAAATGTCATACTTAAATATTTACCGGTTATAGTACTTTCATATGTAGGAATATTAGAGCCATTTTTTACTAGTTAACATTTTGCTGATTGAATATGACAGCCGCATATTTCCTAAAAGGGGGGGCGCACAAATAAAATGACTTATATTAACCAAACAGCTATTTACAATTACTAAGGGATTAAGGCTAACAAAATTATACGACATGACATGACATTAAATGAACTTAATTAAGTTTAGGCACATGTTTATGTTTAAGCTTGAGTTCTTTCAAACTTAAACTCTGTATCTAATGCAGTAGAGATTTCTTCTTCGAGTAATTGAGTTAATGAACTACCATCTCTTAATGTAACCCATTTTCCTTCAATTGAATCATATCTCTTTGGACCACTAATAGGACTACTAAGCCATATTTGTTTATTGGGAGGTTGTTTATTAATAACATAAGTCCCATTTGGTGGTAAAGAAATAGTTAACACACCTTGAGTTAATTCACTATCAATTTGAGGGTAACTTTCACTTAATTCTTCTAATTCATCAGCCAATGTATCTAAGTAATCGTTACTTATCCCATTATACTCATTTATACTTAAATGATCTATCTTATCCTCGACACTTTCTCCCTGTGTATTTATATAACTGTTGAATCTAACAGTTAAGAACTGTGGCTGTCTCCATGGACCAGATCTTGCACTTACAGAACTTAATCCAAATTGAGTGCCTCTAATTAATCTGCTACATGAAACCAATGATCTTCTTCCTATATTTCTAATCATATTGATATTGATATTGATATTGTTGGTATACGGTAGTACGGGAATTAATTGACAAGTCTTAAGACTGTAACCGGCTTAGAAAAACCACTCAAGTTCATTTTTTTTCACTCAAAATTTTGGTCGGGATTTCCGAGCATCTGGGTACAGCAGATCATCTCTTCAACAGAAGTTTGAAAAATCAGAGGTTTCGAAGATATTAACTTATCTAATATTATTCTCAGTAAGCTACCGTTCAATCATCTGATATGTTTTTTACTATACTATTGTTTGCCATTGTTATTGTGGCATTGGTATTAGCTTTACCATATTTTTCCGGTTTAACTACCATTGAAATAGATAAAAAGGCAAGACAACTGCAAAAGAAGAAAGAACAACAACAACAACAAACACAACCAGTAACACAAGCTTCTTATGGATATATTCCTCCTGACGAACAGAGACGTGTTGAAGAGGAAGAAAATAACAAGCATTCCTTAAAGGCTAGAGCCTCAGCTTTGAAAGATAAAATTAATGTAACTTCTCAAGACATTCCAATTAAAATAAAGTTAAATTCTGAGAATGCTTCTGGATTAAGACAAAGACATAAAGAGAAATTGGATATTGATAATGATCCAAATAATTATGATTATGATTTAGATGACTTGATTAAAGAAGAAACTGAGCAAGCTAAGATTGAACAAGAAGCTGATTTTTATAAAGATCAAGACATTGGAAAAGAAAAGGAAGAAATGGTCTAGATCAATATACATATAGATATATCTATATATGTCTCTATCTATATCTCATACATTCATATTACTCCTGCTTTATATATAAAAGAACTTAATGTATAATTATCAATATTGGGTAAATCACACCCTTACCGCAATACTAACCCAATGGGATCATGATGGTCGCAAAACCACAATGTGCTTTTAGCGGTTTTTTTTAACAGCCTAATCTTAACCTCTTCATTAGCGCCAAAACCCTCCTGATTTCAAATAGATATATTAAGTTCCACCAATTTTTGCTATATTAATCAATTATCTATAATGGCTTTATGGACTAATCATATTTTTGAAATCATACGAGTGTTTTATCTCACAGTTTGTATTGAATTGAACTTAGTTGAAAAGTATATATGGATGTTCTTGTACTGGTATTTGACATTTTGGAATTCAATCTTTTTAAATTTAATTAATTTGATTGTTTTACTTATTATTGTATGGATCATTTTTGATTATTGGGGATTTCAAAATCCAAAGCCTATTGATAATATCTTTAAAATTCCAGGATATCCAATAGTTGGTAATCTATTCCAGATTCTAAATAATCCTGCTCAAACATATCTTAAATGGTCCAAAGAATACGATGCATCTATATTTCAAATTAGGTTAGGAATTAAGAATGTGGTGGTGGTTAATTCTTATAATGATATTTATAACTTATGGGTTAAACATTCATGTGCAAATAATTCCCGCCCATCACTTCATACATTCCATGGAATTGTTTCAAGTACTCAAGGATACACTGTTGGTTCAAGTCCAGCTGGTCCATCATATAAGCTTAAAAAGAAAACTCTTGCACAATATTTACATCATAAAGCATTAGAAGGTGTTAAATGGTTAATTGATGAAGAATCAACTTATATGATCAAAAAGATTATTGAAAATAATCGTGAATTATCTGGACCACCTTCAACATATATGTATGGAAATATTAGAAATGAGTATAGTGATATAGACTTACTGATTTTTTTACAATTATTTGCTTTGAGGAGCTCTATATTATTAGCTTATGGAATAAAATTAGATTGTTATAATAGAGATCAAGAATTATCCCAAACCATTATTGATACTGAAAACCAAATTATTCAAATAAGATCTCCGGTAGGAAACTTACAGGATTACTTACCTTTTCTTAGATATTTCCCTTTTAAAAACAATCAAGCATCAAGGACAAGATCAAGAAGAGATGGTTATATGTCTTATTTAATGGAGCAATTAAATTCAAAGTTAAAAGAGGGTGATCCTTTAGCTATAAATAGTATAGTTGGGAAAATTAAACTTAACAGACAAACTTCACTCATTAATGACGAACAAATCCAAAGTATTTGCTTAACTTTGGTTAGTGCTGGTTTGGATAATACCCCCTTAAATATTAATCATTTAATTGGACATTTATCTCAACCAAATTATGGTCAATTAATCCAAGAAAGGGCATATTCAAAATTAATGGAACTTAGTTCTAATAATTTATTATTAGCATGGGATCAATCTCTTGAAATTAAATGTGATTATATTATGGCTTTAGTACAAGAAAGTTTAAGGTTTTTCACTGTATTACCTCTTGGTTTAGCTAGAGTTACTACCAAGACCATCAATTATATTCAAGGAGATTTTGTCATTCCTAAAGAGACTATATTAATGATGAATGCATTTGCAGCCAATCATGATGAAACTCAATTTAACATGCCTTATAAATTTAATCCTGAAAGATGGTTAGATTCTGAAGGTAGTTTAATTATAGGTAATGAATTATGTCATTTCACATTTGGTGCTGGGTCAAGAATGTGTTCAGGAAATATGTTAGCACTTCAAGAATTATATACTTTAACTTGTCGAATGATTCTTTGTTTCAAAATCAGAGCTCCTACTAAGGGTTTAATGGAATTAGATCCATTTAAGAATAATCTGAATCCAAGAGCCACTAGTTTTGAACCTAAACCTTTTAAAGTTAGATTAGAACCTAGAACTACGCATATGGATGCTGATAAGTTATATCAAAAGGTTACAGGATGATTTAATTAAATTAAATTAAATTAAATTAAATTAAATTATGATTGTATTATTATTAGCAATTTATATATATATATCACTCTAAATTTCTTTCATTATCATCATTATTATATTTCGTATTATTATCACTGTTGCTCTATTTGTTTTTGATCAATATAAGTAAATTGTGTAGGATCTATATATCCAGTTTTATCAACTACAACGGATTTTATATTCTTACCAATAGACATTGGTAAATTATATTTCAATAATCCTCTAACCACTAAATCAAATGGATTTTTTGAAATGATCTCCCATTTCTTAGAGTTATCTGGTTCAGTAGAATTCCCATTATCACCACCATTTTTATCTTTATTTTTATCTTTATTTTTATCTTTATCTTTTTCTTTTTCTTTCTTGTTACCATTAGATAAATTCAACATATTTAAAATATTAGTTAAATTCTTACCAGGAGATATTAATTTAATTTCTCCTGATTGATAAATAGGATCTCGATTAAAGAATCCTCCTCGGAAACTCATTGGAGATTCCAAAGATGTGACTGAACCTAATAAAACTGTGACTACATTACTACTTGATGATAAAATTCCCAAATCTTGTTGATCAGTAATTAAAAGATCATCAGGTAAATAACCACTCTTGGCAAAAATATCTAATTCAACTTCTTCAATATCAACTGAAAACCATCCAGGATTAAAAGCTTCTACTACAATATTAAATATTAATTCATCTTGACTAACAATGGCATTCTCAATAGAAGTAATTGAAACATTAGTTAAATCTTTAGTAGTAGCTAAAACAAATCCCATAATAAATCCAATAGATAATATAGCCACAATACTAACAAGAGTATAAATAAATGATTTAATACAATTAATTCGATAATTATCTACTCCACCTGATTGTTTCCGAGGTAAAAAGAAATGTTGACTATTATATATACCATTTTTACCAGCATTTCTTCCTACTCCTAAATTAACTCTAAAATCATCATTAGCTTCTTCATCATATTCATCAAAATCATAATAAAAATTAGGTTGATCTTGTTCATTATAAGGATATGAATATAATTCATTATTAGCATTTGGTGAAGCTGAACTACTATTATCAGGTAATAATGGTTGACCAGTTGAAAGGTATCTTTTATTTTTTAAATTTGCATTAGCTTTCTTTGCACCTGGGAAATTTAAATTTAAAGATCTATAATGTGGTAATCTATGCAGTGGAACATGAAGTGGAGTTGATTCACTTAAATTATTATTACTACCATTATGAGGGAAACGAATATTATTATCATAATAAATTAATTCATCATCAAAATCTTCAATATCAATATCATCAGGTATAATACTATATCTTCTTGGTTGAGAACCCTTTTTATCAAATAATTTTGAGGTAGTAGATCTTAATTTAGATGAAGAAGTAGTTGAAGATTTATAATTCTTTTTACTACTTTTATTAGAAACTGAAGGTACATTATTATTATTTTGATTTGGTTGATTATGAGATGTATCTATTGAAGGTTGAAGAGTTTGAGGATGAATTGGAGTTGAAATTCCTGGAGTTGAAATAATTCCTGGATTATTAGTTAGAGTAGCATTATTTGATTTTTGAGTGAAATAGTCACCATAATTTGACATTTCATCATCAATTAAATTATCATCTTCATCATCTACTTCATTATAAGAAAAATTATCATCATTATATTCATCAATAATACTTCTAGCAGTTTGAGAATTAGCTGCACTAATATATTTTCTATTAATTCCAACTGATTCATTCATTGGATGATTATCAATATAAGGAGAATTATTATCAGATGATCTTTCACTTGGGAATGGCATTTTATTTCCTGAATCATCATGAGAATATGATGAAAAAGATTGTTGACGATTAACATTTCTTCTATCTCTTGAACTATTATTACCAGTAGTTGCAATACTTTCTAAATAATGATTACTACTAAAAGAATTGGCAATTGATGGAGGTCTATTATTTGTTGGTTGAGGTTGAGCAAATGTATTAGGAGGTGGTAAAATTTTTGACAGTTTATCTTGAGATTCATTTTGATCTTGCAGAGTAGCTAATACAGTCATATTTATTGGATTTGAATTAGTAGCCATTATACTTCCATGAATACTATTTGTATCGGTTAAATTGGCTGGAACATTAATATTATCAAAATCATTCAGATTACTATTTTCATAAACAAATGTTTCATCACTATCACTACTTTCAACTTCATCTACTGCTGAAGCTAATTTAGCAGCAAAGAAATCAGTTCTAGTTGATGGTTGTTTAGGAATTTTCTTCTTTTTTGGTTTATCTGATTTCTTTTGAGACAGTTGACCAGTATCTGTTGTAGGGAGTTCACTTACTTGTGATGGAGTTGTTGTTGTACTGCCAGGATTTAAATTTAAAGATGAATTATTGGGGTGTAATAATATTGAAGTAGTGGAATTTGGTGGAGGTGGTGGTTGTTGTTGTTGTTGTTGTTGTTGCTGCTGCTGTTGTTGCTGCTGTTGTTGTTGTTGCTGTTGCTGTTGCTGTTGCTGTTGCTGTTGTTGCTGCTGTTGTTGTTGTTGCTGCTGTTGCTGTTGTTGAGATGATGGTGGTGGTGGTAATACACTATTACTACCAGAAGGAATTATTTTAGAACTTCCCAAATTAAGATCATTTGATTTAATAAGGGATGCATCTAAAGTATCATTCTCATGAATTGCTATATTGGTTGAAGAAGATATATTATTAGGAAATATTGATGATTGTGGAGATGTTGTTATTGTATCATTAATTAAAGAAGATGTATTTTTTAATGGTTCTCTTGAATTGATAACTTTTTGTTTTGCTTTTAAAGATTTGTTTATATTATTAATAGTATTTTTATTTAATAAAACTTGAGATGGGACTAAATTAGAAGTTGTACTTGATAATGATGGAGATGCTATAACTGATGGTGCATTACTTGAATTATTACTATTAGAATTATTTGTCGGTATTATAATATTATTATTAGTGGTATCAATAGTTTTTATAGGATCTTTAGGATCTATAGCAACTAAAATCTTTTTAGGAACTTTAAAATTGTTTGTTTCTATTTCATTCAGTCCATTACCTTTATTAATATCAGAACTTGTGGTAATAGATGATGTTATTGTGGATGTAGTTGGAGGTATAGGAGTAGCAGTAGAATTTGAATTTGAATTTGAATTTGATTGTGATGGAGGTGTTGATGTTTCTATTGAAAGATTCTTAATGTTTTTAGAAGGACTAGTACTTGAAGATTCTAATACAGATACTGATACAGATACTGAATCCTTCTTATTAGAAGGTATAGAATGAGTATCAGTCATGGTATAACAAATACAACAAATTTACTAAATCACTATAAGTTATAATATTAATATTACTCTTAAGAATATAACTCCCACAATTCTCAGTATAGTTGCAACAACTCCCACTTCCCTTAACTAGCAACTATTGCTGGGTATGTATCTGAGTAAAAAAAAAAAATTTATTCACTGTGTAGTTTAAAGTATTTTTTTTTTGTGATACTAGATTTTCTCGTCTGGCAACAACAATAATAATAATAATGAAAATAATCAAGTGGTTTATGGCGTAGCGAGTGGAGACAATGACCAGTGCGAACGAGGGTGTGTGGGTGTTAATGGTTCAAAAGAATAAAGTTGGGTTATATATTTTTGTTTTGTACAAAGTTTCTATATAAGTCGCACTTACGATGGGTTAAATGGAATTATACCTCCTCCACCCCAGGCATCATAAATTGAGCTTGGCGGTGGTGGTGGTTGATTTTGTGTTTGACCTTCTGGTATTACTGATCCTTCTTTAGTGTATACATTGTAGAATAATCCATATGAATTGATGATATCTTGATCCATTCCTTCTACTTCTTCATCCTGTTCTTGTTCATCATCCTCTTCATCTTCTTCATCATCGTCTTCTTCCTCTTCTTCGGCTCTGCCATTTGCTCCATACCCTCTAGTATCAGCCGTACTTTCTCGTGAATTGCTCATACTAGCAAAGTAATTCTGAGGAAATTGCGTCGATCGAGAATCCAGTATCTGTATACTACTGGTAAGACCACGTTGTTCATGATGAGTATGATATGGTTGTTGCTGTGATTGCTGTGATTGCTGTTGTTGTTGTTGTTGTTGTTGCGGTTGTTGAAATCCTGGCGCATCAGTTAGATTCCTCATGGTCTCCCAAAAATCTAATCCATCCTCTTCTGGTAGATCATTCTTTGATCTTTTACTTGTATGACTCTCAACATCATCATTACCTCTTTTCTTACTTTCTTCAGCTACTGCAATTTCAACAGCTTGAGTTAATGGTGTTAAAGGATGTGATTGTGGTGTCTTTTCTCGTATAAAACGGTCATTAATATTATTATTATTATCATTATTATCATTGTTATTATCATTATCACCAATATTATTATGTTTATCATTCTGATTCAATATCTTAAGAAGATCAGAATCTTTGGAACTAGCATTTTTAGAAGATAGTATAACTCTTTTACTAGTACCCATTTTAGTTGAGCTATGATGATGATGATGGTGATGATGATGATGATGATGTTGCATACTTAATGCAGCAGTACCAGAACCTCCTTTCTTACTTGAAGGTGGTGAAGTATTAGATACTAACTTAGGCACTTCTGTTAATGGTGGTAAATAATTGAAATGTTGTAATCTTGGCAATTGAGTTTCAGGTTCAACGTAAAATGCCAGCAGACTACCTTGTCCAGATGGTGGACTTCCAGATGCATTACTACTAGTTGCACTTGCACGATGACCACGTCGACTATTATCACCTTCTTCTGATCCTATAACATTTAATGGTGAAGCAAGAGATTGTAAACTATTATAATCTCCAGGACCAAAATGTGGTTGAGGAGGTGAATAATGATGATGAATATGTTGATGAACTGTTATATCAAGACCATTATGTGTGGCATAAGAAACCAATGCTTGGACTAATTCTTGATTTCGTATAACACCTCCATTTTCATCACTGAATAATTGATTATGAGGTAACTCTTCATTAGTATCACTTAATGTATATCTCCATTCAACATGAGTATTTGATGCTGGAGGATATGTGGTTGCTCTTCTCAGATAAGTTTGACCCTGACTTTGGCTCTGATCATGCCCAGCTTGAGGAGAACCTCCTGAATTCATCACATCTTGAGGGGAAGTTTGTTGCAGATGACCATGTTGAGAGCGTCTCAGTGATCCGTTTTGAGAATTTGATGATGATGATTTCTTTAACGAAGACCGTTGACTTCCAGAATTATTATTATCTCCATGATTTAATTCTTGTTGTTGCTTATTTATTACATCAATTATTTCTGTATTACCATCGGTTGCAAATTGAACTTCTCTCTTTATAAGTTCTGATGCCTTACCTCTAACTACATCGGTTAATATCTTTCTCCATCTATTACGACATGTTAAAGATGGTCGACCACTAATACTTGAAGAAATAGTTCTCCATTTAGTCCCATGTTTTCTCACTGATCTAATTAATACTAAATCTTCTTCTTCAGTCCAAGGCTTTAATCTATCTTTTGTACTTGGATCCAAAACTTCTAAATATCTCTTTGCACATTGATCTTCAGTTCTACCTTGAATTTCAGCAGCAACTTTTTGCCATGATGGACCATATTTCTTGTATGCTTCCTTTAATTTTTCATCTTCATCTTCTGACCATCTCCCTTTCTTTAAATTAGGATCAAGTGAATTAGACCATCTCTTTCTACAATCATTACCTTTCCTTTCACCAGATGGAGATAAGAGTTCTGCAATTCTATCCCAATGAACATGATCAGTATCTAAACTCTGCCATAATGGATAATTATCCTTAATAAGTTCAAGTAATGATAAATCTTCATCTTTAGTCCAAGCTTTTCTAGATTCTCGACGAAATATTTGAAATCCAAGCGATTCAGTTATAGCCAATGCATCTATTGGAATTAACTTTTTCTTATTAGATCCTGATTTGGAGGTGGTAGAATTAGTGCTCGCATTGGAGACTGAGGGTAATATGTCACTATCGTTAGGCATATGTCTCTATTCGTTATACGTTGTTTGATGTATGTTACTCCTTGTTGTTGATAATATATGAATTGATCTGGATAATTAAAGATTTTTAAATTCTTGATAAATAATAGATATATTATATTCAAATATTATGATTTACAATAGATACAACAATAATGATTAACCAAAATAAATAAATAAAAAAAGAAATAGAGTTTCTTATTATGTATTATGTAGATGTCTAACGGTTAGTATCCTAAATCAGTTTAGTTTAAGCTAATTGGGGGATACTACGAAAGTTATGTATGGAATATTTTGATGCGGCTTTTATTTTATGGCCATATAATTATAATAATATAATAATATTAATGATGATATTTGGTTGCTAAATTTGATTGTGTGCTGCTGAGGTAATTCACATCCAACCATCATCAAAAAGAGTCATTTCAACCCATATCCTGTTTGGTTCCTGTTTGTGCAGAGGGTACTAAAAAAATTTGACTCTTCGGCTTCCTGCATGCAATCGCGGGTACCAGAAAAAAAAGAAGATTTGGGGGTAGTGAGAATATTTTAATATGGGGATAATGTAACCTAAGATAGTAACTCATAATTATTTATTGAGTGTGGTTTTGAGCTTCTCTATTCAATCTAATGGTTTTATTATCTATTAATCTTAATAAATTTCTTAATAACATTGAGATAGTAACTTTACCAATAGATGGTACATATAAACCTGCTTTTGATTTGACCCCTTCATCAAAGTTTTTATGACTAGCAAAATTTATAACTACTGCACCATTTGTAATATATTGAATTGGGAATTTATATTGATCTGATGGAACTCCAGTTATTATAACATCACATAAAGGTGCTATTTTTTCTAAAGTATATTCATTTTTATCAAGATCAACTACTTTATGTCTATGAGATGATAAATCATCACCTCTTGTAAATTGTTGAATATTATTAATATCTAATGAATATACTGTTGCACCATCATTTGCAAGTAATGCGGCTAATGGTCTACCAACAATTTCAGATCTATTAACCACTAATATTTTCTTACCATATAATCTATTTCCATAATGTAAAATTTTATTGTAAACTCCTAAATATTCCAATATTTTAACCATTGCTAATGGAGTACATGGTAAAATAGATTTTTGTTCATTTCTTGGTGGATCTAAGAATCTAACATTATGATATAAATTTTGATAATATAAGAAATTTAATCCTTCTACATCCTTTTCAGGAGAAATTAATTGTTGTAAATATTGATCTTGATTATCACCAAATACTGGGAAATATACCATTATACCATTAACATCATCATTTTCATTTGCTTTCATTAATTGACTTTCTAAATCATTCTTATTAACTTTAATTAATTCATAAGTGAAACCTAATGAATCACACGTTTTTGATGTCCAATTAGCATACATCTCAGCAGCAGGATCATCATTGGCTAAAAATCCTACCAATTTAGGTTTAAAATCTAATTTAGATAATCCAGCATTAATTTCTTCTATATATGGTTTAGCAATTGTTGAAGCTAATATAGTTCTACCAGCTGGTTTTGATGGAATCGATGACGTAGTAGTAGATGAATCCATAATGTATTGTTGAAAATATTAACTTATGGATAAAACTAACAAAAGAAAAGAATGAGATAACCTAATTAGGTAACTGAAGTAATAACTTTACTATACTTAAATCAATAAACACTTAACTAAATATAATAATTAAATACAGAAGAATTCAATTACTATATAAATAATACCACCCATACTTTGCTCATCTTCAGAAAATTTCAAGAGAAGTCAAAATGCGCACTTCCCCATACTTTTTTTCTAGTGACTGGTTAGCATCTAATAAATTGATAATGTATAGAAAAATAACTCTGAAAAATTGAGATTACTCTAATGAGGATAAATTGCAGCCATTAAAAATTACCCTATATAATTATAGTATTATGTTATTATTGTGTTATAGTATTATTATAGTAGTGTATTATTATAGTAGTGTATTTCTAATACTATTTATTTAGCTTTACTTTACTTGACTTTACTTTAAGTGTGCACTCGCATTCTTATATAAACTTTGCCATATAAATGCTTCACTCAACATTAATTCAATATCCTTTTCCTTCCAATAAGTAGTCGGAGGATTTTGTAAAAATAATAAAATCTCTTGAAAATCTCTTTCCTTAAGATCATTACTGAATTTAATTAAAAATGCTGCACATACATAAACATGAAAATTATTAAATCCTAATGGAGTTTCACTAAGATAAGTATCCCACATTCTAATAATTAATCCAACAGATAATTCTCTCATTAATAAACAATTCATCCATCTAAATGAAAATTGAATAAATTCAACTCCTTCATTATCTAAATGATTTAATAATTCAAGATCCATTTTAGATATAAGATTTTTTAATTCACTTACTTGTCTTATAATTCCTGGTTGTTGATGAATATAATTATCAGTAATATTTTCTAATAATCTTGATAAACACCAATATGTATCTGCCTCAATTATTGAATATACTCGACTAGAAATTAAACTTGGATCTATATTATCAATGGTATAATGTAATAAATTAGGATCATTAATTAATGATTGTTCCTTTTCATCTTTATTTTCACTATCCAATAATCCAGGTATAAATAATTGTAAATCTTCTAATTTAGTTTCATTTTCTCCAAAAACTGTACGTTGTAATTGCCATAAATAATTCCCTAAGAATATTTGAAAAAATGGTGTAACTAAATCATTTATTCCTTGAACATATCCACTTGCAGGATGTCTTACTGCCCAAAGATATAAAATTTTTCTTAATGATGTTTGAATTTCTGGGTAACTATATAATTTAATATTAGGATGAGTTCTCTTTACATCTATATTTATTTGATGATATATTTGTTTATCACGATTATTATTTGCTAATGATGTTGCTGAATTATTAGAACCTAAATTTGATGAAATATTACCAGAAGTTCCATTATTATTTGTATTATCATTTTCAAAATCTATTGTTATTACTCCTGCAATTCCTTCAATATATTCTTGTCTTTTCCTCTTTAATGTAGAACTTTGTCTTGTTTTATTGGTAGGTAAATATCCCAATAGTAATTGCCATGAAATTGCTCGTAATTCATTTGGAATACCATTCCAAGAAATTTTTCTTAATTCATTCAAATTTATATTATTATCTGATGTTAAGATTCTTCTGAATTTTGAATATTTTGTATTCAATTGATTTAATCTATTGATTTCTAGTTTTATTTGATAATCTTCATCATCTAATGATTCCTTTGAAGTTCTTCCCTTATATTGAGGAGAATTTGATCTAGATCTTACAGGTGCACTTCCTGAAGATATAGGAATCATTAAATCTGGATATAATGAATCTAATACTGGCAGAGGTTGTAAATTTATAGAATCACTCATATTCGCCACTCTTGATAAATTTTTATTCTCAACAATCTTTAAATTTTTAGATACTTCTTCAAGTCCAGCATCCCAATCATCATCATTATCAGCATATCTTGTAGTTGAATGAGATCTACGAGGTCCCTTAAGTAATAAACTTGAACCTGTATTATGAGAATGAGTATGAGAATAAGGAGAAGTATTTGATCTTTCATTTGGTGGTGGAGGAGGAGGTGTTGCAGCATTTACATGAGAAAATGATGCACCTACACTTAAAGATCTTTGATTAGGAATAATTCTATGACCATTATCAATTATACCATTAGGATTAGAACTAGTAGATCCAACTTTTGAATTCCCATAACTTAAAGATCCATATATATTACTATTAATATCATTATAATCATTAGTACTAACATTTGAATTCGTTGAAGATTGAAGTGAAGAACTTGAACTCGTTAACGATAAGTTCTTGAGGAACGACGAAAGATGTTTCCCCTTTCCACCATTCTCACCGAATATAAATTCGTTTTTTGAATGGCTATAAACTTGTGACATCTCTGGTTTCTTCTTCCCCATGATCTAGTACTATATATACCTATTATTCTCAGATTTACAATAATAATAATAAATACTTATACTAATTAAATTATGCTTTACCCTACCCTTCCCTAAATCCATTTTGCTGTTTCGCCATATTTGGCCTTTTCTTCCTGTATATAACTGATGGGTGCGGAAAAAAGATCAGTCAGGAAGCAAGTGAGAGAAGCCAGCAGTGAACGGCTTTATACTTTATACGAGCATTTAGCATTTAGCATTTAGCATTTAGCATTTAGCATTTAGCATTTAGCATTTAGCATTTAGCATTTAGCATTTAGCATTTAGCATTTAGCATTTAGCATTTAGCATTTAGCATTTATCTATCTATACATTATATATAAGTTAATGATATCTAAGCTGAAGTGATTTCACCCTTAACAGCAACAGATCCTTGTTTCAATTCTCTTCCAGAGAAATGTAAAACTCCGTTTTGAGTGATATTGACAGTAACTTCTAATTGAGAGTTTGGTTTTAAATCTTTTAATGATAAAGTAGCTAATTTATCACCAGCTTCATAAACTAATTCTTTAACAATTTCTGGTTCTTCATCTGAATCTTCTTCATCTTCTGAATCATCTTCATCTTTGGTTGGTTCAATGACAGTTTCTTTAATAGTTCTCTTACCTTCATATAATTCAATTAAAATAGAACTTGATTCTCCATTAGTAACTTGTAAAGATTTTTTAATTGGATAAGCAGTTTCAGCAACTAAGAGTGGATGGAATTTACCAGAGGCATCTTTAATACCAATTGGTTTAATTATATGTTGAGTATTAACAACAATAGGTTGTAAAGATTCTTTAATTTCTTCATCATCAAAACTTTCAATTAAGGAAGCTTGTAAAGCAGCACCTCTAGCAACTAATTCAGAAGGATTAATAGCTTTTGCATCTAATGATGGTGCAACAACAGTGGTAGATTCTGGGAAAATAAATTGAATGTTGGAAGCTAATTTAGGAGTATTTGAAACACCACCAACTAATAAGACTTCATCAATATCTAATGGTTCTAAACCAGCTTTAGTAACAGCTCTTTCAACAAAAGCAGTCATTTCAGATAATGATTGTCTTGTAGTTAATTCATATCTTAATCTATTTATGGAAGTATGGAAATCAAATCCTTCAGCTAATGATTCAATAGAACAAGTAGAAGTTTGAACATTAGATAAAGTTTTCTTGACAACAATAGATTCAGCTTTTAATTTAGCTAAAGATCTAGCATTTGTTCTTGGATTAGCCTTATATTTCTTTTCAAATTCTTTAGCAAAGAATTCTGATAAAGCAGCATCAAATTTATCACCACCTAAACCATGTTCATGAGCAGTAGCTAAAATAGTAAAAATACCTCCTCTAACTGAGATAACTGCAGCATCAGATCTTATACCACCAAAATCAGCAACTACATAAATTTTATCTTGTAATGAACGTTCACCATCATCGGCAGATAAATGAGCTAATAAAGCAGCAGTTGGTTCATTAATTAATTGTAATACTTTTAATCCAGATGCATTAGATATCTTAACTAATTCTTCTCTTTGATGTTCAGTAAAATCAGTTGGAACTGTTAAAACAACTCCTTCAATATCTTTACCAATAAAATCTTCAGCAGCTAATTTCAATTGTTTAAAATGTCTAATACTAATTTCTTCAACTGAAAGAATTTCAACTTTATCATTTCTAGTTATTTCATAAGCAATTTCACCATTAGCACCTTTAATTGGTTTAGCACCATTTTGCAATGATTCATCAATTTTAACTTCTTCGAATTTTTTTCCAATAAAATCTCTAAAATTAATAATAGTATTCTTTGGATTTCTAATTAATTGAGATTCTGCTTGAACTCCATGATATTCATCTTCACCTACATATGATAAAGCTGATGGAATAAATCTATCACCATCTGGATTGGCAATGACATCAACTTTTCCTTCCGAGGAAGCAACAGCAATCGATGAAGAACTGTTACCAAATGTAATACCAATGACAGTAGACATGTTTTCTTCTGTTACTTATTGTTTGCAATCGTTTTACAGACTTTAAAGCTGTTGTATGATAAAAAAAAATCTGGTGAAAAAAAATTGTTGATGAGTCTGGAAAATTGTGGGACTGCATATAAGATGCGCAACCGTTTTACTGATTAAATCATTTTACTATACTTTAAATGGGTTATTTCTATATTTAAAGAGATCTTCAACTGTTTAATTATTATTTGGTAACTATTACGGTAGCATAGTATCATTTAATACAAAAATAAATTATTTAATGTAAAATTAAAAAAAGAAATTGGAACAGGTCGTACCCGGATTCGAACCGGGGTTGGTCGGATCAAAACCGACAGTGATAACCACTACACTATACAACCAATTTCTTGATGAAAAATGTGCTAGGCTGGTCACGGAGTATCATAATCACGTGCTTAATTTCATGTGATTATGCACGTGACATTCACGTGATATTTTCAACATTTAAATTTGAAATAATGGTTTCTTTACCCATAGTAGGTATATTTTGAAACAGATTTCTGATTACAACTCAAATGCTTCGTATTTTACTAGTTATCTGTTTCAAAGGAAATAATTTCTTGTGGTATCTCCCCACAATGGTGTCAGAAGGTTTTCACATATTACTGATTGCGATACAATAAGTTAAAAGTTGATTAATGACTTTCCTTTTTCTAACTAGTGTTTCTAATCTGTTTGTATCTTCTTAATCCATTGTTTTACTATTCATATGTCACTGTAATTCCAATAAATTTGTGTTTAGTCAATTGCTGCAACATCAGCAGCTAAAAGATTTAAACGTGTATTTTGGAGATTTCTTGCGAAAATTAAATTACCTATCCCAAAATGGTAGTAGCACGCTAAGGGGGACACTTTACACATTTTAATAATTTCTAGTTTAATCAACATAGTTATCGTATAGTTATAATTATAGTTATAGTTATAGATAAAGATATAGATATAAGTTACAAGGAGAGTCATAATAGTGTATAATGAGTAAACGATCCAATAACAAATTCAAAAGGATCGTTGCATTATCAATAGCATTGATAAGTTTAGTGGGCTTAAGTGTAATCTTATCTATCGATGTGGAAAATCATTCAGTAACCGTTAAACATTTTGGAGGTTCTAGTGACATAACTTCCCATACACATGAAGCCGACCAAGATTATGAAGATAACATAAATGGAAGTGGAGTAGGGAGAATAAAGCTGTCGGATGAGATTGAAGATTTTGAAACAGAAGCAGAAGAACACAGATCTCCCGATACGATCAGACCCAAATTACAACAGTTGAAAGGTGAAAGTGGCAGTGGAAGTAGAAGTGGAAGTGGATCTGGTAGTGGAAATCTTAAAACTAAACCATCATTATCTAATAGTGGGACTGTGGATCCTCCTTCTTTGAAAAAAGCTGGAAAAACCCCAGAAGCTCCTACCACCAAGAAAGTGACTCCATTTAAAGGTATGAAAGCTAGTGATGATGATGATAATTACGAAACACACGAAATAGATCCAAATCCTCATGGATATTTGGGAGATATTACTGAAATATCCGATGAAGAAAAGGAATTAGTGGGGAACATTTATGATAAATCGAGTCAAAGTAAACAATTACCTGAAGGTGTACCCAATAGTAAAGAGAAATATGAAGGAGTATTAGATCCAACGGATTATCCTGTGAATTCTGTACCTTTAGTAAGAAAATCTAAATTAAAGCCTTTTAGTTTCCGGATATATAGTCATAATGTTAGAAATGGAGGTCATAAAGTTTTAGATAAGGGAGAAGATTCATGGGAAAATAGGTTTAGACTGATAACTGCTTCAATTAAATTTAATTGTCAATCTAATTGTGTAGTGGCATTACAAGAAGTTTATAAATTTCAATTAAATGATATAATGGATGATTTAAATAGATATGAACCAAATTCATGGGCATATTATGGGGTTGGAAGAATTGATGGTAAAGATATTGGAGAATTTGTTCCTATTATTTATAAGACTAATGAATTTGTTCCTGTTTATACTGATAGTTTTTGGCTTAATGAGAGAAATCCTCGTATTTCTAGAGTCGGATGGGATGCTCAATATCCTCGAATTGTTTCATATGGTACATTTAAACATAAATTACTGCAAAATTATATTAATGTATTTAATACTCATTTTGATCAAGTTGGTGATGTTGCTAAATTAGGATCCGCCAAACTTGTGATTGATAGAATGAATGAAATTAATGATTGGCCATCATTTCTTGCTATTGATTTAAATGCTGAATGGGTTCATAAATCATTCAAACATATTCAAACATATTATACAGATCTGAAACAATTGGCTACTCCATTTAATATGTATGGACATGAGAAATCATCAGTTACAGGATTTGAAGGTCAAATACTAATTGATGGAGGTCGTAATATTGATTATATTTTTGCACCTAAATATGCCATCAAAGCTGATGATAAGGAAACTTGTGATAAAATAAATCCTTATGAAGCATCAAATAAGATTTCTCTTAGACTTGATGCTTGGGCTATGTTAATTCCAAGTTTAATGGGCGATACATTAGTGATCATCGACCTGTAGTGGCTGATTTCACTATGCGTGGCAAGTGCTAAAGTAGGCAGTAGTAGTAGTACCAGTAGTAGTAGTACCAGTAGTAGTAGTACCAATACTTGTTTAATGACGACTCTAATTAAATATTTACATACATAATACATAAATAATGACCAGACAAGAAATATGTTTACTAATTACAAGAAATTACTATGTACATAATTGCTATGCTATGCTATGCTGAGTCCCCATTCCAGTTATCATTTTCTTGACCGCACAGGCTGAACACTTTCGTCACTGCATTTGATCACTGACAATGTTTTGTCTCTGAGACTGAGACTTTTGTCACGAATGCGAGTTAGTGTCACAAATGTACTTAGTGGTTGAGACACTTTGACTTAGTCCTTCCCAGAGTGATCTAACCCTTTTTTGAGCCTATTGATACTGTTAGCGACATATACCTTTTATTTTTAGACTACGCACAAAATATTCTATAGTTATTCAGTTCAACTATAACTTTAAAACTCATCGAATTCATTATCTTTATCATCAGTATCTCCGGCTTTTTTTTCCACCTTGCCCCGGTTTTAGATTTAGTTTTTGTCTTAGTTTTAGTTTTAGTTTACAAACCAAAGTTAATGATTGTGATCTGGAGTGATCTGTAGTAATTTACATTGATTTGATTTGATTTGATTTGAAATTTCTTATTATGTCGAATACTACTTATCATCAGGGGGTATCTATACCCAATGGAGAAACAAGTTCACCCAATAAGAAAAGTTATGATGTACGACATTATTATAGAGCGTTAATTAATGAAGAATTTAGAGGTTTACAATTAGATAGTCAACTTAAAAAGAAATCATTATTTGATCTTATAGATTATTGTGAAATGCTTTATGAATCAGCATCTTCTGCTTTATCATCAATTAATACTGATCCATCATCATTAATTCCATCTTCAAAGGATATAATTGGAGTTCGAGATTATATTAAGGGATTCCTTATATTTAATTATTTTATAAATAGTTTTATTATGTTACATTTTAAAGGGTTTGATACATTTATTAAATCAAATGAACAAGATTTCATTATTTATTTAAATGTATTTGCATTTTATAATACTGAAGAATTAATAATTAATGGTCCATTAACTATAACTTTAGGAAATTTAAGATTATTAATTAAACAATATTTAGTTGATAAAAATCTTTTAAGTTTTAATGTTGATGAATTATATAATTGGTTATATGAGTATATTGAATATTTAAAGGAAAAGGATAAGATTGCTAGTGAAGAACCAGAATCAGAAGATGAATCATCACTTAACGATCATCATCATGATCATGATGATCATGATCATAAGCATATTCAAAATGGTATTAATCAAGTAAGTATTCATGATGATAATCATGCTAACCATAATCATAATGATAATGATCAAAATCAAACCATTCAATCAAATAATCCATTCTATTCATCAAATCCTAAAAAGAGTTTTAATTTAAATCCTTTATTATCTATTAATGATAATATCAGTAGTATTGATACTTCTAATTTACCAGATGAATCAGATTCACTTCTTGAATTTAAAAATAGATTTCCTTCTATGAGTAAGATGAAATCTAATAGTAGTTTACCGCTGGAATTAGCTCCTCCAATAAAGGAAGAATCATCATTTACTCCTCTGCCAACAACTCGTCATGCAGTAACTGTTCCTGCTTTATCACCACCTCCAATTCCTACAGAATTACCTCCTGGATTACCCTTAATAAATGATAATAATAATCATAATCATAATCCATTTCCATCGGTTAATAAATCTTATACAGTACCCACTTTTAAATCTAATATAGATACAATTCATAAATCATTACCAGAAGTTCCTTATCCTGTTAATTCCAATTTATCTACGGAAGAATTATATTTTCTGGATAGTAATTTAAATAACAATAGAAATTCCAATGGTTATTCACGACCTCCAACTGCTACACCTAAAAGTGGATCATTAGCAATTGCCAAACCAACTCATGTGAATGTTCATTCCAATGGTTATAGTAGTAATAATTATAGTAGTCATAATAATATTAATACTCATAATAATAATCATAATAGTCATTATCATGCTCCACCGCAAGCTCCTCCACCATTTATACCTCCTATTCAACAACCTTTATTATATGGCAATGCCAATATGATTCCTAATTATATGCATTATGATCAACATCAACACCAACCTCAACATATCCCTGGTTATACATCTACTATAATTCCAGAACATGTAAAAATTCAACAGAATCAAATTAAATCTCAAAAATTACATTTACTGAAAGAATTTGCCGTATGTGGATTAAGAAATTTTGGATCTTCATGTTATATAAATCTGACAATTCAAGTTATGTTTGGTATTCAAAAATTTAAACAATTATTTACAGGAGGAGAATATCAAAAATTTATTAGAGATAGTAAATATTTACAATTAATTAAAATGTCTAAGGCTAATCCTCATAGTAAAGATGGAGTATTATTATCAGAAGCTGTAAGTGGATTATTAAGAACTTTTAATCAAAATGGTAGTAATTCAATTGCTCCAACTAAATTTATTAGAGTATCATCATTATTAAAACCAGATTTAAATATTCCTTATGAACAACAAGATGCTCAAGAATTTTTATTATTTGTATTGGATAGATTACATGATGAATTAGCTGATAAGAATACATTTGAAAATCCTTTAGAAATTGAAAATTATATGAATAAATGGAATATTAATATTAAATTTAATGATAAAGGAGAATATGTTAAATGGTATAAAGAAGTTTTAAAACATGAAGGTACATCACCAATTCATGATTTATTTCAAGGTCATTTACAAAATAAATTAATTTGTAATAAATGTGGATTTGAATCAATTAGTTATTCTCAATTTACTATATTATCATTACCAATTCCTAGTAATAATAATGGACATGTTGTTAATTTATCTGATTGTTTAAAATATTATACTCAAGAAGAAGTTTTAAGTGGTGATAATGCTTGGAATTGTCCTAAATGTAGTAAGAATAATGATGATGAACAACAACAACAACAACAACAACAACAGCACTTAAGTGTATTGGATAATCATCCTGTATTTACTAATAAGAAAAGTGGAATCTTTAAATTAACTAAAAGAAGTAAATCACCATCTTCAACTACTACTACTAAATCATCTAATACTAGTACTCATTCATTATCTAGTTCAATTAAAATGTTAAATTTTATTAAATTACCTCAAATCTTATTGATTCACTTATCAAGATTCTCCATGTATAATCTTACTGATAAATTAGAAACTTCAATTCAATATCCTTTATTATTAAAATTTAATAATAATGATCATGAAATAGTTTATAAATTATCAGGATTAATTAATCATAAGGGGAATTTAAAAAGTGGTCATTATACGTCATTAGTTAATAAATCAACCACCAATCAAAGTTATTCATGTAATTTGGATAATTTGAAACATCCTTATTGGTGTTTCTTTGATGATGATCATGTTAGATATAATCTTCAACATGGTAATATTAACCAACCCAATTATGATCAATTGAAATCCAAAGACGTCTATGTCTTATGTTACGAACGTATTTAGAATTATATACATATGCATTTAGAATCTGGATTGTAGTTTGTCTCTAGTCATTTCATTCATTAATTGTCTTTGTCATTGTCTTTGTCTTTGTCATTGTCATTAATCATCATCATTATCAAATACAGAAGGTCTCGCTACTGGTCCTTTACTTCTACTCTTTAATGCTAACTTTATAGGTCCAAGCTCTTTGATTACTGGTTCAACTCGAGGACTTGGAGATTGAACAGATTCAACCTCCTTACCTCTCTTTATCTGTTGGTTAATGAATTTCATAGATAATTCTTCATCATTCTTTATTGATTTAGATGATTGACCCTGTTGTTTCTTTTCATACTTTAATTTCTGATCTACTAAAGTTATTACTAAATTAAATTCATCAACTTGATTTGGATTTTCATTTTCTACTCTTACTAAACCTGCTTGACCTAAATGTTTTATAAATGATGTTAAACTATTCCATTTTGTTGTATTCATATGAATATGATTCTTATCATTAAGTATATATTCTTGATAAAATTTATTAGCATTAATCCTTTTAGTACCATGATTTACTCTTAAAAGATTAAGGAAATCAGTTTGAAATTTACTTGAATAATTTTGAATGGTTGATGAATCAATTGTAGATACTTTACCTCGATGACTTGGACTTGCCACATGATTCTTGAATCCATTTTCATCTCGACATTGTTTAGAACAAATTTGACAATAGTACCGTAACTTCTGAAGCCCCGACGCCTTGAGCTTCTTGGACTGATACTTTACTGACCCTATCTCTGCTCGTGCCATGAATATGTATGGGTGTGGTGTTGCAACAATAACAATTATGGTAATAATAAATTTTTTTTCTCTCAGTGTTTTGAAAAGTAGTGGTACTTGTGGAGAAGAAGTTAGTGATGAGATGATTCAAGTACGAAGTAGTGTAAGACTAAGTAGTGTAAGACTCAGTAGTGTAAGACTCAGTAGTGTAAGACTCAGTAGTGTAAGACTGTATGGAGTGAGGATACCATGGAAAGTTAGACCTGGTATAGGTATAGGTATAGGTACAGGTATAGGTAAAGGTATAAGTCGATTTTCTACTATTCCGACTTCTTTACCTCCTCGGAAATCATATCAAGCTAATACTACTGGATTATCTTTACTTTGGAATAAAATTATTCCAATTAATGTTAAGTATTTTACCGGAATAGGATTATTTGCATTTAGTCTTATTCATATTCATCCTAATGTACTTGTAACTGTAGTACCTCCAATATTAGTTGGAGGATATTTTGGATATAGAAAGTATATAAGATGGATCCATAAAATCAGTAGTGAAAAATTGTTAAAGACATATTCAAAGAATAGTAAAGATGATAAGATTCAAATAAAAAAGTATGATGAAAGTGAATTATCAAATGTTTTAAAGGGTATAGAGAATGAATTTGATAGTTTTAAAGTCCAATTGGTGGATATTATTGAACGTCGACTTTTAGATCAAATTATTAAAAGTAGAGATCCTCAATTGACTCGATTATTTATTGAACAAAGTCAAGAAAGTGAACAAGTATCAATTAATATAAATGCTAATGATGTAGAGACTTGGATTACTTCAAAAGTAAATGTTCCTGGAGAAGATGATCTTAGTGATATATCAATATTATCCAACTTTTTTAAATTTTCATTACCATTTTATAGCTCTAAGGATATTAATCATAGAAAGAGATTAGGTGTAATTCAAGTATATTTAGTAGAGGTACCTACTGATGATGATTCACTTATATATAATGAATACCAAATTGGTATTGAAGTCACTCCTTATTCATGGTTGACTTCATCAAAGAGCATCTTCATTACATCTATCGAAGGTGAAGGCATTACTAAAAGTAAGATTCTTATTGACAGTAAATCAACGTCGAAGAATAAAACTGAATCAGAAGATGAAGAAATCATATTATAGATCTGTATATATAACTAAGTAACTAAGTAACCAAGTAACTAAGTAACCCATTAATCAATTAATTAATTAATTTCTTAAAGAAATTCTGATTGAATTCAGAAAACCTTCCAAATTGATATTCGTAACATCCACTAGCTTCCTTTATGTGCTCTAAATCAGGTAACCATTGATTAATATCATGAATTCTCTTTGAAGTAGCAGGATGGGTTGAAAAGAATTCCTGTAACGCTACTCCTCTAAATTGTCCAGCCATTTGTTGTTCTGCTTCATTCATTCTTTGCCAGAATTTAACAGATTCTTTGATATTGAAACACAGTCTAGCCATGAGTTCAATTCCAATTCGATCTGCTTCAGATTCCATCTCTCTTGATGCAGGCATTTCTAAGAATCCTCTAATTAAAAGGTCATTAAACCATGAAATCCCCGTAATTGTATAAAGAATAGTTGAAAGCATAATATATATTGGTTGTTTTGATAATTGCTCTGATGAATGATGAGCTAGCTGATGAGAGAGTTCATGAGATAATACGGTAGCCAACCCATCATCATTATAACATATTGGAAGAATAGAACTAAAAATGAAGATTTTACCATTAGGTAAAATAAAGGCATTTGGAGGATAAGTCTTAGGATCTACTTGAATGATATTTATTGACCAGTCCAAACTTTTCAAATGTTCTCGTTGTTTTGGATCATCATTATTGTTGATGGCAACTGTTAATAGTTTATTCATTATACCACTTATCTTACCATATAAGGGATTTGTATGAGGTACAATAGCATTTCCATATTGAAACATAATCTGTTGGTATGAATAGTCACCAATCTTAGTTTCTAACCAATATGGAATCCATATGAATCTATATCGATGAGTAAAGGGAGCTTCATTAAGATTATATACATAGAATGCAGCACAACCTCCAAGAAAATATATTGTCTTTCGACTGGTTAATATTGACCAGTAATTCACTGAGTTAGGTGGTCGATTATCGAATCGTTTATAAGTGGCATATTGCCTAATAGTAAGTCTGGGGAATTGAGTTCGTGGAACACTACGTGCCACTACAGGCGTCCAGTTGATTTTCGATCTGGCAGCGATGATCGATCGGAACATTTGTTACTATAATATACAGGCTGAATTAATTGAAAGTTATAGTGCAATTGTACAATTGTGCAACTGTGAAATTGAGGCTGATGGCGATACTCACCGCTATCGTTAAGTTTCTAGAACATACCCGCAAAAACAAATTGGCACTTATAACTTCGCAACTACAACACTTATAGTTCCAAACACGTATTGGTGGAAGGACAGGCATATAAACATAGAATATAAACCGAATAAATAAATATTACTGTATGTGTGAGTGTGTATGTATGTATATAAATATGTATATATGTACGAATGTATATGTGTAAAAAGCAGCCATATTCGAATGATCATGATGACGATGATGATTTACTCTATTATACATCTATTGATTGATTGATTTATTTCACGAATGGGATCTCTGCGATTTATGACGATTAATCTCCTTTTCAAGTTGTAACTCTTGAGCTAATACTTCTGCTGAAGGAGGCTCGTAAACATAATGGTCATTTATGGCAGCAGCTTCATCACCAACTAATCTATTCACCAATAATTCTGATGATGAATTGTTTGTTGATGCTTGTAATTGTCTCTGAAGTGACATTTGAGGAGGGGCAGCTCTTGAAGGTAATTTTTCAAAGAATGAAGGAGAATTTAATTGTTTGGCAAATTGGTCAAGTGTTGGAGGTGATGATTGTGCTTGCTGTTTATCTAGATGATGTGGGGATGGTTGAAATAAGCTTGTATTAGAAGAATTAGCTGATTGTTGATCAAGATAAGCTGATTGTCGTATTGATGGTGGTTGATTATATGGTTGAAGATTAGCATTAGCATTAGCATTAACATTAGAATTAGCATTTGTATTGTTATTATTAATAATATTATTTATATCAGTTTGTGAAGTAGATGATTGATTTGAAGATGGTAATACAGGAATAAAAGTTTCATAAAAGTCATAAGCAGATGGACTCTTTTGATGAATTTTATTTGGAGTTTGAGGTCTTAAATGAGAAGGTTGAGGTGGAAGATGAAGATTTTGATGCTGAGGATGAAGTGGAGATGATTGAACAATATTATTATTTGAGTTTGAATTAGGATTGATGTTCGTATTATCACTATTGGAAGAGATAGATGATGAACCTCCATTAAAGTTCTTCTCATTGGATGAAGATTCTGCTTGAGTTGTAGTAGAATATGATTTATTTGGATTTGAATCATCATCATAGGGAGGTTGTTGAATAATAGGGGCATTTAAAAATTGTTTCTTTCTATGTAATTCTTCTTGGAATGCATTAAATGATTGATCATCTCTTAATTCTACATCGATTTCTTTATTAAGATTATCTTCTCTCAATTGTTTCTGTTGATTTCTATACCAAAGAAGTAAAGTAACTGTGATAATGAGGAATGAAGGTATTCCTACGGCTAACCCAACGGCAAGGGACTGCTGATTATTGGCCATAATGGGAAAGATATATGGGATGGAAAGTTATAAAACGGTTAAATCAGAGATACCGTGTTGTCGAATATAAATGTAAATATTAATTTTAAATTAGATGAAATTAAAGTATAAGGTTGTGTGAGGGTCGTGGTGATAAATAAACGATAGTGAATAATGACTGAAGTATAGATATCGATCTAAATTTTTATGGGATAGGTAGTGTGATGTGAAGTGATCTGGACTGAATGGAACTGTGCTGAACTAACTTGATGTGGCTAACAAATTTCTATAATAATGTAATTTTGCTATATACTACTATAATTAAACTTTTAAATATATGCAAGTATATTGGATAGATGAGTGAGGGGGTGACTGGTTAGTTAGTTAATTAAGCGAAAGTAAATAGAAAGTAAGTATTGATAACCTATAACCTTAAGAGAATGTGGTAATGGAAGCCAAAGATCAAACTGGGAGATGGTAAGGAATTCTAAACTGAAATTATCCAGTAGTTAATTTTAGATAATGGAGGGCCTTGTGTTCCTGGCTCAACTTCCACTTCCAAATTTTCTGCCTTTGTTCGGAACTTCCCTATTTGTGTGGTTAGTTTCCTTAATTAGGCACAAACAGATGAGCAACACCCACAAACGTCGAAAAAAATAAATTTGTATAAAAAAAAAGAAATTTCATCCCATTTCGATCTAATTACTATTATGAATTGTATAGAGTTTGATCTACTTGATTTGTTTAATGTTATTTAATTTATTTGATTTCATATTTGTTAGAGTTTAATGTCTGCTTATTTAGTATTGGTTATCAGTTAAATGTAGTCTATTTGTTAAAATGTAAACAAACATGTCCCAAACAACTAAAAAAGCATCCCTGCCTAAAGGGGTCTGACACAATCTGTCATAAGTGTGCTTGGCTCTACTTCTACTTGAATATACTTGTCATTACCCCAAGTTATTTCATGTATGTGAACTAATAACAATGTATTAAATTGTGTAGTGTGCTGGTCCTATCTCTATAACTTAACTATTTATAGATCAGCTAGTATAACCAAATCATAACCTATGTTTGCTCTACCCCTTTTATTAGCTGTATTCCGGGTTTTTAGCGAGGGGAGGCGCAAGCGCAAGACCGAGAACTTTTAACTATGCATACACATACTCAAGCCTATTTAATTCCGAGGGTACATGCCTCCGGACTCCTCTTAAGCCAGTCGGTTATAAATAATAATAACAATAATAATTCACCCTGTACGATCTGGTAAAGTTAAACAATAGAATGCGAATTACTTCTACGTTTATATTCTCAGTTGCTACAAAATTTGGGCGTATCTCCATCAATATCCCCCTTAGATTGAGGTATGTCTTCTATAGATAAGTCTCTGAACAACAAGTATAACCTCAGGAGTTCCTACAATTGTACAGTACAATATCGAGCCTCTTGTAAATCATATTAGATATAGTCATATAAAGCGCAATATTATTCTATCTATAAAAAAATAACTTCTCGGAAAGACATAATTTCGCTTCGTCAATTACTGCAAAATGAGTAGAACAAACTAAGGTTATATAGTAATTACCTAACAGTGAACGTCAAAAAGAGTTGCAGTCTCTATCCCCAAGAGTTAAAGACCACCCTTGTAATTTTTTTAACAATTCAAGTCATTTGTCGTATGACTATAAGGAATTACTGTGTACAGTATGATTCTTATTTGTGGAAAGTACCCAATCTTCGCATATTAAGAAATCAACCAAACAATGGTAAGTAAATAATTGTAGTATATGTTTATCTAGAAACTGCAAAAACTAGTAATTCATGACAAATGTTAATTTATTAATAATATATACAACTACTTTCAATGCTTGACTCTATATACATGAACCATCAATGAACTCAACTCAAAAAACTCATAAACCAAATTGCAAAGCATTGTCCTTTGACAAATCGTATTCCTTGTTATCAACAACTAACAAAAAGTGATGGATATCAAATGGATGTGCTCTTGAAATTCTGGTAGCCTTTAATTTAATAGTACCTTGCGCACCATTATCCCCACTAATATCAAAAGTAATATCAATGTCTCCCTTGACAGTATTCAATTCTCCCCAAATCCAAGGCCAACTACTAGCATAATTAATATCACTACCAAGTAATTTTTTAGCAGTTTCAGATCTTCTTAAGAAATATAATGCTGAAGTAATAATTGGTGATTGAGTCTTTTCATAATTGAAGATAATGATACATGAAACAATGATTCCAATACCATAAGCTACAAAATAGAGTCTATTCTTCTTCTGCTTAGAAAATGGATCAGGCAATTCTTTATCAAGTGTAATTATACGTTTAGGAGTATTAGTACTTCTACCAGTGGTAGTACTTGTGGCAGTGGTTGCATTAAACCTTATTAATCCACTATGGAAAGTTCTAATTCCTACAAATCCACTTCTCAGTATTAATGGCCTCATAGCCTGTGATTGAATTCGAGATAACATTTATGCTGACTAAGATATCTTCGACAATCTATATCCATTCATTTAACATGACCAGAGCATTTTGTTCATCATAAGTTTTTCCAAAGAATTGATTTTCCATATCCTGCACATATCGTGCCAAACAGCCCAAAGGGGAAATTCACACATCAGAGAGACATCTATATTTTTCAGTTAGCAATTACATCATTAACCTATACTTTTGGTTGGAATTTATACGAGGAAGATGGATATTGTGGCAGGAGCATGTTCGGTGGATAAGGTTTCAGGAATGATCCATATCCGAGAGGATTTGACACCTCTGATGTTGGAATGGAAGGCCATTGATCAAGATAAGGTATTGGCATTTCCCTTGAATACCATATCTAATTTGCAAGCTACGAAGGAAGATTCACCAAAAATGATCTTAAAGTTGTTTTATAAGGTTGAAGGCGTAGAGGAACCTAAAACGGTTAAATTAACCTTTACAAATCGTCCAACCATGAATAATATAAAGGATTCATTACAAACAGTAGTGGCGAGACAAAGAACCATTATTAAAGATCAAGGAGGTAATAATAATAATATGCTGCCAGCATATGATAATGATTCTAAAACTCCAATGACTGCCACTCCTACACCAGGCCCATCATCTGATAGAAGTGGTAAAAACAATAATTTCACTGCATCTTCAGGATTTTCTGAAATATCACTCTCTGACTCTGCATTATTAAAGAACTTACAATTACAACAAAAGTTATTATTTGAAGATAAACAACTTCGAGATATTTTCACTCAATCTGTCATAGAATTTAAATTATCTCCCACAACTTTCTGGTCTACACGTATCAATCAACTTCGAACATATGCCTTAACCATATCTCAACATAAAGGTCCCTATAATGTTCTTTCAACAATTAAAGTAGTAGCTACATCGGATAATCAAGTCAATGTTAACGTTACTAGAAATGTTATTAATGAAATCTTCCAAACTTATCCTGTTATTAAAAAGGCCTTTTCAGATTTAGTTCCTGCCAAGTTTGATGAAGGAGAATTTTGGTCAAGATTTTTCAATTCAAAGTTATTTAGAAGATTAAGAGGTGATAAAATAAACAATGCCACTGGACGTGGTGATGTTCTGTTGGATAAATACTTATATATTGATCAAAAATATATTGATCAAGAGGCAAAAGAAGTTGCTGACCAGAGTAACGAAGCTACTAGTTCATCTACAAATGTAGATAATTCATCATCACCAAAGAAAAAATCAATTATACGATTACCAACTCCAGAAATACCACAAGAAGAAGTAAGAGTTAATAAGTTCATAGACTTATATGGGAATGAAGAAGATAATTCCCAAAAATTAGGGAATCAACCTGATTTTACAATGAGATTTGAAGAAGATTTCGATAACGAAACTCATAAGAAATTATTAGGACATCAAGAAAATGAAATGATTATCTTGATGAAGAATATGAATAAATTAAGTTCCAAAATGGTTAATATGACCAATATAAAGGAATCAACGCCTATGGAAGAAGAGATGAAAGCATATGAAGAAGAATTAAATCTTCATGATCTTGAAGATGCAGAGGATTTGAAATATATCACCATTCATATTGATACCAATAAAGATATGAAGGAACAGGCATTACATGATGATCATCATAAGGAATCACAATTATCACAACAAGAATTGATTGACTATTTAAGATCAAATGAAATCAAACCTCAAATTGATGGTGGAATAGATTTGACAGATGTATATAAAACTAAAGATGAAGAAATTACTAAATCTTTGGCTGAAATCAATACAATAGTTCGACAAAATTTCCGAACTTTCAAAGTAATCTCTCGTGAAGTACAAAATTCAGAAAACAATTCATTAACAAATTTAGTTTCAAATGAAATATATCAGGATATTATTAAATATAATATTACCATTGTTGAATTCTTATCTCATTTCTGGAAATTATACCTTTCGAAATCATCCAAACCTAAGGAGCTTCGGAATTTATTTAATAGTTTAAGGAATTGTGAAGACAAATTAAAAACTTTTAAGAATTCCGTTATTGAACAAGTCGATCATATGGAGAGTGTTAAAGCTAATCCAAAATTACGAGATAAAATTATTCAGGATTTTCAAAATAGTATTGATCCTATGGAAATAAGTTTAAAGCATGCATGTGCCGAGTATATTAATTCCGTTCGTGCTGCACAACAAGAGGGTACACCTTCGACAGAAGCTGTGATAAATGGTAACGGAAAAAGGCTTTTAGAACCATAATTGCGCATCATATATATTATTTATATATTTATTTATTTAATATTTATTTATTTAATATTTATTTATTTAATATTTATTTATTTATGTACAAAGATATCATAATCATAATTCGCAACAAGCTAGTAGCCATTGAGAGGCATCTAGATTATTGACTAATAATGCATCGTTACAGTTCAAAGTAGTATCAAATGTGTGCGATAGTACTCTTATAGTAGACTGGAAAGATTTCAAATTCTTGTTTATCAAATAGTAAACTCTCTCGATATGGAGAAATTCATCTAGAACATCATGAACGTCAACAATAAATTTATGATCGACAAAGTCCGGTAAAGTATCATCAAGAATTAAATAACAATCATGACTAATGGTAGATAGAAATCCATGGAGTTCAATATGAAGGGTATAATCAGTTAAAGTCATAAATTGTAGTCTATTTTTTAAATATTTAGTGACGTCTTGAGAATTGCACCCCACAAATAATGAATCATAGAGGTTAGTAGCACTCAGAGTGGCTGGAGTGGTTTGAATTGCGTAGTCAAAAACGCCACTTGTGCCTCGTAGACAAGGTAGTTGAAGGAATACTTGTCTTACATTTTCTTCTACTAATATTACTAATAGTTGCAGTAGTATTACGGTCATGGTGAAGACCAGATATTAATTGTAAGTGTGCACTGGTAGTTGTAGTTTCGATAGGCATTATGTACACCAGAATTTATCTGAACAAGTTTTTGTAGTTGTAAATATATAGATATAAGTAATATAACTAAGATAGCTTTTTCTAATAAAGAGTTAAGTTACGAATATGGTTCGTCGAAGGGTTCTCTTACCCATTTAGATATCATCATACGAGCGCATCTTGCATTCCCAAATAGGCAAGTGCACGGAAGGTATTCCCTTCTCGTTAAAAAAAAACATTTAAGATGAGTTTGCAATTTTTAAGTATGGAATGTGAAAAATTTGGGGTAATTCGTTTACATACATTAACTGAATATATATTTGTATACGAGGAACGATGGCCAAGAAGAGTAAGTAAAACATTAGATTTAAACATTAGAAGACTAAAGAAATATAAAGAATACTAACTTAATAATATATAGTATCTAAACACAGTCGAGCCGCAAGAAGAGGAGAATTAAATGATGATGGTGAAGGTAAAGATTTAAGCAAAGTAGCCAAAGCTGAGAATAATGATGTGAAGAAGTCGATTATTCGGACCACAATTAAGAATGAGAACCTTTTAATGAAGAAGATGGAGAATCAAAAGATTAAGAAGACACTTAATAAGAAGAAATCTAACGCAATAAGACATAGAGTTGAACGTAATGATAAGTTGACAGGAGTGTTAGCCAATAAGATTGAACAAAGTATAGCTAGAGCCAGATATGTTCAGGCCACTAGAAAAGCTGGATGGGATAAGATTAATAAGAATCTTACGTTGGAAAACAATAGTGTAACCATTATTGATTCTGATTCAGTTGTTCACTCTAACACTCCTGAGATCACACCTGAGAAGACTGCTGAAGACATTGAAAAGGAGGAAGAAGATGCATATGTTCGAGAATTCTACGGCCAAGATGCTGCTCCTCAAGATAAAGTTGAAGAGTCTACTGATACTGCTACTCCTACAAGTTCTTTAGCCAATAATAGATTTGCATTATTAGAAGAAACCGAACTCGAGTAATGATTTGGCGATGATTTAGTTCTCTCTATACTTAACTGTACATTAGCTTTTCCTTAATAGACATTTTTCTCACTAGTTAAGCTCACTCTCACTAACTCCACTAAATTTGTAGGCGAGCCCAACCGAAAAATTGGCCAAAAATTTACACCCAATAACTTGAATACTTAAATTTCCAATTTATTTAATAATTTCTATACGGAGACTCTTATTACATTAGTAGATATATCAATGGTTAAGTTAACACTAGCGTTATTGGCTCTCAGTGCAACTGTTAGTTGTCAGGAGTATGTACCATTTGATACCACACAATTGGATGCCTCATCATATTTCGAACAGTTCCTTTATAAGGATTTTCTTGATTCATACTGGCACGAATCTAAAGGGTGGATATGGGATAAGAATAAAGATAGGTATGTAAAATATAAGGGGAAATGGGCAATTGAATCATCACTTAAAAATCCAGCTTATGGTGAACAAGATAAGGGGCTTGTTCTAAAGTCCGAAGCAGCTCATAGTGCAGTATCATTTAAGTTAACTTCAAAGTTCAATAATACTGATCAAGATTTAGTATTACAATATGAAATAAAGTTACAATCCGGATTGGAATGTGGAGGTGCTTATATTAAACTTTTAGATGCAGCAGATGATTATCGAGGCTTCAATGACGAAACTCCCTATCAAATAATGTTTGGTCCTGATAAATGTGGATCCGAGAATAAGGTTCATTTTATTTTGAGTAGACCAAATCCAATCACTGGAACAATTGAAAAAAAACATTTACGTGCTCCACCTATGGCTCGAATTAATGATTTATCTAATTTATATACTTTAATTCTTAAGAAGAATCTGGATTTTGAAATAAGAATTAATGGTCAAGTTGCTAAAGCAGGTAATTTACATAGTAATATCCATTTGTTAGACCCACCTTTATATCAAAATCCTCAATATATTGAAGATCCAAATGATGTCAGACCTGAAGATTGGGATGATCAATTGATGATTGCCGATCCAAATGCGGAATTACCTGAAGATTATGATATAAAGCATGTGTTGAAATTTATTCCTGATCCATCAATTCCAAAGCCTGATGATTGGGATGAAAATGAACCATTGACCATTCCTGACCCAGATGCTACAAAACCTGAATCTTGGAATGAAGAAGAAGATGGTGAATGGGGCCCACCAGAAATCCCAAACCCAGTATGTGAACAACATGGTTGTGGCACTTGGTCTCCAACATTAAAGCCTAATCCCGATTATGTTGGACCATATGTTCCACCATACATCCCTAATCCAAATTATAAGGGTCTATTTAGACCTAGACAAATCCTCAATCCTGATTTTTACAATGATACTAATCCATCTAATATTAAATTAGTTGGTGGTATTGGATTCGAATTATGGAGCATGCAAAATAATATTATGTTTAATAATATTTACTTGGGTCATTCTATTAAAGAAGCTGAGTGGATTGGTAATCAAACATTCCTTCCTAAAGTTGAATTAGAATTCGAATATAAGAAGAATCATAAAGAAAAAGTCAAACATGAACCTGTCCCACCTCCACCTACTTTTGATGAGATCATAACTGATGATAGTATACCAGGTTTCAAACAGTTCTTAGTCTTTATAAAATTCTTTTTATTAAAGCAAACTCTTGATCTTTTTGATTTCTACTATGAATTTCTTAGAGATCCTTTGAATTTAATTACTAACCATCCAATTAAATTTGTATTGTATTGTACGGTGTTTGTTACATTCTTTACGTTTATTAGTGGAGTTGGAGCAGTGTTACTATTCTTAGTCACTGGAGGTGGTAGTGCAAGTCCAGACTATCCCGAGCCATCTAAATCCAGTGAAGAAGATGAAATTCTTGATAATGAAAGAGATTTAGATACTACGCAACCATGGGTAGAAAAAGAAGAACCAAAGATCATTGAACTTGAGGATCTGGAGGTAGAGATCGTTGCTTCAGGTACTTATGTTTCTGAAGCTCAGCCTAGAAAAAGGAAAGCCTGAAATTAGTACTATTTAGTGTTTAATATGTCTCTTTCCGTCGTATATAGTCATTTTCACACTTTTTTTCTATTAGCGCATACAAATAATATTAATAGATTTAATTTACTGTTAGTGCATATTAGGGGTCCACAAATTACGGGGTTTAATTGCGCACACAAATTGACAAATTGTCTGCAGGGGATAAGGAATAACTTCCTGACATAATTCTAGATCCGATGACACTTTCTTTAAAAGTGGTATAAGCTAAAAGTTGTTATTAAGACAATCTTACTCACTAGTTGTTAATTGCTATTATTAATTATTAGTTATTAGTTTTGATATATACCGATACAACAAATTGTTTTGAGGTTCCGAAATATACGAAGAGATATAGGTTATGGCTGCGATGAGTGAAAGCACCCCGCTAATTGATACTTCGGTCAAAGAATTCAATAACCAACCAAAAATACAATTCAGACGTCGTACTACCCTCTTTAAATCCATAATTGTACCATTAGTGATTTTAATAATTTTAACTGTGTATACTACAGCCAATTTAATAAAGGTTGATTTTTCTGAACATGAAATAAGGGGTGAAGATGGGGTATCATTGAAGTTACCCCATTTCCTCTCAAGACCATTATCAGTGAGAATATATACTAATAATATCAGATTTGACAATGTCAATTATCCCGATAAAGGTGAAAAGCTGTGGACTCGTGATCGTAAAAAGCAAGTTGTTAATTCCATTGATTTCCATACTGGTAGTTTAGGTCATGCTAATGTGGTGTGCTTACAGGAAGTCTTGTATCACCAATTACAGGATGTATTGGAAGGATTAAATACAAATGCTGATAATGAATATCAAAAGTGGAGCTTTTATGGCATTGGCCGAGATGATGGTGAAAAAGCTGGAGAGTTCTCTCCAATATTCTATAAACGTAAGGATTGGACTTTATTGGAAAATGAAACTTACTGGTTAAGTGAAACTCCTTCGACACCAAGTAAAGGTTGGGATGCTGTTTTACCCAGAATTGTTACCCAGGTGACCTTACAATCAAAAATTAACCCATTAGTGAAAATTAATGTTTTCAATACACATTTCGACCATAAGGGTAGATTGGCTAGGAAGAAGTCTGCCCAGTTAATTGTTGATAAGATGGAGAATTACAATGATTATCCTTCATTCTTATGTGGTGATTTTAATACGGAACCTTCTGACCAACCATATAAAGTGTTGCTGGGCGCAGGATTTAAAGATAGTAGATTACTGGTGGCTAGAGATTTCGCATATGGCGAGGAATCAACATTTACTGGATTCGATAAAGAGAATGAAATAACCAATTCAATCATTGACTATGTCTGGTCTCCATATTATACAAAATCTATCGATGACGATGAAGATGAAGAAGAAGGTGATAATGTGTTTATTGGCCTTTCAAATTATTTCAATTCCGAGCAACATAAACATTATAAAATTATTATAAAGCAATTTGGCATTTTGCATAACTTCTTCAAGGGTTTTTACTTTTCTGACCATAGACCTGTGGTTGCAACATATGAGATTTCAAGGACGAGTTTGTTTGCTGAAGAGGAAAATTTAAGATTATCATAATTATTGCTTAGATACATTGAGTTTGATTTGTTTTACTTGTTATAGTTTCGTCAATTATTATTTATTCATTCCTATAGTGGGTAGAGGGGTTTCGTATAGTTTAATGTAAAAGTTTGTAAAATTTCACTGCAATTGTTCCTGAAAAGTAACATTGCCCGTAAAAGAGGAGAAGTATAGGCTTTAGTGTTCTAATAAAGTAACCCTTTCCTATTGCAGCAATAACGCAACTCTCATAGCCGAATATTGCAATATCTATAAAACGAAATAAAATGGATATTAAACCTAAACCTAAACCTATTACTGCCAAATAATACTAGTCAATTTTTCGATCACAATTTTTGCGCGCCAATTCTAGAACCACGCACGAAAAATTATAGGTAGGACGACGACATCCAGATTTCAGAGGTGCACCAATGGTACACTGTACAGCTTAAATCCTTTGCAAATCCCTTTTCAAATTCAACAAAGATGAACATCTTCTTCTTCACTTTCACGTTAATTTCAATTACTACCATGGCCCTTTCTGCAACTTTGGATGTATACGACTTTGATTCTACCATCGAATATCCATATAAGAGTATAATTATTAGTTCAGAAGAAAGTTTTGACAAATATGACTCGGGAATTCCAATGAATAGAGGTGATATGTTATTCTATGAAGCCAATGGTTCAATTCAACTAATCAATAATGAAGTTGTTTTGTATTATGCACCAAAGGGAGTAGTTGCTAAACTTTCCAAAGATTATATCGAGAAGTTGAACCTTGGATCGATTACCCCTTTCGAGGATTTGCCATCTCCACCCGTCGGCTTCCAGGACCCAGAGGAACTACCAAGGGATCAAGCAATCAGCGAGTTTCTTGCTTTTTACGAAATGAAAGTAAAGGAAAAAGAATCGTGAGAAATGATTTTTAATTTTTGCAGGAGGAGGTAAAATCAGTGATATTTGAAGTGGAATATAAGCATCACCTTTGTAAAAATAGAGTGAAACTTATAATCGATTGCTAATTCATATATAACGGAAATGAATTTTTAACATATACAGCTCTTACTCTCTCCTAGTTTTTCTTCAGACCAACTGGTCAAATGTACTTTATTCAAAAAGTGAGTAATATGTTGATCTACTGTAAATACAATCAAACACATTTATATCATGGAGTTAGACGCACCTCTTATATCCGAATGTCGTCATATTTTGTGAGGGGCTCAATTAATTTGTAACTCGCTTAATATTGAAATTAGTGTAAAAGACGTGGAATTGCATGAACGCCTTTATTGCATACAAACAGAGGTAATAAGATAAGTTCACAATACATAATTGAAGAGATGAGTATCCTTCTGATAAGTGCTTATTGTTCTCATTGTATTATTTTATAGGTAAATCGTATATCTAGATTTTTCAGTACCTCAAAAATTAATATTTACTGAGTATCACCAAGTGGTACCTGGCCATAGAGATGTATTCTTGTGGCTCTATAATTATTTGAATCTAGGATGGATTCTTTTACTACACTCTAGCTGATAAGTGATCATGTGTAGTTTCATGTACATAATTTGACACTCGTTGGCATGTTTAACCAGGAATTACTGAATATGCAAGTTTTCACCCTAAAAGTAAAGGCGATAGGTAATTATTGTCTCGCAAGGGCTCTCAGGTGTGAATAAGATCAATCTAACAAACAATAGAACATAATTTTGAGGAGTGGGAATCGATTCCACTGCTCTCAAAATTTGAAGTCTGTAGTTAAAAAGTTTTGTTGGCTAATTATATCTAATTATTGAAAGATGAATTACACATAAATCTATTTGCAATCAAATCATTTTATTATTAAGTATAATTATAATAGAATAAATCAAACATTTACACATGTCCTTTTCAAACAACTTTAAGAGGATTTATACTCTGCATTAATCGCTTTCCCCTAGTTTTTTTTTCCGTATGTATTATCATTTATTGAATATAATCTAATGATAAACTATTTCGCCTCGAATGATAAACAATTCGCCTCTTATCATTAGATTATATTCAATAAATGATAACATACGAAAAAAAAAGTTGTATTTAAACAAACTCAATTGTTGTAGAATTCAAATAACTTTTTAATTAGTTCAGGCAAACGCTTTTCAAATTCAACAAAGATGAATATCTTCTTCTTCACTTTCACGTTAATTTCAATTACTACCATGGCCTTTTCTGCAACTTTGGATGTATACGACTTTGATTCTACCATCGAATATCCATATAAGAGTATAATTATTAGTTCAGAAGAAAGTTTTGACAAATATGACTCGGGAATTCCAATGAATAGAGGTGATATGTTATTCTATGAAGCCAATGGTTCAATTCAACTAATCAATAATGAAGTTGTTTTGTATTATGCACCAAAGGGAGTAGTTGCTAAACTTTCCAAAGATTATATCGAGAAGTTGAACCTTGGATCGATTACCCCTTTCGAGGATTTGCCATCTCCACCCGTCGGCTTCCAGGACCCAGAGGAACTACCAAGGGATCAAGCAATCAGCGAGTTTCTTGCTTTTTATGACATTATAAGTGGAAAAGATACTCTGATTTCCAAGCGATTTGGGGTTCAATGTACTTATCCTGGCAATTATTGTCGAAGTAGCGTTTCTTGCCGCACATCTTCAGCTCCTGGTACAGGCATCTATGCTTGTTTATGTAGCGGGGCCAGCTGTTTCACTGCAGGATCAGGTTGCCTGGATGATATATGTTAGCATCACTTGTTAATTTAAGAGTACAGAGTCCTATTCACGATGGCATATGTCTATGTATAACAGCGTCATCTCTGCTTTTTTTTTCTCCAGAGTATCACGAATCCACTTGATCTCCTTATGCAAGTGGTCACCTGATACAATCTCTCTAAATACAGTGATATGTGAACGATTACTCTGAACGTCTTGTTTTCTTTTATACGTTTCAGGTAATTTCCCCATTTCCTATATTGTTGTTGAATATATATACAATCAATCTGTTAATTGAATGCCTTAGCTAATTTAAGTATAACAATTTGTACATTATTTCGGTATTACTATGTTCCCTACCATATCATATTGTTGTGAGTATTAATGTACAGTGTTTCTCAAAGCAATATCGCACCTCTGCCCAATGTCGCAATATCTATAAAACGAAATGCTAGGGAGGCCTCATTAAATTTGCGATCCCGCTAATAATGGGTAGTTTTAAAATCAGAAATAAATACCTCAAACTCTGAGTTTTATGAACCACTAGTGGAATCGTCACTACCAGCTGGTGAAGTAAATTTTTCGATTCGTGCAAGTATTGGTGTCTCAAACAGGCAAAAATGAATACGAGCAGTATTTTATAAAACTGCGCAAGCTAGTGAAAGCTAATTACCGTTGCCCCCTTTATTAATCTAGACCATTGCACAATAATTGACGCTGCTTGATGTTTAATTGTTCATAGTTTGGTGGTATTTATGGCTTATCCAAGGAGTGAAATTTTATCCTCTCCTTGTTTTATCCCAAAATGTGAGTGTCATCTTGGAGAGGTATTAATACAGTATTATCGTTCTCTTAACTATACGTTTATCATAGTGTAAATAAAAATTATTTCATGACCTAACCATACAAATATCTCTCAGTGATAGCTTGATTGTCGTACTATTGGATGTTCAATTATCGCAGTTTCTTATAATATTTTATCGTTCTTAGGTCATAAATTATTTCGTTTGATCAAATACCAACTACAACTTCTTAACTATGAGATTTCATTGTTAAAAGGCGACTTTGACGAATTTCCAAAGAGAAATATTTACAGCGCAGAAAACAAAATGAGCTTAGTTTACTCTATGGTATATATGCTAATTGTATAACGATATTCAGATATTGAAGTACCGAATTAAATATTAGGCAAAAGCGTTATTATATTACTCCAAGGAGCGATAATATTATATTCAAAGGTACGACATTCAGGTGTAGTGAAAAATACTGTATGTAGTATTTCCCTCTTTTTCTCAGTGAGTTCTTCTTCTTCACAGTTCCATATAATTGTTTGATCACTTTCCTGTATATGGTATATAGCAGGCAGTACACTGATTTACTAATATGGACCGTCAATTTCTATAAAACATATATACAAATTACATGGGAATAAGACCCTCTTTATATAGAAACTAAGGTAGAAACAAAGCATTTTGGTAATAACCAAAACGCCGTAACTAATAAATTAGTTACATATCTAATAGAATATTTGCATCTTCTAATAGATGAGTTGCATATGTCGTGCATGTGGCTAAACACCACTATATACACGAACAAAATTATGTTCCGTACCAAATCAAATTGTTGTGAGTATTATTTTGTCGCACTCGGTGTAATATTGTCTCTAATGGGAAGACTAGTATTATTACTGTGACTGTAGAATATGGGGGTTTGGTTTTGTAACAAGAGTGAAGACAGAGGTTGAGTAAGTTAACAATTACTCTACGGAAGGGGTTGGTTAATGTAGTAGATTTGACCAAATAGTATAGAGCTTTAGGATAGATAGTGAATTAATAGTATAATTGATAGCGTATATGTTTGATAGAGTATAAAAACCTAACTTTTCCTAAAGGAGGAGGAAACCAACTTACTTAAATAGTTAGCGGAAATTAAGGAGTAGTGTATCGATACGATACATACATAATTGATATGAGGGAATATAAATGGTATAAAGATTAGTGACAATAAAGAGTATCAGTAGTAGTGTAACTAGATACGACATTATTGGAATGTCGGAGATGAACCGTATTGCGTGAAAGTAACGGTTAATCCACGACAATTTAACTCCTGCACGAAAAAATTATTAGGTAGGACGACATTCAGATTTCAGAGGTGCGCCAATGGTTTGAGAAACACTGTATCACTAAGACAACACATGCTATGGTTATTTGTAAGATCAACTTATTTGCACCCACTCGTACTGTAAGGGTATCGAATATCATTGAGAAAAAGATAATGTAATGTCCAAGACACAAGAAAGAAGAGGGGCAATGTACGGAACAGCAAACACCCAGGAGGATATCGGATGCAAAATGGGGATACACAAAGCACTGGAATGTGTAATTTAAACACTGATTTTGTTTATCGGGAGATATTATACTTAATCGAAATCAAAATCGTGTGTAGTTGAGGATACACAATAGTCAGTGTTTATTCATCTTTATAAACGAGCACAAGACATCTATTCACCCGCAGTAGAGATAAGGCAATGTGTTATTATACTTTATGAACACCCTTTTTTATTGTTTATCATAAATCGTGAATGGGGAAGTATTAACCAAGAATTATAGTTGCAGCCTAAATTTGAATAATGAAATTTCCAGAAAAGGCTTAGGTGTACATATATCCACGAGTAGAAATTATATAAATGTTAAAATTTTACGTACTACTTATTTTGTATGCAACTGTTAACTAAAATTATGGGGTAATGAGGGATGATAACTTACTCGGACAAATATCAGCGAAGTGAGAACTCAACAAAAAGTTATTTTATATTCAGGGTTATAAAGCTAATTCATAGATGTTTATTCATAGGGAGGTGGGGTACGACGAAGGATATTCACGGAACATTAAAAAGGAACAAAACGTTAATTATCTTTCCAAGATTTTATGAAATAAAAAGGATGCGGCTAAATTATTATGAATTTTATAGTTTTGTAATCGAAAGTCCGGTAAATAATATCTTATCCCAGTACATGATGAAAAAATCTAACCATCGCAATGACCCGATATTAACCGACATCAGGTCAAGTTATCATAAAAGACCAGTGCCCAAAACCTATCTTAAAGTGATTTCTCAATCGCAAAATTCTAATTTTATTATTTTGCAAGTATAATCGAGCGAACTATATTTCTTTTTATTTTTTCAATGCCGCGTACAACATTCTCGGGTTTCTTAATGAGGCGTATTTCATTTCGAATAAGGAATACTTGTGGTAATAAAATTAAGATTTGACATTGACCCTGCCCCGCAATCGCAAAGTGAAGAAGGGGAAATAACCTTAGATTGTCCTGTAACAAACAATAGGAGAATAGTTAAGCTCACCTGAGTAAAACATAAAAGGTTTGAGTCATTTTGATTTGTACGAGGCTTTAATAACTAATTTTTTCTGATTAAGGAACTACTCGCAATATCCACGGCTTAACATAGGCTTTTGGGGGTTACGATAAAAAAAATGCGCCAGTAGCCTAATTTCCATCATTATTGTTACCAGTTGGATTAGTTCATAATGTTGAAGAAATTATACAGTTATAAGGTATTTTCCGGCTCCGTTACACAAACCTAAACTAGTATAAATTTCTTATAGTTAGTTTCAACACTTATAAGGTTCTATAGGACTATTTGACCACTACCCCACCGCCCATGCCGCCGCGCAAATTTCTTAAATTATTATTTAGAAATGGTTCCAGTCAAAAATGCGCAGTCTACAACCCCCAAGAGAAAAATCAAAAAAATTTTCCCCAGTATGTTTGACAGTATCGTATTCAAAATAACACTTATTGATTGCATTTTTTCAAGCTAACAATGCAGAACATCTCTGAACTCCGGGAGCGAAACCGCAACTTTGTTATTAAGTTATATCATCAATCTGTTTCTTGGTGGTGGGGTAAATGGTTAATTAATAAAGTGGGTCCGACTAATTTTCTATTTTAAACTTCTTTAGTTCGGAGTACCATTTCTTTTTTTGCTTCCCCCACACTTTTGTGATATGATCTTATTGTCATACTAGTAAGTTATTGTATCTCTGACCAGTATTTTATTAGTTCAACAATCTAGCAAGTAAACGGGCAAACACAACAATTATGAAATTTCATATAAAAAGATTTGATATTCCTTTATTTGTTTTCAAATTAACTTATTTCTTTTTCTATTAGTGATCAACTTTGAATTATAATTGTTTGACAATATGACTGCAGCTCATTCACTTCATTCTATCGTGACTTCTAAGTCAGAAATTAAAGACCATAATAAACATATCGTCAAACCTCCTGTTTTTACTACTAAGTCTATCGCTAATTATTTCTTATCTAGACCAACTACTTTATTTCCAAGTAGGGAAGAATTATCTCAATATGAATGGTCTGACGTCTATAATCCATTTAAATCTTTAAGAGAAGTCTCTTTGAGACAATGGAATTTCTTTTTCATTGGGTTCTGGGCTTGGACTTGGGATGCCTTAGATTATTTCACTATTTCTTTGAATGTTTCAAATATTGCAGCCGATTTAAATGTTACGGTCAAGGATGTTTCTTGGGGTTTAACTTTAGTTTTAATGTTCAGATCTGTTGGTGCTGTCTTATTCGGGTTAGTTGGTGATACAAAAGGTAGAAAATGGCCATACATAATTAATTTATTGCTTTTATCGGTAATTCAAATTGGTACTGGTTTCATAACCACATACAAAGAATTCTTGGCTGTTAGATCTTTATTCGGTATTGCTATGGGTGGTCTTTATGGTATTTGTGCTGCTGAAGCCTTATCTGATGCTCCTCGTAATGCTAGAGGTATTATGTCTGGTATTTTCCAAGAAGGTTACGCTTTTGGTTATCTTTTAGCCGTGGTTTTCCAAAGAGCTATTGTTGATACTACAGGAAAATGGCAAAATATTATGTTCTTCTCAGCTGGTGTTTCTGTCATTTTCATTGTCTGGAGATTCTTTACTCCAGAAACTGATTCATTCATTAAACAACAAGAAAGAATCCTGCAAGAAGCTGAATCTGATAGAAAGACAAAAATGAAAGAATTAAAATCTCAAGCTAGAAAAGCTTTTAAACAATATTGGTTAATTCTGATTTACTGTGTTCTTATGATGGCTGGTTTCAACTTTTCTTCTCACGGTTCTCAAGATTTATATCCAACTATGCTTACCAAACAATTTAATTTCTCCGCTGATAGATCAACTGTTGCTAATGTTTGTGCTAACTTAGGTGCTCTTGTTGGTGGTATCTTTTTCGGTCATATGTCTACTTTTATTGGAAGAAGATTTGGTATCATTTGTGCTTGTGTCTTAACCGGTGTCATGATTTATCCATGGGGTTTCAAACCTAATGCTGGAACTGTCTTTGTCTTCCAAATGGGTGTCCAAGGTGCTTGGGGTATTGCTCCAATCCACTTAAGTGAATTATCACCACCACAATTCCGTACTTTAGTTGTTGGTACTTCTTATCAATTAGGTAATTTAGTTTCTTCTGCATCTTCTACTATCGAAGCTACTATTGGAGAAAGATTTCCTATTGCAGGAGCTGGTAAGGGAGTTTATAATTATGGTAAGACCATGGCTATATTTATGGCTGCTGTTACATTATATTTAATGTTGATTGTATTCCTTGGACCAGAAAACAGAGGTGCTGACTTGGGTATTGAAAGAGATGACTATTATGATGAAGAAGGATTAGATGACTTAGATGATGATCTTGAACGTAAGAAGACTAGTGATAATGATGATTATTCACTTGAAAATACTAAGGCTAATGCTAAACATGAAGAAGTAGTCAATGTTGAACAAAAAGTATAACATTGTTTAATTAATGATTTCTTATAATTCTTTTCTTTTCTTTTCTTTTCTTTTAATTAGTTGCAAAATGCAAAATGCAAATTGCAAAATTGCAAAATTGCAAAATCATGATTAGTTTAATTATTGATAGTTTTTACTTCTTTAATGCTCGTGTTATCTGGGATAGCTGAAGTATATGTCATTATATGTTAATATTACAACTGTAGATGGAGATGGATATGGAGATGGATGTGGCGCTACCAATGAAACCCAACTATATAATACATATATTAACACTTTTAAATACAATTTACTATACACAGAGCTAACCTTTACGTTTCCTATAACGTAAAAGCCTCTTAAACAAGTCATCTTCATCCAACTCGATCTCTGTAATGAACTCTTCAAGAACCAGTTTGTCATGAATGTATCTATCACAAATATTAGCCACTCGGAATTTATCCTCTTTCAATTCATTAGCTAATCTTTCTACAAAATGTACAATGGATTTACGATCTAAATAAGCTTCATGATCAATTTCATCTTTAATCCAATATTCACCCCAACTATTCAATCTGTATTCGATTGAAGGAGCAATTACATACCATTCTTCAATGATTTCATAAACAGTATATATGTCATGATTCATATCCAAAACAGGAGGGCGAACATTTTGCAATCCTTGAGGTGGTGGCATGAGTGTATTAATTAATCCTGGTTGCTGATATAAAGGAATCTGTTGAGCTTGTTGATAAGCTCCTTCGATCATTCTAAATCCATTGGACGAAGGATTCACTTTCAAGCATTGATCCAAATATACACTATAATTCTCTAGACTACGATTGATCTGTTGATAAAGAAATCCATAATTACCAACAATATCTTGCATGTTCAATTGATGAGAGCCATTAATATAAGTCAAAGAATCGGTAATATTCTTAAGAATTTCAGATCTTGTATCTACAAATTGATTCTTGATATTCAGAATCAATTCTTTCCTGAGTGCTCTTCTGCTTGGAACTGGTTGAGGAATTTGTTGTTGGAGTTGAAGTTGAATCGGTGGCGGATGTTGATTGGTAGGCAGTTGATGTTGTTGAAGTGGCAGCTGTTGAAGTGGTTGTTGATGTGGCATTGTTACTACTGGCGGTGGTGCTATAGGCTGAGGAGGAATTGGTTGAGGAAGTAATCTTGGATCATGATTTTGTTGAGGAATAACATAACTCCCTTCTTCTTCTAGTACCCTATGAGGATACGCTATTACACGACGACTACTTTCTCTACCTGCATCATGTTGTGGTGGAACAGATGGTGGACCAGCAATGGCAATGGGTTGTACGCGTGATGATTCAGCTGGGATTTCTGCTGGTGGAAGTCTGGCAGTACTAGATCCATTATTCTTTTTAGATTTACTAGTCCTTTTAGGTGGAGGTGCTGAAGGAGGTTTTATATTTGATTTGGGACTGGCAGAAGACTGTTGTTCTGAATCGGGTCCAGTACTTTCAGCTTCTGCAAGTGACTGTTGCTGGTCCAATGGCTGCTGCTGCTGCTGCTGCTGCTGATTCGAATATCCGGCTTCAGTATACAACAAATAATTAAATGCAACTTGTCGATTAGGGATTTCTTTAAATGGCAATTTATAAACCAAGTAATTAATTTCTTGCAATTTACTAAAAGCAGGATCCATTTTTCTTAATCGTATAATGGGATTATCACTTGAACTCTTTGAGAACTGTTCTTCATAAAACTGTTTCATTAATTCACCAGTTACAAAAAAGTTCTCTAAATTCTTTGAGCAACAGAATCTCATGAAATGTTTGAAAGTTGTTATATATCTTTTTCTAGTTTCAAATCCTAAAGATAATAATAATTGTTTTGCTTCAGGGTTTGTTAAAACTTCATTATCGAATTTCTTAAACATTCTAATAACTTGATGAGTATCTTTACTCATTATTCTTTTATTTATTTTGATATTATCACGATCAATATTATATTTCCTTCTGGTTTTAGGGATTGTTTCTGTGGCTACACGTTCTTCTGTGGGAGGATATTCATCATCATCTATTCTTTGAGATATTATTGATGTTATATTCGATTGCTTTCTAGCTCTTTTAATAGGGGGTCCACTTTCATCACCTGATGGTGAAGGACTAGTTATGGTTGTTAATGAAGTTACTGACATGTTTGATAAATCAAGTGGTTTCGAATCAGCGGATGAAGGTGCAGTTGAACCTTCTGATGCGATATATGAGCCGGGAGATACAGGCAGATTTGATATAATAGAAGTCAACGATGATCCTACTTCATTCGATGATTGAACCAATGGATGCTTTCTCTTTCTACCTCGAGGATCCTTTCTAATCAAGGGTAAGATTTCGTTGGATTTTTTATTATCTGCTAATTTTGCTGCTGTCTTTGCCTTTGCCTTTGAAACTTTGAGTTCCTTCACAACTTTACCATCAAGTGATTCACCTGATATAGCAGGATTAGCATTTACTCTTAATGCCTTTTTCACATATTTGGATTTGGAAGGTTTACCATCAACCAGTATTTTCTTTGGCCTACCTCTTCTTTCAACCTTAACTTCCTTAGCCACTTCATTTGTTATATCTGGTATACTTACTGGAACTGGAGGACCCTGAGAAACTACAGAACTTTTACTCTTAACAGGAGCAGCATCATTAACTTTCGATACTTTCACATTTGAAGGGGTGGGCATAATCGTTCCCTCCTTTATTGCTTGTTTCTGTTGTTTCTTATCCTCCTTCTTAATTTGTTTGGCAGCATCCTTTAAAGACCTTGGCTTACTTGGACGTCCTCTACCTTTTTTGATGGCTGTTACCTTTTTGATGGATTTCCCGTTCTCTGCCAATTCTATGGCCGTAATTCCACTATTGGTTGATCTGGTAGAAACCATTTCTTTAATGTGATTGATTGATTCACAGTTGGGGTCCCCTCAATAAACCGTGAATTTATTAATTTATTTATTTATTTTATTTTTCTTTCCTTATAAATTGAAAAATATCACTTGCCTATGTTTAATATCCTGATAGATTCGATATACTCAATAAATATGGTGTTGGTATATCTGATGGACAAACGTCAGTTGAAATGAATTGGATGATTAAAGTTAAAGGGTAATTATAAAATATTTGATTTAATAACTTTCACCTAACAGACAGACAGAAAGAAAAAACAACACGAACTAGAAGAAAAAAAATTTTATGGATTAATTTTTAAAAAATAAAAATATTAAAAAATAAGTTAATGTCTCTTGAGGGGGAATATACAAAAATACTAGGGATTTACGATGAATATGAATACGATAGTCTTCTTCGTTAACTTAATGAGAAGTTATGATAAACAAACTAATTTGAAGCTGAAATGAGATGTAGCTGTTTCTACCACTCTCAAAATGCAAATTTTATAGTTATTAATGGGGCCAATATCAATTTGGGAGCTTATCCTCTGCCTTTCAACTTTAAAAGCCATTTTATTTAAATTTGGGGATAGAAATGATTTTATTTATTGAGAAATATATTTTTTAATTTTTTTTTAGAGCGACGAAAATCTCACCCCCTTTTTCCGTTGATTAGGATTTTGTTTGATAGGGGCAGAACAGACAATGCCAAATATGCTACTAAACTTTATTATTTATATTGTCATTAATGCTATTATTTTAATTAGTCCAATTAACTCAATTCAATGCCTAGGGGGTAATAAGTAGAATAAATATATCTGATTGCAAAAATTTTCAACAGCTTTCAAATTGTTTGGTTGTTGGTATAGTTTATTGTGACTATATTGCAATAAATTTAATGAAACTGATTAGTTAAATACCTCTCTTTCTCTAATGCCACTATAAACATGGTTAGTTCATAGATATACTATTGAATGGTTGGAATGAATTCTTTTCTGGTAAAGATTAACATTGAAGAAATTAATGTAAGACATTAATATCTCCAACTCGTCAATTCAAGCGGCAAATATGCGATTTATCTTACTCGTACATTCAATGAAGTTTTTACAGCTACGTCAAATTATTTGGTGGTATACGTCATGGTTCATTATGAGGAAAATTTAGCAGTGAATAACCTATTAAAAGTATCTGCTAAATAAGTCGAAATCCATAGTCCAAGACTGCTTATAATAGCAAGTAATCACAAAGCCAAAACAAAATAAAAAATTATAAAAAAAACTATTTTGTTAATCCAATTTATCGAAGACAAACATTAAAATATAGATCAATATACATTATCATTCGATTACTTCCATATCAACCGTTACATTTATGATGAACTATATGAATTCATGCTTAGAGTTATAATTTCAAAGTGAAGCAAATATGGGATACAAAATTAAATAGAGTTTCGCATAAGACTTTTCACATATGAAATAATATGTACAAAAACCACTTCATCAAATCAATTTAAGCGGCAATTTAATTTTACATTTCACCCATCATAATCAAAAGCCGATTAGAGTCATTCACCTGATAGTTAGAGTTCTGAAATTTTAATAAATAAATTAGAATAAGATGGTATGACATATGGCTAAAATACCAACTCTACCGTTATCATCTTTGTTTCATATATTGATGAAATTGATGAAATTGATAAAATGGTAATTATAACAAAAATTAAAACTGCAACTGTGCATATATATAGCACGATCGACAAAGCGGCTTAGAAACATAAATAACGCCAACAGAATGAGTGAACTAATTCTTTTGAATTTGTATTTAATCTGTATCACAAACTGTAGACGTCTGGAAGACGACCTCTTACGATATTCACACAATAAACATAATCTAATATGATCAACACATCCATTAATTTTTGTATTCTTTTTTTTTATTCTTTTTTTTTTAACCTTTTTTATTTTATAGCTAGAACTCCGAAGTACACGACCCCCCTGGACGAGTTCCCTAATTTGGAAATGATGGCCGTGACAGAAAATTGCAAAAAATGAATCCATTTGAGTCTTGTTATATGGCAGATAACAATACAGTTATACCTGCAATTTTTTTATGACAGAAGAGAAGAATCCAGTCTTTATGTATCGACCTCCAAATTATATTCTATGTCTTATGACTTCACTTCATATATTTAAAAACTGCACGTTACATCCCCATAAAATACAGACCACCAATATCATTTGAGCCACCAGATAAGAAATACTGTCAACATTTTAGGGGCTTTTCAAAATTTGCAATAAAACTATTCTCTACATTCACTCAAATATAGCGAAGTAATAAAATCTTTTATTATTTTAATAAGTATGTATTAAATATACAATGTATGAAATGAATAAATATATGTACCTATGTATAAGAAAGTAAAAATAGTAGGAAGTAAATCTAAAAAGTATTCCCAGAATACAAATTTGTTGTTAAAGGTTCATAGAAGTCATAAATTATTAGTTTCGGTAGTATATAATTTCAGTTTAGCTTAGCACGTTCACGTAATAATTTCAACTCATTATCTGATTTTTGACTCCCCTTTTCAATAATTAAATTTCTCAAAAGTTTATTCTCCATCTCCAACTGTTGGATTTTAATTTCAAATTCTTTAATTGTTTCATTAAGGGAGAATATACGATGTTCCATTTGCTTTTCTTTGAGTTTCTTCTTGATTCTGAATCTCGCACTAGCAGCCGTATTGCGACGGCGTTTATCAAGTTCAGCAGAATGAGATCCACCCGATGAACCACCTGATAACTGATCTTTAAGTGAGAAAGTGTCATCAGATTTTATAGTTAAACTAGGCGATGCTTGTAAAGTTGTTGTCGAAGATGTCATGGATACGGGACTATCATTAAAAAGTGCCCCTGTTGTTCCATTAGAGCCATTAACTATGGCATCTTCATTTGTGCTTGTACTACTGAAAGATTGAAGTTGATTATGTTGTCTGACTGGAGAATTAAAGTTTTGGCTTATTAATTGTGGAGTGTAATCGCCATTGTTATTAGAATTAGAATTTGAAGAGGAAGATCCCGGTATTGGATTACCTAATCTTGTTTGGTGTTGAGCAATTAATGCACTAAGTAAATCAATTTGATTTTGAGATAAACCAGCACTAACCAAAGAATTTTTAGCTCCTGGTGGTACAGGGAATTTTGGTAATTTTGATATATTAATATCATCTAGAACGCTGTGACCATTACTATTACTATTACCAGAATTACTAGTAGTAGTATTATTATTATTGAATGTATTTGATAGAACTAATTGTGAAGGATTATGATGAAGTTGTTGAGATTGATGTTGTTGAAGTAATTGTTGTTGGTGATGGTTATTTCCATTAAGATGTTGAAAATTTGGAGAACTATCAGTTGAAGAAGCCAAATTACTTGATAATAAAGGATCCTCACCTTCACTCTTTATGTGACCATTATCATGATTATTATGATTATTATCACCATTACCAAAAGCATCCAAATCCATTTCATCATCATCATCATCATGACCTCCTCTTCCATGTTTTGGTTTATCTTCATCAGGAAAGATAAATGAATCATCAGCAAAAGCGGCCAAATCCATTGATAATTGTCCATCTATATCCAAATTAGGGGTTAAATCTCCAGTAGACCCTCCACCATTACCAGCACCATTACTATTCATAAATGTATCAATATATACCAATTGTTCTAACAACGCCGAAGACGTTTGTTGAGAATGGTGGTTATGATGACTTGAAGATTCAAAATGATTTAGATCACTCATCTTGTAAATATATTGCTTTTGCTATACCTTGTGAATCAAAGTTGCGTATTTTACAACTGGTTGTTGTTTTTTCTTCTCGTAGTGGTTAATGATCTTAATGATTAGTCAAACTATTAACCACTAAATCCAACAAGCTATATTAATATAATATAAATACTGATATTCACAAGGATAGTGAAAATTGAAAAATTACAAAAGTATATATAAGAATATGAAAAAGAAATTTATAAATAATAATTATAATAATTATTGTTCTTATTATATTATGACTCTCCTTATTTCACCGGTATAGTAAAACAATTCCGTTACTTAACCTTTTAGCTTATTGGTTGTAAATGAATTTGTGTGGGTATAATTTTATAATGGTACCTAATAGTACTAAAGAGTCAAGGTTATTCATATATACATATAAATTTTCACCATACAACAATAATAATAATAATATTACAGCTTATACACAGTACGAGTCCTTTAATCCTTATTATCCACAATTATAATTATGCCACAACAGGTTATATATATAGAATTTAATGATTTGCAGTAGATAAAACTTGTATAAACTTGAATTTGATAACACAATGCCACGTGACTTTCTCAAATAATATGTTATTTGTTTTGGTCTCCACACTGTCTCATGTCACGTGTGTCACACTCATCGAGCATTTATAAGTATAGACTTGCCTAATCAGGTACATGCGTCCTTATATTTTGCGCCAAGTTACAAGGCGCTTTAGTTTAAAATAGGATGCGTGGGTTAATAGCTTCAAGTATAAGAGAATAATGGTACAGGAAGGGATATGGATAAGGTTATAGGTATCTGGATAATACTTGACTTGACAACTAACAATACTGTAAACTGTTCCGAACTGGAATGAAGTAATATGTCAAAGTTGCCAATGGTATTGTTAACTATAATGGTAAGAAATTATCAGCTAATGATTTTATCTTATCAACCAAATCTTAAACCTTAACTGCTTAATTATACTATGTAGAAATGTGTACAGTATATGTATTATGCAACCCCTCTTCTATTAATAAGCAAAGGAATAATCACAAAGGAAATCGGACTATAAATGCGAATCAGCCGGTCCGAAACACATCATCATTAAGGATTCAGCTGCTATTGCTACATTATATCAATTTTGATTTAAATGTGATTTTATTTTATTAATAAGCTATATAATAAAAAGTAATCTAAACTGGAAGTATAAGCGAACTAAAATCAACTAAAAAAGAACTGAAATGAGAAGAGAAGTGAATTGAATTGACTCGAGTGTGTATAACCTTCATTTGACTGGCAAATTAGTCAACCTACACATAAAGTATACAATATATTTTTATAATAAACCAAAAGACCCCATAATTAACATGTATCATCATTATATTTTTGCAGTATTTTTCTCATCACGCGCATGAACCACGTGACTCGGTAATAGACAATAATTAAGTATAAGCTTCTTAATTATGACCGACTGATGACACAGAAATATAATTACCTGATCTAACGGCTAAGGGGGATTGATTAGAAACCTTTAATCTATACTCGGCAAATGAACGGAATGAATTACCGTCAGTTGGATTCCACTTAAGTTGATGAGCAGGAGTTGCTACGATTTTAGTAGTAGCACCAGTATTAACAGCAGCTGGCTTGACTAATTTAGCAGCATAATAAGATTTAGATTCGAATTGGCGAATAATTGAAGTTGAGAAAGATCTGAAAGACATTGTATATAAATTGTTAGTTGTTATTGTTATTGGTATTATAATGGTAATATTTCAATAGCAGAAATCAAAAGAATTCAATCGATTTATATGTTATTGAAATCGGGTTAGAGGGAATACAGAAATATATTTATAATCAGAATATACGTGAAAAATTTTATTCTAGTAAACTTATCTCCTTTAAAGAAGAGGGGTGGTTAGTGGTTACAGATAGCGCGAAAAAAAAATCAGGAGGTTCGCACTTTCGTAACTGCCTAACCACAGTATGAAGTAGTAATCGTACCACCTTATTAAAGGATTGGCAAGGATCTATTACGAATTTTGACCCTGTAATTACTTCAAAGTATATATAGATTGGTTGATGGTGGCTCTTATATACTTAGGATAGTTGTAGAGAAAGTAGAGGTAATATAGTTGTAATAGAAAAATGGATTTAGGAGTTAAAAAAACTTAATTGCAATCTATTACAATCTTCCCCTCCATTATATATATATGGATAGGAGGAACTGAACGATAGCGGGTCGGACATTAAAGGCCGTTCGGATTTGGAGTTCCTTATTACGAGAAAAAAATGTAACGTCTCACTGCCGAGGAACTGTTAGAGATTAACGGACCGCAAAAATGGGAGTGTCTCTACCAATAAGCATAAGAAAGTACGTAAAGCAGCGTACTTTAACAGAGGATAGTGAGAAAGGAGACAGCGATTGATTGCGATTGAAAATCACGTGGCGAGCAACTAGTCTAATAATTAATTTTATTATTTAAATTAATTTTATTGTTAGATCCGATCAGAAGACAATTATAGATAACACTAATTAATAGTAGCAGATTATTGCTCAGTAAACAAATTCAGTGTACCGAATGGTAACCCAAGAATATTACAAACTTAGACAACTCACTATATACTCACCAATCCACTCCCCAGTACATTCGGGCCAGGTCAGGCCAGGCCAGGGAAATGGCTCAGCTCGTGGAGAGCTTTGTGACTTTTCGGAGTTTCTAAATGACTCAAGTATAAAAACACTGTCACAAATTTAACATAATTAATAAATAATTAATTAATTAGCCAAAGAAAAACAATCTTCAGCCAATCAATTTGGTTAACTATACTGAAATTACAAAAGTATTACTGCAATATTAAACCTCTTATAACTCCATGACTCAATCTAACAACAATGAACAGAGCTTAATTCTTAATTCAATTGTACTATTTTTATTGTTTTTCAAATTATATCATGATTATTTTTTTTTTCTTATGTCGGACAGCTCTGTTGCTTAGAATTTCCGTGCGTTTTCGGCGTCGGAGTGCTATAGTCAAAAAGCACCAGTTCCCCCGGTTAAATGAATCATAATCAATACAAAATGATTCATTTGCAATTGGTGAAAAATTTTCTTAAAGTCTGGAGATCAACTAGATGAGTATAAATACTGTAGAAATCACTCTAAGTAATACTATATCTATATACTAAACTATATTTATTGAACTTTAACTGACAGTGTGTCAAAACTCACTAACGTATCTTTTTCGCTCGTCTGGAAATTAACCTCCTCAACTCATCGCTCCGCTACAACCATCCTCGCTACTTATCGCCCACCCTCAAATTCAAATTTGTGTCGGGGGTTTGAAAATTAATTAAAGTATCGGGTTTTAATTTCTTTGATTTAATTTAATTTAATTTAATATTTTAATATTTTATTTTATTTCAAATTAATTCCCCTTCAAAATTTATATTCAACATACTTAACTTACTGTCAATTGAATTGAAGTGAATTGTTGTTGATATGGCTTCAATTGCAATTATAAATCCTCCCAATGATGAGTCGACTCGTCTTCAACAAATGAGAAGAGATTCGACTGTTCTTGGTCCAATGAATAAAATTCTTGTAGCAAATCGTGGTGAAATTCCTATTAGAATCTTTAGAACTGCTCATGAACTTTCTATGCAAACTGTTGCTATTTATTCTCATGAAGATAGATTATCAATGCATAGATTAAAAGCTGATGAATCTTATGTTATTGGTAAAAAGGGTCAATATACTCCAGTGGGAGCTTATTTACAAATTGATGAAATTATTAATATTGCAAAACATCATAATGTTAATATGATTCATCCTGGTTATGGATTTTTATCTGAAAATTCAGAATTTGCTAGAAAAGTTGAAGAAGCTGGAATTGCTTGGATTGGTCCAAATTATAAAACTATTGATGCTGTTGGTGATAAAGTTAGTGCAAGAAATTTAGCTATTTCAAATAATGTTCCTGTTGTTCCTGGTACTCCAGGTCCAATTGAAACTGTTGAAGAAGCTTTAACATTTGTTGAAAAATATGGTTATCCAGTAATTATTAAAGCTGCTTTTGGTGGTGGTGGTAGAGGTATGAGAGTTGTTCGTGAAGGTGATGATATTGCTGATGCCTTTAAAAGAGCAACTTCAGAAGCTAAAACTGCTTTTGGTAATGGTACTTGTTTTATTGAAAGATTTTTAGATAAACCAAAACATATAGAAGTTCAATTATTAGCAGATAATTATGGTAATGTTATTCATCTTTTTGAAAGAGATTGTTCAGTTCAAAGAAGACATCAAAAAGTAGTAGAAATTGCTCCAGCCAAGAATTTACCAAAGGAAGTTCGTGATGCAATTTTAACTGATGCAGTAACTTTAGCAAAATCAGCTAATTATAGAAATGCGGGTACAGCTGAATTTTTAGTTGATGAACAAAATAGACATTATTTTATTGAAATTAATCCAAGAATTCAAGTTGAACATACTATTACTGAAGAAATTACTGGAGTTGATATTGTTGCTGCCCAAATTCAAATTGCTGCTGGAGCATCATTACAACAATTAGGACTTTTACAAGATAAAATTACTACTAGAGGATTTGCAATTCAATGTAGAATTACTACTGAAGATCCATCTAAAAATTTCCAACCTGATACTGGTAAAATTGAAGTTTATAGATCGGCTGGTGGTAATGGAATTAGATTAGATGGTGGTAATGGATTTGCTGGTTCAATAATTAGTCCTCATTATGATTCAATGTTGGTTAAATGTAGTTGTTCTGGTTCAACTTATGAAATTGCAAGAAGAAAAATGTTGAGAGCTTTAATTGAATTTAGAATTAGAGGAGTTAAAACTAATATTCCATTTTTATTAGCTCTTTTAACTAATGAAACATTTATTAATGGAAATTGTTGGACAACATTTATTGATGATACTCCATCATTATTTCAAATGATTAGTTCTCAAAATAGAGCTACTAAATTATTATATTATTTAGCTGATTTAGTAGTTAATGGATCTTCAATTAAAGGTCAAGTTGGTGTACCAAAATTAGATGAAGAAGCTGAAATTCCTGCTATTCATGATCCACAAACTGGTCTTTTAATTGATGTTGAAAATACTCCAATTCCTCGTGGTTGGAGACAAGTATTACTTGAAGAAGGTCCAGAAATATTTGCTAAAAAGGTTCATCAATTTAATGGTACACTTTTAACTGATACAACTTGGAGAGATGCTCATCAATCTTTATTAGCTACCAGAGTAAGAACTATTGATTTATTAAATATTGCTCCAACAACAGCATTTGCACTTAATGGAGCATTTTCATTAGAATGTTGGGGTGGAGCAACTTTTGATGTTTGTATGAGATTTCTTCATGAAGATCCATGGGCAAGATTAAGAAAATTAAGAGCTTTAGTTCCAAATATTCCATTCCAAATGTTATTACGTGGAGCTAATGGAGTGGCTTATTCTTCTTTACCAGATAATGCCATTGATCAATTTGTTTTACAAGCCAAAGAAAATGGGGTTGATATTTTTAGAGTCTTTGATGCTTTAAATGATTTAGATCAATTGAAAGTTGGTATTGATGCAGTTAAAAAAGCTGGAGGAGTAGTTGAAGCAACGGTATGTTATTCTGGTGATATGCTTTTACCTGGTAAAAAATATAATTTAGAATATTATTTAAATGTTGTTGATGAAATTGTAACATTAGGAACTCATTTCTTAGGTATTAAAGATATGGCAGGTACTTTAAAACCAAAGGCTGCTACTATTTTAATTACCAAAATTAGAGAAAAATATCCTGATTTACCAATTCATGTTCATACTCATGATTCTGCAGGTACTGGAGTTGCTTCTATGGTTGCAGCTGCTAAAGCAGGTGCTGATGTAGTTGATGCTGCTTCAAATAGTATGTCAGGTATGACATCTCAACCTTCAATTAGTGCTATTTTAGCTTCTTTAGAAGGTGATATTGAAACTGGACTTTCAGATTCATTAGTAAGAGAAGTTGATAATTATTGGGCTCAAATGAGATTACTTTATTCATGTTTTGAAGCAGATTTAAAGGGTCCAGATCCTGAAGTTTATCAACATGAAATCCCCGGTGGTCAATTAACTAATTTATTATTCCAAGCTCAACAATTAGGGTTAGGATCTAAATGGGTTCAAACTAAAGAAACTTATAAAATTGCTAATCAACTTTTAGGTGATGTAGTTAAAGTTACTCCAACTTCAAAAGTGGTTGGAGATTTAGCACAATTTATGGTTTCCAATAATTTATCAGAAGAAGATGTTAATAAATTAGCTGGAGAATTAGATTTCCCTGATTCAGTATTAGATTTTATGGAAGGTTTAATGGGTACACCATATGGAGGATTCCCTGAACCATTAAGAAGTCATATTTTAGGTAATAAAAGACAAAAATTATCTTCAAGACCAGGATTAATTTTACCCCCAATTGATTTTGAAAGTATTAGAGAAGAATTAATTTCAAGATATGGTAATACAATTAAAGAAAGTGATGTTGCATCATATGTTATGTATCCAAAAGTATTTGAAGCTTATAAAAAGCAAGTTGAAAAATATGGAGTTTTATCAGTATTACCAACAAGATATTTCCTTAAACCTTGTAAGATTGGTCAAGAATTAACCGTTGATATTGAAAAGGGTAAAACATTAATTATAAAATTATTAGCAATTGGAGAAATTAGTCAACAAACTGGTACAAGAGAAGTATTTTTTGAATTAAATGGTGAAATGAGATCAGTAACTGTTGATGATAAAACTGTATCTATTGAAACTAAAACAAGACCAAAAGCATCTCAACCAAATGATGTTGGAGCACCAATGGCAGGTGTTGTTATTGAAATTAGAACAAAATCTGGTACTGAAGTTAAAAAGGGTGATCCAATTGCCGTTTTATCGGCCATGAAGATGGAAATGGTAATTTCTGCCCCTGTCTCTGGTATCATTGGTGATATCTTAATTAATGAAGGTGATTCAGTCGATGCTAATGATTTAATTACTAGTATTCATAAATAAGTTTCTTTTAATAATGACTTCTTTCAATTCTACTGCAATACGCTATTTCCATTTGTTAGTTGAAATTTTTTATCTTTACAGTTTCATATACATATAACCTATTATACATAAATATATATATTCTTATTCAATTCTATTATATTATCATTACTATTACTATCACTATCACCTATATCCACTTCGTATTCTCTTTGGTACTAATCCTCTTGAACCAGTTAATCCTAATTCTCGCCTACGTTTATTAACTGCTTCACTATCACGATGATGTTGACTACTACGATCATTATCTCTAGACTCTATACGTTTCGTCAATTGTTCATTCTCGGCCTCTAACGACTCATACTCTCGTAATAATTGTTGTTCAAGCTCAATTTTTTCTTCATAATCATCACTTTCATCTTCACCTTCACCAATTTCTTCTTCTTCATTATCTCCAATTCTATTGCCCTTCCACACCTTATCATTAATGACATCATGAGTAAAATTCGTTTGTGATAGTATTCGAATCCATTGATCTAACAATACATGTGTACTTCCACTGGCATCATTTAATTTAGCTATATTACCATTAGTAAATTTAATAGTTTGAATTAAATTAGCCATAGTTGAATTTATTCGATTCAATTGGGCAAGCTCTCTTTCTAATGCCAATTGTCGATTGGTGGTGCTGGAAGTCAGCTGACTTCGAGAACTAGAACTAGGTGGATTACTAATATGATCAGACATATCTCTACTCTATTACTTATACAGTTATCTATGGTTAATAGTAAGATTAATAGTAAGATTAATGAGTTTGTTTATAAACAAATGCGCAAAAGCGAAAATAAGAAAAAGTCCGGCATACTGCCCCAAATGCTCCGAAATAGGCATGAATTTTCAAAATCTATCAAAACTGACAATATACAAATTATCAATAATAACTCGTAGCGATACTGTAATTAATATGAGTCAAGTGGATGTTGAACCGGAAAATGATTTATCTACAGCATTACCCACCCGATGGGAGATTGAACTTGAATTTGTTCAATCATTAAGTAATATTCAATATTTGAATTATCTAGCTCAAAGTAATCATCTTCAAGATCCAAAATTTATAAATTATTTAAAATATCTTCAGTATTGGACTCAACCAGAATATGCTAAATATCTTGTATATCCTAATTGTTTACATATATTAACTTTATTACAAAATAAAGAATTCAGAGAATCTATTGTTAATCCTGAATTTATGAATAATTTAATGAATGATATGGTTAAAAGATGGCAAGATGCTGATTCTAATGTATTAACTCCATTATCCTCACAACAACCTCCAACCACAACTGATCCTGTAGCCAATTCTACTCCAGCTAATACTGTAGGTGATAAAAATAACAACGTTAATACCATTACAGCATCTACAATGACACCTGAAAATTCACTAGAAACTGAAACTTCAAATACTAATACAATTACAATTGAAAATAGGAATGGTGCTGATGATAATCAAGATATACAGCATGAAAAAATTTCAGGCGCAGCTGAGGATCAAGCAAAACCTGATATATGAATGGTTTATACTTACAGATAAGACAGACAAACAGAACAGCAACAAGCAAGCATAGTATACGCCTAAAGTATCCTTAACCAAAAAAGGGGTCTTCATCTTTAGCTTATCAGCCTTGTTATACTTAATAAAGTATGACAGTTCAGGCGCAGTAGAAGAATATAATTATGTAGAATTTGTCCTAGATCAGTTACTGGTCGGAATCCTTTATCTAATTAGGGCACAATTCCGCTTACGTACATTATTTACTTAGAGTATATAGGTATATTACATGAATAATTGACACATTTATAAGGGCTATACTAGATTTAATAGATTAAGCTACAATAATAATGGAGTTTCAATTCTCATGGAGATGCATGGTGCATAACGGACTTGATGAGACACCAACTCGTAAAGTTAACAATGCGTCCATAAGTTTATTTTTGGCTCCAAATGGCTGCGCCTTCATAGTTACTTATAATGGGTTAAGTGCGTACAACAGCAGCCTTACCAAATTCATCAAAGGTGCATGTGAGTGAAAAGGAGATTAACCAGAAATATATTAGCGAATCCTTTAAGTCCACTAGTCTAATTCTATTTTTAGCACGAAATGGCTGTGCAACTAAAAATAGTCCTAGGGAGTTAAATTTAGTTATTTCACCTCTATCAATAGAATGAATGAAGTTGAGTAGAAGATCAAACAGCTTTTGAATAGATAGCAAACAAGTACTAATTGCATATGCTAAGAATAATCAAAGTTAATATAGTACATAAGTTAAGCCAAGTAAAGCAAAGCTAAGCTTAGTAAAGTCAGGACATGGCTGAAACTTCCGCGCAACCCCAGTGTAAAATTTTTAATGGAACAAACGGCTAACCATGACAACATCTTAGTAATATCCGTGATATCACACAAATAAAACGTAGATCTAATAACCCCAACTTCAACATTCAATGCTATTGTCCAGTTATTCCATTCTGGAATCTCTTAATATTTTATAAATATTTTAAGTTTGGCTTACGGACCGAACTGGAACCGTTTATGTAAGCGGTAGTTTTTATCCTTTTGAGCATGCAAAATAGAAAATGCAATCATAGTAAATCACAAAAATGTGACTTCACATTAAAATAGAGATATTAATAACCTTTCAAATATACATATCCATAATTAACTTATGTAGCTTCTCCGGATAGGAAAACAATAAATTTCTAACTAAAATGATACCGTTTTCTCATTGCTCTAAAAAGCCTCTGCTGCATAATATTTCAAATATATATATATATATATATTTATATATATACATGGATTTCCCTGTTTAAGATAGAGAAATATATCCACTTTTAATTTATTTAATATATTTAATATCGCAATATAGATATTATATCTTATAGTCTTTAACTATTGTCATTGATAGTAAAACCAATTTTATATTTTTTCTTAAAAAACCCCCTAACATGAGTGCAAAATATATAAAGAATTTAGAGCTACTACAGAATAAATCCAATTTGAAAAATATCAATATTAAGAAATTCAAACCATCCATATTAATTCTGAAATTTGCAGTAGTGATTTATAATATCATATTTAATACCCTAGATGTTATTTTGCATCAAGTTCTCCTCCGTGGGAAATTATCCAGAACCATTCCTTATTCGTTTGGTTGTTTAATATTAGATGCTTGCATAATTTGGATATTAATATCAGAGAGGATAAATGAAAAGAGGGAAATTGCAAACAAAAAATGGACCAAGTATATGAGGTTTATAAAATACTTTAGATATCTTGTGTGGACTTTTCTTTTTATAATTATAATCTTGAAAGTTGTCATATTAGCATCTGGTAAGAGTATTCATCAATTAAAAATAAATGAAAGTAAAAAGTCTGCTTATGTTATAGTCTTTGTAATATGTACAGTTATCGACATTGCATTATTATCCTTTTGGTGGGAAGAAAAATTGAAATCAGTGTATGCTTTATTTACTGGAATTCAATTAGTTCAAATACTCTTTGCAATTGCTATAATACAAATTAATCTAAATTTGATAAATGTGTATCCAGGTTCATCAATTAAGAGAGTACACAATCTTTATATTTTTACTTCATGTTTCTGTATTAGTCAAGCGGTATATGGTGCTATTTTAGGAGGAGTTTTAAATGAAGAAAATAGATTAAATGAATTAATGGGTAAAATGCTAACATTATCTAACATCTTTCAAGGTTTATTATTGACTCTTGTTACTATATGTTTTATAACCATGCTTTGTTTCTCAAACAGTCTCCTCAATAGTTATGGTGATATTCCTGCAAGTTTACCTATTATATATGGTTGTGTTATAATTTTAGGACTTATGTCATTAGCTTGTACAAGATATTTTAGAAGAAGGAAACCAATCACGGATTTAGTGGTGGAAGAATATGACTTACTGGCATTGACACCTCAACAAAAAGCAGGCTGGTCAAAATTAATAAATCTTAATTACAGATACAATAGTGGAATTAGTGGTGAAGCTATAATATCTTTAATGGAAAATTATTCCAATAATTCAACTATAGATGGAGTTAGATTCAAAATATTGAGAGTATTTAAGAGTTGTAATCTGGGAGAAGAAATAAATTCAGAGAAAGAAGGAGCAGAAATGGATAATAATAACAATAATAACAACAACAACAATAAGAATAATAAAAAGAATGCTAATGCTGATCTTGAAAAGAATCCATCAATTCCTGAACCAAAATCTCTAAGAAAGAGTTATGATAACACTGCTGTGTCCAAAGCTTGGGAATCATTCGATAAGGAATCAGTTGTTTTTTCTCATACTGTAGAGACATCTAGTTCTTCAGAACAAAGTTTAGATGAATTCAAACCTTTATCTAAAAATCAATTAAAGAGATTAGCTAAAAAGAAATCGAAACAACAAAAGATGGAAGATATCGAAGAGTTACAAAAGAACCTGGTAAAATTCTATAATGACTTGAAATGCACGGAAGCTTTAACATTGTTGACAATAATAGATTCATTTGATTTAGCAGAAAGAATTCCTGGTAAAATTGGTGAATATTTATCAAAATGGTTTGGCAGGAACTCTAAATATCCTATATTATGCATAAAGTTTGGATTGCTTGGATTCCATTGGCCATTCAAAAGATCAACAGTTTATTGTAGTTCAACCAGAAAACCTGTTGCTAGAAGTGCTGCAGTTATGTATTCCATTAATGAATGGAATAAAACCAATGAAAAGTGTACTGTGCTATTAGACCCAACATATAAAGATGACTTTTCTGAACCCGGTATTGGCTTGAGTGGATGGTATAAAATCAACTTACCTAATTCACATGTTATTGATTTAAGACCATATATGAATAAAACCATTGATCAATATTATAAAGCTGTTAAATACAGAAATCATGATAATGTATTCCGTGAAGAGCATGGTGAAGTTGTTGAAACATTTGAATTTAATGAATCAAATTGTGAAGAAGTAATTACATTAAATCAATTTATTTCACAATCAAGAACTAGTACTGGCCAATCAGATACTTTAATAAAACCACATTGGAAATTTGTATCACACTTGGGAAATTTCTCAAATGAAAATAAATATAGATCAATTGTATTTCTTAAAGTCAATGGTCAATTAGTTGCTTCTTGTGTTATATTCAGATTAGGTGATACAATTACTTCTGATATTCAAGGATTAAATCATGAGGTAAGTAAAAAATATAGAGCTTATTTTGTAATGATGCAAGAAGTTATAAAAATAGCACTAAGAGAAAAGGTTTCATTTGTGGATTTTGGTCCAACTACAGAGAATGCAAAAGTTGATATTGGCTGCAAAGTCGTTCCTTTGGTTGGATCATTATCGGCAAGAAATCCTGTTTTATCTCCGATTATTAGACTAGCTGCAGCTAATGTAAGTGTATAATACAAATTTCATTCTGGATATATCCAGTCCCATATAGAAAGATATATATATATATATATATATATAAATATTTATAAGTAAATAAATTATTTGAAGTCAAGTTAATTAGTGTTGGGTTAAGTTTTCTCAATTCGACACGACCACTTAAAATTTGGGGCAAGGTTGGATTGGAAAAATGTGTGCCACCTCATTAAAGGGTATACCTTCAGATTCTTAACAGATTAGTTGTGTAGATGCAATGTCAACTTCATCTACCAAGGGCGTATATGATAAGCATTTTAGTGCTATTAGTCAATTTTCTAATCGATTAAATCATATCTATAAAATTTCATTATTAGAATTTTTATATTTTATATCATTTGTAGTTAATTTTGGGCTTGGGAAAATAGTTCATTTACTATCACCAGAAGAAGAAGTTTATAATTATTACAATGATAAGAAGAATATCTTAAATCAATTATTTGTTAAAAAGGGTTGGGGATGGACAACATTAGTGATAACATTATTTTATGCATGCATTTTACAATCCAAAAATATAACCAATAAACTGATAAAGGTGAGAAATGCAATTATACGATTTGTTTTAGTTACAATTTGGTGGATATTTTTCACTCAATGGTGTTTTGGGTTACCAATAATGGATAAAATATTTATTCTTACAGGAGGGAAATGTGTTATTGAACATAAGGATGTGGTGCATAAACATTCTCATCTAATTCAATTCTTTCAAGAAATTGAGAATGGATTTGAATCATCAATCATATCATCATATTCATGTAGAAAGTTACGAGGAAATTGGGAAGGAGGTCATGATCCATCTGGACATGTATTTTTAATGATTCATTCATCATTATACTTGTTTTTAGAAACATTACCATATTGGAAATCATGGACACATTTAATAAATGAGGTTAAAAATGTTATTAATAAATTAAAGACAAGTAATAAATCCGTGCCAGAAAAAGTAGTAGACATTTTATATTTTATAATTGATAATCCACATGTAGTGATTATTCAATTGATCTCATTGTGGTGGTTTATGTTATTCATGACAAATATTTATTTCCATTCTCTTGGAGAGAAGTTTGTGGGATTATTATTTGGATATGCTGGAGTTACAGTTGTGTATTATGTGCCACGATTATTAGTTAGTAATAAAAATAAGGATCAATGAGTAATAAGATAGAATTTATAGGTAATATATAATAGTGCAGAGAGCAGAACAGCGGAGCAGCAGAGCAGCACTACAGTACTGTACAGTAGTACAGCAGTACAGTAGTACAGCAGTACAATATAGAGTATATTCTTACTTCTAACGGTCATGTGCACAAACACGAGAAGAAAGATATGTGCATCAATCAAACCTGAATGTTAAGCACCAAACGGCTGATGGGAACTGTATGTAAATTTAACATAAATAAAATAAATTTAAATTAGGTTTAAATTAAACTAATCGGTCGTAAACCACAACAGACGAATAACAATTAACAATTAACAATTTACAACAATGCAACACGTTACGATATGATTTAAACTATAACAAATAAAAAAGTAACAAGTAATAAATAATAAATAATTGTCTTCGTCAAAAAAGGGGGTACCGTGACACGGGACGCGTTAAATATAATTTATAATTTGAGATAAACAAACCCGTGTAAAATCAAAACAAACGCCATTCGCTCTCCACAATTCGTCTCACCTGAGACCTCCTTAACTATGAACATGTTATCGTGTAACAGGACTCGCATTCCGACATTATTCCTATTTGGGACATAAGGGGGTATTTAGTATTTAGTATTTAGAATTTTCAATTTACAATTTAGTATTGTGAGCCGCTTTATACAAAATCTGTCTGTCTCTCTCTCTGTCTGTCTCTGATGGGTTGACAAGTGCCGTCGTTGATGTTTCATTTCCATTTCCATTTCCATTTCCATTTCCTTTTCTACTTCACTTTACTTTACTTTACTTTAGAATCATCATCACTGTTCTTTACACCAACCAGCTTTAATTGACTTAATAATCATCACATAAACTTACCGAGGATGATGTTATTCATACTAATATTCCATATATTTATGGTATCATTAAGTCAAGGTCAAGTTTATATTGGGTTCCCATTTAATGAACAATTACCAAATGTGGCAAGAATAAATGAACCTTATTCATTTACTTTAGCTAATATAACTTATAAATCTTCAAATAATGCTCCTATTACTTATACTGCCACTAATTTACCAACTTGGTTATATTTTGATGGAAATTCAAGAACTTTTACTGGAACTCCATCGGTAAATGATGTATCTGAATTTGAAATTACTTTATCAGGAACTGATACTTCTGATAATTCAATAATTTCAAATAATTATTCAATGATTGTTTCAAATGATACTGGTTTACATTTAAGTTCTCCAAATATAATGTTTACTCAAATTGCTCAATATGGTCAAACTAATGGAGCTGATGGTTTAGTTGTATCTCAAGGTCAAACAATAAATATTAAATTTGATCAATCAGTATTTGAATCTTATCCAAATTCAAATCGTCCAATAATTGCTTATTATGGTAGATCTGCTGATAGATCTTCTTTACCACCTTGGATTGAATTTAATTCAAATGATTTATCATTTTCTGGTACAGTACCTTATGTAGTATCTGATATTGCCCCATCTTATGAATATTCATTTGCATTTATTGGATCTGATTATTATGGTTATGCTGGAGCAGCCGGAATTTTTAATATAATTATTGGAGCTCATCAATTAAGTACTTCATTAAATGATACAATAAAAATTAATGGAACTTATAATGGACAATTTGAAATAAATATCCCTATTTTTACTGATGTTTATTTAGATGGTACACAAATAACTCAAGGAAATATTTCTTCAGTTTATCCTGAAAATTTACCAGATTTTATTCAATTTGATAATCAAAAATATACTTTATCTGGTACATTTCCTGATAGTGAAACTTTTGATAATTTTACTATTATAGTTGAAGATATTTATCAAAATACTGTACAATTACCTTATTCATTTGATGCTATAAATTCAGTATTTACTATGAATAATTTACCAAATGTAAATGCAACAAGAGGTAAATTCTTTGAATATCAAATTTTACAATCTGATTTTACAAATTTTCAAAATACAAATGTTTCAGTAAATTTTGATTCAACAAATTGGTTAACTTTTACTCAATCAAATTTAACTTTTACTGGTCAAACTCCTAATGATTTTAATAATTTACAAGTCAATGTTAATGCTCAATCGAATTTTGGTAATGAAAGTAAAAGTTTTAATATTATTGGTGTTGATAAATTGGAAACTACTTCTTCTTCTTCTTCAGTTAGTTCTTCATCTACTAGTTCAAGTTCTCACACAAGTTCACAAACAACTTCTACTAGTTCTGCTACTTCAACTGCTACTACTACAGCTACTACTAACTCTGATAAATCTAAATCTAAATCTTCAACTAATAAGAAAGCCCTTATAATTGGTCTTGCAGCCGGTATTCCTGGATTTATAGCCTTAGTTGCAGCTATATTCTTATTCTGTTGTTGCTTAAAAAGAAGAAAGAATAAAAAGAATACTGATAATGAAAAGGGGACAATTCCACCATCTAGTCCTGAATTATCAGGACCTGGATTTGGTACTACTATTAATAAAGCAAATAAATATGATCAAGAAGATGAAGATGATGAAGAAGAAGATGCTAAACAATTATCTTCATTAAACGCATTGAAATTAGATAATTTTGATGCAGAAAGTACTTCATCATCATTAACTCAAGTTGATTCAAATGATTCTAAATATGTTGATGCCAATGATAAACCCATAAAATCTTGGCGAGCTAAAGATGGATCTGATAATAAAAATCCATTTAGAAAATCAGATGCATCACTTAGTACGGTAAATACTGAACAATTATTTTCAGTTAGATTAGTTGATGATGGATCTTATAGATATTCTCAAGGTTCATTATTATCACCTAATTATATGAGTAATAATTCATTAAATGGACTTTTAACAAGAGATACATCAGGAAATATTCAAAGATTAGATAGTGATGGAAATATAGTTGAATCTAATCATTCAACTAGTCCTAAAAAGGAAAAGGGAATGTCTCGAGATACATCTAATTTAGATATATTAGTTGAAGAAAATTCTCGAGATTATAGTAATAATACTATATATCATAGTGCTAAAAATGAAAATGAAGATGAAGATCATCATCATCATCAATTAGGTCCAGATGATACAGAAGGAACCATAAGTCATTTATTAAATAAATTTACTATTAATTCCCATTCCAATTCTGGTAGTGAGAATGATATAAGTCAATATAATAATGATATAGATGATGATACAGATAATGAAAATGAAAATGATCATAATCATGATCTGTATCTTAATGGATTTAAAGCCACTAAAGATTCTAATGGAGAATTTAAATGGACTACCAATACTAGTAGAACCAATTTAATAACTCCAACTAGTGATAAATTTGATACTAATGATACTCCAACCACAAAAGTAAATCCATCACCAATGAATCATTCGAATCATTCGAATTATTCCGGATTATCACTTCATTCTAATAATTCTGAACAATTTTTAATTAATAATAATAATCCCAATAATAATAGTAAAGGAGGATCTAATATAACATTAAAGGCTACTAGTCCTGCTAAAGTAAAATTGGTTGAATTTACCAGAAAGGGAAGTTTACGAGAATCAGCTTACGAGCCAGATTATAATTTCCGAGAACAACGAGGTCAAATTCATAATAATGATAGTGATTAATCGTTAGTGTTTTCGTCATTTTGCATCTATTCATATTTCATTTGTTTTTCTAATTTCTAATAGTTTGTTTGTTTGTCTTTTTATTCATTTCCGGATTCTCTACGTCGTTTTTAGTGTTGTTTTTATATTTATTAGTAGCCTGTATAATATATTCGATTACTTAATTACTTTAGTTAATCAGTTGTAGTTGTAGTTGGCTTAGGTAATGTACCAACATAATAAGCCGTATCTTGAGCTCTTCTTCTACCTCCAATATAAGTCATCATTTCTGAATAAGTTTGAGGAATTACTGATGTATAACCATTCTTATTATTACCATTTCCATAAGATTCCTTGGGAACAAAAAATGAATAAATAAAAGTTCCTGATTCTTTACCTTCACCAGTATCAACATTTCTAATTCTTGTATCAACTTTAACTTGAATTAAAGTACCTGGTTCCGATAAAAATGCTTCAGGATTTTTTGATAAAGTATTTGTTGCAGGTAATCTAAAATTAAATGGAGAATCGGCATCAATATCTTCAGGACCTTCATGAATATGTTCTGTATAAGATATTGAAGCATCCATTGAACATACTGAACCTACCGGTACAGGAGCTTTAAAAGTTGTTGAATCTAATGAAACAAATCTTGGACCTGCTCCTGAAAATCCTGCCGCACAACAATAAGCTAATTCAAATGATTGTCTTAATAAATAACCTCCAAAAATCATATAGGAATGTCTATTTCTATATTGAGGTTGCATAAAAATTGTTGAAGATATTTTAGTATCTTTCATAAATTCAATTCCCTTTGGATGTTCTCTATTTTCAAATGATTTTGATGATAACCACATATCATAAATTAATCTATTTTCTTCATCAGTTGGTTGAATTAATGTTGCCTTTTTACCTGCAAGTTTCTTTTTGGCATTATGAGATTCTGCTCTTCTATAATCTAACCATTCTTGTTCCTTAACTGGTAATAATCTATTTATTGCAAATGATTTATGAGTAATTGGATTTCTTGCAACAAATGTAAAATTTGCCGTTAAAAATATATTAGATTTTGGTAAAGTATCTTCAGTAATATTTTCTGGTACACTATCTTCAAATGCATAACCTCTAACCGTAATTTCCATTGATGATCTACCAGTCCAAGTACATGCACCAGCTAAAACAAAATTATAATTACTAATTTCATCAACTTTTTTAACCATATAAATTCTATCAACACTAGCAGTAACATTGACTGGTTCAGCAGGTGAACAATGTCTATAAGCAATTCTACCTGCTAAAGCATCTAAATCTTGAAATAATTGTCCTGCTCTTAATCTACCATAAGCATTTATATATGCATCACATAACCATTGATCTTCTTTAAATGGTAAAATTAAATAAGAAAATGAATCGGCTCGAGTCTTTTCACTAATTTCAGTTGTCTTAGGTGTTACATAACTATAACTATCAAGAACTTTACCTTCTTTTAATTGTTTTTCTCGTTCTCTTAATGCATCAATCCAAGTAACTTTATTTGGTTGCTTTTGACTATCTCTTGAATCAGCTAATATAGTGGCAGCAGCATCCGCTGCATCGGCTGCATCATCCGATCCAGCAACATCAGGTCGATGAAAATTATCTTGAACACTACCAGAATTAAATCTTAATGAATTTCTTGAACTCAAGTTTGACAAAATTGGGAGAGTAATCGATGATCTTATACTACGATGAATGAATTTTGACTGTCTAATTGTTGAAAGCATTTTAATCAGTTACTATTATGGAGGTATATAGAAATAACAAAATTTTTTCAATTCAATGGCTCACAATTTATCACCTTATATAGTCTTCCAGTTTTAGTTCATCCAACCATATAAAAGGAGGGGTTTATCTAAAATAAAGCTTAATCGGAAAATCGGGGGTTCGCGTGCACGTGACACATGCGGCTGGATAGCAAGGAGTTCCGGGATAGATTAGCCAGTAAGTCACGCGACGAGGGGCATCCCAACAATTGCCTACAACAAAGATTTAAACATAATAATTAATAGCTTATATACTATACAAATTATACAGTATACAGTATAAAGTAATGATAATAGATAGGTAAAGAAAGAAAGAAAGAAAGATCAAATTACGCTGCCAAGAGAGGGGAGAGACATTATATACCTTCTATCAGATTTGCAACCAACAACATATTCGTCATATACGACCAACAATTGCATTTGTTGGTTAGTGTTAGTTGAAAGGACGGATCCGTCATCCGCCGATAAAAATATAATAAATATAAAATGTTCCGGGATTGATGTAAGATGGATGGTTTTTGTTTGGATCGCGTCCTGTATACACTCGACCCAATGGACAAATAAATCCGAAAAAATCCAGCGGTCCTCATCTGTCCGTCCCGTGCGGACCTGGTTTAGGCCATAGATTCTCATAGTTAAGCAGCCAAACTGGTACCAGTCGAAAAATGTAAAAATAAAAAAAATCGAAATTTTAATTATCAACATCTCTAGCAATCATTGATCGACTCACATTCACATTAAAACAAATATATAGTAATGGCTCCTAAATTATCATCGGTTGCTAAGACAGCTCAATTAGCTGCTTCAGCTTTAAAATCCAATGCTGTTAGATCATCATTAAAATATTCTGGTCAATATCAAGCTTTAAGAATGATTAATGGAACTCGTGCTGCATCATCTCCAGCTGAAAAGAAAACTATTACTATTAGAGATGCTTTAAATGCTGGTCTTGCTGAAGAATTAGATCGTGATGATGATGTTTTCTTAATGGGTGAAGAAGTTGCTCAATATAATGGTGCTTATAAAGTTTCAAGAGGTTTATTAGATAGATTTGGTGAAAGAAGAGTTATTGATACTCCAATTACTGAAATGGGTTTTACTGGTTTAGCTGTTGGTGCAGCTTTACATGGTTTAAAACCAGTTTTAGAATTTATGACCTTTAATTTTGCTATGCAAGCCATTGATCAAATTGTTAATTCTGCTGCTAAAACTTATTATATGTCTGGTGGTACTCAACCTTGTAATATTACTTTTAGAGGTCCAAATGGTGCTGCTGCTGGTGTTGCTGCTCAACATTCTCAATGTTATGCTGCTTGGTATGGTTCAATTCCAGGTTTAAAAGTTGTTTCTCCTTATTCTGCTGAAGATTATAAAGGTTTAATTAAAGCTGCTATTAGAGATCCAAATCCAGTTGTTTTCTTAGAAAATGAAATTGCTTATGGTGAAACTCATGAAATTTCAGAAGAAGCTTTATCAACTGATTTTATTTTACCAATTGGTAAAGCCAATATTGAAAGAGAAGGTACTGATCTTACTTTTGTATCTCATTCAAGATCAGTTAAATTCTGTTTAGAAGCTGCTGAAACTTTAGAAAAACAATATGGTGTTAAAGCTGAAGTCATTAATTTAAGATCAATTAAACCATTAGATGTTCCAACCATTGTTGAATCTGTTAAAAAGACAAATCATTTAGTTACTGTTGAAGCCGGTTTCCCAGCCTTTGGTGTTGGATCTGAAATCGTTGCTCAAGTCATGGAATCTGAAGCTTTTGATTACTTAGATGCTCCAGTTGAAAGAGTTACTGGTTGTGAAGTCCCAACTCCATACGCTAAGGAATTAGAAGATTTTGCTTTCCCAGATGAACCAACTGTCGTTAGAGCCGCCAGAAAGGTTTTAGGTTTATAAATTTGTAATTAATCTCACCCAATCTTCATAGTCATCAATCATCTATTCGAACAGATAAATAAATCATCTTAATATCAATCTGTAATACATATTAGAGTTACTGTAATTGTAATTGTAGTTGTAATTGTAATTGTAATTGTAGTTGTAGTTGTTATTGTAATTGTAATTGGACTTATATTGGAGGTAGAAGAAGAGCTCAAGATACTGCTTATTATGTTGGTACATTACCCAACTACATTGTTTTGTAGTAGTATAAAGTTTTGGATTTTCATTTCATTTTCATTTTTTTCATTTATGACGCGACACTACTTATTTTTACCGATAAGATACGTACCAACTTAACGTAAAGAGTACAGTTTGCTATTTATAGATCCATCTGAAAATTGAAAATTGTACATTGTACATGTCTCATAACGGTTCAATTCATAAGAGGACTCAATCTTCTGAACCATACAGTTCAGTAGATTCAGAAATCTTTAATACTCATGCAGCATTTGATGAAGAAAATGATGGATTCTTACCTCATACTCATCAAGATATTAAGCATATACCGAGTCCTCAAATTGATGGAGGAGGAAGCAATTCTTCTTCTTTAAAACCAACATCTTTAAGAAAAATTGATAGACCAGCATTTTTTGTCCTTGTTATATTATATTTATTACAAGGTGTACCAGTTGGATTAGCATTTGGATCAATTCCATTTATATTAAAATCAAAATTATCTTATGCTCAAGTTGGAATATTTTCTTTAGCAGCTTATCCATATTCTTTAAAATTAATTTGGTCACCAATTGTTGATGCATTTTATTCACCAAAAATTGGTAGAAGAAGATCATGGATTATACCAATTCAAACAATTTCTGGTTTAACATTAATTTATTTAGGTAAAGGAATTGATTCATTATTATTAAATCCAAAAGATAATTTACCAACCATAACTTTTTGTTTCTTTCTTTTAGTATTCTTTTGTGCAACTCAAGATATAGCTGTTGATGGTTGGGCATTAACTTGTCTTTCTCCTGATAGTTTATCTTATGCTTCAACAGCTCAAACTATTGGAATAAATACCGGTTATTTTTCATCTTTTACTATATTTCTTGCATTAAGTTCACCTGATTTTGCTAATTCTTATTTAAGAGATATTCCTATAGATGAAGGATTATTTACTTTAGGTCAATATCTTAAATTTTGGGGGTTTATGTATTTATTAGTTACATGTTTACTTTATTTTATTCCGGAAGATCCTCCTCATTTAGCTAAAATTAATCAAACTAAATTAGCTAATGAAAAATTAAAGAATGATTCAATTTATAATAAGAAAGCCATTTATTCAGATTTACTTAATGTATACAATTCAATGTATAAAGTATTACAATTACCAAATGTTCAAACATTTGTTGTTATATTATTAATATCAAAATTAGGATTTCAAGTTAATGAAGCTGCAACAAATTTAAAATTATTAGAAAAGGGATTATCAAAAGAAGATTTATCTATTACAGTTTTAATTGATTTCCCATTTGAATTAATCTTTGGTTATTATGCTGGTTCATGGGCTTCAGGTAAAACTCCTTTAAAACCATGGTTATTTGGATTTATTGGTAGATTAATTGCAGCAGTATTTGCTCAATTTGTAGTCTATTTCTTTCCTCAAGATGGTAAAGTTTCGGGATTCTATTTTATTCTAATTATTTTACAACATTTATTAAGTTCATTCATGTCAACTATTCAATTCGTTTCCCTTTGTGCATTCCATACAAAAATTGCTGATCCTTCAATTGGTGGTACATATATGACAACTTTAAATACTTTATCTAATTATGGTGGAACTTGGCCTAGATTAATATTATTTTATCTTATTGATAAATTAACTATTGCCAAATGTGAAAATCCTTCCTTAGGAGATTTATATGATATTACTTCAGAAACAATTAAAGAACAATGTAAAGAATCAGGAGGTAAAGTAATAATCTTAAGAGATGGTTATTATTATACCAATGCTATGTGTGTTATTCTTGGGATATTTATATTCTTCTGGGTTAAAAGAAAAACTGCCCATCTACAGAGCTTACCCAATAGTGCTTGGAGGGTAAACAAATAGATTATATAAGATTATATATATGATATATATATATATATATATATATATATATTGTACTTAAATAAACATCTATAACTATGGCAGAAACTTTTAATAAATATATAATACTAAGAATGAGGAAAACTTGAACTACCAGTACCTCCATTAGTACTGAAAGAACCTTCAACGGGTCTATGGAAATCATCAGCTAAGAAATCTATTGGAGAAAATGGAACTTTGGAATCATGGGACATTTTCTTTGATACTGATGAAAAATTCCCAATGATTGAAGGTATTAAAGATGTAGGAAGTGGAGATGAGCCATGAATCATATTATTATTATTATTATGATGTTGAGATTGATCATAAGATCCTGAATGAGAAGAACGAGGAGATTTAATTACTTGCCAATATGGATTCTCATTCTTATATGATAATGATTTCGTAATGGCATTAATTGTTGATGAAAGGAGTCCACTTTGTTGATGACTATTCCCTTGATTAATAATGGATCGACTATGTGATGCCGATATATAATGAGCAGGTGGAGGAGTTCTCATGAGATAATCATATGAAGGTCCAGCAATACTTCCAGGTATAGCCCTATTCATTCCACCACCATTCAGAGAATTATCATATTGATGAAGATTATTAGGACTGAAAGCAGCTGTTTCATCAATAGATGGATAATTAGGTTCTGTAGTAGTATACCAATCCGGTTTTTGGAAATGTCCGGGTGAATCACTTCTATATTCAGAAACGGAATTCTTTCTTGGTTTACGTTTAGAGTTTCTCGGTCTACTTTGAGTTCTAGATCTATTCCGTGATTTATATCTTCCATGATGATGATGATTATGATTACTGCTATTGTTATTATTATTATGATGGCGGTGATGATGATGCTCAAACTCTTCATCTTGTTCATACAAAGATCCATAACCAAAATTCTCTCCATACAGACTTACCGAAGAATTTCTCGACAGTGATTGTTCGGCAAAGTACCAACATTGGAATAAAATTATACAATCAAAAATGACAGTTCCTGAACTGCCAACAATAAATGGGAGTTGATCAGTTAAGATTTTATTATATTGAGAATCATTAGGATCTGATTCATAATAACTTTGATGCATAGAAATTAAATATAAATCTGATACAATTGAAATTGTATAGAATAAATTACCTAACATAGCAAATAAAAATAAGTATGCTGATATACCCCTAGTAGATTTCAGATTATGATTTTTAAAGATTTGAGGAGCTCTTGATGAAAGATATAAAAATGAACATACCCATGCGGAGATTTGTCCAATATCTTCAGAAGAATATCTGAATTTTTGGATATGAATTGAACTTATTATGATTAAGATTTTCTTTAATTGATTAGAAAACTCTTTAGTGAAATTATGTAATGAATTGGAATTGGAAGTGGAAGTGGAAGTGGAAGTGGAATTAACAGCTTCTATAGGCAATCCATTAACTGGTTTAGTTAAACTTCCTACAAAGGAAGCACCTAAAATTCTTTGTATAAAACTACCTTTATTATGATTACCCACATTATAATGAGAATTAGTTATTTCCATAGGAGATCGAGTAATATCTTGTTCAAATCTATTTCTTCTAGTATGTACATGTTTTGAATTAGAATTACTTTTACGAGATCCAATAGGTCTTAACATATTTGGACTTTGTAATAAATTATGATGAATCTTTTGTTGAGGATATATCCTAGTATAATACCAATATTGTAAACTTAAAATACAATCTATAAAACAATAATAAGTGGCTAATAAAGTTTGGAATGGTAATGCTTTAGTTAAAATACATCCTATAAGATTAGTAGTATCTCCACCAATCCAACAACATAAAAATGCTAAAGATACTCCTGATACTGACTCATTAAGATGATTCTCGATGATTTGCGGCAATTGAGCAAATAACCAAACTGATAATGAAAGTATTCCTGACACTTGTGATACTGAACTAAGAATTCTCTCAGTTTGATTTAATGTTATATTGTTATTTAATGTCCCATTATTTATTAAAAATATTATCATATCTGAATTCCACCCCATCGTTGATGATGGTAATGGATTAGCGACATTATTAGTTAAGGGTATCATTATATGAATGGAAGTATAAAACTTTTATATATATATTTTTTTTATGATATATAGTCAAACATACCTCTCCGGATGTATGCCACGTTATATATATACAAGAAGGTGACTAACACAAGTTATTATTAGTGGGTAGTGAGTTTGGGCCCAGTTTGTAGTCAAGTACGATAAACTAACTTCTCTTCTCAACTGATAAAGATTTTTTCCTTCTTTTTGGTGTCGATTTCCTATTTGGGCAACGGCTGCTGATGGGTGTTGCAATTAATATTAAATGTTATATGTGTGTTATATGTGGTAGATATATTGTATGAGGAAGTTAAGTGTGTATTATGGAGAAATAAAATACAAGGTGGAGATTATTGAAATCAAAAGAAAATGGTTAATGATGTGTCATGGGAGGGTTTCCCCACCGTGTGTCATCGGAGACTTTGTGTAACCCACCACCACAGATCTGAATTATCAATGGACGAGAGTAGTACCTTCGGGATGAATTTCAATTACCATTGTTTCTTTGAACTAATCAGTCGGTAGTATATTTTACTGTGTTGGTCTTGACTTTTGTAGATACTAATTTAGTTCTTAGTTGTACGAATTATTCCGACAGATATCTCCCTTTATTAGGAGTTACTAAATATAGATCAGATATACTAATAAAATCAAAATCAAAATCACCTACAATATCAAAGAAACCAAAACAAATTAGAGAGGTTGTAGTTAAACCATCCAACATGAACATATTACTTAATGTCACTATTATATACTTGTAGACTCTCAGGGAAACATGGGCACTATCTCCGAAAGATCTGACTGAATTTTGCAGTCTAACCCAGCGAACAAAAGTTTATGAGCAGTCACGAGATAAAGTATAAATCCGAGTCCATTGCGTGAAGAGTTTTAAGTATTGGTGTACTTCAGTAGTTAGCACACAAATTAAACAATTACAGAGAGTGTATTCAGTACAGATCATTCTCCCATACATACTTCTTAGAGAATTCACACGCCTTATTATTACCCAAGTATTTATGATAATATAGCAGTTATAATATTGAATATCAATAAAACGCGTCTATGGCTCAGTCTTTGCTAGAGGTAGACAATAAGCAAGTGCGATATCTGCATCTCAAAACAGGTATACCAAGTCTAGATGAAGTGTTTATACATGCAAATTTGGGAATTAGAAATAGAATTCATGATTTCCAATCTACTGCTGGATCAACAGCTTCATATACTATCACTATATCATTAATTGTATCACATTTACAAACTTCTACTCAAAATAAAATCATTATAATTGATACCTTATCTAGGTTCCCATTTCGACTTCTAACAGATCATCCTCATTATGATTCAACATGGATTGAAAATAATCAAATAATAGGTTATACATGTGATACATTTGCAAAATTATTATCTATGTTCACTATCGGAAAATTACAATCACAAGTAGTAAATAATTCAACTTTAATAATAATTAATGATTTTCATGAAACTGTGGATTTATATAAATATGAATTGTCATCTATTTATGAAGAGTATCTTTTAAAGAATCATATTGAAATTTATGAAACTATTGTCAGTAATAAAGAACAGGTTCAATTATCTGGTACCAAATCACCACTACCAGAAATACCCTACCATTCAGATTTATTGACTACAAATATTATTACTAAATTTGAATCTCATTTATTTGGATTATTAAATTCCATATCATCATTTTGCTTTCGATTTGGACTGTTATGTATTTTATTGGGACATTTAGATTCAAAATATGAGAATTATAGACCAAACATTGTCACTTCAACCCAATCATTCAATAGCTCTCAATCTATACCGTCTAGTATTCCATTAACAAATAGTAATGAAGGGTCGAATTTTGATCGATCGTTTACTAAGAGTCTTAGTAGTGGAGGAGATCGTGGTAGAATTATACTTTCTCCATTTATGAGTACTGTACAAACAGTAAGTAATGGACGAAATCAAAAATCTTTTGATGCATTTATAAGTATGCGACTAATTTTTTATAAAGACTGGTATCATAAATCAGAAGAGTTTATTAAGAATTGTCCCAACCTTAATGATGCTTCCCAAATTACTCTTCAAAAGGCTCAAGTACGATTCATTCATGCTGTGAAAATAATTTATTTGAATTCATTAGAGAAAAATTCACCTACAATATATTTTGATTATGATAGTATATATTATCATTTGGATGATGATTATTATGAAGATAATTTTGGTGTAAACTTTACATTATTGGATCTTTCTGAACATACAGGTAATATTTGGAGAGCTAAAAATGTAGAAGATCAAGAAAAATTTGCATCTCGGGAATCTTCTAGATTGAATTCGGATATTTCAAGAACTCCTAGTACTCCTATTCCTATTCCAGTGAATCAAACAATTCCATCATCTCCAGAAATTCTAGATAATCATCTGATTCAAGAAACTGAGACAGAACTTATTAATTCTTATGCTTCAAATAGGATAAATGTAATTTCAGAAAATATCACCCATGATGATGAACTGATTGTTGAAGAATCAGAAGATGAGCTTATGGGATCAGTATTACTTACGGCTACTACTCATTAAATGACACCATATATAAATGACTATTTCGCAGCCTAAACCGAAATGCAAAAATATCCGGCATACAAGTCCCCCAAAAAAATTGCGGGCTCATCTCTAGCATTTTTTTCACTTAGACTATAAAGATATAGAATAGTAGTTTAATTAGGATAAATATTATTTAAACAATCTTGTATATACAACCGTAGTAGGAAGTTAAGATGGCTACCGTTATACCGCCTCCATCCAAGAAGCAAAAGAAAGAAGCACAACAAATTAGAGAAGTTGATCTTGTTCCCAAAGATTTACCAAATGTGCTTATTAAATTTCAAGCATCTGATTCTGGAGAAACAATAGGTGGATCAATTAGAGTACCAGGTGGAATTACTGAAAAACAATTAGAAGAACTTTTAAATCAATTACAAGGTGAAACAGATGAACCTGTTCCATATACTTTTTCCTTATTAAATAAGTCCAATGAAAATGATAAACAAGAGCAATTAATTGATATTAAAGATAATTTATATTCATCAGTATTAAAACCAGGAATAAAAACAACTGAAGATTTCTTAACATTAGTATATACTCCTAGAGCTGTATTTAAAGTAAGAGCTATAACGAGATCTAATGCAGCAATTGCAGGTCATGGATCAACTATTTTATGTTGTCAATTTGCTCCAAATGATTCTGGTAGAATGTGTTCTGGAGCAGGAGATTCAACTGCAAGAATATGGGATTGTAATACTCAAACTCCTTTACATACTTTATCAGGTCATTCAAATTGGGTATTATGTGTTTCATATTCACCTTGTGGTACTATGATTGCCACTGGATCTATGGATAATACTATAAGATTATGGGATGCTGATACTGGTAAGCCATTAGGAAATCCATTAATTGGACATTCTAAATGGATATCTTCATTAACATGGGAACCATTACATTTAACTAAATCTGGTCAAACTCCAAGATTAGCTTCTGGATCAAAGGATGGTACTGTTAAAGTATGGGATACAACTAATAGAGTATGTTCATTTACTATGAGTGGTCATACTAATTCTGTATCTTGTGTTAAATGGTCAGGATCAAATATAATATATAGTGCATCTCATGATAAAACCATTAAAGCTTGGGATATAAGTGCTAATGGTAAATGTATTCAAACATTAAAGAGTCATGCTCATTGGGTTAATCATTTAGCTTTATCTACTGATTATACCATAAGAAAAGGTGGATATGATCATACTTCTACCAGGGCATCAAGTAAAAAGCAAAATATGGATGAATTAAGAGAAAAGGCCAAACAACAATATGAAAAAGTTGCCAAATTAAATGGAGTAATTAGTGAAAGATTAGTTACTGCCAGTGATGATTTTACCATGTATTTCTGGGAACCATTAAAGACTTCAAAACCAATTACTCGTATGACAGGACATCAAAAATTAGTTAATCATGTGTCATTTTCACCAAATGGACGTTATGTTACATCTAGTTCATTTGATAATTCTATTAAATTATGGGATGGTATAAAGGGTACATTTATTGGTACTTTTAGAGGACATGTTGCACCAGTTTATCAAACATCTTGGTCAGCAGATGAACGACTCCTTGTTAGTTGTTCAAAAGATACTACATTGAAAGTTTGGGATGTTAGAACTAGAAAATTAAATGTTGACTTACCAGGACATGCTGATGAAGTATTTGCTGTTGATTGGAGTTTGGATGGGAAAAGAGTTGCTAGTGGAGGTAAAGATAAGATGATAAGATTATGGTCCCATTAGAAACTGTAGCCTAGAGTTAAAGTAAATATATATGTCATAGATAGAATTAAACATGTATAACAGAACAGTCCAAAAAGTAATTATCATTGAATTTCAATAAACTTCAATGACCTCTAATAAATTTCAGGGCCCCAATTTGAATTTCATTTAAAATCAATAAACTTCACTGAATCAATCACAATTACTTTTGAACATATGGAGCCTCACTAATTATTGCCTCATTATCCTTAACCATAACATAAATCTGATATGGCTGGCTCATTATTAAAAAATTGATTTACTCCTAAATTTGGTGCGCACACACTCGTGACCTCAGTATAACGTTTCGGTTCGATAGGAGAAAATTGGAAATTGTCGGGAAGGCAGTGTAAATATATTCAAAGTATTAGTAGCGATTTGTAATTGCGCAGGGTTAAGTACTGGAAACTTTCCAGTTAAATTATCATAGAATTAAAATTATCGATATAGTAAAATAAAATGGCTGTTGTTAAACGTGGAGGCCGTACAAAGGCTAAACAACAACAACAAGCCCCTACAAAATCAGGTATCAAAAAGGCCGAATTTGATCTTCATAAAAAGAAAGAAGTTGGGGTATCTGATTTAACATTATTATCAAAAATTACTGATGATGAAATTAATAATAATCTTCAAAAGAGATTTATGAATGATACAATTTATACTTATATTGGACATGTATTAATTTCGGTTAATCCATTTCAAGATTTAGGGATTTATACAATGGAAACTTTAAATACTTATCGAGGTAGAAATAGATTAGAAGTTCCACCTCATGTATTTGCTATAGCAGAAGCTATGTATTATCATTTAAAATCTTATGGAGAAAATCAATGTGTAATTATTTCTGGTGAATCAGGAGCTGGTAAAACTGAAGCTGCTAAACAAATTATGCAATATATTGCAAATGTTTCAGTTGATAGTTCAAATGCTGATATTTCAAAAATTAAAGATATGGTTTTAGCAACAAATCCATTATTAGAATCTTTTGGATGTGCAAAAACTTTAAGAAATAATAATTCTTCAAGACATGGGAAATATCTTGAAATATTCTTTAGTGAAGGAAGTTATCAACCAATTTCAGCTCATATAACTAATTATTTACTAGAAAAGCAAAGAGTAGTATCACAAATTACTAATGAACGTAATTTCCATATTTTTTATCAATTTACAAAAGCTTGTCCACCTCAATATAAACAATCATTTGGAATTCAAGGTCCAGAAACTTATATTTATACTTCGGCTGCTAAATGTATTAATGTTGATGGAATTGATGATTCAAAAGATTTTAATGATACAATTAATGCCATGAAAATTATTGGATTAACTCAACAAGAACAAGATAATATATTTAGAATGTTAGCTCTGATATTATGGATTGGAAATATATCATTTGTTGAAGATGAAAGTGGTAATGCAGCTATAAGAGATGAAACAGTTACTCAATTTGTGGCTTACTTATTAGATGTAAATTCTGAAATTTTAAAGAAATCAATAATTGAAAGAACTATGCAAACTTCTCATGGTATGAAAAGAGGTTCAACTTATCATGTTCCATTAAATATTGTTCAAGCAACATCAGTTAGAGATGCATTAGCAAAAGGAATTTATAATAATTTATTTGAATGGATCGTTGAAAGAGTTAATGTATCACTTAAAGGATCTCAAGCATCAAATAAATCCATTGGTATATTAGATATTTATGGATTTGAAATTTTTGATCATAATTCTTTTGAACAAATTTGTATTAATTATGTTAATGAAAAATTACAACAAATCTTTATTCAATTAACTTTAAAGGCTGAACAAGATGAATATGTTCAAGAACAAATTAAATGGACTCCAATTGATTATTTTAATAATAAAGTTGTTTGTGATTTAATTGAAGCTACAAGACCTCAACCAGGATTATTTGCAGCATTAAATGATTCAATTAAAACTGCTCATGCTGATTCTGATGCAGCTGATCAAGTATTTGCTCAAAGATTAAGTATGGTAGGAGCAAGTAATCGTCATTTTGAAGATCGTCGAGGTAAATTTATTATTAAACATTATGCTGGAGATGTAACTTATGATGTGGCTGGGATGACTGATAAAAATAAAGATGCTTTATTAAAAGATTTATTAGAATTATTATCTACTTCAAAAAATAATTTTGTTAATCAAATTTTATTTCCTCCTGAATTACTTGTGGCAGCTTCTGATTCTAAAAAGATGCAAACAGCTTCTGATAAAATTAAAACTAGTGCTAATTTACTTGTAGATACTTTATCAAAATGTCAACCTTCATATATTAGAACCATTAAACCTAATCAAACTAAACGTCCAAAAGATTATGATAATCAACAAGTTTTACATCAAATTAAATATTTAGGTTTAAAAGAAAATGTTCGAATTAGAAGAGCAGGTTTTGCTTATCGTACAACATTTGATAAATTTGTGCAAAGATTTTATTTATTATCTCCTGTAACAGGTTATGCTGGAGATTATATTTGGCATGGAGATGATATTTCTGCTGTTAAAGAAATTTTAAGAGCTTGTCATATTCCAAATACTGAATATCAATTAGGTACTACTAAAGTATTTATTAAAACTCCAGAAACTTTATTTGGTTTAGAAGATTTACGAGATAAATATTGGCATAATATGGCTGCCAGAATTCAAAGAGCTTGGAGAAGATATTTAAAGAGAAAGGAAGATGCGGCTAAAATAATGCAAAGAGCTTGGAGATTAAAGAAACATGGTAATCAATTTGAAATCTTACGAGATTATGGTAATGGATTATTAAAGGGGCAAAAGGAAAGAAGAAGAATGTCAATGTTAGGATCTCGAGCATTTTTAGGAGATTATTTAGGTTGTAATGATACTTCTGGTCAAGGAAAATTTATTATTAATCAAACGGGTATTAATGAAAAAGTGGTATTTTCAAGTCGAGGAGAAATTCTTCAAGCTAAATTTGGTAGATCATCAAAGAGATTACCAAGAATTTTTATTTTAACTAAAAGTACGTTTTATGTTATTGCTGAAACATTAATTGAAAGGAAACTTCAACTTCAAAAGGAACATTCAACTTCAGTAAGTTCAATTAATTATGTTGGATTATCTTCATATGCTGATAATTGGGTAGCAATTTCTTTACATTCTCCCACTCCAACTAATCCTGATCTTTTTATTAATTTAGATTTTAAAACAGAACTAGTTACTCATTTGAAAAAGATTAATCCTGGTTTAACTATTAATATTGGACCAACCATTCAATATCAAAAGAAAGCTGGTAAGTTTCATGCTGTTAAGTTTGTTTCAAGTAATACTAATGAAATTCCTATTAATGGCGATGTATATAAATCTGGTACAGTAACTGTTAAACCAGGTTTACCAGCTAATAGTGTTAATCCAAAAAGACCAAGAGGTCCAGCTGGAAAGGTTGATTATTCTAAATATTATAATCGTGGAAGTGCTAGAAAGAATGTTGGTAGTTATGTTCCGGCAGTTCAAGCTCAAGCACAAAATCGTTCATATCCAAATCCTGTTCAACAGACTTATCAGCAGCCAGCACCTCAAGTAACTCAACCAGTGGTACAACCAGTCGCTCAACAACCAGTTCAAAGAAAAGTTCCACCTCCAGCTCCAGGAATTGCACAAGCTCAACCTCAAGCACAAACATCTAAACCATCAGCACCTTCAAGACCAGTAAAGAAATCAGCTCCATCTCCACCAGTAAGAAAAACTGCTCCACCACCTCCTCCTCCACCTCCAGCTCTTTCTGCTCCTCCTAAACCAAAATTCCCTACTTATAAAGCCATGTATGATTATGATGGATCAGTGGCTGGTACATTTGCTCTTGTTAAAGATATAGTATATTATGTAGCCAATGTTAATGGTAAATGGGGTCTTGTAAAGCCCTTAGATGAACTGACTGAAGGTTGGTCACCTATTGATTATTTACAAGAATGTGAACCACCTGCTAGTTTATTTGGTTCTGGCTCTCAAATTCCTACTCCTCCACCAGCTCCACCAGCTCCAGTTGCTAAACAGGCAGTAGCTTCATCGGTTGCTACCACTACAACTGCAGCTGTTCAAAATGGGAACTTAAGTAATGGATTGGCAGATGCCTTAAAGGCCAAGAAACAAGAGGAAACTACTTTGGCAGGTTCATTAGCAGATGCTTTAAAGAAGAGACAAGGAGCTACACGAGATGATAGTGATGAAGAGGAAGAAGATGATGATGATTGGTGATGGTGACTATATAGACAGTATGGATTAGTAATACTAAATGTATGATACAATTATGTGTGTGAATTTGTAGTATTATGAATAGAATGTATATTGAGTATGTTATTCTAGAAATACTATAGTAGGATATAGTATACAAATTATGTATATGTATAAATATTATGTATACAATTCTACACTACTCTACTATACTATACTATACTACACTATACTCTACTACACTATTCTCTACACTACTCTACTACACTCTACCATACTATACTACACTCTACTATACTACACCATTCTTACTATATTCTACTATATTAAATTTTATATTATACTATACAAAAGAAATAATGCTATTTGTCTCGAACCACATTTCCTAAACCTTATCAGAGAGAAATAATAACTCGTTTGGGTTGCTAGACATATACTGTTAGTATCACCTAATGTTAGTATTATCCTATAAATATCCAGCTAGTAACTGTCTCTATTTATCATAGTAACATAGTGTTATCAGTGATCAACAGTCCTCATCTCGCCGCTTATGACAGACAAGATTATGGGCTGGAAGATTGTATCCACTAGAGAACAATTACTTATTAGTACTTTTTATAGATCTTCAAATTCACAAATTACAGGTCCATCCATTTGACGTCGGCTGGATAACAACAAGCACAAGGTTTTAATCCAAGCGGAAAGCTACCCAATCAAGTTGGTATCGGGTTGTAGCAATATAACAATATCACAATGGACTTTTTATTCCATTTTTCTCAAATCTTATGCTGGAACCACTCTACTCGTATCGATTGAATCACGTGACCCACATAATGAAAATTACCACTAATATCTACCCCATTCCATCATTAACTAACATAAATTATTCACTAATTCCTAACTAATTACTATTAGAATTGATTGACAAGTAGCCGACACTAACCATCTACTATCCACTACCACAATGTCGAAATCCCGAAGTAGAAATAGTTTATTATCATCGCACAATCGATCTACATTTGGAACTTCAAGTAAAGATGAACTACTAGCCCGAAAGTTTCTGATGGATAAGCCTGATGCTGCATTATATCCATTAAATGATATTGAAATCGGTGAAACTACAACCACAAGTACAAATCCAAACTCAAGTACAAATCCCAATCCAAATCCCAATCCAAATACTCATACACATACAACATATCCTGATTTTAAACCATGGACAGATCATACCAATTTAGGAGAAGAACTTCGACAACAAGAAACTCAAAAAGTTAATAATGCATCATATTTAAATAAAGGATATTTTGAAATCCCCATGGTATCTAATGAATATTATTCTGCCCGAAATTTAATTCAAGCAACAATCTTTTCATCAACTGAAAATTGTAATGAAGTATTAAAAGAATTATCTCAACATTTAGCTAATGCTTATAAATCTAGAAATGAAATAATTAATAAAATTAAATATAATTCAAATAAATTTAAGATCCCTCCTCGAGTTACATTAACAGTATCAAAGAAAGAATCTTGGTTAAGAGATCTTGCCAAACCTGAAATTCCATTTCTGAAAATCGGAGAAAAGATTCCTCATGGAATTCGAAATAAAGTCCTTGTGGATTCGGTTTGTAGTAAGAATGTTCCTATAAATCGAGCTATTTGGTTTACCAAATGTGTTCTTTATGGAGAATTAGTAGCATTAAAGAGGAAACATCAAGCAAGATTATCAATAAATAGTCCTGCTCCTCATAACAATAATAATAATAATCAAGACTCTGCAAGTTTAGATAAATTTGAAGATTTATGGTTTCAAGAATGGACTCAACAAGTTAGTGACTATATCTATCGATTTTCTAAAGAAATATCCAATTTTACAAATTCAGATCGGAAAATTAATTATATGAATAAATTAAGTTATTTACTTAATTATACTGAATGTTTATATATTGAAGGGTTATTAGATAAGAATCTTTTCTTATCATTAATTATCAAATTCTTAAAGGAAGGTTTACCCCTTGAACAAAAACATATATCTGAATTATTAGCCGTATCAATAATTGATGGTGATGATATATTTACTGAAAGTTGGATTGATGAAATTGATTTAAATTTTGGTCAAAGATTAGTTAGTTTAACCTTAATTAAAATCTTTTGGAATGATATTTTAAAGCTTGATTATTTATGTAAAGAATTAAGTGAATCATTATTATTAAATTATTTCTTTATTGATACAATATCATTAAGACAATCTCAATCAAATTCTTCAAATCTTCCTAAATCTTCCTTACCTCCATCATTAAAACAAAATTTAATAACTATGATTGCTGATACAGTTAATTATTTATTTCGATATAATACTAATATGTTTATTATACCTAATTATTGGATATTAGTTAATGGAATCTTAGTTAAAATATTACTTGAAAATAGTCTGAATTCTATGGAAGAAGATGAAGAAGTTCTGAAACAACTTGAATTAGTTAAATTTCGAAATGAAAGTTTAATATTAAATATGAAGAATCTTCTGCCATCTCCTACAACAACAATAAATTTTGGTAATGAAAGAAGAAGTTCATTTCTTGGATCTCAAAGTTTAAGTTTAGTATCTCCTCTTCCTCCTGGAGGAATACTTTCAAATGATGAACTGATATTTATTAATAGAAATCCTGATGATGTATTTCAAATCATTTTTCAATTAGATTTATTAAAATTAAATAATAATTTCGCTAGTTTAATACGTCCACGTCCACCATCAGGATCTATATCATCTAAGATTACCACCAATTGGAAATTAAATTTAAAAGTAGTCATTTATTGGTGTATAACCAAATATCGAAGTGAACGAGAATCTAATGAAAGTATATTAATTATTTGTAATTTTATTAAGAGGAAAGTATTTGGACCATTAAATCCTAAAACTCTGGGGAATCCAAAGGCTGAATTTGAGAATGAATTACTTGAAATTATTTATAATATTGCTGAAAATCATTCATTAAAGATTGATAAGTATAAATTATATGTACTTATAAATGAATTATGTCAATTAAAAGTTATATCAATTGGATCTTATTTAAGAAAATTCATTGCTTCAGGGATATTTTATTTATCTCCTGGAGGTGGAGGTACTGATGAGAATATTATGTCGGATGAATATAATCCCCTTGTAGAAACTCATTTATCAATTCTACAAAATTTACCAGTCATTAATAATCGACAATTCGATAGTATACTAAAGAAATTATCGTCGGGATCAGATTTAAAGGAGAAATTCGATCATGGAACCAATATCTTTAAATCAGATATACTTGATAAATTAATTAATAATGATACTTATTCAAATGATTTTCAGACCAGTATTAATTATGTATGTGATTTAAATATTGGAATTAAATTTCTTCTAATTAATTGGTTAACTAATGAATTGAAAATTACTATTGCTAAATCTCCTAAATTAATTCATATTAATCCAGATTTATTAGCTAATTTATATCATATTTATGCTACTTGTGATAATTTAACAGTATTCTTTAAAATTGTTATAAAATTCCTTTTAAGAAATGAAGGAGGAATTATAATTTTATATCTTGATTCACTTTATTTAATTGCCAAATTACTTATAAGACACTTTAAATTACTTAAATTTGTGGCAGGTAATACTCATACTGGATCAGATTCTACTTGTTATGAATTATTTAAATTAATTATTCAAACTTATAAAGATTTTCAAAGTCGAGAATTTGATTATTTCCGATTTGATCAAGTATGGATGTTTGTAGATTCAGTATTTGATAAGAATTTTCAAAAGGATGAACCTCAAATAGCTCCTAATAAAAAGGTATTTACCAATATATTTGGTAAAGAACTGATTGATTCTCCCATGAGAATTAATACTACAGATATTGATAATGATAGAGGAGGTTTAGAAAAATATACTCCGACTGATTTTAGACAAGATTTGGATTCATTACTTCAATATAAATTTCAACCAATGACAATTTCTGAAGTTAAAGATTTAGTGATTAATTTGAAATTAAGTGTGGATTTAACTAATCCATTATCATTGAAAAGAACAGCCTTAAATTTAATAGAGAATTTATGGAATTCAAGTAATACTAAATCTGATGATGTTGAATCAGTTAAATTATTTATTAATATTAGAAATAGTCTTGGAATTGATTCATTAACTAAATTTAATCAAGAATTTACCGTATATATTGCCAATTTACCGGTTGAAAATGATATTAAATTAGTAGGGCATTTTTATAAAAAGTTAATTATTTATGAAATTATAAGAATGAGTGATTTAATGACAGTATTAAATAGTGTGGTAGATAAGGGAAGCTTTGATAAAATCGCAGCTATTATCCTTGATGTTTTATTAGGTAATCCATTAATTGAAACTCAAGAATTTACTAAGAGTCAAGCTTTACTACTTAAAGTAATTAGACGAGGTTATAAAGATCGATCAGGAAGTTCATTCCATCATTTTACTCTTAAAAGTCTTATAGCTTTAGAGTCTCCAATTCAAGAATCGGTACAAGTATTAAATTTACAGATTGAAGTAATGAAATATTTTAATCAATTAATTGTTACAGCTACAAAATTAACTTTAGATGAATTTATTTCAAAGATTTCATTTCAAGATGCAATTTATTTACTTAATACTTCATTAGGTAAATCATCATCTAATGAATTTGTTAAAGAATTAAAGGATTTTTCAAATGTATCCCATGAAATTGATGAATTTAATTTACCCATGTATCAATTATTATTACGAGTTATTTGTCAAAATGAACTTGGACAAGTTCCAAAAGCTGAACAAAAGGAATTATTAAGTTTCTTAGTTGAAACATTTATTCAAAATCTTGATTTTACATTTTCTTCATATAATTCATATATTGGAGAATTATTAAATTTTATTGAATGGGATGATAAAGTTTGTATATTAGAAATTTTAGAATCAATGTTTTTAAAGGGGACAACTATATATGATGTTAAACAAGCTATTTCTAAAAATAAAGCTATTGATTTAACTAATATATTAGGTACTATTAATTTATTACCAGTATTTAATGATTTCTTTAAAAAATTCTCCACTTCTTCATCAAATACAGTTGAATCATCACCAGTATTCTTTGAAAATTTATCTAATTTTTTAATTAATTTATTAGATTTAGTTAATGAAGAATTGGTTTTTATATTTAAAGATGATATAAGTGATGCAATTTCTATATTTCTTAGAATATTAATTATTCATAAAGTTACTTTAACAACTGCTATAATTGTTTATGATGGTGAACAATTTTTATTTATTAAGAATTTAATTGCATTATTGAATAGTCAATTCTTATCTCAAGTTAATGAAAAATTAATGATCCTTCTTTATGATTTATTATTATTAATGAAATTATCTATAACTCAAGAAATTAATCTGTTGGGTAATACTGATTTACCAGAACCAACATCTCCAGGATTTATTGGTGGTATGATGGGTCAAGGTAGTCCAACATCTGAAGAACAAATGAAATTATTAGGTGAATCAGAATCAGGTAATACTGGAGGTAATTCAGGAGGAGAATCAGGGAATTTTAATTCATCTTCAATGTCAAATCTTAATCAAGTGACTTCATTATTTAATTTACCTGAACCTAATGCAAATAATCCTTTACAATCATATATTGATGCTAAGAAAATTGATAGTGCATTAACTCTTGATGTGGATGAATTAGAAACAAGTGGAGATTTCCATAGTTTTAATAATAGTGGACTTGTCTTAGTATCTTCAAGAAATGATTCGGTAAGTTTATCGAATATTTTAGGGTCAACTCCAACGGCTGCAAAATCTATCACTAAGCTCGAATTTAAACTTCGCAGCTTTGAAATTCTTGAGGATACCTCGAACTCTTTAAATGATGCGTGTATTAACTTACAGTTGTTTGATGCATATACGACGAGAGAGAATCCTCCTTAATATATAGATATATATATATATATATACATATGCTTATACTTTACTTATACTTTACTTATACTTTACTTACTACTGGTGAATGAGCGTGCCCGTCCCGCACCCTGGTGGATGCGGCTGGTAATTTTTCGCGCGCATGAATAGCGTTGATAAATTTCACTATTGTCTCGGCTCGGTAATTTCATTCTACTCTAATGGTCTCAGTGTAGTTATAATGGCTCTGCAGGATGATATGTACGCTAACACTGTACTCAGTGACGTGTCTGATATAGAGGATGACACAGTGATTGAGAATGGTGAGGGTGGTGGAGCTACTGGTGGGATGGGAGGATTCTATGCTATAAATAGTAACACTAACAGTACCAGTAGAAGTACTACTAATGGTAATGGTATACCGACATTAATGCCCGAAGCCAGAGCTCCAGCAACAGATCTAAGGAATTTAGCCAGTGCTAATTTCTCATCCGATTCTCTATCTGGATCTCAACCTCAAACTATAAGTTATATTGCTATGTCACCTATCATTTCTGCTAATAATCCATTAAGTCCAGTTAATTTAACTACTAATTATCATTTACGAAAATATTCAAATTCTTCAATTAATGGTTCACCTATATCACAACCAGTCCATTTACGAAATGGTTCTAGTACAAATTCAAGACCTAGACCAAAATCTGCCATGTTTGGATTTGATTCAAATCATTATACAATAGCTGAAAATGAATTAGCAATTTCAACTCCATCAATAAATGTTCCAGGTTCAAGAAATTCATTATATTCTAGTAATAGTCAACCATTTTCAAAATCTCCATCAAGACTGTCTTCGCCAACTAGAAATTCTAGACAAATGAGAAGTAAATCTCCTGTAAGACGTTCAAATTCTCCTAATAAATCTTATCAACCATTTAATTTTAAATCTCAAGATATGTTTTTAAATCCTAATGGTTCAGCTCATTCTGTTCTGTCAAAACCAGCTCAAAGAAAGGGTCATAGATATAAAACATCTTCAGTTTCAATGAATTTATTTCAAGAACCTCCTCCAGCTTCATCTAATGAACAATTAACAATTCCTGATCTGTATCCTATCCCAAATTTTAAAGAATCAATAGCATCAATAAAATCTAATCAAAAATTAAGATTATTCTGGTCAGCCTTTCATTTTCTTTCATCATTAATAGTATTTATCATAGGATTTAAATTTAAAATTTCACCATTATCAACTCTTGCTCATTTAGTATTTTATGATGCACTTGGATCATTGGTTATTGTATTTGTTGATATAATGTCTAATTTTGAAGTTTGGAATAATTCTTCAATGACTTATCCTTTTGGATTAGGTAGAATAGAAGTTTTAGCTGGATTTGCTTTAAGTTCTTCATTAATTATGGTAGGATTTGATCTTCTTAGTCATTTTGTTGAAGAATTTATAGTATTATGGGTGGTTGATAATGAAGGAGAAGCTATAGAACAACATCTGTCACATCATATTCATGCAGAACATGGAAATAATGGAAATAATGATATTAATTGGTTAATATATAATGGAATTCTTATATCAATAATAATTATTACCCTTATAAGTTCTAATTATATTTTAGCATTAGATAAAATTAATGAAATGATATCATCATCTGATGATTCTAAACAAAATAATAATGTGGAAGAAATTGAAATAAAAGATAATAAATTTACTACAAGTTCAAAATTACATAAATTCTTAAAGATATGGACAAAGAATCCTACCCATTTTTTAACTTTAGCTTATTCTATTTATTTAATTACAATTCCTTTACTTCCTGGAACATTTTTTGAAGATATAACCATTGATATGAATGAAGCAGCCACATTATTAGTGGCATTAATGTTATGTTTTACTGGATGGAAATTAGTTAAATCATTAGGAGGTATTTTATTATGTTCATATCCTTATTCAGATTATGATTATCATATACTTAAATCAGTTATAACTGATCGACTTTTAAATTCAGATTCATTTAAGAGTTCTTACAGTATAGATACATTATTTATAACTAAATTTAATTATGAATTATTTGTGGTGGGTTTAAAATTAACTATGAAAGGAGCAGATATTGATGAAGAATCTAAAATTCGATTTGAAGCCAATAAAATAATACGACAAGAGATCAGTCATATTGATTTCAGTATTCCTACTAATGGGATAGAAATAACAGTCGATATAAATAGGTAAATAGCCAATCAAATGGAGTACATATTTATTAATATAAAGTAAAAGTAATATTAGTATTGGTATTAGTTAAGTGGTGGCTGTCTTTCCTAATTAGGTAATTGAAAATGAGTCAACCGCGATGTGAAATCTTTTGAATGAAAAAAAAAAAATGGCTATATAGAGTCGAATTTTTCACTAATTTTTCACTAATCACATTCCAGATATATATAATTAGTGCTAAACTAAAATGCTTAGAGCTGTATCAGTTAGACAAGCCAGAGGTGTGGTTTCAGGTAGAAGTTGTAAGAATTTAATTGGAAGTTTACGGAGTTTTTCTAAGATAGTAAGTCAAGTTGATGCTTCAGACGATTCACAAACTGGTAAATTTGTTAATACAGTTTCAAAACCTTATGCTGTTACTACTTATGCTAGACCAAATTTAGTATTGACTCATGGTAAAGGATCGATTTTATATGATTTAGAAAATAGACAATATATAGATTTTAGTAGTGGGATTGCTGTTACTTGTTTAGGACATGCTAATGAAGAACTTGCCCAAGTTATTAATGATCAAACATCAAAATTATTACATTGTTCAAATTTATTCTATAATCTTCCTGCTGGAGAATTGGCTAATAAATTAGTATCTAAAACCAGAGATTCAGGAGCTATGAAAGATGCTCAAAGAGTATTTTTATGTAATTCAGGTACTGAAGCTAATGAAGCTGCATTAAAATTTGCTAGAAAATATGGTAAAACAATTAATGAATCTAAAATTGAAATTATAACATTTAAAAATTCTTTTCATGGTAGAACTATGGGAGCTTTATCTGTTACTCCTAATCCTAAATATCAAGCACCATTTTCTCCTTTAATTCCGAGTATTCAAGTGGCTGATACTGAAGATATTAATAGTGTAGCTAAAGTTATTAGTAAAGAAAAAACTTGTGCAGTTATTATTGAACCAATTCAAGGTGAAGGTGGAATTAATATTGTTAATGAAAAATTCTTAGTTGAACTTCGAAAACTTTGTGATGAAAATGATGTATTATTAATTTTTGATGAAATTCAATGTGGTTTATCAAGAAGTGGTAAATTATGGGCTCATTCAACTTTAAATGAATCAGTTAATCCAGATATTCTTACTATGGCTAAAGCTTTAGGTAATGGATTCCCAATTGGTGCTACTATGATTACTGATAAAGTTGAAAGTGCCCTTCAAGTTGGTGATCATGGTACTACTTATGGTGGTAATCCATTAGCTGCTAGAATTGGTAATTTTGTTTTAGATAAACTTACTGAAGAATCTTTCTTACAAGGGGTTAATGAAAAATCAGAAATTTTTAAAACTTCTCTTGATAAGATAGCTAAAAAATATCCTGATCATGTATTGGCAGTTAAGGGTAAAGGATTATTATTAGGATTACAATTAAATAATTCAGTCGATAGTACGGCTGTAGTTAATAAGTGTAGAGAAAATGGGTTAGTCGTTATAACTGCGGGTTTAAATGTGGTAAGAATTGTTCCAGCCTTAAATATCCCTAATGAATTGATTTCTAAAGGGTTAGATATATTGGATCATAGTTTGAAACAGGTTATTGAATCTTCAACTTAGTTATCTACGTATATTACCATAGAATTTAATCCATAGTACATAGTACATACATTAGAGAAAAGCTCGGCTGCGATTTGTAGAGCGGGATCTGAACCCGTGAAAGAAAAAAAAAAAGTCGTTTGAGATAAGCCAGTAGCAATCGCCAATAAAACAATGTAAATAGCATAGTAAGTATAACCATAACCAAAAGGGAATCAGCTGATGAAGACAATAACAATAAGTAATATAAAAAGATGACAATTCCATTCAGTATCCCTACCACGGATCTTGATTATTGCTTAGAACAGCTATTGGATCATAAACCTCCAAAGATACTACCACCAGAAACTATTCAACAATTATGTCATACATTAAAAGCACAACTTCTTGGAACTCCAAATATTATGAGTCTTAATTCTCCAATATCAGTTGTAGGAGATATTCATGGACAATTTCATGATCTACTAGAAATCTTTCAAATTGGAGGTTCTCCTCCTAGTACAAATTATTTATTCTTAGGAGATTATGTTGATAGAGGTTATTATTCAGTTGAAACTATTTCTTTATTAATTGCATTAAAATTAAGATATCCTGATCGAATTTATTTAATTAGGGGAAATCATGAATCAAGAACTATTACCACAAATTATGGATTTTATACTGAAGTATTAAGTAAATATAATGGTTCATCAGAAGTATGGACTTATTTTACAGATTTATTTGATTATTTACCATTAGGAGCAACAATTGATGGTAAAATCTTTGCAGCTCATGGGGGTTTATCTCCTAGTTGTCAACAATTAGATCAAATAAGAACTCTTGATAGATTTAGAGAAATCCCTCATGATGGAATAATGGCTGATTTAGTTTGGTCAGATCCTGATACAGAAATAATGGACTTTAAATTATCTCCACGAGGTGCTGGTTACCTCTTTGGTTTAGATATTATAAATAAATTTTGTCAAGATAATGATTTGGTTCAAATGATAAGAGCTCATCAATTATGTAATGAAGGTTATACAAGTTATTGGAAAGGGAAATGTTTAACAGTATGGTCAGCTCCAAATTATTGCTACAGATGTGGTAATAAAGCCAGTATACTAGAAATCTTACATTCAAATTATGGATCTAAAGATCCTCATGATCTAGATGATGATAATGATAATGATGATGAATTTTCTGATGTTACTTATAAAGATTATGCTAATAGATTCAATAGTTTACGAGTTCGTCAACAACAAGGAGTTCTTCCCGGACAATTTTTTAACGTATTTGAAGCATCACCAGAAAATAGAGATGATACCCTTAATTCTAAAAGTGTTAATGGTATTAATTCTGATGAAAATTTTACGGGAAATGGTGACTTCTTTGCATCGTTTTTCCAGGAAAGACGTCCTAAACAGTATGTGGAGTACTTTCTTTAATTTAATTATCTGTATTATTAATTAGAATATATATACAATTTTTTTGTATAACTTAATATGTAATCAACTTATCCGTAATATAATTCAAAATTGAATCCATCATGAACTTCATAATCATCTAAACTTATATGATCCTTGTATACACTGTTACCTTTCTTTAGTACTAACTTATCGTATGGTGTACCTATTTGCAATGAGATTATTTTCTTCAAATCTCCAATCGTATCGGTTGGAAGACACTTTACTCGTATCTTCTTACCCAACCTATCATTAGCCAATACCTCTATCATATTTGTTAGTATAATGTTATTGACACTGGGTATCATTTCATTAATAAATTATAATTAAAATACAAATAAAAAAAAAATGTCGTGCCTCCCACGCAAAAACCCCGTAAAAAATTCATTACCATTGTTAAGATAGCAGTAGCAATTCATAGTTTATGATATTATAGAGAGTATTCATTACAGTGACATAAGCACGATGATGGGACACTCTTCTTCAAACTCCAGCAAGGACCAGAACCAAAATCCGCACCCTGGTTCTGGTTCTGGCTCAATTCATCGTCATAATCATAATCATACCGCTACACAAAGGCGGCCCTCATTATTGAGACATCCATCTGCCAATGCCAGTTCCAATTCAAGTGCCAATGCCTCCGTAGCTGCCGCTGTGGCTGCCGTATCTAACACACCCATGCATTCAACACATCTTAAGCGATCTACAAACCAGTCGACCAGTACGTCGTCAATGTCGTCACTTTCATCTTCAGGAAGCAATGGTAACAGCAACAGTGGTAATGGCAATGGAAGTGGGTCTGGCAATAGCACTGGCAGTGCCAATGGTTCGAATATCTCACCTACAAATTCAACTAGTGGCCCTTCTTCGGCCCCTGTTCAACAGCAGCAGCAACAGCAACAACAACAGCAGCAGCAACAACAATCATCTAGTCGAAATCGTCCTCGCTCACTATCCCAACATCATAGTAACTCACAATATCTTGCTCAAGAACGAGTATATTTAAAGAAAATTCGAAATCAATTGGTTGATGATTATTATACCAAAGGTATCTCAGGGGCTGATGATGAGTCTAAAGATACAGAAATTAATGAAGAAGAGGATGATGATGATGACGATAATGATCAAGGAAATAGTAACTTTTTAGAAGATCTTGATGATGATAAATATCAGATTGATTTCAGTTTGGCATATTCTATGATGAAAAGTGGTGGTACTAATATCAATATGAATCCTAATAAGAATATAACGCAATTAAGTAAAGATCAGACTGATGATCCTGCTGTTTTAGAACGATTAGAATGGCAATCTATGTTAACATCAGTATTAACTGGTGATGTGGTCAAATCAGAAAAGACAAAAATCATTAATAATAATAATCCAGATAATGGACAAGAATCTTTCTTACATGCTACATATAAAGAGAGCCTATGGTTTGGAGTAAGAGCCAAATTATTTAATAGATCTGAAGATGATCAAAGGAAAATTATATCATATAGAAGAACTTTAGTAGATCAATTAATTGAAGATGTTTTAAAATTCGAAGTCAATTATGATGATCCAATTAATAATCCTACCAGAACTCAAGTAATGAAATTATTAGATCGTTATGAACAAGCGTGTGGAAATTGGAGAACATTAGAAGATATGAAGAATGATAAACCTTTATGTCGAAGTGAAGAATTTGAAAATCGAATCGATGCATTAAATGCCTGGTTTACTATAACAGAAGCTATTACAAGAGAAACTCGTTCATTAAGACTTTGGATAGGTAATGATGAATTAGATATTACCAAGAGTCCCGTAGAAACTCCATCTACAGAATCAGCATCTTTAACCAGTAGTAAAGTAATTCGAAAGATATTCGATGAAGATAATAAATCATTAGCAGAAAGATTAATGAAGGAAAAAGATGTTCATACAATTTTTCAAAAACGAATCTTTTTACCCATGGCACCTTGGATGATTAAATCTAAAGATGCATATATAACTTTGGGTCATATGTTTGAACAAATGAAATTACCTGACTATATCCATGATTTAATTCAAATTTGTATTATTCCTATGAAATTAATTAAAGAAATTATCAATGTAAGACTTGGTTATGCTATAAAATTACAGAATCCTACATTAATGATGATAGATCAAATGATTGAAGATTTTAAATCATATATTACTATTGCCCTTGAAGTAAAAATGGGGATTCAAGAGTATTGTAAACCTGTAGCCGGTAATACATGGGTGATTGGAGATTTTTTTGAAGGAGAAAATCTGGATTTTGATCAAGTTGTATTAAGATGTGCTAAATATTATTTGGTTTTATTGAATAGAAAATTATTAGATAGTACGAGATCAACTACCAATTTTAGAACTTTTAAGGAACCAGAAGAATTAGAAGAAGCATGGTCATTTTTGAGATGGTTAGGTAATTCTATTGATGGAGGTAGTGTATTAGTTTCAGAGCAAATTACCGTATTAGCTCTGAAATTAATTCAAAGATTATTAGCATACTTCAATAGTCAACTTCGTTCACCACCTTCTGGAGTAAATTCAGATTTAATCAGATGGTATAGTTCTACTACGGAAAATTTTGGACAATTACGTCGTAAATTAGCTAGATTTACTGGAGAAATGTCAAGAGAATTCACTAATTCATTAGTATTTAGTCTTCCATCAACTCCTACTAATTTAACTAAGAATTTATTAGAAATATTAAAGGCAAGAAATCATTTTTTAGTATATACTGGAACGGTAGAAGCTCAAGGTATATATTTCTTTGCTAGTCCTGAACTTGCAGGTAATGAACAAGAAATTCTTAAGATTATTAATGGATCTTATGTAGGATTAGATCCAAATAATTCTAATTATGAATTTACTGATTTATTAGATTTAATTCAATCAGAAGGTGATGAAGATTATATACCGTCTCAAGCGTTGGCATCTCATTCAAGTGATTTTGCTTATATACTTGCATTATGTCCTCCTAAACCAATTGTATGGGAAGGTAGTATTATTAATTTAAATATGACTGATGTTCCTATAAGTGATGTTAAAACAGGACAAATGATTCTTATAACTAAATTACCATATTATAGTTTACATATAGTACGAGAAAAATTTCTTGATATTGTTAGTGATATAATGCTGGGAACTCCTGTTGAACAAAGATGTTCATTAACTAAAGTTCATCAAGAATTAACAAAAATTAATCGAGCATTTTTTAAAATGTGTATTTCAGTACTTGATTCAGTTAAAATCGTAAGAGATAAGTGTAAAGAATTATCTATTGAAGGTGATTATCAATCATTAATTAATAATTATTTTATATATGCTCGAGATTATGGTAAAAATTCCATTAGAAGTTTAGATAGTTCTCGAAAATCCGCCATTATTATGAAATTAATTCAATTATCAATTGATTGGGTAAGTTTTATTTGTGATGATTGTCTGCCAACTGATAGGAAAACATTTAGATGGTGTGTTTTAGCATTAGAATTTGCTATGGAAATGACAAGAGGATTTAATGTTCTTGTACTTAATGAAGAACAATTTTATAAATTAAAATTAAAAGTGGCACGATGTATGTCATTACTTATATCTCATTTTGATATTATGGGAGCTAGATCAAGTGAAGCAGAAAGAAATACTTTACTTAAATGGTCATCTACTCGTCATAAGATTGAAAATTCATCTGATGATAATTATATTATAAAAGCATATCGAGAAGATTTAATGAAACAAATTGCCAATATAGAAGAATATCGAACAGAACTTCAAGAAGATTTACATTCAGTAGGTAGAGTATTAGATATTACTGATCTGGAATATCAATTTGTTACTTTATTAGCTTCATCATTTTCAAGTGTATCTATTAGATGGCAAAAGGGTAGATTTATTGGAGGTGGAACATTTGGTCAAGTATTTGCAGCCGTTAATTTAGATACTGGAGGAGTTATGGCCGTTAAAGAAATTAGATTTCATGATAGTCAATCAATTAAAAATATTGTTCCTTCAATAAAGGAAGAAATGACAGTATTGGAAATGTTAAATCATCCAAATGTTGTTCAATATTTTGGAGTTGAAGTTCATCGAGATAAAGTTTATATTTTTATGGAATTTTGTGAAGGTGGTTCATTATCAGGATTATTGGCTCATGGAAGAATTGAAGATGAAGTTGTAATTCAAGTATATACATTACAAATGTTAGAAGGGTTAGCATATTTACATCAATCAGGAGTTGTTCATCGAGATATTAAACCTGAAAATATTCTTTTAGATCATAATGGAGTTATTAAATTTGTTGATTTTGGTGCTGCTAAAGTAATTGCTAATAGTGGTAAAACTAGAAATCCCGCTAGTATTGGTTCAAGACCTGCTAATGGTAATCCAAATTCTATGACAGGGACTCCAATGTATATGTCACCAGAAGTAATTACTGGATCATCATCTGATAGAGGTGGAGTGGTGGATATTTGGTCACTTGGATGTTGTGTTCTTGAAATGGCTACTGGTCGTAGACCTTGGGCAAATCTTGATAATGAATGGGCTATAATGTATCATATTGCTGCTGGTCATAAACCACAATTACCATCACCTGATCAATTAAGTGAACCAGGTAGAAAGTTTGTATCAAGATGTCTTGAACATGATCCTAAAAAGAGACCAAGTGCAGTTGAATTATTAAATGATCCTTGGATAGTTGCTATTAGACAAGCTGCCTTTGGAGGTAGTGTTGATACGACGATAACTCCTTCATCAGAAGCAGGAACTGAAGTATTTCTGAATGTATCATAATATTTATTCTCTTCAAGTATTATTAGTATTAGTATTATTATTATTATTGGTTTTCATTTTCTACATAGTACATTATAATTTTACAAAGGACTTTGAAATTGATCTATTTAAAATAGGCTATACTATACTCCATTTAACACTATGTACAAGATTACGTATTACATGATATGACCCCATTTATATGTCTGTAGGTATCTTTTCATTAAAGTAAGCCTTTATCTCATCTACTACATCACCTTTAACATTAGCATAACCAGCAGTTTTATTAATAGTAATTTTAAGGTTAGGATTAAATCTCAATAAATCTTGCTTAAATTGATTAATATCTCCCTTTATTCTCTTAATTTCAGTTGTTATCTTAGTATTTTGAATCTTTATATATACTGGCCAATGATTAAATTTAGTTTTCTTAATGCTATAGTTCTTATTACCAAATCCATTATTTGGTAAGTCTGTGTAACTTATAGATGATAATGAAGGAATTTCATAAGAAGTCACAATTTGATATTCCTTAGTAATAGGCACTCTTATGCCTTTCAACGATATTAACGATGGTCTCATGTCTGTAGCTGCTAAAGACGTTAAGTAAGTGTAGGTTGAAGTATTGGATAGTTTTGAAAAATTTCAGTTCATTTTTTTAGAGAAATGTCGCGGAGGGTACAGAAATTTTACATGTGTCGCGACATCGCACCACATCTGTACCGCAATAGTTAAGGTATACTATACTATATATATGCTATACTATATACATATATACTATACATACATGCTATAACGCAATAGTTAAGATATATACTCACACATATATACTCGTATATACTGCCTATATGCCTATATACCTAAAATATTCTCTGTCCTTGAAGAAAGTACAGGAAATGCATCAACACTGTCCCGTTCTTCTTCCTTCAAATTATTGTGCAACTTCAAGTGCTTAGTAAAATCAGGCTTCCTCTCAAATTCTTCTCCACAAATATCACATTTAAATGATTTTAAATGGATTTTCATATGTTTAGTTAAATTAGAACTTTCACTAAATCTCTTTTTACATCCTGGCCATTTACAAATCAATGGTTTTTCTCCTGTATGAACTCTATTATGAATGGATAATGATGAACTAGTTGCAAATTTCTTATTACAAATTGAACAAGAAAATGGTTTCTCTCCACTATGAGTTCTTAAATGTTGTTTTAACATAGTATCAACAGCAAAGCAAGCACCACAGATTTCACATTTGCATGGCTTATGATTTGTATGAATATGAATATGTCTCATAAGCTTTTGTCTTTGAGTAAATATTTTGCCATTATGTCTTTCGCAGCCAACCCAATTACAATTATAGATTGATTTACCTGATCCTATATGATCATCAATTAGATGTGTTTGTAACAGGCCTTCATCTGTATGAACTTTATTACATGGAATTGGATTTCCATTATCGTCAACTCCAATCTGCCATTTACAAGTATGTGTTGGATCTACTATATTATCAGAAAAATTTCTTCTTTTCTTTGGTAAAATTTTCATAGAAGTAATTTGGAATTCACTCATTGACGTATTAGAGAGATCTTGTTTATAATTATCAAACATATGATCATTAAACTCATCGTCTTCTTCTTTCTTTATGCTTAATGCAACTGGTGATCGGGGTGAAGAATTCAATGACTTATCGGTAGATTTGGGTGTTAGTATTTGACTTTGTAATGTTGGTACAAGGTTATTTGAATAAGTAGCATCATCTTGATCTTGAATATTACTACTACTATTCTTATGAGTTACTAAATGATCAATTAATTGATTCAAATCGGAATTCATAAAATCACAGTCATTCCACTCACAATGATAACATGTTTGATTAGGATTGATAGTTCCATCATTAGTGGCAGTATCATTTTTTATGGTATCGACATTTAATCCATATTCTTCACTTATATGATGTCCCATAATATGTTTTAAAAGAGTATCATCGTTTACCTTTCTGTAACAATTATCCCATTGACAAGAATATGTAGAAGATTCATTAAATGTAGAAAAGTCTGTATTTGTTAATTGTGGCATCTGAGATTGTGTGGTACTAGAAGATGTTACAGGTCTTGTTGTTTGATTTAATACTTCTTCTAAACTTGGACCTGTCTTAGAATCCTGAGATCCATTTAGAAGTTGATTAAAGTTATTGAACTGAATATAGAAATCAAAATCAGATAACAAATGTTCAGTATTAGTGGTATTAGTTGAATTAGATGGACTAATTGAATCAACATTTGGTATAGTGGTATGAAAACAAGACTGGTGGTAATGATGATGTTGATGATCAGAAGGATCAAGCTTTGGAGTATTATTGGTATTTTCAGGTTGCAGATGACATTCATGAGGGAAATGGATTTCAAACTTCTTTAGAGAATTATTTAGCTTTCGTTTCTTTGAACTTGCATCTATATCGGTTAAGTTTCTATGAACATTATTGATTAAATCTTCAAACAAAGGTTTCTTAGGAAGTTGTAGTTCACATAAATTATTTTGATGATGAGAATGATGTTGTTGAGCTGGTACACAACAGTTATATGGAACATCTTGAAGTTGATTAGTATTGGAATTTGATGAACTTAAACCATGATCATTATGATTGCAAATCGAATAGCTTAAGCAACTTGGATTACCACAACAATCTACAGTTTGTTGCTTATTCAGTAATTCAGCATTTGAAGTCAGCGGGGTAGTTGCAGTTGGAGTTGAAGATGGAGTTGCAGAGCAACAAGTAGATTCAGCAGTACAATTTTCATCTTCACAGCATATTTCTTCACAATGTTGATGATCATCTGTATGACTATTAAGTTCAATACAACAAGAAGAATTTTCACATTCAAGACATTTACTGTTTGAATTTTTACTTGAATCTTCACAAGTAGAAAAGAAACAATCATCTAATTCATCACAGAAAATATCATCACATAAATCTATATTATCAAACTCCTTACAGCTATCAAAATATGATGCTAGTTCATTATTGTTTGAAGTAGAAATATTAATCTTTGGAGCAATATTAGTAGTAGTAGTAGTAGAAGTAGTCGAAGACTTTTCAAAGTGATGATCATGGTCATGATTATGAATATGACCATGAATATGGGTATGATCCTTATGTTTATGAATGTGACCATGAACATAACCATGAGTAGCTAATCCACTCTTAGGAATTGAAGATTTATTCATGGTTTCTTCAGTCTCTTGAACAACAATCTTGTTGGCATTATTAGATTGTGACATTGCCTACAAGAAGAAATGAAGAAAGAATGAAAAGAAGAAAGAATGAATGAATGAAAAGAAGAAAAAGAAAAAGAAAAAGAAGTTACCCAATAAATGAAAATTTTTTAATAAATTCAAAGAGATAATACTCTCAACTGATGGAAATTAAAATATCCTCTGACTGTATAATATCAGACAAAAGACGAGTATTATTAGCACTAGCTCTGAAGTCACTCTAGTAACCTAGAAACAAATTTAGCGAAAAAATGCACAATGACAATGACTTCTGATCACCGACAAAGTTTACTAATTAACCGTAATGATATACCAATTGGTAGTATAGTTTGTAATAACTAATACTTAAGACCCTTTAAACTATGAAAATTTCTATGTCAGCAACCTAACCTTAGAATATAATGTATCAGCTATAAATCCAGCCCTTCTATCGGCTATATAGAATTATTAGGGAATATCACCGGACCCAGTTCAACCACTGTGTCGATACTATGTAGCAGTACGGCACAGTCTGATTGTAATCAGAAAGGTTGCAATCACCCTGGTGGTTATACACAAAAGGTAAAAAAATAATTTGACATGATGATTAGGTCATGTGATTTCCAACGTGACTTGTCATGTGATTAGTTATTTTCTAAATCTGGTTCTTATCATTTTAGTTATTTATGACTATTTACTTACCTTTTATAAAACCTATGACAGTTCAAATTCCGGTCTCAGTGCAGTGTAGTAGTGTAGTCGTTACATTATTTTCTGATTCTTCTTAAAGCTATTGATGATTTTACTAATTGAGAGTCGCTTCTATCTATTTCAAAAGATTTGGTAATAAAGTTAAAGAAAATTTAATTGTTCAGTCAATTTGCTAATACATCAGCTTATACTACTAGTGAATACTGGTGAGCCACTTACAGGGGGAGATTGAATTCTCGGTAAACTAAATGCTAGTACGGCTATTTACGTTCTCGTTCATGCTTAATTACAACCTCGAATTCGGTTCCAGTCCTCAACACATCTAAAATTTAAAAAATAACTTGTAATTAGATTTAGTCAAGCGTGTGGCCACCTCACCCAACAACCATGGGTATATTAGATCTGCGTTGTTTTCTATTTTCTCCACTTTATAGTGTTTGGCAAAATAAATATAGCTAAGTTTACAATTTACAATTAATAAAATAATAAAAATATATCAACAAAAACTTTTCGCATCATTGCCTAATTGGGGTGGTTGATAAATAAACTTGTGCAGCAATATATGCATACGCATAAACATAATATACAAAGACCAAATCGGTAAGAGTTCTTTCCTTTGAACATGTTCTGTTAATAACCAAAGGGATCCCAAGAGAAGGTATATATATGCGAGCTTGAGGTACATAAGGGGATCAACAATAAGGGTTGTACCTAGGCACCCTTGGCTGAATAGAACTGACCATATGCAAGTTTCATAAATGGCCCGGCCAAGCAGTTTAACGTCATTGTTTATAATTATTGATGGAAATATGATCATGATCATGATCTTGATCGATTTAATTTAAGAAACACACTGCTATACAAACAACAATCCTCGCCATTAAATTTTTAGTTTAGTCAAATAATATTAAATTTAGGTTATTTTCTAGACTTCGATTAAAGTTAAAGAATAAACTTTATTTATATTATTAAAGTTAGATTAATTCGTATATGTTTAAATTAATTAAATTTAATAGAACTTGATTAATGCTAAGTATCTAATTCTGGAGGTATGATAAACATACACATCCACAAACACATCCACATACAAATCCATATTTCATATTCCCGAACTACAGCTAATAAGTTTTCTACACTTCATCCTCCATTGTTGCCTAGAAATACACGCAAACATCAAGTTCATGTTTAACAATACATACCGCTCATCTTCCATATCAGCCAACAATGCTAATTTCTCTTGTATTTTACGCACACATATTGTTGGAGTAACGTATCCTATTGTGAGCTTTTTCACTAGTTTTTGTAAGCATTCTTTTGAGCTAATTTTTTAATGCATAATTCCATCCTAATTAGGTAATGTATTGTAATATCTAAGATCTAATTAAATTAAAACTCTTGGAGTAGATTGTCTTTATATAAATACAATTGTCCCAAAACACCTTAGACCACAACTTAATTTTACGTCACTTTATTTAGCCTTAGGTTGACACTAAATTATAACTCAACTCTATACCTTAATACATAGTTGCAAATATGGCTATAGGCCAATTATTAACTAGATCTCGAGGGAAATCTTCAATAGACTTAGACAATCAGTCTGATACAAAAGTCGCAGATATACCTCAACCCCATAAGAATGATAAGTACCATATTAAGAAGAGTCCTTCTATGAACTTCTTTCAAGCTTCAAGAAGTATAATAACGAAACTTACCACCAAGAACCAACCTAAATTATTATCTCCAGTCATATTATCATCAGCCACACTTCCAACTACTACATCTCCATTACCTCAACATGAATATAAACTCCCACCAATACCTCCATCTTCTACATTTGATTACTCAGTACATAATATAGTTATGCCTAATTACAATTATAAAACCGACGATACCACTGAGATTAATAATAATCATAATGATCATAATAATCATAATAACAACCACAATAATAATGATGATGATAATGATGATAAGTCAATAGAAAATTCCATACAATCTACAAATACCCTTAAAGATATGATTAGGGAATCTTCAATATATAAATTTGAAGATAATGAAAGTATGATTACTAGACCTTTAAGACAAACTCCTTCAACTCCTGAACAGAATATTTTACCAGATATAACTGAAACCCCCATATTTAAAGCTACTACTTATAGTAATAAATCCATATTTGGTAATCTCGATGCCATATCTTTTGATGATAATATTTTAAGTAGAAGTACATCTCGTCAAGATTCATTATTTCTTAAAACTGAAGTTATTACTGATATGAGTTCTATTAAGGATGTTAGTATTCAAGTATATAAATCTTATGCTACAACCAATCCTGCTTCTTTAAAGATTATTAAACAACAAGAAGATTTGGCTCTATCAATATTAAGTGATGAAGAAGATAATGAGAATAGTTCTAATCGTGCTACTTTCCGAATTCTGCATGCATCTGAACCTGGTAAGGTAGAGAATCAAATTTATACTAGTGATTTTGATATAATATCAAACTATGGCCAATACGAGCCTATCAATGATAGTCAACAAGAACAAGAAGTGAATGATATAGAGTCAGATACATCGCCTGATGGAGAATTCTACTTCAATGATTCTCAAAAGTCTACTACTATCTACAATAATGAAATGAAATTGTTATCAGAAAGACAGAAGTTAATAATTGATAGACAACAATCTGAAATTGATTATTTAAAGCAATTACTATTTGAAGAAAGGAAATTAAATAATTATCTTGCTACATCTAACAATTCCTCACCACTGCTTAAGAAAGATAATGACTCTATAAAGTCTCGGAAAGTAAGGTCTAAATTTTTACCCATAAATATTACATCAGGAGAATTATCAACTCCATCTACTAAACCATTTAATCTTCAACCTCCAGATCGATCAGATTATGATTTAGATGATGTACTTGATAAATATCATTCATCAGAATCAATCCCTGATCATTCATTTAGGAAACCATCATTTGCTTCTTCAGTATTTTCTGAAGTACGGTCAAATTCTCCAGCTAAAGATACAGCTAATTCATTATCTTCATCATATACTATACCTTATTTATCAGATAAAGATAGTATAAGTCCTACTGCAGTTCCTATGGTATAATTATAATTATAATTTTTAATGTTTTTTTTCAATTCTATCCCGTTAATTTTTAATTCTTTTACTTCTACTTATCAAATTATTTATGGATTCAAAGGATATTTGTATGTTAATATATGATTAATATGTAACTATATACTGAGAAATTAAATCAAGTTTGTAATTCTTTAATTTCATTCTCATCTGCTACTAATCCCATAACCACCAAGTACATATTTAAATTATTTAACAAGTTTTGTTTCTTAGGTAAATTCACAAGATCAGTATTATCAATAGCCTTAGCACGATTAATAACTCCAAAGATTTCATCACGAACTTCATCGACAATAATTCTTTGATGACTTAATTTACCTCCTAAAGATAAAGTAGCCAAGAATTGCCAAACATAATTTTCTCTTGAAGAACCATCATCAACATCTTCAGGATGAGGAGGGAAAATGGCGGCGATTCTTGATTCCAAACTTTGAAATAATTGATCATAACATGAAGACCATTCTGAAAGATCAGTAGCTGATATAGAACCTTCACCAATAATTAATTCAGCTCGAGATAATAATGTTGTTAAAATTGATAAACCAATTTTTGTGGTTGAAACAAATGAAACATTATTATGTTCTATTAATATAAATAATAATCCTGTAATATCAGTAAATTTAAAATCCAATACTGCATTCATTAATACTTTTGAAAATGTTAAAGAATAAGCTTCAACTAATTTAATAATTGATTCAGGAACTCTTTTAGTTTCATAAGTTGTATAAGAACCATTTTTTATAACGGCTAAATTTTCTAAATTTGAAATAATTAATGTTACAATAGTTAAAATTTGAGTCGTTGTTAAAAATTTAAATAATCGAGGTAATATCTTTAAAGCCTTTTGGAAATTTAAACATTGAATAAATGGATTAACTTCATTTTCATCATCTCCTGAAAATGATGATTGTTCTAATACTTTTAATGATTCCCATAAATTACTTGTATCAACATCAGAATTAGTTCTTGATTCACTTTCAATATTCATAAGTTCAGTAATGATATTTTCTAAAATACTTAAAATATCTCTATTGGAATATTTCTTTTTATTGGTTCCTTCACTTGTTTGTCCATTTTGTTCAGCTTCAAGTTTTCTTTGCTGAGCTTTACTAATGATTTCTAATTGTTGTCTTGGTTTCTTTCCTGATCCAAATGAAATCTTTCCCAAGGCTCCTTCTCTTGCATATTGAGTTAATTTAGGTCTTTCCTTGGCTACAGTAACTGCTCTTTGAACTTGTTGTTGCATTCTTTGTAAGGCAACATCAGCTCTCTTATAACGGCCACCTAATCTATGACCACTTTGATCTAAATAAGCTTGAGCAATGGAATTATTTTGATGACTAGCACTAATTCCTGCATTGTTAACTTTGGGATGAATAACTTTATATACTTGAGCATAAAAATCTTCATTATAAGGATCTTCAGTAACAATTTGTGATAATTGAAATCTAGTTACAAAATCTTTATCCTTAGGATTCATAATTCCTGAATATTTCATAATTCTAGCCACTTTTTCTTGTCTTCTGGCGAGTTTTTCTTGTTCTTCAGGGGTTAAATCAGCTTGTTGTTGTTGATGGTGTTGATATTGATGTTGATGTTGATGTTGATGATAACCTCTTTGTTGATTTCTGTCATATCCACGGTGGTGGTTATCATACTGACCTTGGGCTTGGGCTTGAACTTGAGCTTGATGTTGGTGACTGGCTTGAACTGCTTCCTTAGATCCCAAAACAGGGAATTGAGATAAATCGGCACTTCTTGGAGCTGCCTCATGTCTAGCAACAGGTACCTTAACTTCAGTTGGTTGAATTTGAGCTTGAACAGGTTGAACAGGTTGAACAGGTTGAGAAACTTGTTGAGGTTGAACTTCTGGTTGAGGTTGAGGTTGAGCTTGAGTAACTTCTGGTTGAGTTGGTTGCTGAACTTGAGGAGGTAATTGAACTGGACCCTGAGGTAAGGGTTGTTGGAATTGAGGAGGTAAACCCTGAGGTGGGAATTGTTGATATGGAGCTCCTGGGAATTGTCCATATTGTTGAGGAATATATCCACCAGGTGGTAACATATAACCACCATATTGAGGTGGAGGTGGAGGTAACATACCTGGAATTCCATAAGGTTGAGGAGGATATTGAGCATTTACTCCAAGTTGATGATGTTGAACCAGAGGATCAATAGTGGTGGCTGTAAGTTGAGCTTCAATCTCCTCTAATGATAAGATCTTCTTTTCACCTTCTGCCTTCTTGGAGGGAACATTATCTCCCCACAAGTCTTGCATGAATTCATCATCATTAGCAGGAGCTGGAGCTACTGCAGCAGCCTGAGCATAACTAATAGTTTGTGGTGGAACAGTAGCAGTAGTACCAACACCAGAACCTCTGACACTGGGACCACTACCACTTCCACTACCTCTACTAGCTTCAAAATTGAAATCTTTCCCAATTGCGCCTGTACTTCCAAACGTCTCCGTATTAAACGCATCGTCTGCCTCGTCAAGGCCTTCTCCTAAACCGTCGTAAGTTTCTTCAAAGTCATAGGCTTCTTGCTGGGCCCTTGTGCTGGGCGGAGCTGCAGGATCAAATCCGAAGAATGACATTATTGTTCGGGGTAGAGTTAGTTAGTGGTAAAGGGCTGGTGGTTAAGTAACTTTTAAAAAGTCGTCGAGTTTTTCGGGCATTCAAAGTCACGTGAAAGAGCACGTGAAAAATTTAGCGCATAATATAATCATATTTAACATATAAGTCTATGTATACGTCTATTATGAGTCTATGTACAGTATACTGATTCTATGTACAATCTATGTAATTTTATATATTCTATTGTAGTTTAATCCTGTTACTTAAACGCCTGTAAGGCACTCACTAATTTGAGTTCCATCTCTTCCCACTCATCACTAGCTTTACTAAGCACAGTAATTGCTCCTCCTGCACCAATTCTCCATATTTTAGTTTGATCAGTATTTTCCTTATCATCAGCATAATGAAATACTGATCGAATTATCACTGACCAATCAGCTTCATCAGTCACTGACCAATAGCCTACCACTCCACTATAAATACCTCTTCTACCATTTGGAGTTGAAGTGGTTTGCATACTTTCTATACGTTGTAATAATTCTACTGATCTCTTTTTAGGAGCTCCTGTCATAGATCCTGGTGGTAATGAACTATGAAGGACATCTATTCCATGATACCCTTGTTTAGACAATTGTCCTTGGATTACACTAACCAATTGATATACAGTTTTGTATTCTTCAACTGCCATTAATTGAGTGACATCTACTTGTTCAGTAAATTGATACAAGTCATGACGAATTAAATCCACAATCATAAGATTTTCTCCCATCTCTTTAGGAGTCTTTAAGATCTTTGTAGCTTGAACTATATCGACTTCTGGAGTATTCTTAACTGTACCCTTAATAGGTCTAAGTTCAACTTGTTTCTTATTGTCCACTGTATTCTTCCATGATAAGAACCTTTCAGGAGATGATGAAATAATCACACAATCTTCAAAATCCATAAAACATGAAAATGGTGATGGATTCTTACGAAGAGTCAATACTTTATATATATCCCATGCATTGACATAACTGGGGAGAGTTATTTTCAGTTGAGTGGTTAAACAAAGCTCATAAGAATCTCCTGAATGTAAGTAATCTTGACATTGAGCAAATTGTTGGTTGTAGATATCTCTGGATGGGAATTCAAACTTGATAAGATTCTGATCAGATTCATTCACATAGTCTTTTACCGAACTGGGGATATCATCCAATGATAATTTTAAATCTTCAGCTTGGGTAAGTCTAGTATATATGGACTCACACCATTCTGAATCATTAGGGCGTATAGATACAACAAACCAATCATGAGTTGTATGGTCATATACCATAAACCTATCGATATAGATCAATTTCAAATCAGGAGTATTTCCATTACATATCGATTCAAGTTGTTCTAATATTACATGCTGACCTTCTTCATACGATATTAATCCAAGATATCCACCAAAAAATGGTAGATCTCTTTCATGATAGTTGCCTAATTTAGTGTTGATATCTGATCGAGGAATGTACTTCTCTTTAATCTTAGATCCTATGAGTTTCCATACTTCTGATTTATCCTTTATAGGAAGGGTAGAATGGTTACCATTGACATTAATATGAACTTCTAAGGCATCCACTGAATGAGTAATTATTTCATTTTCGGATAATACCGGTAATCCAATTATTGACCATTCTCCCGGTATAGAGGCAGAATTCAAAAGAAAGAATTTCTCATGATATCTATTGAAATAATCACATATATCAGTTGGATCAATGTCATTATTTAATTGGAATTTCTTTAAATATATATCTGGATCAGTGCTGGTATTGGATTTGTTTTCTATGATCCCATTGGGTATCAAATAGTCTTCATGAACTGTATGAGAACTAAAGGCTTGAGGTAATGTGGACTCATCCGAATGACCCTTAATGGTTCTATTGACTTTCTGGTTATAATCATAGGCAATCTTGGAGAAATTTCTAACAAGTTTTTCACCATTAGTTGAACATATAGATTCTGGATGATATTGAACTCCATAAAATGGCAATGAACTATGTCTAGCAGCCATTAAGACTTTCGAATCATTATCATAACAATATGCTAACGGAATAATCTCATCATTGACTTCATCCACATATAAGGAATGATATCTAACATTACCAAATCCAGTCATACTATCATTAAATAAGAGATTTTCAATATCATTATCAGGGATTATATCATATACTTGACCATGTCTAACATCACTCAAACGACTAATGTCATTCCCAAACGAGTAACACATACATTGGAACCCCAAACAAATTCCCAATACAGGAATTACTGACTGAGACTGTGCTTGTTTCGCATACTTAAATTTTTCAAATAAAAATTTAATTATTCCTACATCGTCATCGTTAGCAGGATGACCAGGACCAGGACCAATCACCATAAAGTCAAAATACGATAAATAATCATTATAGAATGTATCATACTGGTCAGGGGGGAATGCATCATTATGAATCGTAATGACTTTTTGGTGAGTGGTCTGTCGCAACAAACTCGCTAGGTTGTTGGTGAATGAATCGTAGGAATCAATGAGAAGGATCATTGAGATGGTGATGATGGTAATTATAATGAGAGGCGTTGATGGTTAGTGAAATTTTTTTGGGTGCTGCGAAAATAGAGTTGGGAGTGTTAGTGAGAGACAAATAGTGGAGAGTTAGTGGAGTCAGTGAGAGAGAGTTAGATTTAGTGAGGTTTTGTGAGCGAGACGTGGCGAATTAGCCAGTGAGAAATATTAAGAGATAGTGAGAGTTAGTGAGAGTTAGTGAGAGTTAGTGAGAGATAGTGAGAGCTAGTCAGAGTAGTGAGTATGAATTACTGTACTGAATATGTATTAATTATTATTACTGTGTATTATTACTGTGTACTACTTATGTATTACTATATTACTCAACTATATCACTCTTCTTCATCATCAGACTCATCACTAGACACCTCTCCTCCCAACTCCTTAACCTGCTTCTTATACTTCTTAGTGCTCTCATCCATATCGGTCATCAACAACATCATATCATCGAATTCTGATTTGGCCACAGTATCCTTTTCAAGCTGTTTAAGTTGAGCTTTAAGTCGTTCTATTTCTTTTCTATCTCTTTCTCGTTCACTTTCATGTTGTTCAACACTAGTGGAATGACTGGTCTTTAACTCAGTATGGGATTTTTCTAATTCTAATTGGTGACTCTTCACCAGTTGTAACTCTTCCTTTAGTGACGACTCAGACTTCTCAGCAGTAGCTTGTAGTTTATCATACTTATCAGTAACCAGTTTAGCTTCCTTTTCAGCTTGTTCAAGTTTGGACTTAACCGCCTCTAATTGGTCCTTTAATGAAGCTTCAGAACTTTGAATAGCTTCTAACTGCTTAGAAGCTTTCTCAGAATCTGCGAGTTTTGATTTAACACTATCTAACTCTTGTTTCAATACAGCTTCAGACCCTTGAGCAGTGGATACACTGGCCTTTAAGGATTCATGCTTTTCAGCAGCAAGTTTAGCATCTTTCTCAGCCGCTATAAGCTTGAACTTAACAGCTTCTAATTCTTCCTTGAGTGAAGATTCAGACTTTTCAGTAGCAGTTTGTAACTTGTCATGCTTCTCGAGGATAACTTTAGCTTCCTTTTCTGCAGCTACAAGCTTAACTTTAGTTGCTTCAAGCTCTTGTTTTAATGAGGTTTCAGAGCCCTGGGCTGTTGAGACAGATGCGTCTAATTTCTCCTGGACAAGCTTAGTCTCTTGTTCAGCAGCTACTACTTTAGCCTTAGCAGCCTCTAACTCTTCCTCAGCTTTCTTAACTTGTTTCTCTAAATCAGTAACCTTCTCACTCACAGATTTCAATTGACTAACCGAGGCAATCTGCTTATCAGATAAATCTTTATTCTGTTTGGTAAGCTTCTCTTCAGCACTGGCTTTAGCCAAAGTTAATGATTCAAAATCCTGCTTCAAGGCACTCAAAGTTAGTTCAAATTCAGAATTCAGCTGTGTCTTGGCTTCGAGACTGACTTCAACACTGTTCAATTTATCTTCGAGTTCTTGTTTGCTTTGTTTCAATGCCTCTAAAGTGGACACAGAGTTAGAAAGTTCAGCACTCCGATCAGTTTCTGCCTTCAATTGTTGTTGAAGGTCTTCAAAGTCAGCTTTAAGCTTGGTGATTTGACTGGCTTGATCTTCCGATATAGACTTCCATTTTAAGGTGTCTGACAATTCCTTCTCCTTACCAGTTAGTTGTTCAGTTAATTGAGTTACTTGCGCTTCTAACGATGACTTTTTAGTAATAAGACCACTAAGTTCTTCACTATTCTGACCATTAGCAGCTTCTAATTGACTAAGAGTTTCTTGTAATTTACTTACTTCAGAAGTTCTGGTGTTTAATTGAGTCTCTACATCTTCTTTCCCTGCTTTCAATGAGTCCACTAACTTTTGTAACACATCCACCTTTTTGACGACGGCTTCTCGTTCTTTGACAGATTCCGTTAATTTCTGTTGGGTCTCTTTAATCTTTGATTTCGATTGTTCTTCGACTGCCTGTAACTCTTTAATGGTACTGGTTAAAGTATCGATCTCTGATTGTAAGTCATTCTTATTCTGTTCTACTTGTGCTAATTTCTTCTCGTGAACATCCTTAGCTGAAGTGAGCTGACTTTCAAGATTAGTGATCTTTTCTGTCAATTCCTTGATGGCAGTTTCTGAGCTTTGACTGAGTATCGATCGTTCATTCTCTATTTCCTGGGCTTTAGACTTTAATTGGTCTTTCAATTCAGTAATGGCTTGGTTTTTACTGGTGATATCGGCCTTTAAGCCTGTGATTTCCTTAGTTAAACCCGCATTATCAGTTTGTAAGGCTTTCTCAGATTCAGACTTTTCTTGTTTCAAAGATTCAATTTGTTGGTTCAAGGTGGTTTCAAGTTGACTCTTTTCTTTTAATGATTCAATTTGCTGATTCAAGGTGGTTTCAAGTTGACTCTTCTCTTGTTCAATGGTTGTAAGTTTGGTGGTAGTCGAGTCTACTAAGGCCTGTAATTCCTTGAGTTTACTAGAGGATTCACTATTGATCTTTTTGAATGCACTCAATTGTTCGGTTAAGATGGACTTATCTTCTTCAATGGCTTCTAACTTAGTTTGACTAGCTTTCTCAATGGCTTCTAACTTAGTTTGACTAGCCTTCTCAAGCTGGCTGATCTTGTTTTCAAGTTCTTCTTTATCTTGTTTAAGAGTATCCACAAGTTCCTTATGTTCAGTAATGATTCGTTCACTGTCAACTAAGGCTTGTTCGGATTGCTTCTGTTGAGCTTTGACTGTTTCTAGTTCTTTTGTTAGTGACTTGGTACTGTCGGAAGCAGCTGCCAAGTCTGCCTTGAGGCTTTTGATAGAAGTTTCATGATCCTTATGAGCCTTTTCTAAGGTGGATTGGATGGAGGTGTGGTTGTTTTGAGCGGCTTCAAGGTCTTTCTTTAAGGTATTGATTTGAGTGGTGAGAGATGCAGTTTGTTCAGTCAACTGAGTCTTCTCTTGAGTCAACTGAGTCTTCTCTTGAGTCAACTGAGTCATTTCTTGAGTCAACCGAGTCTTCGCTTCGACTAACTGAGTCTTCTCTTGAGTCAACTGAGTCTTCTCTTCAACCAACTGAGTCTTCTCTTCGACTAACTTCTCCTTCTCTGCACTAAACTTCTCTTTCTCCACTCCATGCCCCTCACTAAGCTCTCGAACCTTAGCTTCATGCTGCTCATACACCCTCTTCAACTCCTCCTGCTTCTTGGCTACTTCTTCTGCCGATGTATCAAGCTTCTTCTTCCAAACCTCTACTTCCTCCACCAATTTAGCTTCTGCTGCCTTCAACAGAGTCTCCAATTGACCATAAGACTCCTGAGACTTTTCAAGTTTAGCCTTCACTTCATCATGGGTCTTATTGAGAGTATCCAAAGTATTCTGAACAGTAGTTAAAGTAGTACTTTTTAATTCAAGTTCACTATCTTTGGCAGCCACAGTATCCTTCAATTGGGTTAATTGAGCTACTAAGGAATCATGCTTACTTTTAATATCAGAATGGGCCGTTTGAGCTGTTTGTAATTGCTCAGTTAACTCTTTATTCTTACTATTAACGTCTTGAATGGCACTATCATTATCCTGAGAGAATAACTCAAACTTAAGCACTTCATTAGCCAAATTCTCCTTAAGTTTACCGATTTCTCCTTCAAGCAGTTTATTGGTTTCACTGAGAGTATTGTTAGTAATCCCCATACTTTCAAGTTGAGCCTTTAATTTAACAACCTCTTCATCAGTCCGTTGTTGAAGGGCACTTAGCTCAGTCTGAACCGTTTCCTTTTCAGTTCGAGCCAATGCCAATTCACTTTCAACTCGTTTAAGATCTTCATCTCGATCAGATAGTTGCGCTTTCAAATGACTAACTTCATCTTCTAAAGTAGTTTGATTCAGTTTAAGTTCTTGAAAGGCCACTGAAGCGGCTCGTAACTTATCCATAAGATGTTCACTATTGGCTTCTGCATCATCCAACTTATCCTTCATCTCCTTAATGGCTGTATTCTTTTCAGTAGTTATAAACACGACTTTCTTATTTAGTCCATCAATAGACTGTTGAAGCTCCTTGGTAGAACTCGTCAACTTGGCGATTTGTTGTTCATAGGCTTTCTTAACTTTATTCAATTCATTCTTATTATGTGCTACATCCCTTTCCAATGCCTTAATGGTGGTTTCTCCATCATTCTTTTGTTTCTTAAGTTGGAATAAGTCTCGAGTCATATTATTAATTCCATCTTCCAATTTCCTCTTGGCCACTTCAGTGGCTTCTAATTTCAGTTCTAATTGTTTAAGAGCATCGGTCGAAATATTGGCTCGCTTCAGAGTATCTTCAAGTTCCTTCTGATAACTCAAAGTCTTTGTTTCAAAGTCTGATTTGGATTTCAGCATGATTTCAAGATTCTTCTTGGTTTCATCGTACGACTGTTGAAGAACCGCATGTTGTTCCTGTAGACTGGCGAGTTCTGCTTGGGCTTTATCGGATACGGTTTGTAACTCATTATATGATTCAGTCAATTGAGTCACCTTCTCGGAGAGGTCAGTCTTCACAGTCAATGCTCGTTCCTTTTCCTTTAGTAAATCTCTCTTCAATGAAGACACCTTCTCTTCGACTTCTTCAAACGCTTCATAAGTGATCTGGGCTTTAGGTTCCACAAGTGGATCATGAAATAATGCTCGTCTGATTCGGGAAAAGTTCTCCTTAATCATACTAACATAGATTCTATCAAAGTATACATCCGGTAACCCAGTAACATCCTGACGATCTTCAATCACCACATCTTCCCAATTCTTAAAGAACAGGTTATCAGCAAACTGTTTAACTTTTAAAGTATAGTTATCTTTACCTAAAGATTTCACTAAAAGCGCATGTAATTCTACTCGAGGAATTGGTGAATCCTTAGTCGAGAATTCATAGATGATTCCCACAAGAACTGATACCATTCCCTGCACAAGAACCTTCAGTTCCGATGAGTTATCCGATACAAAGGCCAATAAAGATCGAATGATTGAGGGATCACTAAGGAAATCATCCACGGCTTCGAAATCTTCAAATAACCATACCGACAATAACATAAGGTATCCAATACAAATCCGAGAATCCATTTCATCAAGAGTGGTAAGTAATAATCCTGACATGGCCGGTATACATTTCATAACTTCTTCACCAATTTGTTCATCTCCCGTCTTAACATTACTGGCGATTTTCTTATTTTCAGGAGTGTCTTCAAATAAGTACATGGCAATTAAGGAGGCAAACCAGATCTTGTAGGGGTTCAACTTGATTTCGGCGTCGTAGTCCATAAGGACGGTGAAGATGTTACCGTACGGAGGCAAAGTAAGATGTTCACCAGCTCCATTGCCATTGCCATTGCCATTTCCATTGGTCGTATTGGCTCCATTCCCATTCCCATTCTCTTCAGCTTCCACTATACTCGAATAATAATCAGGAATAGTGTATGCTTTGATTTGATCAGTTAGAAACGCCGACTTGGAGTCTTGATTGTTCTTAAAGAAGGCTTGAAGACACTTGGCTGCTCCTATTCTAATGGAAAAGTTATGGACGGAGTTAATAAACAATGACCAATTCAATAAAGCAATGGTTACAGGAATAGATCTATAGCTTTGTAATTGAACTGGTAAAGAAGGATCGATATATGGGACATCAATTTGAGAGAATTGATATTGAATAAGTCCATTTCCAGCAATTAATTCTGCTGCTGTCAATAAAGATATGGATCTAATTGTATTATGAGTTATAGGTGAAAATACTAATTTCAATACAATAAATAGTATCCCTGAATTAAATAATTGTTCTTGATTTTGTATAACAAATTCATTATCTTCTGATACAAAAGTCTTGCAAATTTCCAAGGCAATAGTCATATTTAAAAGTCTTTGATCAGTCCATACAATAGGAGGGATTAATACGGGGAATCCATTCTCATCAAATACTCCTTCTTCATAAATATCATCCACTGGTTCACCTAATAATTTAGCTAGTTTAGGTACACATTGAGTTTCAAGAAATAGCTTTTGATTAGATGCATTGTATTGTAAAAGATTAGTAATCAATGTAAGACAATCTTGAACTAAAATAGAACCTCTTATACCACCTTCTTCTTCAATTATATCGAATAATGCATCAAAAGTATTTTCAAATGCAACAAGTTTTTGAATATTGAAATTATTATTGACAACTCCCATAAGTAATAAGATAGCTTCATTTCTAACTGGATCATTATTATCATTTAATAATGCCACTACAGTGGATAATGAAGTGGGGATACTTAAAAGACAATCTTTAGTACGATTTGGACGACTTGAAACTAAGGCTTCTAATAATTGAAGAGTATATAATCTTATATGAAAATCTTCATTATCCAGAGTTATCTCAATTAAAAGTCCAAGAACTTCTTCCGATTTAGTCAATTCATCGGCAATCCATATAGATATTTGATCCATAGAAATATCATCAATTAATAATGGTGAAGGATACTTCCCATTAAGTATACGAGATTGTTGAGATATAAGTCCCTTTGTAAGATCTTCATCACTTTCACCTCGAATAATTAGAATCAATAATGTTTCTAAAATGGCCTTAACTACTTGAGGATTATTACTATCCTTCTTTAAGGTCGAAACTAATGGTCTTAACCCATATTCTACTACAGATTCTCGATACTGTCGACTAAAACTTTTCAATCCTAAGATAGCTGATCTCCTATCCGACGACAACGTTGCATGCTCCAACCGATTACATAAGGTGGGAATGGCTTCTTCGGCCAGTTGCACCTGATTAGGCTGATTCAAGATACTGTTCAAGTACTCCATCGACCTGTTTCAACGGGTGTATGTGTCGGTAGACGACTTTATATGGGAATGTTACCTAATTTGTATGGGCGAAATTTGAGGCCAGAAATAGTTAGCGCAAAATAAAACGCAAAACGCGCTGCGCTTGTTTAGGATTAACTCTAATTGAATATTCCGTATATTTTATAGAGTCAATTACTGTAATTAGAAATGTTTGATTTACGACAGGGAGCGGAATCTGCAGGTGGACCATCGACGGTAACGTTTTTCCCCGATATAAGCATGTTTGAACGGGAAACTGATACCGAACAAGTAACCCATGACGTGTTCATTCCCGATTGGATCCTACGACAACTTGGAACTCTTCAAAGTAAATTAGAAGCTATAGAGAGTAGATCACTTGGTGGAAGAGGAAGAGGTGGACGCACAGGTGCTCGATCACTTCATTCGTATAGTTCTCACTTTATATATGGATTAGCTAACAGTTGTTTTGGATATAATGGATGGTCAAGTCAGGTACTTGAATGTCCTATGATTATGACAGATTTTGATGAAGAAAATAAGAAGTATTCTGCTCAATTTCTGGCTTTAGTTAGAGTAACTTTGGCAGATGGAACTTATGTAGAAAGTAGAGGTTATGGAGATGGAGCTAATCTTCCTAATAAGTATATGTGCTATAATAAGGGAATGAAACAAGCTGTGACTGAAGCAACTAAGAATGCCATAATTGGACTAAGAGATTTACTTATAGAATATGAAATGTCTCAATTAGAGGCTAAACTTAAACGCGAATACGATTTACGATAACACCATTATATTTACTATTTATTTATGTATATACAATTTAGAAATCTAATATATGCTTCTTGGGGAATTCGGTAATGACAGGCACGGGAATCTCAGGAATTAAATATACTTCTCCATTATCATCAATTCTTTCTCGATCTCTTTCACTCATGTCATGGATCTCCACAATGTGTTGTTTGATTAAATCCGTCAATTCAATCCAATTGTTTTGAATTAAATAGGCCTTTTCCTTCATATGTCTTCTAATCAATCCCTCAATTAATCGAATGGCATCAGCTTGAGTTTGATCTAATCTTTCAATCAAACGTCCGACTGATCTAATTAAATATTCTTCTTCATAAATGGTACCTTTACGACCTTTAGCACGTTTTCTTTCTTCTCTCTTTCTATTCTTGGCTGTTCTTCTTGAAGCTCCAGTCTTGGCAGTTCCCGATGTTTTACCCGTATATCTGGTAAAGAAAGAAGGAGTAGTTGAAGTTTCAGAGGCGGCTACTGAGACATTATCAGGAGTATCTAAATCATCAGGAGCTCCATAGAATGCATAGGGATCTTCAGCTTTCTTAGCTCGTAATTCTCGTAATCTCTTTAATTGTGATAAGATTTGCGATTTACAATCAGCAAGTAATTCGGCTATAGTACCAAACCCTTCATTCAATTGAATATCAACGGCCGATTCCAATAATTCATGGTGCTTCTCCTTAGTAGCCAATAAAATGGCTCTATCATAGTAATAGTTCTTACAATATAATATTACGGCCTGCTCAATATTACCCAAGAAGTAAAAGGAAATCTCAGCTGCATCGGCATATTTATGATCTTCAGTTAATGAACTGATGAGCCTTTCAGCTGTTTCATTGGCTTGTTCAGCAAATTCCACCTTCTGAACCAAACTAAGTGATTCATTCCATCTCTTACTGAGAATATAGTTTTCAATGGCATTTTCATATTGTCCTAAGAACTCATATGAAATAGCAGCTTCAACATATTCTTGTTGGGCATTCAAATGCTCAGCATAAAGGTGTAATATGGCATTGGATCTAGTATCATCATATTTGTAGATACTTAAAGCTTTCTTATATAATTCATGTTGAACTACATAATCATCGAATTCTTGATGAGATTCACTTCCAATTTCAAATAACCAATGTAAAGCCTTCTCGTAATTCTTAAGATAATCATCAATTAAGAATTTCTTTCTTAAGTCGGTTTGGACATGTAAATTCTGTAAGAATGGTAAGTATTCCTTAGGATCCTTTTGAGATTTTTGTCCAATGGCTAAGGTTAATTTGACATCATACAATCCTAACGCAGTATTGTATAGTTTGTTGACATCCTGTAAAAAGCATAAATGAGTTACGGTCAGTTCCACTTGATCAGGATTCTTGAAATCTCCGATCAATTTCAAGGCATCTACCAAATTAGGCGGCTTTTCACATGCATACGCAGTAATGATGGTCTGTAAGTATGGCTCAAAGTATTCCTTTCTTAGCAAGACAGACAAGATGGCTTCACAAATCTTATTGACTTTGGAATCTTTGGTGTTAAACACTTCTTCTTTGTTCTTAATGATCCTTTTAGTGTCTTGAGGTGGAGGAGTTGGAGAAGTGATCTGTAATTTGGCTACAGATAATTCATTTCCATCCTCAATCTCATGAATAGTATCTCTATACTTAGTCTTGGTCGTGTCTTCTTCATGTAAACATGATACAAACAAGTCTAAATGTTCGACTTTCTTAATCTGATTAATGAAGATTTCAATATTACTAAAGAATAATTCAGGGTCATAATCATGAAGTAAATCCAAATCTATTCTATGAGTTCTACAAGCTAAGAAGGCCTCCTTATACTTGAGTTGTTTAATGAATTTCCGAACTCCTGATAACACCATAATTCTTGGACATATGGTTTCTAAATTACCTCGAGGAGCTTCAAGCACGACGGAATATTTAGATGGCATAGCACTGACTAACCAAGAACCTCTTTCTATTTGTCGTATTCTTTCATCGACTGCTTCGTTGCCATCCGTTTGAAATACTCCATACTCTTCGTCTCCATCTCCTGACTTTAAATGAACAAAACATAACTGTGCCTGAGCCGTAGTGAAGAGTAAATGTGATTCAGTCACTTTAATGGAAGTGACTGCACTGGCTATTTGCTTTTCATTAGCAAACAATTTCCCATTACTGGAAATCCCAAACGCTGTCCAACCAGAAGGAGTATCTAATTCATCTTCATCGGGAGTATTAGCTACTTCAAATTCTCGACATAATTGAGGGAAGAGACATACATCTGAAAGATCCAATGATGGACTAATGGTCATAACTCTACCATCTATACATTCTATAGCCACTTCATTAAAATCAGACGTAGGTTTGGCAAGAACTATCTTAGGATTGAACGGAATAGATTCATTGAATTTAGGATTTTCAACATCTTCTACATCAAATAACATCATTTTGGAATAACTGATACCATCGACTATTACTACCACAAACCAATCCTTAATAAAGGCGATTTGTTTGGCAACTTCATTAGGTTCTGTAAGTACTAAACTACTATCGATTTTCCCATCTACTTTAGGATTACCTCCCCTTCTCATAGATTCTAATGAAAGATAACTTAAATAGACATTACCTGTACTGCTCAAAATAGCATATTTCTCATTAGATTTACTAACCACTAAATCAGTGATGTTCTCATTAATATCAAGTTCTCGAAAACTTATGGGAGGTGGAACATTGGCAATTGATAAGGGAGTAATCTTTGCTATTGAACCATCAGTAACTAAGGACATCCCAACATCATCACCTAATTGAGTTGGACCCGTAACAATCTTATGACCCAAATCAATGATTTCAATTCCATCATCAGAAGTACCAATCATTAAATGTAAAGGTTTCTCGGGATGGAATTTAGCAAATAAGATTTGATTCTCAGGTTTAGATAAATTTATAAATAATTCTTGTTTTAAATACCAATGATAATTCTTACAAGTCCATAATTGAACTCTATCATATAATTGAAATAATAATACTTCACTATCCGAAGACCATTGTAAATTATTTATAACTTCTAATAATGGATCTAATCTTGTATTAAATTGTCCATGTCTTAACCCATTTCTTTCATAAAATACCAATTCAAGTACTTCATCTCCTTCATCATCTAAATGTCTTTGAGTTGAAGCTATTAAAGATCCTTGAGGCTTCCAAGCTAAATTATGTTCTAATCCATCAACTGCTTCATTAACACTATCTAATTCTCCTTCTCTTGTAAACACTCTTATAACTCTTCTATCATACATTTCGGCTGTATCTTCCACAAGGACTGGTTCTATAGTGGTTATAGAAAAATATTCACAATCTCCTCTCCAACTTATAGTCACATTATAATTATCAAATTGGGAAATCTCTCCTCTTTCAATTTCTCCTACGGTTGGATCTCTTAAGGTAGTTGTATCTTCTTTAACATCTAATCCTGCATGTTTAAGTGCCTCCCTTTCTCTTTCTAATGCTTTAAATCCCTTCCCTTTGAATTGAGTTTCTTTCTTCCCCCATCCTACAGATACATGTTTAGAATCACTAATCTTTATATCATTAGAATCTAATTCTCGTTCCGAAATAGGTTCGAATATTCTCGATAATAATAATAATTTATTTTCTCCAGTAAGAAGTGCTAAAGTTTCTTCATCGGGTGACCAACTGGCTGAATTTATACCTGAATCAATTGATCCAACAATTTCAACTATAGTAGTTGATTCATCAGGATTATTTGAATCATAAGTGGCAGTAATTATATCTCCATTACTTAATACAAAGATCAATTGACTTGATTCTACTACATGAATGAAATTCAATAATTTTGCTTCAAAATCATTCAATGGGAAACTTGCAAGTACATTAATATCTCCATTTTTCATAAATTGTTGAACTTCAATTATACCTGAATCTGATGATGATAATACAAATGTTATACTATCTGATACAGTATCAAACACAGAGTCCACCAACTGTAAGTCGGGATAAGTCCGGGACTCCGGAGCAATGTGGCCCCTGTTAAGAACTATCAAGTTTTTCATGGGCCTTTGTCTATAACTTCGAGATGGAGATATCTACTATGTTAAAATGTATATCAGTTCGATATTTTTTTTCAACTGCTCATCCCGAATCTGTCATTCCTGCACAGAGAAACTAGTACATATACATATATAACTATCCATAGTGATAATATATATTCCATGTAAGTCTACTTAAACATTCTAGATAATACTAATATACAAGGCGAAATAAAACTCCCAGTGTCCTAATAATAATAATAATAATAATAACAAAATAACAAAATAACAATAATAATACTAAAGAAATGAACTCGTCTAAGCACTTTGACAAAGCTCCTTTTCCTTTGTCCTGATATACTCTACAACAGTATCTTTCACAGCCAAATTTGGATAAAGCTGATTTTCGTATAGTGGACTTCTTGTTAGAGGATCAAATTTACCCTTCTTGTTCAAGTGGTCGACTAAGTATGACTTTTCGTACGTTATTCCACTTGGAGTAATGACTGGATCACTGAATAAATCAAACGAAATAGGATCCAATAAACTATCTGGTGCCTCATCAGAAATTCGACTATAGTCTATGTCTCCTTCAATAACTTTCCTGAGCAGTTGCTTTCTTGAAACCGACTTAGGTGAATTTGCAACCGAGAAATTACTTACTGATGAAGCAGCAGAGTCAATCGAAGGCATGGAGAATATTGAGCTAGCTTGATCGCTTGTAAGATTATTATTATTATTGGTATTGTTATTGTTATTACGGTTCAGTCTCATACTGCTTGAACGGCTACGATTGGATGATGAACTTACACTACTTCTATACTTAACAATATTGGATTCATAAATACCATGATTATAGTTATTTCTGAATATGTCAAGAAGATTGGAATAATCGTTTAAATGTGATTTGTATAACTGAAGTAATTGACGATTATACTGATTAGATGTAACATCATATTCAAACTTCTTTTTTAATTCTTCCACATCATTATAATGGTCGTTCTCCACCAATTTAAATAATTTATAATATAAATTATTGGTTGTGAGTATTCCGGTGAGTTCGTTATATTTTTTAATTTGGGTTTTCACAGCTAAAATATCATTATAGACATATTGAACTATTACTTCAGGAGTTCCAGTAACTTTTTGAGGATGTTGTGGTCCTTGTTGTTGTTGCAGTTGTTGCAGTTGCAGCTTAGGTTCCAACGCCAAAGAGCAAATCCTTGAGAATAAATCCATTTTCGATCTCATACGTATTTAATATTATAATATAATTTTATGTTGTACGTTATATAACCATGAAGTTGTAATAAAGGGGTAATATATATTTTACATTAAAAGGGGGTTAAGAGAATTCAGGGGAATGAGCTTACATTTTATACTATACCCATTATTTCAATAATAACAAAAACAAGACATAAAACTTTATGTCGTTTTCCGACTCAACTGCTTTAGAACATGAGGAGGGAAGATGTAGATGCATGAAATCTATCTCCATCATTAAATTATTTTCTATCTACCATCATCAGTATAAGCTTTTTACATACTAGAAAGAAATTCATCATGCCGGTGTATGCAGGCGCACAAAAAATAATAGTGTCGGTATTGTTTGCTGTACATCATAACATATCCACATTGGGAAGTGGAGGAGGAATGGGATGGAACAGACAAACAGGGGACTAGATCAAAACTATTATCAATACTAGTTTAAAGTAATTAAAAGTTAGTTGAGGTCATTAATTGTTTTAGAGATTATGAGCATTTAATCTATAATAGGAGAGAGATCGCAAGCTTTTTTTTTGTTTTGGCTTGCTATGCTCTGCTTTTGTAAACTGACTGGTGATTTTGAATGGCTTAAATGTTTGTTTTGCGTATAATTACCTGTTTTGCGGAGCAATAACTACTTATTACCATTACACTAACCGAATAAACAGCAACGATATTCTCGTTATCGTCTAATAATTGGATCCGAGCTTTTAAATTTAATTTTCATGACTTCAATTCGTTTTGTTTTGTTTTCTTTTTTTCTTTCGATAATGCAGTCTAAACGTCATACGATCTTGACAGGTTGGTTACAAGATCCATTTGTTCGGATCGGATATCCTCTCCACCATTATTTGCGGTATATGAGAGCAAACTTATACGAATATATCGCAAATGTTGGATATAGTAAAGGCTATACCATAACTACTTGTAAATGGTAAGAATTCAAATACCTGATATAACAATAGTAAAATTATACACATTTGTGCATAAATGTTCTATTCTCTCAATTATGCTCGTGATCGCCATTTCAGTTTTACCTTAGTTTAATCCCACTGGGGGGCTACTGTATAATTGAATAATTGAATTTCAATTTCAATTATACATGACCTAGATTGAGGAGGGTTTGCACTTTGGTCTATTATCTTGACAAGCCCATGCCGTATCAAGTAACTCTCCTGTTCAACTGTCGTTCAATTTGAAGTCTACACGAGGGACCACCTATCGACAATGCGTGGTGCCTACTTAGAGCTGCTTCAGTACACACAAAATTACGTAACTGTATTTTCAATTCCAATTCTAAATCTCACCTTCTGATGGTACATTCCTCTTTTATGTCCATAGTTTCTATAACAAATGTAATAGGGAATAGTTACACACGGACAAAATATTTTTTCTCCAATAATCGTAGGGGATAGTTAGAAAATAGTTAGAAAGAACTACAATGTGGTAATTTACCATAACCCACACGCCCATTTCTAGCCAAATTCAGCTAGGGAGCTTCCCATTTCGCACTAACTAGATAAAAGTTAATTATAAGCGTACGGCGCGAGAAGACGTTTTAGTATGTGTCAATGAGGAGGAACTGAGCTTTAGCTGTTATAGGGTCCCCAGACATGAAATTCCTATTGCGATGAAATTTCAAACCTGTAAAATTTGAGAATTGACACTTTGCAGGTTTCTTCCCGATCGGGTTAGTCCATAGATAATCGTGGGATGCTTTATCAATTGTGAAGTATGAAACAAAACTAACTTAGCTAGATAGTGTATAAGTTGAAATTAATGTTGCAGAACATGAAATGTACATATTCACATTTCCAGATCTTCATAAAACCGATCGGGCTTAAAGATTTTAAAATTCTTGACTCTATTTCTTATGACATAAAGTTGCAAAATTAATGTACAAATAACTTATCCGTATAATCAAGATTAGGAACGTTTCTCTAACTGTATGTATCGATAAGTATAGTAGTTGTTAAACTCCTGAGCTAGTTTGTTCAGTAGTTTTCGACAAATTCATAGAATGTACATATTGTTCTATTTACAGTATTCCAATTCTACAGAAATACATTTGTTCTTGGTAATTTATTAGTTTACCCACTGTGAACTCTCTACATCATTTACTTGCCCTGAATATACCTTAATCTTGAACTTAATCCACACTTTATCTAACAGTCTATTAAAGATGGATGGTACTCATCTTTTATACAGGAAACCTGCCTGCCTTGCCCTAATGTCTATGTCTCGATTAGGCATGCGCGGTCGTGTGCAGGCAAATTGGTCGATGTCCGTTCAAACATCATTAAAATTACGCTGGATGATAACTGGACCCTCCAAAGCTTACAACTAAGAATACCTTCAAATAACCTTCTAATTACCGTGTGACTATATCCATCATGCCGGAGAAGGAAGAGGCAGTTTTCCGTAAGTAAATTTTGAAACAATGCCTTCATTTGACATTATTTATGATAATTGTCTATTTATTAGTATAATAAATTAAAGTACTAACCAACCCTATTTTATAGGTTCTGCGGAAATGTCTTTAGTTCAATTGTATGCTCCGACCGAAGTTTCGCGGGATATTATTTATCGCATTGGTCAATTGAATCTTATACAATTTCGCGACTTGAACTCAAAGGTTAATGAGTTTCAACGTTCATTTGTAAAAGAATTAAGACGTTTAGATAATGTCGAAAGACAATTTAGATTTTTAAAGCACGAATTAGATCAAAGGGAAATTCCGGTTAAGACTTTCCCTTATGAATTAAATCCAGTTGTTCCTGAATCAGAAATTGATGAACATGTTGAAAATGCCCAATTATTGGAAGATAGAGTTGGTCAATTAATTGATTCTACTGAATCCTTATATAATAAGCAAAAAGAGTTAAAAGAATTAAAATTCACTATTCAAGCTGTTGATAATTTTTTTGCTACTAATACTGGACCATCAGGTGATTTAGATGATGAAACTGCTCTTCTTTCACAATTAGAATCTCAAACTGTATCTGAATCACATTCTGCTAATTTTATTAGTGGAGTTATTAATCGAGAAAAAGTTGGAACTTTACAACAAATTTTATGGAGAGTTTTAAGAGGTAATTTATATTACCATAGTGAAGAATTACCAGAAGAAATTTATGATCCAAAATCTAAGACTCATGTACGTAAGAATTCCTTTATTATCTTTTCTCATGGTACCATTATTTATGAACGTATTAAAAAGATTTGTGAATCTTTAGATGCTGATCTTTATAACGTTAATTCTACAGCTTCATACAGATCTGATCAATTAGCTGAAACTAATCTTAAATTAAGAGATTTAAGTACAGTTTTGGATGAATCAGAAAATGCTTTAACTTCAGAATTAGTGGCTATTTCAAGAGATTTATTAAAATGGTGGGAAGTTGTGGCTAGAGAAAAAGCAGTATATCAAACTATGAATCTTTGTGATTATGATGATTCAAGAAAATCATTAATTGCTGAAGGTTGGATTCCTACTGATGAAATCTCTACTTTAACTACTACCATTAAAGAATCTGATAATTCTCAATCAATTCCAACTATTGTTAATGTATTAGCAACTACTAGAACTCCTCCAACATTCCATCGTACTAATAAATTTACTGAAGCTTTCCAAAGTATTTGTGATGCTTATGGTGTAGCAACATATAGAGAAGTTAATCCTGGTTTACCAACCATTATTACTTTCCCTTTCATGTTTGCTATTATGTTTGGTGATTTGGGTCATGGATTCCTTTTAACTTTGGTAGCATTATATTTGGTATTAAATGAAAAGAAAATTGGTGGTATGAAGATTGATGAAATATCTGAAATGGCTTTCAGTGGTCGTTATATCTTATTACTTATGGGTGTATTTTCCATGTATACCGGATTGTTATACAATGATCTTTTCTCTAAATCAATGACTTTATTCTCATCAGGTTGGGCTTGGCCAACTGACTTTAAACCTCTGGAAACAGTTATTGCTTCTAAAGTAGGAACTTATGTATTTGGTTTAGATTCAGCTTGGCATGGAGCAGAAAATGCTTTATTATTCACCAATTCATATAAGATGAAATTATCCATTTTAATGGGATATTCTCATATGTCATATTCGTTCATATTTTCATTAGTTAACTATGTTCATTTTAAGAGTTTAGTTGATATTATTGGTAACTTTATTCCTGGATTATTGTTTATGCAAGGTATTTTTGGTTACTTATCATTATGTATTGTTTACAAATGGTCAGTAGATTGGTTTGCTATTGGAAAGCAACCTCCTGGATTATTAAACATGTTGATTTCTATGTTTTTAGCTCCAGGAACTGTTGCTGAAGAATTATATTCAGGACAAGCCACTGTGCAAGTAACTCTTTTATTACTTGCATTATTATGTGTTCCTTGGTTATTATTATTTAAACCTTTATACCTTAAAAGACAACTTGATAGAGAAGCTCAAGAGCATCATTACCAACAATTATCTAATGAAGATGATTTAACTTCAGATGATGCTGATGAACAAGATACTGCTCATGATGATGATGAAGAACATGAAAGTCATGACTTTGGTGATATAATGATTCATCAAGTCATTCATACCATTGAATTCTGTTTGAATTGTGTTTCACATACTGCTTCATACTTAAGATTATGGGCCTTATCATTAGCTCATGCTCAATTATCTTCTGTGTTATGGACCATGACACTTGGTGGTAGTTTCAGTTTTACAGGTCCACTTGGAGTCTTTATGATTGTAGTATTGTTTGCTATGTGGCTCAGTATGACTGTATGTATCTTAGTCGTTATGGAAGGTACATCTGCCATGTTACATTCCTTAAGATTACATTGGGTCGAATCAATGTCTAAGTTCTTTGAAGGTGAAGGTACATTGTACGCACCTTTTGGATTTAAGGGATTATTAAGCGATGTCGCATAAGCTCATACACTCCTTTATATATCGCATCCTCATCGTCCACCACTAGACTCTAAAACTTTATATACAATTCATTAATTTACATATACTATATCAATAACAAAAAATAAAAATAAAATAAAATAAAATAAATTTTAGCGAGTGTGCATATGTTGCGCACTAATCCCATCGCACTTTGCGCATCGCTATATCTGAAAAATTTAGCCTAATCCGGTTATGCTACTAACACCAAACCTCTACACTCCCCCACCAAAATGTCGTTACCGTTAAGTGTAATCCTTGAAGAATTACAAGTGTCCCCGAGCTCCATTAGTGGGATCCTCAGAACTCTTCATTATGACAAGAAAATTCTTGGAGATATACCAAAGTCTGATTCTAAGCATCTTGTCTCGAGAACATTAAATCTTAGTAGATCAGGTAATAGTTATAATAAATGGGCTGGTACTTCTATAATAAGAGTATTGGGAGATAATTATACTATATTATCCCAAGAAGGAGTGAATTTCTTTTCTGTGTTACTTAAGAATTTAGAAACTTACAATGAAACTATTGATATTAAAGTTTTAAATGCAACTATTGATAGTATAAATCATTTATGTGATAATATTAGAGGTAAACCCACATTAACTAGAGAAATATTAACTCCCAGATTAGCTACTATCATTACTTTATATATGGAGAAATTACATCATAATCCTTATTTAATAATTAAATCATTAAATAAATTATTAAAGAATCATCCAACAACTTTTAGACCCTTTGGTAATAAATTAAGAGCTAAATTATTAGAATTCTTAAACTTGAATGATTTCGTTTCATTCCCTGATAAATTGAAACAAGTCATTTATAGATCCTTAGCCTTATTACCTATGATTGAGAAATCAGAACCAGAAACTAAATGGGAGAATAATGTTAAGGATATTATTAGAGAATTAAAATCAATTATACTTGTTTATGGAGAATTTTTAAATCTTAGTGATGATGCTAATTTACATAAATTACTTGAAAAATTCCCTAGTGGAGAATGTGAAAATAAGATCTTTGGAGATTTAGCTATTGATGTTAATGATGCTAAATCAATCTTTAAGATATCTGATCGAATTGAATTATTATTGAATTTACTTCAAGTTTATGTTATTACTGAGACTACTTATAATGTCAGAGTTCCCTTAGGGTTAGTATTAATTACCATAGAAGCCGTATGTTCCATCAATATCCGATTCACATCATTTAGAAATGATGTACGTGATCAAACAATTAGAAACATTATATCATCTACCATATTATTGGCTCATTTGAATGCAATTAAAACCCTTAGTAAAATTGCTAGTGTTTATAAAGGTTCACTATTACCTCATTTCAGTAATATATTGGCATTCTTAGAGACACTTATTCCATTCAAGAATAAGAAAATTGATTCTGAATATATATTAGCCAATGAAGTCTTTTATAGAGAAATGATTTCAACAGTAGCAGGAATCTTGGCATTGGTTACCAACTTAAGTGATTCATCCTCATTAGTTAGATTTGTTGATGTAGCCCTTTTATTGGTTGAACCTCGAGTATCTGATGCTGAAGTGGCATCGACTAATAAGAAAGATAATCATAATAATAATGCAACTAATGGAGCCAGAAAGCAAAAGAAAAAGAATAATAACAATGCCATTCCCTTATCTGATTTGTTATCTCATCAACATTTGTTTTCTGGATCGATTTCTTCATTGACCATTCTGAAAGTTCGTCAATTTTTTAATATTATCATATCGATTGTCAGTTTACCACCTACTCAACATTATAAGCTTATGAGATATTTGATTATTGAGACTGTCAATGCTAAGTATTATAATAATGAGCATACTATTCCTCAGGATTTAGTATCATTATTAAGGAATGCAGTTTTATATCCTGGTTATGAAAGGATTTCTTTACTTCCTATTGTGGCTTCTTTACTTGGAAATGATCCATTATTGAGTGTGTTTATTAATCCACGATTCCCGCCTTTGCCTATATATATCAAGAAGATTGAGGTCGAAGAGAATATCGAGATGGAGGAAGATGAAGAGGAAGAGGATGATGAAGAAGCAGACGAGGTGAAAGCAGAAGTAGAAGAGGTGGTAGATGTAGTAGAGGAAGTAGAACAGGTTGTAGTTCAAAAAGTTGTTGAAGTAGTACAACAATCACAACCATTGTCCACTAGAAAACTTGAAGATGATGCTGAGACACCCATCAAACGTCAAAAGATTGAAATAGCCCCTATTGTTCCTGCGGTTCAGGTACAAGAGACACCAATCGTTACAGGTACTGTTGTTGGTGAGGTACCAGTGGTTGAAGCTGAGTCTGAAGATGACTCTGACTTTGCTATTCCAGAAATCGACCTTGATAGTGACGATGAGTGAGGGTATGGTATATACTAAATAGTGCTATGTATACAATTGTGTAGAATAAGTGCTATGTATACTGAATACTGCACTATATATAAATACTGCACTATATACATACTAAACACTGTACTACACTATACTAAATACTGTACCACATACTAATACTGTACCACACACTAATACTGTACCACACACTAATACTGTACTATATTCTAATTCTGTACTATACTATACTTATTACTCTAATTGTTGATCTATACAATGTGTATACTGAGTATTCTTCGATACTTTATAGGCACTACACTAATTAAGTACGCTACGCAATGGCCCCAAATCGTCGCGCAAAAATGTAAACACTCTTCACTATGTCTCCACTAATTTACTGAGTCTTCACTAAGTCTCACTAATTCTTCACTAATTCTTCACTAATTCTCCACTAACTCACCACTGACTCTTCTCCCCTACTGGCAATGGCACTGGACAACCGTGACGTCCAACTACTCTTAACGGAGGACTTGTCTCCCCACAAATTTGCCTTACTATTCCTTATTCAACTATACTGTCACCACCAAATTCCTCAATCTAAAGTCACGGCTGTACTAACAGTGTTAATTAATTTAATTGATAATAAACCTACTGAAGATGATGAAGAAATTACTATACTACCATCACTACAGGATGTAGTGGATGCATTAGGTCATGTAGGGAAGTCTAACTCTACTGAGAAAGACAAAGAGGATGAAGATATCTTACGACTTCAGATGCTGATCTTGAAATCATTATGGGATATAACTTCTGTCAAACAAGTGGATAATGATCTTTTATCATTTAATGATATACTAGAACCGGCTAGTACGATTTATACGCCGAAAGAAGCAACCGAAACTGACAAAATTAAGAAAATATCGTCTCGATCATTATTGGGATCATTCATCTATAAAGTTACCAGTGCATTCCATTTACTTAAGTTTGATGAGATCTTTTTACTTTATGAAGCTTTGGTAGAGTATCGGGAACCATCTCGACAATTCTATCTTGATCATGGTGGGATTATATTAGAGACTCCCATTAGTGATAGTATTGATGGTGATAGTGATACTAATAATACTAATACAGATTCTCAATTGTATGATACATTAAATCAACAATTGGCGGAAATTATGGATACTGAAGTTCCAAATACTTGTACAGCCAGTAGTAAATATTTCGCTATACCAAAACATGATTTACAAGTATTATTAGAACGTCAAATTCATTTATTAGAAACTTATGGAACTCCTACACCTAAAATGTTAAAGGATATAATGATTTTAATGACTTCACCAGATTCCAATACAACTCTGATTCAAAATGCGAATTTTAATAATTCAGCATCTTATTATTATATTCGATATCTTGAACATTTACATGCCTGTAATTATAATGGAGCCTTTGAATCATTACATCAATATTTTGATTATATGGTATCAAGTAATTCTAAATATTTTTATCATTTTGCTTTAATTTCAAAGGCTTCATTACATGAATTCTTTGGAGAAGATGAAAAGGCAATTGATTCAATTGAAGAAGCCATCTCTGTAGCTCGAGAACATAAAGATAATTCCGCATTAACTTATATATTATCATGGTTATTTAATTTTATGAAGAATAAACCAGATTTATGGCATAAACAAAGTTTCTTTAATAATAATGATGAAACTCAATTACTTAATTTTTTAATTGAAAAATCAAAACTGGTATCATTATCATTATATTCAATGAGTTATAATTTTGAAACTTTACAAAGAATGAATAGTGGAAGTACCATGAATAATTATTTGGAGAGTATAATTAAATCACTTTATATATCAATTCATGATAAAGTTTCAACATTTACTCGATCAAGTGAAACCATGGCAATGGTATGGAGTAGAATTGGTAATATTCAATTAAGTAATATATATACCGAAATTGCTATTGAATCAACTAATGATAAAAGAACTAAAATCCCCATATTAATTAGATTAAATTTTTTAAAATTTTATAAGGGAGAAACAGAAATTGGATTTAAAAATTTATGTAAATTAAAACAAGATATAAATTCTAAACAAGATTATTCATTATATAAAAGTGTTCATATTCGATGGATAATTTTATTAATTCAATTAAATTTATTAAAGGGTAGATTTAGAATTAGTAAAGAATTAGTAGAAATTCTTGGAGATAGTGAAATTAAAGATGTTGAATTAAAGCATGAACTTTATTTACTCAGGATTGAAGTTGAAATAAATTTAGGAAATTATGCTACTGCTTTACAATTAATTTGTGATAAATTAGATTCAGAATTAGTTAGTCTGAATATTTATCTAAGTATAAAATTAAATCTTATCAAGTGTAAAGTATTTAATTATAGTGAGAATTATTCTCAAAGTATTATTTTATTAATTCAACAAATTCAATTAAGTAAAAAGATTGGGTTTATAACTCTTATGGCCGAAGGCTTTGAATTATTTATTTCAACTTTAAATCATTTAGGTTATTATGAAGATTCTTATGAATTACTTCATCAAGTGATGCCAATGATTATATCTATAGGTAATAAACTTCTAGTATCTCAATGTTATTTTGAATTAGCTAAAGTTTATTATCATAAAAATTTAATTAGTAAAGTATTACAATTCTTAAATTTGTCTATCTTAGGCTTTAAGGATTGTTGTCATCTAATTAAACTTAAACAAGCGTTTGAATTCGAACTTCAAGTAGCTCAAGCTCAGGGCGATGAGCAATTATTGCACCATGCAACTGAGTCATTAGCTAAGTTACAAGCCAGATCAGTTCAGGAAAATGATTATGGATATGTGTGAAGAATTTATAGTAAGTACATAGGGATTTATATAAGTATATATCAAGATAATAAATAGAAGAGGGGAGGAAGGGAATGGAAGGGAAGGGTACGTGACTTTACTCACTTTGACTTATCCTCAGCATCCATTCTAGCCAAAATAACTGAAGCCCCATTCAATTGAATCACATTGGCAAATTGCTTAAATAACCAAATAGGAGCAGATAACCAAGCCAATAAAGTTCCAAACCAAAAATAATTATAATAATGTAAATAAATAGCCACATAAAATAATTCATTAACTAAACATACAACAAAAAGGACCGTACGATTTGTATAATATAATGATAAAATATAAGATTGACTTTGATCAACATTTTTATGAGAGGTTGAACCACTACTTTGCATAGCATACATATGCATATAATGAGATGCTAAATCTAATGATACAAGTAATTGCCATAATAAAGTATAAGATGGATAAATTGTTGCCAAATAAACAATTAATGAACTTGTAGCACATCTATCAGTTACCATATCTAATACAGCTCCAAATCTTGTACCTTGATTAAATTTTCTAGCGGCATAACCATCAAAGGCATCAAGAAATCCGGATATACCATATAAAACTAAAGTAATAATTGGATGATTTCTCATAGATATAAATGAAAGAACAGCAGTAATGATTCGAAAGTATCCAATTAAATTAGGAATATAGAAAAAAATATCTCTAACTTCAACTTTCTTACTGTTAGACGCACCCGAAGTGGCCACTGGTTCTGGTTGTTGATCTATAGACATGAACGGAAATGGATGGATGGAATGGAATGGAATGGAACGGATTGATGGAGTGGAGTGGTGTCGTGTCGAATGAATTAATGAGAATTGGAGTGGATTGAACTGAACTGAACTGAACTGAACTGAACTGAATTGATATGTATAGGATACAGTTACGGAGAAGCTGGTGGCCGGCCGACGGTATGAATTGAGATGGTGTTCGGTAGCCAGGATAGGCGAAATTTTTCAATCACAGGGAAAATATATAAAATGTAAAATATGTCAGCGGGCGGATTGCGGGACGAGCGAGAGGGCCGATTATGGAGTGAGTTAGGAAGTAGTAGTGTGAGAGTTGGTGAGAGTTGGTGAGAGTGAGAGTAGTGCGGGAGTAGGGAGTACAGTAGTAGTCAGTAGTCAGTAGACAGTAGACAGTAGAGTAGAGAATTCAGTAAATAGGGGACTCCAGTAAGGAGTATAAGGAGCTTAGTAGATAGTAGTGTAGGGTAAAGTTGCTAGTGAGAAGGATTGCACTAAACCCTACAGTAGACACTTGTAGACACTAGTAGACACTAGTAGACACTATAGTCATTGTAACACTATACCAACACTATGCTGTATTCACTGTAACACTTACACTATACACTAACACTAACACTAACACTAACACTAACACTAACTTCTCATAGTCACTATACTTAATACTGACCATATTAATCTGTAGCAGTCACCGCACAATACTCTCTACTGTACATTTCACTCTCACCCACTAATTTTCGTTCGCTAAATTTTTAACTTTCATAACTTTTCACTAACCATCCACAGTACCTCTTCACCAACAATGACTCAGTACCTTAACTACCGTGTCAATCTTCAGTTGAAGGATGGATCCAATCCCTCGGGACTCATCACTCGTGTAAGTAATGATAGCATCACTTTACGTGATGCTACTGATGCTCATAAGCATCCCATACCTGATCTCAATATCTTAAGTACTCAAATAGCTGATTTAAAAGTAATTAAATTACCAGCGGATTTCTATAAATCCAATAAAAAGAATAAGGAAAGAGAAAAGAAACATCTGTCTTCTGAACCAGAAACTTCCAATTCAATTATTGTTGAAGATAGCAATAACAAAATCAAAATTAAACAAAATCAAGATAATGATCCTGATTGGGATAATGAATCTCTGAAGGTTCTGAATCTAACTGATTTTGACTTTGCAGCTAATTTAAAGATGTTTGATAAATCATCAGTATTTGCTGATTTTAAAAAGAAAGATACTGTCAATCCTCATGATCGATTGGTAGGTCATAATAAACTTGAAAATGTTTTAAAAGTTGCCAAATCTAAAAAGGATAAATATGATATTGATGAAATGGTTCTTGATTCTAATAAAAAGGATAATTGGGATAATATAGGTAATGCTACTCGAAGACAATCTAAAGTTGAACGATCAAAATCTCCTAATCCTCTTAAGGATGGACCAAATTCTTCATCAACTAATCTTAAATTTGTTGATTCATTATCATTAAATCCAATCCCTCTTGCATCACCAGTTCAAATGTTAGAAATTGAACGATTAAGTTCTATATCATTTGGATTATCGTCTAATTTAATTACTGAGATTGCTGCCACTAATTTATCTCAATTAATTACTAGTAAAATTTTAGGAGGTTCAACAAGATTAAGTAATAAAAAGAATCATAATTTACCTCCATTAGTTTTACTTTTAATTGGATCTTCAAGAGTAGCGAGTAGAAATTTTGCTACTGGACGTCATTTAACTAATCATGGAGTTAGAGTTTTAGCTTATGTATTAAATGAAGAAATTCTTGATGATACAAATGAAGAAGATATTGATCATCAATTATCAGTGCAATTACATTTATTTGAAAGTTGTGGTGGGAAAGTTATAACTGGAGAATTTAATCAAGTATTAGATATAATTAATAATCAATTAGATACTCCAGTAGAATTAATTATTGATGGATTACAAGGTTATGATGATCATTTAGATGATATTTTTTATGAAGATATCGATAGTAAGAATTTAAATCATGTCATTAAATGGTGTCATGAATCTTCTCAAATTAATAAAATAATGTCACTTGAAGTTCCATCAGGTTTAGATGGAGGTTCAGGGATTCTTACTAGTGATACTCTTCATATAAAATGTCGTTGGCTCATATCATTTGGTATTCCAATTACGGGATTATTATTGGCTTATAAAAATGGACAATTGGATGTTGAAAATGATGATATCACCCATTATTTAATTGATATAGGGATCCCCAATAAAGTCTATCAAGCCAAGAGTAATTTAAGAAAGTTTGATAAATTCTGGTATAGTGCCGAATCAATTATAAAGATTGATGTAACTGATTAAATGACTAAATATATATATATATGTACACTAATAAAATTAAAATATTGATTGAAATTTCTGCGTAATTCTAAAACTTGTCCGCGTAAATGTAGTCACTAACATCATAACAAAAAATTTACCAGACCATCAACACCACTACTTCTAATCCATTACCGACTTAAACTCCAGTACCAACTACGAATTGAATTGTCAAAGATGTTTGGATCCTCAGGCCAGCAGAATGCAGGCAATAACAATTGGGGAGCATCCACGGGATTTGGAAAACCGTCAGGACTCCTTGGGATATCAACGTCCAATCCAGGCACTCCTTCACTAAGTCTAAACAATACTAATAAATCTTCATTGTTTGGGAATAGTAATAGACTGGCAGTTTCTGCACCAACTGCACCAGCTGCATCAACGAGTTTATTTGGAAATAGTGCTCAGCCATCGGGAGGATTGTTTGGAAATAGTTCTCAACCAGCTGGTGGATTATTTGGAGCTAGTGCTCCACCAGCTGGAGGATTATTTGGAAACACTTCGACCAGTACCGGAGGAGGATTGTTTGGTAATTCCAAACCAGCAGCACCAGCAGTACCGGCCGGTGGTTTATTTGGTAGTCTGCAAGCACAACAGCAACAACAGCAACAGCAGCAACAGCAGCAACAACCATCTGTCAGTACTGCCAATCCGTACAACTACAATAGTGTAATCACCAATATTCAAAACTCGCTAAGTAACATGCCTGATTCCGTTACTCATAACTTGTTTCAAGAGCCTGCCAAAGATACAGCTCCTAAGCGTAGATATTCGTACTTGGAAAGGAAATCGGATATCACTGCATCTGCATCTGCATCTTCAACTTCAACTTCAACTTCAACTTCAACTTCAACTTCAACTTCAACTTCAACTTCAACTTCAACTTCAAATTCAAATTCAAATTCAAATTCATCCTCATCCATCTTATCCACACTAGGGAAAACATTCCGAATCTTCAGAAACCCTACTTCATCATTGGCCAGTCTAGGCCAATCATTTAAGGGGATATTTTCCGATTCTAACTATGTGGATTCCAAAATCAAACGAACCATAACAGCACAAACTTCACAAAATAAAGTTAATAAACCATTTTCAAAATCGGTGGCTTCAAGACATGCTGGAAGTATGAAACGGTTGGTAATTAAATCCAAGCCCATAAAGTTTCATTTAATTGACGCTAATAGAGTCATTGCTGCCAAGAAGAGAAAGGTTATTCCCCATGTAGTTCTGTCTGATAAATTATTGGCAGAGAAGTATTATTCATCTGAAGATGATGATGATAGTGATATAGAAATTGAACCATCAAGAGAAAACATTAGTCGTTATCCCTATAAAATCAATGGAGATAATTCTTCATCTAAAGCTATTGTTGGAGAAAGTGTTCAAACTCCTCCACCATTAACTAATGAAAATAACCTTGGAAAGGAAACTAATGGATATTGGTGTACTCCTAGTATAAAGGAATTAACATCTAAGACCATAGATGAACTTAAAGTCATTGAAAACTTCATTGTAGGAAGAGTTGGATTTGGTCAAGTTGCTTATAATTTCCCCGTAGATTTATCGGAAATAGCTATTAGAGCTAAAGCCAATAATATTTCTATTGAAGATCAATTATTTGAAAGGACTATCAGTATAAAACATAAATTTCTTTTGGTCTATGTTAATGAGGAAGAAAAACCTCCACTTGGAATGGGATTAAATGTTCCTGCTACGGTTACTTTAGAAGGAGTCGGACCCAGTGATAAATCCGTGTCGGCCTCTGATCATATTAAATATTTACAACTGAGAACTGGAATGGAATATGTTACTTATGATCCCATCACTCATGTGTGGGTGTTTAAAGTTAAACATTTTAGTGTTTGGGGTCTTGTCGAAGAAGCTGATGAAGCTGATGATCCTGACTTTTTAATTGGAATGAAAAGAAGACAAGATCTTCTTGAAGAACAGCATGAATTAGAATATTCTCGGCTTTATTCGAATGAAGCCTATCTAAAGGAAATTAAAAAGCAAAAAGTAGAAATTGAAACTAGAGATTTACCGGGGAATTGGACTAGTTCTAATGATAAACCATTAAATATCAAACGAGGTTTAGTGGCTAAAGAAATCGAACAACAAATTAATCTGTATAATAATCTTGAGACTGAGAATGTATTGAGTCAACATGTTAATGATATAAGTATTGAAGATAATTATGAATCAGATGATTCATTAGATAATGTACTGGAAGAAAGTGTCCGTAGTGAAATTCAAAAAGTCGATTACTTAAAACAATTGGTATCTTATCTTCCTCGAGATACTAATTTCAATGAGATAGTGGAAGAGAAGGCTTATGAACCAGAAATATCTAATGATGACATATTCAATACTATTCAAACAAGACCTAATCTTCCTGTATCAGAAGATTGGTTGGTTCAATTAGAATTAGCTAATGATTTAAATTCTTGTTTGACTCCGTTTGCGGCTTCCCCGAAATCCAATAAGGGTAAAGTTTCCATCAATACCGTTGATGAATTATTATTTGCTGATTTTAATAAGTCACTTCTTGATAAAGATAGTGTATCCACTCCTAATACATATGAATCAAAAGTAAAGAATATCGAGAGCTTCGATGAGTCGTTTAATGCTTATGTCAGGTATATTATTTCTAATCTATTGGCTCAATCTCCCGTATCTCAAAGATCAAATGGATTCCCAGTAGTACAGACTAATGGATCTATTACTTTTGGAGCATTTGCAAAGGCAGGAGCTGAGGAAATGTTACTTTCGTTGTCTTCAACACTTTTTGATACTCAAACCAATCAAACTTCTAATCTTATGGGAGAAAATCCTCAAATGATTTCTCATGTTTCTGAACTCTATAAAAAGAAGGCCTTTGGAATCTGGTTGAAATCATTTAATAGTAAAAGTATCCAATTACTATTAGACCAGAACAAATCTGAGCCATTGGAATTGGTATTTTCTTATATATGTTCAGGAGATATTAAAGCTGCTTGTGAAACTGCTATTTCTTCTAATAATTCACATTTGGCTGCTATATTAACTTTAGCAGATTCTAATGATTCTTATGTTCAACAAGCTGCATTGGCTCAAGTTGATACTTGGATTGAAAACAATAGTATTGAATACATTCCTCAACCTATAGTAAAGATCTATAAGATTCTCTCTGGTAAGTTTGATGATGTTATTGAAACTTTACCATGGAATATATCTTTGGCTATTAATTTATTCTATGGTAAATCAAGTTTAACACTTGAAGATATTATTAATAATACTGTTGATGGTATAGATATTCAATCTTTAGGAGAATCAGTGGCAGTTATAGATGCGTTGAAATTATTCTATCTATTACAAACTCAGAAGAAAGAAGTGGTTCTTAAGAGAATTAGAAATACTTCATTAAGTAAAACTATGAAATGGTTATACTACAAATTAATTTCTCTGAATACTCGAGGATCTGATTTCGATGAATTAACTTATGATTTGGGTAATTTGTTACATCAAAGGGGGTTATGGAAACAATCCTTATATGTTTATTCGCATTTATCAGATGATGAAAAGGCAAAGGATGCCATTAGAAATGTTATTATTCAAAATACAAATAGTATTAAAGGACCAGATTATGATGAAGAAACTTATTTAGTAAATACTTTAAAGATTCCTCATAGACTTATTTATGAAGCCATTGGTATTAAAAATCATACTGAAAAGAAATATTGGGAAGAATGTGAAGCTTATACTGTGGCACAATTATGGGAAAATGCTCATAATACCATAGTAAAGGAATTAGGTCCATCTACAGTTATTTCAAATAATCAAGATTTAATTAATAACTTCTTAGCTTTATTATCCAAATTCCCTGAATCAGGTTTAATTATTCCTGATTGGAATCGAGGAGCAGGTATTTATTATAAGTACTTTGAAGTCTTGAAAAATCCTAATAGCATTACCGATTTAGTCTTCTTGCTTGCTAATATTCCTCGAGCTATAGAATCATCTACTTTCTTATCAAAGGCTGCATTGAAGATTATCTCTAAAAAAGTGGGAGATTTAGCTATCAATCATTCCAACAGTATCGATGGAATACAGCAAAAGGTTCAATCATTAGTATTAGGATCATCGGATCGTAAATATTTTGATATCCGTTTACAACTGATCTCTGCATAGTATATAGATTTATCTTTCCTAATAAATGTGCATTATTAATTTACAATTTCCCAAATTGTCTTGGGCAGGTTACGAGAATAGCTGAAGATATTTTAAAAAGTGTATTTTGATTTCGAATTGCGAGTTTAGTGTGACATTGTACTAATCAGGATGGCTTGAATTTAATCCCACTATTAGTGTCATGGTTACTTATTATGATGCTATATAAGCTGTATTAGATAAACTAAAACTTTTAATAAAAACAATAAATTTTGCAACCGCGACTTCTATAAATTGTACGACATTTTGGACTTTGCCTGTATACAGACTCACAGAAAAAGAAATTATCTCTAGCTATTACTAATAGTTACCAAAGTTAATGTATGATCTACTGACTAATTATATAGTAGAATAATAAATTAAACAGGTTAGGTTATGGCACCTTCAAGAGATATTGAAAAGACTCAGTTACAGGCGCCCGAACCAGAGCATTGTCCTGGACCTGAGTCAGAAGCAGCAGGTAAAGATGATGCTTGTCAAGGATGTGCTAATCAAGATATTTGCTCATCCCAATTACCAAAAGGTCCAGATCCGGATTTACCATTAATAAATAAAAGATTAAGACAAATAGATCATAAGATATTAGTATTATCTGGGAAGGGAGGTGTTGGAAAATCTACATTTACTTCTATGTTATCATGGGCATTAGCTGCCGATGAAGATATAGAAGTAGGAGCCATGGATTTAGATATTTGTGGACCTTCATTACCAAGAATGTTAGGAGCGGAAGGTGAATCAGTTCATCAATCTAATTCTGGATTGTCACCTGTATATGTAGCAGATAATTTAGGATTAATGAGTATATCATTTATGTTACCAGATCCAGATTCAGCAATTATTTGGAGAGGAGCTAAAAAGAATGGATTAATAAAACAATTTTTAAAGGATGTAAATTGGGGAGATCATTTAGATTATTTGGTAGTTGATACCCCACCTGGAACATCAGATGAACATCTTTCAGTAACATCTTATATGAAAGAAGTTGGTATAGATGGTGCATTAATTGTAACTACTCCACAAGAAGTAGCATTATTAGATGTACGTAAAGAAATTGATTTTTGTCGTAAAGCAGGAATTAAAATTCTTGGTTTAGTAGAGAATATGTCAGGATTTGTATGTCCAAATTGTAAAGGTGAATCACAAATATTTAAACCAACCACTGGTGGTGGGGAGAAATTATGTCAAGATTTAAATATCCCATTCTTAGGTTCTGTACCTTTAGATCCTCGTATTGGAAGGTCGTGTGATGCTGGTCAGAGTTTCTTTGATAATTATGCTGATTCTCCAGCTGCAACTGCTATTTTAGATGTGGTGGATGCTTTAAGAGATCTGGTAGAATTAAATGTTTCCAATTTAAGTATATGACAACTTTATGTTGTTATAGCCCTTACCATTATATATTATGTACTATAGCCTTAGATTTATTTAATTATTATTAAATATATACGCACCAAAAGCATCTACGCAATTGCGCACCAAATTAAGTAATGTTTACCCATAAACTAAACTATATATGAACGTATAATTCGGGGATAACCATGGGTATAGATATAGAAAGCATAATAAAGTCAAACAAGTACTTTAAGGAATCTCGGTTGAGATCATTGTACTCGGATTTTGAACATCAGAAGCATCTTAATCCCGAAGGATATGAAGCAAATATAACGGCATGGAATGATCTTCTACGTGATCTCTTACAAACACATGTATTTGATGATTCAGTGGTATCATTTCCAACATATAATCCTGATTTGGCTACTTTATTGAAGATTCCAATCTATGGGAAACCATTATCGTTAGGAATTATACTTCGTGAACTTGTTAAAAGTCATTCATTAATACCTTATTCATATTATAATTCTGGTAATCAATCATATTTAAAAGTACTCGATAAAACTTATAAGTTGGACGATTACCTATCTCCGACCTCCTGGATCAAATGGGGGTTGACTACTGTGGGTTTGGGTAGTGAATTTAATGCTACAACATCAAATGGAGAACTTAAGCATGAACGATATATATCGTGGGATTTGTTAACCAAAGTGGGGAATGAAATATGGAATCGTATAGAATCAGATATTCTTCAAATGGGTACTCACTCCTGTGAATTATCAGATAATCAAAGATTATTCGACTTTATGAAAAAAGTCCATCCAACTCTTACTAAGTTTGATTGCGAACTTATATTGACATACCTCTCGAGAGATGTTGGTAAGTGTAAGTTATTAAGGCAAGATAATAAAGTGTTTATTAAATTCTCATCTGGTAATATAACAAAGGAAGATATTGGAATTATAAATTTAGAGACAAGTCTATTCAACATTAATAAGAGGAATGAACAATTAGAGGGTAAGATTAAAGATATTGATCAGAAGTTAAAGGAAAGTTTCCAAATCAACAATAAGGGAGATAAATTAACTCGTCAACGACATTTACTTCGTCTAAGGAAGATTCTTCAATCTTCACTTAATCACAGTTTGGGTTCCTACAATGAGCTTCATCAGGTATTACTTAAAATAAATGATTCAACTCAGAATATTAATGTATATGAACAGTTGGTATCTTCCACATTTATCTTAAAGGATTTAAATGCGAGTGTAGATTTTGCCAATATAGAGGAAGTTAAACAAGAATTACAACTGGAATTTGAAAAGTCAGATGAAATCTCAGAAGCTTTGGGTAAAGATTTACGTGATGATGTTGATATAGAACAAGAGTTACAAGCCTTAGATGAAGAAGTTAATGGTAGTAAGTCTGAGTCTGCACAAGCTATAGATTCCGAATCTTCTGAACTCATTGATAAGTTAAAGAACTTAAATATAGACACGACAAAGCCTAAAGTTCTGGAGTCACCTGTGGAAACCAAACGAGTTGCTTTAAGTGTACAAGATCACATATAGTTTCAAGTTTAAATTAGATTAAATAAAAATATACAAAGCTAAATAAAGTATTTATATTTAAATATGGAAGAATATTATAGCAATATGACTGAGAATTAAAAAAAAAAAATAACTTTGACATGTGCTTACGAATCTTTTAACTTAAAATGTGGAGGATTTGTTGATATAAATAATTCAATTCAACTTCAGTAGTATTTGAATTTTTAATACCAGTAAGAATTGGTTCACTCTCTTTTATTAAAGCTTTTATATCATCATTACTGCATTCTAATAACTGTAAAATAGTCCATAATGCAATATGTTCAAAGGTAACACTACCACTTTGTAAAAATCTTAATAAAAACCCATAGATACCTTCATCAGGTTGATTCCAATTATTTAAAATATATTTTCCATGCTCTTCTGATACTTTTGAACATAAATTAGCTAAAGCTGCAGCTGAATTACCACAAACTTCACCATTTTCACTGAATGTAAGAGGAATAAGTACATCTATTAAATGACTTTCATATAATTGAGGTTTTAAATCATCAGCCAAAGCTAAAATAGCAAAATATGCTGAAATTTCCAGTTGAACTGATAATGGTAATTTTAATACTAATTCTTCACATTTTGATAAAGCACCTGCTTGTATTAATGCAGTTCTATTATTTTCACTTGATGCAGCTAAATTTCTTAATGTTGAAACAGCATGACATTGAATTTCTTCATCATTATAATCTAATAAAACAATTAAAGGTTTTAAGAAGCCAGCTTCAATAATCAAAGCTTCATTTGATGGATGAATTGATAAATTTCTTATACAAGCTACTGCAGCTAATAATAAAGGTTGATGATTACAAGTTAATAATTGAACTAAATGTGGTAATGCACCTGCTCTTACTATTTCTACTTGATAACCTGAATCTGATGCTAAATTTCTTAAAGCTAATGTTGCTTGACATTGAATTCTTGGTGATGGTGAATCCATTAAATTTACTAATTGAGATATTAATTTTGGTTCTGTACTAGCTAATTTTTTTCTATTGGCTTCATCAACTGCAATATTTGATAAAGCAGTTGTACAATAATATTGAACATCAGAATCTTCATTAGATAATAATGATACTAAAACTGGAACTGCACCTGCATTAACTAATTCTTGTCTATTTTCATTTGAATGGGTCATATTTAAAAGTGCTCCAGTTGCATTTCTTTGAACTCTTATATCTTTTGATTTAGCTAATTTTGTTAATGGAATTAAAGCTCCACATTTAGCAATTTTTAATTTATTATCATCTTGAGTAGCCAAATTTGTTATACAACCAACGGCATTACATTGAACTTCGATATTTGTTGACATCATTTGTCTAATTAATGGTTCTAATCCACCCATTTCAACTATTAAAATCTTATTTTCAGTATTAACAGCCAAATTTCCTAAAGCTCCACAAGCAGCTCTTTGAACTTCTGAATCATTACTTTGTAATAAAATAAGAATTGGTTCTAATACATCTCTATTGACTTCTCTTACATCTTTTTCTGTAATTTCTGCAAATGCTAATGCTGCACTTCTTTGTAAATCGATATTTTCTGAATATACTAAAGTACTTAATGCTCTTAACGGTCCATTACTAAAGAAGTCAACATCAGACCTATTTTCCAAATATTGTAAAAGTGCTGAGATGGCTTCTCTTTCATTTTCTGCTAATAATAGCTGGGGATGATTGCCATCGCTAGTAAATGAACCTAAGCAACTACAACAAGCACCCATGATTTTGTCGTATTTGATATATTATGTCGTAAAAAATTTCTCAATCTACTACAAATAAGTTAATTTTAATAAAAATATATGTCACTCTAGACTGACGTGATTCTATCTGGTATGGGCTGGGCTGGTCTGGTCTCGCTCGTCTTCTATCACGCACTGATGATTGGGGGAGCAACAAGATAAATTATTGCTCGGTAAAATACAAGTTGAATTGACTAAAGGTAAGAAAGTGTGTCGTGTATTATTTCCAATACGTTTGGTGAATATTACGAAAGACTTATTTATTGCTTGTATTAAATTGCTAATATAATGGTTGGGCTTGCTTATACTTCTCAAATTAAATTGTCGTCACATTGGCAGTGTCTCTCAATGTCTCCCTGGGAAAATTCCTAGACACTATGCAGGTCAGGACAACAAAAACGCGACATCTTAAGCGTATTTCCTAATCAGGATGTATAATGAATTGCTATCAAATCTGGAGAAGGAGGAGATGAGAAGAAGAAGACCTCACCATGGATTTTTTAGACTTTTTAGTTAGAGTTGAGTAGAGGTCACAAGTCACAAGTTTTAAATGTTGAAATTCACAATTCACTAAGTTATAGTTTTAATGAATATTAATAAGAACTTGGCACTTACATTTAAATAGTTAGGATACTCAGGTTATAGTTACCTTATATTGATTCATTAATGCCTAACTAGTCTACAACAATTGAACGATCTCTGCATCAAAACTCTATATTTAGAAAACGTTGTAAATAACAGTAATAAACAAAGCAAAAAACCTCGTGTAACTGTTACACAAACTTGTGTATCTTACTTGTCGTTCACCATGGAATTTCTTCGCCTTTGTAATCTAAGAATTTACCAGTATCTTCAGGCTTCAACCCTTGAACGACTTTGACAACTCCAGTAGTACTTTCATCAGTACTGATACTATTTGCTTCGAAAAAGTCCAAAAGACCCATTCTAATAACTGCTGTTTTAGCGCCTTCTGTTGCAACAGCTCCAGGATGTAAAGCAACAATTGTAAATCCCTTATCTTTCAACTCAAAACTAAATTGTAGAACTGCATAGTTCAAAGCAGCCTTTGATTGACCATAACTTGAAGTTGGGATTGAATAATTCGATAAAGAAGCTGCCAAAGTACTAATAAAGATAGCCTTCTTTGTTTCCTTTTCCAATAAGTACTTGTACACTTTTTTGAAAATCAAAATTGGACCTACGGCATTTACTTCAAAATGTCTTCTTAAGTTTTCCCCATCAGTCTCAAAAAGTGAAGGCTTATTTTCAAAAATTGCAGCATTTGAAATGAAGGTATCAATTCCCTTAATTCCTAAAGCCTCTAATTGTTTATCAATAGTATCGATAGATTTTTCAGAAGCAAAATCTAATTGAATAATTTTGATGTTAGATAACTTTTCAGCTAAAGCATGTAATCCTTTGGAATTGGATAAATCTCTGGCAGTGGCGATAACGACATTAGCAGAATTGGCTTCGGCAAATTTCTTAGTCAATTCGAGACCAATACCACGAGTAGCTCCAGCAATTAAATAAGTTTGTTGAGTCATGATTGTTAAGTTGGGATTGTGAATATATACTTGTTTTATTAACTACATAGAATTAAACCACATCGATATGGCAGTGTATTTATAATTCAACTCTACACAATCAAGCCAACTCATGAATATACTGCTGAATAATATCAACATATTATCACCGAGTAGTAAAGATCATAGAAGGTTCTAACTACAGGAAATAAATATTCTATCAAGTGTGGCAATTAGTAATTGCAACCCCATAAAGTATGCACTAACTTTAAATCCACGAAAATCCGGATCAGGCAATGCTCGGTGGTTGTGAAATTGTGGTTGTGAAATATAAACACCGAGTGCTCCTAATACCGTCTCAAAAAATATTAGTAATTCATACTACACATACAGTAAATTGTATAGTATACATCATACATCCTGTACATTATACATACGTACATACATAGATTCATTCAATATCTCACATTGATATATCAAGGAACTCGGGATCAAATTCCGTCATATTTGAGAAAACAGGATTGTAGAAAGTATAATATTTGTCATGAATGAGATTGAACAAGCTTCTATCCATATTGTATTTCCAATTCCCGAGACCGAACAATTCGTAGTTATAGTTCCTAAACCAGATAACAAAATTAATCCATAAGTTTGCATCGTAGTATAATTGGAACCGTGCCATATTACACAAGCATGAATATACAAATAAGATTCTGAGTGCATAGAAATTCTTTTCATGAACTAAGTCACAGAAATCATTATTTATTAATACCAACCATCTGAATAATGGAACTGTATAATGTTTTTTATCAGCTCTGTATATACAAATCTGAAGTAATTCAAGTACACTCAACACAGCATCATAATCATTACTAGATTTGTTATCTTTATCAAGATCTGGATAAAACATTTCTAGATCTCGCTTAAGATTAATAATAAGTGGGAATGTACTTTCTTTAACTGAAGGTACTCTTTTAGGCTCATTAACCACAAAAATTCCACTAAATTCATTAGTGCTAATTGCTGGGTAACTAGTTAAAAACATATTTCTTAAGCTTTGACTGATATTAAGATAGTCAGCTTCACTTCCGTCAAAACATACTAATGGCACTAAATCATGGGGTTGGAGTCCCAAGAATCCAAAGATTAATATACTAGATATAACTAATTCTTTGGCTAATTGATCTTCTGGAACATATGGTCCATAAAATAATTGTTTGTGTTTCGAAATAAGAGCATTCTTGCTAGAGATTGAGTTTGAAAAATATTCCGATGTCTTAACAAATAACTTGTTTCTTTCTGATTTCGAAATTTGTCCATTTGTATTGTGATATTTTAAAGTCCCAACATCATAACGGCGTCGAATTTCTTGATTATCTTCTATTTTCAATTGTTCTAAATCACAGAAGGGGAACAAATTGATACAAGCATAGGCAAAGATACAATCTCGGACCAATTGACTTTCTATGAATAATTTTGGAACTTTATTAGCCCATACGTCATGAACAGCTGGATTCTGTCCAAAGGTAAAGCCAAATATGCAGAAATTATGAAAGAAATTAAGTAATCGTAATTCAAATGTAGATAAATTTAACTGTGTCGTAGTTTGATTTAATGCTAATGATTTTACGAGATTCTGCTGTGATGAACTTTCTTTAACTGTAAAATAATGTTCGGCACTACCAAACAATTTATCAAAATTATTAGGTCCTGAAGTTCCAACTATAACACTACTTGAAGATTTAACAACATATGGTTTAAATTTTATTTGATGTGGTGTATCTGGATAAATACATTCACGATTCGTATGTTGGCAATATTCGCAACTAGGTTTTGCTTCATTACACTTTATTCGAAGTTTTTTACAACTCAAACATCCCAATCTTGATTTCGTGCCTACAAGCCTACTATTGTTATAACTATTTGACATTGTTGATTAGTTGATCTATATCTATCGATCATGTTAATTGTTGAATTGTTCTTTAAACGAGGCCGTGCTTATTTAAAAGCACACGTTATCACCGAATGGCCTTTAAGAGGTGGCTTAAAGTTTTGGTCATGTGACCAAATTTTATCTTATCAATAGATAATTTCCAACTCCTCCTATCAATTGTATACGGCATAAAGTGAAGTAAATTCCCTGTCTGAAAGATACTATTAAGCTGCCAGTCACACATTCTAATACCCTAGTTGTAGTGAATTATCTATAGCCTTTCCTGTTACTAGTCTAAGTAGCTTGATACTGAAATACCTTACTATTTACCATCTCTTAAGCTTTTATCTAAGCCTTATTAGTTTAACTATGTGGATTGATACTTTCATATTTCCGACAGACAAATTCAAAATTTGTCTGTTTAATTTTCTACAAATTTTAGGTTGAACAAATCATTCTATGTCAAAAGCTCTCTAAAGTTTCTCGGGATTTGAGTTGAAATTTGGGAAAAATTGCAGCCATTTCATGTCAAATCACGTGCTGGAAATCACGTTTTCCGGCATATAAGGTCCAAAATTAGCCCACGCGATTTTCCTAACAAATCTATTTTTCAACAAATTGGAGGGTTGGCCGAGTGGTCTAAGGCGGCAGACTTAAGATCTGTTGGACGGTTGTCCGCGCGAGTTCGAACCTCGCATCCTTCATTATTTTTTTCTATTTCTTCTTATAGTTTTTTAGTTACTTTACCACTTTTTGCAACCTTATTAAATATTAAATATTTTATATTGATATTTTTTTAAATTCCTATAAAAACTAAACTATTGTTGGACAGGCATCGAAGTAGATGGCTTTAAAATTTCATCATCTACAGTACTAGATTTCCAGGAAGCAGTAATAGTTTTTGGTTTGGTTAAGAAAGTAATACCACTCTTACCGTAAAAGTTCAAGTCACCCAAGAATGACCCTCTAGAACCAGTGAATGAAAACATTGGTAATGGAACTGGAATTGGAACATTAACACCTACTTGTCCGACATCAATTCTTTTAGTGAAATATTGTGCTGAAGATCCAGAAGAGGTAAAGATAGCAACACCATTACCATATTTATTAGCATTAATTAATTCAATTGCTTCATCAATAGTATCAACATTTACAACAGAAAGAACAGGAGCAAAGATTTCTTCATCATAAGCTCTTTGACCTGGCTTAACATTAGTTAAAATAGTTGGTCCTAAGAAATTTCCCTTTGAAAATCTTTCTTCTGATGCTTTATAATCTCTACCATCTAAAGCAAGAACTGCACCATTCTTTACAGAATCTTCAATAATATCTTTAGCTTTAGTTAAACTACCTGGATTAATTAAAGGACCTAAATCACTACTTTTATCAAAACCACTTCCTGTCTTTAATAATTTAGCATCATGAACAATATCACTAATCCATTCCTTGGTTTTACCAACAGTAACTAAGACAGAAATAGCCATACATCTTTGACCAGCAGCACCAAAAGCAGCACCATTAAGAGCATTTATAAATTGTTGCTTTGGAGCATCTGGTAATACAACTAAATGATTCTTAGCACCTAAATTAGCTTGAACTCTTTTACCTAAAGAAGTACCCTTTTCATAAATATATTTACCAGCTTTATCACCACCAACAAAAGTTAATGCTTTAATTCTTGGATCTTCAATTAATTTATTAACAGTATCATGTTTACCATGAACAATATTAAGAACACCAGGTGGTACACCAGCTTTAACAATTAATTCTGCAATAATTAATGCAGCACCAGGAACTCTTTCAGATGGTTTTATAACAGCAGTATTACCAGTAACTAAAATTAAAGGTAAAGACCATAAAGGTACCATGGCAGGGAAATTAAATGGACAAATTGATGCTACAACTCCTAAAGGTTCACGAATCATTTTAGTTTCCATATCAGTTGAAACTTCTAAAGTTTCACCTTTTAAATCATTTGTAATATTAACAGCAGCTTCAGCAACTTGTAAACCTCTAGTAACATCACCTTGAGCATCAACAAAAGTTTTACCTTGTTCTAATACAATTACCGAAGCAATTCTATCTAAATTTTCTCTTAATAATTGAACAAATTTAAAGGCAATTCCTTGTCTTTTTATGACTGAAAATTCCTTCCAAATCGGGAAAGCCTTTGCGGCCGCTTCAATTGCTTCTTCTAATTCTTGAGGTGTAGATTGTGGAACTTTTGATACTACATAATTAGTGGCAGGATCATGAATATCAAACCATTCTTTTGATTCTGATTTAAAGAATTGATTATCAACAAAACTTGGAGTTATATATGGTTCGGTATTAGGACTAGTATGATCTGTGGGGTAAGATGTTAAACTAGACGATAAATTAATGGAACTTTTACTTGACCACCGTAAAAATTGTCCGGCAGGTTTAGCCAATCTAACAGATGTTAATTGCGTAGCTCTATACATCATTGCAATTGTTTATTAATACTATAAAATATATAATTCATTTACTATCTTCGTAGAATTTCAATGGTCTTTATAGCAGTTAGTTCAAGTGGGTTGGTTCCTGTATGTATCCGGCAAGCGATATCCGCACTCCCCTCCTGCCGACCTGCACACACGACTCCGCTAATGGCCAACATTAATTTTTCATATGGCCCCGTAACTTCAATTAACCATGGAACTTCCGTGAGGGTGAGGTTTGCCATTTGGGTTGGGAAAGTATGGGGTTCGTCTAACATTAATTTACCAATAGATGAATAGACATAGCAGTGAGAATATAGATTAATTAGGAGAGAATTAAACAATTAGACTTTTTAGAACAGTGTAGTGGATTGAACTCCGTTGCCGCAATAGTTAAGCCTTATTGGCTATAATTTTTTGCAATCGTTCGGCCATCGTTTCCCTTACTGTGGGTACAGATTGCTACTAATTAGAGTTGTAATTAAGCACGTAATATAGTATGGGATAATGCAGATAGTGCATACAGTGCATACAGTGCATAATTAGTGGAATTAGCGTATAGTGTATAGTAGTGTAGTATATTGTAGTGTAGTATATTGTATATAGTATATTGTATATAGTAGTGTACTACAAGCAGTGTAAAATTAGCGGATAAGATTTTGTGTATTGTATTTAGCAGTATTGTCTTTGGTATTACAGTAGTATAACCAGTGTATTACAGTAGTAAGTAATGTATTACAGTAGTAAGTAATGTATTACAGTAGTAAGTAATGTATTATAGTATATTGTAATGTATTATAGTATTATCGTAGTAAATAAGTAGTCTACCATACGCAGCGCAAGTAGTATAAGTATAAGTATAAGTATAAGTATAAGTATAAGTAGTGTATTAATATTAATCTAACTAATATATGTCTAACTTTTAATCTAGCTAATGTTGATAATGCTCTTCATTCCATAAATCATAATACAAATCAAGTAAACAGGAACTACTCCAAGCTTGTGTAGGGCTTGAGTCATAACAAATTTCCCCATTTTTGTTAGTTAACTCAGTTAATCCTGCCCATGGACTGTCCTTTATCCATTTAATATGACCTTGAATTCTCTCATTAATTTCCGTTAATATCTGAATAGATGGATCTCCTTCATTAGTTTTACAATCAGTAGCATGTAAATAATGGAATAATAAAAATGATCTAATAAAATATCCAAATACCCATACCCATTCTGGTCCTTGATGATAATTTCTACCTTTTGAAGTAGCAAAATCATCACTATCTTCACTATTATTATAATATGGTCGATAATTCCAATCACTTGGATCTAATGTAGCCATTCCAACTGGTCCTCTAATAGCCTTATCAGCAATTCTTAAACAACTCAAGGCATTGGCCGGAGTGAATAATTCAGGTGCAACTATCATGGCAATCGGGAAATTTGGTCTTAATTGATAATCTTCAAACGGTTTACCGGATCCATATAAATCTTTATAAACTCCTCTACGATTAACCAAAGAACTATCAATAACATACTTGTGATCATCATTTGGATCAGTAGGAATAAAGAAATGCTTTTCAAAATTGTCTTGAAGCAATTGTTCCCAAGCTTTCAAAGTAATCTTAGATCCATCGGGTTTTTCAACCTCGGTATAGGGGAATAGGTTTTGTTCATGTAATTTATTAACAAATCTTAAGGCACTCTTTAAGAGTCCCTGTAATTCAACCGCAGCTCCATCTCTTGGAGTTCCGGGAATCCCCTTAGATCCAGCTCTGGCACTTTCACCCATCTTATCCATCCAAGTCCCACAATTAAATTGAGATCCACCGCGAACTAACCCAGTATTCCAGTCAATCCCCACCTCTACATTAAACCCTTCATCTTTCATTTGGGAATCTAAATTAGGTCCAGCATTTGCTTCACGATATTTAATCCCCTTGGCATGACGCAGTAAGATTTCATAAATGATATCTCTAATGGAAGTCTTATAACTAAAGGCTCTTTCGTCAGTATATGGAATCCAAGTATCATCTAAGGGAAATCTTCTAGATACTTCTTCATCAAGAATCTTTATACCATTGGGTACATAAGTTATATATTCTTGAATGGCTTGTAAAAAGAACCAAGCGGCATCTCGAGCATTATACCGAGGATTTCTTCCCGCATCTAATAAATTAGGAATTAATCCATGTTTTAAAGTCTTCGCAAATCCCAAAATATGATTCTTTGCATCATCAAATCTTCCGGTTACAATAAATAATCCTCTAAAGGATATAAATACATCTCTACCCCAACATCTCATATAATCATTACTGAAATGTGGTAATCCAGCTGCTATACTTGGAACTTGTTCTAAAGGTAATAATGAAGTATTATTCATTTTCCCTACCATTTGAACAGAGGTTAATGCCAAACTTTGGACAAAGTTAGTAGCCTTTTGAATCTCAGGACTGAATAATCTTAACACTCTAAATCTAGCGCCTTCATAAGCAATCCCCACCACAAGAGCAAAATAGTGAGGTCTTAAGAAATAAGGAGCTTTCTTAATGGCTTGAATTCGACTTCTAAGCCATTCCTGAAACTTGGCCAAATTGCCAGAGGATTTAGCATACTTATCCAATCGATTAACTATATAATCCAACGCCCATTCACCATCTCGAATATGATTACAAATAGCATGACCTAAATTATTCTGCCAAATCACATGCTTTAACGCAGTATTCCATCCTTCTAATCCAGCATATACTAAAGTTCCATATTGAGGAATATTATAAACATTTTCTTGTCCAGCACTGGCATCTAATTCTTCGGGTGAACTCTTATAAAGAATGGCATTTAAATCATATAAATCTAAACCCAATGAAGCTTCAATGGCTCCTTCTTTTACATAATGATCTAAATCCTCATCTACTCCGGGAATTTCAGTAGAAAATACAGCTATTGAGCCCGGAATAAAACTTTCATCAACTTTAATAATCGATTCTTTACCATTAAATTCAATTGAAGGTGATGGTAATTCTTCTAATTTGGTAGGAACTCCTGTCAAGAATTCCTCATCCCTTTCATAATCTCCTGTTTTCTTAAGGGTATAACTAAATTCGTGTTTAACTATAGTTCCACTTAAGATTACTGGAGATAAGATTTGCGGAGATTGATGATTATTAAATTTCGATCTCGCAATTAAAAACCATCCTTTCCCAGTCTTAGCATTATGTCTTTGAATGGTAATGTATTGATCTTCATGATGAATATACATTTCATGATCTCTTAATACATCTGAACTTTCCGATGCCAATTCTTTTCTGATTTCATGTAATTTGGCCTTTACTATACCAATTCCATTATTAGAATCAACATTATATTGTCGATGTTCAGTGACAAGATTTAATAAATGAGGATATATTTCATCATAACCATATACTGAACCAATGGCAGAAGAACAAAAGGCTACTAAGGCAGCATTAGGTAAAGTATCTTCCGGAGTTCTCTTTTGAGTTGGAGTTTCATTATCATGAGTACAATCCATAAATAATGCATGAGGTGCTTGTCTTGTTAATACTTTAGGAATTTCTAATTCAGTATATGAATCTAAATATTTATCCTTAATAGGTTCTTTATCAGCTGGAAATGAAAAATCATCTAATGGTAACCAAGTTAATGAACCAATTGGTCTACCTCCATGTTTATGAACTAATCGAGATAATTCTTGAACATTCCAGGCCTGCATGGCTTCTCTAATAAGAGAATTAATGGCTAATCTTTCAACAAAGATTTTATCCATTTCTTCTGATCCAGTAAATAATTCTGCCACTACATAAAGATTAGGATTAACTTTTCTAGCTTCATCTAAAAGATATTCTCCTACATGTAAAGGAGTTGAATGACAATTATCAATTCTAAATCCATTAAATAATGAAGCACAAATTTGAGTATATTCTTTCATTCTTTGCCATAATTCTGGAGAATCTTGCGGTCCTTCACCATATCTTAATTTTATACAATCACTCCAGACTATGACTTCTCTTCTTAAATAAGCCTTAGATTGCAGAGATGCAAAATCTACCAAGGGATTACCTCCCCAAATCCATCCATTATTGGCTAATGCCCATTGTTTACCATTTTCATCAATAAATCGAGTAAAATACAGTTCTGTTAAAGGGTTAGTTTTAGTAACTGTACCTAATTTAGGTCCATTTTCTTCTAATCTTAAGTATTTAATTCGATTTTCAAGTTGCACTTTAATGGTATGAATATCATCATCATAAGCTGCATATAATGGAGCATTAATAGCATCAATAATTTGTTCAGCTTTTCTAGATATAATGGAATATTCAATATCTTTTGATTTAAATATGGTAAATAAGATTCCTAATAATTTTAAAGAATCTAATTGATTAGCCCATCTATTTGTAAACACAATTTCTGAATGTTTATTAGAATATTTCAAGGCAAATTTCGATAAATCTACAATATTATCAAGATTTACATCATGAGGAATATCTACTGGACAAATATTATTAGTTCGATCATAATAATGTTTTCTCAAATTGGCTAAAATTTCCAATTTATTGAATACATAATATTCCCATAAATTTAATTCATCAAGAACATATTTTGATAATCCATTAACAATGATTTTTAAATCCGAATCATTCTTTATATCCGTTGGTAAATTATATTCTTGTAATTTTGAAGAAAAGTCTAATAATTTTGAATCTAATTCAATGGCGGAAATTAAATGCGGAGCCGTTTCTGCGTTATAACCTGAATTAGGAACTTGTTTAATCCAATCGGAATTATTGGCTGTATGATTCCATACCACATCAGTAATTGATAAAAGTCCATATTTTTCAAGAACAGTACTAATTAATTTGGTGGCTTCTTCATTAGTTTCAAAGATTTCCGGATCAAATTTCAATTGATCATAAATTGAATATGGAGAATTAGATTCTCCTCTTGATTGTAAGGGAGTAAAATGAATAAGATTATATCCTTTAGAAGCAACTTTAGAGAAAAACTTATCCCAATTGGATAATGGACCAATCCATTTAGATACTACTGATTCAATATTAATGGCATTAAATGGAAGATATTCATTACCAATTTTTAAATTTGGAGGAACAGTTAAATAAAACTTTTCAGTAGTTACTTGATTAGATTGAGAATCTTCATATTCAATATAATAATTATAAGATCCGGGTTTAAATACTGATACTTTTATAGTAACATCTTGATGGAATGAACTTTGAATATCATATGAATTATGTTGATGACGATCAAATGGTTTATCATAATCTAAAGGTATATTAGTGAATAAGCGTCCCTTTCTGGTGATGGGAGATGCGGCATTCAATTGAAATACTAATTGGAATAGTGGGTCTCCTAACTTATAGTCAGTAGGGAGTGCTATAGATGGTAGAATTAGTACACCATTATTAATTCCTTCACTATTGACTGGTTCTCCTGTGTTGGACAATCTTAAGAGTACTGTTCTCTTTTGTGCCATTGTGCTTGCTATTGGTGGGGGTGGGGGATGAGCTAGCGGGGCAATTGGTAATGTTTAGTGATGAGGAGTTCGGTAGTAACAGTTGAAAAGTCTAGTGAATGAAATTGGCTAGTTAGTTAACTGGTAGAGGACAATATTAGTGAATTAAATATCAATAATATGTCCAGGAGATGGGTGGCCGTTAGGTGATGCCCGCATTCCCATAGTGTAATTTTCAATTTTCCGGCCGCAATTGTGTCTCCCTAATCTTTCGCTGCATTGCGGTGCGGTGCGTATCCCTGAAATTAGAATTAGTGAGAGATTGTCGACATTGCTGGAATTTAGTGGGCTGAGATATAGTTTTACCCTAACGGGGTAGAGTTTACAGATTGATCTTCTGAGTGCTTGTTTAGTCAGTTAGTAGTTAGTTCGATCTTTGGTTGGTTATACTATTGGCCATCAATGTCATTCCTTTATCCTGTGGACATAGACCACGGGCTGTAGTGGTAAATCACAGCAATTTATTGGATATCCCATATGGGCCCTTTGCAGTTATTACAATTGCGCTATGGCTACGATTGCTACCGAAATTACCAATTTAGGCTACTGAGAAGTTCAGCTTAGCGGAGTCTAAGAAATTTAAGGTGCATGGGCTCCGCAAGCTGGATGCTTAGTGAGGGTGCACAAAAAAAGGAGAGAAGGATATTGACGCAGTGCCCCGCCAAATGCACGTAGGGCACTATAATTAGCAGCCAATTGTGTAACATTTCTCTGACTTTATATAACATTATCAATTAAATATGGTACTAATTATGGTCTAGTGGTTTGTCTTGATTCACCTTCATATGTTATCATAACACAGGGACTACCATACATTTCTTATTGTAAGTAAGTAAGTAAGTAAGCAGGCGAAGATATTTGACTTGAGTCTTACAAGTTGGTAAGTCCTGTCTGTAGAGACCCATTACGCTTTAGGTATACCTCTAATAAATATATATATACTCTTTCTTTTCAAGATAAACATATTACAAGTAGTCACTTAACTCTAAGAAAACTATGTGTAAGTTGGTTATTTACTTGCGGAACGTGAATATCGAGCTATACGCTGAGTGTGTCTGCAGTAATTCGCAGTTGCCTAATTATTTTTCTTTTTAGTATTTTCTGTTTTCCGTGTGTCAAATCTTTACGAGAAAACCGGACACTATAAAAACCACTATTTTCTACAATAGTATAAGGTATTTTAGTTTAATTAATAGGTAATTGAAAAAAAAGAAGGGGAGAGCAGGGAATTGAACCCTGGGCCTCTCGCATGCTTGTGAATTAACCCAAAGCGAGAATCATACCACTAGACCACACTCCCTATTTCCGGTTCGCTTAACTATGTTAGTCACATGACTTTTAGTAAGTAATCCCTCAAGATCCGAACAAATGCCAACCGGTAAAGTAATTTTACCAATGCGCCAAATGCCCCGATTCTTGTTGCAACCAAAGTGCACTCGTTTTCCGCACTTTATTAAAATGAATCACGTGATCAATTTCGATAAAAATGTCGCACTTTTTGTTCAAATTGGACGACAATGTCGTGGATTAAGGCTGCTAAATCTTGAAGTAGCCCTTGAATTATCGATAATTATCTGCAATCTAGAATAGATTAAATTAAATGTAAGGTCCATAATCAAGAGAAATTAAAATGGAGTTAGCCTGGCTGTTTACAACTTTGTGGGCAACACAGATGGCGAGCTATTACACCTTTTATCGAGTTCATCCAGTGTTAATTCACAATAGGTAACAGTCTTTATCATAATTAGTCTACTAACCAGTTTCTGCAACAAATATCTTTTATCAGCTTTATCTCATGTGAAACAAGAAAATAAGAAAATATAATAATAATTTGCAATGATAAAAATATGGCGAGGGTTAATAATATTAATCATTTTAAGGAGTTATTAGGTTAAAAGTTATCAAAACTAATACCTACTGAAAATACAAATAATAGATTCAAAACTAATACAAGAGCTCTTTTCTATATAAATGAAGATAAATATAAAGGCTATCGCATATATGGCTGTGGTGATAGTTGCTCAACTGATATTTTGCAACTTGTTTAACTCAGGCGCGTCTTCCTTAGAATGCATGTACCCATGGTGGTCGTAAAGAATGTTTTATTATTCAATACCAACATAGATGCCACTTTACTAACGGGATGTTATGCTACTTCCAGTTCTACTTATTCAAAGTATTGAACGTAAACTAACACTAATTATTCAAACATTATAGTTTTACATAGTTAACAGCTAGGAGATACACGTTCCTGCATATGGCCATATCTAGGGACGCGATGTTATGATTATTGACTATTCTCCATATAGCAATGAAAACACATCGGACACTAACAATGCTTAACCGAATTGAGTTTCATGAACTACTGTATAAAGAAAAAGAAATGGTGGAACCAACAGATGATTTGAATTCCGATTCGGATGTAGAATTAATCGACAGCTATAGTTATGCAACAAAGAGAAAAGACATTAGCAGTGATATTATACAAGATAGTCAAGTAGTTAAGAGGCCGAAAACATTGACCATTGAAGAAGAAGGAGAGAGCAGTAGCCACAATAATGGGATGAGTCTAGCACCATACAATCATAGTCATAGTCCAATTCCCGATATCAATTCTAAAGTAGAGGATGTATTCCGAAAGCATTCATTAATTCAGGTGGACTGGTTTAATGATATGAGAGACGATATTCTTCTGAGACTAGAAGAACAACGAGGGTTACTTACGACATTTGAAGGTACATACGATTCTGTAATTCCAGAAGTGGTTCATTATGTGCGGCACGTTGAAAGGAAAGTCGATGAAATGGAAGAAGATATATTAGGAGGTTTAAATCATATGAATCGAAATACCTTAGAAGAAGTTTCTAAAATGAAAGATGATTCTATGAGAGAAAGTATACAAACAAAGGCAGATGTATTGAAACAAGTAGATCTGGTAAAGAAATATTTATCTGTTAATGTCGAACTGATGAAGGAAGATATAATGGAAGGAGTTGGTCAGATGAAACATGATGTTACTCTGATGAAAAAAGATGTAACTAAAGATGTTAGTCATATGAAGAAAGACGTATTAAAAGAACTTAATCAAGTGAAGAAAGAATCTACGAAAGGGATTAACCAATTGAGAAAGGATATTATTAAAGAACTTAGTCAAGTAAGAAAAGAATCATCAAAAGAAACAAGTCAGATGAAACAAGCATTAATGGAAGAAGTCAATCTGATCAGAGTAGATACTACCACTGAAATTAATCAGATGAAGAAAGACACCACAAGAGAACTTAATCTAATCAAAGAAGATATTATTTTAGAATTTCAAGATATGAAAGAAGATTTAACTACTAATATCAATAAAAGTAACTTGTTTGCTCTTAATGAACTAACCAGAATGAAAAACACTTCTAAAGAAATTAAACAGAAACAGATGGATATAATAAAAGAAGTGAAAGACACAAAACAAAATGCCTCGAAAGAAAGTAAACTGCTTAAAGATTTTCTTTCAAAGGAGGTTGATCAGTTCAGAGAGATTGCATTGAAAGAACTAATCCAAACGAAAGAAAGATCAGAAGATTATGATTCCAGCAAACAGCTAAACGAGGGACTTGATGTGCACTGTATGAAAGCGTCTTTGAAGGAGGACATAGAAATGAAAAGAGATGCATTCTTTGAAATTTTACAGTCGAAGGATACTGTCAGACAAGTAATAAAAGAACTGCTGAAGGAGATTGATCAAATTAATGCAAGAACAATAGAGGCATTTGAGGACATTAAAGGTGAAATGTCTGAAGAATTTAATAAGGCAAAAGAAGATACCATTGAAGAATTTAATGAGGGCCATAAGAAAACGGCAGATGAACTTCACCAAATGAAAGAAATAATATTGAAGGAGGTTAATCTGATAAAGTCAGAGACTTCTAATGAAATCAAAAAAATGAAAGAACACATAACAAATGTTGATTCCAAGATGGATTTGTTAATGAACATGTTAATGGACTTAAAGAAAGACATCAATGGGAACTCAATTAATAATGGATCGAGTAATATGGCAAATGATATATCAGTTGTAAGTGCAATAGAAGCTAGTGACGAAGAACCTGATCACTCAGACAACGATAAAAATGATGAGGATTTTGAATATATTTCTAAATGTTTCCTGATGAGTAGAAAAATCAAGACTGTTACCGAAGCTTATGATGAATGGTATCTGTCAGTTTTGAAGGCGGGAAAAGCCAATTCCCGTTGGCCCACCAAAGCCAAAGAGAGAAAGTATTTTCAAATGAGGAGAAGGATGATTAAAAGAATTGATACATTAGCCCAAGAGCTTGATATAGATGGTATGACTCTTGCTGAGAAGATTGAACAGTTCAGAATAAGAGGTAACCTTACTTTAAGAGGTTTGACTCTTGTCTTGAACTCTGAGGAAAGCTATAGGACTTTCAAGCAATCAATGATGGGCGATATTAAAAAAGACATCAATGATGAATCATCATGTAGTGTAACTTAGAATAGAACATATATTGTATTATAAATAATAGAAGTTATGAATAAATGTCGGATTAATTGGCTTTATTTTTGCAGCTGCGCAGTTGCAAAAATGCGACCTATTTAAGTATACCGTATTAAGACAAGTAACTTATTCAAACAGCAATATAAATAAATACCGTTGAACCAGACAGGTACAATCACAAATGGGGTGCTCAGGCGTTTGGATTTTAAAAGGAAAGGCGGTATGAATTGAATGCTGGTTCTCGGGTCCGAAATATATCGCAATTAAATCGACTAACTGGAAGGTGGAGACGCCGGGAACTTCAGTCTCAACGACAGAAAAGTATCAAATTCTAAATCAAATAAATCAAATAATAATTATATTTCCATAATTAGGACCAAAGGACAGCGAGACAAACGTAAATGTAGGGGTTGTATTGGCTATTCAAAGTCCGAGACCATAAATTACTAATTTTTCAGACAAAAAATTACTTTTACGTTTCAAGCCGAATTAGCATTTCTGCTGGGGAACGTTTAACTAATTCCATACTCCTACTATGTGGGGCGTTAAAACCCAGGGCAAACAGAACAGTAACATCACCAAAAACTAATACAAAAAACAAGCGTTAAGCTTTGGTAGTAAATATAAAAAATAAAAAATGGTTCGATAATTAGACACAAGGCGCACCAAAAAAGACAAAATCCTAATACCTTTGAAGAAGTATTCAATTTTGTCGTCTATGGTGCAACTCCGGTTTCTGCTAACAATTAACGATAATTATGAGCTTTTGTAATTGAGTTCACTTGTTTGGTTGTGGTCCTGACCGGGTGAGTGGTACTCTCTTTGTGACAAACTACCCGGATGCTGGATAATAAGTTTGCAAAACAAAATGCTTAGGGGTTTGAAATATTTTCCTGTACTTAGGTTTGACAATCGGCGACATGAAAAATAAAATTTGTGATTTCTCTCGGCAGCGTATGTTTTCCGGGGTAAAGTTATGACTATTTTGTAGTAAAGTGACTAAATGTCTTGTGGGTATAAAAATTGTCTAACAATATGCATTTCGTCAACTACGTGAACTACTAAAAGTAACCTAAGAATTATTTCGGAGAACTTTACTAAACCTTATAGAATAGTCTATGGGATCATAATATGTATTGCAGATTTCTTGTAAAACGTCACCTAATAAAATTTAAGACAATACTTATGCCATATAATCCAATATTTAATTTAAGATGTATTGTTAGATAAATTGTCGGGGATACCTAACCGCGGAATTTGATACACTTATGGGTTAACGAGCGACTTCTTATACACACGACAATTAGTCGCGTCCATTACTGACTCAATACTACCAACTTTGTGTAGGGAACGTCTACAAATGTATCGGACACAGAAGTTCAAATGGAGATGCGACAATCACGAACAAGAAAACAGAAGATGAATTAGAGAAAGTCAAATTTGTCTTACACATTTCAACATCACACCAAGAAAAGTGTCTAAAATAGAGCCAATTGAGGATATGGAATTCGTAAGATAGTATTTTAAACTAATGGGGTATTGTAGATAACAATAGAATGGTGACCTCATAGAGAAGGAAAAGGAGGGGATGAAGTAATCTAGAATCTTCACTCGATTGTCTGGTCCATCACCTGAGGTAAAATAAGACACTGGGCTTCAGATCTCCGTGTTAAAAGACTAAGTTTAGCGGCAAAGAGTAGGAAAATAAGGATTTAGTGAGAAAAAGAAACGGAACTTGATAAATTTAGTGAAGAGTTTAATGAGAGTATACGCCTTTAAGAAAAGTAGCGAACAATCTGGGGAATACAAATATTTTTGATGCAAGCTGATAAAACAAAACGGTCAGATCAATTCAATGGATTAATTGAAAAGAAATTATAAAAATGTAGATCTTGGGTGGAAACTACGGAACCGAAAGGTAAACTTAAAATATATAAAGAGCAAAGCAAGTAAATGATATAGAATTCTCGGAATCGCTTAGGGGTTTTAACGGCTCAAAAAACATAATAGGTACAAAACCCATAATTACCTCACGCACAAAGTGTTACCGAATCTTTATAGCAGTACTTTAAAGGAAAGAAAAATAATAATCCCTGTTTGTGGTAACCGGATGGCAAGTCAATCGCTATCATCTACAAAAGCAATTGCACCATTTGTAGACGACTAAAACACCTTAGTGATATATATGTAATGTAAACGTAGTTTATCCTTTCATATTGAGTGGCAATAAATTAATTATTCTGATTACAGGAAGGATGATAAAAACAACAACATCATCGCAATTAAACCAAAAAATTCCGGCTGGTACAGGGACAATTAAATTTACATTGTTTGCTTACATTTTCAGGGTAAATATGATTCAATTTTGAATCATCCATGAAGTACGAAGTCAGCATCCTTGCATCAGACACTCCTTAAATTAACTTTAATAAAAAATAAATTAAATATTGTAATTTTATATAGAAAAGAAAAATTAAAAACCAAAAAAAATAAAAAAAATACCGCAAATCTTTTGTCTGTCTGAGAGAATTTGGTTGCCTCCAGGTTTACACCCGTAACATTCCGATTGTGCATTGATTTTAGCCATAGAATACTCACACATTAGTCAAGACATCCTAATAAAAACAAAAATTGTCTGTTTTTCGTGTCGGATCTCATCAACTAAATAAAATAAAATAAATAAAAAATAAAAAAATACTACAATCTCATCCATCAATAAAGACCTTTTCTGTCTCTAACCTAGCAGCAAAACTTTCCGCTACCTAGGCAGTTTTACACTGAAATAATTATAATTTAGTGAGGAAAAATTGCTTTGCTGCAATTAAGTTCCTGCTGGTGAGTTTTTGATTTTTTAGTATTATCGTGCATTAATGAGAGCGAGGTAAGAAAGAAACAAAAAATCATCACCAACAGTCTTTATATATACTAAATTGAATTTCCTAATTTTCGATTTTCAATTTTTTAAATCCTATTTCATAAATCTCTTTCAATTTACTTTCCTTTCCTTTGGTTTATTTGTTTATTTAACTTACAGTCATAATAATTTAACGATCCTCAACTACCCTTAATTCATCTATTCATCTAAACTTACCAATTACCTTTCGTACCATCAATTCACTCATCTTAAACTTATTTTTTCTCATTCAGCTATTAGCAGTCGGACAATTTTTATACCAGAATACTATGAAATTATAGTAAACTAAGACAAGTTACCTTGAAACCACAACTACAATTTGAAAAATTAATCATCTAAAGAAATTGAACAATAAATACAATTATCAATTCAATCTATTCCAACAATATTACTATTGAAAATCCGAAATCTAAATATTCACATACAAAACAGTAAAAAATGGAACCGATCCAACCTTCTATCATTCCAAATACCAACATAAATACCACTTCTTCATCCTGTTCTCCTATAGTCGTGAAAACTTCAAAGCAATGGGTATTACCTCCAAGACCCAAACCTGGTAGGAAGCCAGTGTCAAATTCTCACACTTCAAATAGTGCTGCGACATCGACTAACACCACTAATAATTCCGCACCAAATTCCACATCATCCAACTCACATATACTAGACAAGAAAAAGAAAGCCAACGTAAAAAAGATCTTACCAGTAATACAACCAACTGGAGAGGGCTCATCTATTTCATCATCAAGTATACTATCTCAATCAAAATTATCAACAACTGTTACATCCCCATGTTCAGTTCCAACTACTCCATCACATATTCTTGCTAACTTGAATCAGAATATAAAATTGATAGATTCGGAAAATATTTCTTTGAAGTCCCATTTATTGAGTTTAATTCATGATTACAAACAATTGAGAACTTTGGTATTAGATAATACTTCAAGTTATTATAATAATTCCAATGTAATGAAGAATTCAATGCCTCATAATATCAGTAATTCGGCTGTTACGTCTACCATTGACAGTGATAAAAACGTTCACAAGCGTTCTTATAATGAACAACAATTGATAGACAATGAATTTGACAATTATATCACTATTCCAAGCAAAAAGATGAATGTGATGGACAATAATCATGATGATGACGACGAAGAATTACTTGAAGAGGTTGATGAATTAGATAGTGATATCGAAGATGTTGAAGATGACCCAATGACTTCAAGTAGTAGTCCTGCTAATTCTGCTTCTTCATCTACTCGTTTATCAAGAACTACTTCACCTTATTCGGACGATTTTTCAGAAAGTAATTCCCTTATGTCAACTTTGACTAGATCTACAACTGTTTCATCTTCTACATCTTACTTGAATGATGTTAAAGGATTGAGATCTAATTCTAAATTGGTTGACTTCCCACTGTTCAATCCAAATGCTCCCTCAACGTACCACTTCAAGTTCGATGAATTAATGAACTCATCGTCTACTAGTTCTGCACCTTCAATGTCAGATTTGATCAACCAGGATCAATATAATATGATTACTGACTTCTTAGAGGAGAAATTGATCAATAACGATGTCAGATACTATGTTGAGAACAATTCCAACTTGGAAAATTGGTAACTACTATCTAAATTATTACAAACTATTCCAGACTATTTCAATCTATTCTAAAACTTTACTTTTCAGTTCAATATCTTTTAACGGCTTATTATGTCTTTTGTTACCTTTCCTTCTCCCTGCTTCAGTTTTTCATCAATAAAATTGCTTATCTTCATGTCAAATTATTATTACTACTGTCATTATTGTTATTATTTACGACTTTTATTTGTCCCTTAGTTGATTTCATTTATTTATTATTTTTATGGTTTAAAGAGTTTTTTATACGAAAGTACGATTGTGTTCAATTGAGTGATTATATGATTTTTTTACGTCTTATTACGACTACAAGTTCCTATTTATTTATTTATTATTTATTCTATTATGCTGCTTCTTTATTATTGGATTTCTTCCCTTTTATTTTTTATCATATTTATTCCTTACCAATTTTACAATGCTTAAAATGATCGTTATATACTAAAAAAGAAAAAGTGAATATTTATTCTACTAAAATATATATACAGTTACGTATTAGTTTCTTTCCCTGTAATTTTTTGTACTTTTGATATCTTTTTAGTAGTATATGATTAAATTGATAAAAAAGAATTAAATGAAAAAAGGAGTTAGATCGGATGTTAAAGCCCGATATGTCCATGCCATCGCATCCATTTACCCATACACTTTTTTTGTCTGACGGAAAGGTACATGTGGGGGGCCGACCATCTGACAGTCCTATGTAGGGACAACTAGTCCGGAGTCGCACCCAATGTAGATTTCCTTCAGCACACGACCATTTCGTGCACTCTCAATTTACTGTGTTTAAGCCAGAACCATTTTGCAACAAGACATTTTCAATGTTTTTTAAAGCTTGAATAGCTGTGAAATCAAAATTTTCAACAGTGGATGCTCCTATATGTGGGGTCAAGATAACATCCTGTCTACCAAATAATTCTTCATTGACTCTTGGTTCTTGTTCATACACATCTAAACCGGCAAATAAAACTTTACCTGATTTTAATCCATCAACTAAGGCCAGTTCATCAATGATTATACCTCTTCCAATGTTAATAATCCTGAATGGATTTTCAATAGAGTCAATGACATCCTTATTAATGAGATGTTCAGTTTCAGGAGTGGCTGGACAGGCAATAACGATTAAATCAGCAATTGATTTAGTGGACAAAATATTAGGATGGTATATGGCCTTGTAACCCAATTGCTCTTCTTCTTGTTTGGATAAAGGCAGTCTTTTGATATAGTGAATATTCATTCCAAGATCACTTAATTTCTTCCCTATAGTTTTCCCTATATTTCCAAATCCAACTATGACAGCATTATGATTTCTAGGATTCAAATTAGGTCTTTCGTTGATATAGTGTCCAAAATGATAATCTGTGGAATTAGAACTGAGAACTACAGAACCGGATTTGGTGTCGAATGAAGACGAGTTATCCAATAATTTCCTCAATTTGACTGTATGATTATGTTCTGGGTTAAATGGCTTTTCATATTTATTGAATTGCCTGAAACTGGCTAAAGTATTGAATAAAACCAAGTCGGCAACTGGTTCAGCTGCTCCTTCAGATGGAACATGAGTAAGGACAATATCCTTTTCACGCATACCTTTGCCATCATAACCGTCGTAACCCACTGAACATATTGAAATAACTTTTAAATGTGCTGGAGCATTTTTTAAAATATCACCCTTGAAACCTCCAACAGGAACAAATCCAAGCCATGAACCATAAATTGCTTGAATATCTTTGAATTCTGTCTTAAATTTATTAATGAGATCTTCTTCAGTGGAGATCTTATATTTAACTACTTCGAATTTAGTGGAAAATTCTTTGAATTCAGGTAACGACTCGTCCAAGTCACCAATGAACAAGACTTGTGGTTTATCAGAAACAGTCATATCACAAAGTCAAATGGAAATCTATCTATATTGTCTATTAAGAAAGAAGAAGATCTTATATCTAACGAATCGAAACGAAAGGGAGTTACTGAACTGTAGTTTACGTTGACAAAAATTTCAAAGCGTTTCGATCCCCGGCTAAGTGCGGCTCACCAAGAAAATACGATAAACTGTGGAAGTAAACCATTTGCCATTAATGTTAGAAGTGCCTTGTAATGAATGCAAAGTCCAGAAACAGTTATGGAGAGCAAACAATTGAGTTTTCTTAATTTATGCAATAGAAGATTTGTCTCATTGTTTAAATTTATTATAGTAATTATGGGGTCTAAATTGTAGAAAAAACAGAGAAGGGTAAAAAGTCTCGAGCATAGGAACGAAGAGCGGACCGGACCTATAAATTACGCGACCCAATATAATATAATATAATATAACATAAGATAAACTACTATAGTCCTTTACCAATTTATTTTACCCTGCCCTGTTTTCTATTATTTCTGCTGGTTTAGTCAAGTCTTTAAATTCTCCTACTATCACTGAGGACCGTCAAAAATAACATACGTAAAAAAAGAAGTATACACAACATGTAAACGCTGCTATTACTATTTTTGTCTATTTTCAATTTGCTTTTTGGACATTACATTGGCTCGATAAGCCAAGACGTAAAGTTGTGGAAGACAAGTCATGATATGCCTGTTAAGAAGCATTTGCAGTTAGCTACTACAAACTGGATTCTCAAGCGTATTACATATTTGTCACGTGATCGCTTACCTAATACTTTGCAGTTTATCCGTTTGGCAGTAATTATGGATTTACCTTCAACCCATAGAAAAATTAATTGAGTAAAGTAGATCCATAACATAAAACAGTACGTATCATTCAACGCCCGCCTTAGGTTTTAATCCATTACAGATATATACACAATGGAATACATCGAGTTTCCTATAACGATACCCAACCAACCCATAGTAGAAGATATTATTAGCATAGCTTCAATAATCAATGCCATAATTAGTGTATTTGTAGGAATTGTAACGAATAATGTTATAAATATATTGTACGCATTTGGTGCTCAATTTATTATATTATTAATACTTATATTACCTAATTGGTGGCCCTTTTTAAAGGCAAAACCAAGTATACAATGGTTACAAGTCAAGATATAAATATCTATATTTAGTACATATTAAATAAATAAACTAGTATAGCAATCTCAAGTCACGGAATATTTATGTTCCCCCACATAATAATAATATACGCATTGAAACTATTTTGAAAAATATATAAACTTGTAAACTTTCCCACATTTTTCTAATTTTTTCTGAAACAACTAGATAACATCTTCATTCTCAAGTCTCGTTTGTTTTCCCCTTATCCCAGTAATTAGCTTATCTTAATCCTAAACGATGACTTCTGCAACTTCATTATACGAAACTTCGAAATCGTTATATTTGGGTTTCGATTTATCAACACAACAATTAAAAATCATTGTTACCAATGAATCGTTGCAAGCATTAAAAACTTATAACGTAGAGTTCGATGTTCAATTCAAATCGAAATATGGTGTTACCAAGGGTGTCCTTGCTGTTGACAATGATCTCGAACAAGGTGCCATAGTTAGTCCAGTGGCTATGTGGTTAGATTCCATCGATTACGTATTTGGTAAAATGAAGGAAGACGATTTCCCTTTTGATAAAGTGATAGGTATCAGTGGATCTTGTCAACAACATGGTTCTGTATTCTGGGCTCAAGAAGCGGAAGATATATTATCAAAATTAGGTGACAATACCAACAAGTCTCTTAGCGAACAATTAGCTAACGGCTTTACTTTTGAAAATTCACCAAATTGGCAAGATCATTCTACTGGTAAGGAATTAAAAGAGTTTGAAGAAGCAATTGGTGTGGATAATTTATCTGACATTTCTGGTTCAAGAGCACATTATAGATTTACTGGTTTACAAATAAGAAAATTGGCCACTAGAGTGGATCCTAAGAAATATCAAGATACTTGGAGAATTTCGTTAGTCTCTTCATTTGTTGCCAGTGTATTATTAGGTAAAGTAGTAAACATCGAGGAATCAGATGCTTGTGGTATGAATTTATATGATATTCAAAATCAAAAATTTGATGATGAATTATTAGCATTAGCAGCAGGTGTACATCCAAAAATTGATAAAGCAACTTCAGAACAAACCGAACAAGGTGTTGACGACTTAAAGAAAAAATTAGGTACAGTAGAACCAATTACTTACAAAAATGAAGGATCTATTTCTTCATACTTTATTTCTAAATATGGATTCAACAAGAATGCAAAGATTTACTCATTCACCGGTGACAATTTAGCCACCATTATTTCATTACCATTAGCTCCAAATGATTGTTTGTTATCATTAGGTACTTCTACTACCGTTTTAATTATCACCAAGAATTATCAACCTTCTTCTCAATACCACCTTTTCAAGCATCCAACAGTAAGAGATGAATACATGGGTATGATTTGTTATTGTAATGGATCATTGGCTCGTGAAAAGATTAGAGATCAAATTAATAAAAAATATGAAATTGAAGATGAAAAATCATGGGATAAATTCAATGAAATATTGGATTCAAGCTCAAAATTCAATGATAAATTAGGAGTTTACTTTCCATTGGGTGAAATCGTTCCCAATGCATCTGCTCAAACCAAGCGTTCAATATTAAATACCAAAACCAACGAAATAACTGACGCAAAATTGGGCTCCAAAGAATGGACAGTTGATGATGATGTCAGCTCTATCGTTGAATCACAAACATTGAGTTGTAGATTAAGAGCTGGACCAATGTTGAGTAAGAGTTCGGGAGCTAGTGAATCTCGTGAGAGTTCAGTCAGCGCTGATAAAGAAACATTAACTAACATATACAAAGATTTAACTACCAAATTTGGAGAGTTACATACTGATGGTAAAGCTCAGACATTTGAATCATTAACTTCTAGACCAAACCGTTGTTACTATGTGGGAGGTGCATCTAACAATGCCAGTATTATTAAGAAGATGGGTTCCATATTGGGACCAATTAATGGTAATTATAAGGTAGAAATCCCTAATGCATGTGCTTTAGGAGGTGCTTACAAGGCTAGTTGGTCTCATCAATGTGAACTTAAGGGTGATTGGATTGATTATAACGATTACATAAAGAGATTATATGACGTCAATCAAGAATTAGAATCAATTAAGGTTGAAGATCACTGGATAGATTACTTTGATGGAGTAGGTTTGTTGGCAAGTATAGAACAAACTTTGAAGCACGATTAAGCATAAAATATAGAATACTGCTAACTAATATGGTTAGTATACGAAGCCTTTACATAGTTATATATATATTTATAATCAAAATTAATAAAACATAGACTAAGTTGCAAAACCAGAGCCCGACAAAAAGAGAACGAAAAAAAAAAATGTCTGAAATATCACTACTCCAGATAAGTTTTACAGCTAGTAAGACAGACCAAAAGAGTAATGTTGAACAGATCATTTAGACTATTGAAACATAGTAATAGGACCACAGTTGGTAGGCTAACCCGAGGTTTGACAACTTTGGTTCTGAAGGATGCTGACAAAATTTCAGTGTCGGAATTACAATCAGCCATTAAAAGATTAGAGAATGACCTTGATTTAGACTATTTCGACACTCGACTTTCACTTATTTCCAAGATCAATAAATCATCAAATGCAGAGAAACAACTACTCTTAAATGAGTTAATACCTAGTTACAGGTTCTTTTTCATTATGCTGCCTGAACATAGAAAGGAAGTTATTACTACCAATGAAATTTTAAATAGATTGATCGAGATAAATCCAGGAAGAGTTCACACTTCTTGGGAACTATTCAAAGAATGGAAGGATAACGTAAGTGGAGGAATTAGTACTGAAGTTGTTAATCAAATATTGGAAAAGTTGATTTATGGAGATTCAAGTGAAACTGATGGAGAGAAATATGTTATATCCTACTCACAGTTTCAAAAGATTGACCAGGTTTTGAAAAATCATGTTCAGAGTTTTGATGAAGTTGAAATTAAGATTAACAATTTATTTGAGAAGTTGATAGAAGACAATAAACTATTATACATCAATATTTTAATAGAAAACTTTGGTGAAAAGTTACTTACTCCAGCTGTACTCCAGAAGATTCTCGACAAGGACTTTGTTACAGATACTCCATATCTCACCATATTTCTGAGTGTTTTTGAGAAGAATCCTTCTTTATTATCCAAACAGCAACTCGTCGAAGCTTTGAATATCCTCGAACGTCGTTCCTCATCTTATTTCCAAGAACAAAGGGACAACCTAGATAAACAACACAAACATGACAATATTACAACAGCACTAACTCATTTTAGTCCAGACCAATTACTTGAACTGATCGTACAATTCGTTGAAGAAAATGGGTTGGACTTAGATAAAAGCCCTGAAAGTTTGTTGATAAGAATGAAGTTAATCGAAACATATGGAATAAAACTAAACAATCTCGATACAGCACTTAAAAAATTCCATACATATCAAACCCATGAGAAATTTGGAATTGAATTCGTTCAAATTAATCTTGTAAAATCCTTTGCTGTACAAAGTTTCAAAGAGGAGAACGAGTCATTTCTCAAAATAGCTGAAACCCTTATTCCTCAGGATCAAGATCAAATAGCAATTAAAATGTTGCAAATGCTTATTGTGGGCCACAGTAACTTCAATGATGCCGAAACCAGCTTAAAAATATATAATGACTACATTCAAAAAGTTTCTAAGGATGTAAATGAATATTCGAAGAGGTCTGCCGCCGGTCAATTGACTGAGGCATTGTTAATTGCAAATCTTTATAATAATGATCGTAACTTTGCCCAATTATTACTTGATAAAGCCATAGAGAATAATATATTACACGATGAGTATGAAATTACTCAGATTAAGCAATGGTTAAAGAAATACGGTGAATCATTTGTCGAAAATGATGACTGGCAAGCCGCCAAACCTAACTTTAAGAGTCATGTTTTGAATTTCTTACAACAATTATAGTTATAGACAGACACAATTCAATGTACATAGTTTTTAATAGCTGCAAATTAACCCCATGTATAGACAAATATAGCTTAGTTATGCTGGTATTTACATGCAGTATTTAGCCGCCACTATGAGCACTTGACTAATCTCAATTGGGATCGTTTGCCGCAACTGTGAAATTACAAGCTGAGTCACAAAATTATCCGCACTAATCACTGAGTGCAGGATCTTGTAGCTGGATATTTTGCAACTTTTGGTGTATAAATATAAAGTGAAGTTTTCAAGTTTAATTGATTCGGACTTTTTACATGATTAATTAACAACATACAAGAATCACAATTACTGAAATATGTCCTCCAACTCAGCTATCTTACATTTAAGAGCCGAAACCAAGCCGTTAGAGAAAAGAGCTGCTTTAACCCCAACCACCACCAAGCAATTAATTGATGCTGGATTCAAAATTTATGTTGAAGAAAGTTCTCAATCCACTTTCAAATCAGAAGAATACGAAAAGGTAGGAGCTACCATTGTTCCAGAAGGATCATGGAAGTCAGCACCAAAGGAAAGAATTATTATTGGATTAAAGGAATTACCCGAAAATGAAACATTCCCATTAATTCACGAACATATCCAATTTGCTCATTGTTACAAGAATCAAGGTGGATGGCAAGATGTTTTAAGAAGATTCCCAGAAGGTCATGGAACATTATATGATATTGAATTTTTAGAAAACGATCAAGGTAGAAGAGTTGCAGCTTTTGGTTACTATGCTGGATTTGCTGGTGCAGCTATAGGTGTTATAGATTGGGCTTTCAAGCAGACTCACCCTGATTCAGAAGATTTACCAGGTGTAACTGCATATCCCAGTGAAGCTAAATTAGTTGCAGATGTTAAGAAAGATTTAGCTTTAGCATTAGCACAGAATGGAGGTAAGTATCCAACTGCTTTAGTTATCGGTGCTCTTGGTAGATGTGGTAGTGGAGCAGTCGATTTATTCGAGAAAGTTGGAATTCCAGAAGAGAATGTTCTCAAGTGGGATTTAAAGGAAACCGCACCAGGTGGACCATTCAAGGAAATTATTGAAAATGATATCTTTGTCAACTGTATTTACTTATCTCAGCCAATTCCACCATTTGTCAACTACGAGACCTTAAATGTTCCAGACAGAAAGTTGAGAACCATCGTAGATGTTTCCGCCGATATTACCAATGTCCACAACCCTGTTCCTGTTTATACTATTGCTACTGTTTTTAATGATCCAACTGTTCCTGTTGAGACTAGTGCTGGTCCAAAGTTATCAGTATGTTCAATTGATCAATTTCCTTCTTTCTTACCAAGAGAGGCTTCTGAATTCTTTTCAAGAAACCTAGTACCATCTTTATTAGAATTACCCCAAAGAGACAGTGCTCCAGTTTGGGTCAGAGCTAAGCAATTATTTGAAAAGCAGGTTGCTAGATTAAACTAGATATGAATTTTTATTACCTCCTACTCTTTTTTTCTCTTGAAAATATAGATTTAATATTTCTTTAATACAAGCTATGCAGCTATCGTACTTCGCTTAATTTCTATACTATAGTAATATAGATATCACTATACATGTAACACATGGAAAGGGAGTGATTGAATATAAATTCCTAATGGTCTAACCAATGCTTTCTTCTGCCTGCTGACTGAGTATTCCCCTGGTATGTAAAAATCTATTGGCTTGGTTACTGTAAATATGCTGGGGCTAAAATGTCATAGTATCTATACATAATTAAGAATTGGTGAAATACACGACAAGTTGCAACCACTCACTTCCATCCCAATTGGGAATATTTGCCGGAAATATGTGATAAGGCAGAAAAAACACCGTTTGTACTGAGTCACAATCAATGGCCCGAACTCAGAGCCACGCTCTTTGTGCAGGTCACTGATACCATCGATAGTCTGGAGATTTTTCACTTTTACATGTATAAATATATGCTTAATTGTTCAAATTAATTTTTCAATAATTCACTAATAAGCTAAACATTATTGAATAATACAGTCCTCCTATAAATATGTCTTCTAATCCAGTTATTTTACATTTGAGAGCCGAAACCAAGCCATTAGAGCATAGAGCTGCTTTAACCCCAACCACCACCAAGCAATTAATTGATGCTGGATTCAAAATTTATGTTGAAGAAAGTTCTCAATCCACTTTCAAATCAGAAGAATACGAAAAGGTAGGAGCTACCATTGTTCCAGAAGGATCATGGAAGTCAGCACCAAAGGAAAGAATTATTATTGGATTAAAGGAATTACCCGAAAATGAAACATTCCCATTAATTCACGAACATATCCAATTTGCCCATTGTTACAAAAACCAAGGTGGATGGCAAGATGTTTTAAGAAGATTTCCAGAAGGTCACGGTACCTTATACGATTTGGAATTTTTAGAAAACGATCAAGGTAGAAGAGTTGCAGCTTTTGGTTACTATGCTGGTTTTGCTGGTGCAGCTATTGGAGTTAGCGATTGGGCTTTCAAGCAAACTCATCCTGATTCAGAAAACTTGCCAGGTGTCACTGCATACCCTAATGAAGATGAATTAATCGCAGATGTTAAGAAAGATTTAGCTGCTGCATTAGAAAAGAACGGAGGTAAGTATCCAACTGCTTTAGTTATCGGTGCTCTTGGTAGATGTGGAAGTGGAGCAGTCGATTTATTCAAGAAGGTTGGAATTCCAGAAGAGAATGTTCTCAAGTGGGATTTAAAGGAAACTGCCCCAGGTGGACCATTCAAGGAAATTGTTGAAAATGATATCTTTGTCAACTGTATTTACTTATCTCAACCAATTCCACCATTTGTGAATTATGAAACTTTGAACGTTCCAGATAGAAAGTTGAGAACCATCGTAGATGTTTCCGCCGATACTACTAACGTCCACAATCCTGTTCCTGTTTATACTATTGCTACTGTTTTTAATGATCCAACTGTTCCTGTTGAGACTAGTGCTGGTCCAAAGTTATCAGTATGTTCAATTGATCACTTACCTTCATTATTACCAAGAGAAGCTTCAGAATTTTTCTCAAGAGATTTATTACCATCTTTATTACAATTACCTCAAAGAGATACTGCTCCAGTTTGGGTTAGAGCTAAGCAATTGTTCGATAAGCACGTTGCTAGATTAAGTTAAACATGATTTCTTCTTTTTTAATATTTACCTAATGTTTCAATTCTTCACGTTATTCTCAAAAATATAAACTTTCATTAATCTATAATACAGAGCTATGTAGCTATTCTAATGTAATACTAACTTTTCTCTTTTTGGAGTTTTTCTTACCCTTCTTCTTACCTTTTAATAAGATCTTTTTAATTTCTTCTCCATCAGTTTCATATTCAGATTCACTGATTGCTCCTGAGTCAACATTTTTATCAAGACCATTAATTTCTTCAACAGTATTATAACGTCTCTTCATAGTTTCCATTCTTTCTACACTTTCAGGACTTACTACAACACAGTTCAATCTTTCACCAGTATCATAAATGGCTATTTGATCTCTTACTGATTCACTCAAGTTCCAAATAACTATCTTACCATCAGATGATACTGATATTAATAACGGTACTCCATTGGTTTCAATTGGATGATTGAAATAAGTAAATCCCTTTATTCTATTTGTATGACCTCTTAATTCAAAAATAGGATCTAAACCTTCTGCTTTAGAATCCCATACTTTAGATTCATCATCCTTTTCTTGTAATTTAGATAATATTTGAGCTTTTAAATCGAAAAAGTGAATAGAACCATTTCCATGTCCAGTAACTAAATATTCAGTTCCTTCAATATTTATAATTTCAAAAGTCATTAAAGTTGATTTATATGATAATTTCTTAACAATCTTAGCAGTTTTGGTATTATAAAGTAAAATTTGATCTAATAATCCTACTAAAAAGTAATTACCATCAAGTGACCATCTTACAAATTCTCCACTTTGTCCTAAATGATCTCTACCTTTAATTTTTAAAATAGCTGCTTTTTTAGCAGTCATTAAATTCCATAATCTTATAGTTTTATCTTGAGATACTGAAATAGCTACTCTACCAGTTGGATGTATAGCTAAATCATTAACTTTACCTTGATGACCCTTTAAAGTACCAAATACTTCCCAATCTTTAGTTCTCCAAATTATAATTTTCCCATCTTCAGATCCAGATAATAACCATTTACCTGATTTTTCAGTTGATTCAGGATGATTTGAATCAGCTATTTCAGTAGAAAATTTTAAAGTTGTAACAGTTCCTTGATGACTTAATAAATTACCTAATTCTTTTCTCTTTTGTAAATCATATATTCTTATATGTTCATCATTTGATCCAGTTACAAGATATCTTTTGGCAATATCCATGGATTTAATAGATAATGAATGTGCTTGGAAATGGAAAATTGGTTGAAATACTGGCTCTTTAGTTCCATTAATATCTAAAATTGCAGAAACACATAATAAATTATGTTCATAAGATCCAACCATAATACGAAATTGAATGGATTTTGTACGAGGTTTAGTCTCCACTTTTACAACTGGTTTGGAAACAACATCCTCATCAATGACACTAACCTTCTTAGTACCTTTGGAACCCATTGTATATTTAATATTATATATATATATATATAAGATGTTCTTTACCATAGTTAACGATGCATCTATAATTTTTCAAAATATTTAGTGAAGCGATGCGCGCGACATCACCAACACTAACACCAAAATCGAAAAGTCGCGATGTTTTGGTTGCGACATCTCCAACCCACTGAATAACTCTACTCAATCATAACAGTACCCAATAAAGTCAACTAATAGGCCCGAATAGGAAGGAGTTATATAACTTGTTGGAAATTAAACTGCATCTGTAGCCAATCACCCCCTCCCTTACTATTGCAAACAATTAGTACCCAAGATGGCCCTGAATCAGAAAACTCCGTCGCAGCATAACTCCACATTGTTTATATCGCCCGATATAAATCATCATCGACAACACCTTTTCATAACTCCACCAAATCCTACCAATACTAATTCATTGTTTGAATCTCCAGCATCTCGACGTTCTCTGTTGTTTGGTCATCATCATGAAGGATCTACATCCAATGAACCTCCACAACTTCATAATCATAATGGTATAAGTCGAATGCCTGAACTGGAACAAATAACAGCTGCAGAAAAGCTTCGATTATGGAGACATGATGCATTAAATCAACATCATTATAAAACAGCAGAATTCATAGGTAATAAAGTATTGGCATTGACTGATGATCCAAATGATGCCTTTTGGTTAGGTCAAGTATATTTTAATAGTGGGAATTATCTTCGAGCTAAACTGTTATTAACATCAAAACCAGAATTTGAAAAATCCGTTAGTTGTAGATATTTAGCAGCATATTGTTTAATTAAACTTGAAATGTGGGATGATGCCTTAGACTTGGTAGGTGAAACAAATCCATTTAAAAAGGAAGATGCAGGTCAATATGATCTTAAAAATAGTGATGGAGGTGTTAAATTAGAAGCATCATTATGTTATCTTAGAGGATTAATTTATGCTAATCAAAATAATTTTGATAAAGCTAAAGAATGTTATAAAGAAGCTGTATTAGTAGATGTAAAATGTTATGAAGCATTTAATGAATTAATTGATAATAATCTCATGACACCTCAAGAAGAATGGGAATTTATTAATATGTTAAATTTCCGAGATCTTGAAGATAATGATGAATTAATTAAATTATTATATACAACAAAATTAAGCAAATACTTGAATGTATCTAAATTTGATGAATCAGAACAAATTTTACGAGAAGAATATGATTTAGGTGATAATGGTGATATTCTTTTAAGTCGATCTGATTATTTATTTATTCAATGTAATTTTGATGATTGCTTACTTCTTTGTGAGAGAATATTATTACAAGATGAATATAATTTTAATGCTATGCCTAATTATTTAAGTTGTTTACATGAATTAGGTGGTAGAAATAAATTATTTTTAAAGGCTCATCAATTAGCAGAAAATCATCCAACTAATCCCATGACATGGTTAGCAATTGGAACTTATTATTTATCCATAAATAAAATTATAGAAGCTCGTAAATTCTTTAGTAAAGCAACCTTATTAAATCCTAATTTTGGTCATGCATGGATTGGATTTGCTCATACTTTTGCAGCTGAAGGTGAACATGAACAAGCTATTAGTGCGTATGCATATGCTGCTAGATTATTTCCTGGAACTCATCTACCTAATTTATTCTTAGGAATGCAACATTTACAAATGAATAATTTGAATTTATCCGAAGAATATTTATTAGCATCATATCAAATATGTAATTCTGATCCTTTATTATTAAATGAATTAGGAGTAATAAGTTTCCATAAGAATAATCTTATGAAAGCAGAATTATTCTTTCAAGAAGCTTTAGGAGCTGCTAAATATTTAAATTCTGATTCTAAAACTTGGATTTCTATTCATGCAAATTTAGGGCATGTTTATAGACGAGCTAATGAACCATATAAGGCATTAGATTGTTTTAATCAAGTTTTTAAAATCAATAATAAAAATGATTCTAATATTTTATCAGCCATGGCATTAATTCATTTAAAATTAGGTAATTATTTTAAAGCAATTGATATTTTACATGATGCATTAGCTATATCTCCAACTGATCCAGTTGCTTCAGACTTACTTAAACGTGGATTAGAAGCTAATCATAATAATTCACAATACATTTTAAGTGATAAAATAATTGCCCCTCATATACCTACATCTCGATACTTATCTAGAAGTAATTGGGATAAAAGGAAGCAAGAAAAAGATGAGAGGATTGCCTATCAACAACAATTATCGGAGCAAAGGAATGGGTCACAAGATGATACCAATAATGGTAAACTTATGACACCTTTGACACAAAGAATAGGATATAGTAAGACTGGATCACTGATTAGTGAGATAGAAGAATCGATTGTAGAAGATGAAGATGAAGATGAAGATGAAGAAGATCAAGAAAATGGAAATGCCGACATCGATAGCGTAGCCAATGCCATAAGAAGAGGAGAAGAATCTAGTGATGAAGATGATTCAGTAATGGAAATAGAAAGTGACTAGAAATAGTCGGATATATAGTATTTATTACTTGTATTATGAATTGCACATGTATCATATAACGTAAACATAAATATAAATATAAACATAAACGTAAACAATACTAATTAGAAACATTGTTCTCAGTTCTCAGCTGTTTGTTTCCCTATAAATGTCAGACATGACAATGGCGCCCAAACAACAGCTAATTTACTACCAATAACTAAGTCGACAACTCCACTATATAAACTAAACAAAATTTCGGTCATATACACACTACATACAATTTGCAATTTCTTTCATACTATCGTCCCACTCACACCCACTAACCACCTGCCTGGCCCGCAATAAATTACTTAACTCAGCCAAGTCGTCTCACTGCAAATCTGTGCCCCACATAAATCATCGGAAAAATAGTGTAGTGCTCGGCTGCGGACTTCAAATCAAAACATCAGTCTTCGTCTAATACGAAGGGTGGTACGGAATTTAATCCAAACAAAACTAAAACAATCAGTACATTACTATTTGTAACATTCATATACACAACTACGACACTTTAACAATCATCTTAACCTAGTACTATAAACCCTGGCCATCGTCTATACTAGGGATTGAGAATTAAGTGTTAGATGGATGGTTGTAACCCTGTCATTGTAATTTATCCAAAGTCCCCTTACATAAAATAAAATAAAATAAAATTATCATGAATACTCATACTCCAATCTCCAATATAACAAAAGATTCTAAGATCTTGTGTATAAACTTTAATCAAGATCAAGGATGTTTCGCTATAGGTCATGAGAATGGATTTCTTGTCTATAATACGAACCCTATTGATTTACGCGTGAAACGAAGCTTTACATCTCATCATCATATTCATCATTATAATAATGAAAATAATACTAATACCAATACTAATACCAATCCTAATTCTCAAGATAATCATCACCATTATTCCGATCATACCTCATCATCAAATGGTTCTGGTATTGGTCATATAACTATGCTTCATCGTACTAATTATTTAGCCTTAGTTGGAGGTGGTAAGAATCCTAAGTTTTCTAATAATAGATTAATAATATGGGATGATTTAAAGAGAAAGAATAGTTTAAGTTTAGAATTCATGAATCCTGTATTAAACGTATTGTTATCAAGAACAAGAATAGTCATAGTATTAAGAAATCAAGTATTAGTATATGGATTCTCAGCTCCTCCTAAATTATTTGCTACTTATGAAACCATCGATAATGATCTTGGTTTAGCGGATTTATCGGTCAATTCTACATCAGTAAGTCCTCCTGTTGAACCATCTTATGATGATACTTACAATAATAATAATAATAATAATAATAATAATAATAATAATGGTCCATCGCTCACATCAGGTGCTAGTATTATTTCCGGAACTACATCTATATCATCCAATGGATCTAATAAAGATCATTCCAATAGTAAATATCAAACCCTTGCATTTCCAAGTCGATCTATAGGACAAATTCAAGTTGTAGATGTTAGTCCTCAAGGTCAAGAAAAGAATCTTGTTAGTATAATTAAAGCTCATAAATCAAAAATAAGATATTTAGCACTTAATCGTTCAGGAACATTAATTGCTTCAGCATCTGAAACTGGTACAATAATTCGAGTTCATTCAACTCATAATACAGCATTATTATATGAATTTAGAAGAGGGTTAGATCGAGCCGTTATAACTTCAATTAAATTTAGTCATAATGATACTAAATTAGCTGTATTATCAGATAAAAACACCTTGCATATTTTCAATCTTTCAAATTTATCTTCATCTATAGGTATAGTACCTACATCATCTAAATTATCAACTACTTCATCTACTAATTCAACTAATTCTCAAATGTCCACTACTAGTAGTATAAATAATCATAATAATCATAATAATAATGGACATTTAACAACAACAAGTACTACTACAACAAACATTTACTCTAATTATAAATCAGCTAATGATAATATTACTACTAATTCAAATAATTCTTCTACTAATATTAATAATGATTTACAACATGTACCTTTGAATAGACATCATGTATTACAAAATCTTCCAATTCCAATGCCTAATTATTTTAAATCCACTTGGTCATTTTGTTCTGTTAACACTAATCAATATCATAATGAATTTAATAATGAAATTAATAATAATGACATTGGAGTAATTGGTTGGTCAGGAAATGATACAGTTATAATTATATGGAAGAATAAGAAAATTTGGGAAAGGTATAGCATAACTGAAAAGGTTTCTAGTAGTATAACAAATCCTTTTGAAGAGATTACATCAGGACGAAGTCAAAATAAGAATCGTAATTTAAGTACAAACACAACTACAGGTGGTACAGGTAGTTGGGAAATATCAAGAACTAGTTGGAAATATCTTGATAGTTTGGAAGATTAGTTTGACATTCTAATGTATATTATTCACAAGATTTATATAAATTACATATGTACATAATGTTAAAACCATTAATTAAGTAGGTATGTAATTATTTAATTAATGATTTCACAAAGTATAGGTTCGTAAAGCTGCTTTTCAGGACTGTTATGTTGAAACTTATCCCACTTTCTACCATGAAAATTACGATAAAATCTTTGAGCACTTTCACCATTTTTAAACTTTATTAAAGTCAAACTTAATTGTTTCTTTGGATTCTTTACAATAGATACAATGGGATATTTATCTACCAATGAATAATTCCATAGTAATCTTGGTAATGTATGTTGAGATAATCCAAAGGGTAAGTTTCGTACTAATACCATTGAAGATCTTATATCAGCATTAAGTAAATCCATGAGAAGTTTATAATTAGCATGAGGAATAGTTTCATCATCATTAGTCCATTCATTGGCCGTTGAATTAGACTTAATGGTGATCAAACCATTAATCTTACTAAGAACCTCCTCATTATTCAGTTGAAATATTGTTGATATTGGTAGATTAGATCCATCTTTAGTTATTAAACTTAGATCTACCGATGTATTCTCGTAATATGGCGAAATTAAATTTTTTAATTCATTTTCATTAGGATCTACGAATTTAAAGTTATCTAGTATAGACCCATTAATAGATTTACCTCTAACTTCATTATAATAAGTACAAGCTTGAATATAATTTAGAAAGATTAAATAATAACTATTTTGAAATTGTAAAGTTAATGGATTTCTTGATTTCAATACTTCAAATGGAAGTACATCTTCTCGATGATATGGAGTTGAATATATTCTTTCCCGAAATTTAGGATATATATGTTGAAAATCAGTTTTGGTAATATAAGAATTTATACTATCAAATTTAAGAATATTGGACTGAATATGTGCATTAGATCGAAGAGGTAAATCTTTGACTGCCAAATGCATAGGTTTGAAACCCCAGTCATTTTCTATTAATGTATCCATATACAGTTTGGTTGAAGATGAAGTTGAAGTATTGGCATTATCATATAGATGTTTGGTTATTAATGGTAACATCGGAACCGCTACTTCCTGAGAAATGGCTCCGTATAGGAGATTCATCAACTTCTGAGAAGTCTGACTACTTAGCTTAGGAGTTGACATACTGATATTTTGAATGTTGATGAGTTCTAGGAATGAGTTTATTCATTAATAGTTTATATGTTATATTGGTTGTGAGAACCTGTGCCGCAGTACTAGGAATAAATTATGATCCACATCCATACCGCCACACTAACCTTAATTAAGAGTAAGTATAAGGTTACTATGAAGAAGACGAAGAGTAGGTTCATAAATAGTATAAATATCAGTAACTTACGAGTTACTTGTCGGGGATCTCTGATGAGACACTAGACTACTAACGAAATAATACTGTTAACTACTAGACTAATACAATAATACTACACTACACTTATATATACTACAAGTATATATACTAAAGTATACTGTTAACTACTCTACTATACTGTTAACTACTCTTAACTACTACTGTATTATCTGTGTCACCCTGTCTTAACCCCCTCTTAACTACTATTACTACTCTCTTAACTACTCCCAACTTAAGCACGGCCCGCACGCCTACTGTGCAAATTGGCCCCGAAAAAAACGTCGTCGCCCCCTAATTAAGTAATCGCTAACGGCAGGAACAAAAGCCAGGCAAAACTTTACTTGACATCCAGTTTTAACTCTCACTAGTGAACTTACGACTGATCTCCCCCCCCCCCCACAATACAGCATAAAGCTAAGGTAAAACCAGCTAAGCTAAGCTCAACTATCTCACTACTTCCAGCGACCAGTGTTTGTGCTTTTGTTTCCCACTGTAGAAGCAGATCGTTAGGCAGACTACTACGCTAAACGTCAGCGATCACTTCATCAGTATCACAAATCACCTTTTTGTACATAGATTCTACCACCTAACTTGTAAAAAGAATTCAGTTTACTCATCCTATATATAACTACTACAACCACTACTAATTTTTACTAACTTTTATTGTCACTATGCCCTCCGAAACTATATGGTCTAGTGGTGGTAATACTTCACCAATTCAATCTCATGGTGTATCTCAATATAGATCAGTATTAGATTCAGTTGATCCAGAAGTGGCTAAATTATTATCCACTACATCTTCTTCAACTCCTGCCAATGATAATGATAGACGTTTTTCATTTAATGATGGTTCAGATATTGATGGATCAATCTTTGGATTAAAAAAGGGAACTTTTTCGGCTATTACTGCTCCTGTTGGAGGAACTGGTAATGGACCAAATAGTGCTAATTTAGTTAATAATTCTTCAACTACAAATCCAAGATTAAATTTTGGAACTGCCTCTATTAGTGGAGGTATTGCAAGTAGACATCCTCATCCTCAAGATAGCTTTTTACAAAAATTTGCTTCTGTGGCTGATGCTACTAGAGAAATTGAATTATCAAATGGATTTACTAAATTAAATCTTGATAATTCAAATTCAAGAAGAACAAGTTTTAATACTAATAATCCAGTATCAAATGATTCACCAATTATTTTAAGTTCTCCTCATGGATCAATGAATGAAAATTTAAATATGCCAGCTCCAAGAAATTCAAGACATCAATCTATTAGTGAAAAAATTGATCAATATAATAATACTTCACCAATTCAAGCTAGTGCTGCTTTATCAGTAAATTCTGATTTAAATTCAATTCCTAATGATAATTTAAATTTAAATCATTCCCTTTCTAATAATGGTCCAAATTCAAAAATTCCAAATGGTGGTAATGGTAATCAAAATCATATGCCTCATAATTTTTGGAATCCAGCAACTGCTTCATCTTTTACTCCTGCTGCTTCTTCTTATCAATATTTTATGGATGGTATTCCTGAAGGAGTTCATGTTCCACCACCTCAAGTTTTTAATCCTTATGGTGGAGCAGGAATTAGAAATCCATTAAATGGTAATAATTCAAATATTCCTCCTATTACTCCTCCTCCATTTATGCTTTCTTCTCCTCCTCCACAATTTATGGATCCGGCTTTATTTAATCTTATGAATTATGGTCCAATTAATTCTACTAATAATCCAACAAATCTTAGTAAGAATGATTCTGAAAGTGGTGAAAATAATTCAGAAAGAGATAGTGAAGCCTCTAATTCAGCTAATACTGAAACTAATTCTAATTCTCAAACTACTAAGGGAACTCCAAAATCTAAGAATAATATTATTACTCCTGGTATTGGAATGATGAATAGACAATTACCTCCTGCTTCATTTATGTTTCATCCTTATAATCCTTATTCAGTTTATCATCAATCTCCACCTCCAATTGGAATTCCTCCTTTATCACCTAATCCTTTACCATTAGATGGTAATCTTGCTCCTCAAGGTTTTATTGATCCTTCGATTGTTCCTCCACCTCAACAATCTCAATCTCAACAATCTCAATCTCAACAACAACAACAACAACAACAACCTGGTAATGGAGATTTCCCACCTCTTGCCCCAATTCAACAAGCTCCTTCAACTAAAACTCCACCAAATTCTAATGGTGGAGGTAAAAGAAAGAATGGTGGGTCTAAAAGTGGTAATTCCAATACTAATGGTAATAACAATGGTAATGGTAAAGGAGGTGCCAATCATATTTATAGATCTCCATTATTAGAAGAAGTTCGATCCAATTCTAAAGGCAAAGAATATTATTTAAAGGATATTTATGGACATGCTGTTGAATTTACAAAAGATCAACATGGATCAAGATTTATTCAACAAAAATTACCTGATGCAACTGATGAAGAAAAGGAAGTTATATTTAATGAAATTAGAGATATTTCATATGAATTAATGACCGATGTATTTGGGAATTATGTCATTCAAAAATATTTTGAATTTGGATCAATGACTCAAAAGAAAGTTTTATTAGATTATATGTTAGGACATATTTATGAATTATCTTTACAAATGTATGGATGTAGAGTTGTTCAAAGAGCATTAGAAGCAATTGAATTAGATGGACAAATTAAAATCATTGAAGAATTAAAAGATTTTATATTAATTTGTGCAAAAGATCAAAATGGGAATCATGTAATTCAAAAATCGATTGAAAGAATTCCATTTAATAAAATTCGATTTGTATTAGAAAGTCTTGAAAATCAAATTTATCATTTATCAACTCATCCTTATGGATGTCGAGTTATTCAAAGATTATTAGAATTTAGTGATATTAAAGATCAAGAAGTTATTTTAAAAGAATTGAATAGATTTATCTTTTATTTAATTCAAGATCAATATGGGAATTATGTAATGCAACATATTTTAGAACACGGAGAATTAAGAGATCGTGAAGAAATTTTAAAAGTTGTATTAGGAGCCGTAGTTAATTTCTCCAAACATAAATTTGCTTCAAATGTTATTGAAAAATGTATTAAATTTGGTACTTTAGATCAAAGAAGAAGAATTTTACATGAAGTTATGCTTGGTAATGAAGATTTTACTATTGAATTAGTTGATGATGATTCTCCTTTAGCATTAATGATGAAAGATCAATATGCTAATTATGTTATACAAAAATTAGTTGAAGGATTTGATGCTAAAAGTGAAGAAAAGAAGGTCTTGGTAGTTAAATTAAGACAATATTTAAAACAAATAAGTTCAAGAAATACTTATGGAAAACATTTAGCATCAGTTGAAAAGATGATTATCGTTGCGGAAACGGCTTTAGATGAAGCCGACAATAATTAGATGGATACATACATACCTCCTTTAGGTTACTTATCCTACACTACTACAAAAAGTTATACATGACTTAAATTTTAATTTTTTATACTTTCTTAAATAGCCAATTAGTTGTTTTCAAAAATTCATAAAAACCAAAACAATTCAAAACCAATCTGGGACATTATTTCATATCATATGAATACTTTATTTGTATGAATTATTATTATTATTATTATTATTATTATTACTATTACTATTTATATCTTCTTGTCAATGTTTATAGCTCCCATGTATATATGTCCAATAATATCTACAGTCCAAGCAGTACTTGTAATTTAACCAAAGATGGGATATCATCCATAATGATAATCCCATATAAATGAATGTCTTATTAAGAAATCAGTCTAATAAATATAGATAAATATAAATAAATAAATAATATAAATTTGTAATAAATAAGAAATAAAAGTCAAAGTCAAAGTCAAAGTCAAAGTGACAGGTATAGTCAAAGTACTTCACATTAAAGCAGTCCATGCTTTATAAGTCAATATCCTTAAATGAACTCATTAAATTCAAATGGAATTTAGCCCAAATATCAATCTTATTAGTTTCATCAATTATTAATTCATTATAATAATCATTATATAATTGTTTTGCCTTTGAAGTTTCAATAGCTGAATTCTTATTATTAATTATAAGATAATCATATATAGTTATCCATTGTAATAATATTAATTCATCTTTGGATTCAAGTGACCATATCTCTTGACTTCTTAATAATTTAATCTTTGATGGTGATGATGCTTTAATTGAATCACAAAGATTTTGATCAATATTTCTTTTATTACTTGATTTTATACATGGTTTACATGTACCTTGATCTTGTTGTTGTAATTCTAAAATATCATATTCATCATCAGATGAAGTTAATGATGAGAAATTAGATTTCATATCAGAAGATATAGATTTTCTAATGGCACTACTTGAATTTGAATTTATACTATTAATTCCATTAATATTATTATTACCTTGTCCATTACCTCCTTGAAGACTTAATAAACTTGAAGTACTAAATTGAGAAAAGGTTTTTTTCAATCCTACTGAACTTGGATTACTTGATAAATTATCATTAAGATGACTTAATGCACTACCAATTGATCCACCAGGGTGTTTCATTGAAAATTGTCGTTTACGTTTTAATAAATCTTGTTCAATCATTTCCAGTAGAGCTAAAATAGTTGCATCAGCCAAAATTAATGATAAAGTAGTAGAAACAGTTGGAGCCGGTAATCCATGAATTGATTCTTCATTAAGATAATTTGGTAATTCAGTATAAAGTAAACTATTAATTTGAGGATGATTTGATAATTTTGAATTTCTATTACATGTTAATAATATAATAGGTAAATCAGGAGATAAATGAGGTAATAATTGAATTAATTCTGAAGTATTCCCACTAGCTGTTAATAATATAAGACAATCTTTAGATTCATCTATTATACCTAAATCACCATGTAAAGCTTCACTTGGATGTAATTCTGTTGCATGAATAGATAAAGAATTTAATGTAGCAACTAATTTATTAGCAATTTTAAATGATTTACCAATCCCAGATATAACAATTTTACCTCGATTTATTTGATTAGTTTTAAAAAGTATTTGTAAAGATGTCAATAAATTAGTTTGACTAAATTTATCAGTTTGATATTGCAAATAAAGATGATTTACGGCATCACTTTGGTATCGAAGTGTACTTTTAACACTACTAAATGCCTTGGCTGACATATCCTCAAAGTTAGGTCCCATACGGAAATCCATCCTAAAAGATGACTTGCTATCTTATATATAAATGAAGCTCTTGGTAGTCTTGCTGAAGTCCAAAGAATGAAATTTTTCTTAACTTCTATTTTTTTCTTTTGTGGATTCTGCCAGTGCTACTGATGGAATTGATAACTTAATGAGCAGTACTGAACAAGATTAACAATAAGTAAGTAAATAAATAAATAAATGAATAACTAAATATATCAATAAATATATCGGACTAGTTAGAACACCATTAGCTAAACTGGTAGAAAACAGAAAAGAAGAAAAGTTGAAATTAAAAAAAAGCCTAAATGAAAATTAAAATGCTAATCCTAAATAAAATAGCACAAACAGTTACTAATAAAAGTGTACAAAATACAAAATAAGTGTGTGTAATAGACCAACGTAAAGATGTTAAGATACTGATTTGTAATAGGCACAATATATGCAGAATATGATTATGCAGAAATTGGTATTTAGTATTTATATTGTAGTTATTAATTTAGTTACTATAAGTGGGTGCGGAATTTGAATAGCGGTTTTCGGGTTTAAACCAATTCGACCGGATCATTTATACAACTTGAGATAAAATTGCAAATTCTTAAACTTAAATCAAGCGCACGCACGTGATGCGCCACATACCCCAGACCGTAATTCAACATTACAACCAATAGATAAGAAGAATGTTTAACAACAAAACTAGAAGGAGTTAATCGGTAATTAGTCCGAGTTAGATCAAAGCCCATATTATGATTATGTCATTAAGAATTTTTCTTTTTTTTAATCTATCTTGCTAATTTGATTTATACAGTGTTATGTGCTTTGTTATGTTTTACATCGCCCCCTGTTTTACTGTGTAATTGTTTTTTTCTTGGATGTCACTCTTTCAACATAGTCAACGTTTCCTGTAGTATGCAACACATTTAATATTATTTAAGATTATGATATATTTTATACCTCACCGTAATTGCTCATACTACCGAATAATTATTTATTTTTTAATTGACTCAAACTTTTTATAAAATACACTATGTCGTTTCTTTGGATATACAGGAACTTGTTTTTACCAACGCAAGTTATTTTAAATTATATTAAATTAAAATAGGGTATATATACATATATGATGTCATTAATTATGAGGTATAAGAATTGAATTCTATCAATTGATATATCTCGTCGTTAGGGTGTAATCCCTCGTCATTACTAGATAAATATTCAAATTTATAATCATTGACCACTGCATCCTTAGAATTAGAATGTAAATCTCCACTATTACTGGTTGCAGTCGAGGGATTGGTCGATGAAGTGGCATTACTTGGGGTTTGTAATTGTTCAAATAATGATTGGGTAGTAGTAATATTACTAATATAACTTTCATTACTAACTTTAGATTGTAATTCTTCTTGTCTTAAAGTTTCATGATTAGCCATAGTCTTTTCTCTTAACACTTTAAATTGTTTAACTCTTTGTGACCAATTCGATACAAATGATCCTGATAAATTGGCATGCCAAACATTAGCAAATTGATCAGCTATAATAGCCAAATTTCTAATAAAATTAGGTAAATTAGCTTCTGATATAATCTTAAAATGACTAGTAGCAAACATTCCTGGTACTCCATATCTTCTATATGCTTTAACTTTATAATATCTATCACTTGATCTTTGATTATTATATATTTTTTCACTATTAGACCCAAATGAATCTCCAATACTATTCTCAGTACTACCATTATTATCTCTACTTCCGCTAGTACCTTGCATCATTTCCAGATTAAAACTTTCAACAGTTGATGAAGAAATTGTATGAGGTGATATGACAATATTCAAAAAGTTAAATTGTGATTTAATTAAATTGAAATTATATTCCAATCCTGATTCATCATAATAAATATTAACATAATTATTTCCAATATGTCTCTTCTTTAAATCAACAATTCTTTGCTTCTCTTCTTGATCAACATTATTATTATCCAGTTCTAAAAATTTAGGATTATTCATCATGGTAGTAATATGGAAAATTACTTGAGTAGTTGTATCTCTCCAATATCTAGCATAAGCTCCATCAATATCATTTTCTGTATCCAATGATCCAACATATATTTGTAAAGGATTTTGCTTTAATTTAACTAAATCTCCAATCTTATTAAGGAAATTTTGATAACTTCTTGAACCGATTTTATTAGTTAATACTTCAAGTTCAGAAGTTTGTCCATTACCAATATAAATAATTCCAATCTTATGAAATTCTACAGTAGGAATTCTATCTAATACATTTAAAGCTCTTAAAATAATTGAATCTTCAATTATTGGAATTGGTTTAGTATTCATAGCTGATACATCAATATGATCAAATAATTGTAATAAGAAATAATTTGGATTAATAAGATTCATATCTTCGACTTTTTTATTGGATGATTTAGGAGGTTGATAATCATGTTCTAATTTAATCATTAATTTACAAACTCCGGTTGGTCTTCGAACTATTAAATTAGTATCACCATTAGTATAATCTGTATCAATACTAATAACACTATTTCCAACAATCCATCTATTTAGATTAGCTGTTTGACTTACTCTACCTAATTTACCAGGAGCGGTAGAATTAATAATTTTTAATGGTAAATCACTATAAGTAAATCTAATAATAAAATCAAGATATCCAATAGTTTGATCATCTAAATCTTCATTACTTTCATTACATAATATTAAATTCTTTAATATAAATGATGATAATTTCTTTCTATCTTTCATATGAAGTTTTAAAAACCAAGTTGAAAGAACATTATAAGATAATGATAACATATACTGAGATAATATAGGAGTAAATTCTGTTGATTGATTTGAAGGAGTTTGATCTACTTGAGCATCAACTCCATGAGTTTGAAGAATATTTTTACGATCATCTTCATGAGGTACTCTCTTTTTCATATCATTAGCATATTGAATTAATTTAAATGCAATTCCAAAAACTCTTCGGAATTCATCTAAAGTAAAATTTGATGTTAATGATGGTAAATGTACTAAAGATAATAAAAATTCTAAAGTATGAGTACTTGCAAATGCACTTGTAACTCTTGTTTGTAATGTAGTTAATATTACTGATAAATATTTCTTAACTGATAAAGGCATTTCATAACAACATACAGTTAAAATATTTATACATGGTATAGCTGTCTTTTCCCATGATCCTAATCCAATAATTAATGAATTAATTATTTGATCTTCATCATACTTTGAAAAATTATTATGATAACCTAAAATAGGTGTAAGAGTTCTAACCGATGCAACTTGAATATCTGCTCTGGTAATATCTGGAGGTAATTTTATATGATGAGATAAATTTAATGTCAATTGATCACAAATGATATTCTTTAATTTTGAAATTTCTTCTTCATTATGAATAAATAAATCAATATTGGCTAATTGAGAACAGAAATGTGCCCATACAAATGAATAGATTTCCCAATCAACGAATTTTGTCATGATTTCAAGAATTAGATTAAACCATGGAGTCATATCAATTCCCTTAAGAAATGATTCCTTTTCATTTAATGCATAAGGAGTATTGAAATCAGGTCGAGCTATATAAACTCGAGAAGGTTTATCATATAACTTATCGGGTAAATAAGGTACAGTTTCTGGATATACCCATTTATATTGTTTAATTAAATCATTATTAAAAGATGAATCTTCAGTATTTCTTTTAAATGAAACAGCTAACCCAGTCATATCTGATGGTTTAGAAATATAAATCTTTCGATCAGATGTGACTCTAATTCTAATTAAACATTTAGAAACAATCATTAATAAATCAGATTCATTAAATGCAATAGCATATTGAGCCATTTTAATCATAACATTATAACATTCTTGAGCCTTTTCCGGATTATTATTTGATATTGATACTAAGAAAACTCGAGCAATTGCCTTAGCAATTTGAAGGAATAAAAATAATGAAGAAGAAAGTGAATTGGTAGTCCTTTGAGATACTGAACTTAATGATACTAAACTCTTTAATTTATCGGTTTGATTCATACTTACATTAGCACTTGAAAGTTTATTCTCAAGTTGGACAACAAATACATTACATAGTTGTTTAAATCCATTATTTGATGTATGAAGAGCTAAAAAGATAAATAAATTATCAATCAAATAATCAATAATAATTTCATCTCTTTCACCTAAAGATCTTCTTAATATATCAAACATTATATCATAATTAATATCTGATTTTGAAAATATTGAAATAGATATTTCCATACTTTCTTTAATTACTCGAAGACATGCAACTTTTGCTTCGATATTTGATGAATTATAATAAAAATAATTCAATATTTTTAAACAATTATCTTTCCAAAATGGATTTAATAAGGAACATAATCTTTCTTCATTATAAAATTCAAGTACAAATTTAATATTTTCAACCGTTAAATATTTATAATTATGTATGAGGAAATTTATTAATTTATCTTTGGGAGTGGTTAATTCATGATTTTCATAAAGAGATTGTAATGATAAACAAATAGACTTTAAATAACTTTCATCTTGTTCTGAATTAACTCTTAAACCCTTTAAAATATCATACATTGATAAAGTATTAGAATACCATAATTGGAAAGGTAATATCTTTTCAAATGATTCATTAAATTCAATATTAAAATTCTCAAAATAGGATTCCTTAGAGAATAATCTATCGAAATATCTTAAGAATGCTGAATTTAATCGAGGATTATTATGTAAACTAGCATTCCTTATGGCACTATAAATATTTAAATAACATGAATCAATAGATGGTCTATGATCGGCAGCATTAACTATTTGAATTCTTTGTAATATTTCAATGGCTCCAATACATGCTTGAATTATAACATTATCAGACAGTTCTGTCTTATAACATTGTTGAATAGTACTCGTTAAACTTGTTATTAATACAAAAATTGAATCTTCAGTTGATAAACAATCTATACATTCCCATATTCTTTTAGTTAATGATTCATCAAATCCAAATGAATAAATTTTGCAAAAGAATGTCACGACTAATTCAAAGCAATCCGACGGTATACTTCCAAAGAATATAACAGAATGTAAAATATCTACCAAATTAGAAATAATTAATCTATTGGTAGTTGAATTAGATATCATAACTGACTTTCTAATAATATCAGAAACAATTTCTTCATCAAGTATAGTAAAACTATATTTAAGACAATTTTTAACAAATTCAATGGTATTAATTAAAACTTTGAATTCAAAATCTTGCTTTAATAATTTCTCATCATTTATTTGATCTTGTAATCTATAATTGGAAGCAAATTGACTAACCACAGCTAAACTAGATGTTAAGAATACATTAATATTTTTATCTTCATCATAAATACAAAAATCATGAATTTCTCTTCCATCATTAGTTAAAGCTTTAAGGGCTTCAAGAAATAAATCATAATCAGGATCTAATTTATATCCTACTTTCAATTGACAATAAGTCTTAATATCTCGGAAATATCTTAATCTAGTTCCTACGGCATCATCATCATGTTTTATACACAGTAATAATAATTTAAGGGCTGTTCGCCTAACTTGTGACAGCATTCTCACATCACACATATCTCGAGCTAAATACCATACTTCAGGAATTGAAGATATAGAATATTTATCAAGAGATTCTGTTAATTTTGTGGCAGCTGAACATCTAGTAGATAATGAATTTGATTGTAATTGTTGAAATAACTGAGGTAAATCTCCTCCACCTCCAACTACTGTTGCATTAATCAGTACTGGTACATTCTTAGTAGTAGAGGTAGTCGATTTTAATGTCTTAGTAAGAGATTTAAACACACTCCCTAACCCCGATGTGGCAATAGTTGGATGGTGTGTCGACATATTCTATACTATAATTAATATTGACTTATATTATTATTTGACCCATTAACTTACTATTGCTTTATATTTTATAATCAATTGATAAATTTGACCTTTTACTCCAGATTTTTTCATTGTGGTTCGAATTTTTTTTCAGTGATACTTCAGATGACTTTGAAAAATAATTTTACACCCAGTCAGATTTTTCACAGCAATTGGGGGACGATTACCAATTATATAATACAAAGTAATAATAGTAATAATAATAATAATAATAGTAATTATTTATTGTTTATTTATTATATGCAATCTAATACTTAACACCAGTAACGATATATTCTATAGTACAATGGTTTAGAACGTAATACCGCCCGTTCTTCTGCCAATTCTTGTTTTAATGCTTCAATGTCAGTTTCTCTTCTACCACTATCAATATCAATATCTTTAGCTCTAATAAATAAGATCCAATTCTTTCTCCAGATTTTATGACCAACATAGAAGACAATTAATATGACAAATCCTAAATAACCTTCAAAAAATCCTTCGGCATTTGGTGCGTCACCTAATGGGAATAATGATAACCAGAATTGTGCAATAATAACTAAAGTATTTAAAATAACACCAAACCATGATCCAATAACTCCAGTTTGAGATGTGAATGCTAATTCATCAGTATCTCTACCTTGAGATTTTAAAGCTCTTCTAAATCTTATATGGGCAAGACAAATAGATAACCATGTAAAGATAGAACTTAATGCAGAAATTGATAATAACCAGTCAAATACTTGAGCTTGTTTACCACTAGCAGCAATAAAACTTAATAATCCAAATACGTTAGTTATTGTGATAGCAACTAAAGGTCTTCCAGCTCTATCAATATATCCACAAATCTTTGGTGCTAAACCTTGTTCTGCTAATGCGGTCAATGTTCTTGATGTGGCATAAACAGATGATGATCCAACAGAAATAACTGAGATTAAAATAACAGCATTCATAACCGATGGCAACCCTTTAATACCACCATTTTGAATAGCAATAACAAATGGTGAAGCAGTGATATCAACTGAACTGGCACCTAATAATCTATCAGAATTATATGGAACTAAGAATGTAATTAATGTAATAGAAACCATATAAAACATCATGATTCTCCAAAATACTTGTTTAGTTGCTTTAGGTAAAGATTTTCTAGGATTGAATGCTTCAGCTGCTGTAAGTCCCACAAGTTCTGTACCACCAAATGAGAAAGCAGCAGTAACAAAGACTGATGCAACACCTTTAAATCCATTAGCAAATGGGCCAGGAGTATGCCAGTAAAGAGCTCCAACATAATGACCAGTTGGACCACCACCTGCAGCTAAAATAATTGAAACAATGATAAAACCAATGACAGCCAATACTTTTAAAGTTGAAAATACAAATTCTGCTTCTCCATAAGCTCTGACTCCGAATAAATTAATAGATGCAACCACAATATAGAATATTAATACCCAAACATCTGGATTAACATTAGTATTCCAATATTCCATAGTAATTGATCCTGCAACCAATTCCAATGGTAATAAAACTAAGAATTGGAAAAAGTAATTCCAAGCAACTGAGAAACCAACACTTGGATCTATGAATCTACTGGCATAAACATTAAATGATCCACTAATTGGGAATGTAACTGCCAATTCTGCCATAGCTTGAATGGTACATAGTATAGCAGAACCAGTAAGGGCCCATGCGATTAAGACACCAGCTGGACCACCAGTATTTAAGGCACTACCAGTACCAATTAATAACCCGGATCCAATCGAAGATGCAATGGCAATCATTTGTAAATGTCTATTCTTTAACTTTCTCTTTAGCTTTGATTTTGAAGTATTAAGGTTAATTCTTTGAATATCAGTCATTGAGTCTTCATCTTCAATACTATGTAATTTTTCGTATTCAATAGCTGGTTTAAACGAATCCTTAAATGATCTCCATCTACTTTGATTATCGTGACCATTTTCTTCATTATATGGAGATACTGAACTTGATAATGGACTCTTGGCTGAGCTAACACCTTCAGACTCTATAAAGGATGCTTCTTTATCTCTAGGTAGCATTTTAATTATACGGTTATTAAAATTATAAAGTATGGTATATTAACTACAGATTATCTACATTTATAAATATGTCATTATCGTGCTACATTTTTATACGGTTTGAGTCTAATATTGCAGTTAATAATGCCGTGAAAATTTTTTGGCTCATCGGTACATTTTTTATGTGAGCTAACTGTAACGCCGCATCATTTTGGCACGATTTGCAGCAATGGGAGGTGGCAACTTTGACATATTTTTAAAGGTGGAGGTCTGCATCAACTAATGAATCTACCACATTTAAGTTGTTGGGACTATGTTATGGTAATATCCAATATCGTCGGATAAGATTTGTTAAGAAGTTGAAGTTGAAGTAGTAAAGCTATGACTAATTACCTGTAGGGGCGATGTTCGCTAAGGACGTTAGGGGAAAAAATGCCGAACCGAGGCGCATGGAATTAACTCTAACTCTGAAGCTGCAATAGTAGAGAATTGCAATTAAATTAAATTAAAAATATATTAAACGTTATTAAAAGAAATAAAATGAACACTGTAAAAATAAAAATAGAATATTAATAGCTATTATCTAAAGATATTTTCAATAAATTATTTTGTAATTTTTTCAACCATAAATTATATCCATAAAGAAACAAAAACCTCCACCCCAAGTAAATCTTTGAAAGGCTCTTCTAAGAAAAGCTGGTCTAATTGACATAAACATATTCCCACAATTATAACCTTCACTTTCAACACCTATACCCCATTTAATATTTTGTCTAACATTACAACCACCCCAGAAATTCCACCATTTAGTTCTTTCACATGGTAAAACTCTTAATAAATTTTTAGCTAATGGACCCTTTGGTCCATCAATTTGTTTATAACCTGCTACTAACAGATATGTTTGTCTTGGATCTTTTAATGGTAATTGTTTATCACCCCATTGACCTGAATAGGACAACCAATTATGATAGGATAATTCACGACCTATATGCTTTGGATTCCTATTGGTATTACCTGGGTACACATATTGACCATCATAAGTATAGGAAAGATAATTCTTAGTTGGATTCCAAAGAGGACCTCTATCGGTAAAATCTGATAATATTCCATAAGGTAAATCATGAGGATATTGTCCAACACTTGGATAATTAGCATGAGTACCTCTGGCACTGAATATGATTGGATGTTTAGGATTTAATTGATATTTTTCTAAATTATGATAATAAAATCCACCACCTCCTCCATGAGCTGACATCCATACAATGACTGGTTGACCGTTATAAAATCTAACCAATGAATGCTCCCAGTCCCCAACATGATTACCATATGGACCCAGACCCATAACAAAAGGTCCTAAATTAAAGGAATAAAAGTAAAACCAATAAGAGTCTACCCAACCATTTCCTTTATCGACCACAATTAAAGTAGCAGGAGCATCCTTAATCTCTCCATCAATTAAACTTGGTTTATTTTTAATACCAGTGATCCAGTTTGGATCAAGTGAGAAATCTGAATTGGACATAAGATATAATTCATCAGTATCATAAAGTTTGGCTAAATCACCAAATTTCTTAATGTTCATATCTTCTTCAGTACCGGGAACCACGGTACCATTAGGAAATTCTACTCTGAATTCTTTAATATATGATTTAATATCATATGGTAAATATCTTTCTTCACTATAAAGATGGACTAATGGAGCATATTCAATTACATAATCAGGGATTTCACCCTTTTCAAGAGTACGTTCACTCTTTGTTGGTAAACTAATAATAGGAGGTAAATTCTTAAACTTAGTTGAACTCTTTAAGATATTTTGAATTTCTATTTCTCTATCTTCATCATTTTGAACTAGTTGAAGTAATACATTATTCTTAGATGTTTCAAACATTGGTTGAAATTGAAAATTTGGATCAAGTTGTTCTTGTTCATGCTGTTGTTGTTGTTGTTGCTGTTGCTGTTGTTGCTGTGCAGGCGATGCGATGCTTGTCGCTATTAAGCCAGCAACAACCACCAATATTGGATTGAACACATACATAGTGACTGTTCTGATAATGGTTCTATAAGATTCTATGAATGTGTATATGCTATAAATTCATTTATTAGTAAATACTAAAGTTATAATTAAAATAAATAGAAAACGTTGCTAAGTCAGCTATTTGATCTTCCCTCGTCTCGGCTTATATATCCCCAGTTGCATCCTTACTAAAAAATTCCCGCATTAATCCGATCATTTGTTTTCTGTACGTCATTTTGTTGGATGCTTCCATACCGCAATACAAATCTAGAAAAGAACGAGGATACGACATATACGAGTGACAGAAAATCACGAGTTCGCAATAGATGCAAAATGACTTAAATTGTTAATAGGGGTAGTATATGATATAGAATATAAACATTATTATATAGATATAGTTTTAGTTTTAGTTTTAGTTTTAGTTTTAGTTATAATTATAATAATAATAATAATTTGTTGTCTACTCTCTTTCTATCTATCTAAAACACAAAGACTTGATCACCTAATTTACTAACTGGCTTAGCCTTTTGATAACCTAAAGAAACAGCAGCCTTTTTCATAGCACTAATCATTGGTGGTGGTCCACATAATAATAAATTGGTATTTTCTGAAGCCTTTGGTAAGTATTTATCAATAATTTCTGGAGTAACAAAACCAACTGATCCAGTCCAACCTTGTGGAGCTTCATTTAAAACGTAATGAACTTTGAATTGATCGGCATGTTCTTCTTCGAATTTTTCTAATTCAGCTTTTAATAAAATATCATTTTCAGTAACGTTAGCATAAACTAAACTAATCTTAGTCTTATCAGCAGGATTCTTTAAGATGGCAGTAATTATTTGAAACATTGGAGCAAGACCAGTACCACCAGCAATCATACCAAAACTTTCTACCATATTTGGAGTGTAAGTAAAGAATCCCTTTGGTCCTCTAATTTCAACATGTTCACCAACTTTTTTAGATTCTACATGTTTGGAAATATTACCATTTTCATAAGTTTTAATTAATAAATCAAAGTATCCTAATTCATCATCAGTACTAATTGGAGTATAAGATCTAACAACTTCTTTACCATTAATAGTAGCACCAATAGAAATATGTTGTCCGATTGGTAAACCTAATCTATCAGTAGATTTTGGTAAACCAAATCTATAAATAGCAGAATTATGACTGACTCTAGTCTTTTCAATTAATGGGAATTTTTGAAATTGATCAGGTTTTAAAACTGGTTGATTTTTGTTGGCAAGTTTATAATAATATAATGAAATAAATGATCCAATTATAGCTGCAATAGTAGCAAAAATAAATAAAGGATTAGCTTCACCAGAGTCTGACATTTTACTTAATCTAACTTATAATATGCTTTCACCTTTAGAAGAAATTTAACACATAGAAACTGTAACATATATAAACTGGTTAATTGATTCATATGAAAGTTTGTTCTGTCGTGGAACGATTGAAAAATTTCCTAATGCGGCCTGTTACCCGGATTCCCCAATTGAGTAAAATGATCCCATTACCGCTATCGTCTTTTACTATGATATATGATATTTTATGCTTGTGTAGTACTTGAGTTCTTTAAAACTGTAGATGCATATTTCATTAACCCGTTTTAGTAAAATTAAACATTTACTAAAGAGAAGTCATTGACCATTACCATTACTTCTGCGTGTTAGATCAATTATCTGCGATGATCATCACGTATTGCAGTATGAGTTTAAGCCATTTCAATATATTGAAGAATATACAAATGTATACTAAAGTCAATCATAACTCCCTCATCAGTTATTATAGACTATTTTATTTGTCTACTATTCTGGTTCTGAGAGTAATGAAATTAGCATAGTTTACGAATGTAATTTTCCTTGCAGCATTTCGCATGAATTGTTGCAAAATATCATTGTTTATTATACAAGAATAATCTAAATATTTTATTTCATCTATGTCATAATCTATTTTAATCACCATTGACCATCATAATTTCATTCCTCTACTCCTCTACTTCCGCATCTTCTTCACCATCATTATTTACATTCCATTGACAACTAATATCCCATCTTGAACCTTTAGCATTTATACTAACATACTTCACAAATTTTAATACAGAACTGTCTCTTAAAATCAATGTCAAAGAATTCCATTGACATTGATTAGTAAATAAAACACTATCATCACCATTACTCCTATAAATGGCTGGATCATCTTCATCATCATCTTCATCATTACCAGCTGTTGACATACATAACTCATAACCACCAAATTCACCTGATTCCCAATTCTTTGGATTAGTAGCAGTTGGAGTTAAATTTAAAGTTGCTTCTAACAATAATTCTTCATCTTGTTTAGTTGCAAGAATAAAATCTGATCCTGGTCTAAATCTTCTAATCAATACTTGATCTCCAGTAACTACCAATTTACTTATTAATTTCAACCACTTTTTAAAAGCAATAGATTTCAAAAATTTAGCTAATTCAATTAATTTAGTATCTACCAACTTTTCTGATCTTAATATAGAGAAATTAGGGAATTCTTGTGGTCCAACCAGATTAGCAAATCTAATAGAATCAGCAGAGGTAAAGTCCATATCATTGGATTTACCATCAATATATAAGAACCGATGTTTATGTGGTGGTATGGCACATTTCCAAGGTCCTTCAATTTCGGCTGCTTTAGAAGGAGTCTTAACATTCAATTCTTCTTCTCTAATCAACTCACGAAGTTTAGTGGCATATTCATTATTCAAGAAGTTCTTTAATTCTAAGACGGATTCATTAAGGAAACTTTCTGATAATTGTTCAATTAAATCTTCTTTGTTTACATATTCACTATTAAGGAATTTCGTTAAATATTCTAATTCTTCTTGAGTGAATTTGGTGAAATCATCAAATTGTTCATACTGTTTAATTTCAAGACTATTGAAATCATCTCTGATTAATTTAGGAAAGTCAAACTCTTGTAATTCCTTTGATTGTAACAATTGTAAAGTTGACTTACCAACAACTTCTTCTTCTTCTCCTTCAATATATCCATCTTCCCCAGATTGTGGAATATGGAACCAACCTTGAATACTCAATCTTTTTTTATCTTCTCTTACTTCTTCAACATCATGAAATGATAAACCTGGTTGAACATGAAAGAAAGCCATTTGATTGAATTGTGGAGTAAATTTCAGATGATAATCAGTTTGAGGAACATTTGGTACAACAGAATCAAATAATCTTAAAGATCCACCAAATCTTTCATTCCACACTTTATCAGGTTCAGGTAAATATAATATAAAACTAACACGTCTAGATCCAATAACATCATCATGGGTTAATAAATGACATCCTTTAGTATATACATTAATTGACATATCAGTTTTAATACCACTTAATTTACCACAACCAGTAACTTTTGAAACAATATCTCTAAATTGTTGAGAATATATAGCACTTCTTAATTTATATAAAGATGGTAATTTAGATAAATCATTCCAATCTAATCCTGATAAATTAGCTAAATCTCCCGATTGGAAAACTTTATAAATATCAGTTTCTTTCTTAGTAAAAGCAATTTCGTGTAATACTTCATTTCTAACTTGTCTTAAAAGTGTATCATCCACTAATTCTGAGAAATGTCCCCATCTATAAGGTTGACTTTCAGAAATCGTCTTTTTCAAATCATTTTGAAGATCTTCATTAAAGATTTTGGGATTAAAGAATGATGTAATTTCTTCTTTAGTAAATGTTGTATTTAACTTTTTTGAAACTTGTTCACCGTCTCCATTCGGAGACTCTCCTTCTCTTTTAACCATATTTTATCTCTACGTTTATGAATAAAGTAAAGTAAATATAAAAACCTATACGAATTTATATGACTATTATAAATTTTTATTCATATCAGACCATGTTGCAAACACTACTGCAAGATGAGCTTCGGTTACCGGAAAAGGTCGTACGCTTGCACGCTTCGTGTCACGTGAAACTTTTCACAATTTTTTTTTATTTCCGACAAAATTTTTCAGTGGGGGCCCTAAAGAAACTCGACGATTTTTCAGTCGACTTATAATACTTAATAGTTTTTCATTTATTTACTATAATCAATATATAAATTATAAAAATGTCTGTTGAAGAAATCCCACAAGGTGCCGATGTCACCATCATCTCCAAGAATGAAAAGAAAGCCAGAGACTTAATTAAGAAGTTAGGTTTAAAGCAAATCACTGGTATTACTAGAGTTACTTTCAAACAAAGAGGTAACTTAATTTATGCCATTGATCAACCAGATGTTTACAGATCTGCTGCCGGTACTTATGTTGTTTTCGGTGAAGCCAAGGTTGATGACATTAACAAGAGAATTGCCGAAGCTCAAGCTCAACAAGCTGCTGCTGGTGCTCATGATCACGACCATGATCATGATCATGACCATGACCATGACCATGACCACTCTCATGACAAATCTCCTGAAGCTATTACTGCTGATTTACAAAAATTAGCTTTAGACAACGAAAACAAGATTGCTGAAGTCGAAGATGAAGGTGAAGTTGATGAAACTGGTTTAGATCCAAAGGATATTGAAATCATTATTGAACAAACCCAAGTTTCTAGAGCTAAGGCTGTTAAGGCTTTAAAAGCTCATGATGGTGATATGGTCAATGCCATTATGGAATTATCTTCATAAGTCAATTGTGTATAACTAGTTTATTTAATATAAAGAGGTATTTATCACATAGATCTAACTATAATATAATTATTGTAAGGATTCATCCTTGGATTCAATCTTCTCTTTAGGTGATGTATCTGACTCAACTTCGGATTTTTCATTTTCAGCTGTTACTGGATCAGGAACCTCTTTCTTTACATCTTCTGATAAACTCTCATTAATTAAATCTTTTAACTCTGCATCAAGAACTCCATGACCATTTAATGTACCACATTGCATGCACTTAAATTTTATAGCAGATGGGTTATCTGTATGGGGTGGGGCCAAACCGTTATGAGCATAACATTTATAGCAAATCAATGCATATCTATTTTCAACTGCTTCACTGTTATCAGATCCTATAAGTAAATCCAAAATTCTATCTTGGAATGTTCTCTTTGGTGGTGTGGAAGCTACTTTTGGTGGCGGAGGTGTTGATGACTGTATTTGCGATTGTGCGTGAGATTGTGGGGTTTGTTGTGGTAGAGGTTTATTTGGAGTGATATTGATATTCAATTTCTTTAACTGTGTTTCTGATAACTTATTGACATCTATAACTCCTGACCTATTAATTGTAGGATTGTTAGGAATTTGAGTTGGTAAGTTCGATTTTGGTTTTGTACTAAGATTTGATTTAGGTTTGGGTTTGTCCTTCTCATCCCCAAATTTGTCCAATAACTCATTAGTTGTATTGAAGTTTGTAATTCTTTTCAAATCCTCGATCTTTTGCTTATGTTTCTTCTTTAGGTTAATCAATTGATTTGATTTACTATTAATTAAGAATGTATAGAACCAATGAACAATGGTATAGATACCATACCCTACTACTGGATAAAGTAATAAAAATAACAATTGGTGTTTAGTTTGTGAAGTAATAAATAATTGTAAACGATTAATCTTTGTATTACTAATTGTAGTAGGACTAGTAGCATATATATATCCTAAGAATAATATATATGTAGCTGAACAGATTAATAGCACTTTCCGTTTAGAAGAATCACGACCAATTTTTAATCTCAGAATTTGTTGACTTGTAGTAGAAATCTTCTGAGTAATGGAACTGAGTTCTTTCTCAAACTCATTAGGATCAAATCCACTCTTCCGGAATATACTAAACATGATTATCTAATATAAAACAAACTATACAGTAGTGGCACACTAAAATTTATTGCTCCGTGAAATTTATTTGTATACCCTCAGAAAAAATGTACTCGGAGCTAAAAGTCATCGGTAACTTGAAAACGACACGATCACTAAAGTATCGGGCAATAATATATTATTCATTACAATATTGAAATTGAAATTCTATTGAAGTTTAAGATAAAGATTTAGTAGAAGTAATAGCAGGTTACTATGACTTATACTATAGGAGATCGAAAGATCACTTTAGAACATGACTTATCTGAATCTGATATACAACTTCTACTAGCACATTCAAAATTATTTAAATATTGTCTTAATATGGTTACATTTAAATATCTTATAAATTTAAAGAAAATTGTCCATCTTTATGGAGATGTAATAACTATATATTCAACATTACTTAGTAAAATTCCAAATTATGATGATATAACTTTAATGAGTATAAATTCTAAAATTAGTATACTACAACTTGAAAATAATTTAAGTAAGATATTAGGTGTCACAACTAGTGTAAATAATACTATAACAACGACTACTACAATAAAGGGAGGTAATTGGGAAGATAAAGAATATGAAAATAATGTTAAAAAATTCACAGTAATAATATTAGAATCAACTATAGATACATTTGCATTAATTCTTAAAACATTACGATGTGTTGAAGTATTCTTTTCATCATATAGTAATCTTAAAAAATTATTAGTACCATTTTTATTAAATCAAACTATTTCAATTAATGATTCTTTACGTAAAGCCCTTTATTTATTTAAATTAACCACAATTGCAGATGATATTGTGGCTATAAAGGAATTAACACCTCCAATATTAAAACAATTAAAGAAAATTGAAAAAATTACTACTGGAATTGAACGAGAATCAGCCATACTTTTATTTGCATTTAAAGCTTTTAATGATACTTTAAAGAAATATACTTCAGTATTAATTGGTAAAGCAATACTTAAAAGAGAAATACCAAGAAATCAATGTGAATTAATAAATAGAAGAGAAGTATGTCTTCAAGCTGCTGAACATGTAGTAAGTATACCATTAACTGAAGATCAAGTTGAAGGATTTTTATTTAAGAATATAAAGGCTTATCTATATTATGGAATTGCAACTTTATCACTTATTATGGCATTATTATTATTCAGACTTTTCAAACTTTTATTTGGTCCAGAAACCAATTAAATATTTATTTATTTATTGTATTTATCTATAGAAATGTAAAATAGCATACCCATGCATAATGAATATAAAATATGAAATAAACTATATATAATAAACATATTGTATAAGTCCTAAGTATAGGTTATGTAGTGTTATATACCTGTGTTCTAAAAATCATTGAAATGGTGACTATACTGGCAAGGAAATGTTGTTTTCAGTACAATACTTGACCGTAAGATCCTTTGCAGTCTTTAACAATCGACTAAGTGGAATCCATTTGATCTCTCCATCGATAAATTTAACTTCAAAGGGTGTAACCTACTAGGTTATCAAAGAACCGGTTATTATGCTGCAACTTTTTATCTTAATTCACTGCGATCCTAGCACTTTTATGTGGGTGCACCCCAAAGGCAGTTGTATTAACACTGAAGATGTCTAGAGTCTAAGATGTTTTGCTTATTAAGCCTTGCTTTAGGTTACTCGTTACGTCGTTAAACCATAGATCTGGTCCTAAAACCAGTTCAATATGTCCTTCAAAATTTATATGCTTAACAGTAACTCGGTATCTTCATCAATGACACCTTTTAGGGTCCTAATAAATCTGTTTGCAGGTTCTACATCATCCCACTAATAAAAAGATCCCACTGTTTGGTAACTGTAAACCGCCATACCCATGCCCATCGCCAAACTCAAGGTACTCCACGCGCAGTCATTGCCTTCCTCAAGTCCCTTCTTAGTCTTATAACAGTAATAAACTACATCAGTTAATGATTTTGTGCCTGTAACTGTCGATAAAACCACTCTTGCAGTTTCATCACCGCTGTTAATATGTAGACGGATTAAGTAGTAAAAAGCCCATGAGAATTTTCCTTTTACTAATGTTTCTGTTACTAAGTACCTAAATATATTAAAGATATTAATGCAGTCACATAAGTATAACTTGCAGATAACCTCATCTCCTACTATATAGCACATAACAAATCTAATAACTAGTAAAGTACAAAGTAGGACCACCCAACTTGGTATCATATTGTATTATTGTCAATGTTGTGACTGTTAATTAAATATAAAGTAATGTTCACCTAATTAAACATTCCATGTCGTCAACTAGCCTAATTAACATAAATTGGGCAAAAATAGCCTTATAACTTGGAGGGGAATAATGGTTATTACGATTAGCTGTTATTCGCAGCAATATATCTGGTAACGAAACGACCTTTGCTGGATACTGCAAATACTAATAAAGACTCCTAGTCTAAAGAATACATGAAAATCTACAATTTAATTGAAGAAGGACAATTCATAACCAGAGAAGAACAAGAAACTCTCTAAAAAATACTAAAGATATCATACATATTGCAAGTGAATTTTATTCCAATCTGTATCTGTATGCCAGACCAAACTTAGTGGAAGAACATACAATATACCAATACTCTCCTTAACACCCACAATGTTGAAACAATACTGGAAGATTTTATCTACCACCAAAAGGAAACATCTGTATGGGATAACTACACAGGGTCCAGCTAGGACATCGCCGACACTATCTACCACCACCGACGGATGGTGTGTGCCACCTTTGTCTAACACCGGTTGAATCCACTGACTATCACCTTCGCCTTTATTTTAATTGCCAAATTAGTCAAACTGTACGACAGAAGATCTTTATTTATCTACCACAAGTATGGACTACTATCATTGCCAACGATACACTAAATACTTCCCAGCTTCTCTTGCTAAATCGATAACTACACATCATCCACCAATTGTACAGTCGACGACGACTAGCGTACAAGGAGGGTAATGGGCTCGATCCATTAACACTTATAATAATTGGGTATCATATTTGTCTACATCTTTATAAATCAAATCATTTTAATCTCTACATTTTGTATCTAATAATTTTGCTGGGATGAGAGTTTTTACTTGTTAAAGGTTTCTCTCAATTGTTTTTGCAATTATTTCTCTATATATAGTGTATAGTGTGTATATATATCGCCACGCAAAAAAATAAAATAAAAATTTATGGTAGCCTATCTGAAATTTTATGGTTAACTATGTTAACTATGGACCTGCACACATGTCTGCCGTACGCCAAACTTTTCCCTCTCCAAAGAGGAAATAAATAATGTCATATACAGTGAACCCCGAAACTTTATACACCAGACAATTTCTACCCCATTCATTCAATTCTATAAATATCTATCTATTTCACTACATAAGTGTATGGTGTAGTCAGAAGTTAGTTAGTGATTTTTTTTTTTTAATTAATTTGGTACAAATTGGTGAGAGTTAACCAAGTCATCTTGTTAACTATAACATATAAACTCAAGTCATTACTACATTAATTCATTTTCATTGTATAATTACTTCAATTTTAAATACCAAACCAATTCTTAAATTATTGAAATTTAGGTAGATAGTAATAAAACCATGACTAATTCACAAATATATTCTGCAACATATTCTAATGTTCCAGTATTTGAATTCGTAACCCCCGAGGGGCCGATAATGAGAAGGAAACAAGATTCATGGATAAATGCCACTCATATATTAAAAATTGCTAAATTTCCAAAGGCAAAACGTACAAGAATATTAGAAAAAGATGTTCAAACTGGAACTCATGAAAAAGTTCAAGGAGGTTATGGAAAATATCAAGGAACTTATGTACCATTAGATTTAGGATCAGAAATTGCAAAGAATTTTGGAGTTTTTGAAATTTTAAAGCCGATTTTTGAATTTAAATATATTGAAGGTAAATCAGAAACTCCACCTCCAGCTCCAAAACATAATCATGCTTCTGCTTTAAATATAGCGAAACGTCAAGCTAATCCATCATCTTCTAATAGTTCAAAATCATCTACATCAACTACTGTAAAAAGAACAAGAAATGCAACTCCTAATGTAACAGTATTACCAGGTGAACCTGCTAAAAAAAGAGGTCGTCCAAAACGAGTATCATTATCTTCAAAACCAAGTTTAAAACATTCAGATACAACTCCAATAGAACCAGGACCAAATGTAGGAACGTTTAATACTAATTCAAAAGTTTCATTTACAGTACCTGCTCCAGCATCTTTATCAAGACAAGATACTGAACAAGATGCTTTACAAATAATGAGTAGTAATATGAATCTTAAACATGAAGATTTGGAATTAGTTGAAAGTGATGATGATGATGAAGATGAAGATGATGAAGATGCTCAACATGGACTTCATCATCGTCGTAATGGATTACTTAATGGAGATAATGAACCGTTAAGAATAGATTCTCAAATGGGAGATGATTTACTTGGTAGTAAAGAATTATTTGGAACATCAAGAGATTCATTTGAAAGAGTTCATCATAACTATAATAATAATCATAATAATGGTAATCATAATTCACGTATTAATGGTCATCAAGATTCATATAATTTTTCACAATATCATACTCATACTCCAGGAATATCTGCTAGTCAACAACCAGTTAATACCTATGATCTGGTATACATAGAATATTTTTCTGAGTTGTTATCTTATTTTACAGATGATTCTAAGATACGATCTAATGTAATTCCAAATAAGATTCTTAATCCTCCTACTCCTTATTCTAAAATTAATATTAATCAACCAATAGATAACGAGGGAAATACATTATTTCATTGGGCTTGTTCTATGGCAAATATTCAAATGATTGAATTCTTAAAAGGAACGTTTGGTATTAGTTCAGAAATTAGAAATAGACAAGGTGAAACTCCATTAATGTTTTTAGTTAAATTTGTTAATTCTTATCAATTAAAGAATTTCCCATCTATATTACAAATATTATTGGAATCAATTTTATTGGTTGATAATTCTAATAAAACTGTATTACATCATATTTGTTCTATAGAAAATGATAAAAAACATAAAGAAAGATTTGCAAGATATTATATGGAATCATTATTTGATAAAATTATAGAAGCATCTGATGATGGAGAAGGAGAAGATAATAGTAATGATAATATAGCAATTGATAAGAAAGATGTTATATCAAAATTTATAAATCATCAAGATTCTGATGGTAATACAGCCTTTCATATTGCTGCCTATAATTTGAATAAAAAATGTATTAAAGTATTCATAAGTTATCATAAATATATTGATTTTTCTTTAAAAAATCTTGTTTCTTATACTGTGGAAGATTATTTGGCTGCTCATAATTATGTATTAAAATTAGATGTTGAAGAAAATGAAGATGAACAAGGTAATTTACAAGTTGATAATGATGATTTAGGAGGAGCTATAAGTTCTCAAAGTTTTGAAAGTCAATTATATTATTCAAAAATGGCTATAAGTTTACAAAATACTACTTCAAACATAATAACAGAAAAATTAACTGAATTAGCCTATACCATTGATAAGGAATTAAATGAAACTGATCAATCAATTTTAAGTCTCTTTAAAGTATTAAAGACTCTTAATGAGGAAAAATTAGAGAGTCAAAAAGTAATATTATCTATATTTAAATTAGATTATTTACTTGATGAAGATGAATCACGAGTAGATAATTCTCAAGAATTTTCTATTGATCATAAAAAGGATCAAATTATTCAAGATGAAATTCATAGATTAGTTAATGATTTAAGTTATTCATATCTACAAAAACGAGAAAGCTTTGAAAAGTTATTGAAGATTTACCAACAAAGTAAAGAAAAAAGATTATCACCTGTGATTGTTTCACATAGTGAAAAGAATGGTATTAAGCATGACACAACAAGTCACACAAATAGGGAAGATATATTCAATACGGCATTGGCATTATCGGAAGAGATCATTAAGAAAAAGGATTTAATAGACAAGATTAGTCAGCTAGAGGCTGATTTCCCATTAAACCAAACTGATAAAGAAAATAATACTTCGACTGATTCATCTATTAACAGTATAGATAATTCACTTGTAAAGAAGTATGCTCTATTAATTTCCAAATGTGCTGGACTTAATCAATCAGACGTCGAAAAGAACATTGATGAGATTGAGAAGTCTCTAATGAAATCTAAATGAGAGTCTATATTACTCTATATTACGAACTGTATAATTCTAAATAAATTTAATATGTACGAGATACCGTAAAATATATACTATAACAATAGCCCTGCCCCTCTCCCCTGCTCCTCCCCCTCTCTTACTCACTCCCCCAAATCCCTCTTTATCTAAAACCTTATCCGATATATATGCAATTCGGATCAAAACCCTAAAGGATTCTAGCCTTAGATAACCGATGTGCAGCCTTGCTTCAATACCCGATATTGTGGTTACGAGATAACTGCGTAGTTGTTATTAACAGTGGCTTCAGACGCGAGAAAAATTTTCCAGTGGGTGCCGTCAGTAACCGAGACTTATAATTCCATAGTTAACAGAAATGCTGCAAAAAAACCATTTCGGAGAAACTCCAAGGAAAAAATTTGCTGTGCAGCGCCAATAACCGTAAATGCTTAACAAATTAATAATAAGCAGTAGGCTGAAAATACGGCTCCATTATAAGGGATATGACCCAGATTTATATATTAACAACTCCAGATCCCAACTAAAAATTTGTAGATACATTTGTAGAATAAATTTTATAATTATCTTGTACTCAATTATATTTTTAATATAAATAAACTTATAGATTAAATATGCTGTACGAAGACTCTTCCAGTGAAAAGAGTGAATTGAACAGATTCCATCACCATCAAATGGAGGATTCAACTTCAAGTGAATCAGATACTCCTGTTGCATTCACCAGATCTCATTATGAACAACATGTAGATGGCTTAAGAAGAGAATCTGTATCATCAAGAAGAAATTCAACTTCTTCATTACATAGATCTCTTGAAATTATACGGAAAACTTTATCCGGTGAAACAAATCGTTCAACTGAAAAAGTTGTTGATAACAGTCAATATGCCGTAAAGGGAATCTATGGAGATTTAGATAGTGAAGAAATAGAATTACAAAGACAAGCTACTAAGACGACTATCTTAAACGAATTAAAAGTAAAGCAAGAAGACAAGGAAGAATTTAATAATAATTTAGAAAAGATTCCAACTGCTGCATTAGCTGATCAAACTGTTCCAATTGAAAATGATGGTGAAGAATTTAATGCCATCGATCCAGAATTAATTACTTGGAAGGGTAATGATGACCCAGAAGATCCAAAGAATTGGTCATTGGTATTAAAATGGGGTTTGGTCGGATTTGTTGCACTTTATGCTTTAGTAGCTCCGATGTCTTCTTCTATGTTATCACCAGCAATGTCAGAAATTGAAAAGGAATTTCATATCACAAATCCTATTATTGGTTCGATGGTTGTCTCTATACAAATTTTAGCTTGGGCTTTAGGTCCATTAATCATTGCTCCATTAAGTGAACACGACAATATTGGAAGAAAACTCGTCCTTGATGTTTCTTGTTGGATGTCTCTCTTCTTTAACATCGGTTGCGCATTTTCTAGAAATACAGGTCAAATGATGGTCTGTAGATTTATTGGTGGTTTATTTGGTTGTGTTCCAATGAATGTCTGTGCTGGTGTTATATCTGATTTATTTGACGCAAAATCAAGAAATTGGCCTCTAGCTGGTTACTCATTAGTTCCTTTGTTAGGTCCAGTCATTGCTCCTGTTGTTGCAGGTTTCATTGTTGAAAATATGCAATGGAGATGGGTATTTTATGTCTTATGCTTTTTTAATGGATTTGTTGCCATCGTTAACACTATCTTCTTTAAAGAAACTTACGCTCCTACTTTATTGAAGAGAAAGGCTAATAAATTAAGAAAAGAAACCGGTAATCAAGATTTACATACTATTTATGAGATTACTGAAACTGAAAGTGCTTTAGGTAAAATGTATACTTGTATGGTTAGACCAATCAAGTTATTATTCACTCATCCAATGATTGTTGGTTTAGGTTCATTCATGGCATTTACTTATGGGTTTATGTATCTTATGATTGTTACTTTCCAAACCATTTATGGAAAACAATATGGATTTGACAAAGGAATTACTGGGTTGATGTATATTCCTATGGGAGTTGGTTTTACAGTGGGTGTCTTAGTTTGGACTTATTTAATTGGAATAACATTTAATAATTTAACTAAAAAGAATGGAGGAGTCTCTAAACCAGAATATAGATTACCAATGTTATTTATTGCATCTTACTTTATTCCTGTTGGATTAATTTGGTTTGGTTGGTCCGTAGAAAAAAAATTACCTTGGATTATGTCTAGTATCGGTTCAGCTATTTTTGCTTGTGGTTTAGTATGTGTTTTCCAATCCTTACAAAGTTATTTAATTGACATGAATGTTAGATATGCTGCATCATCAGTTGCAGCAGCTGCATTATTCAGATCCTTATTTGGATTTACATTTCCATTATTTGCTGATAAGATGTATGACAGAATGGGTTATGGATGGGCCAATACCATGTGTGCTATTATTGGTTTATTATTAGGTGTTCCATTCCCTATTGTTTGCTACATGTACGGTGAAAGAATCAGAGGTTGGGCTGATGCTAGACTCGAAAGAGAACAATTAGAAAAAGAGCAAAAAGCTGCTCAAAAGAAAACTATGGTTTAAGCTATTAGTATTCACTCAATTATTGCATTATTTTAGTTCTATATATCTAATTATTTTACGGTTATTATTTATTATTTTTGCATATTAATATATTAATAGATAGAAAAATTTACTTTTTAGTGTAGCAAAGCGCAGTAGAAAAATAGAAACTCTGGGGGAAATATCACGAACACAACTTTGTAAACATTGTGTAACCACACTATTTCGTTTCATAGACATTATACTAACTCTACCATAACATGAGTACTCCTATAAATAACATACAAGGTCAAGGCACATCATTGAATATTAAACAGCTTATTGATAAGTTAACTATTGAACAATTACAACCTTTCCCATTACCTAAATATATTGATTCATTACCGAATGCCAATATTCAAGAATTCATACAGAACGAAGAATTAATTAAAGGATATATTAAAGATTTAGAGAGTTATAAACTACAGCAGCAGAAAATTGTTGATCGTTCGAGTAAATTACAGAGCATACTTAAAGATGATATTTTAGGAGAACTATTAACTAAGTATCTCGAAATAATTCAGAAGATAAAAAGTCAATTAAAATCCATACATCAAATCTATCAAGAATTTTTAAACCTTGAAACTTATCAATATCAATTATTATCTTCGAATTTCAATCAAGATTATTTGATCAAGACTAAATTTGGGAAATTAATAGAAAAGAATAATAATGATTCCATACAATTAATAAAAGAATATACAAGTAAAATTGATGAAAGCGGTAAACTAGATGAAACTGAATTCAATGAATTGATTACAAATTTCAAAAGGAGTCGTCAATTGTATCATTTACGTCGAGAGAAACTACATAGATTCAATGAAGAGAGGGTTAGCGGGTTTATATGAAAAATAAATGGCTCGCATACTTCGAATATATTTCTTTAATATACACACCACGGCTTATCACTATTCTATTTCAAGAATAAGTATATATCAAAAAGTAGCAAAATAGCAAAATATATCCATCGATCCGACTTGTGAGAGGTATTTTTTCCGTACCTTATAACCGAGTCAGTAAATAAACTCCTAGTCCACTAAAGATCCAGGTATTAAACTATAGAGTATGATAAATCTTAATTATATTAGATTTGTCAGTGTATATGACCTATATATTTAAATGAACCCACAATATTATACAATGATGTTAGCTCATTAGCATACGACAAGCTCAGCTAGTAAAGTTTCTCTGATATATATAATATATGAGCAAAGGAGGTCGTTCCTACTTTATAGTGAAAATGACAGAAAAAAACCGCTCACAGTAGTCTTCGGCGTATCCAACTCCGAAAAGAGAATTAGCGCGCAATAAGACGAATCTCAGCGTACTGACAAACGGTTTAGTACGGTAGGAAAAAATTCATCAGGTCCTATACCGACAAAATTTTGTGATTAAAGTCAGTGAATTTGCTAATATTACTAGTTTAATTGATTCAATTAATTTTGTAAGAATTATTTGGTTATTGAAAGGTTAATTCCAATCATTAACATGAATTTCTTAAGTCGTAATGCCACTAAAAGTGGTAATATGTCAATTATGACTTATAGAAGTAGTAGATTTTTATCTACATCTCGCAGAATTTTCCAAACATCAGTTCCCCCAACTTCATCAATTCCCCCCAAATCTAAAAGAAGTGCAATTAGAACAGTTTGGAGTTATACTAAAGGTATAACTGCATTATCTTTACTTGGTGCTGTTGGTCTTGTATCTTATAAAGTTTATAATGAATCTCAACCTGCAAATCAATTACCTCAAGTTTCAACTTTTGAAACTGGTCAAAAGAAGAAAACTTTAGTTATTTTAGGTTCTGGTTGGGGTTCAATTTCTTTATTAAAGAATCTTGATACTACTTTATATAATGTTGTTGTTGTATCTCCAAGAAATTATTTCCTTTTCACTCCTTTATTACCTTCTTGTCCAACTGGTACTGTTGAATTAAGATCTATTGTTGAACCAGTTAGATCAATTACTAGAAGATTACCTGCTGAAGTTATTTATTTAGAAGCTGAAGCTACTAGTATTGATCCTGTTAATAATGTTGTAACTATTAAACAATCTACTACTGTTCATTCTGGTCATTCTGGTAAGGATACTTCTTCTTCTAAATCTACTGTTGCTGAATATACTGGTGTTGATGAAATTACTACTAAATTAAATTATGATTATTTAGTAGTTGGTGTTGGTGCTCAACCTTCAACTTTTGGTATTCCTGGTGTTGCTGAACATTCTACTTTCCTTAAAGAAGTTAATGATTCTGTCACTATTAGAAGAAGATTAATGGATGTTATTGAAGCTGCTAATATTTTACCAAAGGGTGATCCTGAAAGAAAGAGATTATTATCTATTGTTGTTTGTGGTGGTGGTCCAACTGGTGTTGAAGTTGCTGGTGAATTACAAGATTATATTGATCAAGATTTACAAAAATGGATGCCAGAAGTTGCTAGTGAATTAAAGGTTTCTTTAGTTGAAGCTTTACCAAATGTTTTAAACATGTTCAATTCTAAATTAGTTGAATATACTAAACAAGTTTTCTCTGAAACTAATATTGATTTAAGAACAAATACCATGATTAAGAAAGTTAGTGATAAGGTAGTTATTGGTACTCACAAGAAAGAAGATGGATCTACAGAAACCGTTGAAATTCCTTATGGTGTTTTAATTTGGGCTACTGGTAATGCACCAAGAGACATTACTCGTGATTTAATTTCTAAAGTTGAAGAACAAAAGAATGCTAGACGTGGTTTATTAGTTGATGAAAGATTATTGTTAGATGGTTCAGATAATATTTTTGCTTTAGGTGATTGTACTTTTACTAAATATGCTCCAACAGCTCAAGTTGCTTTCCAAGAAGGTATTTTCTTGGCCAGTCACTTTTCAAAATTAGCTGAAATTGATTCTTTGAAATATACTCTTTCTAATCCAACTCCTGAAGATAATGTTGACAGATTAACCAAGAAATTAAATAAATTAGAAGAAAAATTACCAATTTTCCATTACAGTCATCAAGGTTCTTTAGCTTATATCGGTTCCGAAAAGGCTGTTGCCGATTTGGTTTGGGGTGATTGGTCAAATGTTACATCTGGTGGTAGATTCACTTACTTATTCTGGAGATCTGCATATATTTACATGTGTCTTTCTGTCAGAAACCAAATCTTAGTTTGTTTAGATTGGGTTAAAGTTTCCTTATTCGGAAGAGATTGTTCCAAGGAATAAGCTATTCGGAAGGCACTACAGTCTACTTAAGATGTTATGATTACTTTTATAAATATTCAACATCTCTCTATATCTTTATTTTAATTAAATTACTTTATCCGACAATGAAGTCGGGTTGAAGAAACCAATTCTGTTAGAGTTTTAATTTTCAATATAATTATTCTTTGAATTATAATTGGAAGTCTCGCAATGTGTTTCACATGAAACTCGCTGGATTCCATTTAAGGAACTTGAAGTTCTCGTGTGATATTCTATCGCTATAAATTGCGCTTTTTGTACAATGATGTAATGTAAGACACTTTTCAAGTGGTCTAAAGATGCTAAATTTTGACATAAGAGCTTCTTTGCCTATATAGTAAATTTTTAGATGCGGCTCTTAGCTGAAATAGGAAAATTTGGCTTTGTACCATTTTTATAATTTTGCAATAATGAATGTCTTACCGACGGTGACTTATGTCCTTTGCTAACTATATAAATCATTATTGCGCTCATGACCAATGTGAAAGCAATTATAAAATCATTAGCATTGAAAATGAGAAATTGGTTAATCAGTGTGGTTTGCTTGCTATTTTTGTTTGGAACTTTATTAGTGGAAGCTGCACCAGTAACTGTTCTTACTCCAACTGAAGACCCTTTTTACACAGCACCTAATAACCTTGATGATTATAAACTTGGAGATATAATTAGATCCAGAATATCACCTCACCCGATTAGAAGTATTTATTTTAAAGTTGATGTGAAAAGTGCCTGGCAATTATTGGTAAGATCAGAAGATACTTTTGGCAATGCTACAGCAATTGGTGTAACTGTAATTGAACCATATAATAGCAACAAAACTCGATTACTTTCTTATCAAGTTGCCGAAGATTCTGCAAGTCCTAACTGTGCTATGTCTTATGCATTCCAATACGGTGCTTCAATGAATACACTTGTTACGCAATTTGAAATGTACTTTATACAAGCAGCTCTCGATTTAGGTTGGTATGTTACAATTCCTGATTATGAAGGTCCACAAGCTGCATTCACAGCTGGGAGACAAGCAGGACATGCAGTTTTGGATGGAATAAGAGCAACTTTACATTCAGGTAATATTACAGGGGTTGATGAAAATGCTCAATTGACTATGTGGGGATATTCTGGAGGTTCTTTAGCAACTGGATGGGCAGCTGCTCTTCAACCAGATTATGCACCTGAATTAAAGGATAAAATACTTGGAGCTGCACTTGGAGGCTTTGTAACAAATATTACAGCTACTCTTGATGCACAAAATGGTAAAATCTTTGCTGGATTACTTTCTTCAGGTATAAACGGGTTAATGCAAGAATATCCTCAGTTAAATGAACTTGTAAGACTGAAAATTGCAAGTGACAAATTAGAAGACTTTTTGTATGGTTCAAAATCTTGTATGCTTCCTTCTTTATATCATTTTATGGAACATAATTTCTTTTACGGAGAAGACAAATATTTTACCGATGGACCAGCAATATTATCAGAACCAATTGTACAAGAAATCCTAAGTGAAAATACATTAGCATTACATAATAATTCAGAAATCCCTGAAATACCCTTATTTGTTTATCATGGTGAACTTGATCGAATTGTTCCAATAGTTGGATCAGAACGAGCATATAATAATTGGTGTGACTGGGGAATAAAATCATTTGAATTTGCTCCAGATCTTTTAAATGGACACATCACAGAATTTGTTCTCGGAGCTCCAGCCGCTTTAGCATGGCTTGTAGATAGATATGAAGGGATTCCACCAGTTGATGGATGTAAGAAGACTGAAAGAATTAGTAATTTAATGTATCCAGGAGCTCTGGAAGCCAATAAAGTTTACTTTGAAGCAGCCTATACAAGTCTTCTTGGATTACCAATTGGACCAGATAGTAACTTAACTTTTGGAGAAATAGCTTCAAAGGTTTAATTAAATAATTTATTTAATGTACATTTTCAATTTAATTCTTTGCTCTTTATCCATTGTCAATACTGGTTTAGCAACCAAAATTTAAAATATGTGTCCGCATTCTTTTTTACAGCCAATTTCATACAAGCCTCAACTAATCATGAGTCAAATATATGATATTGCAATAAGGAAATACTCTGTACTTAAGAAAGATGGTACTTGGTTCCATTATCCCCATAGATCAGATATTTCAATTTATTTCATGACTTTTCAGGATGATAATCTTATTTCAATATGCGTCAAACACAAGGGCACTGAATTAGTATGAATACCGTCAATTAATTATTCATTAATCTAATAATCTATTACTAACTAAACTTTAAGGGAAAATACATCTTTGGAAGAACTGACCATGAAGTTATATCTGTAATTTCAAAGTTTCCAAGTGTAGCTTTTAAGTATAGCGATACTATAACTCAGAATTCTAGTCGTTTTCAAGTTACATTTGATAAAAGAGAAACTTACACTCGATGCATTCATACAATAAGAGATCTAATTAATATTCCAGTCAAGATTCAGGATGAGGAGGTAAATAAAGGGTCAATTATAACTAATAATACTTTTTCTGCTCTGCAATATGAGCTAATATTGCCAATGCCAACACTTCAAGTCCCGGATTCTCAATATTCTTGGACCAATAATAATGACAGTGTACAAGCTAGTCAAATTCCTCAATTCATGTCCCAGAATTCAACCAATTATCAAGGTATGTTTGATACAAATATGCAGTTTCCTCAATATTTATCTTCTGTAATACCTTATTCTATGCCTGATATTCAGAAAGATATTCCACTTGAAAACAATGCAGGTCAAAGTCAAGTTGAAAAACAACAACTAGATTACGAAGGTATACTCGATATGTCTGATAGCAAGTTAAAGAAATTAATCGAAGATGAACTCAAGAAACCAGACTTCATAAAATTAGTAAAAAAATTAGATTGGTTAATTGAAAACTCATAATATTAGTTATTAGTAGCTATATAAAAATTTCTATAATGATAATGCCAATGTTAATTAAATTAAATTATTCTCTATAAATTTTAATCCATTTTTTAACTACTAGACCATCTTCCAATTGAAACTCTTCAGGTTCTAATGTATAATTAAAGAGCCATGGTAAGAAACTAAACTTTATCACCCAGAATAGAATGCAGAATATTACACATGCAATACCCAATAATGCATATGAAGGCCAATATTCGAGACCTTTAGGATTTGGACTAACTGTAGTAGCCAAAGGAGAAATTATTAAATATACTGAAGTTAATAATACTAAAGAAGTACCAAATAAACTAGCTCTTATTGGAGCTTTAATTTCAGGATATCTTCTTCTAATAATGAAAATTCCAAATGCAACAAATGCTAATGCAACTTGACTAGGATATCCCTCTAAGGAAACAATATAATTATAAATATCACCCTTAGGGAATATAAGTATTACTAAAGTACTTGTAAGTACACTTAATATTAAAGTTGGCATTGGAGCACCAAATGGCCAATTTGAAGACATGAATTTTGAAAAGGGTAAATAACCTTCTCTAAATACTTCTTGACTAATTCTTGAAATGGTATAAATAACTACAAATACATTACCTGCTGCACATATTGCAACTGATAAAGTTAATAATTGTCTACCAATTCTATAACCATATACTTTTTCAAATAATAAAGATCCAACTAATGTTCCGTTATTTATAATATCATCACCAGGAATTACTATTAAATAAGCAAGATTAATTAAAACATATACTAAAGACATTATACCTAATGAAGCAGGACCAGCAATCTTCAATGTACGTACAGGATCTTTAATTTCACTAGTAACATTATGAACTGAATTCCAACCACCAAATGAAAAAGTTGCTTTAATAACTGCACCAGCAAATTTTGAAGCAGTTACTGTTGTTCTTGTTTTAAACATATCATCCCAATGTAAATTTGATTCTATTTTTGTTATTGATGATGGAAATAATGTTACATAACCACCAGTTCCAAGCATTACAACAATTAAACCAAGTTTTAATGCTCCTATAAGGTTTTGAACTTTAACACCATGATGAACACTTATTCCATGAATTAGAGCAGCTGCATATAAAAATGATAAACCAACTATTCTAATTCTTAAAGGAGTTACATTAAATCCCATGGCATGTAAAGAATATTCACCAAATATTAAAATATTTGATAAAGTAAATCCAAATATAATTGAATAAATCAGATAAGCAACTGTTGCTAATAATCTTGGTTTTTCATAAATAAATTCTAAAAATACTTTAGTACCACCACTTCTTGGTACTAAAGAACCTAATTCTAAATAAATATATAATCCACTAAATGCAGTAATTGCAGCAATAAACCATGCTAAAAAAAATAAGAATATTGATCCACCACAATCTTCATATATACCACTCGCTATACTAAATATACCACTACCTAAAATTCTTGATATAAATAATATTATTGTTGAAAATAATCCAAGATGTCTACCTTGAGGTAAATCTTCTAATTCTTGTAAATAAGATATTCTACCATTAATTTGAGTTATTGGTGAAGAATATGGATCTTCAGGATTATCAATTAATAATGTGGTTGATGCACTATCTTGATCAGAAGAATTATTTGTAATTGAAACATTTGCAATTTTTTTATATTCAATCTTATCAATATCCGACATTTCAATATTAATGTCTGTAGTTTGTCTATTAAATATATTTAACCACTTAGGAATTACAAATGAAGGTACATTCATTTATTCTAACAAAATTATGAATATTATTACTAAAGTATATATACTATTGAATTTTTTAAAATATACTACGGCTCTTGCCAAACAGGAGGGGCGGCCTGATCTATTGTGGTGGCTGCATACGACAAACTAAACAGGAATTCTGCGATAAGATAACTGGCGTCAATACGACATTTTTTCAGATTGATCCGACATATGCGACCGACAATTTATAAAATGGTTGCTAATTGCGAATGTTACCAAATACATACAGAGATAAGGAGTTACTAGCTGTGTATATAATAACTTGTTTATTTACTATTTGTTTACTTCTTATTTATTATTTTTATTTATTTTGTTTATTAATTAAGTGTTCACCACTTTTTTTATAACGATTATATAAATGTATTTAAAAAATTATGACTTATGAATTAAATATAAAATACATGCGTATGTATTTATCAGTAGTAAGTTAAAAAAAGAATAAGAATTTGAAATTGAAATTGAATTTGAATTTGAATTTGAATTTGAAATTGAATTTGAAATGGGTGCATCTTCTAATTAGAACCAATGGTTTGATTCTTTTTCTTGACATATGCTTCTTTGGCTAATTTAATTAAAGTATCTAATTCACCCGAGTTTTCACACATACTATAAAAGGTAGTATCCTTATTTGCAATCAATACATATGGATTATCATATTCAACGACTCTACCTGCATCCATAACTAAAATTTTATCATAATCAATAATAGTTCTTAATCTATGAGCAATAGTTAAAATTGTAGAATTAGAAAATTCATCTCTAATAGTTCTTTGAATCATAGCATCAGAATTATAATCAATTGAACTTGTAGCTTCATCAAGTAAAATAACTTTAGGATTTTTAAGTAATGATCTACCTAAACAAACTAATTGTCTTTCACCTTGAGATAAATTACCTCCACCTTCAGTAATTGTATTAGATAAATTAGAAAATTTATTTTGATTTTCTCCTGCAATATCTTCTTGAGATTTTAATAAATTAACTCTCTTTAATGCTTCAAAGATTTCAGCATCAGTATATTCATCAAATGGATCTAAATTAGATCTAATAGTACCAGTAAATAATGTTGGATCTTGAGGAATAATTGTAATGGCTTGTCTTAAATTCTTAAGTCCAATACTTGTAATATCAATTCCATCAATTGTAATAGAACCAGTTTCTGGATCTAAGAATCGGAAAAATGCAGTAATAATAGTTGATTTACCTGCACCAGTACGTCCAACAATCCCAACTTTATTATTTGGTTCAACTTCAAAAGTAACATTTTTAATAACTCTTGGTAATTCTGGTGAATATCTTAAAGAAACATCATTAACATTAATTCTACCAGTTTGAGGCCATGAAGCTGGAGGTTGAGTTTCTTTAATTTCATAAGCTGGTTCTTGTTCAACTTCAAGATATTCTTGAAGACGTTCAACTGAATTCATATTCATTTCAACATTAGCATAAAGACGAACAATCCATAAAGCACTTTCAGAAAAGGCAATAGCATAAGATAATGATAATCCTGCTAAACCAGTATCAATTCTACCAATTGAAAGTAAAACAAAAATACCAGCAAATAACATAACCATTGAACCAACAGCATCAACTCTAAATGATAACCATCTATTAGCTACCCATAAATAAAAGAATGGACGATTATTTTGATCAATAGCATTTAAATTTTGTTTCATAAATCTTGATTCAATACCATAAGCTCTAATAGTAGCTACACCATTTAAAGATTCAGAGAAATGTTGATGAATTGGAGATTTTGTAATTGATTCAAATCTTTTCAATTCTCTTGAAAGTGAAAGATAAAATAATCCAACCAAATAATATAAGAAAGCCACAATGACAGCAAATATTAAGAAACCAGGAGTTATAAAAGTAATTAATACTAAAGTAGATAAACATTGAACAAAACAAATAAATACTCCTTCAGCAAATGGTGTAACTTCTTGATCAACAGCTTCAATATCCTTTGAAAATCTATTCATAATACGACCTTGAGGAGTTTTATCAAAGAATCTTAATTTAGCTCTTAAAATCTTAGTTAATACATTCTTAAAGATTCTATTAGAAGCTCTAATCCCAGCAAAGAAAGTAATAAATACTCTAAAGGATGCAGTTAATGCTGAACAAACTCCAATTAATCCATAAATTGTAATATAATACATAGTTGAATTATCTTCTTTATAAGTATGAACTGTAGTATAAGCAGTAGATATTAAAGTAGTTGCACCAGTAAATGTACGAACAAAGATATTTTGTTTAAATTGTGTAGAATCATAAATATTTGATATACCAGTTAAAGCAATAGTTGAAACAATTTCTGCTGCTTCATGTTCACTATGAATAGACCAATTTCTTAACCACCAAGATTGAGTCATAAATACCCCTTGAGAAAGGAAGAAAGAAAAGAGAACAATTGACCAAGTAGGGAATCCACCAAATAATTTAGCATAATCAAGGTAAACTTTTGAACCAACTACTCCATCTGATTTAGATTCTTCTTCAACTAATTTCCCATCAGTTTTCTTAATATCTTCTTCTTCTTCACCTCCAAGAGCCTTTAATTTAGTATCAAGAGCAGCAGCTTTAGCCTTTAAATCAATATTTTTATCTTCTAAACTTTGTAAATTAGTAGTAGATTGATTTCTTGAACTTAATACAGTTGATTTAACTAAATCATCATCACCAAGATGTCCATCACGTAATAATTCTTCAGGAATACCTTGAGTTTTAACTCGACCATTTTCCATAACAATAACCCAAGCCGCATTTTGAACTGTTAATGCTACATTATGAGATACTAAAATACATGTTCTACCATTCATTAAAGGTCCAGAAATACAATTTTCATAAATCCATAAAGCAGTATGAGAATCAACGGCCGATAAACAATCATCTAATAAAAGATGTTTGGAATTAGAATATAAAGCTCTAGCCAATGAAACTCTTTGCTTTTGACCTCCAGATAATGTAATTCCCTTTTCTCCAATTTCAGTAGAATCTCCAGCACTTAAAATTTCAAAATCACGTTTTAATCCACAAGCTTCAACTACTTTATCATATCTTTCTTGATTAAATGGAGCTCCAAAAGTTATATTATTTCTAATAGTATCATTTAATAACCAAGCTGATTGAGAACAATAAGCCACTGATTCAGTTAAACCAGTTTGAGGATCAATAATTAATTCATCTCTTGGAATTATACCAGGAAGAAAAATATTACCATGTAATAAATCCATTTCACCTAATAAACCTAATAATAATGAAGTTTTACCAGCCCCAGTAGGTCCAATAATTACATTTAATTTTTCTGGTTTAAATTCAATACTAATATCTCTTAATTTAAAATCAGCTTCAGATGATGAATTCCATGATAATGTGGCATTTTCAAAACCAATATATGGAGAATTTGGTCCTGGAGTTTTACCTAATTGATCATATTTTGCTGTTTCTTCTTCATCTAAAAATTCAGTAACTCTATCAAGTGATACTTTAGATTGAACTACAAATGATGTCATATCAGATAATTGATCTAATGGAGATCTTAATAAAGTAAATAATGATAATGCAGTAAAGGCAATTGGAGCAGTTAATGTATTACCTTGAATAATTGTATAACAATAAAATGATAATAAAGTTATAGTGGTTGGAGTTATATACCAAACAAATCCTCCAAGTGCCCAAACTAATGATCTCTTCTTTAAAAGATATAATTCTTCATGTCTAATTCCCATAACATTTTCAAAAAATTTATCTTCCCAAGCAAAAAATTTTATAATTCGAATACTTTGAAAAGTTTCATTTAATTTTTGAATTCTTTTATCGGTAACTCCTAACATTTCCTTTTGTAAAAGTGATAACCATCTTGCAACTCTATAATTAACTGGTAATAAAAGTATAACTGATATTGAACCAACTAATGCAGACCAACCTAATAATTGATATAAAAATGTTATACAAAATACAATCATTAATAAAGCTCCTACAAAATAATGTAAATAACCACAAATTTCAGAAACTTTAAATGCATCAATTGCCATTAAATTAATAATAGTACCTAATTCAGCAGTCTTTTTATTTTCCTTTTTATCCTTTGATTTATCATTAGAATCTTTAAGATCATCATCACTATCACTGGCTCCATCACCTGATTCAGTAACAGTAATTTTTCTTCTTAATGCTTTGGCATAAACTTCTCCAATAATAATTGCTTTCATTCTAAGACAAACTCTTCTACCAATAAAAAGTGAACAACCAGATGCAAGTGAATCAACTACTTTAGCAATTGGCATTAAAAGTACAAATCCCCAAGCAATTGATGCTGGAGTTGAAGTAGGATCTTGAACATATTCTAAAACTTTCTTTAATAATAATGAAGGACCAAATACTAACATTGATTCTAAAATAGCCCAAAATGCTTGAAGAGCAAATAACCATTTAAAATGAGTAAAAATCTTTACTGTAAATTTAGCAGTTGATTTAGAAGCTTCAAAAGCTTTTAAAATATGTAAAGCATAATCATCTTCACGTAAACCCCAAATATCTGCCATTTTTAATGGTTGTTTATAAGATTTCCAAATCATTTTATCTAACCATGAATAAGTTATAAATGATATAATTGAAGTAATATTTTCAGGAGATGGAGTTGCTCCATTACTTGGTTCATAAAGAACAGAAGGTTTATCAGCAATTTTAGCTGTAAAATTAAGATATAATAATATAGCAGATATAATAAATTGTCCAATATAATAATTACGAATAAATGTTGAATTTATAAAAGTTGAAAGTAAAGCTGATCTAAAAGTAAATAATAATGGGAAAATATTAAAAAAATATAATGTAGTTGAATGAATCCATAAATTTGGTAAACTAATATTAACTTTTCTTAAATTTATAATTCTTATAGTACAAATAATGAATAAATAAAACCAAAATATTGATTTAATAATTGGGATATAAGGAGTATTTTGAAATTCTTTTATTGCATCTTTTATAATAAATAATGATAATGATAATGCAAGTTGAATTATAATTAAAAAGTATTCAAATGCTACTCTTAATCTTTCATACGCGTCCTTATATACTAAAGTAACTTTACCATGAGGTGTACCATCTTCATTTGTATCAGGTAATCTAACTAAATCAAAATGACGACTCTTTAATGATACTTCATTTTCTTTAATATTATCTGAATTAATTATTGATCCATAAACATCATTAGTTGCTAATAAAGGTCGAGTTTCATTTGGTTCAAGTTGAACTTGATTTCGACTTCTTCTTTTATATAATGATATTAATGATTTTATAGTTAATATAGATAATGAAATACTTCCAATAACTATAGGAGGTATACTATCTAATTGATCTCTACCACATCTTGTTATATCTTCATAATACCAAAATGATTCACAAGTAGGTACTGTTGAATTAGTTAATACCAGTAAATGTGACATAATGTTGAATTATTTCGACAATACTGAAAACTGAAAATTGAAAACTAAAAACTAAAAGAATAGAATAGAAACGAAAACGTATAATAATATAGATATATAAAAGATACTCGGAAATGACTCAGAATATAAATATAAAACTAAAATATAAAGAATACTTGCTAATATAAAAGTAAATGTTAGTAAAAAATCTTTGTACTTTAGGGACAAGGCACTAAAGGTTAACTATAGAAATATTTTTCTTTTTGTGTCTCAGTAATTTACTATTAATTTATATATCTAGAGATGGATAAGCGATGTCAGACATTCAATTCCGTATAATATAATAAAGACAATAGTTTAATAAACCAAAATGCCTTGGGGGGCCACTTAAAAAATATAACCCTATATAATACTAATTACTTATTACTTATTACTAGTTAAACAATTGTGGGATGCCCCATTGCTAATTTGTCTTAATTAGGGAAAGATTATCTATAAAATACCAAATTCAATTATGTAAGCTCTGATATTAATTTTTATTTTAATCTACATTTATCATTAACTATTTGATAATATATATGTTTATGTACTCTATAATATATAACTTATTGATAACATTTTAAACCCCAATATCAGCTTCACGTTGCTGTATGGGGGTGTCTGAAATTTTTCAAACAAAATGGCAGCTGTCGCAAACATCCACAAAACAAAAATTGTTTGGTGCCGTTTACCTTGACGGAACGCAGCTCGGAGCTAAAGCCCAACTCAGTAGATTAGATATATTACTTACTTTACATACATACCTTAAATTTATCTATCTATTATAAATATATATATATAGATATGTATATGTATATATATTCTAAAAGTTGATATTAGTATAAGTTGAAACTGGTTTTAATAACCTACCAAATGAATTATTTTATTTTATTATGGCTCTAAGGATTACGTACTGTGGAGCATTAGACATAATTACATAATTAAATCCGCAAGAAATTTTTGCTAAATTCATTAAGAAGATGACGGAAATACTACATCTTTATTCTTCTCTAAGTTGATGGTCTTATCTTTGGATAAAACACAGCGAGGTTGAATTTCACTCCTTGGGTTTACTATAATTAGGAATCCAAGCAATTAAATAACGATGAGCGACAATTATAGGTCTACATTCATAAAGGGACAGCAATGTCATTAACTTTTATTAGCTTTTTAAGACATCTATATTTACCGTGAGGAGAAAGATTTACTGTGCTAATTATTAGACACGATCCTACTTATGGAACTTAAAATACATAATCAGAGGTCTCCTCATTAGAGGGTTGCAAATTAATTGAGCACTGATTAACATTTCATCTCATAATTTTTTTGTATGTATTAAATACGCACGATATGCGGCTAGGTGCGACAACTGTACATCACAATCGTAAATGCCATAATCAATCAAACTTCATTTCCAACTCTAACCTTGAAACATAACTAGTAATTTTCCCGTTACCTTCCCTATTCTAATAATTTAACTATGACTCTTCTGGATATAAACGTTTCTAAAAATGTTGTAATCGCTTTATTAACAGTAGACAAGAAAGAAAAAGGCAAATTTAAGATAAAGAAAAATTCCATCGTAAATGGTGACTAATTCGAAACGGTAAATCAGTTTTGTACCTAACCATAGAATTTTATACATATAGTTTTTCACATTTAGTATACTTTCTACTTATAATTGCTTCATGTGGACTGTTTAACCCCTCATCTCCTACAACTATGACTCATAGTAGAATATCAGAGATTGTCTATCTTTGTCTAATCCCACCTCATCTCATTACCAGAGAGATTATAATATGATCTCTTAATTAATCGCTTCTGTTCAATGTATCCACAAAATCCCTACTCTCCTACTCTATCTACATGAAATAACTACAACTTAAATTTACAAACAGGATTGCTGATAATATATTAAGTAATGCACAAAGATTTAAGGAAAAAATCTATATATGTATATAGCATCAAACGATACCATATTAACGTTATTGTTGTTGTTGTTGCCTATATCCTAATATGGCGACATATGATTAATTGATTAAAAATGAAAAATTATGGAGAGTTTATTGTGGTTAGAATGACATTAACGTAATCATGATTATTTTATTTAATCTTGAGTCTTTTGAGTACCTCTTAATAAACCGGTTCTTCTAGCGGCAATTAAACCAGCCTTTTGACCGGCAACAGCACCTCTAGAAATAGTAGAAGCTTTACCAATATGTTGATGGTTACCACCACCATGAGGGTGATCAACTGGATTCATGGCAACACCTCTAGTCTTTGGCCAAGAGTTTCTCTTAACCTTGTATTTGTGGAAGGCTCTACCAGCCTTTAATAATGGTTTATCAGTTCTACCACCACCGGCAACAACACCGATAACACCTCTAGCATCAGAAGAAATGACTTTCTTAGCACCAGATGGTAATTTAACTCTAGTTTTACCTTCATCAGTATTGTGACCAATAATGACAACGTAGTTACCAGAAGTTCTACCTAAAGCACCTCTGTCACCAACTTTTTCTTCAACATTGGAGACAATGGTACCTTCTGGACAAGCACCTAATGGTAAAATGTTACCAACATTTAAGGTAGCTTTCTTACCAGCGTAAATGAATTGACCAGTGTAAACACCTTCATTAGCAATGAAAGTTTCTTCTCTTAATTTATACTTGTATGGGTCTCTGAAAACGACCTTGGCTAATGGAGCACCTCTACCTGGGTCATGTAAAATTTGCTTAACGACACCTCTGATATAACCGTGTCTTTCAGCGTAATCTAAGGTTCTTAACTTAGCAGCACCTTTTCTCAATCTGGTGTGAGAGGTGAAGATAGAACCAGCACCTTTTCTTTGGTTACGAATAACTCTACCTATAAATAAATGTTAGTAAACTTGTCTTTAACACATAAACATATGATTTCCTGTTATGTTATAGTTGAATAGATTCAGTATGGGTATTGCCCACATTAATGGTTCGATTAATTATTATTCCTTCCTCCTTAAAAATAAATGATTGATTTTGGATCCTAAACATTCCCTACATTATTTAAAACACTCATCCATAATAAATGAGCAACTACATTAATTCTTTAATTAAATTTCGTGGTTCTCTTCCCTCCGTCCCTTACTGATTCATAATTTAAATGTCTATCTTCATTGATCTATTATATCGACAACCCCCAGATCAAATCCTTAATAAATAGACTATAAACTTTCTGAACGCTTCCAACACATAAAGGAAACCACTTATATTACTTCTAGAGTCAACATACCCATTATATGATGATTTTAAGTTGGTTATTGCAAGAATCTATATTATGCACTGAAGATTATTTCAATATATTGCTACACTTTTTTTCCCACTATTTGAAAAATTTTTGTTTGCGCAGTTTGTTGATGGTGTGGATATCACGTGAAATCGTTGACCGAGAAAAACAGTCACAATGCCCTAATCTACATGCTACATGCTACATGCTACATGCTACATGCTACATTATAAAACTTAATTTAATTTTAATCATTAATAAATCATTTAATTATACGAAGGGTAACAAGAAATGTAATAAAATGAAATTCACTGATTTAAATAATATAAAGATTCAATTAAGAACTCCACATCATTCATAATCCCAGTTTCAAGGTACATTTTATTTTCAAACCCTCTAAAAAAAGACTTGAAATAATAAACTAATCATTCCAAGAAGTGCTAAACAGGTAATAATACTAATAATTACAGATTCAATATAACAAATTATTAAAATCAACTTTTCAAGTTATGTGATTTTTGCTTATTGTGATTTGTTTTTGTCTCTGTTCAACCAGATTCTTCTTCAGCTGCACCATTAGATTCAGCTTCAGTAGTACCTTCAGTAGCGTCAGCTTCCAAGTCATCTTCACTTTTACCAGAATCTTTTGGAATTCTGGCATCGATAGCAATATCAACGATAATTTCTCTACCATTAACTTCCTTACCATTAAATTCAGCAACAGCCTTCTTTTGAGTTTCTTCATTAGCAAACTTAATAAAGGCAATACCCTTGTTAAAAGGTTTGCTATTTTGGCTTCTCTTTAATATACGAAGAGGAACTTTTCTGGTTGGAACATGTATCCATTTTGGTTTCAAATCTTTGAAAAGAGCATTTAAAGTCTTAACATTGACCTTATAGTCAAGATTAGTGATGAAAATAGTATCAGTAGAAGCTTTACCTTCAGGAACCTTTTCTTCACCATTTGACTCAGACTTGGTAGTAGCAGGTTTCACAGACTTTTCCTTTGCAGATGAAGTGGCAGCTTCTTTTTCTGCTTTAGCAGCCTTTTCAGCTTGCTTCTTTTCTTCTCTCTTAGCTCTGTATTCTTCTATTCTTACCTTCTTTTCTTCTTCAGTTGGTGGAGGAACTGCCTTCTTAATAAAAATATTTCTTCTTTGGAACTTCTTACCATTGTATTCTTCAATTGCTTTATCAGCTTCATCTTTAGTTTCAAATTGTACAAAAGCGAAACCCAAGTGTCTCTTGAAGGTCTTTTCACCACGTTTGGTTTCCTTAAATGGAATTTGAACTTCAGTGCTAGATAATTATTAGTTAGTATTACTCATTATATAAAAATTATTATTATTGTGACCAGTCTTATCATAATTCATATCTTTGAATAGTGTGGTGATGTATCACACAAAACTAACATCCATGCACACATAGACAATAGAATTACAAAATAAAGTCATTCGTCACTTATTGGTCAAATGTTAAACAAAATAATACATACACTTTCAAGCCTTCGAATAATTCCTTTAATTCATCTTCAGTAGCCTTGAAGTCAACATTACTGACATAAATTCTGTCTTCAATGATTGGCTTGACTGGTTTAGATTCTTCAGTAGACATATTTGCAAACAATTAATAATGGTGTGGCACGATAATATAACCTAGTATAAATGAGATTATTACTTCAATTAATAGGACTAAATGGAAAATATATGTATATATTGATTTATAAATATTTCCCCTTTGACTTGTTTAAAATAGATATCGCTAGTGTGATATTTATGCTTCTCTTTCGGTTTAGTTCCACCTCTTACTTCACAGTTTTTCAATTCAATTCAATTCAATTCAAAAAAATATTCTATCCTCGATCAGCGAATGATGAGATTTTATAGACTATTTAAATAATTTATTATTAGATTAATTTAATGATCCAAAGATTGGAAATCTAGAAAAAGAAGTGAACAACTTTATATTGCCAACACTCGGGTTTTTCTCCTTTCGAGGGAAATCGTTCAATTTTTTTTTGTCCTTTAGGAGCGTGACTTATTTTGTGGGTACTCCTTATAAGATAAAGCAAGACAAGCACAACTTTACAGTTGTTAGGGTAAGATTTCTTTTAAATGTGATTTGAACTTTTCTGATGCTTTATCACTTATAAATCATTTTGATTGGTTAATCAAAAGGTGGATACTTTTATTCGTTACTTATACCTTTGATATGAAAATTCAACATTTTCACGTGATTAGCTCCCCTCCCTCAACTCCCTTCTTCCTTTCTCCTTCCTTCTCCTTCCTTGATTTTACTGCAAATTATTGTACTGCAAAGAGGAACTTACGCCACGATTATTGGCATACAATTATTGATTATAACCATTCGCTATTGATCGAATAGAGACTCAAACTAGATAGAAAAGAAAACTAAGTATATCTTAATATATTTTGCATTTAATTATTGAGTTGTGTAAATATGAAAAATATACTTATAGCGTAAAATCATAATGATATAATAATAATATAATAATAATATTAACGATAGAAAACATATACAAAGCTATAAGTCTATATGCCGTATGATAAACGATAAAGACTTTCGACTTTTATAACTATACTATCATTGGAAAGAAGAAAAAGTGGTTGAAGATTTTAGAATTCGTAGAATTTATTTATTGTTTGAATAGTTTCGATTGAATTTGAGATTATTCAAATTGGTTTATTGGTGAATTGGTTCGTAATATATGCAATGAAATTAACAATAATGAAATGTATGACTTATATAACATGACTGTCTATTTTAGAATGAAAGTGGTGAGATACTCAAGATTGGATGGTTTACTTTAATTTGTTGAATAATCTTGGAGCAACACAATCATTGATAGCATGTTGTAAGTGGAAGAATTCTTCAATACAATCTTCTTTATGTTCCTTTGATGCGTAATCTGGATCTTCTTGTTCCTTGGTAACTCTTTCAACACATTCATCAAAATGGTGAAGGAATGGGTGCACAGCTGGGGTGTGTTTACATTCTTCGGTTAATGCAACTAAAGGATCTTCAACTTCATCTTCATCCTCTTCTTCTTCTTCTTCTTCTTCGTCATCATCTTCTTCAGCAGCTTCTTCAGTTTCTTCAACTGGTTCTTCTTCTGGCTATAAGATAATTAATGTTAGTAAATTATTCCCTAAATGTCTCTATACTTTTAACTTCAATGTTAGCAAATATATTAATACATGATTCATATCCTGAAGTATTGGACTCATCAATCATGAAAATTAATTGCTAACAGTTAACTGTTTAGTTCCTCAATACATACTTCTTCAGCATAAGCAGCTGGGATAACAGCTTCTATTAAATCTTTCAAGAATGACATTGTGTATTTACCGATTGACTTCTAGATATTGCCTTAATGAATCTTTACAACCAACTAATTGTCTGTTATTTTTCTTTTTATCCACTTAACTGTTTGAACTTTTTTTTCAACTGGACTAAACAGTACTTATTGCAGTTTGGATGTATTACTGAACAGAAAAAATCCCATGTTTTATTGGTTAAAATTAAGAATATGTCCTGCGGTCATGTGTGTTTATTCACGTGGCACAAATAACCATTTTTTTCGATACAAACATTTATTAAATTCTATGTAAATAGAGAGTTATAAATGGTAAAAAATTTAGAGAAACTATGTAGATAGTAAAAGCTCTTGTAATGGAAGGATTGGTTTAAAGACTTTGATAAAAGATTGTAGTCTTCTTCAAAAAGAAAGAGGTGCTGGAGTTAACCAGTTAGCGTCTTGGCTCTATTTCATGAGTCAAGGTGAAGTATGATACCCAACGATAAAGACCTTTGCCGGTTAGTGACATATTAACCGGCTCAGTTCGTCGTTTCGTCCTAAGGGAGTCAATGGTTTGTAGGTATCTGTTGATGCGTGTAGCATTTGTGAGTGAAAGATTTGGATTTGCAACTAAAGCAGTGAAAGTAAGCGGAAGTGGAGGTCCGAGTTTTTCCCAGAGTTTGACAGCTACTGTACAGGACAAGTAGATGTGGCTCGCTAATTCGGAGTTTGATACCGTAGTTTTGCATATATCACAGGTATTTTCTGCGATTGGATTGTGGTGCCTGTAGCCTAAATTATAGCGATGTAAATAATCGAAATTATTAGGAGCATTAAACTTTAGATGATTCAATCTTGTCCAGAATTTGATCCATTGAACTTGTGATATACTCAAGTCAACTGACCAACCATTTGGTTCAAGGCATACTCTTTGCTTGGTCTGTTTAGCTTTGCTTCTGCTTTTGAAAGAACCCGTTGTGAGTTCATACATGTCATTAGCCCATTGAAACTTGCGGGGCGTTTGGAGTATGAGTTGTTGTATTTCTTCTTCTGAATAATTTTTAGGTAGTTCAACCCAGTAAGGATTTTTACACTCAGCTATATCAAACCATGCTGAGAAATAGCTTTGTTCAGCTTTAGTAAAGAAGTTGGCGACACACATAAGGCTGACCTGATTGGGGTACCCGAAAGGAGACGAAACCAAGAATATGTTAAACATTTATTAGGTTGGAGTGGGATTTCTGGAGGAACATAAGCATTATCATTGATATACTGTTGAATTTTATCTCGAGGCACATCTCATTAGATTGGTCGTCGTTGATTAAGATATTGAATGCTTGGATAATTTGAAGGATGTTTGGATGTTCTCTAAAATAGTGCCGGGAAAAACATTAAAATGCACCAAGACACGATTTTTGAATAATAGGAGAAACAAAATAGGAACTCTATTTTTGCATCATATGGTTGCAAAATATTTTTGTACTCTTCAGTTAATATTGTAATAGTCCAACTTAACATTTATTATCTTTTGCCCACATACTACTCTACTAAGCAAATTTGACGCAGGGCATTCTTTTATTTATTTTATTCACATTTATAAAATTAGCGTAACATTCGATTATATTGGCTATTATCTTAAAAAAGTTACGCCCTTGTAATTATCTATGCTCTAGAATGGCTTTTTCTCACCTAATGTCCTCCTTAGCTCCAACAAACATCGTACTAGAATCACTTTTCTTAGAAGAAACTTACTCTAATGTATCCTCGAATCAAGTGGGTTTAAATTTTGACATAACTCCAACTATTATAATACAGTTAAATACTTTTACATATAAGGAAACTAAAGATGATGCTCTATGGCCTGAATTGGATGCACCAACATTCCATTATAATGGTCCTTTTTATACTAAGTCTCTGACATTTGTATTTGATAATATAATTAAACTAAAGGCTGGTGGTGTATCAACAATTATATTTGAAGTGTTATTGGGAAGTTCGGATAATGGAACAAGTATGATTGAATTCCTTGATAAAATGAAACCTCTTAAAAATCATGGATTCATGTTTTGCCTTCACCTTTACAAGAACTTTCCTTTAGGTAAACCCGTTGATTTTCAATTACCACTAGAGGACCTTAAGAAGTTCGAATGGTATGAAATTAGACTCGACACTGATTACTTTAAACCTGAAGAATCACACGACTATGATCTTATGATTGATAATATGCCTATCATTTCATTGACAACTTCATGGGTGAATCCCAACAGTTTGCATAGCTTTCATGTGGGAGAGAAGATCAGACTCGTAGTTAAAGAAATCAAGTATCTCAAGTTTCCAAAGTTAGAAAACCACAGTTTTGAAAGTTGTGATTTAGTATCACAACATTATTGGGGAGAATTTTTGAACAATCATGGTGACACCATCAAGAAGTTAAGATTACGTACGTTTAGCAGTGCAAAATATGATTATAAGCTTCTTAAAAGCTTAACTCATGTTGAGTATGTGGCTTATACTCATCTCAATGGTGAATTGAACTATTTCCTGAAAAGATTAGAATCCATAAAACTTTTAGGAGATTTTGGCGCGTTGGGTTCAATCTACATGGAAGACAAAAACAAGTGGTCTGGTTCTATACCTAAGAAGAATATACAAATCGCAGTAGAAGACGAAAGTTTTGCTAAAGAGTATCTCCGTGAGCATTGGCTCCACGAACATGGCATTTTGAATATGGAACAATTTGTCACTTTCCTTGCCTTTAAGCCAAATTATCTATTCAATAAGTATTACACTAGTTATGGAACAAGTGGTTTATATTTAAATCAATTGCCATTTTTCAATAGAGTGGTTAGAGAATTAGGTAAAGATGAAGCACGAGAGTTTAGTCGCTATCGTTATTTTTTACATCAAATGCCTCGTTCTTTTCAGTGATTGTCTTTATCCATTCAGCGAAATGGAGGTGTGACAGACGTCCAACTTAAAGACACTCGGTTTGTAATTATTTTTATTTGTATTTATAGATGCCTATAAGCTTATATGATTAGCAATTTAACAAAATTGAATGTATAAGTGGCTATAATACGAACATATTTTTAGGAACAGCAGCATTTGGCTTTTTAATATTCATTTCTTCGTATTGTGTCCAAAACATCTTGTCAATATAAGTTATTTGGTGACAATAGGGTTACTTATAATATTCTGCTGATTCCATTCCAGTTAAATCATCACAGGTGAAATATAAATTCGTTGTAATTGATTGATTAGCAATTGGTGTTGTAAATTTATAGTGGCGGTAAATTTTTTCTGCTGTGGCACTACCGACTATGAGATAGTTAAGTCGGTTGCAAAAACTTTAGAATTTACTCGGCATCTATATTTTATTATTAACATGGTTTACGAATTGGTAGCAATAGGTAGAATGCTGAACCAGCAAATCCTATTACTAGATGAAAATTCGAATTATATTATAATTTACTACATACTAACTCTAAAACTTCTCTAAATGGGTAGTTCTATAAAGCTAGCTTTAATATCGGACATATTACAAAAGCCTGTTAAAACGTGCGTATATATTATATTTTAACGAAGTAGAACTAATTAACAATAATAGAAGAGGTTACTTCAAACAATTCTATATTCAACAAGCTCGTGATATGAAATCGTAGTTTACTACATTTAGTTGTTGGTTGGAGTAGCAGCAAGCTTGGCTCTCTTTAAAGCCTTGGCTTGAGCTTTAGCACCCATAATACCACCACCCCAGTGTCTTCTGTTGTCTTCGTATTTTTCAATGAAGTTAGCGTTAATGGTAGAAACTAAAGTGGCTAATTCAGCTTCATCAGCAGCATTTACTTCAGTTAAGGCAGCAACGGCAGCGTTTTTCTTGTGAACTAAAGTACCTAATCTAGCCTTACCCTTGACAATAGCGTATGGAACACCTAATTTTTTACATAAAGCTGGTAAGAAAACAACTAATTCAATTGGGTCAACATCGTTAGCAATTAAAACTAACTTAGCTTTCTTGTTTTCAATTAAGGAAACAACATGGTTTAAACCGTATTTGACAACAACTGGCTTTGGAGAAACATCCTTGGCGGATTTACCTTCAGCAACAGCAGCAGCTTCTTTGGTTAATCTTTGTTTCTTTTCAATAGCAGTTTCTGGTCTGTATTTATTGAATAATTTGAAAGCTTGAGCAGCAGTGTTTTTGTCTAAAGTGTGTTGGAATTGAGAAATGGTTGGTGGGACCTTTAATCTTAAAGATAAAATCTTCTTTTGTCTTTGTAATCTAACATATTCTGGCCATCTGACGAATCTTGATAAGTTTCTCTTTGGTTGAATAGATTGACCAATACCAAAATTCTTTGGAGTAGAGTCAACTAATGGGTTCTTGACACTGGTGGTCTTGGAGCTCTTGGTAGCTAATGGAGCTGGAGCGACTTTCTTTCCCTTTGGAGCCATTGTTTAATATTCCTTGCTTAAGGTCTTTAAAATAGATCTTAACTAATATGATACTCTGAAATTTTTTTTCATTCCCTACAGTATTTGGTTACTACGATGGTTCGCAGTATATTTTAGAAGAAAAGTCGCACAATTTACTAACGACATATTTTGTATGGGAATGAAGTGCGACACAGTCACATGATCCCAGTGACTGCTTTTTTATCCACGGTTGGCTCGATATCAAAAATAATAGTTACATACATATTGGTAGTTTGTGTAATTATAGTAAGTTATAGCATATATTTTCACTGTATATGTAGATACTGTGGTAATTAATTCTATAAACATTTCTATAAACTGATTTTATATATAGTGGAACCCTTTATATATAAAAGTAATAATAATAATAAAATAAAATAACCCAAATAAACCTTTGAAAACCATTGGAAGAAATAAAAGAAGATAACTATATAAACATAAAAAGAAATGAATTAATAAATAAATAAATATTAATAAATAAAGTAGAAGTAATATTAATAAGAATATTTGGTTAATGTGCAATATAAATCACAAGCTTCACAAGCTGTGATGAAGTTACACTTTAGGAGGAATACTTGATGTTCAGGTATTGAAAAATGGTATATTCATGAAGAAGTATCAACCCATCTTGGATTGCACCAACCTTTAACTGTAAATTGAGTCTTCGTAAAACCAGCTGTAGGGGCTAAGCCATTATTCACTGTTGTAGTGTTCAGTAATACACCTGCTGGTTTTAAAGTTTTAGTCTGAGGAAATGCACGATTACAATTATTGTAATACTTATTTGACCAAGGTAAGTAATCTCCCGATTTTCTTGTCAACGAGTATGACATGGGCGATTTTTGATCTTCACCTACGTATATATAGTCATCACAATTGATACAATTAGAAGGAGATGTATCTTGTCTTGGAGGTAAAACAACCGATTTCCAAAGCTTATCTCTTGACAAATTAGAAATCTTAAATATATCATATTTCGAATGAAACTTGGCGAGGTTAACTGGTAAATCTTCTTCACCAATGAAGTAATCTTGAATACATGAAGTTGATGATTGTTGAGGTGGACTCGATTGATTCACAAGCGTTCCCGTAACAACACGAGCATTGTAGTCAATGGCATATAACCTTAAAAAGGTGGAATTTAAACGGTGATCTCTATTTTTAAAAGATCTTCCTCCGGGGACTCTGAATAACTCTTCATCGGTATTATGGTTGTGAGCTTGAGAATTGAACGTCACTAGTTCTTGATAAATACATGTATGTGGTTCTTCGTCGATGGATGAAGTTGATAATGACAATGTTGATTCAACTGGTAGAATATCATCGGTTAGTCTTGGTGATTCTTTAATGAAAAATATGGGATTATTCTTCAATATTTTCCAGTTTTTCTTTATTGATTGAGTTAAATTCGAAACTAGGGATATATTTTCATTAATGCTATTGATTGTTTCATTAACAGCCACGTTATTTGAAGCTAGTATAGGTGTAAATTCTTCAACCGATATGATTGATTCTGATAATTTTGACGACGATTGAGTTTGAAGTAATCTGGTCAATGACTCGGTTGAAGCAGCGTGTCTTAAAGGAATAGTTTCTGACATTGTTGTTACAAATGATGGAGCTACAGTCGTATTTGTAGTTGAAACCGTTGTTGCTAATGGATAAATACTAGAGCTGGTATTACCATTACTGAAAGATGATAAATACGACTGAACTGAAGGAGATTTCGATAAACTCGTAGACTTAATATTAGTTGATGTTGAAAAGGAAGATGATATCACCGAATATTCATCGGATGAAAGATCTTCTGAAATTTCTTCACCTCTAGTTACAATATCGTCATCTTCGTCATCTTCAAAAGAAGTCGAATCTTCATCGTCAGTTAACTGTTCTTCATATAAATATTTCTCTTGTTCTGTAGATAATGGATGATGATGATGACGATGATGTATATAATTAGGACTTTTGTTTTTATAATGAGTTAATCTTTGATTATGCAAATTTGATTTTATACTGCCTATGCTTATGGATTGTTTCAATGATTTAGATTTAATTGACGATACTAAATTAGACATTGGAGATGTTGATGGTTTCCTTTTCTTCTTATAGTTAGATACTGTATTTGGTAATGAATTAGATGACGATGATGATGATGATGAAGTGGTACGAGGTAAGGATGGTGGTGACTCTATTGAGATTGGACTCGTCGCTGAAAACAAGGTTTGGGAATTATTTATATGTATAGCCATATTAGTGTTTCGGGGTTTGTGTTTAGTAATATTGGCCTTAACTATATGTACAGAATCCTTATTAATTATGGGGTATACGATTGGATTATTTTAACTTTTTGAATTTTGAATATTTATATGCTATTATGAATTAATGATTAATCTTTACACAGCAATCTATACCTCCATATATAAATATATATATATATATATATATGTCCTATGACTGAGCTATAATTGGTAGAAAAAGATAAGATTGCCTGTTCGGGATATGTAAGATCCTGCTCCGTATGTATAAGTATTTTTTCCTTTGTTTGCAATACTTAGATAATCTGATACAGATTGTACAGTGCAGTTGGGGGATTAAATTATAAACTAACTAATAGTGGATAGGATAATTAATATAAATCCTTATAATAAAATAAAAATAGTGAATTAGAGAAAGTAAAGAAATATCAGTAAATTATAAATTATATATATCAAATTAGAATAATACAATTTCCACAAAGTATAAACGTAATCGAATTGACCTACATACAAATAAATAAATGAACTAGTCAAAAGCTTAGCTAAAGGGATGAAGGAGCCTAGAGTATTCGGAATATACACACAACACATTTCATTCTTACAGAAAATTTATGTTACAGTAATCGTAAGGCAATTCACTCTTCTCTTTTTGGTGCAAATGAGCGGAATTTTCCTGATGGGGTTTTGTGCAACATAAGTGAGCTGAGTGATTTTTATTTTTGCTTCCTTAGACGATTTTTTCTTTTTTGTGTGATATTTTTTTTCTTACCATCTCAAGCATACAATTTGTTAGCGGAAAACAGCGAAAGAGAGATCCAGTTTGGGCAGTTTGTTCCTGTTGACCAACAAAAAAATTATGACTGAGAAAAGAAAAATTTAAAGGTAACTATGAGCGTAGAGAATAGTATGACTTTTTATTGAAATGCTTGTAGTTAATGGATGAAGAAAAAAATTGTAAACAAGGCTTATCTAAATCGTTTATTACAGATACAGTTTCAAAAGAAAGAATTTCAAGATACATACACGTAACGATAATAGAAATCGAAGTAGAAAATGTAGCGTCGTCCCATAACTAGACGGCATTTAAAAAAAATGTCTCCTTTTACCGTATTAAATATATACAGTACAATGCTTATACCTGTCTATTCCATGCAGGCCGTTATATGCACATACCCGTAAATAAAACATTGTGAGATTATTGAAAACTTATCTAATGCCTTACCAGTATCTATGCACCTCATAACTTGCCTCACCGGAAGATGGAAGAATGTAACGTACGTATCTTCCAAGTTTTAATGTGCACACCAGCCAATGTATGGCCAGATAAAATAATCTAGGCACAGAATAATAATATTTTACTTATACACCATTCATCTGGTAGCATTTTCTTTAAAACAATAAGAGCAATACATATATTTATCAGAGAATAATCGAAAACAATAAGCATTGGCACAAAGAAATCTTGTCATTTCTTCGTATGGTCCATCTTTTTCTTTGCCCATTTGTGTCGCATTTTTTTTATATTGCCGTTTCCCATATTAATAGTGTCGCGTTTTTTCATTGACCATAGCCCGTCAATGCCGAAAAAACTATGCCGAAAATCCAATAGTTTTCGGTATATATTATTTTAGGATGGCATATAATATGGCTATGAACGGTTTTATGAATGGCTTAATACAGTACTATATTTAGTGAAACTATAGTATTTTGTAGACAAACTAAATTTCATCTAAGCGAACCTATTATCAATAATAACTAAGCCTAGTCTGAGATCACAAAAGTAAATGTAGAGTAAATTAATTCACATAGCACTAAATTAATATAAGCAAATGCCTTTTGCAACATTTCTATTATAGAAAGTTTAACTAATAAGCTAATAGTCCTTTACAACACTCCGCCTATTCCGTTATTTGTATTTACTTTTATACTCTATCTACTTTGATCTAATACTCAATTATCGTTACAACATTGTCCTTCTTGGCGAATTAGTTTCAGCATTATTGCTATTGGGCAAAAGTTCGTTATCGTCATCATAATCGAATTCATCCAATTCAAAATCAACATTATTTCCATTTGCGTTACTGGCCCTGGCATCATCCAACAGATTTACAATTCTATCATATCTTGCAGAATTATTGGATGCAGACAAGTTTGATGACTTGCCATAGAACTCTTCGAATAAACTATCAATGTCTTCTAATTCGACTCCCTTAGTCTCTGGATAAAACCAAATAACCACAAAAATACTAATTATACAACTTGTAGCTGGTAATAAATACATTCGCCATCCAATTTGTTCTTGTAAAATAGGCGTTAATTGTCCTACGATATAATTCGCCAACCAATTAGTAGCAACACTTAATGAGACACCCTTTGATCTAATCGCCAATGGATATACCTCAGGAGGAATTAAAAACCCTATTGGTCCCCAACTATAGCCAAATGATGCATTATAAATAATAACTAATATGGCTACCATGGTAGGAGTATATGATCTGTTTAACCACATAATTAATGAAATTAATGATAAACAAACACCCATTGAAAACCCACCACTTATTAATATTGGTTTTCTACCCCATTTATCAACAATAAACCAGGGTGGAATTGTGCTTAATAAATAAATTATACCATTTATACCAGTCATTAATAATGCATATGAATCATTGAAGCCAGCTTCTTCAAATACTAATGGAGCATAATAAGATATAATATTTATCCCATTCAATTGAGCAAATCCTAACGCAGAACAACCAATAAAAATTCTGGATCTATAATTACGAAACATATTCCTCCAACTTCTTTCCGATTTAGGAATTGAAATTCGTTCTTGAAGAATAGAATTCTTAATTATGAAAAATTCCTTTCTTGCTTTATCTACATCATGATGAGAATCATATAATAATGCCAAAACATTTAATCCTTGTTGATCATGATCGACATCTAATAACCATCTAGGACTTTCAACTATAAAAAATCCTCCTACCAATAAAACAAATGCTATTATTACCTGAATAAATAATGGAAGTCTCCAACTTACATTCGACCAGAATTTCGATTCATTGACATTCTTTGGTTGAATGAAATAACTAAAATAATCAACCCAAACTGATAAACAATAACCTATAATATTACCCGTAAATTCAACACAAACCAATTTACCTCTTTCTTCACTTGGACTAATCTCACATTGGTAAGAAGGAACTATAGTAGATAATATTCCCACTCCTATACCAGATAAAACTCTTCCCACACCAAACACCCATAAGTTAATTGCAAAAGATTGCAATGCACCACCAATTATAAAAATAAATGTTCCCAATAAAATTGTACGTTTTCTACCAAAGATATCTGAAATTTTAGCAACTAACAATGATGAAAACATAGCTCCAATTTCCAATATTGATATAACAAGCCCAATTTCAGATTTACTAGGATAATCAAAATAATCATTGAACGTACGAAATGTCAATATTCCTGAACAAACACCTTGTTCATACCCAAATAAAGATACAAAAAATGATACAAATGCCGAAGTAAAATATACTAGAAATGTTCCTTTAAATTTTAATTTTGATGTATACTGTTTACAATTAAAATCGACATGAGCATATAAATTTCCGAAATCATCCATGTATTCATTGACAGAAATTGAATTATTTCCACCTTCTAGAAGATGTTGTTGTCGAAGACCTTGATTTGAGTCACCATATTTTACGGGATCAAATTCATCGCTATTATTATCTATTTCAACACTGAAATCATCGTCATCATCATCGTCATCATCATTATCTCCAGAATGATCAGAGTATATGATTTCCTTCTTTTCTGAAGATGGTCTTCCCATATCCTGAACAATTATTTTCGGTATCAAACTAGCCGGTCCAGAGGTTTCATGATCAGTCGCAGTAGTTATTAATGGTTGACTGAAAAGTACTTCCGCATGTTCCTCATCAAATGGATTATCATTAGCATTCTCATTATCATTAGCATTAACTTTGCTATTATTTATTCTTATATATGCCATTGTTTATTATATTAATATACGGTAAACATTTACTCTATACTTTTTTGACTGTATACTAATTAATTCTAACCACAACACAATCAAATTTAATTATTAATACAAAATTTATTTAAATATTCAATGGTCAATTCCTTGTGTCGCAGAATACCAAACTTACACATAGCCTAGCCTATGATAAATAATTGCGCATTATATTTTTTTTTGGTGAAGTTTGGGGTTAAGGAGTAAATCTACGCGTATGACGTAATGTGACAAATAACGAACCCAAACGATAACTAATTCCGCTTTAACAAATTTGTCTGATTTGCGGCAGACATACTTAATCTGATCAATATATTTAAGGGCTGTGGGCTTTTTTCTTAACAAGTCTCAATAACGGTTGCAAATTTAGTATACACAATGCTTACGGATTCTATTTTCAATTCTTCTTCTACTACTACTACTACGCACAAAAACAAATTACATGCTTTAATTATGTTTATTAAAGTCTATAAGAATAAATATTTCAGTAGCATGTCCCAGATAGATCTCTTCTATGGAACATTTTGTAAAGTTTGGTTTTTAAATTAAGTATAGTCTGAAATGATTTTGATTTTAGTATGATCAGATATGTACAGAACGTTACAGCCGTGAATTTATGGAATATATAAAGTAGAAGTTAATTATCCAAAACTTATGCTGATTTTCCACGTTTAAGATAACTTTCAATGTAGAAAGCAGCAAATAACCCAGTTAAAGGTGCTAAGTAAGCCACATTGATTAAGATAGGTAAGGCTTGATCAGGAGTATTAATACAACTAATGATTTTTAAATTTTCATAATCAGATGTATCAACAATCCAAATAAATGCATGTAAAATGGCAATGGAACCACCAACCACAAATTGAGTGATTTGTAAACTAGTTAAAACCCTCTTGAAAATGATTGGAACTCTGATATGTAAACAACTTAAGGAGAAATAGAAATACATAAGGGAGTGAATAAATGAGTTAAATACAACAAAGATCCAAATAGGTGGGGATTGAAATCTAATACCGGCCCACATACACATCATAGCACCAGAATGGTGATAACTTTGTAATAAAGATGATGGTCTACCTTTTAAAAGAATTATAACTGTATCTAAAACTTCATAAAATTTAGAAATATAAAACCACCATCCAAATATTTCTAAATTATGTTGACCAACTTTGTCAACAACTAATTTTGAAAAGATTCCTTGATTAGAATCACAAATAGATTGAAAGAATACTTCAAATGATTTATAATTAATTTGTTTTGTATTAAGGGAATTTAATAAATTTGGTAAGATTAATCCTTTAAATAATTCCATATTACTTAAAATTGAAGATGTCATTCCAATAAAAGTCCATACTGAATAAGCACATAAAAAGACATTATGTAAAAAAACAAAGACATTAAATATACTTGATCTTGCAATACAATAAGGAGCAGCACCTAAACGTTTAGGGATAGACTTTTTTTCAGCTTCTTTTGGATTTGCTTTATAATATTTGTTTAATTGACGTTTAACAACAATTGGATTAATGAAATGAACTGAAGTGAAATATACCAAGGCAATAGTTAATGGTGTCATAACATTCATTGACCCATCAAAGATCCATGTTAAAATCGCATTATCAAATGGTGAAACAGGTATTGGAGTGTCTAGCGTAGGTAAATGCCAGGCATCGAGATTTGGTAACCCAAATTTAACTAATCTTGAATTAACAATATCCATCGGGTCTATGGTCTATAGTAAATATATGAACGACTCTAAATGAACTTACACTAAGTATAAAATTAGTTAGTCAATTAAAATTCTTTACGATCGTAAAAATTAAATCATACAACTATAATAATCAATCTAGATATATATGTATATTATATACTAATTTAGTTTAGGTGTTGAAAATTTCTAGTCGCAACCCATTCATTTCCGTAAAGGGAAACTCCAGTTTTTTAGAGATTTCCCATCATTTTTTTTTCAACTTGTTGCTAAATATTTATTTAGGTCGGCCTTTGCTATGGAATCGGATAAGAAACAATAGTTGCAATTTGCTTGGATCTTATTATTATTGTATCAACTTTTTACTTTATTTCGATTCTATTTGTTTCCTTTACTTAATTGTTATTTATACTACTGTGACACATGGGTTATGTTAATCTGCTCATTCCCTGCGTCTTCGTGTACCCTAAAATGGTAAATACGCAGAAGACATTTAAAAAATCCCCCTATTTCACATAGTTTCATTTTAATAATTTTTCTTGAATTATTGGCTGTAAAATTCTATCCGGCCGTATTTTGTTTATTTGCACTTTTTTTTTGTTGGTCTAACCGCTTTATTTTGGGTCTTTTTTTTCCCGAGGTTAAACTCCCTTAACTCCTCGGTGGTCACGAGGGAAATGTCAGCTGATGTGGTTGCAACATATGTGTCCTACAAGAATATATTATAATGTTTGTAATATTGTAATAATGCATTTTTATTAAGTAAAGACTTCATTAAAATCCTTGTGAATTTGTAGTTGAAGCTTTCATGAATCTATGATATATAATGTACATACTGGTTAGTTTTATGCGGAGAAACGTCAATGTTAAAGTTCGTAACGATTTTTCTAGCTTTTGGTTGAGCTATAGGTATATTATTGTTATTAATATTATTGGTATTAGTAATAGGTTGTAATGGTATTGATAATGCATGTTGAGTTTCCTCAATTAATGGATCAAAATCGTAATGACCCTTTTCTAAGATTAAAAATCCCTTTTGTCTTAAATAAATTGTTAATGATTCAATAGCAGCATTTAAATTATCTTGTTCATAGTAACTAAGTAATATTTGATGATAATTTGTAGTACCTGATTCATTTAATGGAACTTCATTAACAAGAATTTCAATCCCTAATAAGATTTTAAAAGGTATAGATATGTTGTCATAAAAATCTTGTTTTAAAGTTCCATTAAAGTTATCTTCAAATTTACCTGGGTTAGCAGTTATCTTGAATTCGTAATTACTAGGCAAGACTGATTTTAATTTGGTAAAACACAGCTTAATCTTACTGTCTGCCCCTTTGATATCAATAGTTAAACTATTTCCATTACCATTTTCAAATTTAAAGTCTTCAATAGAAGTAGGGAAACTAATAAAAGAATTGGTTTCAATTTCCATTTCATTAATAGCTTGTATCTTGTTATTATTGATTAATAATAAATAATGACTCTTTAATAATTGGAACTTTAAAGTGTTATAAATAGTAATATTGGTATTATTATTATTATTATTATTATTATTATTATTATTGGGCATAATGTTATTCATACAACACTTTAATACCAATTGATCAATTTCATATTTTGCCAATTCAATATTCTTTTCATTCTTCCTTGGACATTTAATTAAAACATTATTAAGTCTTCTAAATGAATAAATCTCTTCATTTGATATACTATTCAAATTGGAATTGGAAAATTTAATAAAAACATTATACTTTTTCATAATTGATTGAATTATTGAACCTCCATTCCCAATGATTGATTTATGAAAGACTTCTGGAATATTAAATTTCAATTCAGCTGGTAATTCTAATTCAAGTAATTCCAAACCTTGAAGTAAACTTTGAAATGTAGTATCATTAATTTCAAAATCTATAAAGAAATTATACTCATTAAATGGTTTGAATTTAATTATAGATAATTGATTATTCAATTGATTCAATATTTTAATTAATTTCCCATTCTTTTTACCACTAATAAAATCTCTTTGTGAATTGTTTAATTCTATTCTTAATTTGATTTGTTCAAAGCTCATATTCAATGAAGTCATTTTTAAAAGTAATTGTTTTATTTCACTCGACTCTCCATTGATATCTAATCCGTATTTAGTTGAGTTAATAACACAAGACTTTTTCAGAGATAATAATTGAATTAATAAATATTCATTATTAATATTACTACCATTCAATTGAATAGTATAGTAATTTGAACAGATTAAATTAATCTCCAGTATGACTTCATTAAGAGCATCTAATGAAGTACCTTGAATTAAAATTCTAGCTTCCTTAGATCCAAGGTTAGGCAATTGAATGAAAACACCTTGATTAAACATTATATTAAGGATATCATTTTGATTGTATAATGTAATTAAATCCAATTTAACTTTAGTTATATCAAGTTCTTTAACCATCAACTGTTTCTTATCATTTATGATCTTTGATAATATTTGTTTGGTTAATAAGATTTCAGGAATAGATTTGCTTGTAATCCATAACTTTCTACTGGAAATCTTTGAATTGAATAAGTTTGGTAATAAGTCAGGAATATAAATATTAGAATTAGTTTGTTTAGCAATTTGAGTAAAATTAACTAATTGTTTACCACCAATAATGGGAATCAATGACAATTCAATATCAATTGAATCCAAATAATTATTATTGATTAAATTATCAATTAAGATTCTCGTTGATGTCTCGGTAATAGTAATATTATCTTGATTACCCAATATATGAATTGCATAATTTCCAGCTGCAATTGTTTTGGAGAAACAAGATTTATCATTATTTATTATAATTTCAACTTTATATTGGTTGGCTAATTTATATAATTCTGCAGTAAATTTTTCATTTATTTTCATAAACTCACCAGGAGTTAATGGAATAGTTTTAAAACTTACTTGATTGTATTTTTGCATAATTTTTGTTCTTGATTTAGTAACAAAATCAATTGATCCATTAAATGATACTGTTATTAATTGATTATTTTCTATTAAATTTATATAATTACCATTCTTAGTTTGTTGAGTATTTATCTGTTGAATAATTTGTTTTAAATTATATAAATTATCAATCATTCTATAAGAAGATCTCGTTTGTTCATTAACATATTCGTTCCATATTTGAGGACTTGATTCAAAGTACGTTATTAAATTTGGTTTGGTAAATTTGGGATCTATTATGAAGCTATATTCAAAGTTTAAAATAGTAGTATTCATTATAAATTGAGGAAGAAAGTTATAATATGGAGTATAATAATAGAAGAATTTAATGAAGACGAAATGAAGAAAATTCACTCAATTTATTAGTAACCACAGAATAGAATATACTCAATTATAAAAGATTAGATATATTAAATAATTAAATAAATTTATCAGAGGATGATTGCAAAATGGTGCTGTTATATATATTTAAAGATTTACGTATATAACCAAGTGTTTAACCTGCATATTTGGTTGATGATATACTCATTTAGTTACCGAATAGGCAAACATGTGCTTTAAGGCGTAAATTATATGCATATAGAATTAAATATGTTTACATTTATGATAAAATTGGTAACTTTCGATTTGTAGTTTGTTTATTAATATTTTTAATTTTGTTCTCACTTGCCTAATTAGGAAACAAGTGATGGTCAACTTATTTTTCAGTTAGGGAAAAAAAATGTATGAGAATGCCTAGGTTCTTACCTAAAAGGGTTATAGTGGAACGACATTAAGCCGCAGAGACCAAGATATTGATTTAAGCGGAGACTAATTAATAAACTTACTAGATCTAGTTAAAAGGGTAATAAATATATTGAATGACCCTTTCAATAATAATTTGAAACAGTTGCAAAATTGTATAGTAATATGCGTGATAAGGTATTAATTATATCTAATGTTTATTAATTACTTCTAAAATTATAATCTTTTTGTATCCCATACGTATACCATTTCATCCCAACCAGTAGTAGCAACCCAACCTGGTTCACCCCATAAACTATAATCACATCCAATTACAAATTCTTTATGACTATTGAATACCCCTCTACAACCTCCATTTTGAAGATTAAGGAATCGTGCCTTTTCGTGAGATTCATCTCGCCAAATTCTAACACTCATATCATATGAAGTACTTATAAGTTCTTGACCATCATGAGGAGACCATTGAATTTTACGAACGGCAAATTCATGACCTAATAATTCATTTAATGGAGTTGGACCCCTAACATGATAAGATGGTTGAGTAATATTATGTTGATCTACTTTAGAAATTAATCTTAAGTCCCATATTCTAATCGATTTATCAGTACCTGCTGATGCAACAATTGTGGATTTATATTTATTCCAATCACAACTTAAAGCTTCTAATCCTCCATGAGCTATATAATCCATTTGTAAAGGATTTGGAGCTCTTATATCCCAAATTTGTAGGTGAGATGATCCACTACAACTAATGATTGTAGATGGTGAATGTGGAGAAAATGTAGCATTATATATACAATTAATAGTATTAATCAGATTCTGAGTTTGTTGATGCAGTTGTTGATGAGATAATGGTACAGTTGTACCTGGTGGTTGTAATTGTGGTTGAACTTGAGTAGTGGACGCTATTGATGATGGATTTTCAAGTGTTAACAATGATTGATTTCTTTGAGGAGACCAAACTTTTATAGTACCATCCCAACTTGAACTAACAAAGTTACTTTTATCTACCAAATTCCAATTAACTGAAAATACTTCTCGTCCATGTTCTTTCCAATTCATAACAGGGAATTGACCCACAGTTAAATCAAATAATTTTATTGATCCATCTCCACTTGCTACTGTCAATTGATTTTCATGAACTTCACTCCATGAAACATCAAATAAACCATCTTGAGTTTCCCAAGATATTTGATCTCTTATAGTTCCATTATTCTCTATATTTAATACAAATAATCTTCCATTACCAACCAATCCATAGTTAGCTGCACTAGCTACTGCTAATTTATTGTCAAAGTATGGAGAGTATTGTACACCATAACCATTATAACCTCGAGTTCTAAATGATAACATTCTTCCACATAAATAACCTAATGGATATTTATATTCTCAACCTATACAATATGAAAATTAATATGAAAATTAATATGAAACTTACAAGAAAGCTTTAATTTCCTGGAGTAAAACTAAAACTTTTGACTAATATCTCCAGTGGATCTTTTTTTCCGAGGCCCTCATAATAAAAGTGCGGGATTGCAAAATTTGCGGATTATGATTAAAGTATGATTAAAGATTTAATTATGATTAAAGTATTAATTATTATTATTAATTATTATTATTTATATGCTAATCTATACGATGAATTATATAGGAAAGGAATGTTGTTTATATACTAGATATCAAATAAACCTGTATCTAAAGTCTTTATAATATGATGATATTTTTCATCAATATTGTCTTTAGTTAAAAATCCAAATTGAATAAAATCTCCCATAATTAAGGCAACTTTTTGTTGAGAATATTTCAAATAATCGAAATCATCATCACTTGAAGTAATTGCTTCTTCAACAGTAATATTATCATTGATATTTAAATTATCAATTCCATTAGTAGTGATAGTATAGGTACTATCAACCCCTTGTTCTACTGTAGAATTAGAAATTAATGAAGATGATTTAATAGGACCATTTTGAATTAATCCCCAAAGTGTCCAATAAATTTGAACAGTAGATCTCCAGAAGACACATTCATTATGCAATTTTTTTATTTCAAATTCAATCAAATCACTGGCATTTATATTACCTTGTTCTAATGAAATCTTAGTTTTAGTGATTAAATTTGATGAAGGAAATTGAAAGTCATATTCAATATAACTCTTAATCAAATTCAATTGTTCAATTTGATTTGGATATTTTTCTTCATGAATATAGTATGATTGAGTTTCATCATGATAATCTGACATCCATTCAGAGAAATGATTAACAATATCTACTGCAGGAATATTGCAACCTGAATATTCAAAATCAATGACTACCAAATTATTATCTCTCTTATTAGAAGTGGTGGCAATAGCGACATCTTCATCATTTTCTTGATCACTATTAACAATTTCTTTAGGATTAAAGGATTCATGTAAAAGTAAATTACCATATTGAGTATCATTATGACAGAATCTATAGTTATTAGAAAAATTAGTTTCATCATATTTCTTAAATAACCACTCTTTATACTTAAAGACTAATTGTTTAAAGGCTTGAAAATCCACAAAAAATACATCTTTTGGATCCTTACCGTTATCAATAAATGTTTGTAAGTACTCCCTTTCAAAAAGATCTAACCACTTATATATTAATTTCCAAGAATTTGGTAATGGAGAAGAAAGGTCATCAGAATCTAATTCAATTTTATAATGCAAGTCTTTCATTCTTCTACCTAACATTTGAGATATGACTTGATCTCTAATATCTAATTTGCCTAAAGTTCTAAATCCTTCTAAAAATTGTTCAAATCTACCATTTGTGAAAATACCTAATAATCTTGGACCTATTCTTTTTGATGATAATTTAATTAAAGTTTTCAATTCAACATCTCTATCGATTAATTCATCGACATTCTTACCATAAACTCTTAATAATAATGAAGGTAATCTTAAATTTTGATGATGATCATAATATTCAATCTTATAAATAGAATTAGTTAAAGCTCCACTTATACGATTTACAAAAATATTAGATACAGTTAATTGACGTTTATGCCATTTACTAATTTTTAATGTTTTAATTAATACTAATAAATCTTGTTTGAAGAAATCTAATGGTAAACTATTATCTAATGTAACATCTACAGTTGGAATAGATCTTTCACTATCAATATTAGTTGGTGTAACAACTATTTTAGTTAATGATGAACTTGATAACGATCTTTTCCCACTTAAAGAGGGTCTTCTAGTACCACTTGATGATCTTGAAGGTGGTTGAGTTCTTGATTTTGATCTGGATCTAGATCTTGATCTTGAATCCTTAACAATACTTCCTAAATCTGCAGTACTCATTTTGGACTTTTAATATGTGATTATATGATTATTGAAAAGTTTTTTATTATCACTCCCCAAATTTAACCTTTAAAATTTTGCTTGCAGTTTGTGGTTCTTATCGGCCCCATGGGAAAATTTGCTGATCTGTCTCGTGACAGTTGAGCCGATTGACGAAGCGGGTGCACGACTAACAAAATACGAATATTGAGCTACCAAGTATTTATTAATTGTTACAAGTTTTTGATGTGTAATTAAGTAATTATGTCACATAACTAGTGTAGATATATTGTATATGAGATTATAGTAAAACTTACAGAGTCTTACTGTTATTAAATTTCGTTCGATTATTAATTTTAGGGAGACATAGAGCGAAAAATACACTAAATTGCTAATCTCTTAGGTCAGCTAAACAAATTTACATAAATTTGTTTTCTCACCCAATAAAATATTTTAGAAGTTTCTGAGGTGAAACAATTGATCATCTGATTCAGAATATATCTCAAGGTTTAATATTTTGACTCATTAGGTTAGGTATGGACTGTCTCAATAAATTGAGCATTTCAACTAATACCAATTAGTGATTAACTAAACAAAGAATCACATTCATATCATAAATAATCCTCTATGACTCATTGACTCTGAAACTCCAAGACTCCGACTATATTAAAATATCTATATCATTTACAATTCGTTACCTCTTAACACTGCTCGACTTATTTGCACCCAAATATATAATAATTTATTTAGTTCGTACTCGAACACGTGACTGATATCCAATAATAAATCAGCAAATCAATTTTACTAACCATATAGTGAAGATGATGGACTAATTAGGCAATTCGGTGCACACACGCAGTTTTACAGTCCAAAAAAATTTATAAACTGTCAAATGAATGAAGGGCCATAAGAAGATTAAAGATTTAATAATAAGTAAGACCAGGATAATGCTTCGTAGCTTAAAACAACAGCCAAGTAGCTGGAAGCGTAGTTTGGCTACAATTGCCGATCCAGCGGCTAATCCTAATCGAGTTCATGGTGGATTAAAAGATTCTGATCGTATTTTCCAAAATGTTTATGGAACTTATGGACATGATTTAAAATCAGCACAAAAGATGGGAGATTGGTATAAAACTAAAGAAATTATTTTAAAAGGTGATAAATGGATTATTGATGAAATGAAAAAATCTGGTTTAAGAGGTAGAGGAGGTGCTGGATTCCCCTCTGGTCTTAAATGGTCATTTATGAATCCTCCAAATTGGGAAAAAAATGTTGGACCAAGATATTTAGTAGTTAATGCTGATGAAGGTGAACCAGGTACTTGTAAAGATAGAGAAATTATTAGAAAAGATCCTCATAAATTAGTTGAAGGATGTTTATTAGCTGGTAGAGGTATGAATGCTACTGCTGCTTATATTTATATTAGAGGTGAATTTTATAATGAAGCAGTTATTTTACAAAATGCTATAAATGAAGCTTATAAATCTGGTTTACTTGGTAAAAATGCTTGTGGTTCAGGTTATGATTTTGATGTTTATATTCATCGTGGTATGGGAGCTTATGTTTGTGGTGAAGAAACTGCATTAATTGAATCAATTGAAGGTAAAGCTGGTAAACCAAGATTAAAGCCTCCTTTCCCTGCTGGTGTTGGTTTATTTGGTAGACCAACTACTGTTGCTAATGTTGAAACTGTATCTGTTGCTCCAACTATTTTAAGAAGAGGTGGAGATTGGTTTGCATCATTTGGTAGAGAAAGAAATTCTGGTACAAAATTATTTTGTATTTCTGGTCATGTTAATGAACCATGTACTGTTGAAGAAGAAATGTCAATTCCATTAAAAGAATTATTAGAAAAACATTGTGGTGGTATTAAAGGTGGATGGGATAATTTATTAGGAGTTATTCCTGGTGGATCATCAGTTCCAATTATGACCAAAGAAACTTGTGAAAATGTTTTAATGGATTATGATGCATTAAGAGATGTTGGATCAGGTTTAGGTACTGCAGCTGTTATTGTTTTAAATAAACAAACTGATATCATTAGAGCTATTCAAAGATTTGCTCATTTCTATAAGCATGAATCATGTGGTCAATGTACTCCATGTAGAGAAGGTACAACTTGGTTACAAAGAATGATGGATAGATTTGTTTCTGGACAAGCTACTGAAAAGGAAATTGATATGATTTTTGAATTAACTAAAGAAGTTGAAGGTCATACTATTTGTGCTTTAGGTGATGCTGCTGCTTGGCCAATTCAAGGTTTAATTAAATCTTTTAGACCTGTCATGGTAGATAGAATTAATGAATTTAAAGCTAAGAATGAAACCATTGGTTATGGTGGTTGGATAGAAGGTGGTAAAGTCAAAGAAGGTAGAGTGGTTGACAATCCCGTTCCAGCCCATCATTAATCAATCATCATAGATATATCACATACAATCATTCTTTATTGATTGTTTAATCATTAATCATACCTACACAAAAAAAAAAAAAATTGCATAGTATCTCCTCTGGATATTCTTTTCTAATTCCTGTAATTTTAATTTTACTGGATTTTCTATATACATTTTGTTACATTAGTCATTTTTCATTTATATTATTACTTATTACTATATTTATATATTCGTTAAAAAGTTTATAACTCATATTGTAAGTAGTAGACCGGCCCTGATCTTCCCCTCCTTTGACTCCGAAAAATTCCAACTTACGGCGAGTGAAAAAAAATTGAACGGGCATAAAGATAACCTACTACTCCGAACTGGACCTGCTAGATCTGAAAATATTCGGTGTAAGTGGTACTTTGTTAATTAGTGACGGTGTACTAAATTTGTGGAATTTTTTTTTAACTATTGAGAGTTTATAATTTTCATTAATTTAGATCAGTATTAATTGGACGTGTTTGTCACTTCATCGGAGGTAGTATTATACTTATAGATATATTCTTATTACGTGTTCTAGTATGAAGTTTGGTAAAGTATTATTACTTGCAAGTCTAGTGGTTACTGGAGCTCATGCTGCTGCCGCAGTAGTGGATGCAGCAGTAGTGGATACTTCAGCTACCAGTAATTCAATTAATTCAATTAAACTCAAGTCTGATGATGAAGTTGGATCAACAAATATCGAATTATCTGAATCATCAAATTCAAAATCTGAATCTAGAATTGGAGTTAAAAAGATTGAACCAGAAGATAATCATCCAACTCCAAGTCATGAAAAACAACCATTAAATCCTTATAAACAATCAAATTCAGAAGATGAAGAAGAACCAAGTTCTTATAATTCATTCATTATGTCTGTATCAATGATTATTGTATCTGAAATTGGTGATAAAACTTTCTTAATTGCTGCATTAATGGCTATGAGAAATTCAAGATTTATTGTATTTTCAGCTGCATTTAGTGCATTAGTTGTAATGACTATATTATCTGGTGTTGTAGGTCATGCATTACCAACATTAATTTCAAGAAGAATTACTCAATTCTTAGCTGCAATTTTATTCCTTGTATTTGGTGGTAAATTATTAAATGAAGGATTAAATATGTCAAAGGATTTAGGAGTTGAAGAAGAATTGGCTGAAGTAGAAGAAGAAATTGCTATGAGTAAAATTAATAGTCAAATGAATGATATTGAAGCTGGTCAACAAGGTACTTCTCAAACTACTACTCCTGTTACTAAAGAATGGTATTCTGACTTTTTAACTAATTTTGAAAATTTAGCAGAATTTGTATTATCACCAGTTTGGATTCAAGTATTTGTTATGACATTCCTTGGTGAATGGGGTGATAGATCTCAAATTGCAACCATTGCAATGGCAGCCGGATCTGATTATTGGTTTGTTATTTTAGGGGCTATTATTGGTCATGGAGTTTGTACTGCTGCTGCATGTATTGGAGGTAAATTATTAGCTAAAAAGATTTCAATGAGAAATGTAACTTTAGGTGGAGCTATTGCATTCTTTGTTTTCTCAATTTTATACTTTTACAATGCTTATTATGATCTTGAAGGTTAAATTTCTAAATTATGTATATACATTGTAAATTAGACATTACATAATTTACATAACTACTTTTTAAGAATATTATAGAAAATGTTATAACTCACCTTGATACATAAATTTTAATACTTGATTTGGATTTAATCCTTTAGTACCTCCTGAAGTTATACTTAATTCAATATCTTCCTTTTTTCTTTCAGCATCTTTCTTTTCATGAGCTTCTTTTTTACCTTCCTCAGTTTCTAAATAATCTAATTCTTCAACTGTATGAAATCCATAAAATTGGAAAGATTCACGTAATTCTTGAACTTTTGCAAAACACCATTCAGCAAATTCATCATCTCGTTGTAAAGTTCGATCATCACCATTTACAGTATCTCTTGTCTTTATCGCACTTTCTATCCATTCATCTACTTCTGGTAATGGTTTTTTTCTTAATAAAGTTGTTAATAATCCTTCATGTTGGGTAGTTGGAAATAATGATGTAGGATATACATTTGTATTCATTAATAATTCATCATTAGAACTAATATTTGTAGCTATAGAATGTAATTGAGTAATTAATACTTGAAATTGACTTTGAAAATGTGCATATGAAGGTAATTTCACCTTATTAGGATGTCTATTATGCAGATTAACTTGTTCAGCAAGTTTTCGTAATGATAAATGGACTTGATTTAATCGATTTCGTATAGCTTCTAATGATTCTGTAGGGATTTGTGAGTTATCTGTTTGAACTGGTGGACTTGTCTTCTTCCGGATCAATCCGGCACTTTGACTCATATTTAATTTAAAGATACAGACTGTATATATACTTCAGTTTTGAGCTTTTACCATAACCTTTAGTTTTAGCTTTAGCATAGCTTAGATTTTGAGGTTTTGTAGCGAAAATCACGTGACTGGAATTTTAACTATAGATCTAACCTTACAAAGATGGGAGTATAACTAATAGATCTTCTCTTAATAAGACGATAATGATACGAGGTAATTGGAGTTTAGCAGCCGAGTTGAAGCAAAATGAGAGGAAACAGCAACAAAAGCTTCAACAGAGACAAAAAGATGATTTACGAACCAGTCGACTTCGTGATGCTAATCCCATAAAGATATATCATCAAATACAAAGATTGGAAAGTCTAACTAATATTTCAGACAAGGATAAGAATCACTTAGTACGACTAAAGGAAGATTGGGACTATATAATTAAGAAGAAACTTCATTATGAGAAAGTGAGTGAATTTTTAGCTCAAGTAGAAGAAAATGAAAAGAAGAAGAAGATAAATGAGAGTAAATTATGGGGTCAAGAATCTATATATTTTAATCCCGAATTAAATCCATTGGGTAAAGTACCGAATTTAGAAGGGACTGACCAATTACCTAATTTGGTTAAGCCATTAAAAGGGAAATATTATAGTAAACCAAAAAGAGATCCAATAATAGATACACTTAAAGTGGTACTACCAGATGGTGAGCCACCGCGATTTTATAAGCTTGTTCAAAATACCAGTAAGAATAAGAAACTATCACCAAATTCTGGTGCGCAAGTCAGACAAATAGAGGGAAATGTTGAAGATGATCAAGATAGTGAGTATGAGCAAGAGGGTGAACTTGCACCTGAAGAAGAAGAGTATGCAAAAAGAAAACATTATAATAATGATTATGTATAAGTGTATAAGTATATAAATGTATATAATATTTACAAGCTGATGAGTATGTACAAGATATTTTAATAGAGTTACATTGTATAGAAGAACCCAAACCATTAACCACTTGACGACAAGATAAAAAAAAACTGAACTCCCGGTATTAAAAGAATAAAAAAGACGAATTAAGAAAATGATAGAATTTTAAATGATAATCATGATAATAATCTAACGACTAATTCCCAAGTACCAAACATAATGATAGAATTAGGAACAGTTCTTAATAAATGAGGGGTTAAACCACCATACATACTGGCAAGACCTTCTTCTTTAACTACCAATTTAAAGCATTGAATTAATCCAGTATATTTAGGTTTACCAGTTGATTCTAAAGGTGCTTGTCTTAAACGAGTTCTTACAACCTCATGAGGATAAGTAATTAATGAAGCAGTAAATTTAGCAGCTCCAGCAGCTCCAGATCTTGCTGACCATTCTAAAATATGATCTCTTGTACTTTTATTATTTGGATCAGTTCCATGTAATTCAAGAGATCTTTTATATATAAACATTCTCATTTGTTCATATAATACCCATTGTAAAGTCGATTCAATACCTCCAAGATATGAAGCACTTAATCCCTTATATAAACCTTTAAAACCTTCATTTTTTAGTACATGTTTAAAACAATCAAAGGAATTCTTATAATGTTTACCTTTAGATTTATCTAATTGTAAACGAGTTTTGATTAACCAAATTGGATTAGTGGCAGTCGAAGTAACAAATCCAGCATTAATACCTGATAATAAATGAATCCAAGTTGCTTCTTGTCCATTATTAAAATTAGTTGTAATAAATCCCTTTGTTGCACCATAAGTAAAGAAATTTATTGATCTTGCAGGAATTACTCCTACTAAATTTGGTCCTAAACCTTTAAATAAAGCTCGATAACCTTCATTTATATATAAATCTCGAATTACTGATCCAGTTTCCTTTAAATGTTGAGCAGTTTGAATTAGTGGATTATTAGATTTAGGAGCTTTATTATACATTGTATGATATACATCTGATTGTAATCGAGTCTTAATAACATCCAATGGTGATGTCACTATTGCTCCAACCATTCCACCTATTCCACCAGCCACAAAATGGACCCATGGTTTAGGTTGAACTTGAGGTTTAGTATGACTCTTAGTGTTAATGTCAATCTGAGTCTGAGTCTGAGTCTGAGTCTTTGACTCCAAGGTCAAATTTTCAGAATCTCGAAGTGTCGATGACTTCTCATCCGACACTAAGTAAGGGAAGGATTTCTGTGCCTCCTTTTCAAGCTCAGCAATCTTATTGGTTCTAGACATACTTCCGTCCTACCTAGTAGTAGAATACTAATAGTAACTTAAGGGGTTTGCACAGTTCACGGGGTATAGTGATGAGTCTGAGTCTGCAATCCCTCACAAATATTTTTTTTTTTTCACAGCTGCTACTTGGTGCTCAGTGCGATGTATCATTTAGCGAGGGGTCGCTAGAATTCGCCAAGGACGAGGAGGACCACACAGGTCACATGGTCTACTCCTATAATAATATAATAATATAATAATATAATAATATATAATATAATATATAATACACTATAAGTACACTTTATACAGTATATAAATCTACTTACTACTTTAAATTCTTAATAAAATTATCAAGATTGTATTCGTCTTCATATTGTGAAGCATCCCAAAGTTCAGCTAATTCTCCAACAGCTCCTGCTGCTTTACCAGTAAGACCTCCAGCTCCTACATCTTCAGGAACTTGACCATTACCAGTATTAGTACTTGAACCATCTTTTTTCTCTGATTCTATTTCTTTTTCTTCAACAATTCTTGTAGCTGATTCATCCACATCAAATAAATCTAATAATTGATTAGTATCCATTGATGCTAAACCAGCATTTTGTTGATTAACTATAGTATTAGCAATATTCATTTTAAATTTTTGTAATCCCATAATTTTTTCTTCTAAAGTATCTTTAGTAATTAATCTATAAACATTAACCACTTTCTTTTGTCCTAATCTATGAGCTCTATCCATAGCTTGTAAATCTGTCATTGGATTCCAATCATGTTCAACAAATATTACTGTATCTGCTCCAGTTAAATTAAGTCCTAATCCTCCAACTTTTGTAGTTAATAATAATACATCAATTGATGGATCTTCATTAAATTTTCTAACAATTGATTGTCTATCTCTTGGATCTGTACTACCATCTAATCTCATATATGTAACTGATGGTAAATATTTTTTTAATAATTCATTTTCTACAATATCTAACATATCTTTTAATTGACAAAATATTAATGCTCGATGTTCAGATATTACTCCTTCTGAACTAATTAATTGTTGTTGTTGTTGTTTCTTTGATTTATATTTAATTCCTCCTGAATAATCACTATCTTGAACTCCAATTCCACATTCTAATAATAATGTCTTTAATGATAATAATTTAGGTGCATGTTCAATACTTCTTAATTCAGACTTTTGTTGTTGTAAATATATCATTATTTCACTAAATTTTGGATGACTTGGTGATAATACTAATGCTGGATGATTACATAATTTCCTCATATATTGTAAAGCTTGAAATACATGAGTTTTTGCTTCAGTTTCACCTTCTTTTGAAATATTTTCTTCAACTGATGCCTTTTGACTCTTAGCAAAATCTTTATAAAGTTTCCGTTGAAGTTCACTTAATTCACAATAATAATCTTGAATGATTTTTGGAGGTAAATCAGATAAAACATCTTCTTTTAAACGTCTTAACATAAATGGTAATACTTGTTTATGTAAAGCTTCTAATGCTAAAGCTCCTAATTCTTGTTCCTTTGATGAAGTTTTACTATTTCTACTTGCGGCTATAGGTTTAGCGAATTTTTCATGAAATACCTTTTCTGTACCTAAAAATCCTGGCATTAAAAAATCAAATAATGACCATAATTCTAATACATTATTTTGAATTGGAGTACCAGATAATATAAGTCGATGTTCAGCTCTAATTCTTTTAACTGATTTAGTTAATTTAGAGGCAGCATTCTTTATAATATGTCCTTCATCTAAGACACAATAATTATAATCATAATTTGAAACAAATTCTACATCATTACGACAAACATCATAAGATGTTACAACTATATCGACATCGGGGATTTTCGATCGAAGAGGGATTCGAACACTCGGACCTCCAGCATAAACTAATACTTTTAAAAATGGAGCATATTGATTTAATTCTTGTTCCCAATGACCCGTTAATGATGGAGGACAAACTACTAAACTTGGTAATCTTCTAAATTCAGGGGCTTGAGCTAATTTATAATTTTCTGCTCGTAAATAATGATCAGATGATACAATACAAATAGTTTGTAAAGTTTTACCTAAACCCATATCATCACATAAGATTCCATGTAAATGATATTTATTTAAAAATGCTAACCAATTAACTCCTTCTTGTTGATATTTTCTTAAAGTAGCTCGAATAGTTACTGGAACATCAAATGATTGAATCTTGGTTGGATCCATCATTTGTTGAATAAAATCTCGTTCTCTATCTCTACCAATTAATAAATCTGCTGGCATATCTTCTGGATCAGGTATACCTGCTTCTAATGGAACTAATTTAATAATTGATGCAAAAGTGGTTGTAGCTAAGATTCTAACATCTTGATCAGAATCACTCATTCTACCTAATACTGGAACAATTAAAAATACTATATAAGGTAAAATATCCAGAGCCATAGTTGAAGATACATGATAAATAGTTTCAATAGCTCCTTGTCTTTCTTTAATATTTAAGGCATTATTTAACATAGGTAATACCAGTTTTACTAAAAAAGTAAATGCTCGAGTTGGAGTTACTGAACATATAGTGGCAAGACATTTTGCTGTTGAATATCTAAATACTGAATAATCTGATTTTAATCCTGGTAATAATAATGGTAACATTTCAACTATTTCATTATGTAATGCTTTATCCATTTTAGGTAATAAAGCTCGTACAACTCCTAAAGCATCTATAATACTTTGACCTTTTAATTCATCCTCAATTATTTCTTCACTTGAAGATATACTTAAAAGTTTTAATGGTTCAATCATAATTTCTTTAATTTTTGGAACTTGTATAAATAAATTTGATTTATAAGTATTAAGTAAAGCTTCTAAGGCAATTATTGCACCATTACGTTTAATTCTTGCAATATGAACAGATTTTTCATGAGCTGCTATATCAGCAGGATCAGTTTTAGCTTCTTCTTTTCTTAATGATAAAATATTATCCTTAAATGATACATTATGATGAAATTCAGGTACTTCAGATGTATCAACACATACAAATGCACATAAATTTTTAACAATCTTTTCACTAGCACCTTTTTTACCTGATTTATTTAATTCTTCAACTAATCGAGAGACTGCATGACCAGATCTCTTTTGTAATAAATATACTTCTTCTTCCTTTACACTATCCATTAATGATCTTATAACTGGATTTAATTTCTTGGGAATTCCATATAAGGCTACTGAAGCAGCAGAATATGAGGCTAATATACCAGTAATACGATTATTACGAGCTAATTTAGCTTCTTCAATAGCAATAATTATTCGATGTTTTGCATCTTCTAATGGTTGATTAGCTGTCATTTTAGCAGCAGCTGATAAATTCCGTTTTAATTTATCAAATTGTTCATTAATTAATTTCTCAGCAATTTCAATTCCAAATGCTCCTGGACCTGCTTCACTTTCTCCTTGAACAACTACCGGTAATTGAGGAATTTTATTAGGAATTACTTTAGCAATAGTTATAAAAATATCAAGTAATTGTAAACATGAAGTTCTAACTGATTTTAATGTAGGAACCAATTCTCGGAAATGAGGTAATTGTTCAGGAGTTTGAAGAATATTCAGAATTGGTTCATTAAATATTTGAATATTAGGTATATCAAGAGGATTTAAATCTCGACTCTTTAAACAATTGGCAAATTCTTCAAGAATTAATGAACAAGTCATTCGAGATGTAGCATGACTAGCATTTAAATAATTAGTTAATTGTTTAAAGATTATAATTAAAGTATCTTTATTATTAATATATGATAAAGTATTCCCAAAGGCATGAGCCGCAGCACATTTTATAGCAATAAATTTATCATAACCAATTAACATAACATCTCCCTTATATATAGGAGCATCAATATTAACTTTTAATTCTTCTATTATAGGAATATCATTTGTAATTAAATCAGGTTGTTTCCTCTTTTTCCCATTATTATTATTATTATTATTATTATTAGATGAAGAAGATTTTTCTTCTTGTAAAGGTCCAAGAATTGTTCCAGAAGGTCTTATAATTAAACTAGTATTCATTTTATAATTATGTCTTGAAAATCCTATAGGAGTCATTAATAAAGTTAATAAAGATTGATAATCAAAGATTGATTCTATAGTTAATAAATTATCTTTATTAATATCAATTTGTATTAATAATTTATCATAAACTTGTAATGATAATTGTAATATTTGATGATTTTGTTCAACTAATAAATTTTGAAATATTAATCTTAAAGCTTGAGAATTAATCCATTTCTTGGTGGAATTATCTTTAATATCAAGAAATTTACTTAAAGTATTTAATACTGCTTTTCTAACATTACTTATAGAATGTCTTAAGAATGGATATAATCTTGGAACTAATTTTTCAAATGGTTCAGTCATTGAATCTTGTTGCATTATATCAATAACTAATTGATGATCACATAATTTTGATAATAAATCCATAACTGATCCAATTGATGCAGAAAGATCATCTCGAAGATTAATTAAACTATCCCAAAGTACTTCTAATAATGTATGAATTAAATGTTGTTTATGATTTACAAATTCTGATGCAATAGGTGTAAGAGTTAAGGCAGCCACAGATTGAACATCATCATCACTTTCTCTTAATCCATGAAGAACTATTTCAACTACTTGATCAAGTAATTCAGGTGATGTAAGTAATACATCTTTTCTTACTGAAACTAAATATCTTAATCCAAGTATACCTCCATGTTTGGCTTCCCAACATTTTCGTTTAACTCCTAAATTATCTTGAAGTACTAAAGTACTTAAACAATTAAATACTTTTATAACTAATGATTCATTTAAATGATTTAATAATACTCCTAAAGTTTGACAACCTGATTCTCGAACTGGTGCAACCACAGTATCTGATACATAATCTCCAAATCTATCTAAGGCAAATAATGTACATAATCTTACTGATAAATCTTCTAAAGTTCGATAATTATTTAAATCATTTTCTTCTCGACTTTTCTTCATAACTCTACCGGCTCCTCCTGCTTGATTCTTTAATAATTCTCTTAATCCTAATGCTGCTCCATGTCTTATTTCCCATTTTTCATCAAATAAATCATCTAATAATAATTCATAAACTCCTTGAAATTGCCAAATCATTCCTGCAACTTTATTATGTTGAGATAATAATGGTGATAATTCAGGAGCTCGTGCTTCAACCACAAGCTTTTCTCCTCCTTGTTGAGAGGTTATATCATATTGAGGTTTATTATTATTATTATTATTATCAGAACTATCATTATCTCCATTATTATTATTATTAGAATCTTCTTCTACTCCTTCTCCATCTTCAATCATTTGTCGTGATATAGAACTTTGAGAGATATCTATGGGTCTTATTCTTCCAGAGGATTTGGCTTGAACTTTGGCTCTTCTCTTTTGCATGGCTTTTAATCGAGCACTTGACATTGGTTTACCACCAGTAGTTTCAGTAGGGGTGGTTGGTGGTGGAGGAGTATTTGTAGCTGAATGTGATCCTGTATTAGGAGATAATGAAGATGTACCATTACCTGATTCAGATTTCATCATATCTACATCAGATGCAGCACCTTCATTTTCACCTTTTATGGTTGAATCTATCACTTCTACTTTTCTCTTTTTAATTTTATTTAATATTGAATTAGTATTAGTTACTGATTCTGGTTCATCACCACTTTGAGGAATATCATCAGAATTAGATGATAAGAATTTCTTACCACTATTAAGAATTTCTGCTAAATTAAATGAATCAAATGTAACTAAATTTGTTAAATTATCATCTAATTTCTTTAATTCTTCATCTTGTTCTAATTTAATTTTAATTTCATTATGAATAGGTTCCTTTTTAATTTGAATATTAATACTTTCTTCAATTAATTTATCTTGTTCTTGTTCCTTTTTAATAAATTCTTCTTCATCTTGTTCACGTTTTATTGATTGTTCAGAATTTGGATCCCATAATTCTGCATGATTTATTATACCTCCAAAGGCTCGAGCAGCTGATATTCTTGTTTCCCATTTAGGAGATTTTAAAAATGGATATACTCTTCCTAATAAACTAATAATTTCTTCAGGATGTCCCTTAGCTAAATCAGATAATTGATCAGCTGCTGTATTTCTTATAAATGGTGTTGAACCAGTTTCTAGAAGGACTACTAATCTTTCTAATCTTGACATGATAATTTTAAAATTATATGAGGAGAATATGAATGTGAATGTGAATGTGAATGTGAATGTGACAATTTGAACAACTAATCATTTACTATTATTATGAACTTTAAAAGTTAATTAGTTAATGTTAATTAATGTCTTTACTATGGTACAGTATAAATCTCAAAGAATTCTATGAAATTTACGTTAAACGGTTGGAAATTTCTGTAGCCAATTGATCCAATACACACTCCCAAACTGTACAACACAAATTGGACTCTATTATAATTCAAAGTGTTGGAAATAATGTAAACTGACTATAGTCCCAGCAATATTCCAGGGCGAATTTAGGAGTATTTATACTTTTGCAATTTTTTTTGTTATGATGGTGATTCTGGGCGATTGCCACGACCCGATGGTTGGGTCAGTGTGGAGAGTATGGTATGAGACAGATAACAAGACAGAGAGAGTCAATGAGAGTCAATGAGAGTTCATGAGAGTTATAGCGAGTACGGTTAAGTGATCAATAGAGAGATATGCCCTAATGATATATCATAAGTCTATATGATTCATACCACATTACACGGTATAACGTGCTATATCATACTACAGTAAATTAGACAATGTATACAAACTAAACAGTAATAAACACCTGACATACAACTGAATATACAAGCGTATATACTATACTCATACTATACTATAAGCATAACCATATCCATAATCACTCCGCCTCTTAAACTACAATTTTGGTTAATTACTCCTCCTCAACTACCCGTCCCAGATCTGACGTACGCGATGACTGTGTCTCGTATTTGCTTGCTCCGGGTAACGGGGTTGCTGAATATTAGCAAAAAAAAATTGGTGTTGAGGGGCGATCGAATTTATAATCATCACTATTCTTTTTATAAGCTTATAAGCTAATTATATATTAACTAACTAATAAAAATTATATAAACTAATAAATTTAATATTCTGAAGTTCTTTATATACATATCCTTAGGTAAATTTCTTTTCTCTAGTTGATTTAACTTCTTGCTTCTTTTGATGAACTTCATTATTACTGGCATTATAATGAATATTTGTATCTTGATTCATTGGATTTTCGGGTGATTTTTGAAATTCTTTAAAAATCAAATGCTTAATTTGTTGTAATCTTAATCCTGGATTTTCTTTTCTTACTTCTGGTAATCTTTTCTCTTCATATGCATTATATGCTGCTTTAACTCTTCTTTCTGGATGTCTATCAATATCTTTATTAGAAATTCCTGCATCTTTTGTAGTTAAAGCTAATGCTTCTAATGCAGCATCTAATCCACTAGCACTTAATTCAGGAGTATCTTTATTAAAATCAAGGAAATCATCAATTTTACCAGTTCTCTTGGCTGCAACCTTAGCTGCTCCACGCTGTTTAGACAGTAATGGTTTAGTTGGTAATGCAGCTTCTTCAGCGGCCAATAAAGCATCTCTTTCTGCCTTCTTACGAGCAGCTTCTTCCTTTTTAAATGCTGCATCTTCAACTTTTTTATTACCTTTCTTTGAACCTTTATCCCATTCAGAAGCTTCTTCTGCTTCAGCCTGTGCTTCAGCTTCTTGTCTCTTTTTATTGGCTTGTTCAGCCTTTCTAGCATTACCTGATGCCTTTTTAGAGTTCTCTCCTGCTGCCTTCTTAGCCATTATATTATTACTTGCCGTTAAGTGCTCCTATATATAATAAATAATAGTTTATCCGGCCAGATCTTCATCTTCACTACTAGAGTTTTTTTTCAGTCGCTCGCTAGACCGACTTACGGAAAATTACAGGCGTCCTAAAATACAGGACTTTACCCCACGGTAAACTACTACCACTATTACTACTACTGGGTTAATTGTTAAATGTTATAGTATTAAATACTCGTTACATAACTCCTATATACCTTATAACTTTGCCTTTATATTTTCTTCAGAATTTGGCTCAAAAACAATACGTCCTTGAACTTTTCCTTGAACTAATTGATCCAAATAATATGGAACTTCTGATAATTTTGCAATTGTAGTTAATGGTTTTATTTTTCCAGCAGCAACCCATTTCATACAATCAATTTGTTCTTGACTATTACCTCCAAATGAAAAGATAACATCAATTTCACGACGAGCTAATTCATAATTTTGAAGGAAAAGTTTTGATCTTCCAAGACCAACAGTAAGATATTTCCCTTGTAATTTAACAAATCTCTGACATACATCAGAAGTTGGTTGAATTCCTACGAAATCCATAACTACATCGAATGATTCTTGTGCATGATCACTTTCAAATACATCAGTATAAAATTCATGAGCTCCACTAGCTAAAGCAATTGGACCTAATTCTGCCTTTACATCACTAGCGACAATCTTACAACCATAATTCTTTAATACTTGAACACCATTCATACCTAATCCACCAAGACAAACCACAAGCACTTTTGCTGTTGGTTGAAGTAAATGTCTGATCTTTTGAATTGCATGGTAAGGTGTCAATACAGAATCAGAAGCAACAGCAGCATCAGCATAACTAACACCTTCTGGAATTGGAAGAAGACTTCTTAAATTATCAATTAATAAATATTGTTGGAATCCACCATCTCTGTTTAATCCATAAGCCAGAGTATTACCATAACAAACACTATCACGACCAGTACGACAAGTATCACAAGTACCACAAGCTACTGAGATTGATAATGCATATCTTGAACCAATTTGATATCGTGGATCATCTTTTAAACCATCACCAACCAGAGCAATCAGACCGGCGATTTCATGTCCCATTACAAATTTCTTTGCTGGTGGTTCATTTAATGAAACAATTGGACCTTTAATAAGAACATGAGGGTCACTCATACATAAACCAGCAGCTTCAATTTTTAAAAGTACTTCATTAGATTTAGGAGTTGGAACAGGATAATTAGTAAATTTTTGAATAGTTGGTTCTCCTTCAACATATCCATAAGCTATTTGAGTCTTCGGAACACTTACGGGATTAGATGAACTAGATGATGCAGAGCTAGTAATATTGTGTTTCTTTATGAAATCGTCAAGGTATATTGGGGAAAGCATAATGACCTGACTTAAATTAACCTATAATATAATATATATAAAATCATTTATAACTTTAACTCTATATATGGAAATTTACATCATTTTATATATCTTAGTGTATCGGAAATGGCATATTTTGCGGGGTGTCGGAAAAAACTTTACCGCAACTTTTTAATACCGAGACTACACAGGAACCGTAAAATAGATTTTTGCAGTCTATATATATTGAAATATGGGTTAATGAAAATACTAATATTTCAAGTAAATGAGTGAAATACAAGTGAAGAAAATGAATAAAAATAAACTAAAAACTAATTAAAATATAAATAGCAAAATTGTCATGAATCGTAGAAAGACTAACCTTCTCTTTCTTTTTTTTTAAAAAAAATTACCCAGGAAAACAAGAACTGAAAATATGGATGAAAAAGGATGATAAATGTCCATTTAATGATATTGATTTTCATTTTTCAAATTTTATGATACTTTTTTTTGGATTTTATTTAAAGACGACTGTTAATGAGAGATTGATATTTCTGCTAAAGGATTCAAAAAACTACGACAAAGACAAAATTCTTTTAAGCAGTTTTTGGTTTTTTAGCAGAAGGTTCTTCACTAACTTCTCTAAGAAGTCCATTAGTTGGCTTTAAAGCTGGAGTTGAAACATCAGCATGGAAATCCTTAATTATAGAATCAACATCATCAATATTAAGAGGTCTAACATCACCTAATTGCTTAATCTTATTAGTAACTTCTTTAACTTGATCATCAGTTAAATTCAAATTCAATTGATCAACTCTTGACTTAATAGCATTCCAACCAGTTAATCTATTGGCAAAATGAATATATCTTGTTAAACCGAAATCTGATGGATTTAAAATTTCATAAGTTGAAGGATTAGCTAAGATAGCTTTAGCATGAATACCAGCCTTATGAGTGAAAGCACAGAAACCAGTAATTGGATTATTGAATGGAATGTTAACTTGAACTGCATCCGCTACTAAATTTTCTAAATCTCTCAACTTGTGTAATTTATACTTTGATAAAACATAATCTCTATCGGCAGTAATCATTCTAGCCATAAGAGCACCTAATGGAGTAATACCATTTCTTTCACCGATACCTAAAACGGAAACATCGATTAACTTAGCACCAGCTTCTAAAGCAGTATAAGCATTAGCAATAGCACAACCAGTATCATTATGGAAATGACATTCGATATCACAACTGACAACGGACTTTAAAGTCTTAACTAATTCATAAACTTGACGAGGATTAGCACAACCAACAGTATCAGCGATACCAACTCTATTGACACCAATCTTATCAACAGTTCTGTAAATGTTTAATAAATCAACGATATCTGATCTAAATGAATCTTCAGAAGAAAATCTAATTTCAATACCCTTTGACTTAACAAATTCAATGACTTCAATGGCAGATTGAGCAATATAATTCATATCTTTACCATGACTATATTGTCTAAGGAATTGTGAAGTACCAATAACGACATCAACACCATCAACACCAGTTTCAACGGCAACTCTAGCATCATCCATATGACATCTAATATGAGTTAAAATCTTGGCCTTTAAACCTAACTTACAAATAGCTTCACAATCCTTTCTAGATTGTTCTGAAGCAACAGGAGAAGTTAATTCAATATAATCAACTCCGAAATCATCTAAAGCCTTAGCAATTTCAATCTTCTTTTCAGTAGTAAAGAATGCATTAGCGAATTGTTCACCTTCTCTTAAAGTAGATTCAATAACTTCGAAATTACGAACATTAGAAAGAAAATCTGAAGGATTTGGTCCATAAGGATTAGTTGGAACAGACATTGTACTTTTTATTAGAAATATAATATATAATTATTATCAATTGAATAAGATAATAATAGATCTAAAGAAGAGAATATTGAGGAAGAAATATATTATTCTTGCTTAAGTTTAAAAAAAATGGAAATTACAATATTTATATAATTAAAAATTCAAAAAATTTTTCACTACAAATATGCTAGTCATAATCTGTTGAAAAAACTCCATAGTTTATTATGCTTAACTATGAATCTAAACCGAAATTGTAATGAGTTACATTGTCTAGGCTCAGGGCTTCCCCATATACCATACTAAACTAGCTGAAAAATTTTTCTGTACCGGAGCGCTAAGCTATCGATTGCCTAATTAGGTAACTGACTCACTCCTATCTAGGCAGATATAATTATTTCGCCGCAGATTTCGTCATTTGATAAAACTGACTCATCTCTGGCTGAAGTTTATTTCTATGGGCGATAAGAGTCATGTGCACACACGCACGTGCGTCGCCATATACTTAAAAGATTAATCATTTTACAACTTCTACTAATTACTCATTACTCATTACTTATTACTTATTACTCACACTAACAGATTATAATGTTAATGTTACTCTACTGTCTACGATATTACATCTACAAAAATAATCTAATCCTCTACACCATCCACAACATCAGCGTCATCGCAATTGCAAATTACCAGCAAAATTGTTTTCTCTAACAATTATAATTATTAAGTGTGTATCTGTAACTGGCTCCAAAATTGTTTGCACTCCAAACAGCAGTTCGGCCCAGTTTTATTGAAATTGGTCATGAGAAATTATGAGTCATAACATCCATGCCGCCAACCACTAAACCAACGATAGTATATACACTCTCTCACTTGAGCGAACATACTGCGGAATTGCTGCAAATTGCTAAAACTAAACATAACTAGAAATTACTATACACTGAAGTTAAATCGTATACACATACTTATGTGAAATACTATAGGTTCAAACTACTGAACCTTACTGAACTGAACTGAACTAAACTAAACTAAACAAAAATAAGCTAAACAACTAAGCTAGCTAAACTATATAAACTAAAACTAAACTTCCGTTGCAACCATTTTAACAAATCTGAAAATTTCAGACTTTAATCTTACTAATTCAATATTCTTAATAATCAATTTACCATTCATTCTATTCATGATTGTCTTGACAATTTGATTGATTTCATGATTGGGTAAACCGGTGATAATAGACCAATTGAAATTAAATTGATCAGTATTTTTACCAGGACCTAATTTTTTTTCACGAAGAATTGCAAGCTTAAAGCAACCAATAATTAACTTTTTAAGCTCGAATCCCATATCATTATAATTGACAAAGTTGTTGGTTTGATTAAGATATCTTAATAAGTAAATAATATCCATGTATCTAAATAAATAAATTACTCCCTTCATAAAAACATTTAAATTTAATTTTAATCGGGAAGTTAACAATAATAAGAATTTATCTAATGAAAGATTGGCACCATTTTGTTTATTCTTATTCTTATTGGAATCATCATTAAATTTTGGTTCCTCTGGCGGGAAAGAATTATTAATCTTAGTAGCGATATATTTGATGATGATAGACATTAATTGATTTCTTTCTTGTTTGAATTGATCAGCTGTCAACCCATCTTTAGTTACTACTTTGGATGAGGATTCGGAGGTAACACTAGTAGACGAATCTGTACTAATCTTTGATACTACAGATTCATTATTTTGAATAGACCTTTTGATTTCTTCAGCAGTAGCAGGAGCTGATAATTGTTTTCTTTGATTTTGATTTTGATTTTGATTTTGGATGGTTTCGATGAATTCCTTTTCTTTTTCATGAATTGGGGAGGCTGCAACAGAAGTTTCTGGAGTAGCAGTAACTTCTTTTGACAAAGCTGTTGGTCTATGAAGATTAGGATGTTGGTTATTGTTATTATTTATCTGTTTGAATTGTGCTTTCATTGATGATTGCACTGAAATAAGATCGTCATCACTAAATGCATCATGATCACTAATTAATAAGGGAATTTCTTCGATAAAATCAAGTAATGGATCATTTTCATCACGATGGGCATCAGTTTGTTCACCATCAAGATCGAGATCGAGATCAAGATTGAGATTAACGTCATTATTATTATTATTTTCATGTTGACTATCACCAACCGATGTTTGAGATTCAGGATCAGAAAATCCGCCAATACTAGTGATATCAAGAGTATTATCATCACCAGGGGCGGATTTACCCACACCTACAACTACTTCAGCTGTTGATGTGGGTTGTTTGGAAAAGATATTTGTATCGTTAATAGTCATTTTAAATTGAAAGTATTAATGTATAAAATTATATAACCATAGAAATTCAGACTTCCAATAATAGGTTAATTATAAAATTTTATACAAAAAGATTTGTAATAGATCTTATTAAGTAACTAATAAGAATTTTAAGTTGAATTAAATTAAATAAAAGTATGTTGAATATACTTAACTAGAAATACACTGGGAGGGAAGTAATGGACGGACAGTAATACACACAAATGGAAATAAGAAACGGGGACAAAAGTTGAATAAAAGTATCAATAAAGACAGTACCTAGATGGCCAAGGAAAAATACATGACGGAATTAAGTAATGAATAAGATATTTTGATATTATATGATGATTAAATTGGTATTGATTATTGATTTAAGCTTGCTAAGAACATATAATGTGGGCACAAGCTGTTTTAAATTTGAATTTGAATTTGAAATTGAAATTTGAATAACACTAAATAGTACGTGTGATTGTGGTATTATATACTGCCTTGTGTTGTGTGGTGTAATAAGATTCTTACTGAGTTGACAGTGAAGAGATGATGTTAGTAAGCCTATGCAGAGCCATACAACATCCCCTTTAATTTTTTTTTTATGATACTTTTGACTCATTTAGGAAAAATTTCTTTTTGCTTACCCAGCGCGGCTCGGCTCCAGGAAGCGGGATTGACATGCGTCTTTGCGTCCGGTGCGCGCTACCATGCTATACCAGGCCAGGCCAATTTTAGGTTATAAGGTATAGAGTGTCTAGATCTTGCGGAAGTAGCAATATAGACTAAATAGATTAAAGACTATTACTATACTAGTACGAATAATATATACTATAACCTAGATTCACTCTAGATCTTAAGCTTTGATCTTACAAGTACTTTAGTATGTAGAAGTAGTATATAGAAGTAGTATGTAGAAGTAATGGTATATTATTAGATATGGTATATAGATGAGTCAATAGAATGATACCAATAACTAATTAACCATCTGTACCCCACATCTCCAAGCTTACTGTAGGTCGTTCACGCTCACTTCCAAAGTGAACCAATTCTGTCCATCCCCTGAACCGTCCCCAATCACCGGCTCACTAACAATATTAAATATTATATTATTATTATGACAATGAGCGAGCGACAAAAAATTTTTCAGGGATCGGCTCAGGCTGGAGCCAATGTCAAATATCACGGTATTAGCATATTTTTGACACATTATAAGATATATCTCATAGTATAAACTTGTAACTCATTTGAAATAGGATTTTTCAACGTTCGCACGTTATCAATTGGAACTCAAATATATAATATATATACATATATATATATTCAGTTTCTACTATTGCCTTGCCTTCCCTTCAATTCATAACTCATTAACTTTTTCAATTATTCAATTCATCTAGTGGCCATACTTCTTGTAAGTCTTGTCTTTATTATATAACCTTTTAGCATTTCTATGAGTCAACCACAACCAGAAATTCCGAGCATTATTTCTTCAACTTCAACTGCTCAAAGTTCATCTACACCAGATCCTGAAACTGAAACTATGCGACTTCGAACTCCAACTACAAGAACTTATAAAGATGCAATTAATGCTTTAAATACTTTACAATCTAATTTTGCTTCGATTGAAGCTAATAGAAAATTAGGTCCAAATGTTGATAGACATGCACTTTCATTAAATGAAGTTATTGAATATACTAAAAGATTAGGTTATTCAACAACAGACTTTAATAAATTAAATATAATTCATATTACTGGTACAAAGGGTAAAGGTTCAACATGTGCATTTACTGAATCAATTTTAAAACAATATTTAAATATTCCAACATCTCCAACTTCAACTTCAACACCTCCAATTACAAAAATTGGATTATTTACTTCACCACATTTAAAATCAGTTCGAGAAAGAATTAGAATTAATGGTAATCCAATTAATGAATTAAAATTTACAAAATATTTTTTTGAAGTATGGGATAAATTATCTACTACAACTTCATCACCAGAAGAATGGCCAACTTTACAACCTTGCGATACAATAAAACCAATGTATTTTAAATATCTTACAATTTTATCATTTCATGTATTTATGCAAGAAGGTATTGATACTGCTATTTATGAAGTTGGAGTAGGAGGAAAATATGATTCAACTAATATAATAGATAAACCAACCGTTACTGGTATTTCAAGTTTAGGTATTGATCATACATTTATGTTAGGTAATACTATTGATAGAATTACTTGGAATAAAACGGGGATTTTTAAATCAAATGTTCCTGCGGTTGTATCTCAACAATTTGAACATCCAGAAACAATTGAACAAATTAAACAAAGAAGTATTGAATTAAATACTGATGGTTTAGAAATTGTTAAATCTTTACCTTCAACAATAAAATTAGGATTAGCAGGAGATTTTCAAAGACAAAATGCTGCTTTAGCAGTAAGATTAGCATCTATTCATTTAAAAAAATTAGGATTTAATCCTAAAGAAATTCCTCAAATTATTGAACAAGAAGGAAATGAAATTGTTATTGAAGATTTATCAGAAAAATTCTTAACAGGATTACTTCAAGTTCATTGGGATGGTAGATGTCAAATTCTTAAGAATAAACCAGGATTTGATAATATTACTTGGTATATTGATGGAGCTCATACATTAGAATCTATTAATGTTTCATCTCAATGGTTTAAAAATGAATTAAATAATTTAATTATTCAAGATAATGGTAAAAAGAAGAGAACTAAAATTTTACTTTTTAATCAACAAAGTCGTGAAAATGCTTCAGCATTATTAAGTAAATTATATGAAAATACTTCAGGAACTTTTGAATTTGATCATGTAATTTTTACAACTAATATAACTTGGTCAGATGGGAAATATAATTCTGATTTAGTATCACTTAATAATTCTGCAGAAGTGGTTGATAAATTAATTATTCAAAAGGGGTTAGCACAAACTTGGTCAGAATTAGATGCAAAATTTAAACGAACTCATACAAGAAAACATATATTTCATGATATTGAAACTGGAGTTAATTTTATAAAGAGTTTAACTAAATCAAGTGAAAATTCTGAAATTGAAGTATTTGTATGTGGTTCATTACATTTAGTTGGAGGATTTTTAGTTGTTGTTGATAATGAAAGAGATTAGAATTCTTAATTATTTAATTCTTTTATTTTATAAATGATACTTATATTAATATTATACAAAGTAATTAATAACTTTAAGCAGAACCGTTATTAACAATATTTTCTCTAGTAGATTTAACAATTTCATTAATGTTAGTTAAAGAATTCTTCCATTCATATAAAACTTGTCTAACTTCATTCCAATTAGATGTATTGGTTTGTTCATTACCTGCAATAACAAATCTATTAACTCTAGTTAAATAAAATGTACTTTCTAATTGATTTAATTTACCTTCAATAACATTAGCTTTAATTGAATTAACTAATAAAAGTTCAAAATCTTCAACATTAGAAATTAATTCACTAGGAATTTCATCATATTTAAATACTATTGAATCATGATCTGGTAATTGAGATTTTTCACTAAAAAATTTAGCTAATGCTAAAATTCTGGATTTTTCATTAATCAACTCAATTGATAAATCTTCAATTGATTCAGATAATTTAACTAATTCACCTTGAACAAATTTATTAAAGATTAAAGCTAAAGAATCTTGAGCATTAGCATGTAAAGCTTGTGCGACATTATTAGTAATTAAAAATGAAACATCAACTATAGGAGAAGATAATGCAAATTTAATTAAATTATGTAATTCTTGAATTGATAATGGGAATTGTAAAGTAAATGATTTAATGAATTGTAAAGATTTTAAAGAATATTCTGAATCTAAAGAAATAAAATTCCAAAAGATTGATTTAATATCTGATTCAGAAGCTTGAGCTTTGGTTAACCAATTAATTAAGTTATTACCAATATTTTCTTCGATTAAATTAAATTCGAGATTAGCATTTTTAACAATCGATAAGATTTGATTAATTATAAAAATTCTTCTAGTAGAAGTTTCTGGAATTAAATTAAAGATATTAGTTAATACTGATAAAATAGTTGTTGATTTAACTGATTTTCTATCTCTTAATAATGGTTGCCTTTGAGGATTTAATTCTAATAATAATTTTATAATTGGAGAATTTTCATCATCTAATACGGAAATTGATTCACCTGAAAGTTCAGATAAAATATGAATTAAAAGATAAAATGTAGGTTCAAATTCTCTATCACTTAATTTACTTAAAGTTGAATTCAGGGATACTTCATAAATCTTTTCAATTAATAATTTTCCATCTTTAATTTGTTCATCATCTCCTAATAATGGTGTTAAAGACTCGGAAAATTCTTGGTTTTGATTAAGTCCGTCAATGATTTGTGCATACTCTTTGACCGAGTCTTTCAACTCGTTATCCACAACAATAACTGAGGCCATCTTAACTGTAAATATCTATAAATCAGCTTTGATTAGTGCCTTATTTGGTTGATGGTGAAAAATCCCATAGTAAAAAATTTTTCAGACTCGGTTCCCTGGGGGCTGTGTGCAGGAGCACATCGTTTCGAATCCTGGCGGGAGAGAGATATTTATACAACATATATATATAACATATATACACTATATACTACCTTATTATACATATGTACATGTATTAAATCTATATAAATCAGTCTATGTATAAATCTAATAATCCCCCTCATCCTCTTCATTAACTCCATACAATGGAGTCTTATTAGAAGTAAGAGTATGAGGAGAATTATTTATAATTTCTAATGGAGATTCCCATTTTGCATCCATTGAATGTAAATTAGATACTTCTTGAGGTACAGGAGAATTAGAATTACTTTTATTATGATCAAAAGTAAATCTGGGAGGTCTTTTCATTACTGGAGGTGATTGAGATCTTAATAAAACTGTAGTAGTACTTGGACCCTTTAATAAAGATGATTCATTAGTACTACTTGAACCTCCTCCTATATTATTAGAAAAGATAGGATTTCTCCATCGTTTCTTATTCTTAGATAAATCAGGAGAATTAGATCGTGCCATAATGGTTGGATTTATTGAAGATTCTAAAGTTTGTACCGGATTCTCAGTAGTCGGTTTATTAGGAGTTGGAGAAATAAATGAATTAGATTTAACTGAACTTTCTTCTGAAGAATTTGATGATAATTGTGATAATGAGAATTTCTTTGAATGTTTAGCTGGTAAAGTAGTAGTAGTTGAAGTTGATTGAATTGATAAATCTGATGAAAGAGCTCGTTTATATCCTGGTCTCTTTTTCTTTTGAATTGGTTTTACATTTACACTATTAGAAGTTGCAACACTTCCTGATGGAGTAAGTCCAACTGATCGATTAAAATCTTGAGAAATACTTGATTCATAATCTGGATCATCATCATCATCATATTCTTCATCCATAGTATCTGTTTCATCTAAAATATCTAATTCGGATTCAGACATCATAGTTGACATTTGACTAATATGACTCATTTGTGAAATTTGAGATATTATTGATGTTGGTCTTGTTCTTGTTGATCGAGGTAATGAATCAATCACAGGAGGAGTTGAAGAATGTTCAATAGATGGAGTATTATATCTTCCTTCATAAGAATCTCGAGGAGTTATTTCTTCCTTTCTGGGTTCTTCACCAAACATAAATGCAGGTTTAAGACCAGCTTTTTGAACTTTTTCAATTGGTTTTTCAAGACTTCTAGAAGTACTAGGAGTAACTTTTTCTAAATTATTACCATTATTACTATAATCAGTAGATGATTTAGGTAAAGAATTCCCACTATAAGATGAATTATCTTCACCATTTTTATTCTTTTTCCAGAATTGAATCTTTTCTAAAAAGTTATTATTCTTAGATTTCTTTTTGGTACTAGTACTAATATAACTACTATTACTTTTATGACTATTAAGCTTTTCAGTAGTCATATATGATGTAACTGAAGGTTTTCTAACTGAATCATCGGGTACAAATGATACAACTCTAGTTAAACTTGTACCCATTCCAGTAGTTCTACTATCAGTGGGAGAATCAGGGATATAGAAATCCTTTTTAGTATTAGAATTAATAGTAGCTATTTTTGTTTTAGAAGAGGCAGGAGAAGTTACCGAAGGATTCATTAAATTGGCATTTAAATTGGCATTTGAATTGACATTTAAATTTAAATTTAATGAATCTGAATTTCTCGTAGATTGTGATTCAACTCTTCTTTCAACATCGGTTGATTTTCTCTTTTCATTAGTTAATTTATGAATATTTGTCTTCGATGAATTTCTATTTGAACTTAAACTTAAAGTAGACATGATTCTTTCTAATGGTTGACCACTTGAACTACCACCAGTGGCTTGATCTACTAAAGAAAGTGCACTTCTAACTCTTTTACCTGATTTTTTAAGAGTTCTTTTAGCATCATAATATCGTTTCTTTCTTTCACGATAATATCTTTGCTTCTTTTTAGAAAATTCTTGAGTTAATAATAATTCATAAAATGAAGTTAAGGGATTCATATCATTCATATAAACTCCTCGTTGTAAATCATCTATATCAAAATTTAATTTTTGAAGTCTTTTTATAATATCTCGTTCAGTTTTTGATTGAAATGGTTCTTTACATGAATTATAATGTTGATGAATTGATATAACTGATTCAGTTTCTAATCTTACTTTAGTTTTAGAAACTTTGGCAAGATATTTATTATTTAAATCAATTAAAAATTCCGAATTTAAAATTTCATTTAAATCAGGACGTTGTTGAGGATCTTTATTTAACATTTTTGAAATGAGTTGAATTAAATGGATTGGAATTATATCATGATAAATTGGTTCTTCATGAATAATTTTAAATTTTGTTCTTAATTCATCATCTTCATCAAATGGCATTTGTCCATAAACCATAGTATATAATATTACCCCTAAAGACCAAATATCAATAGCAAATCCCGAATATTTTTCATTCTTTAATAATTCTGGTGCCATATATACTGTTGTACCACATACAGTTGAAAGGAATTTTCTTGATGAAGGATTAAATTCTCTTACAAATCCAAAATCAGTTAATTTTATAATGGTTTTCTTTTTATCAGAAAATAAGATATTCTCTAATTTTAAATCTCGATGAGTTAAATTTAATGAATGAACATATTTTAATGCTAATACTATTTGAAAAAATAATGATCGACATTCATCTATGGTAATTCTTTTCTTTTCATAAATTAAATAATATAATTCACTACCTTCACAATATTCAAGGACAAGCCAAAGATGATTTTCTGTCTTTATAACTTCATATAATGTAACAATATTTTTATGTTTTAATTGTTTATGATAATAAATTTCTCGTACTATATTTGGATCTTCTACTAATCCACATTTTAATACCACATTTGTATTTAATAATATATGTTTAGCAAGGTAAACTTTCCCAAAGGCTCCTTCACCAATTTCTTCAATAATTCTATAATTACCTATTTGACTAATATTTGGACTTGTAATTTGTAGATAGAACTCATTAAACTGAGCAGCAAGTTGTGCTGTTTGGTTCTGATCATTTATAACTCTCGAAGAGCCATTCATTCACGATATTTTCACTATTGAATTGATTATTACTGATGGTTAAACCGTCACGTTACCGAGATGGAATTTGGAAATAATAATATGATGAATAATTTATATATTATGCAAGTAAATTATAAATAAAATGTCGGTGGAATAACTTCCAATTTGTTAATAATTATTATTAAGACAATGTCTCCTATTCGGCTTAGTTATTAAGGTATAATTCGGTATTAGAAAGGATTTATTGACTGGACTGGATGATGTAATAAGTTTCACAGAATGGTTAGAATGTCTCGTTGATTAAGCGAGTGCGACAGCAACAGTGCGACTTTAAGAGTGCGACTTTTCTCATCGTCACTGTTACTTATGTTTACTATTAAGTACTTACTCAGTACTCAGTACTACTACTCAGAAGTGTTCAGTAATGTTCAGTAGTATTCATTGTACTACTGTTCTATGATGATCACTATTCGGTTGGTGACTCTTTTGCTGACGACATAGTGGCTGGAAGTCATGGATTTGTGGGTGTAGTATGGGTATTTTGCAACCTAAGGCTTGGCTTAACTAGACACTGAGCGCACGACATTGTCACACTAGTGCCAAGTACATAACTACTTGTGACTCTAGTATAGAGGTAGTGGGTGTATAGATACCTATTCTGTAGAGAGAGAGAAGGGATTGTAGAGTTTCAGTAGAGACTTCAGTAGAGTTTTGTGTAGTATCTCAGTGGAGTCTCAGTAGAGTTTAAGTTGACTAATACATTCTCATGACTGTGGCGGGTGCTTCCGGTTAAGCGTAGGATGAGTAGCTCTTAACAAACCTTTTAACTCTACAAGAGATATTGACTCACTAGTACAATTTACCAGCAATTTACTAAGTCAACACACTTGTACTACGAGTATGTAATACATGTGTTTAGCTTAGTAAACTTAACTGATCAAGTGAGACCACATTTAATGGCTGCAAAATGGCTTAGACATTACTAAATGATAGACATTTATTCTATAATTACATAACTCAATCTAAAGAATTGAGAGGATTATCAGTATCATCATATTCAGATAATGAAATTGGTGAAGATGCAACTTCTTCTTTACCATTCCCTTTAATTTGAACTAATTTATTGGCATTCTTTTCTTTAGATATTAATCGTTGTTTGCGAATATTTTCAATATCTTCATCATATTCATAATCAACTTCATCATTATCAAAATTAAAACTACCACCTGTATTGATAGTTAAACCTGATGATGACTTAGTATTTTCAAAAGATCGAGATTTCTTGGTTACAGTCAGTTCATCAACTTCTGCTTCTGCTTCTACTTCTGCTTCTGCACTCCCATCTTCATTTTCATCATCATCATCTTCTTCATCCTCTTCAAATTCCTCATCTTCGGCATTATTACCTTTCTCGGCATCCCTTAATTTTCTCTCCTCTATTTCTCGATCTAATTCAAGCTCCTTCTTAATTTGTTCTTCATATACAGCATATTCTTCAATTTGCTTTTTAACCAGTTCTAAACCGGCCTTCTTCTTAACTAGAGATTTTTTACTAACTTCTATACCACTAGAAATTAATTGATTTAATTTTTCACCCCCTAAAAACTGACTATTGGTATTTCTTCGCTTATAAAATAATAAATAAGCAGCACTTGAAACAATTTCTTCCGGATTTTCAATTCTTGTAACTCTACTATCATTAAAATAATACCATTTATCATCTCGGAAATTCTTTACTGATGCAGTATAATGTCCACCGCCTAAACCTCCATAATGATTATCTACTGCAATTAAATCATAAATATTATTCCCCGTTTCAGGATTAGATATATATGGTGAAATATCTAAATTTTCAATGGGGAAATCTACCACCATATCAATTTTATCACTAAATGCTCGAGCACTATGAAATCTCTTTAAATGTATAGTTAATATATCACCAGTTGACCAAAGTTGAATGGTTTTAGTGGCTCGTTTATGATCTTTACAACGAGGACAATACCATAAATCATGTTCACCTAAAATTTCTGGAGTACTAAAAGTATTAAGACAATCATATAATGAAACTTTAGCCTTTCTTTGTCTCTCAAATTTTGCTTTACTCTTTTCTAATTCAATATTTGGAATAGTTCTAATATTATTCCAAGTTTGAAATTCGGCATTTTCAAATAATTGTTGATATATTTCATAATCCCAATGACATAATAAAATCGTATCTTTATTAACTAAAGTTGGATGATTTAAATTAATATCATTTTTAGGTGATGCTACGGTTGATTCTGGTTCTATAGGAGAATTGGCAGTTGAAGGTTTTATAGATTCAGAATATGGGGTATGTAATGGTAAAGTAGTAGTTGAATCAAATAAACTTCCTAAAGCTGGTTCACTTTCAGTATCTTCATCAGACAGATTTAATTGTTGAGGTACAGAAATTCTAGGAGGTAATGGAGGTGGTTGTTTAGTATGATCTTTAGAATTATCTACAAGTACAAATCCATCTTCTTCATTAGTTCTACTTGTAGTAGTTGAATCAGAATTAGGTGAAGATATATTAGTTTCTAAAGGTTCTTGATCTTGATCTTGATCTTGATCTTGATCTTGATCTTGATCTTGATCTTGATCTTGATCTTGACTCGCTTGAGCTAAAAGATCCTTATTAACCTCTTCAGCTAATTCAAGCATTTCTTGATCAAGTTTACTATCATAAGTTGGATAATGATAATAATTTCTTTTAAGATCAGGTAATTTAGTGGATAATTCTTTAAATTCACTAAAATTTGGTTTATGAAGTGGAGCATTAATAAATCTATTAGATGCCTTAATATTGTTTGCATTACTTCGAAGATTAAGTCGATTCCGAAAATTTGTATTTGGTTTATTAGAATGATCTTTACTATATTTAATAGTAAATCCAAAATCAGCTCCTACATAAGGATTAGCCAATGAAATATCGGAATTATATCCTTCATCATTATCATTATCATCATCTATAATTTCTTCACTTTCAAGTTTAGAATCATTACTACTTGGATGTTGAATTAAGGCTGGGAAATCATTACGAGAATAATATTTCTTATCAATATATCCATCAGATGTTTGTTTAATTTTATTATATTCATCAGTAATATTAATAGTTGATAAAACTCCCACTATATGTTGTAATTTATTTCGAATAGTTCCAAAACTTAGTGTATCAATTTCTTTATTTAAAGTTACAAATAATGGAATTCCAAATGAATCCATCATTTTATAAGATTTATCAGGATCTTCAACACAATTATATACGGGGATAATTATATCTAATTCTGGATCATGAGGTATATAATAAATATGAACTTCATCAGTATCTCTTATAATATCACTTATAGGTAAGAATTTATTCTTTTGATGATCAAGTTGAAAATCTGCATAGAAAGAATTTCTAAAGATTTCATAAAGAAATAATTGATTGGAGGGGACTGATAAGAATTTACTTACATAATTTAATAAATCATCAAAATTTGAAGTTTTATTTAATTCCACTTCTAATCTCATAATTCTTTGGGGTAATGATAATCCTGGTTCAGATAAATCAACAATTGTAAATGTATGATACCATTTTTTACTTATAGGTAATGGTAAAGTTACATCATTAAATGGATCAAAAGTTATAGAAGTCTTGGAACAATCAGGACATACTAAAGTTGATTGATATAAACCAGTAAATAAATCCACAATTACCGAATCATTACGTAATTTATGTTGATTCCAACAAGTATCTGATAATTTAACAATAGCATGAGGATCATTAATTTCTTCATCTTTTAATTCGGGTTTTTCACAATATGGTTTCTTTTGAATTCGATTTAAATCTTCATGAAGAGCATCTAATAACCAACTTAAAAATTCTTGAGAATCTTGTTGTAAATAACCGGAAAACATTGAAGAATATCTACCAATGGTCGATTTAAATTCTCGTGGTGATATTGAACCAGAACCAGTGTTTGAACTACTTGATGAAGATTTAGTGGGATTTATATCAAATGCTTGTTTTAATAAATTCCCAAATACATTAGCTATATCTCCATGATTACCTAAAGGATTATCTAAATTTAATTCTTGTTTATAAAGATTATAATAAAAGTAATAATTAATTTCTGGTACATGTAATAAACATTGTAAAGCAGAATTCATATAACATGTATTACCAAGATTTGATAATCCTAAATGTCCACTTTTTGATAAGACTTTATCAAAATCAAATAATTCAAAATTAATTGATTTTATATGATTATCAATAGGATAAATTTTACTAATAGGATCCTTTAATTCAATTAATATATGATATGAAGTAGAATTTATACCTTGAGATTTTAATGTATCATTTAAAAGTGCCGGATTTACGACACTTTTACTAGTGATATCATTAATAAAATTACTAATAGTTATAGTTTGTGGTACATCATTTTTACAATCAATAAACCAAATTCTAAAATCATTTATAGTGGAGATTTTGGGAGATCTTAAGATATTAATTCGAATTAATTCAAGTAAATCCAGAAATTTTTTGGTTCTTGATATGGTTATAGGATAAGGACCATTATTATGAGAATTATGAGAATTATGATTATTATTATTATTATTATTATTATTATTATTATGAATTACATTATTATTATGATTATTATGATGATTATGATTATGATGACTATAAGAATTATTAGCGTGACGATTATTAAAATATGATTGATTTTGCTTTTTACCCAATTGATGAACATAAAAGATCGGAGGATACCTTTCAACTTCCTTTGTACCAGTTTCAGGATTAACAATTAGACATCTAATTACTGGATCACCTTCAATTCCAAACCATTGACAAAGATAATTAAAAATTTCTGGAGATATATTATAAGTTCCTACTGGTTCATCATCTTCAGGATATAAATTTCCATGAGAATCAATAATATCTGAACAATTTATGGGACCTAAATTAATTTTTAATTCATCAAATGATGATACTTGTAAATTAATAAAATCATTAAGATATTTTGTTGATATAAGATACCATAAATCTCCTTCTTTACCAGTATTATTATTACTAATTAATTCTTCAATTAAATTTCTCTTTTCAAGTAATTCATTTTCAATAAATGATTCAGTATCCAGTCTAATTCCATCAACTAATAAACTATTATTACTACTACTTGTAGCTAAATTTACATTTACATTTACATTTGTATTATGATTATGATTATGATTATTATGAATTCCATCCGACGATAAGCTGGTGTTAATTGGTAACAGAGATGAACTGATGGATGATTTTAATGGTTGATCGTCGGACATGATTTAGATGGGGTTGAGATGGATATGTAAGGGAAGGTATAATGGGAAGGCAATAGTATGGGAATGGGAATGGAATGAGAATGGGAATTGGAATGGTACACTACACTTCACAATATAATACCACAGGATTTTAATTGAGGAGGAAATTACCGTAATGTAAGATTTGTCAATACTTTATAAGTAATAATTGAAACCTGTTCGGCCGTAGTGCTCAGCGATGGTGGGGGCGATTAATTTCAACGGTGAAGATTGTCTGGTGGCAGGGAGTTTTTCGCGTGAGCGCGGAGAGCCTCGCTGCGATAAAGAGATACCGATGGTAATGGTATTAGGTAATGGTAATAAGAGCTAATGAGAATTACTGTATTAATGGGATTAGTGTATTAACGAATTAGTGTTTGTGTATTAATGAGAATTAGTAGATAAATGAGAATTAATAAGAATTAAGATCATATCTCCTCTAGACATTTACTGTAGTCAACTCATTTATTTAGTGAGTAATCGCACGCTCGCTTGCTCATTAATACCTGTGTAAGCATATTTGGGATTGAATCCATAAGGATCTAACAATCGATTATTACTCAATTGACATCAGTATCATGATTACATGAGCCTATGATACATTGCCAATCTTTAATATGTTCAGTAGTATTATGGAGTAAATGTAAATTGTCTGCGATGTAGGATTTGCAATAGCTGCAAAAAGTTTACTAAACTGTGGCGGAATCTCGCTATACATTTCTACAAGCATCAACATTATTTATTGAAGATAACACTAGAAAGCTATGAATTTCTCTATTTGATTAAACCATTGCTGATTACCACTATATTACATGCGATATACCTAAATTAGGTTTTGTATTATTATTTATTCGTAAATCTATATAAATCTAATCATTTCTTGATCGAAGTTTGGCCACATCAATGGCTCTTTGAAGAATATCTAAGCTTATTTCACTATTAATATCTCCATTTATTAAGCTTAATCTTTTAATCTTTTCATTTCCATCAACTATAATAGAAATTCTTGATAAAATAGTCGATTCTTCAGCTTCTCCTTCCAAATCTGCTAATAATTCTACCACTTCTTCATTTTCCATAGTAATATCTTCATCTTCTTGTTTATTTTTCACAGTTTTAATGGCTCCAAAATTACAACTTATTCCACCTTCTGAACTTAATTCAAGAGGATAATATAATTCATTATTTAAATCAATATTAAGACTAGATTTACTAACCCCAACCAATCCTCTTGTATTACTATTTCTAGATTTGACTGAAATTTTTGTACTTGAAAAATCAGTTATATAAACTCTAGGTAATTTAAGATCATGAAGTGCATCAATAATTGATGAATAACAAAGATCAAAAATAGTAGAGATTTTGGAAAATACTTTAACATGACAGAAAATTACAAATGAATATGATTTCTTTAATGTTGAAGATGACGATGGTAAATTTACAAATACTTGAGGATGAATATCAGGATAAAAAATTTGAATATTATCTTTATCACTATTAATATCAGTTTCTTTTATAGCTAATCCACAATGATTTATCTTTAATGCAGCTTTGGATATAAGTCTAGAATGTAAAATAGTTTCGTATAAATTCTGAGAAAGAATCATTTCCTCATCACTTGGAGCACCTGATCTACCTCTTTGAATATCTATGACAGGATAAATTGATGTGAATTGATCATTTGTTAAATTATTATTATTATTATTATTATTATTATTATTATTATTGAAAGTTGATGTGGAAGAATTGGTATTCTCAACAACTCCTAATGTTACAGTAGTCACAATAGTAGAATTTCCACTCTTAACTATTGATGAACCAAATACATTATCATTAGTAGTCGTAATATTATTAGCATGTGATGCTATTTCAATGGGTTTAAATTCAAGAAAATTCCGCAAGTTAGGCCTAAGACCAATAGATAAATGACGTTGAAGTGAAACTTCAGGTACTATTCTTGCTAATACTTCCGGAGGAAATGATACCTGTTTTAATTCTGTTGTCATTGATATTTACGAGAAATTCTATGGTTTTATGTTATTGAATAATTTTCATTTTGGTGATGATGTTATATGCCCCAAAGAAACTGTAAACTATTGATTTGCAGGTTAACCATAATATGTAAAACTAGTCTCTACTTCTTGCTACTTTTTTTTACATGTTTTACACAATCGAAAAAATATTATTAGATTTAAAAAATACTATGCGAAATAAGGGTCAATCAAGTAAACTAATTCATCGAATAGTGTTAAGTTGCCCTTATTTATTGATTCGAACTAACAGTTAATGAGAAATGATCTATGAGCTCTTATAAATATCTTTTCACCGATTGATTGGTTCAAATTCCTGTTCATAAAGGCATATGAACCATTATAGACAATCACAGAAAATCAATATGCATACGGTGGAAAAAATGATGATAGCATCTAAACGCACGCGCCTCATCTTCATCTTCATCTAAATCTTTAAGCACTCTATTGAAAAATGGCAATTGATTTAAATATAAACCATATGGTCCATAACTAGTGTAGAGCCTATTGTATAGATAGTTTGGTTTAAAGACAAGGAAAGTGACAAATTGTTCCATATTCAAAATGCCATGTACATGGAGCCAATGCTCACGGAGCCACTCTTTAGCAAAACTTTCGTCTTCTACTGCGATTTGTATATTCTTCTTAGGCATAGAACCAGACCACTTGTGTCTGTCTTCCATGTAGATTGAACCCAATCCGGTCAAAGTTCCTAAAAGTTTTATGGATTCTAATCTTTTCAGGAAGTAGTTCAATTCACCTTTGAATTGAGTATAAGCCACATACTCAACATGAGTTAAGCTTTTAAGTAGCTTATAATCATATTTTGCACTGCTAAACGTACGTAATCTTAACTTCTTGATGGTGTCACCATGATTGTTCAAAAATTGTCCCCAATAATGTTGTGATAGTAAATCACAACTTTCAAAACTGTGGTTTTCTAACTTGGGAAACTTGAGATACTTGATTTCTTTAGCTATGAGTCTGATCTTCTCTCCCACATGAAAGCTATGCAAACTGTTGGGATTCACCCATGCTGAGGTCAATGAAATGATAGGCATATTATCAATCATTAGATCATAGTCGTATGATTCTTCAGGTTTAAAGTAATCAGTGTCGAGTCTAATTTCATACCATTCAAACTTCTTAAGGTCCTCTAGTGGTAATTGAAAATCAACAGGTTTACCTAAAGGAAAGTTCTTGTAAAGGTGAAGGCAAAACATGAATCCATGATTTTTAAGAGGTTTCATTTTATCAAGGAATTCAATCATACTTGTTCCATTATCCGAACTTCCCAATAACACTTCAAATATAATTGTGATACACCACCAGCCTTTAGTTTAGTTATATTATCAAATACAAATGTCAGAGACTTAGTATAAAAAGGACCATTATAATGGAATGTTGGTGTATCCACTTCAGGCCATAGAGCATCATCTTTAGTTTCCTTATATGTAAAAGTATTTAATTGTATTATAATAGTAGGAGTTATGCCAAAATTTAAACCCACTTGATTCGAGGATACATTAGAGTAAGTTTCTTCTAAGAAAAGTGATTCTAGTACGATGTTTGTTGGAGCTAAGGAGGACATTAGGTAAGTTAAAGCCATTCTAGAGCATAGATAATTACAAGGGCGTAACTTTTATATGATAATAGTCAAATTGTAATATAATCGAATGTTACGCTAATTTTATAAATGTGAATAAAATAAATAAAAGAGTGCCCTCTTTCAAACTTGCTTAGTAGAGCAGTTACTATGTGGGCAAAAAATAATAAATGTTGAGTTGGACTATTTGAAGAATATTTCGCAACCGTATGATGCAAAAATAGAGTTCCTATCTTGTTTCTCCTATTATTTAAAAATCGTGTCTTGGTGCATTTTAATGTTTTTCCCGGCACTATTTTAGAGAACATCCAAACATCCTTCAAATTATCCAAGCATTCACACATCTACGAAATTTGCTGTGCAAAACTAGATTATCAAATATTTTGATTTAATATTAAATTTCGGCTAAAACCGCGTTGGTGTTTCCTGTGTTCTTCTTCATCGGTATCATGCAATCCAATTTTATGGTTAAAGTTACACCATGCTACATTTTAATACTGCATACAAGTAAGAAGTCAACCCCGCCGGCTGCAGCTATAATATGCAAAATTGTTCTCATAATTCTGTTTTTACATGTTTTACGTAAACGAAAAATATTTTATGATTTAAAAAATATCTATTGAACTATACGAGTTAAGGGTCAATCAAGTTAACTATTTCATTGCGTTGAGCTGCCCTTATTTATTGATTCGAACTAACAGTTAATGAGAAATGATATCTGAGCTCTTATAAATATCTTTTCACCGATTGATTGGTTCAGATTCCTGTTCATAAAGGTATATGAACCCTCATTTCCGTGTCTAAACGAAGCTTTTACCAATTCTTTTGAAGAACGAATTACTTCCATATATCTTAATAGCTAAACATAATATATATATATCGTTTATTTTATAAAATGCAACTCTTAGTTATTGTAGTAAGTGATTCATATCTCTCTTTTATTATTAGATATTCAGTTTTGAGAGTTGGTTTGTGCCATTCGCCCCCTACAATACCACATAAACATTGGTAGCGCCAATTGTCAATTGACAGCCAATATAAATACCGAACCTAGTTTTACAACCTCAATAAATTTACAACACTCCTTTTTCTTTTCTTCTAATCAATCAATCAATCAATCCAAAGAATTTAACTTTATAATGGATTTCAATAGAAACATAGAATTCCCACCAGAAATTAATTCAGCTAGTACTGCAAATCCTACGGAATCTAAAGAGGAAATTGTAAGAGTAGCTTTGGCTACTATAAAGAAAGAAAATCTTGAAGATCAAACCAAAAAGTTGTTGATGAACTATCACAAACTTATGAGATCCGGAGACTCATTTGAATCACTTCTTTCATTTCTATTACCTGGTACATCCTATAAGTTAGATTTAAAGACTGACAAACTGAATTTTAATGATCATATCATAAAAAGTTTTCAGAATATTAGAGAAGATCCTACGTATATCGATAGAGAAGTTATTTTAATTTTACATTCAATTCATGTATCTCGCAGTTTATTATCAAAGCTTGAGGGTTCTTCTTTAATGAATAATCCAGATGTATTCGCCCTACAAACAAGAGAATTCTTAGAGCTTGCCTTCCATTTAGATAACGACCTCATACAATCCGTCGAATTGGATATAAATTATTTTAGAGCTAGATTGGTATTAGAAGATAGCCTATTAGAAAATCTTGGAGAATCAAATAATAATTCAAAGATTCCAAATTTTAATTTCGAACTTGGGGAATTAAATAAATGTGCTGCTTTTGTAGCAGCACAGCAAGGTTTTAATTTATAGTTGTATAATTGTATAGATACTTTTAATATACAAATAAATATACTTAAAAAATAAATATACTTAAAAACCGAGTCACTTGAGCTAAGGCATTATTACTTGGACTGCCATATCTCGAATTCGCATCATTAAACACAATCACAGAAAATCAAGATGCATATAATGTAAAAAAAGATGATAACTTCTAAACGCACGCGCCTCATCTTCATCTTCATCTAAATCTTTAAGCACTCTATTGAAAAATGGCAATTGATTTAAATATAAACCATATGGTCCATAACTAGTGTAGAGTCTATTGTATAAATAATTTGGTTTAAAGGCAAGGAAAGTGACAAATTGTTCCATATTCAAGACGCCATGTACATGGAGCCAATGCTCACGGAGTATCTCTTTAGCAAAACTTTCGTCTTCTACTGCGATTTGTATATTCTTCTTAGGCATAGAACCAGACCACTTGTGTCCGTCTTCCATGTAGATTGAACCCAATCCGGTCAAAGTTCCTAAAAGTTTTATGGATTCTAATCTTTTCAGGAAGTATTTCAATTCATAATCGAGATGAGTATAGGCCACATACTCAATATGAGTTAAGCTTTTAAGTAGCTTATAATCATATTTTTTACTGTTAAACGCACGTAATCTTAACTTCTTGATGGTGTCACCATGATTGTTCAAAAATTCTCCCCAATAATGTTGTGATAGTAAATCACAACTTTCAAAACTGTGATTTTCTAACTTGGGAAACTTGAGATACTTGATTTCTTTAACTACGAGTCTGATCTTCTCTCCCACATGAAAGCTATGCAAACTGTTGGGATTCACCCATGCTGAGGTCAATGAAATGATAGGCATATTATCAATCATTAGATCATAGTCGTATGATTCTTCAGGTTTAAAGTAATCAGTGACGAGTCTAATTTCATACCATTCAAACTTCTTAAGGTCCTCTAGTGGTAATTGAAAATCAACAGGTTTACCTAAAGGAAAGTTCTTGTAAAGGTGAAGGCAAAACCTGAATCCATGATTTTTAAGGGATTTCATTTTATCAAGGAATTCAATCATACTTGTTCCATTATCCGAACTTCCCAATAACACTTCAAATATAATTGTTGATACACCACCAGCCTTTAGTTTAGTTATATTATCAAATACAAATGTCAGAGACTTAGTATAAAAAGGACCATTATAATGGAATGTTGGTGCATCCACTTCGGGCCATAGAGCATCATCTTTAGTTTCCTTATATGTAAAAGTATTTAACTGTATTATAATAGTTGGAGTTATGTCAAAATTTAAACCCACTTGATTCGAGGATACATTAGAGTAAGTTTCTTCTAAGAAAAGTGATTCTAGTACGATGTTTGTTGGAGCTAAGGAGGACATTAGGTGAGAAAAACCATTCTAGAGCATAGATAATTACAAGGGCGTAACTTTTATATGATAATAGTCAAATTGTAATATAATCGAATGTTACGCTAATTTTATAAATGCGATTAAAGTGAATAAAAGAGTGCCCTCTTTCAAACTTGCTTAGTAGAGTAGTTACTATAAATGCAGACCAGGAAAATGGCAACAATAAAAAATGCTGAGAACTGTTCTATTAGCAGGGTAAGCTGAAGAGTACAAAAATATTTTGCAACCTTATGATGCAAAAATAGAGTTCCTATTTTGTTTCTCCTATTATTCAAAAATCGCATTTTCAAATACTTTGATTTAATATTAAATTTCGGCTAAAACCGCGATAGTGCTTCATGTGTTCTTCTTCAGTTATCATCCAATCCAATTTTGTGGTTAGATTATACCACGTTACATTTTCGAACCAGAAATACTGCATACAAGTTAGAATTCAAGCCCGCGGGCCGCTTTTCGTAAAGGAATAAAATGCCTAATGAGGAAATATAAACAGCATACTAATAGTTCAGATAGAAGTTCATTATCATGAGAAATTAATTGATAGTAGTATTAACAGAGGGAATAGTAACAATATTAATAGTAGTATAAATCATACATTCATTTCCTGATAGGTGGTAAGCGATTGAAACGTGATGAAAATCACGCACACACACTATAGCATAGTTATCAGATTAAGGTTGTGGTTATTAAACAATGCTCTCTCATTGGTTACTGATTAGAAACGTGCTTATATAATCGGGCTTAGCAACACATTTTGTTTCTTTCTCCGGTTTGGACATCAGCCAAATGAAAGTATCCCCACTAAATAAAAAAATGTACATAGTTAAATAAGCAATTATTGACTCTTAACACTTTGATCACATGGGCCCAGTATTTAATCATTGTACGATTAAATTTATCAGGTTAACATGAAAATGTTGATTAACAATTTCCAATTAATAATTAATATTTAACAAATATATTAATGCTAAACTCCAGAAGATGAAGTTCTCCTCTTTATTTTCCAGTTAACATTTATATGCGGCGTAAAGAACACAGAAGTCAATATTTCTCTTTGATTACATTGACAAATCATTCATTGGTGCTTTAGTCTCGTTAATCGATAAATTGCCCTGCAGGGCAATCATATAATTTTTTTTTTTCTTCTGTTAGTGACAGATATCACCGGTTCCGCCCAGATAATTAATTAATTAATATTGTGAATCATCTACCTTATTTACTATGTTAGTCATTATTATATACTATTAATGCTTATTACGTATAGTGATCCCCCTCTTTCGTCCGATAATTTCTCACTAAAAATTTTAATTCTTTTATGGGTAACCTATTAATTACATTTTGAATTTGAATCATTTTAAAGTAATAAAAATTTCAAAATTATCAAATAAAAATTTTCTTATTTGTATAACTTCTTTTTCTATTTCAATTCTTATTATTGTAGTTTTGTTGTATATCATCAATTGTTTATTTAAGGAGAATTCTTTTATTTATTCCTTAGTGTTCAGTAAATTAGTGAGAATATTCCCCACTGTTCCCTAATTATTTTGTTCTCTTCGCTGAAAAATTACAATCTCCCTGATTAATTTTACCTAAAGAAATTAGAAAATTGTTTAATTCTTAAAGTCTGTTCCCCTACAGTAACTCAATTATATTCAATTAGTCAATTATTCAATTATTCAATTAGTCAGTTCCTTATTATATATATAAAAAAAAAAGACAAGTACTTTTCCATTCATTAATTTAATTTAATTCTACGTTACTAGTTACTCATTACTCATTAATCATAGAATGACTTCTTACTTACCCCAAGAAGAATTCTCGGAAACATCTCTATACAAATATGATGAAGTTCCAGAAAATAAATCTTGGGCTTCGGCTTTACCAGTAGCCAAGGGACTTTATAATCCAGAATTAGAAAAAGATGCTTGTGGTGTTGGTTTTACTTGTCATTTAAAGGGGGTTCCATCTCATAAAATTGTATCTGATTCAAGAAATTTATTATGTAATATGACCCATAGAGGAGGAGAATTAAATCCAAAAGATGGTGATGGAGCTGGTGTATTATCATCAATTCCTCATAAATTTTTAAAACGTGAATTCAAATATCATGCCAATGTCGATTTACCAAATTCTGGTCAATATGGTACCGGTAATCTTTTCTTTAAAAAAGATGATGCTGTATTTGAAAAATCAAAAATTACTTTTGAAAATATCGCTCAATCTTTAGGTTTAAAAGTTCTTGGTTGGAGAAAAGTTCCTCATGATTCTTCAATTTTAGGTCCTGCTTCACTTTCAAGAGAACCTTATATTTTACAACCTGCTGTTATTTTATCAGAATTAGCTGGTACTGAAATTTCTGATGAAGAATTCTCAACTAAATATCAAAAGGATTTTGAAAAGAAATTATTTATTCTTAGAAAGCTATCATCTCATACGATTGGTTTACATAATTGGTTTTATATTTGTTCACTTTCAAATAAAACCATTGTTTATAAAGGTCAATTGGCTCCAAATCAAGTGTTTGCTTATTATCATGATTTAGTTAATTCTGAATTTGAAGCTCATTTTGCTTTAGTTCATTCCCGTTTCTCAACTAATACTTTCCCATCATGGGATAGAGCTCAACCATTAAGATTAGCTGCTCATAATGGTGAAATTAATACTTTAAGAGGTAATAAAAATTGGATGAGATCTAAAGAAGGGGTTATGTCATCTAAATTATTTGGTGAAGAATTAGATAAATTATTTCCAATTATTGAAGAAGGTGGATCTGATTCAGCTGCATTTGATAATGTTTTAGAATTATTAGTAATTAATGGTGTATTATCATTACCAGAAGCAGTTATGCTTATGATTCCTGAAGCTTGGCAAAATGATGAACATATTGATCCAAAAAAGAAGGCATTTTATGAATGGGCTGCCACAATTATGGAACCATGGGATGGTCCAGCACTTTTTACATTTGCTGATGAAAGATATTGTGGAGCTAATTTAGATCGTAATGGTTTAAGACCTTGTCGTTATTATGTTACAGATGATGATAGAATTATTTGTGCATCTGAAGTTGGAGTTATTGAAATTGAACCTGAAAAAGTTTTACAAAAGGGTAGATTACAACCTGGTAGAATGCTTTTAGTTGATACTAAAGAAGGTAGAATTGTTGATGATCGAGAATTGAAACAAAAGGTTGCTTCAAGATATGATTTTAAATCTTGGGTTATTGCTAATATGATTTCAATGGATGATCTTTTAGAAAAATTAGATTCCAGAAATGTTGATCTTTCACCTCCAATTGCTAGTAAAGAATTTACTATTCAAACAGATCCTCGATTAATTGCCTTTGGATATTCTCATGAACAAGTTTCACTTATTTTATCTCCTATGGCAGAAGGTAATGAAGCTTTAGGTTCAATGGGTAATGATAATGCTTTAGCATGTATTTCTGAACAACCTAAATTATTATATGATTATTTCCGTCAATTATTTGCTCAAGTTACTAATCCTCCAATTGATCCAATTAGAGAATCAATTGTTATGTCTTTAGAATGTTATGTTGGTCCTCAAGGGAATTTATTAGAAATGAAACCTGATCAATGTAATAGATTACTTTTAAAATCTCCTATTTTATCTAGTCGTGAATTAAATTCTATTAAGAATATTGAAAAAGTTTATCCTAAATGGTCAGTGGCCACTATTGATATTACTTTTGAAAAATCTCAAGGTATTCAAGGTTATATTGATACAATTGATAATATTTGTCAACATGCTTCTAAGGCAATTGCTGATAATCATCAAGTTATTATTTTAACTGATATTGCTACTAGTAGTACCAGATTACCAATTGCTGCATTGATTGCTGTGGGTGCTGTTCATCATCATTTAGTTAGACAAAAGCAACGGTCTAAAGTTGCTCTTATTATTGAAACAGCTGAAGCAAGAGAAGTTCATCATGCTTGTTGTTTAGTTGGGTATGGTGCTGATGGTATTAATCCATATTTAGCCATTGAAACTTTAATTAGAATGAAAGAAGAAGGGTTATTAAAGAATGAATCTTTAACTCCAGAAACAATTATTACTAATTATAAAGCTGCAGTTGATGCTGGTATTTTAAAAGTTATGTCAAAGATGGGTATTTCAACTTTAGCTTCTTATAAAGGTGCCCAAATCTTTGAAGCTCTTGGAGTTGATAATTCTGTTATTGATAGATGTTTTGCTGGTACCGCTTCAAGAATTAAAGGAATTACTTTTGAATATATTGCTCAAGATGCTTTCTCTATGCATGAAAGAGGTTATCCAACCAGAGAAACCATTAAACCAGTAACTTTACCAGAAACTGGTGAATATCATTGGAGAGATGGTGGAGATGCTAAAATCAATGAACCAGCAGCTATTGCTTCTATGCAAGATGCTGTTAGAAATAAAAATGAAAAGGCTTATGAAGCTTATTCTCGTAAAGAATATGAAGCCATTAAGAATTGTACTTTAAGAGGATTATTAGATTTTGATTATGAAAATTCTACTGCTGTCCCAATTGATCAAGTTGAACCATGGACAGAAATTGTTCGTCGATTCTTTACTGGAGCTATGTCTTATGGATCTATTTCAATGGAAGCTCATTCTACTTTAGCAGTAGCTATGAATAGACTTGGAGGTAAATCTAATACGGGAGAAGGAGGTGAAGATTCAGCAAGATCTATTGTTAGTGCTAATGGTGATACTATGAGATCGGCCATTAAACAAGTAGCTTCGGGTAGATTTGGAGTTACATCATATTATTTAGCTGATGCCGATGAATTACAAATTAAAATGGCTCAAGGAGCTAAACCTGGTGAAGGGGGTGAATTACCAGGATTAAAAGTTACTGCTCAAATTGCTAAGACTAGAAAATCTACGGCTGGTGTCGGATTAATTTCTCCACCTCCTCATCATGATATTTATTCGATTGAAGATTTAAAACAATTATTATATGATTTGAAATGTGCTAATCCAAGAGCCAGAACTTCAGTTAAATTAGTTTCTGAAGTTGGTGTGGGTATTGTTGCTGCTGGTGTTGCCAAGGCAGGATCAGAAAATATTTTGATTTCTGGTGGTGATGGTGGTACTGGAGCAGCTAAATGGACATCTATTAAATATGCTGGTTTACCATGGGAATTAGGATTAGCAGAATCTCATCAAACTTTAGTATTAAATGATTTAAGAGGCAGAGTTATTTTACAAACTGATGGACAAATTAGAACTGGTAGAGATATTGCTGTTGCATGTTTATTAGGAGCTGAAGAATGGGGATTTGCAACTACTCCATTAATTGCTATGGGATGTATTATGATGAAGAAATGTCATTTAGGTACATGTCCAGTTGGTATTGCTACTCAAGATCCTGAATTACGTAAGAAATTCCAAGGTACTCCTGAACATGTAATTAATTTCTTTTATTATTTATCTAATGAATTAAGAAGTATTATGGCTCAATTAGGATTTAGGACTATTAATGAAATGATTGGTAGAACTGAGAAATTAAAAGTTCGTGAAGATTTAAGAAATACTAAGAATGCCAATATTGATTTATCACCAATTTTAACTCCTGCTCATACTATTAGACCTGGTGTTGCTACTCATTGTGTTAGAAAACAAGATCATAGATTACATGTTAGACTTGATAATAAATTAATTGATGAATCTGAAGTTACTTTAGCTAAAGGTTTACCAGTTACAATTGATTGTGATGTGGTTAATACTGATCGTACTTTAGGTACAACGTTATCTTATCGAGTTTCCAAAACTTTTGGTGAAGTTGGATTACCTCATGATACAATTCATGTTAATGCCAAAGGTTCTGCCGGTCAATCCTTTGGTGCATTCTTAGCTCCTGGTATTACTTTAGAATTAGAAGGTGATGCTAATGATTATATTGGTAAAGGTTTATCCGGTGGTAGAATTATTGTTTATCCACCAAAGGAATCGAAATTTAATGCTGAAGATCAAATTATTGCTGGTAATACTGCATTCTTTGGGGCAACTTCGGGTAGTGCCTTTATTAGAGGTATTGCAGCTGAAAGATTTGCCGTTAGAAATTCAGGAGCCATTATTGTTACTGAAGGTACTGGTGATCATGGATGTGAATATATGTCGGGTGGTAGAGTTGTTGTTTTGGGTGGTACTGGTAGAAATTTTGCTGCTGGTATGTGTGGTGGTATTGCTTATGTATTAGATATGGCACAAGATTTTAATACTAAAGTTAATGCTAAAACAGTTGAATTATCTCAAGTTACTGATCCTTCTGAAATTGCCTTTTTAAGAGGTTTAATTGAAGATCATCGTCATTATACTTCTTCAGAAGTGGCCGATAGAATCTTGAATGATTTCAATAGAATTTTACCAAGATTTGTTAAAGTCTTACCATTTGATTATAAGAAGGTTCTTGAAGAAGAAAAGCAAAAGGCTGAAGAAGCTAAGAAGAATGAATTGAATACTTTCTTAAAATCTATTAAAGAAGATCCTGAAGCTGATGCCACTAATGGTGAAGCAGCTAAAATTAAAAAGGGTCATGTTCATACTCCCAAGACAACTTCGGCAAAACATGGACATAAAGAACCAAAAGTTTCTGATGTTGAAGATACTATTTTAGATATTGAAAATGAAAAGAAAGCTGCTGTTAAATTAGATAAAGTTCGTGGATTTATGAAGTATAAACGTAGAAATGAAAAATACAGAGATGCTAAGGAAAGAACTAAAGATTGGAATGAAATGACCAATAGATTAACTAAAGAAGAATTGGGTGAACAAACTGCAAGATGTATGGATTGTGGTGTACCATTTTGTACTTCAGATACTGGATGTCCAATTTCTAATGTTATTCCAAAATGGAATGAATTAGTATTTAAAGATAGATGGTATGATGCCTTACAAAGATTATTAATGACTAATAATTTCCCTGAATTTACTGGTAGAATTTGTCCTGCTCCATGTCAAGGAGCTTGTGTATTAGGAATTATTGATGATCCAGTTAATATTAAATCAGTTGAATGTGCTATTATTGATCATGGATTTGAACAAGGATGGATTAAACCAACTCCTCCAGCTATTAGAACTGGTAAAACTGTGGCTATTATTGGATCTGGTCCATCAGGTTTAGCAGCAGCTGATCAATTAAATAAAGCCGGACATAAAGTAACTGTTTATGAAAGATCAGATAGACCAGGAGGATTATTAATGTATGGTATTCCAAATATGAAATTAGATAAAAAGATTGTTAAAAGAAGAACAGATTTATTAGCAGCTGAAGGAATTGAATTTATTGTTAATACCACTATTGGTGAAGATATTACTGTTGAAGAATTAAGAAATACTTTTGATGCTGTTATCTTTGCTGTTGGATCAACTATTCCAAGAGATTTAAAGATTCCTGGTAGAGAATTAAAGAATATTAATTATGCTATGCAATTATTAACAACTAATACCAAAGCTTTATTAGGTGAACAATTAGAAGAAGTTCGTAAGACTCTTGAAGGTAAAGATGTTGTTGTTATTGGAGGTGGTGATACTGGTAATGATTGTTTAGGTACTTCAACTAGACATGGAGCTAAATCCGTAACTAATTTTGAATTATTACCAACTCCACCAAATGCTAGACCAAAGGATAATCCATGGCCACAATGGCCAAGAGTTTTCAGAGTTGATTATGGTCATACTGAAGTTTCAACTCATTATGGTAAAGATCCAAGAGAATATTCTATTTTATCTAAAGAATTTGTTGATGATGGTGAAGGTAATGTTAAAGGTATTAAAACTGTTAGAGTTGAATGGAAACGTTCAGATTCTGGAGCTTGGCAAATGGCTGAAGTTCCAGGTAGTGAAGAATTTTTCCCAGCAGATGTTGTATTACTTTCAATGGGATTCCTTGGACCAGAAGCTGATAATTTAGAAGTTTCAAAGACTAAGAGAGGTACTATTAATACTGTTGATCCAAATGCTTATCGTGTTAGTCAAGATGGTAACCTTTTCGCTGCTGGTGATTGTAGAAGAGGTCAATCATTAGTTGTTTGGGGTATTCAAGAAGGTAGACAATGTGCAAGAGAAGTTGATAATTATTTAATGGGTTCAACTAGATTACCAGGTAATGGATCTATTGAACAAAGAAATTATAATTTATTAGAAGAATTGGCTGAAAAGGTCTAAACTAAATTGGGGGATTTAGTTGATCATGTGTTTTAATTCTTTTAATGGATATTTCATTCGTTTTTTTTTATATAGCTCGTTATCGGTATTATTTAAATATATCAAATGTATAATTTTATAAAATTTAAATATATTAAATATTGTAATATTGTAATATTGTAGTGTTAAATCGTTAATGCTTTGTTCGTCATATTAATTCTAAATATCCCTAACAAGTATATATTGTAAGTTGATTATACTTTAACTACTCTATATACTGGTTCTCTTTCTTCATCATTATATGGTGATGGTAATGCAGCTCCATATCTATCATATTTAGGATAATTATCTTGAGTAAAATGAGCTTGAGCTGGTTGACTTGTTTCATACATTGGAACTGGTGGTTGTCTCATTTGAGTATTATAATGATGATTTGGTGGATACATATTTGGATTATATTGAGGTTGTTGAGGTGGAGCTGAATATACTGGTCTATTACTATTACGACAACAACAACAACATAAAGCTTCTATACATGTAGCTCCCATACATAAACATTGAATAAATGTCATTAACATCCAAAGTACAAATAATGATGCTAAACATATCCCCACAATAGCTACAATTTTACAAGTTCTATTGGCCATACAAGTATCCCAATGTCTAAATGATTGAGCTGTTGATTTAACATCTTGAGTAAATGAATCTCTTTCTACTATATCTTGGATATATACACTAGCTTCATCTAATGATCTTGTTATTAACTTCTTGATATACATGGTTCTTACTTACTTAACGGTTGCTATTACTAGCTATTCTTTAGGATCACTGAGACTATTTGTAGATCGATCTCAGTAATTATATAAAATGTCTTGTCCCATTCTCGTCTGACACGCACCGCGTAATCTAGTCGCACTTAATCTATTTTTAGTGACAGGGCTGAGCGCACAAAGGGGTTAATTACCGTTTATTACTTAATTTATGGTCATTTGCAGGGCTGTACCAGGCACAATATAGGAGATCAGTTGGAGATAATTATGATACCATTAATTTGATTTCTTTTTTTTTTTTAATTATATATTGTATGTATTGGTTTTGCGTTTTATTCATTCCTGGACCGGAGTTGTTCAGGATTTATTTCTCCTGTTTTCTTTCTCTCATACATAAATTATATCTATTATTTGTAGGGCTATAATGTGCAGATCCGGAGTTACTTGTTTGAAGTATTCTAGAAGAAGATAATAAATATGCTGTAGTCAAACCCACACACAATGATCAAATTTTGTGCTATGATTAAATTGTTTTATTATTTGTATGTTGCCAATCTTCTCAACCGATGCTGCACCTCTAAAATCATTGGAAATTTTTAATTCTGAGCAACATTTACACCGAAGCACATGCTACATTTATTGATAATATATGTTACTAAATCGGTTAGAATTCATCTAATATTTTGATTATATCGGCTCAATGTTTGATTAACTGTGTTAATATTTTTATAGTATTGGTTGCAAATCACATTGTTCATATAGTGTTGATTATCTAACTTCCGAACTATAAATATACCCCTTTCCCATCTTCTAAATATCTTTGATTTACAACTGCTCTACGGATTGACCAGATAACAAGTATTTATAAATTTCGAATTGAAATCTGGGGCATAACCCTACCTTGTACAATGATGTTTGATAAAAACGTAATCTCGTATATATTGATAGGAGGGATTCGTATGGTCAACCAAGAAACAGGCATAACTACATACTTTGTAAAGCTCAATAGTCTGACGACTGATGAATTGTTGTCTTTTTCCACTTTACATAGGACAGGGTTGGTAGTTCACAAGCTGACCAATGACTTGATAAAGGAAATTCAATCCATCGGTATTCAATATAGGCTGGGAGTCGATTGGGAGAAATTGTATAACAATGGCGATGGCAGACATGCAGAACGTATTAATTCAATAGCAGATAACTTGGGTTATGGCACATACTCTAGATATTTGTGGGTTGAAGCAATCTTAGGGAGAAGTTCCGAAATAGAAGTGGAAGACCTGCAAATTGAGATACAAAGGCAACGGTTAGGATTCCTATAAATACAAAATATTCATATAAATACAAAATATTCAATGATCAGAGAAATTGATTAAAACCATCATATGGATATTCACTCACTTGGAAATGTTTGTAGACTGATTGGTACAAACGAATAAGTTAAATATCTGTTAAATAATCATTCCAAATTTATTTGGTTTACTTCAAATAATTTTGGGCATATACGAACTTAGATTTTTGTTATGTAAAAGTTAAACATGACAGTTCATTACTTTCATTTACAGCAGTAACAATAATATGTAGATCAACTAGAGATTATTATGATACAATTAACCTGATTTCTTTTTTTAAATTATATATATATTAAACATCAATATAAGATATAACTGCTTTGTTAGTAGGTGTCTAAATAGATACATATTGTAGTAAGTACTTTAAAGAAGTAAATGGTCTCCAAACTAGAGTTTTAGAGCCGAATTACCACCTGGGTATGATTATCTCGACTTGAAAAAGGATTAAAGGAGTTCCTCGAAGTCACTGTGGGAAAGGTTGATAGAGAGTTTTCACAACACTCTAAAGTCTCACTTTTTGAAGTCTAAAAGGAACGTTAGGGCAGATATATTAGTTTTCATCCTACTAGAATTGCTAATTAAGAAGGTAAAAAAATGCCTTATACTCACAAGCCAATAATGACCACAATCTACTCAGGATTTGTAGTAAAAATACTCAAAAATCCCATAATCTTAAACATATCAACCTCCTCATCAAAAAATATGACTTAACTCTCGGTCGATTGGTCGATGTTAAGTTATGTTTGACGATTTTACTGACTCACGTGATCAATCACGTGACCACATTTTTCAGCACCTGCATACACAATTTTTCACATATAAATTGGTTGTATAGTGTAGTGGTTATCACTGTCGGTTTTGATCCGACCAACCCCGGTTCGAATCCGGGTACGACCTGTTTTTTTTCGTAATCTAAATTATTGATTTAAAGATAATTTTTTTGGATCTGGAAGTGATCTAATTAAATTGTAGTGAAGCTATTTCTCCCAAAATGTCAATTGATGACTTAGAGAACCATTCTAAAACAGCCATTCATTCATTAGTGGCACACTTTCTCAAAAGCAACAATTATCATGAAACTCTAAAACAATTTGAAGAAGAACATGGTAAACCTATAAATCCGCAACCTTTGCATGCAAATGAAAGCTTAGAAGAAATAATTAAAGATCGTATTAATTATAATGAATTAGCAAAAGAATTTGATAATGTAGTAGATGTTAATAAAGAATTACCGGAAGATCTTCAGGCTCTTAATAAAAATCAATTCGGTAATTGGACTAGTCCCTATCCTTCGGTTGGTCAACTATTAAAAGGTATTGATGGATTGGTTATCTCTTCAAGTTATGATCCTTTAAATAATTTACTTTTTATTAGTACAAACGATACTAAACTATACATAGTTGATGCTAGTTCCAATAATGTCATTACAGAAATTATTAAAGTGATAGAAACTTCTGTCATTAAAAAGATCATAACTCTTGACAATAATGAAGTATTGCTAGTTGGGATTGATGGTAAACTTAATTACTTCAAATATGATTATGCAGATTCAAAATTTGACTTAAAATTAATATCATCTCATCAAGCTCATAAAAGATTAGTAGTTGAAGTTAAGCATACAAAAATCAATGGAGTTAATTATTTTGTAAGTTTGGGATGGGATTTTTATTTAAGAGTATTTAAATTACTGGAAACTAATCAGTTCGAATTGATCTCAGAAGTCAAATTAACCGGTCAAGGAAGTTGCTTTGATATTATTGAACATAAAAATGAATTGATTATAGTATTAGGAAAGAACGACAATACTTTACTTGATGTTTTCATCTTGCAAGATTTGAAGGACTTAGTTTTAAAATATAAAATTTCTTTGAATGACGCTGAATTCTCTTCATCTAGTTTTTCACCTAGATTCTTAATTATTCAAAAGACTTCAGATTTATATACACCATTGATTGCAGTTGGAACTTCTCATGAACCATATATGAGACTTATCATAGTTTCGTTGAAGGAACTTGATCATATTGATGATAATACAAATAACAGTACAATTACTACATCACCAATAAAGAGAAATCAAATCATGAAGAATTTGAATAGTTTATCACCTCAAGATAAGTATAGTCAGAGTTTATTATCTTTTCGTATTGGTAATGATATCAATAAATGTACTGGTATTTGGGTGGCCGGTGATGATGGAATAATCAGAGGTATAGATTTAATTCATGATAAAGTTTTAGTAGAGATTGAAGCTCATAAGGGTAAGATCAAGAACTTTCTAACATTTACGGATAAATATGGTTATGAACAACTATTAACAGGTGGAGTTGAAAGAGATGTAAAGATTTGGAAATTGAAAAACTAGCTTTATTTAGTAGAAATATCGGTCCAATGGTTGCGGAGTTGCAGCCAAGTTATTCTTTTTTTTTTTTATCGATAAATAATAAACCTTATAGACCCTTATAGAACTTACAGTTATATATATAAATATCGGTTACTCTATTCCCGACTTTTATATCAATATCCATGAAGCACCCATACCGCAGTACTTATTTGCATTGATTTTGTGGGGAATTCAATTTTTTATTTTTCCTCGGACACATTGCCCTAGCCGGGCTTATCAGATAGAGACGGGGAACGCGAGGTTCCTCGGTATAAGCCTAAGGTATATAACTGAACATGAATTTCCTTATGTCAAAGTAAATAAAATGACATTTATTTGAGATTAAGGGCAATTACGCATTAAGTGATCATCTTTGACATAGTCAACTTTATCATTGATTTAGTCTGAATCTACTGAAGTTATTTTATATAATATTTGTTTTTGATAACGAATTTTCATTGAAATATTTCATATATCCGAATAATCAGAAAATGTCACTTTCACCACTTGAAAAGGCTGCCAGTGGAGCTTTAGCTTCAGTAATAGCAAATACATTGGTATATCCATTGGATTTAAGTAAAACATTAATACAAACACAAGTCAAAAAGGTTGATCCAAAGCCACAGCAGGGAACCGATTCTATTCCGACACCTCCATCAGATTCAGATATTGAAGAATCCATTTATAAACAGAAGTATATTCCTCAAAAGCATGATTTAAAATATAAAAGTACTATTGATGTTTTGCAAAAGATTTATGCCAAAAAGGGTATATTGGGATGGTATCATGGATTATTCTCATCACTTTTAGGTACAGCTGCTCAAAATTTTGCCTACTTCTATTGGTATACCATAGTTAAAAGAGTTTATGCCAATTTAAACAAACATATTCCTAATCATAAAGCTAGTACTTTAACAGAATTATTCTTGGGAGCATTAGCAGCTGCTATTTCTCAATTATTCACTACACCTATTGGTGTCATCACCACTCAACAACAAACAGATAAGCATCATAAATCATTATATCAATTAACCAAGGAAATCTTGGAACATGATGGTATTCATGGTTTATGGAGAGGTTTAAGGGTTTCATTAGTGTTATGTATTAATCCATCAATTACTTATGGTTCATATGAAAGATTGAAACAAATCTTGTATGGTAACAAACAATTTCTTAAACCATTAGAAAGTTTCTCACTTGGTGTCTTAGCCAAATCATTAGCTACTGTAGCTACACAACCATTAATTGTATCTAAAGCTATGATTCAAAAGAAGGTGAGTAAGAAACCTAAGACCAAAGAAGGAGAAAACCCATTAGGAGATAATGAACATGATGATGAAGATGAAGATATTGTATTTAATAGTTTTACGCATGCTTTGGTCCATTTATGGAAGAGTGAAAAATTCAACGGGTTATATAAGGGTATTGCTCCTCAATTAATCAAGGGAGTCTTTGTACAAGGATTATTATTCATGTTTAAGGATCAACTTGATTTATTCTTTTTGTTTTTATTAAGCTTGATTAAGAAACAAAAGAGATTGAGACGTTAGAAAGTACGAAATTATTTATTCGATTCTGGTAATCAGAGATATTTATTATATTATAGTTCCATACGTTAATTAAGATTGATTTACATCAATATTTTTGTATGCCGATATATAAAGTTTACATAGATAATAGATGTACAGTACTTTAGCATTTATATTTATATTTATATTTACATTTACATTTACATTTACATTTACATTTACATTTTGATTTTGCAGTCATTAAACAATTATTAGTGTACCTCGAAATAAACTTTGCTTCGCTTTTGTTCGTTAGGGCTTCAACCCTAAAGGTTGACTTGTCGCACACCACCACAATCTCAGGTAGTGTGCAGTCCGCTAACTTTAACTATGGAGGTAAGGATGCGCACCACCAACAGATGTTGTGTTATTTGCTTACATAAGCCCCATAGTTCAAATTTTTTTGTATGTCCGATTGAGGTTAAGGAAAAAAGTTGAAAAGTGAAATAAAATTTTCTTTTCCTTTAATTCTGTTTAGCATCTAGTCCTAGTCAAACACCAAGAGGAATAATTAATCATGGGTAAAGGTAAACCAAGAGGTCTTAACTCTGCTAGAAAATTAAGAGTTCACCGTCGTAACAACAGATGGGCCGATCAATCTTATAAAGCCAGATTATTAGGTACAGCTTTCAAATCATCTCCATTTGGTGGTTCATCTCACGCTAAGGGAATTGTTTTAGAAAAAATCGGTATTGAATCTAAACAACCAAACTCTGCTATTAGAAAGTGTGTCAGAGTCCAATTAATCAAGAACGGTAAGAAGGTTACTGCTTTCGTTCCAAATGATGGTTGTTTAAACTTTGTTGATGAAAATGACGAAGTCTTATTAGCCGGTTTCGGTAGAAGAGGTAAAGCTAAGGGTGATATTCCAGGTGTTAGATTCAAAGTTGTTAAAGTTTCTGGTGTCTCTTTATTAGCTTTATGGAAAGAAAAGAAGGAAAAACCAAGATCATAGATACAAAAGTTTACTCATCATTATATATCTATAAAATGTCATACCATATTCAATGTTAATATATCCATCTCATTATTCATGCAATAATTATTAATATCAATGGGAGGTTGTATTTTATTTGTATATTTCCATCATCATAATTGTATCTTTTATCGTTGTCATAATGATCAAACAATCCTATTTCTTTAAATCTCACGTGTATATTGAAAAACATCAAATATAATTGCAAGTCTTTCAGGTAAATTATTTTATGAATAATTATGGGTAATACATCCCATTGTAGAATTAAAACGTCATACTATCACTACTTTTTTTTTTGTTCTTTATTATTATTGTAGCGAACATTAATTAAACTACTTATTGTACAGAGCGATATATTTAAAAACCTGGTAAGTTTCTACCTTCAATAGAAGGTCCACCTTTTCTAGTTACTTTTCTTTTAGCACTCATAGTAACTAACTTATTATTAATTCTTCTAAATCTTTCATCACTACCATTTTGTCTAGAAGTATATCTTCTTAATACCTCAGGATCAACCTTTGGTGCAATCTTATAAGGAGCAGTTCTACGACTTGGAATTGCAGCTCTATTTCTTCTTTCTGCATTTTCTTCATATAATGTTTTAGCTTCTTTCCTATCTGATCTTTTACCTAATTTATTAGTATAAGATTTTCTATTATAATCAGCAAAATTAATACTACGATCCTTATAAGAATCAGATTTATTTAAGATAGGTCTTGTCCAATCACCAATTAATCTATCGACGATTTTCTTTAATACTGGTTCAGTTCTTTTTGAACGTTGATAAAATACTAATACTTTCCCAATTCCTGAAGCTGTTAAATGATCAGTTTTGATAGGTAAGGTCTGTAATGATTGAATAAGTTGTTTTTGAATTTGATAAGCTGGCATAGATGCATCAGGTAATGGTTCTAACCATAATCTAACTGCTTCTAATAAATTATTATCTAATATAGAATCAGCTAAATCGGCTCTAGATAACACATCATTTACTTCTTTCAATAATTTTAACTTTTCAGTTGCAATTTGACCCTGAGAATTCTTTTCAACATCTAAATTAGCAGCTTTAATCATATGATCTTTCAATAATTCAATTCTATCATCTTGCATTCTTTCTATATCATCTTCATCTGCTTTTCTACGTCTAGTTGTTCTTTGTTTAATGGCTTGATCCATTTTTTCTTCCAATGCAATTCTTCTTCTAGCTTGAGGATCACTAGTTCCATATGCTTCATCATTATCTGCTTCTGCAGCAATCTCATTTGCTTCTTGTATTCCTGGGAATCGAATGCCGGCAGATTTTCTTATATTCTTCTTCTTAGTCACTTTGATTTGATCTTCATCTGTTATTTTGTGTGCGTCCATAGCAAATACATCTTCATCATCCTCGTCTTCTTCTTCTTCATTCTGTTCTTGTTCTTGTGCTTCAGCATATTCTCCTTCTTCGGTCTCAGCTTCAGCTTGAACTTGGTCAACTTGTTCAGCTTCGGCTAATTCCGGAGTCTCAGAATATGACTGTTGATCTTCCACATCAGACATTATGATTTGTTTATATAATCCCTTAATTACACTACGTAGATTGTATGAAAATTAGCTCTCGTTGATATTTGTTAAAATTTAGGTGACATGTCGCAATCTTTCTCCCTTCAAATGTCGTACTGATAACGACATTATGTTACCTTTTTGCAGACTATTGCCAACTCAAGTAATTCTACTAGTATATCTCTGTAATAGTCAAAGAGAAACAAAATTGGGTTTAATAGCGTAAGATTTGTGTGCATTTAGATACAGTAAAGCTAATTCGAATGTATCAAAAAGTTGTAGAAATTGTTAGTATTGACTCTGATAAAAGTTTAGCAAGGATTCTAATGAAATTTATACAAAATACATTAAAATTGAATTTAAACTATTAAGCTGGGATTATAAGTATTGTGATTAAGTTCATTTGATTTAGTTGTACACAGATCCATTACAAATTACATTTATATACTCTACAAGTACAGCATTAAGTGGTAGTGTACAGTTTCTCGGTAGCAACTCTCAACCTAAGCTGATGAGGGCTCGCTAAAATGCTTGTGGCCACTGGGGAAAAAAATGCCTAGACAGAAATTTCAATCAGCACTTCGTAAAGCTACTGAACGATTCACCATCACCAATCCCTAATTCGAAGATGTCTCAATATATAGGTAAAACCATATCCTTGATCTCTAACAAGGGACTTCGTTATGTTGGGATTTTGGATAATATTAATGCTCAAGATTCTACTGTAGCATTAAAGTCAGTAAGATTATTTGGTACTGAAGGTAGAATGGCTCAAGTTGGTAATCCTCATGCTGAAGTATTACCAGGTACTGAAATATATGATTATGTAGTTTTCAGGGGATCTGATGTTAAGGATTTATCAGTTTTAGATACTCCACTTGATCAAGTTAAACCTGAACCTTATGTTGCTCCACCTACCGGTTACTATCAAGCTCCACCCCAACCTCAAACTAGTGCTGCACCTCTGTCTAATCAACAATTTTCTCCTGCTACTACTACTACATCAGCTCCAACTACGACCTCAAGTTCTGCCCCAGCTCCAGGTGCTGGTCCTGAAGCTGCCATTCCTACTTCAACTTCAACTCAAGCTTCAACCCAGCCAGTTCCAACCAAGACAGAACAACAGGCTCCATCTAAAACAACACAAGAAGCAGCATCTGAAGGATCAGCTCCAGAAGTTTCAAAGACAACTGAAAGATCTAGTGAAGTTCCACAACCACAATCTGAATCTCGTCCTCGAGCAAGAAAGAACTCTAAAGCTCCAGAGATTCCTGCAGAGGAATTTGATTTTGAATCCTCGAATGCTAAATTCAGCAAGGAATTAGAAAGTGAACGTGAGCTTGAGCATACAGCTTATAACAAGAGTAGTTCTTTCTTTGATAATATATCATCTTCCAATGAACAAAGATCATCTTTAAGATGGTCAGAAGAGAAATCACTTAACTTAGACACTTTCGGAGAATCTTCTCTTCATAATGGTAGAGGAAGAGGCAGAGGTAGAGGAGGTCGTGGCTTCTACAGAGGTGGAAGAGGTGGAGGTCGTGGTGGACGTGGAGGACGTGGTGGTAGAGGGGGCCAAAGAAATAATGACTACAATAGCAAGCCAGAATGGGCATAATTTAGAATCGATTTCAGTAATTCTTGTATTATAACGTTGGATGAATTTGTGTTTATCATTTTCATGTTGCATCACATATCTTTCACATTCTTTCTTTTCATTTTCTACAAATTAAACATCAATAACGCTCTATATAAAGCCTCTTATATTGTGTCTATAAGTTTCCCAAAACCAATCTATATATATATATATGAATAATTCTTAAAAATACAGATAGCAAAAAGTACCTAAATTCTGGATATACCTCCAATAAAGATTTTCTTATCACTTTCTTCTTCTTCATCCTTTAATTTTACAAGTCTTCCTCTTTCTTGAGTCATTGAACTAAGGGGACTAAATAAATAATTAATCAAGATTTTTCGTCCTAATCTGTGAATAATTTTAAACGGATTTTTAGTCTTATATTCTTCTGAAGAATAATCATGAGATCTAATCATATTATTTTCAAAAATATGAAGAATTGGGATATTATCAACTGTAACATTATTTGATTCAAATTCAATCACTGAACCAGAATTAGAACTATGGGTCACTGTACGGGAGAATTTTCGAGCTAATCTATTACTTCCAGGGATACTACTAATGATTTTCTTATTCAAAGAATAATCTATAGTGATCTCTTCCATAAAACCAAATCTTAAAATACATCTATAATGACCTGGAATTTTCATAGATGCAATTAAGACACGATCTTCTTGCGGTACATATGGAATAGATAATACTCTGGTAGAACAGAAAATAAAAGTGGAAGGAATTGATGAAAAATTCTTAATTAATTTAGCATAAATTAATGGTAATGTGTTCGGACTATTCATGTTTTGCATCAGTGAATCATTATACATAATAGCAATTCCTTCATGCCTTTTTAAGGTTGTCTTTCCAAATCTAGTATTAATTGTATCTTTAGTATCTTGATGAACTTCATGAATAACATCTTTTGTGATATGCGCCGCATCATTTGTAGAATTTGAATTTGCAGCCACAGAGGTTGGCCCCAAATTTAAGTTTATTAATTCTGGAGTTTTCCTAAATCTTGGAAATAAATCTCCAATAGATATTCTGGATGAAAATTCATGATTAACTTTTCTTGATCTTCCCCATCTCCAAATACTTAAAAATAAAAAACTGAGACCTGTCATCATAAGTGGAAACCAAGCACCATGCACAACTTTACTCATGTTTGCTATAACTAAACACATTTCCAAAGGCACGAAAATAAGCACATAAATAATAGGCCAAATGATATTGAACTTGAAAACATAAAACATGCAAAGAACCATCAACAGCGATGTGACAATAAAATCCAATGAAATACCTAACCCATAAGCAGCAGTAACGTTATTTGAATTTTTAAATCCAGCAGTAGTTAAACAAACACCAATCATTAATAGCCAATTAATACTTGGAATATAAACTTTACCTTCATATGCTTTAGAAACATGAACTATTTTTAATTGAGGAAAACAATCAAGATTAATTAATTGTGAAACAATTGAAAATACTGATAAAATTAATGCTTGAGATGCAATAATGGTGGCTAATGTTGATAAAACAAACATCAACCAGTAAGGACCACCTGAAGTTCCACCAGGAATTGATAAAAAGAATGGATTGACATAAGCTTCAGGATGTCCGACAAGGTAAGCTCCTTGACCCAAATAACAAATTATTAAAGAAGGGTATACAAAGAAACCCAAAGTTATTTGAATTGGTAACTTACCGAAATGTCCAATATCAGCAAACATAGCTTCTGTACCTGTTATAGATAACATAGCACCACCAAATACATTAACTCCACTATTTTTTAATAATTTAATAGCATAATAAGGTGATAATGCTTTGAATACTCCTGGATCATGCTTAACAATATTATAAATACCACAAACCAATAAACCTATTAACCAGATGAACACGATCGGAGCAAATAAAAAGGAAATTTTATTAGAACCAAATTGTTGAATAATAAATAAAGCAACTAAAATAACTTCTGAAACTGCCAAAACGTGATCAAAGGAAGGAACTGCAACTTGAATACCACCTATAGCACTTAAAACTGAAGTGGTTGGAGTTAATAACCCATCGGAAAATACCAAAGAACAGCCAATAAAACAAGCACACAAGATGAATGTTTGAATGAATTTAGTCATAGTAGGAGATTTTCTAAGCTTTTCAATTCTAGTTACTTGAGAATTGGCAGACATAAATGATGAAGTAGTATCTTGTCTTGTCAATAATTCCATATCTGAAATTTCGGCTGCTCCTGGAATACGAACACCTTTTGGTCCAATATTAAGGTATCTAGCAATTTTTGCATAGATTGCCACTTGCCCACCTTCACCATTATTTGGACCAAGTACTAAAACGATAGCCACATATTTGAAAATAACAATAATGGTAAAGATATAAAAGATTACTGAAATTCCACCATAAATATCATCTTTATTTGGAGGATAAGATGAATATTTGATAGAATTTAAAACGTATAATGGCGAAGTACCAATATCACCATAAATAGCTCCCAAGGAAGAAAAGGAAAGCATAAAGATTTCTTTCCAATTTTGTTTCCCAGTTCCATGGCCATGCTCCTTAATGGAATCTTGACTTTCTAAGTCACGATTTGATTCTTCTTCGTCGTCAAAACTGTCATCATCGTAATCTTCATCAATGTTGTTATTATCTTCTTCTTCGCTAGCATTTCCACCACGACTAAGACGACGACGAATACCTAAATCAATAGAATAGTTATCTGCATGAGAGACAATAGAAGTGTTATCTACCACATCATCATCAAGAATTTCTAATTCAAGATCAGCCTTGACCACTTCAGAATTTGACATTCACTAATACAGCAAATACTAAGTAAAAAAAACAATGGCAGGTGACGAAAGTAAAACTCAAATTACTTACAAGAACTATATGTGATGAGTCTGTAAACTTTCAAAAGATTCAAACAATCAAGGAGCTGTTACAATTAAAAATTAGAAAAATCTTACGGTCTTATATAAAAATGAATATAGAGGAATTATTTGAATTTATATGAATAGCACTGGTTAATTAGGGTATATAAAAAAATTGCAACTGCGCATGTTACCTTAGGGGGCTTAATTCAGCGACTTTAAAATACCACTTAACATTTAGTGAGAAAAAAAATTGTTTATCACTATTTCCCCCTAAGAAGAATTAGATGAATGTCTATGCACTGGAATTTGTATAGAGAATCCTGACGTCAGCATGGATATTCTAGACACATAGCGTAGTACAGATGACCCATCTGGTAAGGGCCGTATCTGTAGAAGTGAAGAATTTTCATATTTATGGCAGTATAGAATGGCAATGTCAGAGGTCGATTGTTAGTATACAAGTTCTACGAGTTCAAACCACCAATAGAAAAATTTCAGCGCTAATAATCCCTCAAGATAAATGGGAAAAAAAATAAAAAGAAATTTTAGTTAGGGGAAATTTGCACTCTGTGAAAAATTTGTAGTCTTCATTAAGGTTGATATGGTGAATTGAAGCAAAAAAGAAATACCACAAAGTATAGAGTATTACCAGATCGAATTGCGCTTATTTGAATCAAATTAATTATAGGATGTTACGTAGTTTAGTGCATTAGTTCGAGGGATTTATGAAGTAAGAAGAGATCCATCTAGACTAAAATTAGCTATTGCCAAGTTTCTGTAGATCGTATACCTATTTATAGAGAATAACCCACTAGTTTGCTATATTTGATGATAAGAATTAAGGTAGCACTTCTAAATTTGTGTATGGCTGGTATTATGATTTAGCACAAACAATGTGTTTTGTCTTCTTTCGTGTTTGTTTCGCAGCTAAGGAGAACTGAGAAATGAGAAATGAGAAATTAGAATTTCTCAGTAATACAAATTCTAGCGACAATTTGTGGGCAGATACGAGATGGTTCTGAGTTGAGAGTGCGGTAATTTTGCAATAGACACAATTTCATCTCATTAAACTTTGAGGCTGAAGCCCAGGGGACATGTGTCAAGCCGTAAATTTGCAATAATTAATAGTAATAGTTGACTTACAAGAAGCCATTTGTTATTCACATTTTGATATGGAAACTTCACTACAATAGTACCCTTAGGATCTGGTTCTCGCTTATAAGAGTACTAAACTTTAAAATTCATCATCGTAAAGAGGATGAGTAGCAAAAACGCTTTTGTAAAGACTGGGCTCATTGGCCCCCACTTTGTAGTGTAATTTTCTGATTCTGTCACTAAATATTTACAGTAAGTCTCACTGAGAGTTGCGCTCCTCACTAAATAGTAGGGAAAATTTTTCGTCAGAGTTGAGGGAATTTTTTGTAGTTGCCTCGAATCGATTCCCACTTTTTTATGGATTTTTTGTTGGTTAAGTACTGCGGCATGGATCCATTTCTCACCTAGTATAATAGATAGTTATACTAAACAATGGATGTCTTCCTTGCATCGTTGTGCTGATAGAATTATTAAAGAAAGTTAAAGTGAAAAGCGTAGTGACCATAATATTCCGACAAGGAAAGTGATACAGATAAGTATGTTCTGCTTAGATATGCTTTAGTGTGCGCCTTGTATATATTAGCAGTTCTCTATAAATATGTTTGGCAACTAATTTGTATTAGAATGTTTAACAATTGTAGTTATCCATAATGTCAGCAATTGCATCTATCCCCTTGAAACTATTTGTTTATTTATATTGTATAAGAGTCAAGCTCTCAGAGAAGAACCAGAACCAGAACCAGAAACAGAAGTCGAAGGTTGATGTCAAGAAGACAGGGAGATCTACAAGGTCAAGGGATGAGAGAAATACTACACATACAGAATCTAAACCATTCGACAAGTTTCCAATCAGGATGAAGAAGTCAGAATCAGGCAACAGTCTCGTGAAGACAGACAAGCTTAAGAGGAAAGACAATACACTACTGAAGATACCTGGCAAGAATGTGACTACCACAACGGCATATACCTCACATCCTTACACTAGCTTGGTGTCAATGCATAATGGACAATGTTCTATACAATCCTACGTTAATAGCAGAGCCTTTACTAGTGAATGCTAATGGATGCTAATAATTTGCAACTATAGCATACACGTGACCTCTTTGCTGCTAACTCATCTTAAGGAAGTAAGTAATGCGCCGCACACTTGTGCCGCGACTAGGCGACGCGTTGTTTATCAAAGTGAAATATTCATCATCACCATAGTTAACGGTGGATGAAAAGTAGTCATAAACACAGTAGAGAAACGTAAACGTGTGTGAACAATGACTACACCAGTTCAGGAAAGAATAGCGGCATTTCCCGATGGTAATTCCCTTGTTTCCATTGAAAAATCTCGATTAGTAGTGGGGAACAGTGAAGGACTCGTGAAGATTTATGATTTGAACCAACCGGATTTAGAACCTAAATCAGTAGATATTGAGAATAATCTTACGTATCTCATACAAACACGTGATGATTTTTTATTTATAACCAATACTAGTGGACTTGTAGAAGTAGTAGACTTGTCATTATTGAATCAAGCCATTGATATTGCTGCAAAGACCATTTATCGTTCAGAATTAGCATTAAGAACAATCCAACCTATTCCAATGCAAAACAAAGTAGCTGTTGGAGGAGATGATAAGAAGTTGGTGATTTTGAATATCAATCAAGAAAAACGAGAATTTGTTGTGGATAAAACTGTGGAATTGAATGATCTGATTGTAGATTTAAGTTTAGGAGATGATGAAACTTCATTAATCATATCTCTTGCTAATGGAGATGTTAAAATCTTTGATTTGGATGTTGATGAAGATGAAGAGGCTTTTATATTTCAAAGGTCTCATGTTGTACCTATAAAGATTCATACATCTATAGATAATATTGATTATGTAGTAGAACATAGTGATGAACTTGTATCCACTAGAATTCATGCTACTTCTAATGGTGATTTAATTGTTCCTAATATCAATTCTATAAAGATTCTTTCATCGGTTGATTATCTGGATTTGCATGAATTAGATGCATCCAATACTGTACAAATTGTATCAACCCATTTAACTCCCGATACAAATTATTTAGCAGTGTTGTATGTGGGAGGTCTAGTTAAAGTGTTTGACTTGAAAGCAAGACTGATGGAGAAGTCGTTTGCTATTAGTCTTGCCGATGAACAATTGGCCATTAATGTCCAATGGTCTGCCCATGCTGACTTATTCTTTGGAACCACCAATGGAGAGATTGTGTACTTTAAGGGAGTCATTGATATACCTGCCACCAGTAATAATAATAAGAATGGTACTAGTTTATTTTTAGACGAAGAGGCTGAAGACTCTGCCGAAGAGGCCTTTGATAACATTGTCAAGAAGGACAAAGAGCGAGTCCAACAATCTGGAGAAGATTCTATGATTATCGATGAAGACGATGACGATGACATTGACGGTGACGGTGACAATGACAATGACATTGATTTATTTGGCGACGATGTGCATCCCTACAAACGTCATAAGTCCAACAAGTACTCCAATGGAAGTGCTAGCACCACTAGTGGTAGTGGTAGTTTGAATTATAGTGCTGGGAGAAGTTCTAAGAATGATATAGAAGATTTACAGCCATTCTCCCCCGGAGCCACCCCATGGATATTGGATTCTAAACACAGTGCAGCCACGGGATCAGTGCAAAGAAGATATCTTGGTATTAATAGTATTGGATATGTATGGGCAGTCCGTAATTTAGGTCAAGACATTCAACTGCAACATGTGACTGTGTCATTCTATGATCGGTCTAGTCATAAGGATTATCATTTTACGGATCATTTCCGCTTTGATTTGTGTTCATTTAATCAGAGGGGATTATTATTGGGATATTCCGGAATTAATGAACGGAAATCTAAGGGTCATATAGCTAAGATTTATTATAGACATCATGATACAGAGACAGACTCATGGGAAAAGAATATTCCCTTATTACCACACGAAGTGGTGACTAGTATTTGTGTATCTAATTCCAATAATGCTATAATTACGGTGGGTACATCGTTTGGATATCTCAGATTCTTTAATTTATATGGAGTCTGTATTAATGTGTTGAAGGTGAATCCTGTGTATGCATTGGTCTCTTCCTCTACAGCTCATTTATTCACTGTTAATCAAATATCTCCTAACATTTATACCTATTCATTGATTGATATTAATCAGGATTATAAGTATATTCAACAGGATGTGTTATTACCATTGAAGCGTCCAGTAGGAGATTTGCAACAATCACTGGACTTGATTAAAGGCATATTCTTTAATGAATTCAATGATCCATGTCTAGTGAGTAATTATGATGATACATTGATGATCTTGCAATCATGGCGAGATTGTAATAATTCCAAATGGGTACCTATTTTGAATTGTCATAATGTCATTACGGAATATGGAACGAATTCTAATAAGAAGAATTGGAAGTGTTGGCCCTTGGGATTATTTAGAGATCAGTTGCATTGTTTAATCTTGAAGAATAACAATGCTTATCCAGGATTCCCCTTGGCGTTACCTATAGAGCTTGAGATTCGATTACCTATCCAAGTGTATATTAAGAGTGATAAGGGTAAGAAGAGTAGGGATATTCTTGAAGAAGATGAAGAAGAAGACGAGCTATTAGCACAAGACAATGAACAGGAGGATGAAGCAATCAAGGAATTGTTTAATGATAATGATCCCGAAGAGAACTTTTTACGATCATTAACTATGGGCAAGATTGTTAGTGATTCATTGAATGATGACAATATAACTCTTGATGATGATGAGAATGATGAAATCATGGAAAGACTCACCAAATATAGTATATTATTTGATAAGTCATTATTGAAATTATTTGCTGATTCATGTAAGGATTCTAAACTTAATAGAGCCCTTAGTATAGCTCGACTTATTAAGACAGATAAGGCATTATTGGCTGCATCGAAGATTGCTGAACGAATGGAATTTCTTAATTTATCTACAAAGATTGGAAAGTTGAGAGATGAGTTGCTTGATGATGAATAGTATATATTTCTATGTACATAAGTAGAGACTAGCAAAGTAACTAATTAAATGTCTGAGTAACTAAGTAACCAATTAAATGACTGATTAACCGACTGAATGTCTGACTGTCTGTGTCTGACTGTCTGTGTCTGTCGGTCTACAATTGTCTCTTGATGTAGTGATACACAATGGGAGTCACCCATAAAGCTCCAGCAAGAATTCCGGCAAACTTTAAAGTATCATAGGCATATTTCTCTTGAACCTTTCTTTGTTCTTCAGATGGTTGACCTCCGTACATGGCTTCTGTGTGTAGTGTGTAGTGTGTGTTGTTGTAATGCTTATGTTAGTCGTAGTCGTAAGTATGGAAGTTTGGATGTAGTGGAAAATTTGGATGTGGTCGTGTGCCGAGCCAATATCACCAAACTTTTCAGTTACTTCTTAGAGGTTAGTAATTGCTGATAGTTGGACTAGTCACCAGTTGTGTCATGACGTCCATCAAACCATTCCAGATCGAAGATTTGTTGGAATTGAATGCTGTGAATTTGGATCCATTAACAGAAAATTTTAATGTTCTGTTTTATTCTCAGTACTTAATAGATTGGCCTACGCTCTTCTTTAAGTCTGTTGAAATATATCAAGACTTTGATCAACCTTATGAAATCAGTGGATATATGATGGGGAAAGCTGAAGGTAAACTCAGTAAATTGGAGTGGCATACGCATATAACAGCCGTAACTGTTCAAGATCAATATCGTAGAATCGGGTTAGCATCATATATGTGTTTACAATTAGAACAATTAACTAAAGGTGATCCATATAATACATTATTTGTGGATTTATTTGTAAAAGTTACGAATTCATTGGCTCGTCAATTATATGAAAAGTTGGGTTATTCAGTATATCGACGAGTAGTTGGTTATTATGGACGAGAACAACCTCTAGATCGAAATAATATTAATGATGATATAGATGCATTTGATATGCGTAAGAGATTACCGAGAGATGTAGATGCGAAGACCATTAGAGACAACGGAGATAAGGTGTATGCGTTACCCATGGAGATAGTGTTCTAGCTAGTATAATATATAATTAACTAATAGTAATACTAGCTAATTCCCCTAAATAATCTAATCATTAAGTTGTTACTAATTAATCCAGTACCACTTACAATTCAATGCAAATTCCATCATCGCCAACTATCCCCACCTCAATTCAATAACAACCTTTAAATAATATCAACACCATCATCATGGAATCTCTAGAAAGACTTCCAGACGTGAAAGTATTGCCAGTGTTTCTGATACTCAATTGTTTATACATTCAGCCGAAGAGATTAATCAAAAGTTTAAAACATTTGATTTAGGTACTCTGATGAAATCTGCTGGAGTTACTGAATTAGGGGATGAAGATAATGATCCTAAATCGGCAGCTCCATTAAGAAGATATGATACAACATCTTCATATTCATCATATACTTCTGAATCAGGACCTTCATCAGGTGAACATGAACTTGAACAAGTTGAAGAAGATGATAGTGATGAAGAAGGAAATTTAACTTTAGCCTTTAGTTCTAAAGTTCAACCATTATCTCGTCCTAAATTATTTACTTTAGATAATCGAGCTAGATCTCATGAATCAAATTTACATGGATTAATTCATCAACCACCAACTTATGATGTACCATTTATATTTCAAAATCAAGGAGGTATGCCTGAATTTGAAGATGTACCTGATGGATTAATTTCAGGAGTATCGGAAAGTCCTGGTACTGGTACTGGTACTGGTACTGGTACTGGTACTGGTACTGGTACTGAAACTCCAGCTTATTCCTTAATGACTCCTTCTGGATCTTTAAGTACAAGTAATGGATCTTCAACTACTTTAACTGGTAATCAAAGAGTTTTAAGTCCTGAAAATTTGGCAGGTTCGGTATCTCCACCTCAACCTCAAGAATCATCTTCACTTTCACTTTCACCTTCACCTTCTATAAATCCAAAATTCTTAATTCCACCTAATGTTGTTGATAGAATCAACAAGCAAGTGAAAGTATCATCTCCATTAGCAGGAACAATGACTTCTACTACTACAACAATATCTCCAGAAGTAGCAACTTCTACTGTTATTACTAGAAAGAAGGCTCATGGTTTAAGAGAAAATATATTCAATAATCAATTCAATAATCATTACAAGAAAGATCCCGTTTATTCTCCATTCCCAACTGCTATTCATCTCGATAATGATAAGGAGCAATTGGTTAAGGCTACCACTCAGAAACAGAATGAAAATAGACCCACCTTCTATAGATCGAATTCGATCACAGTGGGGTTATTACAACATCAAAGAACTGATACAGGAGAAGCAGAATAGTATGTAAGATTTATATTTATATTTATATTTCTATTTCTATTTCTATTTCTATGGTGCTGATGGTTCCAATTGGGACCAGTAGTTAGTAAATAAAATTAAATTACCTTTACCATAAAGTAAAGAAGTAATGAAGTAATACTAATAGATTTCATTGAGAGGGACAGGCAGAATATAAGACAAAGTATCTAATTTTATATAAGCAGAATGTATTGCTTTGATGAATATGTTTGAGCGTCAAAGGCTGCAAATTTTATTTTTTCTTTGCAACTTCCTGGATTTTCTTGCAGTTATATACCTCTCTTAAACTGTGCACGCATTATGCTACACACCTATGACAACCATGTACAATCCGGATTATAAGGGTATATAGATGTGGGTTTTATCTCCCTACTTATACTTATACCCCTAGTTTTACATCCATCAGTTCAAATTATCCCTATTGATTCATTAAAACATCAAATATGAAGCTATCTAGTATAATCAACTTCAAAGATGCAAAGGCTGTCTTATTAAGTCTAAAGGATGGAGCAATGATAAAACCCTTCCAGATCAGTCGACAAGGTATGCGTCAGTATCAACAACTTCGACAGGAATTGAATACTTACTTGGAGAATCCAAATCAAGAAGAGATTAATCAGATGTTCAAGCTGTGGAATCTTATTGATATTGTTCAGGATCGTCATCTTGACCAGTCAAATGTCTTGATTCTTCTCTTACGTCTCTATAACTTTCACTTGATGCTGCCATTCGAAATGGAAGTTGATCCAAACTTGTATAAAGTAATTGAGAAATTTAACATTAATTTTATTTCTAGAATTTGGGTAAAGGAAGATTCAGACCTAAAAAATTTCTTATCTGATTATTTTAGATTCACTACAATTTTGAACGTACGAGTAGTTAAACCAGAACCAGAAGTCCTAAACAATAGTTCTAAAGCACATGCTCCTTCTTCAAATTCAACTACAAGAACAAACGAAAGTCGTAATCATTCACTTAAGAATATCATGGGTTGTTTGTATCCATCAACCAATAAACCTGAAAAGTTTAAGATGTCAGAATCGACTTTTAGATTCACTAAGAAACAAATATCAAGTACCGGAAGTTTATTCACCCCTCAATTTAGTCTGATTGCTGATTCTGAAGCTCGAATTGAATTATTATTCCACCTGAATGTTTTAACTCCAGTCTCCGACTTGCTATCAGCTATATATGGCGAAAGAGTCTCTGTAAATCCAAAAATAAGATTTGAGAAACAAATCAACTCCGTACCAGTTCATGTAATACCAGACTTCGCCGTAACTTTCCAACAACTTAATATACCTATTGAGATAAAAAAAAAGAAAGTACTTCTGAACCTTGAAGAATTTAATGCTCGGGATATTATGCAACCAAAAAATTCTAACCTAATTGAGATGTTCTCTCAATTAATACGAGAATCAATCCTAGTTGGGTGTCCATTTGTGTTGTTATCTGATTATCATTGTACACTTTTAATTGATTTAGAACAATGCAAAGTTGGAAAGTATGTTGGTCTTAACTTTTGTAAAATTCTACGTGAAGTTAATTGCAGAATCATATCATTGAATGATGATGATGATGGGAATGGTGGTTATACTTTAAATACGAAAGTTATAATGTTCATGATGCATGCATGGGCTAAAAGAAATAAATGGAAACCTATAATGAAGAAGTTTGAAAAAAAGTTGTTAATTCAACCGAATATTCGTTCTTCTCTCATGGCCCTGTTTTATGCATCAATCAACGAATGCAACGACTTCTTGAGGAAGAAGATGAATAAAGGTGAAGATAATCCTGCCCATACTGACTCATCCTTCCTATCTGACACATCAATAATAGAAAATCCTGATCTTCAAGCAGATGATCAGGTATTTCTGCAGTATTATATAAGATGTTTAAACAATTTATATAAAAAACGGAAATACAATGGTAAAAGAAAGACGACCAAATGGAAGAACTTCACTTTACATAATTTTCAAAAAGAATACAAATTGCTAGAAATAGTTTCAGGTGACAGAATAAATAGCCGTGTTAGTATTACATTTATTGTTGAAAGAAATAAGGATAAAAGGAAATTCTTCCTTAAATTATTGGATCCCATTCGGTCCTCAATATTTACTACCAAATCAAGTGTTTTAGAGGGTTCTTATAAGAGAACCTTCGATATCTTTGTAAATGAGGTGAGCTCATATTTAAGATTGAAGAATCTTAAAAACGGCATTCCTCAGTTGCATTATTTCGGTTTTTTTAATAACTCGGGAAGTGTTAATTTCACAGAATTTTTAACACTTAAAGATAGGAAAACTTTAAATCCTAATATTAATTTAGCCGGATTTTTCTTACTCACAGAGTACATTATTGGTGTTACAGTAAATCAAATTTCACAACCAGAAAGAGAGAAGATTTATCCAAAAGCCAAAAATATTCTTAATGAAATCAATAAATATGGAGTATTTCATCTCGATATTCATGAAGAGAATATAATAATTACGAAAAAGAAAGGTTCAAAAGAAATGGTTCCTGTATTTGTAGATTTCGGAAAGACAAAATTGGCTGAAGAAAGAAAAAGGTGGAAGGAGAGCGACAGTAAAATGTCAACAATTGCAGAAGATGAAGATGAAGATGAAGATTATGAAGAAGAAGAACATAAAGATTATGAAGGTGATGAAGGTGATGAAGGTGAAGATTATGAAGAAGGTGATATCGATAAAGATAAAAAATATAAAATGGAAACTCATAAAGCTTTAAGACGTACTTTTGGTGTAGGATTCAATTATCCAAAAGTGAATGAATTGAAATCGAAACTAATGCATTCAGAATTTGATGATTTTGGCAGAAATAAAAAACGAAAATTATAGGATGAGTATTTTATAAGAATTTTGCTAACATATTGCTAATAAAAATACAATTGGTATTACTTTCACATTGGGCCGGGCATATTATATTAGTCTGCAACTCGTTTTTGCAATCGTTAAGTTGGTGAAGTTGACGGTTGAAGTTATTTACATTTATCAATTATATATTTTAATGTTTCAGAACAATGAACCATTGTTGGTTGGTTGGTTCGTTTTCAGATTCATTTATGTATTTCTGTAACTTGTAATAATATAGCTTTACGTAAGTTGCTCAAGTGTGCATGTATTCATAGTCTGTATCGGTGTCTGGAATGATGCAAAATGCGGAATCCCGAATTTCCAACAGTCACCTGATACTGAATATTAATACTGCTTGTAGTTGTGAGTAATAGTTATATAGTCATAATGTCTCTCACAGTGTGGCCTAATCCAGCCATACGTCCGACGACATTGCAGTCGCAACTGAAAAGACAAAACTCATGACCCTGTTCCTGCATCCAGCCCCATTTTTTTTTATGGGGCCACAGACTAACATTTCTAAGCTATAAATAGGTGGGAGTATCCTATAGCAATGGCAATTGCAATAGTCAATTAAAAGACAGGAACTAATTTCTAAGTAAGTATGTCACATCGGGCTATATTCAAAAAGAGAAGGTGGGACCGAGAGGACGGGACACCATCCGGAGCCAATTCTCGAGCAGGATCAGCGTCTCGAACTCCATTAAGAGACAATGATGATTCTGATCTTGAAGAAGAGACTGAAGAAGATTTTAAAAGGATTCAAGAATTGTTAAGTCAACGATTACAGAGTCTTGAATTGGCCGTAGATCCTGAAAATATCGAAGTTAATAAAGAAGATCGTCGTGGAGCCAGTGATAGACGTCAATATCATGCCGAAGCACTTAATAAAGCAAGAATTACTTCAGAAGCTACCACCATTAATGATATAATAAGATCATTAACTATGTCAAGAACAGAAGTATCCTCACTGTCTCGAGAATTATTATTGGCACAATTATATAAATTAATTGTTACAAAACCTATATTAATATATAATGAAGAAAATATTGGATCTTCAAATTATGTTGATGAAGAAAAAGTTCAAAAAGTGGTTAATTTATTTATAGAATCCAATTATAGAACTGAAGTAGAATTCTTATATTTATATCGATCAGTTGTGGCATTATTAATTAGTAATATTGATGATTTTGGTGAAATGATATCAACTGATCTCTTAAATAAAATAAGATCTTTAATTCAAGAACCTGCAACTTCAGTTATTACCAATGAAAATAAAGCTAATTTAATTACTGGATTTATTGCTATAACATTAGTATTACATAATGGATCTTCAAGTTTTGGAATTGATGATAAAATTAATTGGTTAATGGAAATTGCTGAAGGTTATTCAACTAGTGCCGTGTTATTAAGAAAGAATATTGAAAGTGGTGATAGAGAACATTCAACCCTTGTAAATGATAAAAATGAAGATAAACGACTTATAAATGAAGCTTATACTAAAGTTGATCATGAAATTTCCGTGGCAGCTTCTGCATTAAGTGGAGTTGCATGTTTTATATCTTTATTACCAAAAGGAGATTATTTAAATGAAATTGTTGAAACCCTTCTTATTAGAATAATTACTTTATTAGATGAAGAAGATCTTCGAGATGTTTCTCGAGCTTCAGCTAGAGTCATTGCTGTAATATATGAACTTTATTCATATGATGATGTTGAAGATCAAGAAGATGAAGATTATGAAGAATTTAATCCTAATGGTCCATATTATGAACAAGGTTTATTATTTGCAAAATTAGAAAGATTAGCTAATTTATCCACTAAAAGAATTTCAAAGAAGGATAAAAAGCAAGCCCATTCAATATTTAGAAATATTTTAAATACTTTAAAAGTATATGTTGATCCAATAAGGCGAGAACAAGTTCGAAGAAGAAGTCCTGAAGGATTAGAAATAATTGGTAATATAATGGATTCAACATATATTAGATTATCAAAGTATAAATCTTTACCTATTAATAGTTGGGTATTATATTCGAGATTAAGAATATTAAAATGGAGTTTTAGTTTTGGATTACATGATCAATTGGTATGTAATGAAAGTATAAGAGATATATTAAGAGATGAAGATGGAGAACATGGAGGAGGATTTGAAATTGATCAAGGATTATTACAAGAAGAATCATCCTATAAGAATTTTGTCAGTGATTATATGGATTCTAAACATATTCATGATGATAGGAGAAGAACTGAAAAGATTAGAAAAGAAAGAACTCAAAAAGTTGTCGATGAAGCTCATCGTTTAAATGTTTCCTCATGAGGAATACTAGCTAATTTTAATTTTAGCTTTAATTTTAATTTTGTATTATCAACTATTCAATATATTTATTGCTCTATAATATTAGTAATTACACCACTTGTGCTAAGAACTCGGGATCAAAGTCCAGAAGATCCAACCGCTGAAGTAGTCCAAATCTAAACGATTTAATTTCAGCAAGATAGTAAAGTCTATCATCTAAACTATACTTCCAAGCTCCATTGTATAATTTGAAATTGTAAGATTTATACCATTCCATATAGTCTACCCACATATTAGAATCTCTAAATAATTGAAACCTTGTCATTGAACATAAACTAGCAAATACATATATTAGTCTTAAGGCAAAGAAATTCTTTTGATATACTAATTGACGGAATTCATGTGGAATTATTAATATCCATCTAAATACAGGTACAGGATATCCAAATGATGTGGCCTTATACATACATTCATGTAATACTTCAATTGTTTCTCTTAATACTTGATATTCATGTGTCAGAGTTGATGTAAGATCTTTATTATCAAATTCGGCATTTAAATCTCTAATCAAACTAACAATTAATGGATACAGACATTCTTTAATTGAGGGGACTTTCTTACCGGTATCAAATATAAACAATAATCCAAAGGGACTATTCGTTATTGCGGCAGAATATGCTACTATTGTTTGTCGTATACCTTTACATATAGATAAGAAATCTGGTTCATGTTCATCCTCATTAAATGATACGAGAGGTACTAATTTATGAGGATGTAATGCAAGAAATGAAAAGATTAATACACTCGATACAAACAATTCTGTAGCAGGTCCAACTTCAATAAAACTAGGACCATAAAAGATCTCCTTTTGCTTTGCTAAAAGTTGATTCTTCATCATTAATGTATCCAGAAAGTAATTGGATGCTTTAATATAGATATTTTCTTGTGCATCATCTTCTCCATCATCTATTAATCCGACTTTTCCTTTATATATAGATTCAACATTACTATTGAACTTAATTTTACTCATAGATTCATCTTGCGAGAATACATATTCTAGATCACATAGAGGGAACAAGTTTAAAGAAGCATATGATAATACACTGTTTCTAACAAGTTCACTGTGCATGAATAGTCGAGGTATTTCATTCTTCCATGCTCGATGAATCTGAGGATGAACTCCAAAAGAGAATCCAAATATACAGTAACTATTAAAGAAATCTAATAGCCGTAATTCAAATTTAGAGATCCCTAATTGTGTAGTTGCTTGTGTTAATAATAATTGTTCTGTAAGCAGATGAGTATAGTCTCTTTCATGAATTGAATTGACTATTTTTGTTAGAGTGGCCATTCTCCATAATGTATCCTCATCACCTGTTTCAAATGGTTCTCCAATATTTACCACTTGAGGGTGACTTGGTTGAGGGTATATACATTCACAATTACGATGAATGCAATACTCACACTTGGGTTTACCTTCGTCACACTATTTTACTAGTTAGTATACCTCACTTATACACAGTATACCTATACACACAAAAAAATTACCAATGTTACATACCTTTATTTTTAGCTTCTTACAATTAAGACATCCTGTTCGAGATCTTGTGATACCTTTCTGTCTGCTTGTTCGTCCTTGTTGATTGGTAGGCTTCATGGAAACCTTCTTGTGATTCATTTTGAATTCAACGGGCACGAATGTGAGCGGCATCGCATCACTATATATACAATTCTACAACAATACCTTTGCATAATTAGGGAGGGGGTGGGAGTTTGTAAATATAGATAGCCTGAGCCAGGCTTGGCTATACTAAGGTGCGGAGCCGCAGGCAGCATAGAAACTTCTACCGAAAATATGCGGTTTTTCCGATTTACGTTTTGTATTGTTCTCTACAACTACTAATTGTTCCTTATAGAACTACTAATTGTTCCCTATAGAAGTATTTCATTTATTGTTTCTTATATAAATATTTATTCTTGTATATTGTTCTATAGAACTTGGTCTAGTAATTCAGGATCGAAATCCTCAAATTCGGAGTATACTCCCGGTGTAAATGTGTATCTCTTTTTCAAAGCTAAGTTATATAAACACCTATCAACGGGATATTTCCAATTATCTTGTCCATAAATCTCAAAAGTATGATTGCCATACCAATTTACAAAATCTACCCATATATTATTATCTTTAAATACATGAAATCTCCACATCGTACTTAGACATGAGAAGACGTATAATATTCTTAGAGCATAATAATTCTTTTGGTACACTAATTGATTGAAGCCCTGAGTGGGGGACAATATCCATCTAAATAATGGAACAGGGAAATTTTGTTTAATCACTTTGTAGATACATCCTTTCAATAAATCGATGCTCTTTCTAAGCACTTCATATTCTAATGAATCTTTGGTGAATATTTCATTGTCTATAGCATATTCCGATTGTAAGTCTTCAGAAAGTATGGTGATTATGGGATAGTCCGGTATCTTTTTATTTGATAAGTCATTGTTATAAGAGAATAGAGGTTTGAATTCTGTTTGACGAATGGTTGGAATACACGAATAAGTTGTGTGACCGATCCCCTTTGAAATCGATAAGAAATCAGACTCTACTTGCTGATCACCAGTGTCAAAATTCACTAAAGGAATTAAATTATGAGGATGAACACCAAGATAAGAAAATATTAAAATACTTGAGATAACTAATTCCTTTGCAGTTTGTTTATCGACTAAATAAGGACCATTGAATATATCTTCTTGGTCTTTCTCTAACTGATTTTTCTTTGCGATTAACCTGTTCTTACCCGATATCGTATTCATGAAATATGTGGCAGTTTTGATGTATAAACTGTTGGTGATTTTATCATTAGTATTGTAGCGACATTCATCAAAAGAAATGTCAAGATTGAACTTGACTCTGCTTTCAACATCATCTATTTTCCTCAATCCTTGTAAATCACATAGTGGAAATAAACTTATTGAAGCGAATGAATAAATACTGTTTCTGACCAAAGGGCTCTGGAGAAATAAATTGGGTACATGCTTGGCCCATACATCGTAAGCTTCTTTTCCCAAACCATGTGAAAAAATATGAATAGATACATTATGGAAGAAATTAAGAAGTCTCAATTCAAACTTAGATATTCTCAATTGAGCAGTTGTCTGATTTAAGATCAACTCATTTGTTAGGTTAGTTTCTTTAAGATCTTGGTCTGCAATGGCAATTCTGTGGTAAGGATACTGCCGATTCTTACTTCGGAATACAAGATTATCTACAAGATCAAATATTTCTTCCAAATTCTTCAACCGGTTTCTCTGTTTGGTCCTAGGCAGTTGAACAAATCTGAATGTACTTGGATATTTGCATTCACGATTCGTATGTTGGCAATATTCGCATCTTGGTTTATTCTCATCACACTTGATTCGAAGCTTTTTGCAACTACTACACCCTCCTTTAGATCTAGTAATAGATCGCAGCTTGGTTGTCCACACCAAATCAAGTTCTAACTGAGATTCCATACTAATCGAGTTACTTCTACATTAGTATCAATACAGACTTTCAGAGAATTCACTTAACTTTATATAAGGTCATGTTCCCTGTAAGGAGGGTGCATTAGCTACGCCCCACATGCAATTCGCTTTTGAATTTAGTTCACAAAACCCGACAGAACAATTGCGCAAATTTTGTACACCCGTTTGCGCTTATGTAAGCATATATAATTACAAAATTAATTAGAGGCTAATTAGAGGCTAAAATTAACATTATGCAACCTATAATATTCAATATTTATTACACTCCATATATACCTAATATATCATTATCAATCACAAAGCCTCTGCTAAGAAATCAGGATCAAAATCTGCAAGGTGTGTATAAGGAGTATTAACGAAAGCAAACTTCTTAACAGTTACTAGCTGATAAAAGCTTGCTCCAAGAGAATACCTCCATGGAGAAATCGAAGAATTAAATGTAGAAGTAAATAGGGACATTAATTCTGTTTGCCCTTCTCTTTCTAAATTCTCATTGTAAGTCTTGAACCATTTTATATAATCAATCCACATATTCTTATCCTCGAACAATTGAAAATGCATTATTGTGCTAAGGCTGGAAAATACGTATAAAAGGTAAAGGGCAAAATAATCCTTCTCGTAAACATAATCATGGAACTCTATTGGAAGAAGCAAGATCCACCTGAATATAGGAATTGGGTAGTCCATTAAAATTGCTCTATAGAAACAATCATGAAGTATTCCAATACACTCTTCATAAACTTCATGAGCTGCAGCCGATCTAGAATCTAGTTCCCGTTGTTGAAATTCAGTTTCAAGATCATTCCTAAGTGCCACTATTACAGGGTACATTGATTCTTTTAAAGGGGGTGCCTTCAGTTTATTTTCGAAATGGAATAATCCGTTGAACTCACTTTCCCTAATAGTAGGTGATACTGAAATAATAGTTAGGCGAATTCCTTTACAAATCGAAAGGAAATCTGATTCTTGATCATTGAAACTTACTAACGGAATCAATTTATGAGGATGAACCCCAAGGAACGAAAAGATTAAGATCGATGAAATTAGCAACTCTTTTGACCTTTTCGGATCTAGCACATAGGGTCCATAATACTCTGTTGATTCATCTGAAAGTAGTGAGTTTTTCCCTGCAATTGAATTTGTAAAGTAATTAGCTGCCCTAATAAATAAATTATTCCCATCTGTCAGTGTTAAGGAATGTTCCTTGTAAGCAAAATTACCAAAATTGTGATCTGCACTTTTAACTTGATCATGAATGGACATGTCTTGAAAGGAATTCAAATCATCCTCAAAAAGTTTATCCAGAATTCTCAATTGTTCCAATTCACAAAGCGGGAATAGATTGATAGTAGCAAATGCATAAACACTATTTCTAACCAATTCACTTTCTAAAAATAATTTTGGGACATGATTAGCCCACACATTATGGACTTGTCGATTGACTCCAAATGAAAATAGGTATACACAATAATTATTAAAAAAATTAAGTAGGCGGAGTTCAAATCGTGATATTCCTAATTGACTTGTAGCTTGACTTAAGACTAATTGATTTTGGAACTTAAAAAATTCACGACGGTCTTTCTCAACAAAATGATATTTCTCTGCTCGCCTCAATAAATCTTCTAGACTATCAATGCTGACTCCAGTAGCATTTCGTATCATTTGACGCTGCTTTTTCCGTTTGACATTTTCTTTAGTAGGATATATACATTCACGATTAGTATGCAGACAATATTCACATTGGGGCTTTGTTTCATCGCATTTTATTCGAAGCCTTTTACAACTCAGACAACCATTTCTTGATCTCTTTGGTTTTGATATTGGTGCTGGAGTATTTGAATTACTTGTACTTGTATTTGGACTTGTACTTGAACTAGTACTAGTACTAACACCAGCTCCGAGATTTGGACTATCGATGATCTCAGTTATCGAACCTTCCACGGACGAGAACCTAAAATCAGCTATTATTGTATCAGACTCCATATTACTCGTAATCGACATTATACTGTAAATTCCTACTACAATTAAATATAGCAACTTCTAAATTCAATGGGAAGATTTATGTTACTATTTCTGATTATATATAGTGTCAAAATGATATCACAAAAACTATTTCAGAAACGGTTTCATTGGGTTGTATACAGTATGCTTTGACCGGAAAGGCTTTGCATGTCTACCGGATCAATTAGATACCTGGTCTTTGATTTAGTTTTAAACTACTGTGACCTCTTTTACTTTTGAAACAATGGAAGTATTCCAAGTAAGTTAGAGTTTCAAGATGATCATGACAATTGTTTTCAGATCTATTGATGATAAAATGCTTGCAGTGTGCCTGTTTGAGTTGCAATAGAGTCTTACCCTCGGATTGTTACCGTATTTTCGGAATATCATGCAGCGAATGGAAGGCTCGATGGCCGGCGCAGCAGAAAAGATGTCGTGGGCCTATAGAGCCCGTAAATGGATGTCACTCGGAGAATACTAAAAATAGAGATGAGTCAAAATGTCGTATTCCCCAGATTAGGAAGAACTGCGTTTATTTCCGTGTGGGAAGTATGCTCTACTGAGTGCCGTACCATAAGGGAATTACTTGCAGTCGTTACAGTGATTTTGTGATACAGATCTGGTCTGGATCTGTTATGTAGTCGAATGTTTAAAATAGATAATTTGGTGTTTATAAATTGTGAGGCAACGTAAATGGAGTAGAGCTCACGAAACTTGTGCTGGTTACCCATGACTATCAACTGTACAATACGTAGAAGCTAACAATCTAGAAGGCCGCACTATTGAACAATGAAGAACCGTCTAGTTATTGTTCTCAATTACTATTCGATATGAACATGGAATAGAGGTACGACATTATAGAGATATTTTTCCTAACTAAGTAATTATACAGGACATTGTCCATTGTGGTCAATTGTATGGGTTTTTCTATACGATGTATATATCACGAGATAATTGCTTGCTCTCAATAAATGCAAAAATGACGTGCCAAAAATAGTACTATGCTATAAGCAAAGTAGTGATCAATGAATCCCTCATTTGCACAGATAACATATTTCATATGATTATAATTAGCTAAATAAAATCATACTAACGAGCCAAGAACAGCAATTAAAGAAAAGCCAAAATATGCTAATTCTTCTGAAGAAGGAAAAAAATAATTCCTTAACGTGTTTCCAGATACTGTATTGGAATTTGGATGACTATTTTTTTCTGGAAAAACCTGAAATACTCAAAATTGACAAACCGAAAGAGCTAGCCAAATCAGGCGCAAATTTATTATTTAGAGTTAATAAAGGAAAAAAGTGGGGAGAATAAGCACTAGTATATAAATGTTTATACAATGAAACTGGCTAAATAATAATTGTAAGGAGCCCACAAAGGGATGAGCATGAATAGTACAGAATAGTGACAAATGTAAGAGAAGGGCAGAAGAAGATTACTGATAAGTGACTGCTTTATCTGTCCTTAGTGGGGGGCAAAATCTTTCACATCGAACAGATAATGAGGAGAAGCATAATTCTGTCCTGTATTAGACGGCGCAAGATTCAATTTATTTATTTCTTATTATTATTATTATTATATCGTGCAGTATGTTATTGTTGTGTGTAGTCATATGGGAATTAGAAAGAGAATAGATAGACGATTTCATCTAAATGAACAATTGGCACAAAGCACAAGAACAATTCATAGTTCATAACTCGCAACTTACAACCTTCGAGTTTTCACTATGTGCTGTTCACTAATATAAGTACCAAATACTAATTACACACATGTAGCATTATACTTCTAATACTTCTAGGCCTCCACGTGATAGCAAATAATCGTATAAGCACCGGGACTTGATATATGAAATTAAGTTGGACTTTCTTGGCATTTTTTCTTAAAGTTTTCTCACTAAAGCACCACCACCCAACTCATTGCATTGCGCACACTTGCCAGGAATTAGGTAAATTTTAGTGAGGAATAATTTTCTAAGCCTTACTTTCTGCGTAGGGGACAATCGCACATAAACAGCTCGAGTCATATATAAGGAAATGGAACCCCATACTTTAAAATAATTTTTATACTATATCAATTTTATTTCATTTTATTTCGTTTCAATTATTGCCTGTCTATAGTAACACTTATCTGATTATCGCTTCGGTCATAAACCTATTTCTAACTCGTGCTCATCTTAGATTCTAGCACTGTATTCCGCTTGATCATCTCCCCCAGTTTTTAACATTCGACTTTTTTCCCACTATAGGAATCACCCATCTCACCCACATCGACTCCCCCAAAAGTCCCTTCTTATATACATTTCTGGTGTCATATGATGTCTACCTTGGTATCATCGAATATACCTCCACCACAATTCAGTCATGACTCTAATACTACTATAAATAAAGAAGCTAGTAATAATACTAAAAGTGCGGATATAGTTAATGAGACCACAAATGGTATTCCTCCCGAAGCCACTCATCCTGCAAATAACATCTCTAACAATACTGATAATGCAGTCCCCAGATCATTACCACCAAGCTTTTCAAGAAGAGTATCCTTTAATAATTTGCATCCAGAATATCTTTTAGAATGTCCTGCCAATAGTTATGTGCCCACCATAGCGAATAGTTTAAATCCAAATCAGTCTGCTATAAATTCAGCCAATGTCTCAGCTTCTTTAAATCAACAATCAGGACAAGCTTCTACAGATTTCGGGTATGGTTCGACCATTTACAATAATGATCTTGCTAAAACTTACTCGCACTATACTCCATACCGGAAAAAGCTTAGATTACCTGACCCACCATCTAAGTCAATACTTAAGAATAAAGTTTCACCTCAACAACTAGAATTTAATATTACTGGAAAAACTATTGACTATCATGAGGATTTGGATTTACTTAATGATGCTTTGGATTTGAATCCAAATTCCGAACCAAGATCAAGAAGAAAGTCTTATTCTGATATGACCAATGAAGAACTAATGGCTTTAGATCCTCAATTTCAAACTACAAGACCCAAAACCAATGTGGATCAATTTAAATTCGATAATCAAAAGACATATTATCTCACTTCTTCAAAGCGTACATCTATATCAGGACAAGGTTCTGGTGCATCATCTAAACTTACGTATCCTTCTTCAAATGAAAATAATTATAAGTCTATTTCCATAACCGTCAAACATGATGAATATGATACTGTTTCATTTGGAAGAACTCTCTTAACGGTTATTTCAGGAAGAAAGCATACTTGGAACTCTCTTGATTGGTTATTCCTCATTAATGAATATCATAATCAAAATCATACATTTTTAATTGATGGTGATTTTCTTATCATTTCTTCCTTGATTACTCAAAAATTCATTAAGGAATATAACCCAAGACATCATAAACGTAAATCAATCGATGACTATCTTTACGCGAAGGGTGAGACCTTAATACATTATTTAATTAATGCATTATTTGAAAGGTTCAATTTGAAATTGAAAATCACCATTGAGTTTGTCCTCGAATATAGTGATGAAGATTCTAGCGGCCCATTGATATCTACACCAAATTCGAATAATTCATGGGGAAATAAGTATATGCTTCAACATTTATTTAAACAGTATCATCCAAATATAATTCTTATCGGAAATAAATCCTCCAATTTGAATTTCAAGTATCCAATAAAGATCAAGAAACAGTTTGAGAAGGATGAGTACCTTATCAAACTCGCAAGTTATATTGTAAAATATTCGACTATACCCGTAATTCTAGTAGGGAATAATAATCATGAACATCACTTCCAAAACCCAAATGCAATAAGTTCCACGTCTGCTACTGCTTCTGGATTAAAATTTGTTGATTCTGTAATCTCACCGACATCCTCAGCCAAACAGACTCCAATTATAACGCTCACCAATGGCTCTGAAGATTTCAAATTAACAAAATTTAGATCGAACTCATCTTCTTCATCAATTGAATCAGTAGAATCATGGGATCCATCCCGAGCAAACAAGCAAGACAGCCAAAATCCTAAGTCTATAGCACTGGGTACTCTTGGTGTTCGTACTAATTCAACTACAAATTCTACATCATCAGCTGCGCCATCTTCGACATCTTCATATAGAGGTTTTCTTAAGAAACTTGAAGATCTTGATAGAAGCACTGTTAATACTGATCCATACAAGTTCCAAGACCTTATTTCGCTCATTTCAGATCAATCACTTACGGATTGTAAAGAATATCTTGAAGCATTAAACTCAAAAGATGATAATCTAAAGATCAACCCAAAGATCCATTGGATTTATCGTGCTCAAAGTGGAATGTCTAGTGTAGGAGGAAGCGGACGTGATGGATCACTCTATTCTATTGGTAGTAACGGATCTAGAGAAGAAGCATTAGCAATGCCACTGATATATAAAGTCAAATCGTTAATCAGTTATAATGAAGAGGATGAACAGAAGAATAAAGAATTCCAAAAAGAGTTAAAGAAGAAGAGATCTGGATCAAGTGTCGGTGGAGTATCTGGCAGCTCTAGTAGTGGACTTAAAACTTCTAAATCAATTGATAATAGTGCCAATTCTTCAGACTCTGATATAACAGCTGGTGATAAGGGTAAAAAGAAATCTATTTGGAAAAAGTTTGGGTTTAGAAAATAAAAATAACGAGATTAATTCAAATAAAAATTTTATGAAATATAACCAAATTAATGACATATCATATCACAAATATCCAATAATATAAAATTTCATTTCAGTTCGGAACATTTTCATTTCATGTGAGTAATCACTTAGTTATATTTAGGCAAGTAAAGTCTACGTATGTAGATACATTTATGACCATCTATTTTAACATTAATTTATTTATTACTTAATTTTGTGATTTTGAAGTATATAGCTATTATTTATTATTAATAGAAACATATATTACAATACATTTATTATTTATGATCCAAAATTGATGATCTGATGTTGCAGATAAGAATTAGTACCCTCATAAAGTTGTCAAATTAGAGGCTCATTTTTGTCCTAATCGTGGCTGTGGGTAGCAAGCGAGGAAGCCATTATTTTTATCCGTATTTTTATCCGCCTTAGATTAAAATTAGATTTTATTTCTAAATATAAAAGATCTTTAACTAAAGATATGGTTTGACGTTTTCCTCTAAATAGTCCCAAGCTTTTTGAATGTGCTTTGGTTCCGATAAATCCTTTCTTGCTTTAGTAACTTTACCAAAACTCTGAATATGATCTGCAGTTTTAACTTCTGGTGAAAGGGCAGCAAACAACTCTGTATAGGCTCCATATTTTGAATTATGTAAAAAGTTACTTAAAAATCGTTGTGATGGTGGCCCGTGTCTTTGTAATTCGGTGTTTAAAAATCCAGGACATAATGAAACACTAATAATATTGGATCCATCTGGGTGTGCTGTATTCCATCCTTTAGCTTGTAAGATATTAATAGCTTTACTTTGACCATACTTCTGCATTTGACTAGCTTCTGTTTTAAGGAAGTTTATATCTTCCCAGTGGACTCCTCCAATTGGTGACATATAATGTCCAAACGAAGCAACCCAAACAATTCTCGTTTCGCCTGGTTTATTTGTTTTAGATGTCTTTATGAGAAGCGGATCTAAGAACTTTTGCAATAAATGAGGGCCAAGATCATTAGTACCTAATTGCAATTCATAGCCTTGTTTGGACTTAGACCCCACAGGTGGAACCATAACACCAGCATTGTGGATGACAATGTCCAATCTATTTTCAAGACTTAAGAATTGTTCGGCAGCTGGTTTAATACTCTCGAGATCCCCTAAATCTACCAAAATATAGTGAACATCAAGGTTTTTCTTGTTATACTCTGAAGCAACTTCGGTTTCCAATTTCTTTATAGCTGTTTCTGTCTTCTCTTTATTTCTAGTGAAGAGATATACTTTGGCATTAGTAGTTCCTAACAATAACTTAACTACTTGAAATCCTACACCTGCGCTAGCTCCAGTAACAATAACAACTTTACCGTCTAATGTAGGGAAATCTTTCTCAGTGAATTTGGGCTTTCCCGGACGCACACCATTCAAAAAGGCACCTATACTCAGTGAAAATGGTCCTTGTTGATACTTAATTGACATTTTGGTAATTATAAGATTTAGTTACCTGTAGATTCAGTATGATTATAATAGTATAAACCATATTAGAGGAATATTTCCATGGCTTTTATATCAGTATTTGGCTTATTAATAGGCTGTTAAAACCAGCTATGTTGCGGGAAACGGAAACCAAATTTTGCGCCCGTCAGCCGTTCGCATTTAATCCGCAGAAAAGAACGGACTTAAAATTTTTGGCTAGCAATGTATTCCCAGGATAGGCAATAATGAATATTAACCGAAATCCAATATCTAATAATATTGAATTAAGTAATTGCGGCTCTTGTTATCCCTGACATTGTTGGCTGGTGTGTTGTGTCAAAGTAATTTTGACAGGTTGCAACATTTTGCGGCTAAATATCTTAGTGTAATTTGTTACTGAAAAAGTCGAACTGTTAATTTTTCAAAGAATTAATTTATTACTGATTAAATAGAAAATGTCTATATTCTGTAATCTAAATGTAAGGTTTGAGTTCTTCTTCTAAGAAATTCCAAGCTTTTCTAATGTTTTCTGGGTCATCTAAATCCTTTCTAGCTTTGCTAATATGGCCAAAAGAAATAACATAGGCACCGGTATTTTGCATAGTTAATTTTGGAGATAATGCAGCAAATAATTCTGTGTACGCACCATTTCTAGCATCATGAAAGAATAGTCTATATATTAAAGCCTCAAATCCAGTGGCATACTTCTGTAATTCGGTTCTCAAATAACCAGGACAGATAGAAACACATACAACATTCTTAGCGTCTGGGTGAGCTCCATTCCATCCCTTAGCTTGTAAAACATTCACTGCTTTACTTTGTCCATAAATAGTTTCTTTAGTAGCATCGCTATCATTGAAGTTAGGGTCCGCGTAATGAATACCACCTATTGGAGATAAATAACTAGCAGTGGACGCAACCCAAACAATTCTTGACTCGCCAGGCTTGTTTGTAATAGAAGTTTTAATTAATATTGGATCCAAGTATTTTTGTAATAATTGAGAACCGAGGTTATTAGTACCCAATTCTAAGTCGAAATTTTGTTTTGTTCTGGAACCTGCAGGAGGAGTCATAACACCAGCATTATGAATTATAATATCTAATCTGTTTTCTTGAGAAAGGAATTTTTCTGCAGCAGGTTTAATAGTGGTTAAATCACTGAAATCAATCTGAATAAAGTGAATATCTAAGTTGGTTTTCTTATATTCTTGAGCAACTTCGACTTCTAATTTCTTAATAGCTTGTTCAGCCTTAGTAGGGTTTCTAGCAAACATATAAACTCTAGCATTAGTTGATCCAAGTAATGATTTAGCACTTTGATAACCAACACCACTATTGGCACCAGTAATAATCACAACTTTACCATCTAAACTTGGATAATCCTTTTCTGTGAAAGTTGGCTTCTTTGGGAAGAACCCATTGAATAACATCAAGTAATCGGAGAATGAATACTTTGGAAAGGTAACTTTATGAACCATTTTAACTGTCTATTGATAATGCAAAAGTATTATTGTATAATCCTATAATTCAAAAGTATTCTCTGTTATCAATTCAAAGGATATCACCTTCTTCTTAAATACTTCTTGTCCAGTTTATCCATTTAGTTCTTCACCCGAAGTAAACGGAAAATAGATTGCAAATTTCTAGTTTATCACCGCGAAAAAATTTCAGTTACACAAACCCGCAGCAGAATTTCTTTTGTCAAGGCTGACGAAGAGATGAAGCGAGCCTTCGGATATTGGCTCAAGAAATAATGATAAACTACCCATAATCCGGCTCAGAAGTCTTCTTTTGATTATTTATTATAATTTTAAATTCTATTTATGTTATAATGGAATTAATGTAAAACAATCAACTATGGTTCATAATACTTTGCAACCTCTTGGTTTAAGAAATTCCAACTCTTCTCGGCGGCGGCTGGATCTTGAAGATCGGCTCTTTCTTTTCCAAACTTCCCAAATGATTCAATGTATGCACCTGTTTTAGCTCTTGTTAATTCTGGAGATAATGCAGCAAACAATTCGGTATAAGCACCATTTCTTGGTTCATGTAACAATCTGTTAATCATAAAAGCTTCAAATCCCTTTAAATGTCTTTGTAATTCTGTTTTAAGGAAACCAGGACATAATGATGCACAAACAACATTAGTGGCTTCTGGGTGAGCTTTAGTCCATTGCTTGGCCAGTAAAATATTAAACGCTTTACTTTGACCATAAATAGTAAAAGGGGTAGCTTTAGTATTATAATAATTTGGATCGGCATAATGGACACCGCCTAATGGAGCAGCAAAATGAGCTGTAGCTGAGGTATAAATAATTCTAGATTCACCTGGTTTATTCTTTTGAGAAGTAGCAATAAAAATCGGATCCAAGTATTTTTGTAATAAATGAGGTCCAAGATTATTAGTACCTAATTGCAACTCGTAACCTTGCTTGGATTTGGATCCAGCAGGTGGAGTCATAATACCAGCATTGTGTATTATGATATCTAATCTGGATTCTTTTGAAAGGAAATCTTGAGAAGCTGTTTTGATGGTATTTAAATCACTAAAATCAACTAAGACATAATCAACATTAATAGTCTTCTTGTTGAATTCTTGAGCTATTTCTAATTGTAATCTCTTAATGGCATTTTCAATTTTTGCCTTATTTCTGGCAAAGATATAAACCTTAGCATTTGTAACTCCCAATAATAATTTGGCAGCTTCATAACCAACACCTGAGGAAGCTCCGGTAATAATTACAACCTTACCATCTAAGCTTGGATAATCGAGTTCTGTAAATTTGGGCTTAGAAGGAAAGATCCCATTCATCATAGCACAAGTTTGTTGGTAAAACACGCTAGGAAGTTCGACTTTGGTACTCATTTTTAGCTTATAGTTTGTCGGTAAGTTATTAGTGCATAAATAAAATTCTTACAGATATCAACATTAGAGAAATCCCTGTAGTATTTATATTTCTTGAATTTACGGATGCAAAATATTTAGGATAATCGACGGAAGATTAAAAATTCATCCGACATACTGAAGATAGTCGTGCCTCGCAACTTTCTTCTGCGCGGAACATTTTTTTGCATCCGTCGAGCATCTTTATTTTTGTACCTCGTATTTAGGCTATGCCAAAATCTGGAGAAATAAGCGTTGTGTATTTACTGATAACGGTTTGAAAATATTACTGTTTATTATCTGCACTATTAAAGAAATATAACATTAAATAAATAAGAGATTTTATACTCTTTACTCTTAAAGGTATGGCTGAATTTCTTTATCTAAAAATTCCCAGGCTTTCTTAGCGGCCTTTTCGTCTAAATCATATCTTGCTTTACCAATTTTACCAAATGATTCGATATAATCACCAGTTTTGACTGCTGGTGAAAATGCAGCAAATAATTCAGTGTAGGCTCCATTTCTTCTAGGATGGAGCATAAGATTGATGACTACTGCCTGAATTCCAGCAACATGTCTTTGCAATTCTGTCTTTAAGAACCCAGGACATAAAGATGAGGATATAACATTTGTGGCTTCAGGATTAGCTTTTGACCAGTATCGCGATTGTAAAATACTGACTGCTTTACTTTGGCCATAAATAGCCATTGGAGAAGCTTCAGTTGTCTTAAAGTTAGGATCAGCATAGTGGATTGCACCAAGAGGAGCATGAAAACTAGCGGTGGAAGCAACCCAAACAATTCTAGATTCACCTGGTTTGTTTGTCTTGGAGGTTTTAATGAACAATGGATCCAATAATCTTTGCAACAAGTGTGGTCCAATATTGTTAGTTCCTAATTGTAATTCATATCCCTGTTTTGTAACAGATCCAGGTGGTGGTGTCATCACACCAGCATTATGGATAATAAGATCTAATCTGTCTTCCTTTTTGAGAAATTCTTCTACGGCTGGTTTGATTGATGGTAAATCACTGAAATCAATTTCAATGAAATGAACATCAATTTTAGATTTTTTATACTCTTGAGCTACTTCTAATTCAATTTTCTTAATTGCAGCCTTGGTCTTTTCAGGGTTTCTGGCAAAAGCATAAATTCTAGCATTTGTTGAACCAGCTAAAGATTTCACAACTTCATAGCCTACACCAGTACTGGCACCGGTAACGATGACGACCTTTCCATCAAATGAAGGATATTGTTTTTCTGTGTATTTTGCTTTTCCAGGAAATATACCATTGTAAGTATGCCATAAATCCTTGAAGCTTGACTTTGCTGGGGTAAATGAAGTAGTCATTTGTAATTGGAATTGGAATTTGATTGTAATTAATATCTACTAATTCAAGATTTACTTTGTTTTGGTGAAAATTAAGGCTATTTATATATCAAAGCTAAATAGAATAAAATATAAATGACTTACTAATACAAATATATATTAAGATGCAACATCAATTATACCGAACTTTGTACTATCCCCGTAAAATTAGTGTGTTAAATTTCACGTAACCGGCGGGAACGGCTAAAATATTTTACATCCGCCCTTCCTTGTTTTGCCCTGTCAATCTTGCTGTAGCGACTAAAATGTTGTATCGTATCTCTGAAGCGAAAAAATGTTTCCTGTGTATTTTTGGCGTAAATGTGGTACTACTTGTGCTCAGAATTACTTACAAATGTATATGCAGTACCAGTCGGGATTGTGAGCCACTATGTATTTCCGATGATTACTCCAATAAGTACTTAATATTCAAACGTAGGCCTTACAATTGGCAGTATGTTTAAGCAAAGGTTATCACTTATAAGTCCATTGAAAAATTCAGGATCACGTGTTGTACTGCAACTGAGACAATATGCTGTTAGATCAGTTCATGACTCACCATTTGATTATCTCCCTAAACGGAATAAGCCATGGGTGAATTGGAAGACTACCACTGTATTCTTCCTATTTGGGTCATATTTCGCATATAATGAGACGCTATTCAATGTTTACGAAAGCTTTACTACCATTGATGAAAATGAACATAATAATCTTGAACTTTTACCTTTACAGCTAGAATACAAATTGAAGAATCTCCCCATATATCAACAATTAGATCATCCCCGTAACTCTAGCAAATGGTATAAATTAATGTCTTGGGAAAATTTGGATAGAAATGTGCTTGATAATCAAGTTGATGGAGACGCTGTTGAAAAAGCCGTTATCAGTCAAGAGGAATATAAAGAGCCAACATTAACAACTCATACATTGGCCACTCCTGGAGGTATTTTAATTAAACCAGTTATTTTCAATAACGTTGAGACTAATGAAACTGTAACAATAGTACATGCAGGTTTCAGATTGTGTGGATATCCCTTCCTTATACATGGGGGTATAATTGCTACGTTATTAAATGAAACGTTCAAGAGAAACGCGTCACTCTCACTGTTCACTTCATCAAATCTTAAGGATGACTTTAAAGTAGAGAATTTAACAATAAACTATAAGTATCCAACTTTTGCCAATCAATTCTTGATCGTAAAGACAAAGAAAAAAGAAAATGTAAACTCTGATAATGAGAAAACAGTTACTTTGGAAAGTGTAGTGGAAACTATTAAGGGAAGAGTATTAGTAAAAAGTCTGGCCGTTTTACACGATACTGGAAGAGCAACAAATAAAATTAAGGAGCAATCGAAGTTTAGTAAATGGTTCTGATATTATATATATAGCCAGTTTATGATGTTAATGTAAGATCTAGTAATTTTTATTGTATAATGTAAAGCTCATTGTTATTATGGCCATGTTCTAGAATCGAAACCAAGTCGTAAACAACTCAAAACAAATCAGAAATGATCACAAATTTTTGTATGTTAAGCTTTTGTACTAACACCTGGAAATTTTTCTTATTTATAAATTATTTGACATAGTTAAACTAATGATTATACAAATTCTGACAGTAAATCTAGTTTCCATATCCGGCACTGCAAGCGAAAATTTTATATTAATTCCGGTGATGCATATTTAAGGTTTATTCGCATTATTAGTGCCTTACATGAGAAAAAAATGCCGGAATAATATCTCTGATTGACTTTTTTTTTTACGTTTTGTGATTTAAGATAGATAAAATAATCAATAAAGAATACTGAATATCTGCATTGGCATTGTTTACGAGCTAATACAGAGCTTCGCCCTGATGAGGGGAATGTTCGTAAACTGATATCCTTTAACAAGGTAGTAACCGCCTTGCTTTGCTGTGCTTTCTGTTCACAAATGAGCAATTTACTCTACTTTAAGACTTTAAATTGAAGTCCGAAATATAGATTAAAATTGACATGTTTGCGAAGGTGTAAGAAATGGAATATGTACGGAGAATGAGCCTTCCAGGCATAGAAATGGTGTAAACATACCGAAAAGGTATGAGTATATTGGCTTAGGTATTATCTGTTGTCTGCGGAGAGAATGTCAAGTCAAAGGAGGGGAACGCCAATTTAGAGAGGGATCATAACCAACTATTACAAAGCAGCATGATTCTGGGCTTTTGCCTATTGTGATTCAGTCTGATAAACTGGAGGCCAGATGTACATTGAATTTGAGATTCTGCGGCTTCATGTAATATGTAAACGTCATTCATGTGTTTCAAGTTTTTATTACTATACCACTATATGTGTTTCCACATTCGTCATTCTCATCCTTACAGCAATTTACGAAGCTTCGCCGATAAATTATTTTACCGCCGATTGTCCTAATCGGGAAATAGCTGTGAAAATTTTTTAATGTGCTAGGTTTTGAGGGATCTTCTAAAGGTAAAATAGAAGAGGGTAGTCCTCCTGTAAGGTTAAAGCGGCATGTGAGATCCGATTCTGGCTCGACGCCTCAGGCAACTCGATTACTCTAAAATAATACTTTTATTGGAAGTGTATGCTTGTAACTGTATAATGCCCCATTGAGCTTCTAAAAAAAGAGGCATAAAAATAGCACAGTAGACTAATTTGCCATAACGGTTATGAATAAGCATTCTTCGCCTTATTGTCACATTTTAGCTTCGTGGCGGATTATATCCCTTTGTAACATTGACTAAAATTGACATGTTGATTAGCAAACAAAGTGGAAGGCCAAAAAAATATTTTACAAATATTAGCCCACTTTTTATTATTGCTAAGGATCTTGTCATTCAAGGGACAAAACTGATTACTGTTGAAACATCTGCAAGAAATAAATTTGTAAGGAAAAAAAAGAAGAAATTAAATAGATCTGCGAACAAAGCAATCAAGAATGACAACATAGGAAAAAGCTCAAGCATTGTTCTGATTATTTTTTCTGCGTGACTTCTATTATCACTAAGACCTTTTGTAAAATCTTCTAATTATTTGAAAATCTTCTCTAGTCTATTTTTTTTTAAACTTTTTTTTATTCTCGTTATTTTTATCTATTTTTTTGTTTTTTTGTTTTTTCTCATTTCTACTTGAAATTTATTTTATTTCTAATTTTTTTAATAAAGCGTCAAACCGTTTGTGCATTATGCATAATAATAATAGAGGTTAATATATTCTTAGCGGTTAAATTTATAACCTAAAAGGAGTCAGCGATTAATCAACTAAGCTAAACAACACTGAATTGAAGAGAATAAATTGCGTATAAAAGTTCAATTTTGATTCTACAGTCGCTGTTATATAAAACTATTACTAAATTCTTTATAAGAAGGGTCCACACTTGTCAATGCGTCGGAAATATTATTTCCGAATATAACCGATCAGAGAGAATACCATCCGATTACATGTATATTCATTATAAAATAAAGGGAACTGACGCTAGTTCCATGTTCTTATCCCTTTATAAAATTATGAGTTAAAAATATCCATAATAATAATCTCTATCGAAAATAATAATGCGAACACAGATCTCCTGTGCATACTTACCAGATCCAAATGTATAATTTCATCTCTTGTTACACATAAATACTTTCTACATTCTATCAATTAACGATGAATAACTGGCTGTTAAGCTCTTTAGATAAATTAACACATTCTCGTCTGGTATCTTATGCATATACCGCTCCTGATGGATCTCGGTTTTTCTCACGCCAGGGCTCCCAACTCTGTCAGATATAATATACATTTTGTGTCTTTCAAGACATGCTAACCATCCTAATTATCGCAATTCCGTCTTGACTCATACTAATTTATGTATTTAACAGGTTAACAATTGCAATTAAATACCCATCAATCAAAGTTTTATTCATTGCTCATCGCAAATTGCTTGTCTACCCTTGAAATTTACACAAGTCCCTCGTCAATAAGTTTACTTCAGATACATGCATGCACTGTCACGTAAGCCATGAATCATAATTTAAATTCAATTATATGTTTCATTTGCAACTGCTATTTCTGTTTCAAGGTTGAATACGCGATTTACGAAGTGTGCGACATCGTCTTTCCCCCAAAATGACAACAAACGACCAGGTACATTCTTTGCAAGGAATACACGAACACATCTTTAACCGAATCTGCGCAGCTAAACATCGGTGATTCATTGTACTCATCGCATTTCACCATTGTTCTTATAGCACACAAACTGATACCTATTTTCCTGACTTTTTCTGTATATGTTACACATGAAATAATGAACTAAATACTTCTCGCCAAATACGTTACTGATGTGAAGCATTCCAGAGATTTGCCACAGCTTCACGTCAAATTACACTTATTTACAACAAGGTGCAGATTAACGAATCGTTAATCTTCCTGATCTACACTAGAGCCTGGCTTAGTCTTTTACTATAGGTGTGTAAACTGTAAAATTATGTTTCCTGTACTAACTTTATCCGAAATTATCTGTATACAGGACTGTAATTGCGTATGGAAAATTCCAAAACCAGTTCCACCGTAGACCCGTATCGAAATGGCCAGAAACGGCTTAACAATATTATCACCGACAATCATCATGGAGGTAGAGCCAATTGGGGAAATCAAGCCAGAACCAATAGAGACTAGTTCGGTACCATTAAATTCTGATGCCAATCCACCTCATAATGATGAAAATAATGTAAAGGATGCTCCAACTCACAACTACTCTACTAGATCTAAAGAAAGAGACCTTGAAAGAGAACTTGAGAATAAATCTAAATTGAAACAACGTCAACATAATGTAATAGTTCAACCACGTTTGAAACCAATGCCATTCAAAAATCTGGATTTAAGATCAATTGAATATTCCAAGAGTCATGTAGCAACAACAAACGGTATTGCATTCTACCAGATGGAAGATCACCCGTTTAATAAAAGAGGGTTCAAATATAAGGCATGCCGTCCCAATCCACTTTTCACTTCCAATCTTTATTCAACCTCAGAATTGTATCCTTATACTGTAAGACCAAGTTATTTTGATATGGCACAAGGAATTGCCTTTAATGATGATTTAACTTTAGTCTCTACCACACAAGGTTGGAGATCTGTGCGAACAAATATAGGTATTAGAGAAGGTAAGTACTATTTTGAGTTTAATGTTGTGAGTGCAAATGATGAGAATAGTAAGAGTCATGTTAGAGTAGGGATATCACGTAAGGAAGCAAGTTTGGAAGCTCCTGTAGGATTCGATGGTTACAGCTATGGATTACGTGATGTACATGGAGAATATATGACATTGAGTAGACCAAAGGAACCTTACGTTGAAGATGGATTTAAAAGTGGTGATGTGATAGGCTTATTGGTAGAATTACCATCTTTAGAAGAACATCGAAAATCGGTTAATGATTTCATAAATTCCAAGCTAGCTGCATCCAATTCAGTTGAATCTTCAAAAACTATATCCGTGAAAGAACCAGATACAAAACGGAGAAAAAGGTCAAGAAAAGAAGAGACTAATGAAGATAATTCTAAATTCATAGTGGATGGGAATATCGTAAGAGATCAAATTCCTATACGGTATAAGAGTTCATTGTATTACGAACAATATGAGTATTCAAATACTAAAATCATGGATCATTTACTTAATCCTGTATCTATCTATGGGGAAAGGGCTATCCTTGAGAAAGATATTGTTGATAAACAGATTGAAAATTTACCTATAATACCAAATTCAAGAATAAGAATATTTAAAAATGGGATAGAACAGAAACATAGTGTAGAGAATTTATATTCATTTCTTCCAACGGATGTAGAAAATGAAGAATTGAATCTATTACCTAATACGAAACAAGCTCAAAATCTAAACTATAAGAATACTGATGATGGAAGTTTGGCGTATTACCCCATGCTTTCAGTATTCCAAAATGGTATAGTAGGTATAAATCCTGGACCTCAGTTCCAATATCCATTAGCTGAAGAAGATGTCAAACCTCTTAGTGATAGATACGATGAAAGTGTCGTTGACGAATGGTACTGGGATATCCTTGATGAAGTAGAAGCAGAATATTTAGATAGTTTTGATGCCTAATGTTGTAAATAACCAAGTAAGTATGTATGTATTTGTGTCTCTAACAAATTAAATGTCTATTACTATACAGTTTCTGGATCTATTCCTACCTCTATCAAAGTTTCTCCCGTCTCTTTAGTTCTCCTATATACGTCAAAACATTTATAATGTAAATATATAGGAGTCTCTCGTTTATCCATATATCCAGCAGTAAGGATTTGGTTACATTGTTCACACAAAAGGATTTTCCCCGGTGAAGGACTATCCTTACTGGATCCATGACGTGTAATAAGGTATGATTTCAATTCTACCACCGTCTTAATTGATAGGGCTATTCTATCATTGGTCGTACATATAAACCACCCATCATCTATCAACCTATCCACAAATGAAGCTGATTCACTTAGTGTCTTATTTAATTTAGCTGCTACTACCTGATGACAAGTAACTCTACCTATAGAAAACGCGTAATCGACAGCATCTATTATATCATCTATAATTGTCTTAATGGCATCAAGTTCTGGTGCAGAATAATTCGTAGCCACTTTTATAGTTTCATCAGCTGACGTATTAATAAATACATATGTTAACTCCCCAGTTATCTCATTGTTTCTTCTCTCTATTTTGAATCCATGATCAGCAATCTTGGAATTTATGGCTGATATATGTTTTTCCACTTCGTCAATGGGCAGTTTGATTTCACCTTCTCCATTCAACTTATCACTAATGGCTTCATACGCAGTCACTAACCGCGACTGCAGTATATACCTCTCCCCACGGATATACGTTAGTAATACTCTATCTAATTCACTCATATTATTATACAATGAACTCTACTGGACTAATGCTACTGATGTGCCAGGCGGTAATTTCTGCTCGGTAATGCAACCTTTTTTTTCGCGCGTACTGTTTAGGGACCCATCAATACAAATTTCTTAGATAAATATTTTTGCAATCATTTCTTTATTGGCGTTAAATCAGCATTACCATAAAATGATTGTTGGCTTGTCCTTATTGTTGGCTTTTCTTGTTCCATATGTGGTGGGGTTAGAGGAGGAGTATGAAGATGATGAGATTCCTCCACCTTGCAATCCTCTTAAGGACTCTACATGTTTAGCTGTAGATGTTTCCCTAGCAGGGTCAGTATCAGATCCTCTAACCTCGGATACTCCTAATTTCTTTGCGGCCACAGGGCCTGATGGTATAGACTTTAGTGAAGAAGGGATGAAGTTTACTATTGAAAAACGTTTTGATAATCCTTCCGCTGTATCAGATTTTTACATACTCTATGGTAAAGTACTGTTAGATATGAAGGCTGCTTCGGGTACTGGAATAATTAGTTCATTCTATTTACAAAGTGATGATTTAGATGAAATAGATATTGCTGAAGTTTTTGGAGGTGACATTTATGAATACCAAACAAACTTTTTTGTTAAGGGTAATACCACCACTTATACTAGAGGCGGTTATCATCCACTTCTGGTATCTCCTTTGGAAGATTTCCACACATATGGAGTTGAATGGACACCAGACCGAATAGAATGGACTTTTGATGGAACAGTGACTAGAGTATTAGACAAGGAAAACCCCGAAGGGTTCCCTTCATCACCCATGTTTATTAAGATTAGTCTATGGTCAGGTGGTGATCCTAATAATGAAGAAGGTACCATATTATGGGCAGGAGGTAAGACAAATTATGATTTATTGCCTTTTTCAATGTTTGTTAGAAACATGAACGTTGTTGATTATTCCTCTGGAACAGAATATATTTATGGTAATTCTGATGATGGAGGTTGGATCAGTTTGACTGCGAAAAAGGGTCAAATTTTTAATGGACATGAAAAGCAACAACGTCACCGAAAGAGTCAGACTCCAAATGTTATTAAAGTTCCGCCTGAAGAGAGTTCGAATTCAAATACGATATTGCATGTAGGTAAGGAACACGATCAAGCAGAAGACATTAACGACGAATACAATGACAATTCCAACAATTATGACAATTCCAACAATTATGACAATTATGACTACGACTACGAATACGAACTAGACTATGAAGAAGAGGAAGAACTTCCCCATAAGCCACCCACCCTTCAAACTCCAGAGAAAAGATTCATTCAGTTTTTCAATGGCTCTATTAACACTACATCAGCCAACTTTTCCTTTCACCTTAAATCCTCACTTTACCAACTATTCCATACTCTCATAATAGAAGGATTAGTGTTTTGGATTTTGTTATGACATACCCAGTGGTGGTGGTGGAGTGCGACTTTCGTCGTGCGCAACCCATGCCGGCTTAATTTACTCCGGCCCAGCGAAACCATCGGATGATGAGCATAACGTCGTTCTCCATCACCAGATTATATAGACACAAATTGTACCAATTGAATATAAATTACTAGTTATTTGAATAGGTACTTAAGCGTTGGATCGAGTAGAGTGTAGAAATTTGTTTCATAGAGAAAAAGACTTAAATATCCATACAATTAAATATAATAATGCCTTCGGTACAACCTATTAAAGGGATAAGCTTTGTATCACTAGTTACCAATGATAGTGATACGTTTGAAAAATTGGCATATTTCTATAATGAATTAGGATTCAGATTAACTAAGAACTTTTCCAAAGTATCCAATAATGGAGCAGCATCAGCTACCAATAATCCAAGTTTACATTTAGGAATTTCTAATGATTCATTAAGAGAAATATGGTTAGAAAGTTTCCCCTTACAAAATGTTGATTCCAATGGTAACACAAGACCATGGCAAGAATTAGAGATTTATGATGGAGATGGTTGTCAAAAACTTTCTGATTCTACCACTTTAAAGATCAGATTATCTAATTTACCAAAGGTTAGTGAATCTCATAAGGAATTGAATTTCTTTACTACTAGTTTGACAGAAATCAAAAAGATCCTTAGCAATTATGATTCAAAACTCGATATCACCCCCAGCTCTATTTCTTCAACTGATCCTATGGGTAATGTGATAAATTTCACTAACCATAAGAATCCATTAGTCAAGGAAGTATATGATTCACCTGAAGAGTACATTAATGTCACCTCCCAAGAAATCTTGAGTGAAATTCAAGACAGAAAGGAAAGAGAAGAAAAACCTGTAGAAGAACAAAAGAAGAAAAAAATCGGAGTTATGACATCTGGTGGTGATGCCCCAGGAATGAATCCTGCTGTGAGAGCCGTCGTTAGAGCCGGTATTTTCTTGGGTTGTGATGTATTTGCCGTTTATGAAGGTTATGAAGGTTTGGTTCAAGGAGGTGATTTATTAAAGAAAATGGAATGGGGTGATGTTAGATCTTTCTTATCACTTGGTGGTACTAATATCGGTACTGCTAGATGTGCGGCATTTAGAGAACGTGCCGGTAGATTGGTAGCTGCTCATAATATGATTTTAAATGGTATCGATGCTTTAATTGTATGTGGTGGAGATGGATCTTTGACTGGGGCTGACTTATTTAGAAGTGAATGGCCTTCATTAATTGAAGAATTGGTTTCTACCGGTAAATTAACCAAAGAGGAAGTTGCTCCATATAAGCATCTTACTATTGTTGGTTTAGTTGGATCAATTGATAATGATATGTCTTCCACTGATGCTACTATTGGAGCTTATTCATCCTTAGAAAGAATTACTGAAATGGTTGATTATATTGATGCCACCGCCACATCTCATTCTCGTGCTTTTGTAGTTGAAGTAATGGGTAGACATTGTGGTTGGTTAGGTTTGATGTCTGGTATTGCTACAGGAGCAGACTTTATCTTTATTCCTGAGAGACCTCCAAAAGCTGGAGAATGGCAACAAGAGTTAAAAGATGTTTGTTCAAGACATAGAGCCAAAGGTAGAAGAAAGACTACTGTCATTGTAGCAGAAGGTGCTATTGACAGTGAATTAAATCCAATCAGTTCTGAAGAAGTTAAGAATGTCTTGGTTGAATTAGGTTTAGATACTAGAATCACTACTTTAGGTCATGTTCAAAGAGGGGGTACTGCCGTAGCTTATGATAGAATGTTAGCCACATTACAAGGTGTTGATGCGGTTAGAGCTGTATTGGAATCTACTCCTGATATTCCATCACCAATGATTGGTGTTTTGGAAAATAAAATTGTAAGAAAGCCATTAGTTGAAGCTGTGAAATTGACTAAATCAGTGGCTGATGCAATTGAATCAAAAGATTTTGATAAAGCCATGGCCTTAAGAGATTCAAGTTTTGAAGAAGCATATGGTCAGTTCTTGTCCATTTCCATCGATGATGATGGACTGGCCTTGCTAGCAAAGGAAAAACAATTAAACATTGGTGTCGTTCATGTTGGTGCACCATCATCTGCTTTGAATGCTGCTACTAGAGCTGCTGCATTATATTCTTTATCTCGTGGTCATAAATTATTTGCTATTCAAAATGGGTTCAGTGGTTTAATTCAAGATGGGTTATTACGTGAATTGAATTGGCTTGATGTAGAAGATTGGCATAATAGAGGTGGCTCAGAAATTGGAACCAATAGATCTTTACCATCTGAAAATTTTGGTAAAGTTGCTTATTATTTACAAAAGTATAATTTACAAGGGTTAATTATTATTGGTGGATTTGAAGCCTTTACTGCATTAGAAGAATTATATGAACACAAGTCTGCATACCCTATCTTTGAAATTCCGATTGTTGTAATCCCAGCAACTGTTTCTAATAATGTTCCTGGTACTGAATATTCATTAGGTTCAGATACTTGTTTAAATCAATTGGTCAAATACTGTGATGCTGTTAAACAATCTGCTTCATCTTCTAGAAGAAGAGTATTTGTAGTTGAAGTTCAAGGTGGTCATTCAGGTTATGTAGCATCTTATTGTGGATTAATTACCGGATCAATTGCTACATACACTCCAGAAGCCAAAATAACATTAAGAAGCATTCAAGAAGATATTGATTTAATATTTGAAATATTTGCCAATGATCGTGGTGAAGACAGAAATGGTAAAATGATTATACGTAATGAACAAGCATCTTCAGTATATTCTACTGAATTAATTGCTGATATTATAAAGGAAAATGCCAAGGGAAGATTTGAAACTAGAACTGCAGTTCCAGGACACGTTCAACAAGGGTTTACACCATCATCTGTTGATAGAGTTAATGCTGTGAAATTTGCAGTTAAATCAGTTAAATTCATTGAAGAATGGAATGGATCTTGTGCTAAAGAAGCTGATGTAATTGTAGATTCCAGAATTTCTAATGCTGTTGTTATTGGAATTCAAGGAGCTCATGTTACATTTGCTGAGGTATCTCAATTATATAAAAATGAAGCAAATGTGAAATTGAGAAAGGGTAAGACTGTACATTGGAAAGAAATGAATGAAGTCGCAGATATGTTGAGTGGCAGATTAACGTTAAGAGCTCTGGACTGAGTAGCTGTTTTATATAAACAATAAATAATTATGAATAAATACATATATATGTGCATATCGTAGTTACATAATGCAGCTATATGTCGGGGAGTTGCCGAAATGTTGCGAATACTTTCAAGTCTCGACGTAACGGGACGGGCATTACGAAGAAATAGGGATTAAACAACCTGACGGCTTTGAACTCACATGATAAATGCAACCAACAACCTCTATACTTTAAACAACAAGAGGGGAACAAAGTGGCACAAGAAAGGAAATAAATTCTAACAATTCCGGGAAACTTTCAGCTGACTATAGTTAACTTTAAATGTTCTCGGATTTGTAAATACACTATACAATCGTGTGACGGCCAAGAACTCAGCTGGCTTTGTATAATATTCCAACAGTTTTGAATAACTTTGTAAAGATCTAACGGAATTCAGCTACAAACAATATGAATTAGTTTGCGGATATATAAATCAGCTGCAAATTAATAATTATACCTACTGGGCCGAGGGTAACGGAGTTGACCTGCAACATTCCAAAAATAGACATCCGAAGAAAAAGAACCGAAAGGTACAGATCTATTTTTCTATTTTGTAATCTAAGAAAGAAGTTTTGCAAGAAACAATCGATGACTTCGAAGTCCGGACGGGAACTGGAATTGCGGTGGCGAGTATTAAGTTTATTTTAACTCAAAAATAAAAGTAATAAGTATGACAAGCTTGATTTTGTTTTATGATGTTATTTTAGTGCTTGCATGGGCCCAGTCCCAATGCCTATTTAATGTGATACATTACATTCTATATGTTTAATTGTTACATGAGCTCATGGGTTAGTTGTATTGCCACAGCCTGGTTAAGATATTGTAAACTGATGCCAATGCCTGCAGAATGTGCAGGCTGTCAGAAAATCCAGTGTAGAATGAATGAAGTTGTTCTGTAGATCCTAGAGGTGACCGGTGGCAGTTGTCCTGCATTAGTAATATGTTGATCTTCTGGTTTTATCAGTGCGCACGATTATTTTTTATGCTTTCTGACTGGTGTTTAAGCATGATGCACAATTCACTACTAAAACACGCATATTCTCCTGGTTCTGTATTAGGCATTGGTTGTAAATCATTTTGTAAATCTCTTTTGTTTCTCTCATTTCTTATGATTCTTTTTTTTTATTTTCACTTTTATTTTTATTTTAATTTTTACTTTATTTTTACTTTACTTTTATTTTTTTAATTTAATTTAATTTAATTTAATTTTTATTTTAATTTTTGTTTTATCGTTCGTTGTAAGGACATCCAGTTCAGTCTGCCACACGGCAGCCTACAAGTTTATCGCAATTTTGATTACAAAACCTTACAGCATAATTGAACTCTAATTATATTTACAATCCATATAGAGAATATTAGCATATGAAAATCCCACATGCTTTAGTAAAGTATTGGGAATTTGAGGATGTATCTTGCATTATTATATTCTCATTATATGTTACAGTAATAGCAGTGTTGCTAAAAATGAGCCTGTTAATGTATAATTGCGAGTCAGCGAAGATCCTTCAAAACAAATTTGCGGATAGCACAGTACCTGTTGGACATGCGCAATCTAAAAGAAGAACAAAGAAAGTCTGAGAAACTTAAATTAATATAACAGTCCACAATATTAATATTTTTCTGAGATGGACGGCGGTACCGGTGATGAGTACAGAAAAAGGTAACGATAATATGGTGACTCCCCAAGAAATATGACCATGGAAAGGGCCAAGAAAATATACCAACATAATTAATCGTACTGGGAGCTTAGATCAGCAAACATCGAAGATTCAAAAGGAATGGAGGCGTCAACAGAATAGGAAAGGAAAAAGAAAAGTAAAGAAAGATTTTCAACAATACCAACTAGAAACACGAATAATAGAACTCAAATATAATAGAAGATGTACAAATGAATAAGAGAAGGAAACTAAACAGCGAATAGAATTCAATGAGAGGAAGAAGGATTACAGAAATTTTCTGTTGCAGAATGTTCTCCAGTTGGGGTTGTTAGGAGAAAATAATAAAAGAGGGGAGTAACTGATGATATGCGATCTGACTGGTAACGCATCCCCCAAACATGGTAAAGGGGATATATTTAGACGATCGACCTATCATTATTATTATTCTCCTATATAGAATCCAATCGTAATTGATTTAATTAGTTGATTTCTATTAATATCAAATTGATTAAGCATGAACGATATCATTCATGAAAACGTTGTAGTGGATACGAAGGAAATAATTATAATTTTTCCAATTATCATTATTTTTGAAAGTTTAGCCAAGTCTCCTTACTTCTCTTTTATTGTTTGAAAAATTGAACAAAACTTTAATGAGGGTATACGTTAAACTATTTTATTCAACTTTCTTGGCTCAACTTTTATGATTTAGCATTTTTAATTAGGTTATGAACTAATAATGAAGTGGTTCTGTAATTACACTTCTACACACCCACGAGTTACACATATGATTCTAAAGATTATTTCTGAGCCAGATACTTTGATCTCACCACTTCTTGTTTTTTAAAAGTTTATGGAACGTCAGGAATTATTTACGGAGATATTATTTTTCTGAGCGAGTGTTTCTAGAAAAAATAATATTTTAGTAAATAATCCAAAACCGCTTAAAAGTCTCGAAGACCACATCTGTAATAACGCCGAAAATGTTGAGTAGGACCAAAAAGGAAGATATTTTACCAAGTGCTCATATCACTGATTTCTGAACAAAGGAATAGTATACATGGGGAAAAAAATCAGACAGCTATTGGTTTGTCACGGGATGCAGCCAAGACCTCCAAAGTCAAAGTCAAAGCCAAAGCCAAAGCCTAAGCCAAAGTCAAAGTAAGAGTCAAACTCAAAGTCAATTGCTTCAGGGACAGCTGGTGTGACTGATAAATTTTCAGAAGCTTGTTAAAAACACAATAGTTAGTAAATACAGAATAAGAAACATAAATACCGTAAAAGCAAAGTAATCGAGTGATTTAGTAAAAAATAAACTAGAATAATTAATGGGAGAGTGAAAATGAATTGACGACGATTAATCAATACTTCCAAATGTGTTAAATATTGTCTTTCTGATGAAGATCGAAAGAGAAAAAAATTATTGCTACGATTTAAGGTTTGCAAAATTTTTGCGATTGTGAAAATGACGTAGTGGTTGTGAAGTTTCCATTAAAAAAATTCAAACCATTACATTTACTGGAGATGCGTAAGATCTGGATGTCAACTAAGGGCCAATCATTAGAACTGATAACAACAACAATGAACAAGGATGCCGTAGCATCATTGTAAAGTTAAAATTACTCTTAGCAGAGAAATCGTGTAGCATTTCTTTAGAAATCTAAAAACAAGATTAAAGAAGGCAATGGATATATATGCCATTATTCTTCAACAATCTCCTCATTACTAAAACCTGAGCTAATGTAAGAACTTTAAATAATGATAGAGGATTAGAATATGACGTAGAGGTGAAAAAAATCCAAGACTTTCAGGGACTTAGAAAAAAGGTTAAAGTAAACTGAACTGATTTAACGAGCTAGTTCCTAGATTATCTAAAAGAAACGGCACTTCTCACATAAAAATTCTGGGTTTTTATTCAATGGCTGTAAATTGATGAAGACTAAATTCTTCAAATGTTATAGTTTATTGTGATTCCAGCCGAATTTGTTTCAGAATATTCCAGATGAATTCCCGTAAAAAAAAGGGTTACGATACAGATCATACTTAGATTATATTAATAGTAATAAAATAAATTAATATTAAATGAATATCTGGGCAACCGCTTGATCGTCAGCTATTATATCGTAATTGGAACGACATAACTCGATACATAAAATGGGTTATAAAATCTATTTCCTATTCTGGAATATTATAGTAGTGTAAAAGCTGTTAAAATTAATTTTGTGTTTAGTAGTCGAAATAAATTGGCTGCAGACGTCACACATAAGAGAAAGAAACACAGAGATGGTGATAGTGAAAATATTCACGAAAAAAGCTTCAGCGGTTATTTTTTACGCAAGCTTCTGTGAATTTATGTACCTCATACAACCAGCAATCAAAAATTAAAAAGCCATCCACTTTTGTGAGTGGAACCAAAGAAAGAAAAGCCTAAAATATAATAAAAAGTTTGCAAAAATAAACTGTAAAAAAATAATTAATATTAATTACTTTTCATAAAATAATTCGTTATTATCTCAGTGGAACCCACTTCTAAGAATCCCGAAAAGAAAGCAGATTTAAAAGCAAAACAAACAAAACAAAACAAAACAAAACAAAACAAAACAAAACAAAACACAACACAACACAACAAAACAAAACAAAATCATAATTCTAGGCTAAGGTAAGGCTTTGTTAGTTTCTTCGCAACAGGATAATACATAAGCCAATCCACCAGATCAAAGAAGCTGTACAAGACTTTTCCGACTTTCGTTTGTGGAGAGCCAATCAATTAATTGTGAATCCGTGAACCGAACGAACGAATAAGACGACGCATCAACTTGCTTAACGTTCAAATAGATATTCTCATACATAATTTAGACACAGAAAAATATACAGGTTTGGCACTAAAGCAGGAATATTTTTTTAATATTGAATTATTATTTAATCTTTGGGAATATTTTTGATTTAATTGAGTTAATTTAATTTATTTTAAATTCTTTTTTAATTCGTTTTTATTTTTTTTTTTAATTTTTTTAATTATTTAATTATTTAATTATTTAATTTATTAATTCTTTTTTCTTTTGTTCTTTCCGTTTGAATGACTTTTTTGCGGTACAGTAAGGAACTCTTCAGATCAAATTATTAATTAAAACTCATATATCACTAAGACGATCTCCTGACTAAATTCTTGCCCTCCTTTCTGACCCATCTCAACTAACAGGATCTCAAGGTTTTAACAATCTACTCCACAATTTAGATTCATATATAGTCCCGCTAAATTCCTCCCCACCACCCTCACCCCCCCCAGCGAAAAAAAAAATCCACCCGGAAAACATACCGAAACGAAAACGAAATCCTATCGGAAACCATAATTCAGACTAAAATAAATCCTAAATAAGTTGCAATTCCTTAGTGGTTGTGACGGCTAAAGAACTCCAATTACCGCATCTGCGCTGCTCCCTTATTGTGACCGGAAATCCACCTAGTTTCCCACCATAAAACTGACTGACGGTCCCTACCAGTGAGTTGATAAATACCGAGTGAAAAACTCTGCCGCAGTAACTTCAGCCTAAAGGCATTACTGTTATTTCCTTCTCAATAGTTACCCCCTATAAATCCGGCCAAACTGATTCAAGATTTGCTGGAACATCCGCCGACTCCAGGACCAGCCATGAGTAAAAAAGCTCAGGATCCTCCTGTCAAGAAGAATGCCTTTGTGCATAAGCTCTTCACTATGCTTAGTGACCCCAAACTAACACATTTAATATGGTGGCTGGGAGCTCCCGAACATAATACTTTTGCTTTATTCCCCGGTAAAGAATTTGCCGAAGCCCTTACAGGATATTTCAAACATGGCAATGTTGCTAGTTTTGTTAGACAATTACACATGTACGGATTCCATAAAGTTAGTGAACCATCCTCCGCTAATGCCATAGATAAAGAAGCAGCTCCCGTATGGGAGTTCAAACATCTGAGTGGGAAATTCCGTAAAGGAGATGAATCCTCATTAATTTATATAAAGAGACGGTCCAGTTCCAATAGTTCTCGTAATAGTTATAATGGAGAAAATAATCATCATCAACATATGCATCACCCTAGCCAAGACTATGCTTTAACACCTTCACCAACTACTTATGATATGCATGCTCCTAATGCTCAGTATTTCCCTCCACCACCTCAGTACTTGCAATACTATGGACCTACAGGTAATCCCATCCCTCTACCTCATCCTCACTCCCACATGCAACCAGTACCTATGCCACCACATACTTTACCACTTCCAAAACATGATTCAACCTTAGTACAAGTGCCCTATTCATACCCCTACCCACCCCAACCAGTCTATGCTGCTTACCCACAATCATATCCACCACAAACATCATACTTACAACATGCTCCGCCTCCACACCTTGCACCTCAACAACAACAGTTACCTCCACCACCAGTAGTAGTAAGACCTTCATCTCCACAAGATGCAGCACTCTCCCCCTCCACTAAACGTAACCATTCCGACCCAGTTCACAGTTCTACTGCCCCCACTCCTTCCATTAAAGTCCAACACTATTCTCCAAACCTTCAGTTTAGAAAAATCTGGGAAACTACAAGCTCCAACTCGGCTAGACCTAGAAACCCTTCGTTACTTTATGATCCATTAGCACCAGCTCCAGCACCAGTACCTGTACCGACTGATCCTCAAGTATACCGTCCTCATTATCAACCAACACCAACCAGTCGTAATAATTCCAACACTACTTCTACCTCCTCATTTTCGAGAGACTCTATAGACTCTCGACTGTCTATAAAGTTACCCCCACCATCATCCATTCATCGGTCTTCTTCAGGAACCATGGTATATGCCAAACCCAAATCTCCAGAACCAACTAATGACGAATCTCCAATTCCTACTACCCACCCTAGAAGTATCCCTGCTAACTTTGAAGCATCTCCATTAAGTACATCTGCTCATCCTCCACTACCAGCAGCTACTGCACCACCAGCACCTTCAGCTCCAACAATGTCAACTACCTCTTCATTACCCAGTTCTCCCTCCACCATAGACGCTAAACGTCCCTCCTTTCCTCCCAATACTTCGATAAAGGACCGCCTAAGACCTTCCCTAATCGAACTCTACTACCCTCCACCTCCACATAAACCTGCAGACCTTCTGGCAGATTCCAGTCACATTCTTAGCCACAAGAACAGCATCATTCGTAATCAAAATGACTCTATTGGTTCCCAATCATCTCATAACTCCATCTTTTCCAATCAATCATCTGTATCTTCCATCTCCACCACCACCTTCCAACGAGCTTCATCGTTTGGATCTATTTCCCATCATGGTTTAGAATCTAATGGAAAGAGTTCAGTCTCAGTAAGTCCTCATGATCAAGTGGCCGCTAAGACTTATGATGTCTTACCACCAACAGCACAACAACAAACAGACATAAAGCTTCCCTCCTTCCGCAGCTTAACTCCTCCATTAAGTTCCAATGGTCTGAAGATGGTCCAGCGTAACTCGGCCTCTCATCGGTCTCTTACTAGTTCTCCCTTATCGAAGACAAACACAGACCCTTCTAAAAAAGTATCGGTCGAATCATTACTTGATGATGGTCAAAGTAATGGAGTTACTATCCGGTCTGATCTCATTAAAATAGAAGAGAATGAGCATGATTCAGATCTCAAGAGAAGACGATTATCGTAGCGGTGCCTACCTTCGGAATTCACTCATAATTTACTCACAATTCACTTCTAAAATTTCTCATTGTTATATGTTTTATATTGTATTATTACTAAGATTAGTGTATTATGTTTATTACTGTCTATGTAGTGTATATACTGATCCTCTGAGTTAGAATGGCCGGCCTTTCTTCTTTGTATTTGATTTTGCTTTCGCTATATCCGGAAGTCTCTTCTTGACACTTCGACTTTCAAGAATCCGGTCTTCGTCCAGATCCGAGTCGACTTCTTCCTTGACCGACTTATTAATACTAACTCGAGCCTGAGCCTTCTCTTTAACTCTATCTCTAGTAACATTTCGACTCTTATTCATTAAGGCTAACATGGGCTTAGAGACATTTCGCCTAGCGACATTGTTCGCGTGACCTGGACCACTACTCTGCTTAACACTCTTCATTTGTTGATCGGTAGACTGAATGAACTCCCCGATCTTAGTCAAGCCAGACGTCATACTCTCTACACTGGCCAAACTCTGACCACTCGGTATAATGGGTAAGTTAAAGAAACTGTCCGAGTTATTATCTGGTTTATTGTCTGTCTGAGTTTTTGTCTGTCCCTTCTGCTCACTGGGCTTGAGCCAACTGAGCACTTTCGCATTATTCTGCGCTACTGAGTACTGGAAACGCGCCTGTAGTTCTTCTTTCTGTTTGATCTCTTGTCGTCTACTCATTTCTGTCTGAGTGTCTGTGGTCTGTGTTTCTGTCTGTGTTACTGTATGTGTTACTGTCTGTATCTCTCTGTGTGCTCATCTCTTAATGTCGCGTTTCCATTGAAAAAAAAATGGTGCACTGAAAAATCATAGCTTGAAAATTTTACTTAACTATGAACACCCACCTTCCAAAGCCTTAAGTATGAACAGGTACAATTCAAATGTTGTTTGTAGATGGGAAAAAAAGAAATGCGCAAACCCGGAATCGAACCGGGGGCCCAACGATGGCAACGTTGGATTTTACCACTAAACCATTTGCGCTTAACTTGTTGAGTTTGCAGTTCATGCATGAATCAAAATGTTTGGAATGTCAGAAATTCACATGAGAAGCATGTGATCCAGCACGTGAGAAACGCATGACTTATCACATGACTCTCTATATTTCAAATGACTATAACAACAATTACTACTACTACTGTTACTACTACTATTACTACTATTACGAGTATTTCTTAATAATAAATATTACAATTAATTAGTATAGTATTCATATAAACTCTTCTATAGTACAAATAGTAAAACTACAAACACTCGTCCTAAACAGGTAAAGTATCAATACCAGCTAATCTATCAATGGTTGGTGCAAGATACGGATGGCTTAATAAGTCTCCAATGTAAGGAATTGATCTTAAGAATTGAACTATGGTACCAAAGAAGTCACCAAATAATCCCAAAATACCAAAACTTTCCAATACAAACCCAATGAAGGCGTGTTTCATAAGAATCAAAAGGATACCTAATGCAAAACATAATGTACCTCTTAATTTAGTTGGCCTGGTGAAAAACGTTACAGTCCTTTGAGGTCCAATGATAAGGACAAGTCCCACTAAAAAGAGAATATTACCCAAGGCCAATAATCCCGAATCAAAGAATGTCATAATGCCGAATAGGAAAAAGATGAATCCACCGGCGGTGAATCCGACTCCGAACTCTGAATATATTGTTAGTAAAATCTTTTAACTTTCATAATGACAGTGACAATATCAATGACAGTATATTCAGTATCCCCGCCTACTGGGAGTAACCACTGAATACTGACAGTCACCGCACCACTATACCATACGTACTTTGTCGTTCCGACAACCAAATCATCGCTAATGATTGTCAAAACAGTGTTATCAACAGAAGTGACTTTTTTAATTCTGTTTTCAGTGCGGCAGCAAAAATGTCGTACCAGTTTAAACTAGTCTAAAGACCCTTAGAGACATTGAGACACTCTAATAGAATATATACACTAATAGAAATAGATACTTAGATATAGACATCCAGATGAACTACGACGACGACCAACCTCCCAGTGAACCACCTCCAACATACGAAGAAGCAATTTCTGACTATACTAGAAAGCCTGAAAGACGACCTCCACCGACACCTCAAAGACCTCAATATAATGCTCCGCCTATGCCTACAAGACCTTCTCTGGTTCCTAGCATAAATACCAGCACAAGCACCAGTACTAGTGTAAATTCCAGTATTAGTACCAGTACATCCACCAGTACTGGTACTGGCACTGGAACAAGCACTAGTACAGGTAATATAGACTTAACGGAGTTATATACTACCAACCCCACATTACCTTTTAAATTCCCTAGAGGATTTCTCTGCTCCAAATGTAAAAATTCTGGTTATAAAACAAGTAATAATAAGATATGTCGAGATTGCTGGGATAGATTCTATTTACGAGGGAATGCCTATAATCCTAATCCTCGATTAGCATTCCAATACCCGGTTAATTTCTTATGTGATAAATGTTATAATACCGGATATAAGAAGAAGAATCGACAATCATGTCAGGATTGTTGGGAAAGATTTAGTCCTCGGAATCAAGTGGCTGCTAGTTATACACCATTCAATCCCTTAGGAGGTCTCTTAGGGGGTACTTACACTAATAGTTATATGGGTCCATCTCAAGGACCATGGACGGCAGGTCCAAGTCTACCTCCACTAAGAGTACCTCCTGGAGATCCCAGATTGGGAGGAATCTTATGTGGTAGATGTCGAGGGTCAGGACTAGTCCATACATTTCTACTTGATGAAGAATTGTGTCCAGTGTGTAATGGACTAGGGAGAGTAATACATGGACCTCATATACCTCCACCTCATGGATATGGACCTCCACCTCACGGACATGGGCCACCACATCATGGACATGGACATGGACATGGACATGGACCTCCCCGTCATGGACGCTGGTAAATACTGTACTAAATACATTCACTATATACCTAAATAGCTAAATTCTTTTTCCTATTACTTAATAACTAGTGATAATTGGAAGGATATTTGAAATCATTGATCTCGTAGAAATTCTCTTTAATGTTTCTAACAGAAACGAAACGACTTAAGATATTACCACTACCAGCTTTATCATTTGTACCAGAAGCTCTAGCACCTCCAAACCATTGTTGACCTACAACAGCTCCAGTAGATTTATCATTAATATAAAAGTTTCCAGCAGCATATCTTAACTTCTCTTCAGCAATTCTAATGGCTTGACGATCTCTTGCAAAGATAGAACCAGTTAATCCATAACTAGTAACGGAATCAATACTTTCAATAATATTTTCAAATTCAGTATCTGGATAAGTATATACAGTTAAGATAGGTCCAAAGAATTCTGTAGATAAGAACTTATGGTTTGGATTGGTGGTTTTAATCAAAGTAGGTTGAATAAAAAATCCATTAGAGTTATCATGAGCTCCACCAATAATGATTTCTAATTCTGGATCTGATTGAGCTTCTTCTAAGGCATTAGATAATTTCTTATATGAAGCTTCATGAATTACTGGACCCATAAATGAATTCAAACTTTCAGGAGCTGAAGTATTACCAATCAGAATATCACCTACATGAGCCACAAATTTATTCTTAAATTCTTCCCATATAGATTCTGGGACATATAATCTTGATAATGCAGAACATTTTTGTCCTTGATATTCATAAGCACCTCTAACTGATGATAATACAGCATGATCAATAGAAGCACTAGGATGAATTAAATGGAAATTCTTACCACCAGTTTCTCCAACAATTCTTGGATAATCTCTATACTTATCAGCTGCTACATTATTAGCAATTTTACTGTATAAATTCTTAAATACAGCGGTAGAACCAGTGAAATGTAAAGCTGAGAAATCCTTATCAGCCAATACAATATCAGTTACTTCAACTGGATTACCAGGAATGAAATTAATTACACCTGCTGGTAATCCTGCTTCTTCAAGAATATTTAAAAGAAGATAATTAGATAATACAGCAGTGGCAGATGGTTTCCATACAACAGTATTACCCATTAATGCTGGAGCCCCTATTAAATTGGCAGCAATAGCAGTGAAATTGAATGGAGTGACAGCATAAACAAACCCTTCAAGTGGACGATATTCAGCACGATTCCAAACACCAGCGGTAGTGGAAATAGGTTGTTGTTGATATAATTCTTCAGCATATTTAGCATTATATTTAAAGAAATCGATTAATTCAGCAACAGCATCGATCTCAGCTTGGTAAACATTCTTTCCTTGTCCCAACATAGTTGCAGCCAACATATCATAACGGTATTTAGTAGAGATTAAATCGGCAGCTTTAAGGAAGATAGCGGCTCTATCAGTCCATGGCATAGCCGACCAACTAGCTTTAGCAGCTTTGGCAGCATCAATAGCCGATTGAACATCTTCATTGGTAGCTTGAGAAATAGTAGCTAATACTTGAGAATGTTTAGCAGGATTAACTTGAGGAATAGTTTTTGATCTGTACAACTTCTTACCTCCAATAACTAAGGGAATTTCCAAAGTTTCATCAGTAAATTTGGTAATAGAGGCACGTAACAAGTCCCAATCCTTTTGATCTTTGAATGAAAAGTCTCTAACAGGTTCATTAGTCAAATTAGGTGGGATTTTAGCATGAGCAAACTGAGATACTGATCTCACAGCGAGTCTTGATACTGGTCCAACACGAACTGAAGTCAAAGCTCTGGTGGTTAAAGCTCTAGAAGTGATTCGAAGCGTGGCACGTGCACTGGATCTAAGCATAATGAATGTTATATAGTTATAGTTATCAATTAAGAAGAACTAAGTTGGTGGTAATGGTTCATTTTATATCATGACCATTGAAAAATTTGTGGGGAGAGCGATGGGGCAGGAGATAGCGAGGGGGACACCAAGCGGCGAGGGGAGGGTTAAGCGAGCGCACTAAAGATATGAACAATATTACTTTGACGGAGAAATTAGCGCCTCAGAATTAATTAGATGGCAGATTAGATATAGTTGGTATCATTTAGTATTATTTAGTATTACTTAGTATTACTTATTTAGTGCTAATTACTGTTACTATGAGTTACTGACTACTTAGCTGACTCACCTTATCTTTCAACTGTTGTAATTCACTAACTATATGCACCTTGTTAGATTCATAGGCTGAACTCTCTTTATCGAGCCTATCATTTAACAGGTCAATCAGACTATTCCATGCTGTAAGCTCACTCTTGATACTACTTATAACTTCGTCTAACAGACTAACACTAGCGATACTAGTAGCCATATCACTATGAACAGAATGTAATGACTTTAATCTTGTCACCACCAATGGAACTATCTTATTGACTTTATCAAATTCACCAAGTCGTTCATGAAGTTCACTAATCTTCTTATCATCTATAGGAATGGTGGGTGGAGTTACTGCTCCATCAGTACTGATCTTTAGTTGATGCAATCTTCTCTCCTTATCGTAAGCTTCCATATCAGCTCTGACTTGACTGACTTGATTCTTGATATTCTCTATGCTATATTCAGGATTACCCACTATACCCACCTTTAAGCCAAGTTCTTTAACACGAGCTCCAAGGGATTTACCCTCATCAGTTACTCGATCTACAGCTGTTAATGAGTCATATCCTATCAATTGTTCTATCTTAGTTAATCTGGATTCAAGTTCTAACGTTTCGGTACTATTAACTGCCATCCAGGGTTCGGTGCTAGATGAAACATTTCCTCCATTAACTTTGTCAGTAATGGTCTGAAATACTGCCTTGAGCTTATCACTATGATCTGTACTACTACTCTTATTTTCATCTTTACCCTGAGATAATTCCTCTAAGCGAGTCACTAACCTATCTATATCACTACCCTCTGAATCTACGGATTCACTACTTAACTCGTCTAGCTCTCGACGTATACGAGCAAGCTTTTCATCTCTCGATTCTTGTCCACCATCATACAACACATAACCTGTTCGACCCAATTGCTTTCGATCTACTGACCCCAGAAAGTTGACTCCGGACACGTCAGGTATACCTGACTGATTGAATTTGTTCTTTGATACCGATACATCTACACTGTCACCGGCAATATCACTACTGATAGACTCATTGTCCGGCCCTCCACCATCGACACTCTCTACGTCCGATGTCTCAAACACATCCTGCGCACTCGCATCAATGTCCGGTAATTCACCATACTTTTCCATCGTTACGTTGCGTACTCTCACGATACTATTCTTCGTTCTGTTTTACACCGTATACATCAACAAATACAAATACTGACGCGCTAATCAAAACATTCATTTTTCTGTACACCTACTCTACTTGGTAACTATTTCTACAACATCTTCGTCATGGACTGGATGACCCAATCCACATTTTTGGGGTGAGTGCTTAGCACTAGACCCCCACACCAATGCATACTTAAATTGATTCTTCATATCTCTATGAATACTATCACAAACTTCTTTAATAGAGGAATGATTTCTTACTACCATCGGATCATCTAAATTAGGTTGTACACCTCTTCTTTTAGTATATAATCTTAATAAATCCAATTTTCTCCATATCTCTTCCTTTAAATCTTCTATTCCCAAATCCATTTCACATGACATTACTACTGTATTGGGTTCTCGAGCTAATCTATCACATTCTTCTAATGATACCGCATCAATCTTATTATAAACGTATAAGCATTTGATGTAAGAAATATATTGATCATTAATGATATCCACAAAGTCATCAATGGTACAATTCTCATCTCGAATAAGCACATCGGCATTATGGATTTTATAATCTTTAAGTAAAGCACTAACAATCTTCTCATTTAAATATTTGGGAGGACTGGTGGAATTCATTTTAACACCACCTGTCTTTTTAAGTTTAAGAGAAATATTTGGTCTTTCTTTATTTAATCTTATCCCCATAGATTCCAATTCATTTTCTAAGATTTGTCTTTGATCTCCACTCTTAGTAGCATCAAGGACCATGAGAATTAAATCTGAAGTTCGTGATACAGCAATCACTTGTCTACCTCTCCCCTTCCCCTGAGATGCTGCCTTTATAATCCCTGGTAAATCCACAATTTGAACTTCAGCTCCATTATATTCAAGAATACCTCCAACTGAAGTTAAAGTAGTAAACTCATAATTAGCTGCTTCTGATTTTGTATTGGTTACTTTATTTAAAAATGACGATTTACCAACCGAGGGGAACCCAATAAGTGATACACGAGCATCCCCTGCTTTTGCAACTTCAAATCCTTGTCCACCACCTGAAGAACCTCCTGCCAGAGGTTCAAGTAATTCTCGACGATACCGAGCTAATTTCCCCTTCAATAACCCAATATGATATTCGGTGGCTTTATTTTTTTGAGTCCTTGAAAGCTCCTGCTCGATCTGTTGGATCTTCTCTAAAATACCCATAGTCTATTTACTATTTACTTAGTTAACTATCTATATTAATTACACTAATAAACTCTTCCACTACTACTCCACTAACTACCACCAAAAGTACTGAAAAATTTCTGTGCAGGCAGATCATCATGAAACTGCACAGGGAAAAAAAAATTAGTGAAGGGTAAAAGTTGCAATGCCTCCTACTTAAGCTTAACATCACTAGGACAATTATTACAATGGCTAAAGCTCCTAAGAGTTCCAGACCAGCACGAGATGACTCTGTGAAAGTCGCACATGTTCTCGGTGGTGGGTCTGCTAAAATTAAGAAGAAAATAAGAGATATCGAAAGATTATTAAAGAAAGACAATTTACCAGCTACCGTAAGAGTAGAGAATGAAAGATCATTAAAGGCATTAAAAGTAGAATTAGGAAATGCTCAAGTGAACTTACGAGCCAAGGAAATCTCCAAGAAGTATCATATGGTTCGATTCTTTGAGAAAAAGAAGGCCATTCGGAAATTAAAGCAAGCCAAAAAGGAATTTGAAGATGTATCAAAAGGTGGTGTAAGAAAAGATATAAAGAAAGCTAGAAAGAAGTTAAGACATTGTGAAGTGGATTTGGTATATACAGTATTGTTTCCTAAATCGGAAAAGTACATCTCATTATATCCTAATCCTAAAGAAAATGATCAAGTAGATATGTCTAATCCTCGAGCTAAAAAGGGAGCTCAGTTAACAGAAACAAGAAAGAGACAACTTATAAGTGAAGCTGAACAACTCTTGGAACAAAATAAATTACCATTCTCTTTGGATGATGTTATCCAAGGTAAATCCGTAAAATTAGACGATACTCATAAGGAAGTAGCTACTGAAGAAATCGATGCTGCTGAAGAAAAAGTCACTGAAGAAGATGATTTCTTTGAGTAATGATAGATCTGTATATTAGAACTAGTACTGAATACAAGTAGTACTATAAATTCAAACTATTGAGTATTAACCATACTAAACCTAAACTAAAACTTAACTCTCTTAGATGTTCATATCGTAGTCAGTCACATACTGGATATCCATCGAATCATTGATGGCCCAGATGGTCACTTCCTTACCTCGGATCTCTTCCGAGATATCCAATCTACAACTAACTTTACCTTTCTTACCCACTAGACTGGGGCTAGCCCGTTTGATAAGTAATAACTCTTGATGTTCTCGATCACTAGCTATGATAAACCATGATTCTCTTTGTGCTTTAGGGAAATGAGGAGCATATACTTTAAACTCATTATTGAGTGGAGCATTAGAATGGCTAATCTCTACTAATAACTCACTAGAACTATCCTGAGTAATACTCACTTTACCCACCGGTAAGTGAGAAGCAATACGAACAAACTCTTTCTTATCGGATTCCTGTTCAAGACCCAATGTGGCAGCTATACCAAATAACCTGCCTCGATTCAGATTCCCTAAAGTTTCTAAATCAACCTTGGCATTATCCTTCTTCGTCCAAGTCTCTAATCCAGGCAAGACAGATATCTGGTCATCATCATACCAGCATCTTTGCTTGATACATTGCATTAATTGAATCAATACAAGGACTGTCTTCAAATAGCCCAATTCCGAACATGCATCTATAAATGCTTGGAGTACACGTAAGGCTTGATCAAGGACTGCCACAGTATCCTGAGCATAATCTGCAATGGGTAATTCAACTCGACTCATAAAGGCTTGAATCAATAAGTATGCCTTAACATGAGGATCCCATATAAATTCACATTGTAAATCTTCAGCAGGATACCTCATGGATAGAGACATCTCGGCATTAATTAATTCTTCTCCATGTCTAGTAGCCAATTCATTATATTCCGTGGCTTCACAAAGATATCGTAAACAATCTCTAAATCCAGAATCTTTATTAACCTTATTAACCAAGTTTCTTATGGTCCTATGAGAAAGATAATAGTAGGAAGAGATATCCAAAAAGGGAGTAGGATGAAGTTGATCCTTTCCACCTAAAGTTACACAACTAGATTCAATTAAATTGTCAATGGCATTATCAATTAATGAAGCCAAATACAGAGAGATCCCAGCACTACTAACATCTTCAATCCCATAATAAGTTGGATTATTATGAGCTCGACGATATAAGAAAGTCCAAGTTAAGAAATCCATAGCCTCTTGTCTCGTAGTAATAGTTCCTGAAGAGATTTCTGCTCCAATATGATCATCCAATACTTTATGTAAAGATGATTCTACGGGGAATCCGATATTTAAAAAGTGCTTATAAAACACTTTACGAGATTCTTTAGTATACACAATAGCAATCCCCGAAGTATCATAGGCTGGACGTCCAGCTCTACCCATCATTTGTAAGATATCAGTTAAATCCATATCTCTATACCCTTCAATCTTAGCATCAAAGAATTGCGTACCCTTTATAATAACCAAATGAGCTGGTAAATTAACTCCCCATGCCAAAGTCGAAGTAGCCACTAAGATTTGTACTTTCCCAGCTTCAAATAGTTTATGACTGATTTGTCGATCTGACTCTACTAGACCCGCATGATGAAGTCCAATTCCGAATTGTAGAGAAAGTTTTAAAGTATCGTCCTTAACTCCGGCCAAGATATTTTCTAATTCTGAATCGGGCATCTTAAGGAATCGACGAGGATCGGATTCCATTCCACATAAATGGATAAGATCTAGTGCTGTAAGACGAGTTTGACGTCTTGAAGCTACAAAGATCAATACTGGTTTATTAGGAGAATGTTGCTTTATAGCCATAAATGCTGGTTTATTCATGGTTTTCATTAATGGACAGAATGCCAAATTGTCAGGGAATCCATCAATATACATTTGAAGTGGAACGGGACGCACTGACAGAGGGAAATTAAATAATCCCTCCTTAACTCCTAACCATCCTGCCATATCTATAGCATTGGAAACGGCCGTCGACATTCCAAGTAATCGAATAGGTTTATGAGTTTGAGAAGATATATAATTCATTCTACTAACAATCATCTCCAAAATAGGACCTCGATCACTGGCCAATAAATGAATTTCATCCATAATCACTAAAGAAATCTGTTGAACAAACTTCCGAGTTTGCCAATTACGAGATATCCCATCAAACTTCTCGGGTGTAGTAATAATAATATCGGCTTCTCTTACATCTTTGGCTTCCGGAAGGGAATCCCCAGTCAATTCTACCAATTTATACTTGGTATTTCTACAGATTCTAGCTCGCCAATCATCGACTCTTTCTCTAACCAACGCCTTCATCGGAGCAATATAAACTATTTTGGAATTGGGGAATTCCTTAAACGCATGCCAAATGGCCAATTCGGCCACTACGGTCTTTCCTGATCCAGTAGGAGACCCCACAAATACACTAGAATTAGTATTATAGAGGGAATGGAATGTCATGGTTTGCATGGGATTGAAGTATCGGAATTTGGAACTATAGATGGCTTCAATCTCCCTGTTGTGTAAAGCATTCAATGGTAAAGGTTGTAACTTTAAGAGGTTGGTTCTAATGGTTTCATTAGAGGGACGAATCAAATGTTGGAACGAGATGGAATGAACCGATTCTGAACCAATCCAAGTATCGGAAAGCACTCTAACTAAGATTTGAGGAGGTAAGGGATCAGCCAACGGGATCATAACATCCATTTCATGACTACTCTTCATCTGTTTCCTATTCAAGATGAATTTCTCTACATGAAGGAGTTCTGATTTATCTGATTCCTCTACCGTAACCCAGAAGAATTGGGCATGGCCATGATACTTGTCATCCCAGATAAAGTCTGGTTCTAAATCAATATGAACTCTCATAACATTACTGGTTATAGGAAATACTTCAGCATCAATATCAATGGAGGGGAATTTGCCTACTAACTTAAAGAGGATATCACCCATTCGATTATTATGAACTAAATCTCCTAATTCTCCTGCTTCCATATCTCTTAATGTTACCATAGAAGGATTCTTAGCTCGGATATTTCTCATGACTGGTTCAGGTAAATCAAATTGCGCAAGCGGATGATCAAACCCCCAAATCCGTCGATCAATAGATTTACAGATCGATAACATAATCTTAAGGAATGTGCCCCATCTTCGAGTGATTCCAATGAGGAATAAGGCTCGACATATTCTGGCTGCATTCTGAGATACATAGTTAGAATCCGAGATTAACGCCGAATCCTTAACTAGTGCTCGAGATATGAATGCCTGTAATAAGATATTGGTTTTACCAGCAGCACTCTCTACATCCCCGGCGATCTGACATGAGGTTTCACTTTCAAGTAAGGCCTTCAATTCGGTACTTTCTTCTTCTCGAAACTTAATACCATCGAATTCACTACTCATACTTATCATAGATAACACATCGGCTTCAGTGGCTGATGGGTTAAGTAACTGATTAAAGATTTCTATGGAATTGTTTAGTAAATAGAAATCAGATGCTATACGACCCAAATCCTTGGCCACAAGTGATCCTGAATTCTCATCAAAGATAATCATTTGTAGTCCATGAAGTCTTCGAGCGGCTGCCACTATCATCTCTCGTCTTTTATTAGTAAGTAACGGATCTTCTCGAAGTTCTTTCCATTCAATGGCATAAGCAAATGGATTCTGTCTCATTCTTACCATCATATACGTATACCCCAACCATCTGACTCCTTCATCCACATTGGTTACACTACCCAAAGAGATCTCGGCATTCAAATTATCAATTAGTTTTTCCAGAAGTTTGGATTCAATCGGATGTTGTTGAGTTATCAACAGTACATAATGATCTAATCGATCACTCGATGTACATAAGATCCCTGTCCCAAATTGTTCATATTGTGGTCTACCTGCTCTCCCAAAGATTTGGATAACATCCGAGATTCCTAAATCTATGAACCCTCCTTGTTTGGCATCATATACTTGTGTACCTTTAACAATGACTACGGCAGCCGGTAAATTAACTCCCCATGCTAAAGTGGCAGTACAACATAATACTTTAATGACTCCGGCTTCAAACATTCGTTCAGTAAGATTTCTATCACTTCTAAGCATTCCAGCATGATGAACTCCAAATCCATATTGAAATAATTCCTTCATATCTTTATTCCGATTCTTATTGGCTACCTCCTTACTGAACTTATCATATTGATCATTAGTTGAATCATTAAATAGTGAAGTTTCATTATTTTCCTTAGCAAATTCTATAAACGTTCGAGCCGTCTTAACGGTATCTCGACGAGAATGTACAAAGACCATAACCTGTAAATCCTGATGAAGATACTCAACCAACTTATCATAAGATACTCTATCTATATTCTCTCGAGCTTGTTTAGAACCGGCTTTACCTCGAACTCCAAGTAATTGTTGTTCTAAAGGTACAGGACGAAATGATGAATCAAAATAAAACATTCCTATCGAACGATTAACTCCTAAAAAGTCAGCTACATCCATATAATTGGGTAAAGTGGCCGAAAGTCCAACGACTCGAATCATCAGTTGAGTACTTTCAACTTGTCTTAATGTACGAGCTACTAATGTTTCAATAACTGAACCTCTATCTTCATGTAATAAATGGACTTCATCAATGATTAATAATTTAACTTTAGTAACTAATTCACTATCTCCATTCAGTTTTCTCGTAACTACATCCCATTTCTCAGGAGTAGTCACTATAACTTGAGTAGTTAATATTTCCAGTCTAGTTAATTGCATATCTCCCGTTAATTCTCGAACGGTTATACCTAACCAGGCTAATTTCTTACTATATTTCTCAACAATTTCTGCTGCCAATGCCTTTAAAGGAGCAACATAGACGATTTTAAATGCATTATAATCGATATCTATAGTGATATCATCATTAGAATTATTACTACTACTTTCTATGGGAGTCTCAGTAACATACTGATTAATCGTATTCAAAATAGTTAATAATGCTACATCCGTCTTACCGGCACCAGTAGGAGCACACACCAACATATTTTCATTAGTATTATATGCTACAGGGAATACTAAACTCTGCATCTTATTCAATGTCTTATAACTGAATGTACCTTGACATAACAAATCCAAATCTTTAATTCGAACCAATTGAGCATCGGTAATCCATTTATTCCGTTTGGTTTCTCCATGAGGTATAATGATTTCTTCAAAAGTTGCATGAGATTCTCGTGTAGTACCAGGAGGTAAAGCATACTTTTTACCAGTAATTGATAACATTCCTCCTCCTACTTCGGGGTTTTTAAATACATGAGGATACTTCTGATGCACCGCTTTAGGGGCAAGTTTCTGATTCTTGGCTCTTTCTTGATTATCAGCTAAGAATTGTGCTCGTTGTTGAGGAGTCATAAATTCTGGTTGTGGTTGTGAGGCAGAACTACGACTGTCTTGACTATCGGCCAATGCTTTCTTGTGTTGTACTATTTCCGAGATAAGCTCAAACTCTTCAAATCCAAGTATATCAAACAATTGTGATTGAAGTTGTTCATCGTTGGGTTCATCGGCTAACGTAGCTTGAACAATATTGTATACATCATCTGGTTCTTGACCTCGTAATTGACTGACTCGTCCACACTCGTCCTTAATTCGCCTTACAACATCTCCGGCTTCTTGAACATCATCTCCCACATCAATATCATCCACAATATCCGAAGATATCGACTGGAATTGCTCAAGTACATCTCCTACCACTACTCTACGAGATTTTTCAGTATCGATATTCGGAATTCGGTGCTCTTCTCCGGCCATTACACCGAAACTCTCTAAAAATTCAATCATTGGCTGCATGGCTTGCATGTATGACCCCGTGGAGTCTACCGTATAAGTTGCCATTGCTTTTAATCGATTTATAGTATAGTTAGAGTAGTATTACCTAATTGGTAAACTCCGGACATCTGTTAGTCATAGTTATATCCGGATACTCTAATTTTCAGTCACATGAGCCTCACATGACTCGCCATGTGACTATCTCTTTCTCTCAAAAAAAATATTACAGCAGATGAGATGGAGCTGAAAAAAAAATTATAGCCATACTTAAGGCTACTATTATAAGACCTCTACTAATACTACTACATACTACACAACAATGGCTAAGAGTTCCAAATCGAGACCAGATAAGGTGAGGAGCAAAAAGACCGAGTCCCGAAAGAGAAGTCACGAGGAGTCTGAATCAGAAGAAGAAGAAGTCAACAACGAGAAGTTGGTAGAAGAATTAGATGATGAGTTTGCAGAAGTAGCCGAATTATTAGGGGCAGATGTTGAAGATATTGAAGAAGAAAAGCCTAAGAATAAGAAGAAGAAGTCACATGATGATGAACTAGCACATATAGGTAAACTGAAAGTTGTAGAACAACCAGTAAATCCAGAAGACGCAAATCAAGAATCTGTAGATAATGAATTATTTGAAGAAGCTGGATTATCTGAACCAACTTTAAAGGCCATTAAAGATATGGGATTTAGTAAGATGACTAAAGTACAAGCCAAAACCATTCCTCCATTATTGGCTGGTAGAGATGTCTTAGGAGCTGCCAAAACTGGATCTGGTAAGACATTGGCCTTTTTAATTCCAGCTATAGAAATGTTATATTCATTAAAATTTAAACCTAGAAATGGTACCGGAGTTATAGTAGTATCACCAACCAGAGAATTGGCTTTACAAATCTTTGGTGTTGCCCGTGAATTAATGGCTCATCATACTCAAACTTTTGGTATTGTTATAGGAGGTGCTAATAGAAGACAAGAAGCTGAAAAATTAGCTAAAGGAGTTAATTTATTAATTGCAACTCCAGGTAGATTATTAGATCATTTACAAAATACTCAAGGATTTGTATTTAAGAATTTAAAAGCATTAGTCATTGATGAAGCTGATAGAATCTTAGAAATTGGATTTGAAGATGAAATGAAACAAATCATTAAGATCTTACCTAATGAAGAAAGACAATCAATGTTATTTTCAGCCACTCAAACAACTAAAGTTGAAGATTTAGCTAGAATCTCATTAAGACCAGGTCCATTATATATTAACGTTGTACCAGAATCTGAAGTATCCACAGCTGATGGATTAGAACAAGGGTATGTTGTATGTGAATCAGATAAAAGATTCTTATTATTATTTTCATTTCTTAAGAGAAACATTAAAAAGAAAATTATTGTATTCCTTTCATCATGTAACTGTGTTAAATACTTTGGAGAATTATTAAATTATATTGATTTACCAGTTTTAGATTTACATGGTAAACAAAAGCAACAAAAGAGAACCAATACATTTTTTGAATTTTGTAATGCTAAACAAGGTATATTAATTTGTACTGATGTTGCTGCTAGAGGTTTAGATATTCCTGCTGTTGATTGGATTATTCAATTCGATCCACCTGATGATCCAAGAGATTATATTCATAGAGTTGGTAGAACTGCTAGAGGTACTCAAGGTAAGGGTAAATCATTAATGTTCTTAACTCCTACTGAATTAGGATTCTTAAGATATTTAAAAGCTGCTAATGTTCCATTAAATGAATATGAATTTCCAACTAATAAGATTGCTAATGTTCAAGCTCAATTATCGAAATTAATTAAGAGTAATTACTGGCTTCATCAATCTGCTAAAGATGGTTATCGTTCATATTTACAAGCTTATGCATCTCATCATTTGAAAACTGTCTATCAAATTGATAAATTAGATTTAGTTAAAGTTGCTAAATCTTTTGGATTCGATGTACCACCTAAAGTTAATATTAGTATTGGATCTAGTGGTAAGGCTATAGATAAGAAGCATAAGAAACATAAAAAGAGTAATTAATTAATTATTTATTTTAGTTAGTTAGAATACTAAGTAGACGACAATAGTGCAACAGTGTGTAATATAGGCATAGTTTTTTTTTTTGCGACTTTTCCATAATTTTTCATGATGCTCGAGACGCGTAGATATCAGTACATAGAATTTCTGAGTACCTATTTAATACTAAAACTAATATTATAGTCAATAACACTATGACAGAGGCAATTACGTATATGAATAATGGAATAACTGTGGGAGATCATGGGAATCGAAACCATACAGTCCCCATTGCTCTGGATGAATTCAAATTAGACTCTACGACACGTAAGTACGACAAACAATATTATTCAATGTATCAATATAGATTTCAACATTTAAAGGATAGAATATATGATAATGCCCTTAAGAAATGGGGCGATGGAACTAGAAAAATTGATGGACAAACCATTATAAAACAAGATAAGATTTTAGATATTACTAGTGGACAATTATGTTGGGTAATTGGAACTATCTTTTCTGATTTAAAGAATAAATTAAATATTCTTGAAGATGTAGATCATGGTACCGATGATGTGTTACCTAAAGCTCCAGATAGTTATGTAGGTGCCGATGATGATATTTCATTCTCATTAATGATTGAAGATGAATCTGGACGTGCCATATTACATAATGATGATTTTTTAAATAAGAATATACTTGTTAGTGGATGTATTGTAGCAGTATTAGGAATTGAACTTCAAGCAGGAATCTTTGAAATTATGGATGTTGTATATCCTGAATTTGCTCCTCAACCTTCATTAACAACGAGGAGTAATTCAGGCAATAAAATCGCCATAATTTCTGGATTAAATGTGGATTATCAAAACAATGATATTAAACTTGATTTACTAAGAGATTATCTAACAGGAGAATTAGGACTGGAAAAGGATCATCAATTAGTTCAAAGTATTACTAAATTAATTATAGCCGGTAATTCTGTAAGACCATTAAAAGTTATAGAGAATCAAGATTTTACTAGTACAAATAATTATGGATCTAAAATTGCTAGTAGATTTGATAGTCAATCAATTGATAAATTTGATAAATGGTTAACAGAATTATTACCATCATTACCAATATCAATTATGCCAGGAAATAATGATATTGCTGAAATTTGTTTACCTCAACAAGCTTTACATAAATCTACATTCCGTCATAATTATCAATATTTAAGTGATCCAACATATTTACAAATTTGGACTAATCCACAATGGATTGAAATTGATGGTATAACAATGTTAGGTACTAGTGGACAAAATGTTCAAGATATTTTACGATACTTAAAGGATCAAGATCATAGTGCCGAAAAAATCTTGACTATTATGAAATCACATATGAAATGGCAGAATTTCATGCCTACAGCCCCTGATACTTTATATTGTTATCCATATGATGAATTTGATCCATTCATTTTAGAAAAGAAGACTCCTCATATATATTTTGTTGGGAATCAAGCTGAATACGGTAGTGAAATATTAGAATTTGATGGTGGACAAATTCGCATTATTAGTGTACCGAAGTTTGAAGATAGTGGTCAAGTAGTGATTGTCGATTTAGATACTCTTAGTACTGAAGTTATTACTGTTGGGTAGTGCCGAGACGTGCATAGGGAGGGCAATTACGTCATGCTCCGGTACTTTCCATTAACTGTTCTGTACTATTTATAGTATATATATAGTATATATATAGTATAGTATATACGATCTACAATGTAATAGTATTGATTGGTGTCAGTGTCATGTATTGGTAATGTATGTGTAGTGTGGTGTTTGTTAATAGTGGCTAGTGTCGGTAGTGGCTAGTTTCGGTAAAGGTCTAGTCTCGGTAATAGTTCTCGGTAATCAATGGGTCTCACTACGACAGCCACTGTCGCGTTGCCAGGCACCGCGTAGCTTAGACCCCAGTGCGTGCCCCTTGCACATACCGACAAATATTTAAACTGCGTACACCTCAGTACAACACTATAATTACACTATAATCACACTACCATTATCATTTAAACTATTAACCCCCCTTAACTTGCCCCATCTCTACCTAATCTACTATAACTAACTGTATACTACAATTATCTACACTAACTAAAGAAAAATTATAACCCTCTCTAATTATAATACCTCTTAAACTGTCCCCTAAATCTCTCTCTCTCTCTCTCCCTCCGCTAACTCAACCTCAACCTCAACCTCAACCTCCTCGCCGCTCCTGTCTCCCTCTCCCTAAATCACTGACCAAAAGTTATTTTTTTCCTCCACCAATTTCCATTCCCATTTCCATTTCCATTTTTAGCCTAACTGAAAATTCCCTCCCATCGTCCATTTATTCACTATCACTAACTCTCCCTAACCCATTCATATCTGCCCCCTACAATTCCCCTGGGCTAATATCATCTACTGAACCTTCTGTTCATTACTGACTAATTTTTTAAGTCACTGGTCGCTAACTTTTACCGCTAGTTAGTGTTCACTCCCTCCTTAACTAACAACGTCCTCGCCACCACTTAATAGTCCATTCATTCATTAACCATAAATCATATCCCACCATTAACAAATATCCATAAAATTCCCTCCATTCCTTACTGCATTCATCATGTCTAAAGACTCTCCCCTTAACCCTCCACCGGGCTTGAAAAAGCCCAAGAATTTACACATTGCTCATAGACGATCCCCTAGTGAGTTAACCACATTAATGGTGGAACAGTACAATTTACAACGTCAACTCGAACAGGTGCAAGCCCAACAGAAACAAATTCTTCAACAGCAACAATTGGCTGCTAATCATCATCAACAATTTACTTACCCACCTCCACCTCCGGGCCTTACCACGTCTCCATCATCTCAACATGACTTAATGCCACCTCCGGGTCTCTACCGTACGTCTCATTCCAGGACTTCTTCCATCAACAACAGCAATAACAACAACAATAACAATAACAATAACAATCATAGAAGAACTGGCTCCTCCTCCAATAACAATAACAATGGTGCTAATGCTCAGGGTCATGCCAGAAGACATTCGTTGGGATTGAATGAAGCCATTAAGGCTGCTGCGAATCAAAGACAAAGCAATAGAACTTCAATGAGTCCATCATCTTCAACCACTGCTGCTTCCAATTCAGATAATGATAGCATTCCTACATTTAAATTCCCAGCTACTCCCGTTTCCGATATCGATAGTGAATCAAATAGTCCTCCAATAACTTCAGGATCTTCTCATAATCGATCTCGATCTCTTGCATATGGTCAACAACAATTCAAATTCCCGGCCTCCTCTAATCCTCCTAGTTCTGGAGATAATTTATTACCTCCTACTCCTAATTTTTCAATAACTCAAAGTCCTGAACGGAGTCATAACAGAAGAGCTTCTCACTATAGATCAGGTTCAAGAAACTTTGATTCCAATGGAATTAATTCCAATTGGAGATCTCAACAACAACAGGGTCAAACCTCGAGTTTAGAACCTCCTCAAGCAGGGTTTATTCCCGGTCATAAACCTCGTAATAGTTCTTATGGTGGAGGTTCTGTCTCATCACTTTCTCAATTCATTCCTAATAATAATAATAATAATGGCTCCAACAATAACAATAACAACAATAATAATAGCAATAATAATAGTAATGGTCGTAAATCACTTTTTGCTCCTTATTTGGCTCAATCTTCTTTACCTGATTTAATTAATGAAGGTAGATTAGTTACTGGGATCTTACGGGTTAATAAAAAGAATCGGTCTGATGCTTATGTATCTACAGATGGATTATTAGATGCTGATATATTCATTTGTGGATCTAAAGATCGGAATCGAGCCCTTGAAGGAGACTTAGTGGCTGTTGAGTTATTGGTGGTTGATGAAGTGTGGGAATCTAAAAAGGAAAAGGAAGAAAAGAAGAGAAGAAAAGATAATACTTTAACTTCAAGACCTTTAAATGATGATATTCATAATGATGCTACTTCTTCAGCTCCTTCTACTGCTGATGGGAATGATGATAGTAATAATATTAATAATATTAATAACAGTTCTAATTCTAATTCTACCAATACTAACAGTAATAACAATATTATTAATTCTAATGATTCAGATAATGGTAGTGGATTAGCCAGAAGAGGGTCTTTAAAACAAAGACCTACCATGAAGAAAAATGATGATGTAGAAGTTGAAGGTCAATCATTATTATTAGTTGAAGAAGAGGAAATTAATGATGAAGTTAAACCGTTATATGCTGGACACGTTGTAGCTGTAGTTGATAGAATTCCAGGTCAATTATTTGCAGGAACTTTAGGATTATTAAGACCAGCTCAAGCTGCACAAGCTGCTAAGGATAAAAAGGATGGAAAAGAATCAAGTGTTCAAACTCCTCGAGCTCCAAAGATTGTTTGGTTTAAACCTACTGATAAAAAGGTTCCATTAATTGCCATTCCTACTGAACAAGTTCCCAAAGATTTTGTAGAAAATCATGAAAAATATGCTGATGAATTATTTGTAGCCTCAATTAAAAGATGGCCAATTACTTCATTACATCCATTTGGAACTTTAGTTAGTAAATTAGGAAAAATTGAAGATCCTAATACTGAAGTAGATTCAATTTTAAGAGATAATAATTTCTTATGTGATGAATATCAAGATCAAACATTCCCCATTGAAGAAGATGATTTTGAAAATGAATTGATATCTCCTCGTAGAGTGGAATATTTAAATGATTATATTATATCATTTACTCAAACTGGAGATTTTGTAGATCATGCATTACATGTTAAAAGACTTTCTCATTCTAAAATTGAATTAGGTTTTCATGCTGTAGATATTTCATATTTTGTTAAATCGGGTTCAATTTTAGATCGAAAGGCTAAAAAGAGATCATCCTCGGTATTTTTACCACAAAAGGTTGAACACTTATTTCCTCAATCTTTAATGGATATTATATCTTTTAAAGAAAATGAAAAAAATTTAGCAATTTCAGTGGTATTTGAAATTGATACTAGTAATTTTGAAGTTGAAGATCTTTATATTCATGAATCTATCATTGTTCCAAAACAATTGGTAACTTATGATGCAGTAGATTCAATTTTAGAAGGTCAATCAATTGATTCTATATCTTCAGCTACTTCAGATTATATTAAAACTTTTTGTCTTATTGCTAAAGAATTTCGTCGTCAACGATTAGATAATCGAGATTTAGGTATTAGTCCTAATTTAACATTATTAGATCAATTAGATGATGAAAAAGTTCGATTAAATTTAAATATCTTTAAAGATAGTTTATCATTTGATGTAATTAGTGAAATATCTCATAAAGTTAATAATGCAATAGCTGCAAAAATTCATGCAGGTTTAGGAGATTATGCACTTTTACGTCGTCATCCTTTACCAACTTTACAAAAAATTGAAACCTTTGTTAGAAAAGCTGAAAATCTCGGATTTAAAATTGATACTACAAGTTCAGCAACTTTACAAAATTCAATTGTAAAAATTCAAGATGAAGATAAAAGAAAATGTATTGAAACTCTTTTATATAAATGTATGTCAAGAGGTAAATATTATGTGGCAGGAAGACAAGAATCGGATACTTTTAATCATTATTATTTTAATTTACCATTATATACTCATTTTACTGCTCCATTAAGAAGATATGCTGATTTAATTGTTCATCGACAATTAAAATCAGTATTAAATAAATCAGAAGAAGATTATGATCTTGAAGCTTTAAAATCCACTACTGATTATTGTAATTTTAAGAAAGATTGTGCTGCCAATGCTCAAGAACAAGCCATTCATTTATTATTATCAAGAACTATTAATGAAATGAGTGAAAGTGCAGGACAATTATTATGTATGGGGATTGTAGTTCAAGTTTATGAATCATCATTTGATGTATTTATACCTGAATTTGGAGTTGAAAAGAGAGTTCATGGAGATCAATTACCATTAGTTAAAGCCGAATTTGATAAAATTGATCGAACTTTAGAATTATATTGGGAAAAGGGAATTGATTCTGCAACTTATGTACCACCCGATGAAAAATCTTCATTATCTTATAGAAATTCTATAAAAAATAAGTATAGAACTTCAGCTTTACAAGCAGCAAAGATTCAAAATAAAACAGTATTAGAAAAGAATGAATCTATTATTGAAAAATTGGCTAAATTAAATTTAGAACCTCCAAAATTAACAATTCCAGCTTTAGAACAACAAAAGTTGAGAGTAATTGATTTAGGAAGAGATTCAACACAATCTATGCCATCATCACCAACTAAATCTAATTTCCCCAAAAATTTAAGAACAAATTCATCATCAGTAATTAAATCTGATATTTCATCGAATTCATTTAATGGACTTGCCCCATATTTACAAGGTACCATTACGAGAATTGAAGGAGATTCTCATATTCAAGTCATTAAGGAATTAATTAAAGTTCCTGTATTGATTAGAGCTGAAATTGGAATGGCATTGCCATGTTTGACAGTTCGGGTTTTAAACCCATTCACCGAGGAACAGTAAGTTTCTCAATGACTCTTTCGGTTTATATTTCTTTATTTTATATACGAGCTTATGATAGTTAATGCATAAGTGTGTGTGAGTGTGTTGTAGGGTACTATGGTACTACTATATTGTACTGCTAAATTACTGTACTTCTATAGTACTAAACTATTATCTTATACTACTCTCTTATACTACTACTATACTACTCTCTTATACTAACTATGAGTACTATATTACTATAATACTCTACTGTATTGTTAAACTACTACAATGTACTACTAAATGTACTACTACAACTGCTACAATGTACTACTAAACTACTATACTGTACTATAATAATATACTGTACTACTATATTTATAGTACTATACTATATTACTGTACTACTAAAGTGTAATACTAAACTACTAAACTACTACTGTACTACTCTACTGTACTTTATTACATTACTATATTACTGTACTGTGCTGTACTACTCTACTAAACTATTATACTATATTACTATACTATGCCACTATACTGGACTACTAAACTACTTTACAGTATTACTAAAAGACTATCTTATACTACTGTACTACTGTATTGTATTACTGTAATGTACTACTACAATGTACTACTATACCAGTAGTAAATTCTACTACTAAACGACCATAGTCTACTACTATCTTATACTACTGCTGTACTGTACTATATTACTATACTGTACTATATTACTATACTGTACTGTATTACTATACTGTACTGTACTACTATACTGTACTGTACTACTAACTGTACTGTACTACTATACTTTACTGTACTACTATCTTATACTTCCATACTATACTGTAGTACTCTGTCTCCATCCTGTCTAGTATTTACTCCGTTATATCATCTCTCCATACTATGACTCGCTGTATACTATTACTGTACTGTATACTACTACTGTATACTACTGTATACTACTACTGTATACTACTACTGTATACTACTACTGTATACTACTACTAGTCTCCACACTTACTATACTCTCACATACTTCTCTATGACTAAGCATCGTGGCCAACTGGTAGCGCAGATCCTGCTCACTAACTCTGGTGAAAAATTTACCGAAGTCAAATATCTCCCACCGCCTACAAATCTACTAAGCACTACGGCTACTACAGTCACCACAATGGCAGCATCCAAAAACGATAGTGGGTCCAATGGGGAACATCACCATGACCATGAACACGAACACGAACACGAACACGAACACGACCACAGTACTAATGGAACTTTTATATCACCTGTACCACTTAAGAAGAAGAAGACTATTAAAGATTTAACGGTAGGAACAGGAACTCCCTTACAAACTAGGGCAGCTTCTCCATTAATTTTAAGAGCTCCTATAGATAGTGATGGATTATCTTGGCCATCAATAGGAGCCAGAAATCGAATTGATCAAAGTCCCGAAGAAGCTAATGGACGAGAAGTTCGAATTGCTAATGCAGTTAAAACTATTTTAAAAGAATTAGGTGAAGATACTGATAGAGAAGGTTTATTAGAAACTCCTGAAAGGTATGCAAGAGCCATGTTATTCTTCACTAAAGGTTATGAAGATAATATTCGAGATGTAATTAAAAAGGCCGTATTTGAAGAAGATCATGATGAAATGGTTATTGTTCGTGATATTGAAATTTATTCATTATGTGAACATCATTTAGTTCCATTTTTTGGTAAAGCTCATATTGCTTATATACCTAATAAAAGAGTATTAGGTTTAAGTAAATTAGCAAGATTAGCAGAAATGTATGCTAGAAGATTTCAAGTTCAAGAAAGATTAACTAAACAAATTGCTATGGCTCTTAGTGAAATTTTAAGACCAAGAGGTGTAGCAGTAGTAATTGAAGCAACCCATATGTGTATGGTAAGTAGAGGAGTTCAAAAAACTGGATCTTCAACTACAACAAGTTGTATGCTTGGATGTTTCCGTGAACAACAAAAGACTAGAGAAGAATTCTTAACTCTTTTAGGTAGAAAATAGTCTACTCGGAATGATTTCAACATTATCTTCCATATTCTTCCCTTTACTTCTCTTTTTTTAACCCTTTACCCTTTTACCTTTTATATAACGACGTTATGATATTCAACCCTCATACCATTAAATGTTTAGAAATATATACTTAACTATGTACATGGGCTATGTTAGCTATGTTAACTATGTAATACATCTCTAGCGATAGAAAACAAAATAGAATCATCACCATATTGAGTCATAAATTGTATGCCAGTCCCATTAATAGGTATAGAAATTGTAGGTAAACCTGCTAATGAAGCAGGAACTGTGAGTATATCATTTAAATAACTATTTAAAAAGTTTTCTTCATTCTTTTCATCATATTCTTTTAATGTAGGAGGTTTACTTAAAGCAGTAGGACTCACTAATACATCACAATTATTTAATTTTAATTCATTCTCTAACAATGGATGAGGTAATTTAAATACTTGATTAAATTCTTGTACGAGCTCTTGACGAACTTGTGCAGCCTTTAAGTAATGATCACCCGATTCAGATGAAAGAGTATAGTTACCCAAGATTATTCTTCTTTGAACTTCTTGACCAAACGATTCACATCTACTGGATACAATAGTATCATCTTCATTATTATTATCTGATTTATATCCATATCTGATACCATCATATCTTGATAAGTTTGATGCTGCTTCGGCAGTAGCTAATGTATAATATGTCAGTAACAGTTTCTTAATAGAAGGTATAGATACAACTTTTAAACTATGACCTAACTGTACTAACTTATGTAATGTCAATTCCCATGCTATCTTAGTATCTTGATCTAATTCTTCAATAATGAATTGTTCAGGTATACCTATAGTCAATTGACCCTTGGCAGTACTGACAATATTATTACGAACCTTGGTAGTCATACAAGTAGGATCTTTCTCATCATACTGATTCAATACTTCATACACTTTTTCAACAATATCAACATCCTTAGACAATATCCCTACTGTATCAAGAGTTTGTGCATAAGGTATAACCCCCCAACGAGAGATTCTACCATAAGTTGGTTTAAATCCTACTACTCCACAATAACTAGCAGGTAATCGAACTGAACCTCCAGTATCAGTTCCTAAACTAAAACTTGCCATATCAGCAGCTACTGCTGCTGCTGAACCTCCTGATGATCCTCCTGCTATACGATCTTCATTATCATACTTTGGATTAATAGTAGGTCCAAACATTGAATTGGTAGTAGAAGATCCCATACCAAACTCATCCAAATTAGCTTTACCAACCAATTTCAGACCTTGATGCCTTAGTAGTCGTACTACAGTAGCATCAAATGGACTTTGGTAATCATGTAAGCTCTTAGATGCAGCGGTAGTATATCCAACTTTAGTAGCAATATTATCCTTAACTATAAAGCTAGTACCACTTAGTACTCCACTACCACTACCAACACTATCACTATCACTATCATCGCACCGCCATATAACACTATTGGTGCGATCGCATGATTTGTTCGTCAACGTACCGTAGGCTCGAACCGCCGTCAACCCTCTGCGACTCATACGCATATGCATGCTCATGCTCATGCTCGTTCTCATACCCATCACCATTCTCGTTACCTAAACCCAGTCCCACCATTTTTTTTTGCAATGAGTCAAATTTTTCGACACCCATTGATTAGTCACTTTTAAGCATAATACATCCTCCTTAATTATCACCAACTAATTAATTATGTCTACTATACAATTATTTGGATCTAAGGGATCTACAGTAGTAGACTTAGTGAATAATATAAAGTTATCTATAGCTGCCCAGGTTTTCCAACCTCAATTAATTGTCGAACTTAATCAAGATGATGGTATCTTATTTAAGGATTCTAAATCAGGTTTCGAATTAATTGAAGCTAATGCTATAGTTAAATATTTAGCTAAAGATTTCAACTCTTCAAGTGTGATTTCTAAAGAGGAATTGGAAATTTATCCTCAATTAAAGTCTAATCAATTAACTTCTATTAAGTATGATGAATCATTATTCCATAAGGTAGAATTTACTCCATCACAAATAATTTTATTCTCAGCTTTATATCCTACTTTAAAAGATCAAAAGGATATTAGTGGATGGTTTACTGAATTCTTAACTAATGAAAAAGTTGCGAAGGCTGTTAAACATGCTTTAAGTATTACTACATTAGAAAGACCTAAAGAAATTAATACCGGTATTAGAAAAATTAAAGCTAATCATTTAGTTAAACCAAAAGTGGCAAGTATTGTACCAAAGGATGGTGAAAGAAATATCTTAATTACTTCTGCTTTACCTTATGTTAATAATGTACCTCATTTAGGTAATATTGTTGGATCAGTATTATCAGCAGATATTTATGCTCGTTATACCAAGAATAGAAATTATAATTCTTTATTCATTTGTGGTACTGATGAATATGGTACAGCAACTGAAACTAAAGCTTTAAAAGATAATGTAACTCCTCAAGAATTATGTGATAAATATCATAAAATTCATAAACAAGTTTATGATTGGTTTGGAATTGATTTTGATTATTTTGGTAGAACTCCAACATCTTTACAAACAGAAATTGCTCATGATATATTTCTTAAATTATATAAAAATGGTTATTTAGAAGAAAAAACTGTTCCACAATTATATTGTGAATCTCATAATAAATTCTTAGCTGATAGATATGTTGAAGGTACTTGTCCACTTTGTGGTTATGAAGATGCAAGAGGTGATCAATGTGATAAATGTGGTAATTTATTAGATCCATTAGAATTAATTAATCCTCGTTGTCAAGTTGATAATGCAACTCCTATAGTTCGAAATTCAACTCATGTTTATCTTAAACTTCCTGAATTAGAAGAAAAAGTTAGTAAATGGATTGATGAAGCTTCTACTAAAGGGGCTTGGTCAAAGAATTCTAAAACTATTACTGCTTCTTGGATTAAAAAAGGTTTAGAACCAAGATGTATTACTAGAGATTTATTTTGGGGTACTCCAGTTCCATTACCAAATTATGAAGATAAAGTTTTATACGTTTGGTTTGATGCAACTATTGGTTATATTTCAATTACTGCTAATTACTTTAAAGAAAAGGAAAATCCTGAAGATTGGCATAAATGGTGGAATAATCCTGATAATGTTGATTTATATCAATTTATGGGTAAAGATAATGTTCCATTCCATACTGTTGTATTTCCAGCTTCATTAATTGGTACTGGAGATGTTTGGACTAAATTACATCATTTAAGTACTACGGAATATTTACAATATGAAGGAGGTAAATTTTCAAAATCTAGAGGTGTAGGAGTATTTGGTAATAATGCTGAAGATACTGGAATTCCACCATCAGTTTGGAGATATTATTTAGCATCAGTAAGACCAGAATCATCTGATTCTCATTTCTCATGGGAAGAATTTGTTACTAAGAATAATTCTGAATTATTAGCAAATTTAGGTAATTTTGTTAATAGAATTGTTAAATTTGCTATTGCAAAATATAATGGAGTTATTCCAAAATATGATATTAAAAATATTGGAGATTATGAACAATTTGAATCTGATATTAATGGTTTATTAACTAGTTATATTGAAAATATGGAAGCAGTTAATATTAGAAAAGGTTTAGAAACTGCCATGGCAATTTCTGCTCGAGGTAATCAATTCTTACAAGATAATAAATTAGATAATAGTCTTTATGCTAATTTACCTGATAAATCAGATGCAGTTGTTGCTGTAGCATTAAATTTGGTTTATTTAGTTAGTGCAGTTATTGCTCCATTTATTCCTGATACTACTGCACAAATTAATGAAATTTTAAATGCTCCTGCCTTATCTATTACTGATAAATTTGAATTAGTATTAGAAGAAGGTCATAATATTGGTAAAGCTCAATATTTGTTTAAGAGAATCGATGAAAAGAAGATTGAAGAATGGAGAGCTAAGTATGGTGGACAAGACAGTACTTGAGCTACAACAACCACAAACAAACAAACAAACTCTAGATATATACACATAGATATATACATATTGTAACGTATAATTGACTATTATTTTGAAATTACTAAATGTAGCACACCAGTGTGTATATAGTACATACAAAACCCCTGTTGCAATTAAGGTTTACTTTACCGCATATTACCGGGGATCCGATCCAGCAGTTATAGTGGTGATACTTTTTCCCGGGGTAACCCCAGAATTCACAAATATAAATAAAGACGTGGGGTTAAGTGTAAATATGTAAATATATAATTAGTGTATTATGTGTGTGTAGAATAATAATATGTCTAAATTTCAATCGACTTGTGTAGCTTTGGGATTATTAACTGGTCTTGCTGTTCCTCCACTATTAACAAAATTCGTATTATTTCCTGTATTTGTACAAAGCAAGTATGATGAGATTAATACTATCAAACAGGAATTGGAGTTTGTAGGTTGGAATGTTCGTCATCTTGAAGAAGATCGGGGTTTGGAGGAGAATGAGTTGTATGTACCTCGGAGTCACTATAAAGCTTCCTATTAGTTGTACTTGTCCTTATGCTTTGCTTTACTTGACTTGACTTGACTGTCCTATGGTTATCCTTCCTTGTATATATTTATATTGTCTATGTATTTATATAATATTCAATACTCATCACTATTTACCAGACCCTCCTCATCAAATGAATCACCTTCCAAGTCGAAATCTTCGTCTTGTGATTCGTAGTTACGACTAAGCAGCTCTACATCATCATCCGTTATTTTGATATTACTACTCTCCCAATTACTATACTCATTGGTGGTACCGATATCTCCTCCAGTAAGAACTCTTATAAGTTTTAATTTAAATTCTTCACTTTGTTTATGGAAATCTATCCGATGACGTTCATATTCAGGAGTATCTGAACTATGTCCAATACTTTGTCCAACTCTAATCAATGTTTCTACACATGATTTGGAATTATTAATTAAATCACTATCAAATGAAAACAATCTCTTTTCAAATAATAATAATATAGTAGATCCTCCAAACTTAAAGTATCCCACTTCTTCACCTCTACTTATTTTATCTCCTACATTTTTTGTTAATACTGTAGATCCTACCATCATGGCTCCTACAGCAACCATTACTACGGTTCCAAAATGTTCAGTTTCTATAGCAATAAGACTTCGAATATTCTCTCCAAATACATCTAATTCGGATCGAATAGCCATAGGATTTACTGTATAATATTCTCCTTCAATATATTTAATACTCTTTATAACACCATCAACAGGAGAATGAAATCTATGATAATCCTGGGGTGCTAATCTAAAGATCCCTAAAGTACATTTATCTGCTTTATAAAAATCAGATGTCTCGAGACCTTCAAAATTCCCATTGAATAATTTGGCAACCGTGAATGATTTACCTTTAATCCATAATTCAGTGGCTGATGTTACAGTTGTAAAAGCTGTACAACGACAATCAGCTGGTGAAGTGGCTATTTTATTGTTTGAAGGAGATTCAAGAGGTCTAGCACCTGGTTTAAGCTTTCTATAAAAGAAATCATTGAATGATTTGAAATTAGCAGGATTCTTTTCAAGACAATCTGATAAATCTAATTTATGAAATTTTATAAAGGATCCAATATCATTAACCAGACTTGGCATATCAAATTTTGAACCTTGCTTAATACTTAACTTTCTTAATAAAGATCGAACTCTTTTAGATTTCGCTTGATCTAATCCTTTATAAAGTAATCTAATACCCAATCTAACATATACACCCATTTTCTCTTCCATTATTATCCCAGTTAATCTATCTTGAACTAAAATATTAGCTGAATTACCTCCTAAAGCATATTTACCATATGCTAATTTAATTAAAACTTTTGAGAACCATTTCTTGGTAGCTATTTGTGGACTAACATATGAAGATACTACTAATTTATTAACAATACTCCAATCTTTAGAGGCGCATATAGCCACATGAGTAATAATATCCATATCATCCTTTTTTGATAATCGTTTCTTTAAACAAAGAGGACAATTATCAAATTCAAATAATTTAAATTCTCCTTTCTCTTTAATAAAATCTTCTAATGAATCAATTATTTCATTATGAGTTAAAAGATCTCCACCCCATGCCAGTTTACCTAATTTTTCATAGAATGATACTACAAGTTCATCACTATTGGGTGATCCAAGAGTATCCAATAAAGAAATAAGTTCAAAATAATCATAACAATTCTCCTTTTCATTAAGTTGATATTGTTCAAGAAGAGTTCTCCAAAATTTTCGACGTAAATGGTCATATGTCTCAAATCTTACCCGAATAAGTAATTCTGGTTTGTGTATACCTTCATACTTCTTATTATCAAGATTTAATGAAAGATTCATTGATTTGAACATAGACAAATCTTTGTGACTATGATTATTGTTTGAATTAACTTTTGGTTTATGAGGGAACTTCTTCTTTTTCTTCTTTACTGAAGGGATTTGATTAACATCATTGGTATTATTATTTTCATCATCAATTATCTTAATAACAGAATTTTGCAGAATATAACCATTATCAGAAAATCCACTATCTTCTGGTAAATTTTCGTCTGACTTTAAGTATGAAACTTGCAGATCTTCTGAATACATAGCTGTAGCTTTCCCAGTAATATCTGACATAGGTAATGTAACACTTGCAAGTTTATCATGAAATTTTAATCTATCCATATCTAATACTGAAAATTGAATATCAAAATTCTTCTCATGAGCTTCTATTTCAAATGCAAGTCTTTCATTAAATATTGGATTTAAATTATGACGTTTCCAAGCCGTTCTAAATGTCTTTTTCCCAAAAGTTACCACTACAAATGGATCTACATCAAATGATGTTCTAGTTAAATTCTTAAGGGGAGGAAGATCTTTACAAGAAATAATTTCAATAAAGATAACTCCCAATACTTGTCTATTACTTAATTGAAATTTATCCCAATTTTCTAATAATCTTTTCTTACGTTTAGCTCGTTGAAGTAATGATTTCTTATCACGTTTATTAGCTAAATCTGATTCACCAGTAAATAATCCATCAGATGATATAATTGATGCATCAGATAATGAACTTATATCATCGGATAAATTATATAAATGTTGATTACTTGATAAACTTAGTGAACTTGAATTTTTCTTTAATGGTAACTCATTTATAATATCAGTACGAGTAGTTTCTATAGATTCTATATCAGACATATCATTAGATATATCATCAATATCATTATAGAAACCTTGATCATCAGGTTGAACATCAATTCGAGGTCTAACAAGGGATTTATACCATCTATCAAATAATAAATTTATTTCATCAGTATGAGGATCAATTAATGATACATTTTTTATACTTTCAACTAAATTATCTAACTTCTTATCTTTCCTTTTAAGTTTCTTTTTCTTAACTATTAATTCAAATGAAACAAGTAATGATCCAGTAACATAACTATGATTATTCATATTTGAATACATTTTATACCATTTTAATTCGGATTTAGTACTAAATTGAGAATTATCATAAAATAAATCTCTTAATGATATTCTAACTTCTCCTAAATAATTCTTATACTTTGAATGTTTATCCCATACTGTTAATATTAGCACTTGAGAATAATCATTGAAAATTAAGGGGATCTCAAGCTCATTATGCCAACTCGGTTGACTAGTAGCCAATTTTCGCGAAGTTTTTTTTTGACACTTATTTAAACTTACCACCAATAAAGGATTGATACTCTTTCGTGATAATCCATCACCATCATCATGATTCAGTTTTATCACTAAATCAGCAGCTCGATTAGGACTGATCTTAACATAGAGTCCGAATTTTTTTTCAACACTTGGAATTGAATTGTTAGTGTGAGACATCGGGTGAGTACTACTGAGTAATTAGACTAGCATTTATGTCAATTAGGCGTTAATTCATTGATATATGATGGACAATTGCTGTTTCAGATCATCACGGGCTTAGCCGGTAAGAATTTTGTGATGCTCGTCGCGCGCTACCAGGAGCGTGCAACCCTCATACATGTGGGAGCATAATTATGTAATTAATGTTCTATAGTATATTAAATTGTATATAATAGAATAGTACCATAGTATAATATTGTGTTATAGTATGCAATGGAAGTAATACATTACTATAGTACTATATTAATATTACTATACTATTACTATTACTATACTATTACTATTACTATACTATTACTATTACTATACTATTACTATACTATTACTATTACTCTTACTATAGTACTATTGTATAAGTACTTAGTATAGTTAAGTAGAATATACTTGTATATTGAGATAAAGCTGTCATCTGAAGCAACAAAGTGGATGCAAGTATAAAAGTAGAGAAATTGTGGAACTATATAGTAAATTAGGAACTAATAATTACAATAAAAGAAAAGAGTTAAAGGGCTAAACTGATACAGCTGTTACACAAGTAGAGCATAATTGCAGTATATAGGGTTATCTGCGGCTTCAAAGTCGTGTGCACGACACTATACTGTTAACTTACTACTACTACTACTACTATAGCACAATATTACTATATCATTATATTATTACTATATTAACTACTTCATTAACATATCAACTACTCTCTTAACACTCAATCTCTTAATATCAGTATACGTTTGTCCTGTACCTACAAATAATATAGGAACTTTTGTAGCCATAACCATATTTATCATAGCTCCAACTAAATCTCCTACAGTATCAACTTTAGAAATTATAAAGAAATCTAATCCTCTCTTATTACCAAAGGCATTATTAAAATTAATTGCTTGTTCAACTGAATCTGTACCAACTAATGCTTCACCTACCATAATAATTCTATCAGGATTAGCTGCATCACCAAATTTCTTAAGTGGAGCCATAAGTTTAGAATTAGAATGTGTTCTACCAGCTGTATCAATAAGAACTATATCATATTTTTCTTGAGTTGCAAGTTGAATAGCTCCCTTGGCAGTTTGAACTACATGATCTCCACTTCCATACCCCTTTTCAAAAATATCAATCTTAGTGGTTGTTGTAGATGATTGACTATTTAATCTCTTTAAATTATTAACATGAACTTTTAATTGTTCAACAGCTCCTGATCTAAAAGTATCACAAGCACAAATTAAGACATTTAAATTATTTTGTAAAAACCAATAAGCTAATTTAGCTAAATTAGTTGATTTACCAACTCCATTAACTCCAACAACTGATATAACATATGGTCTTTCATTATTTGTATTACGTTTTATATCATATAATAAATCTGTTGATACATTAGGAGTTAAGATTTTAGTTAATTCATCAGTTAATGCTTGTTTATAACTATTTAATGTAACATTCTTATTACCTACTTGATTTTGAATCTTTTCTATAATGGTCTTTGCCGTAGCAGGATGAATATTCTTAGAAATTAATTGATCATTAAATTTTTTAGAAATTTCTTCAACATTAATTGATCCACCTAAATAAGATGATAATTTCCCAAAGAATCCACTAACTTTTCCTGAAGGTTCATCATTATCTTCATCATCTGAATTATCAGAATCATTAAGTATATCATTTAATTCATTAACAAGAACTATATCATTTTGATGAATAAATGCTGAATCATCAATTTTTAATGGTTCAAGATCTTCTGGTTGAGCACTATCATCTCTAAATTCAGAATAATCAAGAACTTTATCTTCAACATTATCTACCATAGTATCTCCATCCCATTTTCTCATTTTTTTAGATCCTTTATTAGAATTCCTATTCTTTATTGGAGTACTAGTTCCACTATTATTAACACTACTAATTGGAGATTCCTTTGGTTCAATTTGTTTATATTTAAGAAGTTGATTTAATTGTAGATCAACTAATTTCTTTAATTTTTCATCAACTTGAACTTGTTCATTATCTTCATATAATTTATTAAATGTTTTGATTATTCCAATTAATGTACTTTTAACTTTTTCACTATCAATTGTCGTTACTGAATCAAAATATAATGCTACATATAAATCTTCTTTATGATATCCATAAAATCTTCTTTGATGCAAACTATTAGTATAAAAATTCTTATCTAATTCTAAATGAGTTTCATTAACTATACTAATAATAAATTCATTAAATGGACTAACTTTATTATTGGTTTGATATTCGATCTTCCCAGATCGTCTAAACACAATTAAACACTGAGACATCTCACTGGAACTATGATTTTAATCCTTACTATATGTATCTCGTATAACTTTTGACTCCCATAACATTTTTGAAAATTGGCCATATTCCTTGGACCTGCATGCAGGTCGGTCAGGGTTTATTAGATACAAAAAAAAATAACGTCACAGACAGGATTCGAACCTGCGAAGGAAAATCCCAACGCCTAAACCGCTAGAAATAGCAGGGCGTCGCCTTAACCACTCGGCCACTGTGACAAATTTTCCAAAATTGGAATTCGTCGTTAAACAAAGGAGTCTGTATCACGGTTTATTTTTCACATGATCCAGCACGTGATCATATGCCACGTGACGTTTTTCCTTTTTTTAATTATTTTACATAAATAACCCTTTTTATGAATAATTCATGATATAGACTATTAGATAGTAATACTAGTTTGTCAAATCACTATAGTTCCATTCAATAAACTCGTTAAAATTCATAAATAATCTATGGTTAATGGTGCCATAGTTAACAGTTTGAGGAGATTACACGACCGCGTTTTCCAATTTTTCTGTTTTGGTAACGAATGAATCATAACCCATCATCATTCACCATCAATTGCTTAATGTATATAGTCAACATTGATCAATAATCATTTCATATAATAGAGAGTCATTAAGTATAATAGAATTCAAGATGGCATATTATCAACAGCAAGTAAATAATCCGCAGAATATGCAATTTTATCAATCAGATTATGCCAATACATATCAACAACCTAATACTGGAGGCAATCTAGGAGCAATGGATAGTGGATTTGGAGGTAATATAGATGTTAGTGGAGTAATGGGAGGAGGAGAATTAACTCAAGGGATATTGGCAGCATTTGGTACCTCGGGATATCCTGGAGAACCTCCATTACTTGAAGAAGTAGGAATAAATTTTCAACATATAAAATCAAAGACATTAGCTGTATTAAATCCTATAAATCAAAATATTAGTTCTGATATAATTGCTGATGCAGATTTAGCAGGTCCAATACTTTTTGTATTATTAATAGGTACATTATTATTATTATCAGGTAAAGTTCAATTTGGTTATATTTATGGAGTTGGACTCTTTGGTACTACAGGTTTACATTATTTATTTAAATTTATGGGTACAAATGTTCAAATTGATTTAGCAAGATCTGCTTCAGTTATTGGTTATTGTTTATTACCTTTAGTATTATTAAATGTAATTGGTGTAGTAATGTCATTAGATAATATGGTTGGATATATTTTAAGTATATTAGCCGTAATTTGGTGTACTTATTCAGCTTCAGGATTTTTTGTGGCAGTATTACAATTACATAATGCAAGACCTTTAGTTGCTTATCCACTTTTTATGTTTTATTCGGTATTTGCATTAATGACAATCTTTGTAGAAAAATCCGATTAATTGATTAATTAATAATTAATAATCAACTAATTAATTAGTTAGGTTCTTTCATAAATTATATAGGTTATGCTTAGCATAGTAAATATTTATTAGCGTAACATATTTTTAGTGACCTATGTCGCACACACCACTAACAAAATCTTGAAAAATGTCTCTCTTTAGTATCCCTACTAATATAACCCCACTATTAATTAACCAATTATCATTACCAATTACTAATTATCAATTACTAACAAATGATTAAGAAATTAGTTGCAAGAGTAGGGAGAAGAACTCCTAAGTATGAAATAATACGAAGACTTAGTAGTGAAGTTAAACCTAAACCATTTTATGTAACTACTCCAATATTTTATGTTAATGCTAAACCTCATTTAGGACATGCTTATTCAATGATTTTAAGTGATGTAAGAATTAGATGGGAGAAATTAAATGAAAATAATAAAGCATTTTTTTTAACGGGAACTGATGAACATGGATTAAAAATTCAAGCAACTGCCGAAAAATTAGGTAAAGATCCTCAACAATTAGTTGATGAAGTTAGTGATAATTTTAAGAATTTAGCTCAAGTTTTAAATGTAAATTATGATAGATTTATGAGAACAACTGATAAAGATCATATTGAAGTGGTCAAATACTTTTGGAATTTAATGGAATCCAAAGGTTTAATTTATCAAGGATCTCATAGTGGTTGGTATTCAGTTAGTGATGAAACTTTTTATCCTGAAACTCAAATTGAAGAAATAATTGATTCAAAAACTGGTGAAAAGAAAGTAATAGCTAAAGAATCAAGAAGTGAAGTGATTTTTCAAGAAGAAACAAATTATTTCTTTAAATTATCCCAATTTCAAAATCAATTAATTGAATATTTAGAAGCTCATCCTGATTTTATATTACCTCAAAGTAGGTATAATCAAATCTTGAAAGATTTAAAGGAAAATAAATATAATGATTTATCAGTTTCTAGACCTTCATCAAGACTTAAATGGAGTATTGAAGTACCTAATGATCCTAGTCAAAGAATATATGTATGGTTTGATGCACTTTTAAATTATATAACTGCAACTGGTTATCCCCATACATATACGAATATTCCACCTCAAGATAATCCATGGCCTGCTACCCATGTTATTGGTAAGGATATAATTAAATTCCATTGTATATATTGGCCAATATTTTTATTAGCAGCTGAAGTTGAATTACCTCGACAAGTAATTGTTCATTCTCATTGGTTAAGTGATGGATTTAAAATGAGTAAAAGTTTAGGTAATGTCGTTGATCCTATTGAAATGGTTAATTATTATGGAGAAGATCCATTAAGATTATTTTTAATGGAGAATTCTAATATTGAAGATGATTGTCGATTTAGTGAGAAATTACTCTTATTATCACGAGAAATGATTATTGGGAAATATGCTAATTTAGTTACAAGATCAGGAGCTAAAACATTTAATATTAAAGAAAGTATTGATTATTATAATCAAGGCAAATATAATGATATAAATCCAATAATTAGTAATTATTCAGCTGACCAATCTAAAGTTGAAGATTTATTATCTACAAAAGATGAGTTAATATTATTATTTGATGATATTTATAATAAAATGAATGATAAAATGATTGTATTTGATTATATTAGAGCCATTCAAGAATGGTGGACATTTGTTTATAAAGCCAATTATTTATTTCAAAATGGTGAGCCATGGACTTTGGTTAAACAATGGAAGGCAACTAATAATGAAGAAGATAAAGAAAAGCTTAAAATATTAATAAATTTCTATACATTTATTGCTAGTGAAACTTCTAGAATTTCTTCTATTTTAATTAGTCCAGTAATGCCTGAATTAGCTAAAAAAGTTCTTGATCGTTTAGGAGTTGATAAAAGTAGAAGATTTATTAAGGATGCTAAGTATGGAGTTGATGATAGTTATGGTACAGGAGCTAATTTAAAACATGAACTTGTTATTGAGAGAGTTCCTGCGAGGGTAGTAGAAGATGTAGAGTAAGTGTATATAATATAACTTGTAAATAGATAAAGTAATTTATAGTGTAATAGTACTTGTAGTAGTTAACCTACTAATACTAATACTAATCTAATACTAATCTAATACTAATCTAATACTAATAGTAATACTAATCTAATACTAATACTAATACTAATCTAATACTAATCTAATACTAATCTAATACTAATCTAATACTAATACTAGTTCTTACTAGTGTAGCATTAGTGCATTAATAATTCTTACAGCTACTCTTTGTTCCGCCAGCTTTGCTGCGAAATACTAACAATTTTCGTATACTAATCCATAATATCTCATACATTCACATATACAAACTAGTTTATACTTACCATACAAATATACAAGAACACATACGTCAACAAATACATTCAATAGTACTCAACCACTATAACATATATATATAACATTAATAAAAATGAAAAAAAAACACATACCATTCCTCACTCCAAAATCTCAGCCTAGCCTATTTTTACCGGGCTTTTTCCTGAGAACTAATTTAGTGAGCTAGCACAACTCTACATGACCATAGTAAAATGGCTGCAAATTACTGTCCTATATTCGCTAAGATACAGATCGGTTGCATTTCCAAATCTCCGACCGTGATAATTCGATTTACTGGATTCATCAATACACTAAAATCACTGTAAAAATTTTTTTTAATCACTTAAATACACTTAAGTTACCAATACCATTCATTTACTAAACATTTACTATCATTAATAACTCGGTATATAATTAATAATCATCTCTAATCATTACTGAAAGTTTTGCTTATCATGACAAAATTTCACTACCAGCCCACCCACGAAATTTTTAGGGCGCCGAAAAAAGCGCGAGGTACTTAAAATTAGGCAGCCAAATATAAAAGCAGCCAAAACAGTCAACTCTATACTATTTAGTATTACTGGTGACCCAAATCGTAGACGGAGGAATCAGGAGAAACCAATCAGATTAGTGTGTTGGCCATTACAGAGCGATTACTGATAAGTTTTTGATTGATTCACTAATTACTGACTGATTACTAGCTGATTACTACATCCACCAACAACCATGGGGAAGAGAAGTAGGAAACCGAGATTTGACGATGATGATGAAGATTTAGAATATGATTCTAACTTTACTCATGGTCGTAGAGCTCGAGCAGTTGTATCTTATAGAGAAGATGAAGATGATGAAGATGAAATAGATGGTGATGGTGATGGTATTGAACCACCAAGAGAACCAAAAGTAGAAGAACCAAAAGAACCAGTCGATGATGAAGTGGATTATGTAGAAGATGATGAAGAAGATGATGAAGATACTAAACCTACCTCCCGAAAGAGAAGTAGTCAACGATCCAGACGGTCTAAGATTGAATCTGATGATGAATTTGAAGCCGACGATTTTGAAGATGAAGATGAAGTTATAAGTGAAGATGATGACTTTATAGAAAAACTTCAAGAAAAGAGTTTTATAGTTAAAGATGAAGAAGATAATGAAGATTTTGGATATGGAGAATCTCCTCGAAAGAAAAGAAGAAGAGTAAGAACAAGATCTCGATCAGTTGAACCAAAAGTTATTGAAGAAAATGGTGATATTACAAAGGAATCAGAAGAAGAAGATGATATTCAAAAGGAATTAGCTGAACTTTATGATTCATCACCAGATACAAGTCCAGTTCAACATAAATTAAGAGAAAGAAATCAAAATATTGATTATACAATCCCACCTCCAATAACTAATGAAACTCAATTATATGATAATTTTAGATCAGCTCCAAGTGGTAGAGGTAGAAAAGGTAGACCATCAACTAATAAAAGTGAATATAGAAAAATTTTATTTCCAACTGCTGGACCATTTGGTGGTAGTGATGTTATATCATTATTTGGAACAAATATTCCTCCTGGTGGTATTCCAATTCCAGGAATGACTGGTGATCCAAATTTAACAGCCATTGGACAAAATTTAAGTGATTCTGATAGTTCAGATGAAGAAATTGCTCCAATTAATGGTGAAGCTACTATTTCTAAAAAGCCTTTACCATCAATAACTAAATTTAATACTAGTACTACTACCAATAATAATAATCCAAATATTCTTAATAATACAAAACTTATAACGGCTGGATCATCTGATCCATCAAAGGATAAGAAAAAGAGTACTTTAAGTGATACTGATCCATTAGGTATTGATATGAATATTGATTTCTCTGCTGTGGGAGGTCTTGATAATTATATAAATCAATTAAAAGAAATGGTTGCATTACCATTATTATATCCTGAATTATATCAAAATTTTGCTATAACTCCTCCAAGAGGAGTATTATTTCATGGTCCACCAGGTACAGGTAAAACATTAATGGCTCGAGCTTTAGCTGCTAGTTGTTCAACTGCTGAAAGGAAAATTACTTTCTTTATGAGAAAAGGTGCCGATTGTTTAAGTAAATGGGTTGGAGAAGCTGAAAGACAATTAAGACTTTTATTTGAAGAAGCAAAAAATCAACAACCAGCTATTATTTTCTTTGATGAAATAGATGGATTAGCTCCAGTAAGATCTTCTAAACAAGAACAAATTCATGCTAGTATTGTATCAACTTTATTAGCATTAATGGATGGTATGGATAATAGAGGTCAAGTTATTGTAATTGGAGCTACTAATAGACCTGATTCAATTGATCCTGCTTTAAGAAGACCAGGAAGATTTGATCGAGAATTTTATTTCCCATTACCTGATATAAATGCTAGAAAGGAAATTTTAGCAATTCAAACGAGAAAATGGACTCCACCATTACAAGAAACATTTATTGAAAAAATAGCTGAATTAACTAAAGGTTATGGAGGAGCTGATTTAAGAGCTTTATGTACAGAAGCAGCATTAAATAGTATTCAAAGAAAGTATCCACAAATTTATCAAACTAATGAAAAATTACAAGTTAATCCATCAAAAGTTAAAGTTATTGCAAAAGATTTTATGAAAGCAATTGAAAAAATTGTTCCATCAAGTGCCAGATCTTCATCAACTGGTTCAGCTCCATTACCAGATCATTTAAAACCTTTATTACAAGATAGTTTACAAGAAATTACTGAAAAATTAAGTAATTTATTACCTAATACAATTCATAATCCTAATCAAAAAAAATTAACTACATTAGATGAAGCATTATATTTTGATCCATCAATTAATGATCCAGATGGAGGATTTTCAAGACAACAATTATTAAGAAATCTTGAAGGTTCAAGAATTTGTAAACCTCATTTATTAGTTAGTGGAAATGAAGGTAATGGACAACAATATATTAGTGGAGCAATATTAAATTATTTAGAAGGATTTCAAGTTCAATCATTAGATATGGGGAATATATTTGGAGATGCTACTAGAACTCCTGAACTGACAATTGTTCAAGCATTTATTGAAGCAAGAAGAAGTCAACCATCAATATTATTTATACCAAATATAGATGTTTGGTTTGATGTTGTACCCCATTCTGCAAGAGCAACATTATCAAGTTTACTTAGAAGTCTTAAAAGTAGTGAAAAGATTCTTTTATTGGGAGTTTCTGAAACTGAAGAATGTCAATTAGATTCAGAAATTAAAATTTTATTTGGTATAAATAGTCCGGCTAATAATGTTAAATTAAATAATCCAAGTGAAATTCAAAGACATATTTATTTTGAATCTATTTTAAAAACTTTAAACATGAAACCTTATGAATTTATTAATGATATAGAAAATCGTCCAAAACGGAAATTAAAGAAATTACCAATTGTTAAGACTTTACCAAATTCTTCAACAATTGAATTAGATAAGAAAAAGATTAAAGAAATTGAATATAATGATACTAAATTAAAAAATGTATTAAAAATTAAATTAGCTGGATTAATGGATTTATTTAAAAATCGGTATAAACGATTTAAAAAACCTATTATTGATGAGAATTTACTTTATCATTTATTTGATCCTAGTGTAATTCAAAATCCAATTAATCAATATGAAGTATTATATATTAAATCTAATGATTCTAAACATGAAAATATGATTCAAGAATTAACTACTGGGAAATATTATCATAATATGGATTTAGATATTATAGAAGAAAGATTATGGAATGGATATTATAGTGAACCAAAACAATTTTTAAAGGATATTAAAATGATTGTTAAAGATTCTATAACTTCTGGTGATCGAGAAAGAATTTTAAAAGCTAATGAAATGTTAACTAATGCTCAATTTGGTATAGATGATTTTTCAACACCAGATTTTGTAAATGCATGTCATGAAATGAGACTTCGAGAGATTGAAAGACAAAATAAATTATTACAAGATCATAGGAAGCTTGAACAAGAGTTTAGAAAACAACTGATTGCCAATATTAAAGATTTGACTGATATACCTCGAGTGGAATCTCAACAAGATCCAAGTACTAATACTAGTAATAATGGTAATATTGAGATTGTTGAACAACCTCAACCTCAACCACAACCTCAACCACATCAAGTAATAGTTTCTGAGATTGGAGTTGATGAATCTGTTACCACTGTAACTGAAACTATTGATGAAGCTAAAGAAAATGGTAATACTGTAGTAATAGAAGGCACTAATGAAACTAAACCCGAAGTTGAGGCCGAAGTTGAAGTTGAAGTTGAAGCTCAAACTGAGACAGTATCAGAAACTATAGAAAATGGTAATAATGAAGAAGATTCTGAATCAGAAATTGAAGAAGAATTACCTATAGATATAAATAAATCAGTTGAATTAAATCAATCTGAATTTGATTCATTCTATAATGAACTTATTAGAGTAACTAATGATTTTAATATTGAAAAACTTGAAATAGTTATGGCTAAAGCGATGGATATAATTTGGACTGATAGAAATCAATGGAATAAATCTCCTACTATTAATAAATTAAAGACAATAATTACAGCCATTCAACATGATTTTAAAAATGGATCTTAATAGTATTTAGTACTTAGTACATACAGAATTGAACTTTTATATAATATACAATAAATTAACTGTAATCAGATTAATCTTAATATTAATCTTAATATTAATCTAATCTTAATCTTCAGCACTTCCATCTCTTGGTCTATAAACAATATTTTGAGATTCTAATTCACTTATTATATCAGGAGGTAATTTCCCATTTACTTTAACAGCATAAAGTCCCGAAGTAAATGAATCAATTCTTAACCATCTTGCCACCCATGAGGCTCGGTTATCATTTCCTAAGGCTACCAATCCTTCAAAAGCTGGTGAAGTACATTCTTGAACTTGTCCTTCTTCGTTATCTTGAAAATGCAATAGTGACTCACAGTTGGGACATCCTTGATCCACAAACTTCTTAAACGGTTGGATTATTCCACAGAGCATGCATGCTCTTTCGCTTCTAGCCGACATTGTGGTTGTAGTAGAAGAAGTGTAGTTGTGGTAGTGTAGTTGTAGTAGTGCAGTACTATTACTTAGTTACTTAGTACTATGACTTACTACTGTTTCTCAATTTTTCAAATTTTCACAGGTGTGACTCGACGCAGGTGACCAAATATCATCAAGCCATTTTTATAGTTAGTCAATTAACTATACCTACACATATAATTCTAATAAGTATAGAGTATAGAGGAGTATAGTTTAGTAGAATGATAAGTAGAAGTATTCGAGGGACAGTTTCAAGACTTAAGCCTAACCCTCGGATCATTCCGAAACGTCATTATACAGTAGAAGTACAAACTATTGTAACTACTATGACAGAAACAATGCAATCATTACATTCTACAACTGGGTTACCATGGTGGATACTTATACCAATAACAACATTTACTCTTAGAAGTATATGGACTATGCCATTAGCAGTTTTACAAAGAAAACGAATAAGGAAACAAGCGGAATTAAGACCTATAATTAGTGCCATGAATCCCGTATTAAGATTAAATTTAGCAAGAAATACTCAAATGGCTAAAGATAAAGCAACTAAAATTACTGATGAAAGTGAAGCATTATTAGCAAGTCAAGCTCCTCTAGTAAATATGGGTTATGAACAAATATTAGTTCTTGCCAGTAAAGAAACTAGAAAAAGACAAAAGAAATTATTTAAAGACAATGGAGTTCAATTATGGAAAAATTTCATATTACCAGCATTTCAAATGCCATTATGGATATCTATGTCAGTTTGTATGAGAGATTTAAGTGGTTGGACTACTTGGAGTAGTTTATCTAATAAACCATTAGATTCTGATTTATATAATGAAGGAATTTTATGGTTTAGTGATCTAACAACTTGTGATCCATTTCATGCATTTCCATTAGCTTTAGGAATTATAGCACTTTGTAATGTTGAATGGACATTTAAAACATTTGATTTATTAAGATCTGGTCAAAGAAAATCTCTTAGACCAACTATAACTGATGCTATTGCAAATATATCTAGAATGGCAGTTGTATTTTTAATGTCAATTTCTTTACATGCACCAACGGCTCTTACATTATACTGGTTTAGTTCTCAAGCATATTCATTAATTCAAAATATTATATTAGATTTAACACTTCCAGTAAGTTTTACTCCTAATAAAAGATTTAATCATTCTATACAATCAAATCCTGAATCAATTGGAGTAATTAATGATAAGAAATTAGGGACAGATAAACCATAATTTATATTCTATTAATATAATGTATATAGATTAAATAGATTAAATCCTATAAATAAACATACCATGTATATAATAAATTAGATTAAATTACATTAATCTTATAAATTGAATTAAATAAGAAATCTTATGAGGTCATGGTTTATGTGTATTGATTGCGAAATGAAATACACCACTATACCCTAAATAGGAAATCCACAAATCCAAATCCACATCCACAAATGCACCTAAATTATATAATGCGATAGTAACTAATCTATACTAACTACACCAAAATGAGTCATAGTAAGTACGACTACTTAGAAAAAGCAGCCAATGAACTCTATGAACCCATAATACAAGAACTATCCAGTCAATCCACCAAAAAGTATGATAAAGATAAGTTAACATTTGAAGAATTAACTCAGTGGAGACATGAAAAATTACCCACAATATTAAATCAAAGATTTAAAGATAATGATCATACATGGCTTACTAAAGATGAATTGATATTACTAATGGATTGGAAACTTGCTGCAGGGAAGTTTAGACCTACCTTACCTAAACTTATAAAGAGTAATGAAGAAAATGATGTTATTGATATAACTAAATCAGGATTTGATATTCTCTTACAGTTTACTAAACCAATAGGAACAAAAGAATATCAGAGTACTGTTAAAGATTCTATTAAAAAGATAAGTCAATTAAGAGGAGTAGGACCTGCAACAGCCAGTTTAATGTTATCATTACTATATAAAATCAATAAAACTATTGCTCCACCATTCTTTAGTGATGAAAGTTTTATTTATTATGTGATACAACCTATTCGACCTCAAACTCCAATAAAATATAATATAAAGGAATATATTGAAGAACTTTTACCAGTTTATTTTAAAATCCTTAAAGTTCGAAATGATTTAGATATGCAATTATTAGAAAGAGGTGCTTGGTCTATACAACAAATGATATTAAATCAAATAGATAAATTGATTAATGTTAAAGTACCTTTTGAAATTAAACCACTTGAAGAATTAGAAATAACTTCTCCAGAACCGGTTAAGAAGAAGAGGAAACATAACTAAGAATTAAATTTATACTAACTATAAATCAACATGATCCTTTTCGAAATTAACTAAAGTAAATTTATCATCATTTAAAGATAATGTTCGAATATTATTATTAACATTTTCAAAGATATCTTCTAAATTTGAAGTTTTTGAAAATCCTAATGATTGTAATATAATCTTATTAATTTCTGATAATAAATTAGAAATATTCTTTGAATAATTATTAAAGGCTAAATTAACTTTTGGTAAATTTAATAACCCCTTTTCATCCTTAACTAAGAATGCGGAAGATAATTCATTAACTCGTTCTAAATCTTTATAAGTTGTTTGTAATTGTGTTCGGAAACTATAGGCCTTTTCATATAAATCATCTTCTGATTCTTTATATTCAAAATCAAATTCATATCGACGACCTAATTTTCTTTCAATATAATTCTTAAGTAAATGAGTAAAATGTAATATATCAATTTCAAATAAAATATGACTATTCTTGGGAGAAGTAAAAATCTTTCGATAATTTAATGATAAAAATTTTAAAAGTAATTCAAAATCATTATTTAATAAATAATTCTTAATAACTTGTCTATTAACAGCATGAGAATTCTTTAATTCAATAAAATCTTCATTTTCTATAACTTTATTAACTTCTTGTGAAAGACTTTGAAGATCATTATTAAAAGATTTAAAAGTTTCTAAATAACCTTCATGATTTAAATAACCTTTAATTAATTGATTTAACATATTAGAATCTTCTTTAAGTGATTTTTCAATTGGATCATTAGATTCTTTATCTAATAAAGATAAATATAAATATTTTTGATTTTCTTGTTTAAAATTTTTAACATAATTAGATATATTAAATTTAAATTCTTTAAATCCAAAATTAGTTTTAATTTTAGCATTTCCATCAGCTGAATCATCAATTTTAAATCCAATTATTGGATATACTGAACTTGATTTATCAGAAAATAAATTATCAAGTAATGAATTATTTGAAGTTAATTCATCTTCAGTAATTACTCTTGCTAATACTCCATTAAGAGTTATAAAAATTGATTTATCAATAAAATTAATTCCACAACCCATAGTATCAGTTTTATAAATTCTTCTATTACTTTCCTTTAAAATCTTGGTTTTAAATGGTACTCCAATATCAACTCTACCAGAATCAAGTTCAGCTAAATTTGATCTAGTTAATTGAGTTAATCTTCTATTACCATTAATTATAGCTGATCTTTGAAGTGATTCAGATCCCTTAACTGAATTATAAAATGTCAGATCTTCAAAATTAACTGCAAAACTACCTTTAAGTTCTCCAGGTCTAGATATAATTAAACTTTCAATTGTTTGTTGATCTTCAATAATTTCTTTATAATAAATATCATCTTTAACTTTTTCAAGATCAATTATTGCACTAGTTGTATTGGCAGTAATTGGATTCTCTAAATTAATTAATCTCTTTGTGAAACCAGCACAAATATATAATGAAGATTCTGAACTCATAGATTGATCATTTAATGCAATTATTGTTTTAAAATTATTGGATTCTTTAGCAGATTGTTCAACTTCAAGTTCATAATAAAATATTCCAGTAGATGGTTCTATATGTTTATCAGTAATAAAATTAAAATATTTAGATTTATCATCAATTGATGGTTGAGGAATGGCTGTACCATTTAATTCAATATTTGAATATCCATTAATATTAATAATATTAAGATTCAGAGAATTCTCTAATCCAGTTAAAAGTTTCTTAGGAATTAATGGAACCCAAGAAACTGGTAAAGGATAATCAAAATTAAAATCTTCAAATGTTAAGAAACTTGTTGGAACTTTATATTTATGATTAGCTTTAACTTTTGCTAATGTAATTAAATCCTTAAGTGGATATTCTAAATATTTCTTATAATCTTTTGGATAATTATCAAATTTTGCAAGATTACTAAAATTAATTTCTCCAATTGTTCGAGATGAATATACTGATAATTTATCAGTGGCTGGATCACCTAATGGTTGATTATTAGGTTGAGATTTTATTGATGGTTCATCTTCTACTAATCGATTCTTAAATGTATTATATAATTCATATAAATGTGAATTATCACATTCCATTGGATTATCTCCTAATACTCCTATAATAGCCAATTTATAAAATGTCTTTTCTTTAATAATTTCATTCAAATAATGATCATCTGAAAATCTAGTGGCCTTATTATTATTATCAATATTACCTTGATAATAATGTGGAGAATCTGTGGAGATGACATTAAGTACACTTAATTGTTCATCTTGTTGAGCAAGTTTACGATGTAATTCTGATCCAAGACATGTATTCAAAAGATACGGAGGAATTATATATGTTAAATTATATTGACTCATAATGTTCTTAAGTAATTTAATTATATCTTCTAACAATTACTATGTTTTCTAATTATATTTAACTTAACCAAATGGTATTCTTGCAAGGACTTTGTGTGCCAGGAGTGCATATTGAATTTTGTTGTATTGAATAAAATTTACCAGATGGCTCAATCAGAGTAGTGGTGATAGATCAGAAATCTCCTAAATTCATTGCGGAAATAGAGTAGAGAAAAAAGGTTAGTAGTGAGTGAGTATGACTGATAGATTAGTGAGTCAAATACAAAATCATTTACCGAATATTCCTGTACAAGTAGTATCTCAAGGGGCTGAAGCATTAGTATTTCAAACTTCAGTACATCCATATATAGATAAACCTTATCTTAAGAATCAAGGTAAATATATTATTAAATATAGACCTTCAAAACCTTATAGACATCCAACAATTGATGCTAGTATTACTAAAAATAGAACGATTGGAGAAGTTAAATTTATGAATAAATTAACTAAATTAGGTATAAATGCTCCATCAGTAATTCTGGCTGATTATAATCGAGGTATAATATGGATGGAATTTTTAGGTACAGAATTAACCAATGGTGATATAAGTTCACTAAAAAATTGGTTGTGGTACTTGGAAAAGAATGAGTCAAAAGAAAAATGTCTTAATGATCAAGTTCAGAGTGTATGTAGAAAAGTTGGTAAACTTATTGGTAAATTACATTTAAATGATATGATTCATGGAGATTTAACATCTTCTAATATAATCTTAGAAGATTTTGAACCTGCATTAATAGATTTTGGTTTATCATCTTATTCTGGTTTATCAGAAGATAAAGCAGTTGATTTATATGTATTAGAAAGAGCTATTTTAAGTACTCATTCAGTATTTTCAGATCATTATAATCAATGGTTACTTGAAGGATATGAAGAAATTCATAAAGAATTCTCTAAACAAGGTGGTACTAAGAAATATGTTGAAACTTATAGAAAATTAGAAGATGTTCGTTTAAGAGGTAGAAAGAGAAGTATGTTGGGTTAGGTAATGATTAATGTAATATATTAAAATACAAATATACAAAACTTTTTTAAAAAGTAATCAGCTCTATTGTAGGTCTATCAAAGATCAAATCAAAGCATTTATAACCTTTATCACCCAAATTGATCCTGTCAATTGTTTCCTTTTCCCAACCAAATTTTAAAATTTCTAATATGTTATTACCAACATTTGAAGCCATTGAATTCGAACTTTCTGTTAATTTCTCCGATAATAATTCCCTTTGAATATCATTAATTGTAGATATACCAGTAATAAATAAACTTAATGTAATTAAACATGATGAATGATTTTCAGCAGGAATATTTTCAGTTAATTCTTCTAAAATAGTATTAACTCGATCTTGAATTACTGGTAAAAATGATGGTATTATAGGATTAATTAATTTCTCTAATAAAATCCCACTAGCATTAAGGTTAATAATTGAAACTGCAAGATTACTTCTTAATCTCTTATAAGAATTTGTAGATGATAATTTAAGATTTTCTAGATTCAATTTATTGACTCTATTTTCATTTTCAATATCAATAATTCCTTGTCGAAGAGCTAAGATTAACTCCCAATATTTCTCATCTGGTAAATAGTAATCTTTTAGTTCTGGGTCATCTTCATCTTCAAAATGCATTCTTAATAACCAAGCTAGCTTCGACATAATTTCAAAACTATTCAATGCAGATCCAGTAACAGGATTATTCATCCAAGCCACATCACAATCCTGAAATATTGGAGTTTCAAGCCATTTCTTAATTTGAGGAAATAAAACATATGGTGAAGGTAAGGTAATTAAATCTCTTTTAGAGCAAGACAAGAGAGCTGCTGAATAATTGAAAAGAAAACTATCAACTAGAGATCTTTCAATTGGAGTTATAACAAATGTTGATTCTTCGTCTTGATTCATGGCTCTCTTTTTGTAATCTCGTCTCTTGATTAAATTATAAACAAAGATTAAATGTTTTGCACATCTTGAACCATTTAATCCAAAAGCTCGATCTCGAAGACATAATGTTAAACCAGCTGCAAGTAACCAATCACTATCAAGATCAATTGATTTATCAGCAAATGCTTTACTTAAAGAGTAAATTGCCTGTGAATATTTCTTCTCTGATAATTCACTATAATATGATGATAAGTCAAGTGATCCATTTGTATAATTATGAAAGTATGACATATATGATGCACCACAACATAAATAAACATCTGTCAATATAGATGATTGGGAACTTAACTGAACCCAAAGATGATCTGGTGATAGAAGTGGATGAGAATGTGGTAATGATATAGATGGCATAAATTCATAAACAAAGTGATGGAATAATTCCGAATCTTGGGTAGATAATTCTTGATTACTGATATATTTGGAATGAGATAAAAAAGAAACATCTGACATAGGAGATTGTATAATATCATTGAAAATAGTGGGATTACCTTGCTCATCTACTTCAGTTATTCTTGGTTCTAAGAGTTCAAGTAATGCTGTATTTGGAGATTCTTCAGTTGGTTCTTTTTCTCTCGGTGATTCTTTTGATATTTTAATAACATTTTGTAATTCAGCTTCAGAAGTAATAGATTCACTATTATACTGTGCAGATGAAGGACTGGCAATTATAACATTAAATACTTGTTCATGAGGTACCAGTCCATCATACTTAAGCACTTGGGCTTCCTTAGCCAGTGATCTTCTTCTTTTTTTCTTTGGGGGTATAACATTATAATTAGCTCTCTCTAAAGTAAAATCAGCTGGAGCAGAATCCTCGGGATTCAAAGGATATACACATTTTATACGATTTCTTAAGCATGCATGACATGTTGGTCTTGCTTCATCACATTTCTTCTTCCTCTTTCGGCAACAGAAGCAACCGGTTCGGACTCGATTCTTCTTGTTCCTACCACCACTATGAACTTCTGGTGAATCTATATTAAAATTTTCTGGAGATAGTGGTTCTGATTTTATGGGAGATGATTGTTTATCGTCATTTTTAGACTCGAAAGTTGAAGCCAAAATATTCATTTTGAATTATAATTATAATCATACAGTCGAAAAATCATAGATGTAATTTATTACGTAGTTATCTTAGTGATGGATATTATTAAAATTGATAGAACTAATAGAGTTGGTGATAGTGATAAATATAATTATTTCTGGTATTGGCTCTAAAGAATTATACCTCACTGGAAATAGCCTATATGATACTACTGTAATTGTACAGTCTGAATAATTAGCTAAATAATTATCTGAATAATTATGTTTCTAATATTGGCTTAGTCTTGTTAGCTCTTAGCGGGAAAAAAGTTACCGCTTTCGGAAAGATATTCCACAAAAGCAACCAAAGCCGATTGACATTTTTTTTCCAGATTTGGTCCAAATGAATTAAGCAGCGACCTTATATTCCTTTACAGATATTGTCAAAATGTTTATGACAAGAAGGTATGGAAAGTCGCTCAGGGGAATGAGAAATGCTATGAGATATGCATCTTCTCAATATAATCGTAATTCACAAATATATATTCATGAACTGCCAAATGGATATAAGTATTCATTTTCTCCAAAGGAAAATTCTATACCCATTGGAGTAAGTAAGAATCTACAATCAATTAATCCAGACAATTTCAAAGTTAATCCTCAATTTGTTGATATTCTTCAAGATACTCTTCGAAAGCATACTTATAATGATTTTACTTTTGTAATGGAAGCTGGAGTAAATGCTAGTGCCTACATGGCAATTTATGATTTACGTGAAATACCTAAATATTCTCGTATTCCTGAAGTTGAAAATATCTTGGGATATGTTCAAGTAGATGTAAATGGGAAAATGGTTCCAGATAGTTATGAGCGTAATGAATTATATCGTATTTGCAATGGTACCGCGGGTTTACCAAAACTAAGTGAATACTTGTATCCTTTGATTCAGGAACAATGTGAGAGTAAGTAATTTATTCCTTTATACCGGTCCCAGCGCCATTTGAATTGCCGAAGCCCTCTGGAACCCCAGTAAAAGCATGAATTATTTTATTTTTCACATTATTATTAATATTATTATGTATATAGGCAATTATGGGCCGTGTACCACGCTCGTTTCATTAGGTAAGTGTAAATATTTGGTTTAACTTAAATAAAGATTATTTTAGTAGTATTAAGGTTAATATTCTTCCAGATTATCAATTGTAATTACCTGTAATTATGCATTGTCCTTAGTATAAGTGGGCGGCATACTACATGCTAAAGACTAGAAGCTGATCAGAGAAGTCGTTAACCATTTACGAGATTATAGACGATTCAACCAGATTCCAATACAGAGAGATTCTACAAGGTCAATTGCCTCTCCCAATACTTATTCCTTAAAGTTCCGCAAATAGATGAATAGTAGTTATACACTGAACACTTCTGAGCTGAAAACTAATCTTATATTATCATAACCCCGCGAATTTAGTTTAAATTAGGATTGATTCCTAGATACGTGATTCAAAAGCCACATTAAAGGGGCGTTGAATGAAAGAGACCAAATAATAATGTAAAAGAATGATGTCAACAATATCAATGTCATCCTCTCTCATGCTGCTCTCGTATCTGGCAAAGCATCTGACCATTTCCCGTCTTCTCGTTAGCATAAAAACGAATCATTTCATAAATTTATATACCCCGCCAAGAAAATAAGCAATCATCATAAATACAATAAAAAAAATAAATAGTATGTAGAACAGAATTATACTGGGGTCCAAATTACGAGAAATTACATAGTAACAATTCTGGGAGTATTTTTATGCAGTAGTTCAGCCTTACCCCTTTGCGGTGTATCAATTACAATTAAAAAATATGCATTCAGCCCCTTTAAAGAACATATTGGCAACGTCTTGCTTCTTTCACGAATAGAGGGGGGTTTGTATTCTATCATTGACGATGTTCATTCTAATGAATGACCAATAAGCATTAATGATAGGAAGTTAATAAATTCAATTACTCCCTGTTTACGTACTACTTATCATCTAGTGTGTTGACTGAAGTAGCCTATTTACATTTGGGCATTGTATTAAAAAACTCTCATCAATTCCCTACTACTTGATCAATTCGGTAGATTTTCTGTATCTTCTACTATTCCCCAATTTGATATTAACTTACGATTGGTTATCTTTGCAATTAAATATATATAATAATATTTTGCGCACTAATTAGACATGAGGATCTAAACAGTCTTTGCCGAAATCATTTACCATCATTCTTAAGTTCTTTGAATGGCTGTGTCTTATTGTTTCATTCCGCTTGAATGGTTGGAACTTTTAAAAACTCTTTAACTCATGCATTTAACTTTAGTTTAAAGTTGTCGTTGTGCGTACATAAAATATGTTGTTATGTGAACAAATAGCCACAAGCTAATTGAATTTCCATTTTTGTGGATACAAATACACGTTAAAAAATAACTTCATAAAACGGATTTTATTATTAAAGTGTTATATAATGCAAATATTCTGTGCGATAATCTCTAAAGTTAATACCTTAAAATAGGAATGTAATTGTTTTTGTTAGAATAAGCTTTTATTTTTAACAAAGCCAGCCAAATTCGTTGCCCTTGAATGGCTGAATCTCTTCCTATTTCTTGGTAACCAGTCACTCTTTATTTTTTAACTCTGCCCTTCCGATTCTAATGCTCAGTTTACAGTTCTTTCAGTTACTATTTCTACTTTAGTGTGTATTCTTTTGCTCTAGATTGTTTTAATTTTGTAACTCCCCGCCTAGTTCTTTATTTCGATACTCTACGTTTTTTTAAAACAATTTGTCATATACATAAATTAAATTGAAATACGAAATTCTTATAAATAGTTCAATTTTGCCAAATGTAATTCTTACATTATTTATTTAAATCTGATTTCAGATTATGTAAACATTTCCATAACTATTTACTAGTCACTAATTAACAATGCCTTTAAATGATTTAATCAGTTATGCCATACGTGGTACTCAATTATTCTTCTCAATCTTAGTATTAGGTTTGGCTGCTGGTGTATTAAGTGATCTTGGTTTTAATTTTGATAGAGTTACCTATACATTAGTGGTATCTCTCTTAACATTAATTTATTTTGGTTATATATTAGGTTGGTTACATTTCAAAGGTGCAAATACCGTTCTTACTTTACCAATTTTAGTTTCTGAAACTTTATTGACCATATTTTGGTTGGCTGCGTTTGGAACAATAACTGATGTATTTGGTGCACTTAACTGCAATTTTGGTTATTATTATTATTATTATGATCATCATAATAGTTCGCTGAACTTTTGCAAATTAGGTAAGGCATTGATTCCCTTCACCTTGTTTAACTGGCTTTTATTTACTGCTAGTTTAGTGTTATTTATTCTCTACACGTTTGTTCCCTTTTACAAGATTCACGGATCCAAACATTGTTATGAAACACCAGCTCAATTGAAATTGGGTGCCATTTATCCAGCCGTTACCCCAGTTGCAAAATCTGCCAATGAAGGTAGCACAGAAGCAGAAGCAGAAGCAGAAGCTGCAGCCGAAGAAGCTAATGTTGGTATTAATACTTCAGATGAAGAAGCAATTAGAAGTGGAGATGTTGAGGATAAATACGCTGGAAGTGAAATAGAGCCAACTACCCCTGCTGCTGCCTCTGATCCTGTTCCTAATGCTGATGCTCCTACATCTGTTCCTAAAGATCAATCACTTATCACCGCTACCAGAGACTGTTCGAGCCCCAATAATTAAGCTCAAAAGACTTCTTCACAGTGACTACAATATTATTTTACTTTGTTTAGTCTTATATATTTGTTTTTCTATATAATTAATTGTGTTTTCTTGTTACAATATTCAATATTTCTGAGTGGCAATTTATATAATTAATAATATATATTTGTAATTATAATGATCATAATTCAGGGGGTTGGCTGGGGGTAATGATTTTTTTATGGTCGCATTTCCCCTTTAGGAAACCACTTCTTAGCGGGTCGTGTCTCAAACGACAAAAACTTATTTATGTTTTGATTTTATTTGTAAATGTATGTATACATTTAAGATAGTACAATCTTGAACCATCTATAAGGTAGGCACAATAACATTATGAATGGTACGACGGACTACGAGAAGATAGCCATATCTAAGCAAGACTTGAAATATGTATATAATCAGATTCTAAATAAAACTACGTCGAAATTAGATCTTCATTTACCAACGTCAAATAATGATCCTTTAAAAGCCAAGGTTGGAAATTTATTAGATGAATTTCTTCTAGAAGCATTCGAACTTGCTAAATCCGCTTTTATTATTGATGGAAAGGATATAGATGCTGGAGATCAATTATCAATCTCAGAAATTCTTTCATTAAGAGCAAAAGAAACTGTCGAACCATTTGATTTAAATATAAATAGTCGATTAAGAGAGATTTTATTACAAGTTGAACAAGAAACTGTTGAATTAACCAAATTAAGAAGAGAATTACCTTTTAAAGCTAAAGAATCTTATGATAACTTAGTCAGTTCGACTGATAAAGAAGTATCAACCATATTAGAATTACTCGAACAACAAGAAAAAGAAGAGGAAGAAAAAGATGATATCCTAATGAATGAAGATGAAATACCGAATTTTTCATCACTTCTACAAGATTATGAACGTCATATTCTAACATTAAATGATTTGAAAAAGAGTATACCACTTCGTAAAGCAGAATTGGATCGATTTGATGAAACTATTCAATTCCTAGAAACAGCATATAAGAAACAACAGATTGAATTTCAGTGAATTTTTTTCATAGAATATTTATAGAACTCCCTCTCTCATGAATTAACGACCTTTTGCTATACAGTGTTTTTACTTTTTATTCATACCTCGGGCTGGAATTGCTCGTAAGACGGGGTTTAAATTTTTTCGTATCAGTGACCGGAAATCGTACCAACTTGAGAAACACTTTTCTAAAGTGTATCTATGCAAAGTTAGTACAAATAGAGAAGTAGTGCTTGAGGTATATGACCCAATAGCAGCTAATTCTCAATCATGATTCGGGCTTACCTGATAAATTATTTCACCAAGTGTTAAATTATATACTTGAAATGTTTTTTTCAGAAATCAAAGCCTATCTAACGATCAAAGGTGAACCCAGAGGATTAGATGAAGATCCACCAGACAGTTATGGAGGTACATCTGGAAGGGAATTATATAATATTATTTATGATAGTACAAGAGAGAGGGTATTTTTAATAGATTTTGGTAAATCGACCTTTACTAACTTCCATCTGAGTGTAAAAAGCAAAGAATTTTATAGGCATTCGTTGGATATTGCATTACTTGAGATAAGGCATGCTAGAAATATTGCAAAAAATTGATAACTTTTTTCTTCAGACCAACCGGGCAAATAATTTTCAATCCGCTCATTTTAATTTTCTTCCGAGGTCGAATTTATTCGTACCATAAAAATACTATTCAAACCATTTAATATAATTTTTGTAGTAGTATGCTGATGTACTGTACATTATAATATTGTAGTCATTGACAATTAACCATTTCAGGTCCCAACCACAAAATAGAATGTAATATAAGAAAATATAAATAAAATAAAAAAAAATATTAAAAAAAATTTAATTAAAACACCGATGTTTACAAAGAGGCCGCATTAGGAAATTTGTAACCATTACGAGTCCTACATACTTCTACACTAAAAACCCTACGAAGCTAATAGAATATGAATATAAAGATCATATTAATGGTATATAGTACTTGTTCATTAGTGTAGTCGACATATATACCAATTTCAAAAGTAAAAATAAAGAGATGGCATCGCCTGTCCGAGGAAATATCTCGGCAAGGTATATTGAAAATCTTGAACTTCAATCAACTACTCCGACTCGACTTCCCTTAACACCTACTTTAAAGCATAATCTGAATCAAGATCTTGATAAATTAGCAAGAGAACTTGATATTACTCCTAGTTATTCTAAATCAAGTTCTTTAAAGGCAAAATTTGAATCACCATCGGCCACAGTTAATTCATTTAAAACTAATTCTTCAAATAATACTAGAAATGGTTCACCTATAGGGAAACTTGAAAGAATTACTACCACCACCCAAAATAATGATGATGAACAGCAACCAAGATGGGCAGCAGGAAATGGGTATAAAGATATTCTTAATAAATTACCGGGTCGTACTTCATCAACCAAATTAACTCCATTAAAGCAACTGATGGATACACCTCTGAAATCTAAACCAAGTCCATTCCTTTCATCTCCAAGTAATAGTACTTCAACTGATTCACCAGGTTATGAATATTTATGTAGAATTCAAGGTATTAAAGATTGGTTACAAATTATATTACATGAAGAAATTATTCAAGAACCAGCGGAATTAATTACATATATTAGAAATGGAATTCATTTAGCTAAATTAACTAATGCAATATTACCCAATAAAAAGTCAGTATTTATGAATGATTCAAGACTTCAATTTAAACATACTGAAAATATTAATAGATTTTTTCAATTACTTGATTATTTAAATGTACCTGATTTATTTAGATTTGAATTAACTGATTTATATGATGCTAAAAATGTCCCTAAAGTATTCTTTTGTTTACATGCTATGGGTCATATACTTCATAAATCAGATTCAGATTTCCCTGTCATTAAAAATTTAGTTCATAAACTTACATTTTCTAGTGAAGATATTAGAACTGCTAATAGATCATTAGTTGGATCAGGTTTACCTAATTTTGAAGGTGCAAGTGCTGGTCATGATGATGATCAAAATAGTTATATGAATAAACTTATTACCAAATCACCAGTCAAAGCCAATAAAGAAATTGTTCATGCAACTAAAAAGAAAATCAGTTCATCATCTGATCCATTCATATCAGAAGATAAGAAATCATCAAGAGAAATCAAATCTACATTTCAAACTAAATTAGAAAAGAAAGAAGTATCATATAAACTTGATGATTGCTTTAATCCAGAACTTGCCAAATATGTAACTCATATTATAAAACTTCAATCATTATCTAGAGGAGCCAATTTTAGATATCGTATGTTTGTTAATAAGATTATGATCAAATCTTATTCTGATGAATTAACTCATTTTCAATCTATAATAAGAGGTAATTTATCTCGATTAAAATCCATTCATGTTCATCGTGATGAAATCATTCTATATAAATATGATATTATTGAATTACAATCCATTGCAAGACAAAGATTATTAAATCAAAGTAAACCTAATGCTTCATCATCCTGTGATCAATTGGTACAACTTCAAAGTATAATTCGTCGTATTCTCTTACAAAGAAATAAATCTAAAAATTGGAAAACTTTACAAGATGATAGTGAAAGTATACTTAAATTACAATCTATGTTTAGAAGAAAAGTTCACTATCAAAGAGCCCAAATTATTCTTAAGAATAAAGATACTTTAGAATCAAATATGATTGAATTCCAATCAATTTGTCGAGCTTATATATATAAAAGAAGATCTACCATGGATAATGTTGATATAGAAAAGATAATTGAATTTCAATCTATTATTCGTGGTAATAAAGTGACTAATAAAATGGATAAAATTAGAGCTACTATGACATTACATAGTCGATCAATTAAAGAATTACAAGCAATTGGTAGAGGAGCAATTTTAAGAACAAGGTTATGTAATACAGTACTTGTATCATTACTTGAAGATCAAAGTTTTGATTTAATTTATGCTAAAATTAGAGGAAATAAAGTTAGAAAAGAATTTCATAGAAAGAAAGATACTTTAGAAATCCTCTCTAATAAGTCAATTATACCATTACAAAGTAGAGTTAGAGGAGTATTATCTAGATTTAAAAATGAAATAATTATTGATGATTTATACTATGAAATCCAAAATATTATTGAATTTCAATCTATAATTAGAGGAAGATTTGCTAGACTTGATAGACAATCAACTTATAGATATTATAATGATAATAAAATTAAAGTTATAAAGGCTCAATCAGTTATTAGACAAGCTTTAATTCGAAAGGCTTATAAATCATTAATATCTAATAGAAATCCTCCATTATCTGCCATTAGAAAATTTGCTTATTTACTTTCAGAAAATGAAATTGATTTTGAAGAAGAAATGAATCTTTCAGAAATGAGAGACACTATTGTTGAAAAGGCCAAAATTAATGAAGAATTAGAAAATCAAATTGAAAATCTTGATATTAAACTTGGATTATTAGATAAGAATAAAATAACTTTAGAAGATTTTATTAAGAATAAGAAAAGATATAAATCTCCTAAAGTTCCTCCTCATTCAACTACTACTACTACTACTTCTACTAATAGAAGTTTTGAAAAATTAAATAAATCTTCTCGTGAAAGAATTGAATTATACCAAACATTATTTTATTTTCTTCAAACTAAACCAGTCTATCTTATTCGATTATATAATTCAATTGCTCCTGGTCAACTTCGTAAAGATGTTGAAGATCTTATATGTCTGATCTTCCCCATAACAAATTCATCAATTACTCATCATTCAAGAGAAGAATTTTATTTTATTAAATTATTAATTGGATTTATGGAAAATGATATTGAAACTCATTCTCAAAATATTAGTGATATAACTAAAATTCAATCATGTTCTTGGATTGATTTCTTTTTACATTTTAATACTCATACTTATCAAAGACAACATTTAAAAAGTTTAATTGGTAAATTAGTATTTAAAATAATTGAAAATGATGAAATTGATTTTGAATCTGATCCTTCTATAATTTATGAAGCTATTATTGATAAAGAAATTAGAATTTATGGTTCTAGTGATAATCCTAGAAATATTAGTGCCCAAGCTGCTATTAAGAAGGAAGCAGTTTCAAATCAATTTGTGAGTAATTTAGTTGCTCTAAGAGAAACTGTAACTGAATTACTTGTAATATTACAAAAGTCAATGGATAAGATACCTCTTCATGTAAAAGTTATATGTCATCATGCTTATAAATTATCTCAATTACATTATCCTGATAAGAATGATCAACAACATTTAGCAGTAGCAGGAGTAATCTTTATGAAACATTATATTGCATCAATTTTACAATATCCTGAAAATTTTGGTTTACTAAATGGATTTGATGATAATGATAATGATAATGATAAATTAAAGCCAAGAGCTAATTTAAAACATTTAAGTCGAGTTATGTTACAAGTATTTTCTATGAAACCATTTTCAGATAATTTCCTTAAACCTTTAAATGATTTCTTACAAGGTACAGTTGATACCAGTAAACAAATAATTAGTAAATTAATTAATGTTAAAGATATTGAAAGTTCATATGAATTTAATGATTATGATGATATTGTTAATCCAGAAAGACCAAGATTAACTATGACAGTAAGTAATACACTTCAATTAGAAAAATTACTTAATCAAAATATGGAAAGTGTAGCTCCAAGTTCTGATGATCAACTTTATCAAGTATTATCTAAATTATACGAAGTGGTTGGATCATCAGATGAATTTATTAAATTAACTGAAATTGGAACTTTAACATTTATGTTAAATCCTACAACTTTAGAAGAATCCTTAGCAGATTCAAAATCAAAATCTTTATTTACTCAAGCTAAAAGAGCTATTTTATATATAGCAAGAGTTCAAGAAGGTGATAATTTATTAGAAGTTTTAGTATCAGGGATTTCTAAAGTTCATGAATCAAAATTTAGAGATATTGTTAGTATTGAAAAGAAAGAATCAGAACAATCTAAGATTAATGATAAAAAGAGACCTTACTATAAAACTTCATTAGGTGATCTTACATCTATAAGTTATCATGATCTTAAACGATTAGCTCTTGAAATAATTATTAAATTAGAAATGATGGGAGAATTAACTAGAAAGAATTCATATCAAGATCTCTTGAATATGATAGCCATTGATATTAGAACAAAAGATAGTCAACGGATTTTAAGAAAACAACAATTAGAAATCTCAATGAAGACTGTTACCAAACTTTCTAAGAAAGAAACATTCCTTAGAAAACAATTAAAAGAATATAATAGTCATATAGAATCTATTCTTGGACAATTACAACTGAAACCAAAGGATAAGAAATTATTTAATATTATTCCTATTTTTAGTAAACAGTACTTCTATCATAGAGAATTAAGAAAGAATAATAGACTACCAAAATTTGGTTCATATAAATATTCAGCTAAGAAACTTTTAGATCAAAAAGTATTAGTTGATTTTGGAGGTTTAATGAATAAAGCCTATTCATCTTCATCTAAATTAGATTTTATGTTTAGTTGTCATCATGTTGGTAAATTCACTATAGAAGCTGCTAATGGATCAGTTAATATTCCAGGAGCTACTGAAGTTATTACTTTAGATGATTTATTATATCTTCAATATGAGAATGAAGATAAAGTTCAAATTTTTAATAAGATGGTCATTTTTAATACTCAAAACTTTATTGGTTTACTCTTTAGAAAATTCTACGATGTAAAAGAATAATTTGAATATAGTTTACAATACAGTATTTAATATAAAAGGTTTATGTTTTCTACCATTGATTATTTCTTAAGCAACTGTTCAATCTTATCTTCTAATGATTTCAATCTCTCATCTTTCTCTAAACCAGCTTCAGTAAGTTTAAGAATATGAGATTCTAAGTTTTCTACAATTGAGTGTAACTTTTCAACAGTAGCTTTCAAAGTTGGAGCTCCAGCTGTCTTTACAGGAGATGTCAGAGGAGCTGGAGAAGCTTCTTTGGCGGTAGAAACAGCAGGTTCCAAAGTTTCAGTCTTTGGCTCTTCGACCTTTGGAGTGTCAACAGGAGTCTTCACAACTGGTGTTTCAACTTTAGGTGTTACAACCTTTGGAGTTTCAATCTTTGGAGTTACAACCTTTGGAGTTTCAATCTTTGGAGTTTCAACCTTTGGAGTTTCAACCTTTGGAGTTTCTCTAGAAGGAATAGTTGAAATAATTTCAGGTTTCTTTACTTCTTCCCATTCATCCTTATCGTCTTGTTGAACATCATCTTCATCATCAGATTGATCAACAACCTTATTTAATAACTTATTAACCTGTTCAGATGAAGCCAACAATTCGTCAACTTTCTTTGGAGGAGCAGGAGAAGATTCAATAGAAACAGGCTTTGGAGTTTCAGATTTTTTAATCTCAACCTTTGGCTTCTCTTCAACCTTTTTAACTTCTTCCTTTACTGCAGAGATACTAACACTTGGAGTAGATTCTCTAATTATTGGTGCAGTTCCTTCATAAATAGCTTCCATACTCATTAATAAAGGTCCATTAACTTCCTTTCCACCAAACCATTCACTTGCTGATAAAGCCGGTTCACCAGATGGACAATCTGGATAAATATCATCTTGGAAAAGTTCTGATCTTCTTGGAACAATAAAAGAAATTGGTTCAATTAAATTATCTAATACAGTCTTATAAGATTTAATAAGTTCATTTTCTTTAACATTTACAGAAGATTTTGGAGCAACAGCAAAACCTCTTTGAGGATCAGTTGAACTATATTGAGATAAATCATATAAGATATCATTTTCATATTCATAATAACGAATATTACCATCACCTTTACCAGCAATATAAAGAATTGAATTTGAAGGATCAAAATAAGGAATTAATACACCTGATGATGAATCAATAATAAGGAATCCATCAATTGGACCCTTTTCAATATTATTAATATCCCAAATACCAATTTGACGATCAGAAAGTCTATCAAATCCAGTTGTTGCTATTCTATCAGTATTACCTAACCATACAACTCTTGAAGGTTTTGCACCAGTATGACCTGGACCTTCTGAAATTATTTTTCCTGATCTAATATCCCAAATTCTTAATTTCTTATCTCTTGAAGTTGTAGCTAATAATGAACCATTATAATTAAAAGCAAATGAAGTTACAAGATCTTTATGTTGTAAAGTAATTTCTGCTTTACCAGTTTCAAGATTCCAAATTTTAACTGAATAATCTAAAGATGAAGAAGCTAAAACATTTTCAGCCGCTGGATGAAATTCAATATGACCAACTTTTCTAGTATGACCAGATAAAATTTTAGTTGGTTCAGTAATATCTTTAATATTATCATCTTCATCTAAATATTTATGAAATGAAAAATCTTCAGGAATATCCCATAATAAAATCTTTCCATCATCTGAACAACTAGCAATTTGTTGTTTATTAAATGGATTAAAAGCTGTATCTAATACAGGACCTTTATGACCTCTAAATAATGGTACAGTATCGGGAGCTTTACCAACTTCATTAACAGGAATAACTGCAAAGGCTCCACCACCTGAAGCATCCCAATTAACTGATAAATATTTACCATTGGCTTGAATAATATTAGAATCCCACGCGTTTTTAGTGATCTTTAAGTTCTCATAACTCAATTCCTTTTTCGCTGGTTGTCCAAACACATGACGATACTTTGAAGCTCTCACAAATTTCCCACTAAATATAGATTGGTTAGTAATGGTAATGATATCATATCATATATACAAAAAATTAAATTTATATGTATATATTGAACAATCAATTGTTATTCAATTACTATAAACACATACCTCATAATTAAATTAATTGTACAATTATATAATTCTTTCTTGGTCCCTAATTGTTCTGTGTGACCAATTGGATGCAAACTTCCAAGTAACTTCTCTAACTTCAAAAGCTGTGGTGTCGAATCTAATGGTTCATTTGGTGATACTCCTCGCTGGTTTTGGTCGGGGCTTATATACAGTTCGTTTGTCGGGGGGGCCGCTTTCATTAAAGTCGGAGACAGAAAAAAAAAGATCTCTACCAGTTGAGTAGTTCATAATAAGCAATTTGTCAGCTGTGTCAATAGTAGTGTACGAGAACAACAATAATAATGTTCAGAAGTATTACCAGTAGAGTCTTAGTAAGGCCGACAGTCACTGTGAATGCGTTTAAGTTGCAACCACAAATTAATGGAAGATTATTATCATACACTTCAATATTAGCACAAACTCAATCTGCATCTGCCATTCCTCAAGAATCAGAAATTCCACCTATGGATGCATATGAAGCAAAGATCTATAAGATTCTTCAAGATGAGTTTAACCCAAGAAATTTACAAGTAAAAGATGTTTCTGGAGGTTGTGGATCGATGTTTGCTATTCTCGTTGAGAGTGAGAAGTTTAAGGGTATCCCCATGATAAAGCAGCACCGATTAGTTAATGCTGTATTAAAAGATGAGATTGCTCAATGGCATGGCTTACAGCTCCGAACAAAGGCATAAATATATATATACCTCTATTAGATACTTGTAAATAGATATGGTCAATTTTATAATTTATATATATAATTTATAATTTATAATTTACAGATTTTCACGTGACATAAAACGTTTAAAGTTTAATATGAATATTGTTATTTGTTAAAAACTACTGTACAATTTACTCGATAATTTCTTCCTTTTCTTCAAAGATTTCTTCTTTGATTTCTTCAATGATTTCTTCTTGAACGTCACTTGATTTGATGGCTTTTCCAGCAAATTGGGCTCTATAAGCTCTCCATTCTTCTAAGGCCTTTCTACGAGCTAAGATAGCTTCTCTAACTCTAGCATCAGCTTCCATAGCATCAGCTTCTTCAAATTGGGCACTATATTCACGAATATTGGCTCTAACCTTCTTTTTATCGGCTCCAGTTAATAATGAAGCAGGTCTTGGTCTCCAAATAAATTCTTTAAATTGATCAACTAATTCTTCTCTTAATTGAACTCCACTAAATTCATATATTCTATAACCATTTTCAATATTACTTAACCAAGATGATGACCATGCACTAACAAATCTTCCAGATGGATCCCAAGCAATATTAGTCATACCAGAAAATCTTTCATTTCTTAATAATTTAATATTAGCTGGACTCTTTTTAGCTTTATCATCTTCAAATGAAACATCAACAAAATCAATTTCTCCATTACTTCTTGAAATAGTAGCAACAACAACATATCTACCCTTTGGAGACCAGAAAACAGTATTAGAATGTTTGTTAACAAATGAATGGAAAACTTTATAAGCAGCAGCTTTACCTTTAGCTGCTGGTTCAGTAGCATAAAATGATACAGTATTCTTTGGAATTGATGGATTAATATTACCATCATCTAATCTAGAAATAGTAATAAATCTTTCAGATTTTGGTTCCCAGGCAAAATTAACAACAACATCCTTTAATTCTAATTTTTCAACAGGTATATCTCTTTCAAAAGTCTTAAAGAATTCTAAATTAGTAAAAACAGTTTTACCAGATTTAGTATGACGATCAACTTTAACACATAAAAGTCTACCTTCACTTTGCCAATGCATTTTACAATCACTAACTTGGAATAAATTAATGGTTCTAAGAACTTGTCTAGAAGGAATTTGCATTAAAGCAACTCTAGCAGTTTGATTTGGACTTTCTGGTGTCCAATAAGATAATACATGTTCACCACCTTCAACTTTACTGTTACTAAGATGAACTCCAGCTGGAGCCCATTCAAAATCAACAATATCATCAATTCTAACTAATTTCTTTTCTAATAATTGGAAAGATGGAGTTTCATAAATAGCTAAAGCTCCTGGACCTTGACGAGCACAATATTTATCATCAAAGGACCATTTAACTAATGGCCATGGCATTTCCTTTTGACTTTCCAAATGAGGTGGTAAAGCAAAAGTTCTAGCTGGTTGACCAGTAACTAAATCCCAAATAACTAATTTATGACCTTCAGATTCAGGACCAAATGGGAAAATACTTCTATCAACTGTACCTTCAGGCATAGTAATTGGAACTGGTGATAAAGTTACCATATATTTTTCATTTGGTGAGAAATCAACTAAACGAACTTGATTATGAATATATTTATTAATACTTGAAAAATCAGCACCACCCCAAGCTTGAACACCTTGAGGATGAATTGAAAATAAATAAGTACCCTTTGGAGAAAATTTAGCATACTTTGAAGTAAAAGCTTTTCTTGGTTCAAAAACAGGTTCTGGATCTAATTTCTTTTTATTCCAATAAACTCCAAAAGTTTCAGAAAAGTGTAAACCAAATTGATCTCTACCTTGTTCATCTTGTAACCAAGATTTTAAATATCCATGACTTTTAAATGGAGGTAATTCAGGTTGTTTAAATTCTGATGGAATATTTCCTTCAACTCCGAATTTTTCAATATCTGATAATCTATTAACTAATAATCTATGTTTTAAATCTAATTTTTTACCATTTAATTCTTTAACAGCTCTTTCAGCTTGTTCATTAGTTTTAAATTGAACAAATAAATAACCCTTTGATTTTCCATTTTCTAATGGCATATGAATTCCATCATCTCCTTCAACAACTTCTCCAACATCATTAAAAATTTTCTTTAAAACTTTTAATAATACTGGAACTTTTGCTTCTGGTGCAATAGGAGCTCCATCGACTACAACATAATTATCTAATCCCACATTATCAACAGTATATTTTTCTTCTAAATCACTAAAGTCAATATCGTCTAAGTTGACTTCCTGCTCAAGTGCAGCATACTCTTCCTTTGATATAGACATACTTTCTAAATCAATGACTACTTCTTCTTCTTCTTAACTATGTACTAACTATAGCGTATCGCGTTGAAAAATTTTTCGAAGTACTAAATTATTTTTTTTTGTAAAGATCGGCGTGCATTTACCAATTGCTGCAAAAATTTAGTTTCTAATTTCTAATTTCTACTCTACTCTACTCTACTCTAATTCACATTTTAATACTGTCTACTTAATAAATCTCTTAGCCTTTCATTCTCTGATTCTAATTCCTGAAATCGTCTTTTGGCTTCTTTGTTCTCATAGGCTCGTCTTTCCCGTTCTGCCTTCCATCTTCTCTCTAGTTCTTGGATTCTCAATTTGGATATTGGTGAGAATACATTACCATTACCATTACTGCTGTTATTACTGTTACTGTTACTGTTACTATTACTATTATTGTGTTTGTGTTTGTGACTGTGACTGTGATTGTGGTTGTTGTCGTTACTAAAATTGATCATATCCTTAGGAAATACTTCATCATTTTCAAAACTATCTAATTGCTTTTGTAACATATTTCGATCATTTATTAATTCATTGATTCTTTGATGAAGATCTTTAACATACTCTTGATTGTTTTCTTTATCATTTTCTTTTAATAAGAATCCAATATGATCATTTACTAGAATATCTATAGCTCTAACAAAATAATTGAATATAGTTTTATGACATTCTCGTATGGTTGCAAAACTTGAATGATCAAGATCATACACAGTAGAGTTAGCCATAGTTTTACGGAAAAGTTCATATTTCCGTATAGGTTGTTTTAATGAAGAATCATCGGCAATTTTATTAAATGATGTAATTAATTTTTGAAATTCAATTGAATCAAATTCAAGAATATCCTGTAATTGAATATTCAAATATTCTTGATGTTCACTAATTCCAGAGGGTTCATGAATTATATTATGATTATTATGTGCTTGTTCTTCAAGTATAGTAATTTTATCCGATAAACTTTCAATGGTAGATTTTAATTCTTTCTCCTTTTCTATATAAGATGAAACAGAATATGAAAGTTTAATCTTTTCAGCATTAAGTTTCCTTTGCTTTTCTACAGCCACTTCTAATTCGGTTCTTAACCTTTCTTGAGATCGTTCTTCAAGTCTATATTGTACAACTTCTTGTTGTCTCTTTTGTAATTGACTAGTTAATGTAGTAATAGTTTCAGAAGTTTCATTTTTCAATTTAATATAGGCATTATTTAATTGTTCGAATTCTACTTTTAAATCTGATAATTTATTAGCAGTATCTGGATCACCATTAGATTCATTATTACGAATTTTTAATTTTAGTTCGGCTAATTGGATATTTAGTTCATTAGTCATTTTTTTCAATTCTACATTTTCATCTTTTAACTTAAACAACTCCTTCCCATCCCCATTATCATTAAATGCATTACAAAGTTCTGTAAATTTCAGTGACATAATTTGGAAATTCCGCCTCATTGATTGTGATTCATCAATTTCTTTACGAAGTTCTTGTAATTTCTCAGATTCATGTTTTTGATTATCTAATTTCAGTTGTAAATCATCGATTGTAACAATCAAATGATCTATTGTTTGATTTTGATTTGAATCTGAAGATGGTGGAGGAGATATTTGTCCCGAACTTTCTAGTCGTTTTTGTAATTCTATTTCTAATGTGTGTAATTTATCTTCTAAAGGTATAATATGGTCATTATTATTAGATTGTAAACATTTAAGTAATAAATGTCGAGATTCAACTGATGTATTTGCATCAGCAATTAATCTTTGAATTATTTCATCTACTATAGCAGTACAAACTTCAAATTCTCGATTCATATCATGAATTAATATATCTTTCTCATGGATTTTCTGTTCAAAATTTTGTAAATTAATAAGTAATTCATTATTAATATCATGAATTTCTTGATATTCATTGACGAGCTTATTATAATCATTTTCTAGATTATTATAATCATTGGCTTTTGTACTTTGAGCAGGAGATAGTCCCTGTATATCTCTTTGAAAATTGGCTAATTCATGTTCATCTAATATAGTACCGTTTTGACTATATTTATCTATGAGTAATTGAAGAAATTCTTTATAAGATTGCATTTGCATTCTATAACCAGCAATTTGTTTATTTAAACTATCAATTTTAGATGCTGTAGATGCATTATTTTCTTCACTTACAAAAGTTCCTTTATCTGATTTTATAAATATTGATTGTTTTACTGATGGTAATTTTGTCCGGGGAGAATTTCCATGAGATTTAGTTGGAGAATTAGAAGATGCAGTTCTAAGTCGTTTCCATGGTGTTGTAGGATTACTAGTTAATTGTTTGGGAAGTGGTACAGAATATTTTATTTTGGTAGGGCTGAAATCGAAATCTTGATCGAATTGTCCTCGAGTATCATTATATCTTGTTGTATCCATAGTGGAATTATGGAAAGTATTGTTAATGTCATTTTCATTTTCATTTTCATTTTCATATTCATTTTCATATTCATTTTCAATGTTATCTTCATCTTCTTCATTAAATTCTTCTTTAAAATCAGTTGTGCTTAATTTTGATAAAGATCGCGATAAACTCGAGGCTGAATAATTAACCATGGCATTTGTGGTGGTAATATTTATGTGATCTTCTTGATTAGAAATTTCGTCTAATACTTCTGAGAATTCTTCACTACCTTCGGGAGATGGTAGAAATGTCGGATTAATTTTATAATAGTCAGTATCTACTGGTATATCTGGATGAGTTATAAAGGGACTACTTGAATCAGATCTTTCGAATGTCTGATCTTGATTATGGTTAACAGTTGTACTATTAAAGTTAAAGCTATTATTATTATTATTGTTAGTAGTAGTAGTAGTAGTAGTAGTAGTGAGATTAGGATTATTATTAGTGAGATCTGCTTTTTCAATAGCCGTTTGGCCATTGACTTCTTTGAGAGGAGTCTTGGGCATCGACACTACTTTGTTCTGGGTTTCAAGATGATCCTGGTCCATCACTTATGGGGTATATCTTGAGTTTTATATATGTTTGAAGTTTGTTGCATCTTACTTAATTGGTTTGTTTACATACTGATTTTTGGATGTATTCGCGTTGTACGAATGGGGAAATTTTTCTGCGAGGGTACTTGCTCACTATTTAGTGCTGCTACTACTCACTATTTAGTGCTGCTACTAGAAGATAGCGAAAATCTTAGTGTAGTCAGTAAGAGTATATATATAGTAATATAGATAACCCTAGTATAGATCTTAATAATTTACTACTACTACTATTACTACTACTAAATACTTAACCTTACATGTTAATTACAACTAATGTATATTTATCGATCTAATTACGATTCCATTTCTTCATCTTCTTCATCATCATCTTCATCTTCTTTAGCATATTTAATGGCTTCCGCTAATAAATCATCAGGTATAAATTGATGAAGTCCCTTAGTCTCTTCTAATGAAATCCAAGAAATTTCTAATTCATAATCTTTATCTTTATTATCTTCATGAGCTTGATGAATAATTTTTGCTGCTACTTTAACTGCTTCTCTTACTGTTAAAGTTTCATAATCTAATTTTTCTAATTCAGATTTAGCTGTTTGTCTTCCCTTACCAGTAGCAGCTCCAGAATATCCCCAACTGGTTCCACTTGGTTCAATCATATATAAATGAGGACCATTGGAATCTATACCTCCAACAATAGATACTACTCCAAACGGTCTAACAGAGTTATAACATGTATAATTTTGAACATAAATTCCTAATCTATCCATTAAATGAGGAACTGATATAGGAGTTTTATAAAATGATTTAAATGTTTGAGCTTCATCTCTACCTCTACTAACAAAATGACGTCCATCTGGTAAAAGTCCAGAATATACTACTCCAATATGTTTATCAATAGTTTGAATTCTTTTATTCTTTCCTGGAACTAATAATTTGGAATTTATAATCTTTTCAACAGCTAATACTACTCCATCTTTACATTTAATCCCAATTGATGTTCCACCATTTTCAACTGCCTTCATGGCATATTCAACTTGGAAATTTCTTCCATCTATAAATTAATTTGTTAGTAAATCATCATCCGATTCCAAACGCAAACGCAAACGAAACCAAAAAAAAAGTTATACATACCTGGTGAAAATACACTATTTGATAAATCGTATCCCGTACCAATAGAAGTCTATATATTTTGATGTTAGTAAATTTTCAATTCCTTCTAATTAATGAATTGACTGAATTAATTGTCCTCCTTCACTTCATTCATTCCACTCTTTTCTCAATTCAATTCACTCCAATTTTTCATAAGCATAGTTCAAAGGTTATAGTACATACCATAGTAATTGGTTAGTAGTTACTGTGTGAGTTGTATATATATATATAGATGAGTATATGGTACTAATGCCTTTCTGTCTCTCTGCCTTTTCTATTTCTCTAACTATCGCCACTGACTTCGATTTTTTTGGTGTGCGTTTGGAGCCGACTCCGTATACAGGAATTTTCAAAGCTATCTCCAACTACTTAGTATTATAACGGATAGAACTAACTAAATATAAGAGGAAGTGGGAAGAATAGAGATCATGGCTATTCTGTTCAAATGGCCCATATTGGGGGTTATAGTAAGTATTGAAATAAATTAAACTAATTTTATTGTAATAAACAATTTTCACTAACTAAACTTATCAGGTACCATCTATTCTAATTGGTATGATCGGATATGGATCTCATTATTTTGTATTTACTTCTCATCTTAATAGTCGAGATCAATTATGGTTTGAATTTTATTTAAGTATGGTATGGATATCATATATTATTGCTATTTTTAAACAACCTGGAAGTCCACCTCATGGATTTCAACCAAATCAAGGAGAATGGAGACGATGGTGTAAGAAGTGTAAGAATTATAAACCAGAAAGAAGTCATCATTGTAAATCATGTAAAAAATGTGTATTACAAATGGATCATCATTGTCCATGGACTATGAATTGTGTTGGTCATGATAATATTGCTCATTTTTTACGATTTTTATTATGGGTAATATGGACTACTGGTTATGTTATGATTCAATTAAGTAAACGAGCTATTCAATATTATGAAGAAAGTAATTTACCGGCTTATTTGATTAATAAAAGTGAAATGATTGCCGTGATATTTTTATTACCCATTGACTTTTTCGTATTTGCAACTATAGTAGTATTATTTATAAGGTGTGTAATAAATTTCTTCTTTAAAGGTATGACCCAAATTGAAGTTTGGGAATCAGAAAGAATTGAAGGACAAATTCATACAGAAAGATTTTGGAATCAAATTAAAAGAAATTATTTTAGGTTACATAATAAAGAGTTACCTCGACTTACAAGCTGGAGAAATGAGAATGAAAGAACAAATTATGATGAAAATGATGAAGATAAAGATACATCATCCACTAATAATGATATTAATGAAAATTCATCAGTTCCAGAGGAATTTACCTTTGATGATTTAATATTTCCTTATGATTTAGGAATATGGAATAATATTGTTAGTAATTGCGGATCTCCATGGAAATGGATTTTGCCATGGGGTGGTACTAATAGTAGTGGATATAAATTCGAGAAATCGGGAGAATTTATAGAAGATGATCAATTAGGATTACCATGGCCACCCGATGGTGGACATCAAGAGAATGGTGATGGAGGTGAAATTAATAGAGGAGACATTGAGTTACAGAATATGCGTAGGCCAAACTATCGATTATTAAAGAAAAGATTAGATCCACGATCTACTATGAAAAGAACTGAATGGATGAATGATTTAGGAGAGACATTAGATGATTTAGGGGTTGATATAGATGCAGAAGATACTGATAATGAAGAATTAATAGTAGTGGGGGGGAATAGCAACAATGATAATGATAATAATAGTGCACATAACACTACCGCATAGCTGCAAAACTAAGTCCAGTATATAATACAGTACATAATAGATTAGGAACAGTGTGGCTAAAATGTTAAAGAAAAACTAATTATAATAGACTATTGCTAAATGCAGATAGATAAAAAAAAGTTTGACTACATACTCCCACACAAATTGTAGACGATTAAGTAAAACTGTAAATGACAATTCAAATCGATACAATACGATGCAAATATGACAATTTCATTCAATTGATTGAACTCTTATATTAAGTAATTACAAATATTACACTATAGTATAAAAAAGAATTTTTACTATATATAGTTGAATAAAATCTACCCATTTTCAGTATAGGAGAGGGCACGTGATATGGTGTGGCGTTTTTTCTCCATATTTTGTTAATGCCATTAACGGGAATCGGAGTCTGATAGTATTATATAAGAGAGCCATATCACGTGCAAAGTGGTAATTTTTCAAATAGATAGTATTATTCTATATGAAGTCTCTTTGTAACGATTATGTGATTTTCCAATTGAATTTGTACTTAAGTTATGGGGAGCGAAATAGTGCAATATTGAACACCGTTGTAGGGATAAATCAGTTTATAAATTACCAAGTTTTTCCAAAATTTATTTAAATAATATATTTTTGTTTAATACTCTTTTTATAATTGCTTAGTTTTTAATATTTTAATTATTCAAATAAATAAAGATGGCTACTGAACATAAAACTTTAAGATTAGGATCTATTGCTCCAGACTTTACTGCTGATTCATCTAATGGTCCAATTTCATTCCATGAATTTATTGGTGATTCATGGGCTGTTTTATTTTCTCATCCAGATGATTTCACTCCAGTTTGTACTACTGAATTAGGTGCTTTTGCTAAATTAGAACCTGAATTTGCTAAGAGAGGTGTTAAGTTAATTGGTTTATCTGCCAACAATACTGAATCTCACAAGGCTTGGATTAAAGATATTGATGAAGTTACTGGTTCAAAATTAACTTTCCCAATTGTTGCTGATCCATCAAGAAAAGTTGCTCATGCTTTTGACATGATTGATTATCAAGATGCTACTAATGTTGATAACAAGGGTGTTCAATTCACCATTAGATCTGTTTTCATTATTGATCCAAAGAAAACTATTAGATTAATCTTATCTTACCCAGCTTCTACTGGTAGAAACACTGCTGAAGTTTTAAGAGTTATTGATTCTTTACAAACTGGTGATAAATACAGAGTTACTACTCCAATCAATTGGGTTCCAGGTGATGATGTCATTGTTCACCCAACTGTTTCTAATGAAGAAGCTAAGACTTTATTCCCTAAATTCAGAATCATTAAGCCATACTTAAGATTAACTCCTTTAGAAGTTAAGGAAAACTAAATTTCTGGTTAATTCTATATACTTATATATTTCTTTAACTATTCTCTCTTAAGTTTCTTTAATTCTTGTGTATGATTCCTATTTCAATGTAAAATTTCAACAAATTTATATCTATATACTTTTAGTTTTCGGTAGATTGTATAGAATATACTTTTAGCTAAGTGAAACTAAAACTAAAACTTAGTAAGGAGATATCTCCGCTAAATTAGGGTTTTATTTGCATTATATGCAGGTGGCTCGTTATATCCGGTACTAAAAAGTAATACTGTATTTGAACATACTTTGATATACATTTTATATCTAATGACTAATATACAGATAAATAATAAACTAATGAAAATAATAATAATAATAATAATAAGATAAATCGAAATATGATCGACAGGAAGAATTAATTATACACAATAGAAATACAAGAATTGAACGATGGATATAATATACAAAAATGAGATGAAAGATAAATCAATTACTCACCTCATGACGTAGTGAATTGAAAATATCTTAACCTTACATATCAACATCACCATCATTGTAGTGGCGAACTACATCTTCATTATATTCGTATTCTTCTTTATGATTGCCATCCATCATTCCAAAATAATTTTCTTGTTCTTGTTCAAATTGTTCTTGTTGATCATTAGAAAATGAATGTTTTTGATACTCTTGCAGGGAAGGAGGTGGAGGAGTTATTTGATGATAACCATCGACAACATAAGATTCAACTTCATCATCAACACTTAATACAGGGTATTGAGGATGGTGAGGATGTCTTGCAGACGCGTTATAATTATTAGTAGTATTTGTAGGACATTGATTTGAAGGATTAGTCATATTTTGATTATATAAAGATTGTGGAGTTGAAGGTAAAGATGTATTCATTGGATTATAAATATCATCAGTATTTGAAGTATCAAAACTTATATCAGAAAATGAAACATCTTCAAATTTAGCAATTTGTTGACCAGTTTCAGTATTAGTAAATTGACGAAGTGAACCCCAAGGAGTTATTTTTACAATTCCTCCTTCTGGATGAGCATATACTGGCCATTCATTTGAAGTAGTATATTCTGCTTTATCTTGTTCATTTATAAGATTCTTTACTTTTTTTAAATCAGGATCAAATTCATCTCTTTTTCTTTTACTTGATGCAAAGTTCATTATTATAATATTAAAATATTATTAAGATACTCTTATGATATCAACTATTTTTAAATTAAAGGCCGTACAATTATATTATAGAAACTACAAATTAATGTGTTCTATTACAGACTGAAAATTTTTTGTATAGTTGCAATATATATGGGTGTAAAAGAAAAGATGTGAAATAAAAAAAATTATAAAGAAAAAGAAATTATTAGTTATATATATAAAGTAGATAATATATAATTATGTAATACTAAATATATAATGGATTCTAAAGTTCACAATACATATTAAATTTGATAATGCTATATTAGTGGGAATCGGTCAAAGCAGCATTAGAGGGAAGAGAAGGACGGAACGCTATTTTACGTATTGGGCAAAGTAGTACAATCCCATATTATTATTTTTTCTTTTTTTTTTTTGTCTTCGTACCAGCTGAAAAAAGGAAAAAAAATCTTTAAAAAGAGGTCGTGTGCTGACACACTTCTTCAGCATATAAAAACTTTACGCCCTAAATTAAGATTTGGACGTGTGTAACTCAGTTATTATATATACAATTTTGAGGAATAGCCAGCCAATCTTCAGATCTGGGCTGGTCGAGGAAGACGTGTGCCACGACAAAAAAATGAGGAGTTCATTTGAGTAAAGTGCAGGACGCGTTTGAAATTTTAAAGAAAGGCTTGGTATTGATGCACGACTCCATGGTTGAAGGCACGACCTTGAACCTTTTTTTTTTCAAACCTCCCGTCCCCCAAAAATATAAAATGGGTAGTGTACTCGAGTAAAATGTGTAAAATGTTCGTCGTGTGATCTGGATCACCTGCTCAGTCGTAGTCGCACTTCATCCAATGAACAAACTTCATTTTATAATAACATGTAAATTAGTTCTCACAAACCAGTTTACAGTTTCCAGTATCACTATGAAAAAAATGTCGTGGGAAAATCGAAAAAAAAAGATCCAATAAGCAAAGAGTTAACCAAATCACTGGAAACCTCAATTAGTTGTAGGCTAAACCTTTGAACAAAACGTATAGTTAAGGCATAGTTAACATTATCACATCCACATTTTGTTGTTTGTGTATTAGAACCCATTTTAGAAAAGTGGCTCTTGAAAAATTATCGTTAACATAATTGTTTGCACTTTTATAAATCATCAATCATTTCGAAGAGACCTTGTCTTAAAAAATACATACTTCCTTAGTGAAATTGTACAATTCATAGACTATTCAATTCATTGAGTAATTCATATTATCCAATTGCAAGTTTTTATTTAAAAAAAAAGTAAGACAAAAGAACACTTGGTAATCTTATCCTAAAAGTAACATTTGATATTTTAATTAATATCCATATTTATTCATCATTGCATTCATTCATATATATATAAATTCTCCCCATAAACAATGTTGAGAGCTTCTAGAATACCATTGGCTAAATTATCGCCATTACTCACAAAATCTAGTCCAATAATAACAAAACATTCATTTTCTTCATTATCAAGATTACAAGCCAGTCATGAACCAGAAGGTCCAAAACCATTTACAACTGCTCTTGGAACTCCAGCTCAAAAATATTCTAGTGAAGGAGCCATTTTTGGTAAAACAACATTTTCTGAAGTATTAGATGAAGTTGATATGGTTTGGGGTAGAGATGATGATCCTAAAAAGATTGAAAAACAAAATTCTAAAATTAGACATTTCACAATTAATTTTGGTCCTCAACATCCAGCTGCTCATGGTGTGTTAAGATTAATTTTAGAATTACATGGTGAAGAAATTGTTAGAGCTGATCCTCATGTTGGTTTATTACATCGTGGTACTGAAAAATTAATTGAAATTAAAACTTATATGCAAGCTTTACCATATTTTGATAGATTAGATTATGTTTCTATGATGACCAATGAATTAGTATTTGCTTTAGCTGTTGAAAAATTATTAAATGTTGAAATTCCTTTAAGAGCTAAATATATTAGAACTTTATTTGGAGAAATTACTAGAATTTTAAATCATTGTATGTCAGTTTTATCACATGTTATGGATGTCGGTGGTTTAACTCCTTTCCTTTGGGGTTTTGAAGAACGTGAAAAATTAATGGAATTTTATGAAAGAGTTTCTGGTGCTAGATTACATGCAGCTTATGTTAGACCAGGAGGTGTTAGTCAAGATTTACCAGTTGGATTATTAGATGATATTTATATGTGGGCTACACAATTTGGTGATAGAATTGATGAAACTGAAGAATTAGTTACTGATAATCGTATTTGGAAAGATAGAACTATTGGAGTTGGTGTTGTAAGTGCAGAAGATGCATTAAATTATTCACTTTCTGGTGTTATGTTAAGAGGTTCAGGTATTCCATTTGATATTAGAAAATCTCAACCTTATGATGCTTATGATTTAGTTGATTTTGATATTGCTGTTGGTATAAATGGTGATTGTTATGATCGTTATTTAATTAGAATGGCAGAATTCAGACAATCTTTAAGAATTATTTTCCAATGTATTAATGATATTCCTGAAGGTCCAGTTAAAGTTGAAGATTTTAAGATTTCTCCTCCTGCTCGTTCAGTTATGAAAGAAGATATGGAAGCTCTTATTCATCATTTCCTTTTATTTACTAAAGGTTTTGCTGTTCCTCAAGGTGAAACTTATACTGCAATTGAAGCTCCAAAGGGTGAAATGGCAGTTTATGTAGTTAGTGATGGATCTGAAAGACCTTATAGATGTAAAATTAGAGCTCCAGGTTTTGCTCATTTAGGAGCCTTTGATCATATCTCAAGAGGTAATTTATTGGCAGATGCTGTCGCCATTATCGGTACTATGGATTTAGTTTTCGGTGAAGTCGATCGTTAGATAGTCATTTTACTCATCTTACCATAACTTATTCATAGTTGTTCTGCATATTCTCCTTTATTAGTTCTCCCTTCTTGTTCTTATTAGTACACCATTTTCTCTTTATATTCCCATCCCATATTTTTTTATTGATCATAATTACATTTATTAATACATACATTATATACTTAGTTTAAATTTTAAATTTTAAATGTTAAATGTTAACTAACTGCTTTGTATAGTAAGAATAATGAACTGCCTGCTCCAGTTAAGAATATTAGAGTCTTGCCTATATTTGATTCACTCAGATATTCTGGTCCATAATACATATGAGGATTTCTTGTATTATGATTTGATGATGATGATGATTTCGTAAATGGTTGTTGTGAATGATTAGGTGTTGATGTATATGGTTCAGATTGCGTTGATGTATTATTTTGGTGATGAACATGTCTCATTAAATGTTTCGTAATCAATTCTTCACTAACATTTTCATTTGATTTCTTAAGATTCTTTAAGATCTTATCTCTCTCTTCCGTTGATAAATGTTTATTAATGATTCGTTGTTCGAACTTTAAATGTTTTTGAAGGTGTTCATTATAATCAAAGTGAGGGACATCAAATCTATCACCATAATTAATATGTTGACCAGAGAATTTGGATCCTGGATCAAAATCATTACCATCATAATATACTCTATGACGTTTACTATTAAGTCCCAGTCCCAGACTCAGACTTTGGGATCCACCACGTGAATAATATTTTGCTTCACCATAATATTGATTATGCCATTCAGTATTTGCATCACGTCTCAGACCAAATCCTCGATTCAGTCGATGATGAGGATGTTGACGTCCTAATATTTCTTCATCATATTGTTTTTTTTTCTTTATATCTTTAAGGGTATCATACGCATTAACCATCAGAACAAATTTATTATTAAGTAGTTCTTTTTCTTCATTACTTAAATTTGGATTTAAATCAGGATGATATTTCTTACTTAGTTTTTTAAATTGTAATTTAATTTCCTTTATTGATGATGATGGTGGTACCTCTAAGATTTGATAATAATTTAAATTAGATGTTGAACTTGTATGTCGTACCTGTATGAGAAATATTCTGGAGTTAATCATTGCTTATCTGATTATCTACAGACATGAATCAGTAAAAATATTAAGTAAATGACTAAATAAATAAATAAATATTAAATTAATTAATTAAATATGTATATATATAAATAAATTTATGGATGCAAATATTGTCTACCTATATTGGTACGAGATGCAGTATGAATATATGTAATAGAAGCTTGGCTTATTGGATAGTGAGTAGTGAATTTTACTTATCAGTATTAGATATTGCTAATTAAAAAAGAAATTTAGACTGGTGCAGTAAAGCCGATCGGGGTCTTGATTTTTCTCGTGACTTGCGCGTGACTTGTCATGTGTCTCGTAATAATTGCAAAAAAAGACTGCTAAAACGGTTGCCCTGAATAGGGTCTGAGTCCGAAGGGTTGGTGTTTGGATGTTTCCCATCACACAACAGCACAGTAGTCACTACAACCATAACAAAAACAAAAACCAATAATAAAAACAATAATACTAGTGTTGTAAGCTTATTAGGTTAAATGACACTAAGGTGTATAATATCACTAATCATTTATGACTCTATAACCATGCAGTAGTTAGTATACTGGGGTATATGGACATTTCCGAAAGGTGAGCAACCACTAAATGTCAAATGTCGTGCGGAACCAGTTTCATGTAACCACTACTACCCCGGTAGTAGACTACTTGGTACTAAGAATGACTAATAACTCTGATTAGTAACAAAACATCACTAACCCTGACTACTGACAAATGAACTATCAATAGCAACCATTCTAATATACTATAATATACTGTACTACTCTACTCTATAGTATACTACGCTTTTCCCTCTAATGGTATTATCCTTGACGAGTGCGGCCACAGCACAAAATTTCCGTGTTGCTCATTTCTTTTTCGGGTTACTTTTTGTTGTGTGTTTCTCTGCGACTACACTGAGGCCCATTTGTACCACCACTAAATTCCCTTTTTCTTCTCCTTATCATTTACCTAGACTTTACCTTAGCTTCAGTAATTTAGTTAAAAGTTGTGTATATTCGTAGTGTACTGAGATATTCATCATTTAGTTCCTCATCCAGTTTTTGAAAAAGTATCACGATCACGTTCCTGTATCTGTCTGACTTGTCATTCTAGTTATCTTTTTCACTGGGCTCATTACTAAGTTACATATACAATAACAATATTTATATTAATATCTCCATCTACTACTATTTCAACAACTATTATAGTTAAAAAATTATAGTATTAACTATATCAACTACTTGATCTCATTCTATACCTTATCGCTGATATTAAAAAGCCAAGTATTTGTTGTCGTTGTTATTCCCGCCATAAATTACTAAACATTTATTAATAATATAACTATAACTATATATACCCCCATCAATATTTCATCATATAATGTCAAGACCTGCTGCTGCCCTTTTACAACGACACTATAAAGAATTAACTGATCCAAAAAGAATCACCCCCTTTCATATCGAATTAGATGATGATAATATCTTTTTATGGAATATTGGAATGATGGTATTTAATAAAGATTCTATTTATCATGGAGGTTATTTTAAAGGTTCTATGAGATTCCCACCTGATTTCCCATTTTCTCCTCCAACTTTTAGATTTACTCCTCCTTTATATCATCCTAATATTTATAGAGATGGCCGTGTTTGTATATCAATTTTACATCAAGGTGGTGATCCAACAAATGATGAACCTGATAGTGAAACTTGGTCTCCTGCTCAATCAGTTGAATCAGTATTAATATCAATACTTTCACTTTTAGAAGATCCAAATGTTTCATCTCCTGCAAATATTGATGCATCAGTAGAATTAAGAAGAAATCCTGAAGCTTATAAAAAGAAAGTATTACAAGAAGTTGAAAATTCAAAACAAAATATTCCAGAAGGATTTGTTATTCCTGATTTAGAATCTGAAGCTTTTAAAAATGCCAATAATAGAGTCGAAATCGAACAACTTAATGATGATTTTTGGTCAGAATATGATGATGAAGATGATTTTGAAGATGATGAAGATGATTATGATGAAGAAAGTGATCAAGCAAGCCTTATGGATGATGAACATGGAGAAGTTGATGAAGATGATGAAGAAGAAGAAGACGATGACGTTGAAATGGTTAAATGAAAATAGTAATAATTTACTATTAATTTCAATGACAAGTTCTAAAGATCTATACCAATCTCTTTTTCATGGTTAGATAATTTCTTATCATATTAATTATAATGTTTCTACTAATTAATCCTAATAAGATTTTAATCTATTCATTCTTTATTGTTATTTATTGTTATTATTAATGGTTATCAATGTGTCTTGGTTCTTTTATCTCTCTTTGCTTCTCCTTTGATCTTTAGTTGGTTTGTCATGTTATTCATCAATCTTTGCATCAATTTATATACTGCTATTATTATTATTATTAGTAGTAGTAGTAGTAATAATTATATATATATTCATTCTTATACGCCTTCTGCATCTTAATATTTTTATCTCTACTGTTTTTACAATATAAATAAAGTCTATATAATACTACTACACCCTTGTAAGCCCTCATTTATTGCTTGACTAAGATTATCAACTTTTAATTTGGCTATAGAATCAGGTAATGATGATGAATAATACAATACTACATATAATTGTTTACCAGCATTTTCATTATCATAATCATTATCATTATCATTATCATTACTGTTACTATTACCATTACCATTAATATCATCTTGATTTATGTGTACATCTTCAGCTTTAGTATCTGCAACATGTTCACGATGTTCTATACCATTTTCTTGTAAATCTGATGTATCATTATTTGCACTTCCATAATTGATTTTACGGATAATTAATTTAAGTTCTTCATCAAGTTGAATAATATCCCAATCATCTAACCTTATATCATGAGGTTCATCTGATTGATTTCCTTGTAATTGTTTATATCCAAGTAATGAATATATTTTAAGACTATCACTATCATATCCGTGAGTTTTATTTTCATTTTGATTACTATTAACTACAGTTGTAAGTGGGATACCTTCACTACTTAATAATGAAATGGCTATGGGTGATACATTAGTTGTTGTACCTACGACATTATTATTGCCCAAATTGGTTGTCGTAGTCGAATTAAGGGTGACAGAATTTAACCCTTGTGATAATAATTGTGATATTTGTCTGGCTTGTAACATTTACGATTAATTTAGTGTCTGTTATGTTTTAGTATGTGAAGTATGTTTACTTTCTGATATACGACGATTCAGTGTCTGGTGACTAGAGACACACTCAAACTCGTTACGACTGTTGTTGTATCGTATCTTAATGTCGCACTTCCTTAGGTGGGTGCTGGGCTGTATGCAGTACCTCCCAATAAAAGAAAATAATAAATCTGTCTATTTGCAGCCATTGCTACATGTAATGTATTTGTATAGATGTATATATATATATAAATAACCTATAAAGTAAATAACCCTGTTCTCTTCTTCCCAAAGGGGTATACGACCAAAGCAGCCGCAAATAATCCAACACTAATTCCAATAGATACTTGAACCATAGTAGCCCCAAAACTTAATGAACCCATATCTACATCTCCTGAAGCGGCTGCTGCTGCTGCTGCAGTAGAATTCCCCTTAGTAATTTGATCAGCAGTATTAACTCCTGAAATTAATGATCCCTTACTGGCAATACCAGAAGGAACTTGAACAAATACGGCCGGTAACATAGCACTCACAGCCATACCTCTCCAAACTCTTGAATATAAATTACCTAAAATTCCAATAATAAATGCCCCTATACAAGATGTAAATTCAGTAACATTAGCAAAATGTTTACCAGCAAAATAACTTGCTACATATCCTCCACCACTAATAGCAAGCATTATAGGAATTTGTTGCCATCTTGCTTGATTAATTAAGGCAAGACTTAATGAAAATCCAGGAACAAATAAAATCCTCCATTTATCATTTAATGAATGATTGGCAGAACATGTATTGGCAGATGTAGCATTACTATCGACCCATCCATATAATGCTGCTCCTAAAGTAATTCCAAATCCAAGAAATAATGAATAAATAATAGCATAAAACATTCGAACTGATCCTGCCACAATATTACGAGATTGAAGTTCTAATGAACCACAAAGAATGATATATCCTGGAAGAATAAGTGCTAAACTACCTTGAACAATAGCTGCAAAACAAAATAAGTTCCCTCCTCTTATAGATCCAATACCTCTTGCAATAAATGAAACAACAATAGAAGCAGTCACTTCAAATACAGATGAATACAAGTTGGACATTGATGATAAATAAAATTGAAGAAACCCTACACAACATCCAACTCCAAAACATATAGGTACATCAAGCCAACCTCCTCCAAATGCAAATGGTGCTACAGTAGCAGCTCCTAATCCAAAATATAATACGCACATCCAAGGTGGATATAAGTTTTTCTTTTTCAATAATTCATCTAATTTGGCTGCTGCTATATCTACTCCCATAATATCATGAATAACTCCTTTATAAATCTTATGAGCATCAGATAATTTCGATAAATTTAAACCTTGAACACATCTTACTAAATGAACTTCACTAGTTCTGGTTGCTGCATCACCAAATGAAACTATCATACATCCAGGAAAATACATGAATTGTCCATCAATTTCAAGAACTCTACTAGTCATTAACATATATTCTTCAAGTCTATGAGTTGGAGCTCCAAATAACATCAATGCACGACAAAGTTGCATAATGAAACGTTGTCTTTGTAAAATATCAGCTATATGAACTGTAATTTTTAATTTTTGTTCTCGTCTATTACCCTTTAACTTCTTTAATTTCGGTGGTCTTTTAGGTGGTTGACGGGGTTTAGCATTCTGGAATGATGGTAATTTTTCTGACTCAAAGGGTAATTGATCTTCATCATCTTCAGTTGAACTAGTATGTTTATGTTTACCAGCTCCTAAAAATGATTCAACTTTTTTGGGAGCTGATCTGATTCCTTGTTTTAATTTATTAAAGTCTAAGGAAGATTGGGTTCTTGTTTCATTAATACTTTCTCCAAACGTGCTCTCTCCTGCCAAAGTTGCTGCATCTGTAAATCTTGAAGATGCTAGACTTGACGTAGATCTCGATTGATCTTCATGATTATATAACTTTAATAAAGAGCTTAATACTCCCGCATGGACTCGAGATGGAGGTGCAATATAACCATCCTCAGTTTCACCATCTAATAAAAATTCACCACCAGTAGGTTCATAGTAATCATTATTTAGAATATCTGCACCTGGTAATGGTGTATAAAATTTATGATCTGAGCTTCGATGTGAACCACCTGAATCCGTAGGTGATGTAGTATTATGAGAACTAGAAGATCCTTCATGAATATGATTTCTGGATTCAGGCACATGAGCTTGAATTAATTGTTTGGCTTCTTCACTTAATGAATCAAAATCCATTGGCTTCATTTCTATAGAATCATCAAATCCTACTCTTGCTTCTTCATCATTTTCTCTTATAGATTCATGTTCCATTCTAGAAGCTCCGGGAGCTAAACCACCTCCACTAAGTCCACCACCATTAGACATACTTAATACACGTCCTAAGAATGTATCTGAGGGAGACATATCTTGATCAGTAGGTCTATCTATTAATGACATTTTCCTTAAGATTCCCTTAAGACCTCCTGAATTTCCCGCTATAGATTTCTTTCTTTCTTCATTATATGAATCTGAACTACTTGAACTATGTTTAATTTGACTTGAATTGTTTTGGTCAGTGATATCTATACCCTCACCTTTTCCTTTATCATCTTCATTATTGTCCTCGTCATCGTCATCATCTGATGATGATGAATCACTTAGGCTCTGAGGAATTCCTTCACTATCATATTCAATATCCTGATTTCGAAATACATTATTCTCATCACTTTCGTTATCATTTAATTCCAGTTGACTATGTTTTACATTTGAAGTATTAAATTTAAAGCTCGGTAATTTATCATGAGGATCTACATTATCCTGGTCATTGAAATCCTCCAATTCCTCATCTAAAGAACTAGCATTAGATGCTGCACCACTACTGATCATTGAATCTCGAGGATTTCGAGGTACATACAGATCAGGGAATCTTACTGATTTACCTCCTGTAGCTAGTTTCTTACTTGCTTTTGAAAAATTTCGAGATGCTTGCTTCTGTTGGTGCCTTCTATAGTCATGAAGATTTAAGTGTGGTAATCTTATATTGGAATGTGGTTGAGTTGGTTGTGACTCATCGTCAGAAGACGATAGAGTATAATCATCCTGATTCATTAGGGTGGTTCTGTTCTGTTCTTATGTTTGTTATACTGTTCTTATGTTCTGATCTCTTCTTTCTTTAGTATAACTCACCTTTTCCGGAGTCACGCAACGGCCCTGTTCTGTAATTATAATTAATCCTCCAGAGATCAAAATTAACTATGTTGAATATTGAATCAATTCCTGGTAAGACAAATGTACGTTCATATAAATAATAATCTCATGTATATATCACAAAAACCTTCTATAACTTGATGAAACAAATTATATATTTACTAACAATGGCTTAACAGCTACCGAACTGAATGTCCCATAGTTAAGGGCAAAGTCTGTCGCGGGTTAGTGTGTCTAGTTTTTCTGTAGGTGCGGATGCAGGATGACGTTTTTTAGCAAGCTTAGCGAAAGGGTGCCAACTGTACAGGAATGGCCAGAGAGGAAGGAAGGAGGTTGCAGGCTAAGGGATGATAAGTATTATGGGGTTAATACTATGTGTTATGTACAGTTCATGGATTTTATATACTTCAGTATGTAACTAGTTTTAGTAAGTGGATTGTTACTTCGTATGTAACTTATAACCAATCCAGTAACATCTGGTTATGAGAGGCTTAAAGCGCGATTTGCAACGACTTACATGTAAGCCATCCCTTCCCTATTGGGCATAGCAACCTTAAACTTGGGCAAGAAAATTTTCCTGTTTCGAGAAGAGTTGCTCGAAGAGATCCTTCTGTGTGATAGGTGAATGATCTTCGTTCCCCCCTGCGATTATGATCTTAGTCGGATCGGATTGAACTTGTTTCTGAAACACCTCCGTATTTTGTGGTATATTTTCGAGCGCAATATAGCAGAGCGAAGTCCACACTAATTGAATATCTCTTATTAAGACAATTAGATACTAATTGAGATACTAAAAATAGTAATATTTTTTATTGCTGCAAATTATTTTCTATACCCATCCATCAAGAGAACCATCTTTAATTGATTCCGTCCGTCAAAAGAAATGTAACTAATGACATGCAATATATGATGCTAAAATATGTCTACTAAATGACTAAGTAAAGAAGAAAAGTTTTTATTCAATTATAAATCATCTTCAAGCATTAACTTCTTACTATCCAAGAGTATCAAGTGCTTTATCGCACTCATTGAACTTGAAATAACTGTCATTGTCAAATCACCAACCATACTAATAGATGTACATATGGAACTATAATATGTTTAAAATTAGTTATCAATTCACTAGTACCAATAAACTCAAATATTACATCAAACTCATTTGTCACCTTTGACGTAGGTAGCACATGTAACAGTGGATTGTTCATTAAATTCTAATAACTATACCTATAACTATACCTATAACTATACCTATAACTATACCTATAACTATACACTATCTTCCCATTGAACTCCACACCATTCCTCTATATATGCAACATGGTTTTCATCCAAACTATCTTTAGGAACATAATCTTCTACATCAGTACATACAATAATTGTCCCCCATGACATACCATTTAATATACTGGCAATATTAGTATCCTTATTATCTTCAATTTCTTCAAGATCCATAATTGCCTTTGGCATAAGTTGTAATTCAAATTGTCTATTTGAAGATGGATTATATCCAGGATTTGGAACATTAAATGTATTGCCCACAAATCTTTTAGCAATATCATCCTTTCCAGAATATAATAATGGTCGTCCACCTATATTATATCTTAATACTTGATTAGGGTTATGTTTAACTCTTTCTGTAAATGCGGCAAAGAATTTATCATCAAGTACACTAGATGCTTCAATACTGGCACCAGAAGATGACTCTCTTCTACTTTTTCCACTAGATCCAATATTATCTTCAGGATCATTTGAATCAGCTTCTCCCTTTTCAATTAAATGCTTATATTTCTCTAATTCTGGATCTAAAGTTTCCTTTTTAAATTTTTCAATGTCTACATAAACAAAATTTCCTTTATATGATGGTAAGTCATTGTCTGATACTAATGATTTCTTCTTTTCTTTCTTTGCAGGAGCATTTTTAGAAGCTATTTTGGCATATGATTCCTTTGAGGCTACTTCCTTCTTTGGTTCTTCTTTCTTCGCAAAAGGATTTGAATCAGCAGAAAATGGATTGGATGTGGATGATGATGCAAATGGATTAGATGAATTACCAAATGGATTTGATGATTGCTTATCCTTATCAGTATTAAATAAATCTTTTGTGATTTCAATGTTAAACTTTTTCTTATCTTCTAGTCTTAATTTTTCATTCAACTCATTCTTTATAGCTTCATCTTGTTCCTTTTTGATTTCTGATACTCGAGATGGATCTTGAGAAATTCCTCGAATTACTTTTACTGTGTTAGATTTTCTTGAACATTGACTAGTATTCTTACATGCAAATATATATATGACTCTATCATATAATTTTCCATCAATGGGAGCAAAAGCTTGAAGTAATAATGCCAACTTTTGATTACAATTGGGACATGTCAATACAGACTCATCTGGACGAGATTCTGGATGAAGCCATACAGGTTTTCCCCCTATAAATGTATCTTCAATTGTTGGAAGTTCATTATCTTCAGGATCTTCTTCATCATCAATAATTGGTCCATCCACAAATCCTAAATAAACTTCGGAATTTTCGTTTTCGTCAAATAATTCTTCTTCATCAGAAGAGTACTCGTCATGTGATGACATACTACTACTTATTTATTTAATTAATTAATTAGTAATTAACTCATCTTCTTCAATCTCTTCTGTCGAATCCATCTCTTCAACTAGTATAAAAAAATTCAAGCAATCACGTGTTTTTCACGTGAACTTTTTTTTTGCAACCACCGCGACCTCATGTTCATCCTAAGAACTTTTTTGTCAAGAAATAGAGCGCCGTGGCGCAGTGGAAGCGCGCAGGGCTCATAACTCTGATGTCCCTCGATCGAAACGAGGCGGCGCTATTTCTTCTTTTTTTTCAATTTACTATATAATTTTTTGCAACTTTAATAGACTGTTTCACTTTTTATATTATACTGTATTCTAAACCACTATTATAATGAGTTTATGTTAAAGATTACTTTAGATAGTATAACTTACATAACTTATATAACTTTTAGAGCATTTAGTAATTGTTTATGAGATATTGGAATATTTACTATAATTCGTACCAAAGTTGGCTAAACCTTTTAGATATTGTATGTAATTGCTGGTAAGTACACATAATACAAAGTTAGTTAATGTCAATGAATTTATTAAACGAATGTTAGCGATAATAAATATATATACAGGAGAGATGGGTGATTACTTTTTAGACTTTTTCTTCTTATTTCCTGATGTAGACTTCTTTTTCTTCTTCTTAAGTTTATTAGATCTAACTCCATGACTTGTCAGTCCTGAAGATGCAGGTGTACCTGATCTTGATTTACTTGAAGAGGTATTATCTAATTCGGGAATTTCTGGTATTTCAGTAATTTCATCTTCTTGTCTAGTTATTGATGTATCTCTTGAAGATCCTTCTACGGGTTCATCATTAAGTATAGAGCTGTAAACAGTTGGACCTTGAGATAAAGAACTTGAATTAGGTGGATGTGATACTAAAGGTGTAGATTCTGTTGGTGTACCTACATAAGTCTCGATATTTTGTTCATAAATTCTTTCTCTTAAATCCATTATTTCTTCAGGTTCATCAGTAACAACTGAAGAACTTCCATGTGAAACTTTTGGTTCTTTAGATTCATTATCTTTATCATCGAAATATTCATCAGACTTTTCATTAGCTGTTCCACCAATTCCTGGTTTTTCACTAAGTTGCTTTGATGAAGATCCTAATCTAACTATATCATTTGAAGATCTTCCAAAGAAATCCAATTCTTCTTCAGGATATCCTGGAGGTAATTCTTCACCTTTATCTAAGATTTCATCACCATCTTTATTTTCAATTACTTTATTATATTGAGGTAAGGATGCTAAGCCTCTATCTCCACCTAATTTTTTAAAATCACTAGTAGATACAAAACCATATTTTCTAACATTAGCTTCAATCCAAACAAATCCTAATTGACCTATGTTAACTTGAAATTTTGCATTTGTCAGGAAACATCCAATTGCTGGATATAAATCTACAAAGCAACCTCTTAATACATCTAATACTTTTTTACCATTTCTTGTTATAAATATAGTTCCAGTAGTTATTACATAACCAAAACCAACCACATCTGATTGTTGTAATGGAGGTAAAACTAATGCATTATATTCAGATTGTTCACCTAAATGTTGTTGTAATGGAGTTGGAAATGGTTTATTAATTTTTAAATTCCCTGTTGATTCATAACCAATTGAGAATTTATTATAACCTGGTAATCTAAATGCTGATGGATAAGGTTTTGTAACTAAACCAATTGAAAAATGAGCATTTGGACTATCATTATTAAATTCAAATACTTTAGTTTCAAAATAAATTGTATCAGAATATAATCTATTTCTTGAAGGTAATGCATAATTTAATACTGAAGTTGCTGATGAATAAGGAGTATCATTATTATGAAAAAGTAATTCAGTTTTATCAGCTACAATAAATCGAGGATTTAAAGTAATTGAATCAGGTTCAAAATGGAAAGCATCTGTACCACAATCTTTAATTAATTTTTCATCTTCAAGAGTAAAAGATTTACCTCTGACATTTTGAAAATTAGGTGGATTTGTCTTTGAAAATTCTTCACCTTTTAAATAAGCTGATTGTTCTTCTGGTGATAAATTTGTAAAATCAAAAGTATCTTCTAAATGTCTAAGTCTTTCTTCATCATTTAAAAATTCATGAGGAACATCATTTGATGTGGTTCCCATGAATTCGGATCCTATAAACGCATAATCATTACGATCTAAATTTGCAAAATAATATCGGTAAATACAAACAAATACTAATAAGACGAAGCCACTAGTGAATAATACTAGTCCAATAATTAATCCTGTAGCATCCAAGTCTAAAGTTTTAGACAGTAGTAATAATTTGAACATATTCAATGAGTGAGATAGGTATAGCCAATATGAATTGTCACTAGTAAGCTACAGTAAGTTCAGTAAAGTATAGTGGTAATTGCAGACTCAGTGAGCTGCCGGAAGTTGGGGTAGGTTAGCTAGTGATCTGATGGAAAATATCTTGATCCTTAGGCTAAAATATTTTGTGTGGTGAGGTGCGCCGCAGTGAGTGGCTGCTTAGACAATAGACGAGAGACGAGACGAGAGATGAGAAGAGACAATGGAGGGAAGGTGTCATTAGGGAGGGAGGAGTTGTCAGTAGTGAGTAGAGTAGTCAGTAAGTGATAGAGTGTAGTGAGCAATAATCAGTAATTACTTAGTAATAGTCGGTAATAGTCAGTAATATAGTAATAGTTAGTGAGAGTAATAGTTAGTGAGAGTGTAATTTAGGGTAAATAATTAGGGCTAGAATGTCGCAGCCACTAGCCACGTCTGGGTAATAGAGAGGAATTTAGACTGCAGTAGTACACTACAATTATACGACAATTACGCTACAGTACTACACTCAGTAGTTCAGTAGCTCAGTAGCTCAGTAGCTCATCCACTAATACTCAGTAATCTCAGTAATCTCAGTAATACTCACTAATCTCAATACTTCTCTCAATACCACTGCGCGCACTCCTTTGTTTTGATTTCTCACTATTTTCGTGTCGCGAGGCTCACAAAATTATCAACACCGTGAAGACCACCGAGACTTAACCTCATCAACCTCACTACCGATGGATGTCTCTACCAAAAACCTCCCTAGCATTCACAACATGGTGCCTGACCCAGTAGAACAGCCCGCTGGTGAAATGGTACGAGTCACTGTACCTGAACCAGTACCCACCACCACCACCGCGACTACTAATACTACCAGTACCAGCACCAGTACCAGCACCAGTACCACCACTAAGGATACCACCACCTCTACCGACACAGCACCACCACATCCTGCCACCAACCTCAAGAAAAGATTCAATTCCTTGAAACAGCCTCGGTACCCATTGAAGGAATCCAATGCCAACGTTCCCTCGCCCATCTTGAAGAAGGCCAAATTGAATACGGGCTCTGCATCTTCTACATCATCTCATTATTCCATGTTATCCAAAGTGTCATTGGGTCATTATCATCATCCGAAGGTTCCTTCGCCTCAGAAACTCACTCAACCTCATCCTCAACCTCAACCACAGCCTCAACCATCGGTACTTCATCCAATTCGTCAATCTCCTCATAAACAGTCTCCATTAAAACATCAAGTAACTGTAGAACAAACAAGTGTATCCACCCAGAAATCACCTGAATCACAGCCCCAACCTCATGAAACAAAACCCACTATTGCTGAATCCGTAGCACCAGTAAAACAAGCCGTTCATCGAGATCCAATTGAAGAATCTCATCCTCCTACAACAACCAAAAGTCCAGTAACTATTCATTCACACCCAAACATAACTGTTGTTAATAATAACCAGTTAAATAGTCATAAACCACCTAAACCTTTACCTCAATTACGAGAATCGGCTATAGCTTTACCAGCACCCGTACCAGCACCACCGGCTGCACCCCATTCGAATCAACCACAAGTGACTGTTGCAACACAACAGATCCAACAACAACAATCGAAAGCATCCGGAAGACTCGTAGGAGAAGAGTTACATACATGGCAACAATCATGGAGAAAAATCATGAAACAATCCATCATCTATTTCGAAGGAGTTCAGGAATATAATCGGATCCAAATGGCGGAATATAAACGAGCCGCTAAATTATTGAAAATCGTAGGCAGTGATATAACGGCCTTTTATGATAATGATGTAACCATCATTATATCTCGTAGATCATATAATCCCAAAATCAAATATCCATCGAATGATATATTTTCAAATGTATCTAATTTAAAAATTAAAGTATGGGATTACGATAAAGTGTTTAGATTTTTAAAGAATTTAGGCATGAATATTATGACGGGAGTTGATGAACTTGAGAATAAATCAAAGGATAATAATTTATCAACATTATTAAAGGAAGAAAAGATTTATGGAGCTACAGATCGAGATCCCAATACTAAACGAGAAGATTTACATTATTTAGATAAGAATTATCTTTATGTATATGATTTAAGTCAAAAGGTTCGTCCAATAGCCATACGAGAATGGGAAGAAGAGAATTATCCATTATTTAATTTAACCCTTGATGGGAAATGTCCGTTTATAAATGAGTCATCAGACAATAATGAACGAAAGAAATTAAGAAGATTAAAAAGATTTGAAATGACAAAAGAGTATCGAGAGTTACTTAGACGAGCCACTAATAATCTTATTAATAATAATTCTACTACTACTACTAATTTAAAATCTTCCTGTGATATCATTGGCACAAGTACAAGTACTGATAAACCATTTAATGATATTCAAGATAATATTCAAGATTTACCAGTCCAAGAATATCTGCAAGCTAAAATCCATGATGAAGATACTACACAATTGATTAATACCATTAATACGAGTATGTTTAAACAACCAGGTCAATTAACTAGAAATTCTTCATGTATTCAACCAGGAATTGGAGCCTCTAATTCCAAAGTATTTGATGTAGTTGCCTCGGGATTTAATGGAGCTTCTAATGCCATGAGTTTCTCTATGGATTCAAGTTTAAATTCAGGAGCAGCTCAACAGGGCAATGGATTAGGACCCATGATATCCCAAGTGCCTTCACGAAATCTTAATAACTTAAAGAGAAGAATCATTATAAAGAGACAACAGCAACGAGAGAACACGGCCACCACTGCCACCACTGCCAAAAAGGAAAAGGATGATGCCAATAAGGAAAACAATCCAGGATACTGTGAGAATTGTCGGGTCAAATATGACAATTTCGAACATCATATCCATTCCAACAGACATCGTAATTTCGCTTGTAATGATGCTAATTTTGTTGATATCGATCAATTAATTCAGAAGTTGCAAGACGCCCGGGCTTTGGGGTTTATCTCTTCCAACGGAGATTACAGTTGTGTCTGAGTCTGAGTTTGAGTCTGAGTCTGATGTCATTTCTAAAAGTTTATCTGCATATATTAAATAATTATTTTAATTATTTTAATTATTTTAATTTATTAATTTTATTAATTTTATATTTTTTTTGCAATCGTAGATACTCGTGCGACATTGTTGCACCACCAGACATATGTCGTGAAAAATTCTCTCTAATATCTCCCATACTAATGCCTTTATAATTACTGATATAGTCACTACTAAACTAACTTAAACGACAATGTGGACGTACAGTTGGAGGCCAGCGAGTCGACTCGTGTCAGGCTCAATTCCCACGAAAGTCGTAGCGAAAAGGACTTCATCTTTCCTTGGAAACTTACCCCGAGTCGGAGGTGGTGTATCGAAGTTTGCGAAGAAGAAAGCTCCAGCAAAGTTGGAAGTGCCTAAACCACAAGAGAAAGTGTCTAAAGGTAATGCTCAGCAAAATGTCACGACAAATAGTGCTCGTAAGAATGTCCCTCAGAGTGGGAACAGTGCCGACACTACAGACACTGCCGCTCCAGTCAGCTCAGGGAACAGATTTGCCAAACAGTACAGTAATTCCAACAATAACCAAAGAAATGGCAATAGTCTGAATAATAATAATAATAATAATAATAATAATAATAATAATAATAATAATAATCGAAACAATCACAACAACCGATTCGCCAGAAGTGCAGAATTGTCTGAAACTCAGCAAATCAACCGGTATGAAGCATTAAAGAAAGCCGTTGACAAATCCACCGGTAATGTCAGTAACAATAAGCCAAAGACTTCCTTCAATAATAAACGGAAAACTCCCAAGAAGCCTCGCGCATTAGTTAAACTTCAATTACCCCCCTTCATCACTGTGTCTAATTTAGCATCATTAATGCATGTGCAATTAAATGACGTATTTAAAAAACTTGAAGGATTAGGATTTGAAGATATCAGACATAATTATATTCTTGAAAAGGAAAATGCCTCATTAATTGCTGACGAATATGGATTTGAAGTGATTATTAATGAAGATTATAAGGAAGACTTATTTCCCGACATTGAAAAACCAGAATTATTAAAAGAACGTCCACCAGTAGTAACTATTATGGGACATGTAGATCATGGTAAGACGACAATTTTAGATTATTTAAGAAAATCTTCGATTGTCGATAAAGAATTTGGAGGTATAACTCAACATATCGGAGCATTTTCAGTTATAACTCCTATATCTAAAAAGAAAATTACTTTCTTAGATACTCCTGGTCATGCGGCCTTTTTGAAAATGAGAGAAAGAGGAGCTATTATAACTGATATTGTAATTTTAGTTGTGGCAGCTGATGATTCAGTTATGCCTCAAACTATCGAAGCTATTAAACATGCGAAGAAATCAGGAGTACCTATGATTGTTGCCATTAATAAATGTGATAAATATGGGGTTGATACTGATAAAGTATTGGCTGATTTATCGTCACAAGATATTGATATAGAAGATTATGGAGGAGAAACTCAAACAGTTAAAGTATCAGGTAAAACCGGTTTAAATATGGATAAATTAGAAGAAGCTGTTATTACTTTAAGTGAAATGAGTGATTTTAAAGCTGAACCAAATGGAATTAGAAGTGAAGGTTGGATAATTGAATCTCAAGTAGTTAAAGGTATGGGGAATGTTGCAACTGTATTAGTTCGTCGTGGATCAGTTAAAACTGGAGATTTCTTAGTAGCTGGTCATACCTTTTGTAAAGTTAGAGGTATGAAAGATGAACATGGTAAACCAGTTAAAGTTGCTGGTCCTTCAACTCCTGTACAAATATGGGGGTGGAAAGATTTACCTGAAAGTGGAGATCAATTACTTCAAGCTGAAAGTGAACAAGTGGCTAAAAGAGTTATTGATAGTCGTATAAATAGACAAAAGGAAATTCAAGCAGCAAGAGATGTTGAAACAATTAATCAAAAGAGACAAGAAGAAATTGAAGAAAATAAACGATTAGAAAAGATTAATACTTTAAAGATGGCAGGACTTGATGCTAGTGTATTAGAACATGAAAATGAAAAGAATGAACCTAAAGCTATAGAAGTTAGATATATGATTAAATCTGATGTCTTTGGATCAGCAGAAGCTATTAAAGAAAGTATTAATGAATTAGGTAATGAAGAAGTTAAATCAATTGTTATATCTCATGGAGCTGGAGCCCCTACTGAAACTGATATTGAATTAGCTAAAACTTTAAATGCTACTATCTTTTGTTTTAATATTAAAGTTCCTAAACCAATTGCTATGAAAGCAGATAAAGATAAGGTTAATATTAAAGAACATAATATTATTTATCGATTAATTGAAGATGTTACAGAAGAATTACAAAGTCATTTAAAGCCTCGAATTGAAACTAAAGTCGTAGGAGAAGTAGATATTAAAGAAATATTTACTGTTACAATTAAAAAATCCAAATCAAAGATTGCTGGATCTAAAGTATCTACGGGGATGATTAAAAAGACTTCTAAGATTAGAGTACTTAGAAAAGATGAAGTTGTTTACGAAGGAACTTTATCATCATTAAAACATATTAAGGATGATATTAATGAAGCAAGAAAGGGAGCTGAGTGTGGTATATCATTTGATAAATGGGAGCTGTTTGAAGTGGGGGATGTTATTCAAGCATATGAAGAGATTGAGCATAAGAGATTCTTGTAGATAGTGTAGATAGTGAGTAAATAAATGTTGTATATAGATAGAGGGGTATTGTAGACAGTAGTGAGAGGAGGATAGAGAGCAGTAGAGAGCAATAGAGCAATATAGCAGTAGAGAGCAGTATAGTAGACGGTAGAGAATAGACGGTAGAGAATACAGTGCAGTAGAAAATAGACAGTAAACAAGACAGGAGAAGACAGAGAAGACAGAGAAGACAGAGAAGAAAGTACTGTAGAAGCAGGTACACTTAAACTTCAACTCTTAACTATGACTATATGTAGTACTACTGTATATGACAGACACTCGTACAGATACGTACTGCCATAAGACAAATAAATTGCCCCATACAGAAATTTGACATAATTCGCTGTAGTACGACAGCAACAATACAATACAAGACCACAAAAAGGAGAAAGTAACTGACCTCAAAAGTCATTCGTAATTACATAAACTCTGAGCTTCCACAGTTATTAGTTGTAGCATCAGTAGTTGTAATAATAATGTCATAGTAATAATTAACTTTTAGGGTACCAGTAACGTTACCAAAGACTACTAATAAGGTACCAGGACAGACAGACACTGCTGGCTCAGCGTCGTAAGTTATCTCCACATTCTAAGAAAAATAAAAATAAATGAAAAATTAAAAAATAAATAAATAAAAATAATGCATCTCAAAATTGCTTGTTCATCATCAACCGACAGAAAAAGGAGACCAGACAGACAGAGCGATTTTATAAGCACAAATGGAGAGAGTTTTTTTAACCACCATCAACACTGTCTTCAACCAAATTTATACCACAATCACCCTCTAAATATCCGACAAGTGTCATATATATCATCAATACAATCTTCAATTGATTCTTCCCAATTGTACAAGTGTTGTTCAACAAAAAAGTCCCAATCCTGACCCCCGACATTTCTTTGAAATTTTATTCTTCCAATGTCCAATCCACCTTTCCAAAGACAACCTCCCGGATCTCCTTTACACCAACACAGTTCATTAGCCACTGGTTCTAATGCCTCCTCTGTGTCGGGAGGGTCGACTGGTTCTTCATCCTCATCGTCCAATCAAAATTCATCTCATCTTCATGCCACTGGACCTCATCATGGTCATTATCAAAATCAAAACACTTCAAGAAAACCATCGATTGTGGAGTTATTAAGTTCTCCACCTCCCCTTCCCAATAATCCCATTGATCAGGAAGAAATCCATCAGTTGTCTTTATCTAGACATACTTCCATTAGTTCTCGTACTTCTTCGTCGTATCATAATTCTAGTGGAAACAATAATAGTTCAACTGGTAATCATCATGGTTCTATTGTTGGATTAGATTGGACAGACATTCCGTTGAGTGAATTGACTGAATCCAATAAGTTAATTTCTATCAATTCATCATATTCTGTTCAAAAGGCATTTGAAACATTAGTTGACCATTCATTAACTTCTTTACCAGTTTCATTAAATTCTAAGAATTATGATGATTTATCAAATTGTTTAACATTTGATTATAGTGATTTGAATACTTATTTATTATTGGTAATGAATAAAATTAATATTAATGATTTATCAATTAATGAAATTGGTTCAGAACTGGATTCAACTTTAAAAAGACAAGAAATCGCCACCAATACCATTAATAAAGCCAAGAGAGGTGAAGAAGTTCCTGTAGAATTTATTATTAAATTACATCCTAAGAATCCATTTATTAAATTTTCAGAATCAGACACTTTATTTAATGTTATGGAAACTTTAGGTAATGGAGTTCATAGAATTGCAATAACTGATCCAGAAACTCCTTCTAAAATTACCGGGATTTTATCTCAAAGAAGATTAATTAAGTATATGTGGGAGAATGCTCGTAGATTCCCATCATTGGACTTTTATTTAAATTCAACTTTACAAGATTTAAAGATTGGTTCAAATACTCCAATAACTATTTATGAAGATCAATTATTAATTGATGCTTTACATAAAATGTTTGTTGAAAGAGTTAGTTCATTAGCAGTCATTGATAAATCTCGATCGTTAATTGGAAACATATCAATTGTAGATGTTAAAAATGTTACAAGTTCTAAGAATTCACATTTATTATTTAAATCAGTATTAAATTTTATTAGTTATAATTTAAGTCAAAAGGGAATTGAAGAAGGTCAAGATCAATTTCCAATATTTCATGTTAATAATCAAAGTTCTTTAGGTAGAGTTATTGCTAAATTAGTGGCTACTCAAAGTCATAGATTATGGATTGTAGAATCTACCAATAGACATTCAAGTATTATACCATCTTCAAGTTCTCCTACTACAGTTGAAGCTACTTTATCTCCTCAATCTCCAACCATTAGTGTAACTCCATCATCTGCATCTTCAACTTCAACCACTCCAACTTCTCATCATTATCAACATCTGCTGCATGTAACTAATAATTCAGGATCTCCAAATTCTTCAAGTAATCCTTCGGGAGGTTCTTCAACTGGTGGAGATATTAGTTATGGATTACCTGGTAAATTAATTGGTGTCGTCTCATTAACTGATATTCTTGGCTTATTTGCATCATCAAAGGGTCGTAAAGTTGATCCACAAATGGCAAGAAATCAACGTAGAAGATCTTCTACGTCTACTACCAGATCCAGTATTGATAGTGCTATAAGTCTTGATCCAACGCGAGGTGCCCCAGCTGATAGTAGATCTACATTATTAAATGCTTCATCAGTTGCTTCAACTTTATCTCCGGGGACTTCTACGAATTCTGACAAGCAATGACTTTTGTCTTGTCTTGTATTTTTTGTCTGTCTGTCTTTGTTTCTTCATTTATTTATTTATTATTACTAACAATCTCTAAGTTTATATATTTATATACCATAAAATTAATTAAATACATACATACATACAAACAAATTGCAATTGTAATTGCAAATTGTCCGGGGAAAATGTCGTAAGAAAGAGAAGAGAAGAGAGACACTCACCAGCAATGGTAAAATGTCGTAAGACTGGGGTTTAAGCAACAATCAGAAAAAGTGTCTGATTTACACGTGTCCGAAGCGTGGGGTGGGGAGATATCGTCTGAAAAATGTGAAAAATGAGTTTGGTTATAATTGTCTGTCTGATAAAGTTATAATTAGATAGTCAAATTATAATTAGTACAGTAGTTATTTGTATTGTCATATAGTGGTAGAATAATTGTATAGTATATGTGAAAGTGAATAGTGAGGAAGAGACAGTGTCTGTTAAGTCAATTGAGTCTGATGTCTGGGGTCAGCAGGTTGCGCGATGAGATAAGATAAGGGACAGACACAAAAGGAGAGAGCAGAGTGGTGAGACAGTAGTGAGAGAGTAGAGAGCAATCGGTCAGTAGAAGTCAGACAGTAGTTAGTAGAGAGAGAGTAGAGTAACGGGAGAGTAGCGAGACAGTAGTCAGTGAGTGAAAGGGAGTACAGAACAGTAACAGACAGTGACATTAGTGACATTAGTGACATTAGTGGCAGTACAGTAACAGTAACAGTACAGTAACAGTAACAGTACAGTGGCAGTACAGTAACAGTGACAGTACACTAACAGTGACAGTACAGCAGCAGTATGACTAATACACAACTTCTACGATGTCAGTGCTGAATGATCTGCTTATGACTCAAACGCTTGTCTCCGTATCGCCATCAGTACCAGTAGTTAGCGTAGCACTTTGCCTAATTGATAGTATACTACTCTACTACTATACTATATTACGCTACTATACTATAGTATGCTTACTACTATTCTACCCACTACACACTAAATGTGACTCATCTACTCCTGTGAATCCGTGTAAATTATAAACTCCCTGCGTAATCTATAGAACAATCTAGAATAGTGTCGGATCAGACAAAAACTTTATCATTTAAAGGGATGATTCCCTCCCCAAAAAAATTGCCTCCCTACTCTTCTCTTCTCTTCTCTTCTCTTCTCTTCTTCCTTTACTAATTACTGTAATTACTTACTTACTAATCCAGTAAATTAAATCATCAGTAAATATCATCACCATGGGTAAAGAAAAGACTCACGTAAATGTCGTTGTCATTGGTCATGTCGATTCCGGTAAGTCTACCACTACCGGACACTTAATTTTTAAGTGTGGAGGAATCGATAAGAGAACCATTGAAAAGTTTGAAAAGGAAGCTGCCGAATTAGGAAAGGGGTCCTTTAAATACGCCTGGGTTTTAGATAAATTAAAGGCTGAAAGAGAACGTGGAATTACTATTGATATTGCCTTGTGGAAGTTTGAAACTCCCAAGTATCATGTGACAGTTATTGATGCTCCCGGTCATCGTGATTTTATTAAGAATATGATTACGGGTACTTCTCAGGCTGATTGTGCTATTTTAATTATTGCTGGAGGTGTTGGAGAATTTGAAGCGGGTATTTCTAAGGATGGACAAACTAGAGAACATGCTTTATTGGCTTATACTTTGGGAGTTAAACAATTGATTGTGGCTGTTAATAAGATGGATTCAGTCAAATGGGATAAGGCTAGATTTGAAGAAATTGTTAAGGAAACTTCGAATTTTATTAAGAAGGTTGGATTCAATCCAAAGACGGTTCCATTTGTTCCAATTTCCGGTTGGAATGGTGATAATATGATTGAACCATCACCAAATTGTCCATGGTATAAAGGATGGGAAAAGGAAACCAAAGCTGGGAAATTCTCGGGTAAAACCTTGTTAGAAGCCATTGATGCTATTGAACCACCTTCAAGACCAACTGATAAACCTTTAAGATTACCATTACAAGATGTTTATAAGATTGGAGGTATTGGAACGGTTCCTGTTGGTAGAGTTGAAACTGGGATTATTAAACCAGGAATGGTTGTAACTTTTGCTCCTGCTGGAGTTACTACTGAAGTTAAATCGGTTGAAATGCATCATGAACAATTGACTGAAGGATTACCTGGTGATAATGTTGGATTTAATGTTAAGAATGTATCTGTTAAAGAAATTAGAAGAGGAAATGTTTGTGGAGATTCTAAAAATGATCCTCCAAAGGCTGCTGAATCCTTTAATGCTCAAGTTATTGTTATGAATCATCCAGGACAAATTTCGGCTGGTTATTCTCCAGTTTTAGATTGTCATACTGCTCATATTGCTTGTAAATTTGATACATTAATTGAAAAAATTGATAGAAGAACCGGTAAGAAATTAGAAGATAATCCTAAATTTGTTAAATCTGGTGATGCAGCCATTGTTAAGATGGTTCCATCAAAACCAATGTCGGTTGAAGCCTTTACGGAATATCCTCCATTGGGTAGATTTGCCGTTAGAGATATGAGACAAACTGTGGCTGTTGGAGTTATTAAATCGGTTGAAAAATCCGATAAGGCTGGTAAAGTTACTAAGGCTGCAGTCAAGGCTGCTAAGAAGTAGTTATATGTTAGTAAAGTTTATATGATTGTTATTGAAATTATTTGTTAATATATACTGAAAGAGCTGAAGCTAAAGCTGTACTCCTTGAAATCCCTTTCCACTAACAACTCCCAACCAATCGCCTTTATCGCCTCGCCAACACACGTTATTGACTTCGAGATCTTCTTCGTAGGCAAAGGAGGGAGTTTCAATAATGACGCCTGAATCGGCAGTGCTATTGGCAGTGGAGCTATTGGTGGTGGTGGGACCAGTGGTGGTGGTGGGACCAGCAGACGGAAACCGTTGATGAAGATTCGTACAATCCCAAATGAGCGCCTGGCAATCATCACCACCAGTCAATAAGTAATTACTGGTCGGATGCCATTTGATCAGATTAATGGCCGCATGATTGATTCCTCCTAGTGATCCATCAAGTGTAGCCACGGGTAATCCAGGCATTCTCATATCAATAATGATTACTTGATTAGAGTTAATACCGACAGTAGCGAGATGGTGTTGATCAGTATTGGAAGTGGATAATTTAAGGAGAGCTTTGGAATTCATAGCGGCCATACTGCTAAGAGCAGATGAGTTGGTGGTGGAGGAGGTGGTGGTGGAGGAGGTGGAGGACGTGGTGGATGCATTGGCACTTAATGGCGGAGTCAAGGCCGGTTCATAGATGATAGTCGAATGCTCCAAAGATCGTAAATCAAACACTCTCATAGATCCATCATTACCTACGGAAGCAAAGATATTGGTAGAGTCATGAATGAATTTCACATCAAACACTTCCAGATCATGAGCAATCAATTGAGTCTTGACTGTAGCAGTATTTGTAGCACTTGTAGTTATACCATCTTCAATCTTTATAGATCGATGTAAATCCCATACTGTACAAGTCGTATCTACTGAAGAAGTTATAAGGATATTTGGATCGGTATGATTCCAATCAAATGATGTTACTGGAGGATAAGTATTTAAATCATCTTTATGAGTTCCATTACCATTAGTTGAAGTTGTGGAATTACTGGCTGTATTATTAGCGAGTAAATGTGTTTGTACAAGGGAGTAGTCTTGATCCATGGGATCATAATCCACTTTATAGAGTCGTAGAACTTCCAGAGATGCCGCTACTCTTTGTTCATGTGATCGTCCAAGCAATGGATCCCATTGTAAATGAGTTATAGGATAATCTACTGAAGCTTCTGCTACTTGATTGAAGTAGTAACCTTCAACAATATCATCATCATATGAATACGTTTGACCCGTCTGATTGAGTTTATAGTCACTCTCGTAAGTTATACCATGAACCACTTGTAATTTATTTATTGAACCTTCTTTATAAGTACTTAAGGCCACACATTCAATATCGTTAGATGTAGTCCAATCGGAACAGTAAAGAGGGAATTGGGAGAAATAGTAAGAATTGCGTTCTATAGGCGGGATAGGAGGAGAAGTCGCCATTGCCATAGGAATTGAGTCAGTAGTTGTGGTGGTAGAGAGTTGTACTGGCAGATGAGATTGAGTTGTAGTGGGAGTGTTGAAGAATTGAGAGCGTTGTTGAGATCCGTAAGTTATGGGGGAAGCCGAACTTAAGATACTGGAGGAAGACGGGGAGTATGACGAGGAGGAGTTGTTACGTTTAGTGGGACGATTAGTGTACCAGTCCATGATGTAGGGGGAGTTGGAGGCAGTAGTGGGGAGGAAATTAGGAGAGATAGTGAAAAGTTGAAGAATGAGAATAGTGGGGTGAGTGGGAGTGGGAGTGGGAGTGATTAGTGAGGGTAGTGATTAGTGAGTGAGAGATTAGTGAGAGTGAGATTAGTGAGAGTGAGATTAGTGAGAGTGAGATTAGTGAGAGAGATTAGTGAGAGAGATTAGTGAGAGTGAGATTAGTGAGAGTGAGATTAGTGAGAGAGATTAGCGAGAGTGAGAAAGCGTAGTGAGATTAGTGAGACTAGTGAGTAGTGAGACTAGTGAGAGTATGAAAGAGAAGTGGAGAATATAACACTACCAGTTACACTGAATAAAGCAACTGGTTGGGCCTTTACTGTTTATACTGGACTGTGTTTCACATACACTACTTTTGTATATATCCAACTACAGTGTAGAAGAGTAGTACTGTGGTGTAAATTAGTGGTGAAATTAGTGACACTGGGTACTGTACTGAGACTGCACTTTACTGAGTCACTAGTGCGTAGTATATGCTCTCACTAAAGTTACTGCACAGCGAGAACTGTTCTACTGACTCCACTGACTCTCTACCCACTACTGACTCCACTGACTCTCTACCCACTACTGACTACTGACTCTCTCACTACTGACTCTACTGACTCTACTGACTCTACTGACTCTACTGACTCTACTCTAATCAATAATTTACATTACTACTAACTACGCAGATTCTCCAGCAACCTCCTCAACAGAAGGACACGTACAAATCAAATTCATATCTCCATATGTATCATCTAATCTAGCCACTGTAGGCCAACATTTAGAACTCTTTAAGAATCCTAATGGATAAGCTGCTTGCTCTCTAGTATACCCTCTAGTATCCCAATCTTGTTGAGATGTAGATATAATATCTTCTAATGAATGAGGAGCATTCTTTAAGACATTACCTAAACCTTCACCTCTACCATAAGCATCGATTTCTTTCTTAATAGAAATTAATGAATCAACAAATCTATCTAATTCTTGTAAATTTTCCGATTCAGTTGGTTCAATCATTAATGTTCCAGCTACTGGGAATGACATAGTTGGAGCATGGAATCCATAATCTTGTAATCTTTTAGCTACATCAATAGCTTCAACTCCAATAGCTTTAAATTCTCGTAAATCTAAAATGAATTCATGAGCACAATGTTTCTTACCTTCAGCCTTTGGATCAATAAACAATATGGAATAATGTTCCTTTAATCTATTTAACATATAATTAGCATTTAATATGGCAATAGATGAAACATATGGTAAAGCATCAGCTCCTAACATCTTAATATATGAATAAGATACTGGGATAACTGAGGCTGAACCATAAGGAGCAGAATTAACTGATTTGATTGATTCATTAGTTGAATGAGGGGTCTTAATAAAATGATGAGATGGTAAGAATGGTTTTAAATGGTCTTTAACACAAACTGGGGCTTGACCTGGTCCACCACCTCCATGACTTAAAGCAAAAGTTTTATGAATATTTAAATGACAAACATCTGCTCCTAAATCTCCTGGAGATGTTAAACCAACTTGGGCATTCATATTAGCACCATCTAAATATACTAAACCACCATTGTTATGAACTATTTCAATGGCTTGTTTAATACCTGGTTCAAATAATCCATAAGTTGAAGGATAAGTAATCATAATTGAACAAAGATTAGTAGCATGTTTTTCAGCCTTTTCTTGTAAATCAATTAAATCAATTGATCCATCAGTCTTACATTTAATTGGAACTACTTTTAATCCACTCATAGCTGCAGAAGCAGGATTGGTACCATGAGCAGATACAGGTATAAGACAAATATTTCTAATTTCATGTTCACCACGAGATTTATGATATTGTCTAATTAATGATAATCCAGTATATTCACCTTGAGCTCCTGAATTTGGCATTGATGTTGTAGCATCAAATCCCGTAATATCATTAAGATCCTTTTCAAATTCATCCACTAATTGTTTATAACCTTGAGCTTGATCAAGTGGTACAAATGGATGAATCGAATTGAATCCTGGAATAGATAATGTTTGCATTTCAACCGTTGCATTTAATTTCATAGTACATGACCCTAAGGCAATCATTGAATTAGCCAATGACAAATCCTTGGATTGTAAAAGATGTAAATATCTTAATAATGCAGTTTCAGAATGATGAGTATTGAATACTTCATTAGGTAAGATTTGATCAGTTCTTAATAATTCACTTGGTAATTGAGGTAAGGAAGTAATGGCTTGAGTATCATAGGTTTTATTACCGGTGAATACTTCAACTAAACTTTGTAAATGTTTAATTTCTACTGTTTCATCCAATTGTAAAGATACGGTTGAATCATTAACTTTAAATAAATTAATTTCATGATTCTTTAAGGCATTAGATAACACTTCATCTGCACTAACTCCATCAGATAATTTAATAGTTAAAGTATCAAACCATTTATCATTAACAATAGAATGATTAGAATTAGTTTGAATTTCTTTAGCTAATAAACTGGTGAATCCATATACTCTTTTAGCTATATTCTTTAACCCTTCTGGTCCATGATATACAGCATACATAGCAGATATATTAGCCAATAAAGCTTGGGCAGTACATATATTAGAAGTAGCCTTTTCACGTTTAATATGTTGTTCTCTAGTTTGTAAGGCTAATCTTAAAGCTGGTTTACCTAATCTATCCTTTGAAACTCCTACAATTCTACCAGGAATCTTTCTAGAATATTTCATGGATGTTGAAAAGAATGCGGCATGAGGTCCTCCATAACCAAATGGTACTCCAAATCTTTGAGAAGTTCCCAAGGCAATATCAGCACCAAATTCACTAGGAGGTTTAATTAATGTTAAGGCTAATAAATCAGTTGCAACAGCAAATAACCCCTTATTAGAATGAACAATTTCTCCAATTTCTTGGAAATTATGTATAGATCCATCGGTTCCAGGATATTGAACCAATGCTCCACAAACATCTGATAAAATTGATTTTAATTGACTAACTCCTTCAGTAGTGGATAATGGTAATTCAATAATTTTAACGCCAATATTTTCAGCTCTTGATTGAATAACATCTTTAGTTTGAGGATGTAAATTTGTATCTATTACATAAATTGATTTTTTACCCTTTAAATTATGATATGAAAGTGACATGGCTTCACCAGCTGCTGTACCTTCATCCAATAAAGATGCATTAGCCATTGATAAACCAGTCAATGAAGTAATCATAGTTTGATAATTCAATAAAGATTCTAATCTACCTTGAGAAATCTCCGGTTGATAAGGAGTATAAGATGTATACCATTCAGGAGATTCTAATAAATTTCTTTGAATTACTGGAGGTAATTTTGTTCCAGCATAACCTTTACCAATAAATGATTTTATAATTTTATTTTTACCGGCAACTTCATATAAATGTTCTAACATTTCTGATTCGGTATAACCTTGTTGAGGTTGAATTTTTAATTTCCTTTTAAATAATATATGTTGAGGAATTGCTTGAGATAAGAAATCATTAAGATCTTTATAACCTAAAGATTCTAACATTTTTTCAACATTTTCTGGAGTTGGACCAATATGTCTTCTGGCAAAAGTATCTAAATTATTTAAACTAACATTAGTTGAATTTGGATTAAATACTTTAGCATAATTTAATGATGAAGTATCAGCTTTAGTAGCTAAATGTCTGATATTTAATTTAATTGGGGTAGAAACAGACAAAAGTCTTGAGCCCGACAATTTAGTGGCTGATCTCAATAATGCCGATCTAGCGTGAATCATTATAGTGTATGTATAATTAGTATAATTAGTATAAATAACAGTTAATTAGTAGTTAAAGTATTTATGTTGCAGCCAGTTACACCCCGGAGATGAGATTCGGTCGAAGAAAAAACGATACGGTTGATAAGATGGGACCGAATATGTGACCGATAAGTTACAAATAAGATGAACACCACGAAATTCAATCAGACAAACACAGAATCAACTCAGTAAACTAGTGTGAAAAATTAAACTCGGAATTACCGATTTATTTATATTTATATACTTTAACTATATGAGATGCCATCCGTTGAAGCGTCTTAGTATACAAAATACGAGCCATGGGACGCAGCCGAGTTAAAGGAGGATTTGGCATTTTTTCGGTCAGAGTCAAAGTTTTCACTATAGGGTGTAGTATTCAATAAATATTCCTCCGAGAGTCATATGACTCTGTCTAAAGTAGAAAAACTACAGTTCTCTATTTTGTCATACTAAGGTATGACTAGCGAGGGATGGCTAGTTACTCAATACTTACTGAGAGACTCAATACTTTACTTTCTGTCGTTGTATAGGCTGTGCGATAAGAAGAGTACTCAGTGCGAAATAAGCCTGCTCACACTTTATGCTTATCTTCATATTCATATTCATAATCATATTCATGTTCATGTTCATTAATAAAAATTTTAACTTCCACACTCCAATAGTACATCGTATATTACATATAGCTTAACCTATCAGAGATCAATAAGATCAAGTGGTGTAGGTCGCCTGAATCACTTAAGACTCCTTTTGCGAGATACGCGAATTTCAAAAGAAGTCAATCCAAATTGTTGGCTGTGACTCCGAATCAACAGCCCAGAGTCACATGTAAATTTTACACTTTGTGTCACAAAACCTCATTATACCGATATCTACGGCAATATCTGGAGTATACATACACCGGATATATTCTTATATTTGACCGGAATTTTTCATATATTTAATTAGACATGTCATAGATCGACAACATGTAACATGAGAGACAAATACAAATCGATATTTCTAGTCGGGTCGGAACTATTCGCAATATCTTCATCTCAGGAATCGGAAATGGATTTCCGGTAAACTGATAGATATATGGAGTAGCCGAGATAACATAGATCAAATGTTATCATATAGACAAATGAGACAGTAACAACTAGAATTAACTGATCTGGTAATAAACACATGTATTTTTCTTCTGCACAGACAAAGTGTCAAGGACTGCACTCTTCGACATCCTCAATGAACCAAGAATAATCTAAGACATTCAGTAGTGGTTTTCAGAACAAGACGGTATAATATAAACACTTCTATTCCTCAATTAGTTGTCTAACCTGCTTGATATCAGACGGATCTGTACTGCAGCAACCTCCAATGACTCTAACATTAGCGAACTTTAACCATTCTTTAATACTGGCTATCCAGTGGTCTTCTCTTTTATTGGCTCGATATTCTCCAATATCATCACTATATTCGAATCCAAGATTAGGATATATGATGAGATTAAAAATATCACCTTGTAGTTTATTGATCTTTGTCACAATAGCAGTGATCTTTCTATAATCAATACAATTTAATCCAATAGCTAATAATTGAGATTCAATATATGGAATTTGATCCACTATGTATTCAAGTACTTGATTAATAGGAGTTCCATCTACTAACTGAGTATCATCTTTGAAATTGAAACTAATGTAGAATAATTTCTTTGGTGATATACTCTTAACCAACTTAATTATACTCTTTAGTTCTGTAAAATTTGGAATAGTCTCAAATCCAATTACATCTATTCTATCATTCTTAACCCAATATTCATACAAGGGACGATAGTAATCTACAATAATATCTTCAAGTTTATTATTATCGTCCTGCTTGTAATCTCCCGTATATTCAGATCCATCACATAATAATGTCGCATATGGTCCTATCGATCCTACTACATAAATTTTCCGGTTAGTACTACTTTTTGCAATGGCTGATTCAATTACTGCAACTGATCTAGCCCATAAATCGGTAATTTCAGTATTATTTAATCGTCCAAATTTTTGCAAACTTTGATAACTAGTCTGATACGTTGAAGTGATCAACATATCTACATCAGAAATATCTAAATAGCTTTGATGAACTAACTCTACTAATTCGGGTTTATTTAAAAGGACTTGCCCTGACCACAATGGGTTGCGACGCGGCTGGTACTCATCATTCTTAGGAATGATTCTTTCTAACTCTGTCCCAAGAGCTCCGTCAAGAACCAATCTCTTTGCTTTGAGAATATCTCTAAGGTCCGACATACTAAATTGGAATACTTACTACTACTATAACTATTACTATTACTATTACAAATATTCTTTCTCTTTCTCTTTCTCTTGTGTAAACTGTCTAGCGATGGCCCTTCACTACTAAGTACCGTTAACTATGGGGCAGGGCTCTTTTTCCTGCATACACCTCGACGTCTATATCGGGATATAGAAACACAAAATTTTTCAAATTACTAGGCACAACTATAGTAGAAGAGAAGATCAAAATGGAGTTCAACCAGCCATTAAAGAGATCTAGAGATGAGTTCGAACTGGATAACTTCCAGCACCCTCAGGATCAACAGGAACAAGAAGAAAAAAGACAACATATTGATCCAGCCAAAGAGTTGGTCAATAATGTATGTAAAGATATTCGTAGAATAGGTGAAAATTCCAATATTGTCAATCAAATTGATGATGTTTCATATATTTCTAATCCAATAGTTGCCGAATTTGAAAAGATTGACGAATTAAGAAATTCTATTTTAGCAACTATATATTCAATTATAATTGAACAACCTCAAAAGATTAATGCTATCAGTAATTTAATTTTAATATGTAATGCAAAGAATTTTGTAGTAGCTAAATACGTCATTGAATATCTTCATACAAAAGTTCAAGAATTATTAGATAATGTAGGAGCTGTTAAATCAGAAGACAATAAAGATGAAGAAAATGATAAGAAAGTAATTAAAGAAATTGATGAATTAGAAGAAAATGCAGGTATTTTCAATAATATCAAATCAATTTTAAAATTCTTAGCTACTTTATCTCCAATTATTGAAAATCATTCAATTATAAATATTTTTAGACAATTTCTTCAATTATCCATAGATTTACAAAATAATTCATCTTCCAGAAATGGTATTGCTCAAGAAATTTTTTATAATACTTTAATTTCAATTCCTTATATACTAACCAATGAATCGGGTACATCTCAAGATGAAGTAATTGAACTTATTAATAAAGAATTAATTGAATTAGCTAAAACTTTCCAAATCATTGATGATGGTTCCAATTCACTCGTACAACCATTCGATTCAAAATTAGACAATTATGAATTACCTTATCAACCAAAGAAATTAATTGATTTAATCTTACCATCTATCTTAGATTTACAATCTAAAAATTGGAGTAGCGATTTATTCTTAGAATTCCAAGAGTTATTAGAACCAATCATTAAAGAAGCCTTATCTAATAATGAAATTTCTAATGAATTAATTCAACATAAATTACCACAATTTAAAATCCCTGAATTAGATATCTTAACAAATTATAAACCTCAAGGTTCAATTGATAAATTATGGTATGAAAATACAAGATTAATCTTTCAAGTTTATAATATCACTACTGATTTTGAGACTGTTCCATCCATTGAATCATTTTATGGATTATTCTTTAAAGATATTAGTTCTGATATTTTAACTAACTTATCATTTAATAAAAATGAAGCCGCCATTCAATTATCAATTTTAGATTTATTCTATAATAGAAATTTATTTGCTCCACCAGGATCTTCTATTGATACTTTAACTGCTATTCATAAAGATAATGAATCAGGTGAAAATGCTCCACCTTTATCTACTTGGAAAGTTGAAGATATAGCTGTTGAAAGTATTCTTACAATGATTTTCCAATTACCAACACCTTTACATAAAGAAATTTATTACTATACCGTATTAATTTCATGTTGTAAAGAAAGTCCAGAATCAATTGCACCAGTTTTTGGTAGAGCTATTAGATTATTCTATAATAATTTAGAGACTTTAGATTTCGAATTAAAAATTAGATTTATGGATTGGATGACTACTCAAATATCTAATTTTGATTTTAGTTGGAAATGGGATGAATGGGTTGATGATTCTATTAGATTAAAGAATTTAAGATATCATCCAAAGAAGAATTTCATTAGAAATTTAATTGCTAAAGAAATTAGATTAAGTAATAAGCAAAGAATTCAAGAAAGTTTTATAACTATAAATCCAGAAACTTCTGAGATGGAAAATATTAAAGAATTTGAACAATATTTGAATATTTCTTTATTTGAGAATGAATCAAAATATATTGTTGAATATGATACAGAATTGTATGGTGGAAAGGAAGAAGTCCAAAATGTATTGGAAGATTTATTGAATGAAAAACAACAAGATTTAAGAAGCAGAAATGTGGTTGGAGCTCAAGAAGAAATCTTTTACAATTTTTATCATCAAGATTTACCATTAGGTGAATTAAGTCAAAAAGTTAATGATTTTATTATGTCACATTATAAACCAAACAATGAATTTGAAGAATTATATGAAGAAGTGTTAGAAAACTGTCGTACATCATTTCCAGAAATCAATTCCGAAAAGTTTATCATCAACTTATTCTTTCAAACTTATGCATTCATTGGTTCCAGATCAATTTATTCAGTGGTTAGTATTTTAGATCGTGATGTTAATAAATTGAGATTCTTAAGTGGGAACTTTGATAAGATTCATTATTTTAAGGAAACCAATGAAGTTGAATTTAAGAATGTTGAATTAACTCCAGAACAGATTGAAAATCGTCAAAATTGGATTATTGATTCCATCTTAAGAATTTGGATTCATCAACCTCAAGTGGCCTTTTTGATTTTAGAGTATTTAATTGAGTTTGAAATTATAATTCCTAAATTCTTATTATCCAAATGTTTAGAGCTTAATCATAATTTGGTTATTGATAATGTTTCATGTATGGAATCTATCAATAGAGTATTATCTTCATTAGTTAATAATGGAGATAAGGAACAATATGGAATTACTATCTTACAACTCCTTAAATCCATTGTCAATAATTTAAATGAATTATCACAAACTTTACAAGTTGATAATAACGAGAAGATCGTTATAACCAAAGAATTTGATGACCTGATGGATGAACAAACTTCAACTATCATCGATAAGCAATGGTTATTTTACGAATACAAGGGATTACTTAAGTCTTACTTCCGTAAGTTCATTAAGGGTCATGCTGTGGCTACTGAAGTAATTGATGACATTAAATCATTATTACAATCCATTGAAAATGTCCCGGCCAAGACGGATGTAGAAACTTGGTTATACGACATTTAAACTAATCTTCGTATATTATGTATTATATATGTATAGTTTTATATACACACGACAAACATCTTTTTTTCTATTCCATCGCATCGTACAAGTTAGCAGCTTTTGGTAACTAGTAACTTTTGTTCGCTGTTCCTTATTGCTGGTTCGTTCCTTACAAAAACCATCACCAAAATGACATTGCAAGATCATTTTAACGATACCTCACTTGCTATAGAGACAAATGAATTAGACTATATTTTCCCAGGCACCACGAAAATTGCCTTACAAAAATTTGATCTCAAAATTTCCTGGGGTACTACAAATTTAATTGTAGGACCAAATGGAGCTGGGAAATCAACCTTATTAAGAATATTAGCGGGAAAGACTTTAATTAAGAAGGGGAGTTTAAAGATTGGAGGATTTGATCCTTTTGAGTTTTCAATTGATAGAATGAAACAACATAATAGTGATATTAACAATTATATTACTTATTTAGGAACAGAATGGGCAGCTAATTCAGTAGTCAAAAGAGATATTCCAGTAAGTCTTTTAATTGCTAGTATTGGAGGAGAAACATATACCGAAAGAAGAAATACATTAATTGATATTTTAGATATAGATCCTCAATGGTCAATGTCAAAGATTAGTGATGGAGAAAGAAGAAGAGTTCAGATTGCAATGGGATTAATAAAACCCTGGAAAATCTTATTATTAGATGAAGTTACTATTGATTTGGATGTTGTAGTTAGACTGAAGTTATTAGGATTCTTAAAAAATGAATGTGTAACTAGAAATTGTTGTGTTATATATGCTACTCATATATTTGATGGGTTAGGGAAAAATTGGTGTGATAGATTAATTCATATAAATGCTGGACTTAAGGTTGATGATATAAGGGTTAATGATATTCAATTTAGATCTGATATTAATCATGTAGAAGTTGATGAACATCCAGCGAAGAAAGTCAAAATTCCAATGGCAGAATCTTTACACCCATTAGCATTACAATGGCTTAATGAAGATTTAGATCAAAGAGGTAGCAGAGAGGAAGAACGATTGGCAATGGAAAGAAGACATAATGATTGGAATAATGCTAGAGATGGAAGATATTTTGATGCGGATGATGATAAATTAAAGGACTACTTTAAGGCTACTAGAAGTTATTAGAATCATTATGTTTATATTTATATAATTATATATATTTATAGATTAGACTGAATAATTTTATGCAAAGATCTAATGGGCCAATTCACTTTCTAATTGTAGGAATTTAATGATTTCCTTACTTCTGGCTAATTCCTTAGCCAATTGCCAGTTTTCTAATTTGGTATCTACTAGTTGTGTTGAGCTCTCTTCGTTTATAGTTAGCTTATTGAATGATTTTGATTTGGTGGGAGATTGATTGGGATGGATGAGTTTCCTCCTCACTATATTTTGTTGTTGTAATGACGGAGTTAATGGCGTAGATGGTCCACGTTTGGATTTTGATCTCATCAGTGTGTCGGAGGTATCCATCAACATAGAGCTTATAGGTTGTGGTTGTAATTGTGATTGTTTATAGTTTCCAGAATGACTTTCATCATCGATTTGTTCCTCTAGTATTAGAATTTCCGAATTTTCTTTATTAATACGTATTACAGACATGTCTGCAATACCACTTGAATACGCAAACTCCGGGTTAGCCGTTGTCATACTGATGTTTTCTATAGATCTATGAAGAGGAGATGTTGTATGTATGTATTTTTTTAGTCTAATAATTACGCGCACCGAAATAGTATGCGGAGTATTACCGAGTTGACTTTGGTACTCCACACTATAAGTTATTTTTGCCGTATTATATGTACTCTCTGATATATAAATAGTTTACTATAAGTTGGAATTTAATAGTCGAAGTTCACTAGTTGTGATTTACGGCACTATTTGCAGTTGTATTGTAGTTCTCTAGCTGTAGTTGTACTATAAGTATATAGAATTTGAATTAAAACTTAAAGCCAAATAAAATAGGTAGTTATGGCTTATGGATTTGTTAAGTTGTCGTCTTACAGTTATGTAAAATTCATTCTAAACAGATCAAGATTAATTAGCAAAGGGGTCGTAGGCTGTTTAGATGGTGATATCAAACAGAATTTGTCAAAGCGCACGCCCACTGTATTTAAATGAGTTTGGCAGCCAAAATTTCATTATATCTACCATTATTAATTCGATAAATTTATAGGTAGTTTACTAACCCCAGGATGATACAAGTGATGTGCTAAGTGGAAGTCCACCGATTACAATTGCTGAGACTATAAGGGCTGTTTTTCTTTTATTTTAATAAATAATTTTTAATTTTTAATTTCATCCTTGGTACGTAATACCGTTCTGGTGAATCAATTTAATATATTACAAATTCCATTATTTTCACTCAAACAATGTAGATACTCTTTCTGAACAGCTACTAAGCTCAATAATATACTAAAGGATGCAATCTAATATGTATAATTTAATAAAATTGTCTATGTACCTTCGAAAAGTTCAATAAGAATATGTCATAAACTAAATTATAATATGGCCGCTGTAAATCCATACAAGCTAATAATTGAGCCACTTATAAAGTATGAAGCATTCCCTACCCATGTTATATTTACAAGCCATACAAGAAAACTTGCTGTGCCTGTAAGTTATAAAGATATAGCTATTACATTGTCTCAGTATTGTTTTAATTTTGTTGGATCTAATAAGTTTATCTCATAAACGAAGAGTGAAATAGAAATTAACGCATCAGGTTTAGTATTTAATGAATATAATATATCTACACTCGGTCTAAATGGAACACTAATTATTAAGTTTCTGCAATTATAAAATGGGACTCATAGAATATATATTGTGGCGTGATAAATGTTAGATATAGTAATTGTCAGACAGTATCTAACTTCCAGAAGTTGGTGAATCCTCCGTTGTAAGCTAATAAGTTCGGTGTGGCATCGTCTAATCCACCTATAACACCCTTTGTAGCATGTTTTAACAATATTGCTTTGAGTGACTCTGTGCTAACATCTATGGCATACTCAGATCCTTGTTCTGGATACAACGACAACAAATAGGCTAGGATCCCAGCGACGTGTGGAGATGACATTGATGTGCCTGCCATTTCAGCAGTTCCACCAACGATGAAAGTAGACTTCACACGATATCCCGGGGCAAAAATATCTACACATGGACCCCAATTAGAAAAGTCTGTGATATTATTATCAGGACCAATAGCTCCAACACATATAGACGATGGTGCATTTGCTGGAGATAACTGGCACGCATCGAAACCGTTGTTCCCTGCGGCAACAGCGACATGAATCCCAGCTTTAATCACAGTTTCTATAGCCATGTTCACAGCAGTGGAATTGGCAAGAGCAATAGAAAGATTGATAACTGATCCCTTGAATCCCTTTTCTCTTCGATTAACTGCTTGTAAGTGGTCACCTAAGGCTATCTCCAAACCTTTTATTAAATCTGAAGCAGAAACCCACATCCATTTGCTAACTGCTATGGATTTGAGCTTAGACTTCTTAGCCACTCCATACGTCTTTGATCCAATGATTCCAGCTACATGAGTACCATGCCCAGTATAATCTACTTCGAGATAAGGAAATGCCAACGATGCTATCCATTCGGCTCTTCCTTCAAACTGTTCATGGTCTATTTTGATTCCAGTATCTATTACATATACAGTGACCCCTTCCCCCCCTTGGTCATCATATAAGTACTCCTCTGATTTATTGATGGAACGGTGACTGATACTGGATAAGGCCCATGTTGCATCTTTTTGTACTCTAAAATTAGCGATCTCACCAATGTAGTCTTCTTCAACATAATCTACAGCTGGGTCGTCACGAAGAATTTCTAGTTGTAAATCCGTCAATTGACCAAAGTAGCCTTGGAAAGAGTTACCCAAGAAAAAGGTTTCAATCCCTGAATTTTCTAAGCTAGATAAATGTACCAGCCTTTGTTCTTCTGTGATATCATCTTTGAATAAGCAATATATTTCTTAATATGGTTACCGAGTATTGTTTGAGGAATTAATTGACCCCAAGCAATGGTCAATAATAAGAATAATGAGAAAAATCGGTTCATTTCGTTTCGTTGAATTTTTGCAGCTACTAAGCCAAGAGACAAGACCAATAAACAAGAGAAATAAGCATACTTATACCTAATTTTATACAATATTATATGAAATGAAATTTCATTTGCTAGTTTTAACAGCCGCTCAATAAAAGGCTTGTACCATAGGAAAACTTTAATTTGCGCTTATCATTTTGCATTTACTATAATGGAAATAGGAGAACGCCTCACGCATATTAGTTAAATCCGACATCGGTAAAAATTTATAGCCGATCATCTTTATAGTTATAAGAGCTAACAGGAAAAAGCTTTTTGTATGTCACTGTTTCAATTGAATCTATATATCCATTTATTAGAAGGTTGTAGACATGTTTCAGTGTCTTGGTTGTTTCCGTCTCATTTACTATAGTTTGTTGGGTCATGAAAATACTTTAAATTCACAGACTGACTTTTGGTCAACTTATACGTGCTTCCGAGATTACTGTTTTCAGATTAATAATAAACACTAAAATATAGTTACTCTTTCCTTACACTTTAGGTATGTATTTTTTGCAACCACTACTGATTATTTTTATGTAACTTGGTTTCTCTAGTAGATATTTTTTTAATATGACAAATATATTCGGGTTTGACAGGTGCGACATTACGAATGACGGTATTTTGCGGCTATGGTATTCGCACCCTTACCGCAATACAGCCGGCCGGAAACCTTAGTACAAAGTCATCGGAATTTCACCAAGTTCCATATCGTCAACCGAAACAGAAACAACAGCGGTCATTATCGGTCATTATCGGTCGAATCCACTGGAAATAAAATAGAATCCAACGGGTAACTATTAACTTTCTACACTCTAATAAATCATCTTTTCGGACCATATATAAATAAAGTGTCAGTTCCGTAACTGCACCGATTAGACAAAATTACACTAGGAAAAAAAGGAGACATAATTTCCAGACACAATCAAGGAAAGCAGAGAACAATAGAGAATATCTCGAAACAATTTCTAAATCAACCATTATCGATCTCGTCATTTGTCACTGGATTTCAGTAAATCCTTAGCGACTATAGTGAGTAGCGAGAATTAATTACTGAAGAAATAATTAGTGAAGGCTAGGGGTAAAATTGCATATTTTTATTTTTATTGTAGCTTCTCCACACTATCACGAGAACTCATTCGTCATTTGTCATTTGCCATTAATCATTTATCATGTTAAGATTAAAGAATAAGTTTAAGTTTGGAACTTCAACTCCTTCTAGTTCCAATAGTTCGACTCATGATAAGTCAGAATCTCCCGATCTCAATTCGACATCCAATTCGTCTCCTCGTAATTCCGTCGATTCCAGAAGAACTATCTCCGTCAATAATTTGACAGAAAATGTTCTGAAATTATCCATAGATCAACATTCTAATAATTCCGGTACTACAGCTGCCACTAGCTCGGCCGATAATACTTCTACTAGTCGTGAAGATTCAAATCATTTAACCGTGAATTCTATAAATACTCAACCATCTTCTACTTCATTATCTACTACTCAATCATCAATTAGTGGTCATAGTAATGGAGCTGGAAGTACAGGAGGCACTAGTACTCAAAATGGTTCATCAACTGCCATTAATTCAAGTATTAGTATGGAAACTCCTTCTCAATCTGCATCATCTGACGTCATTAACGAACAACCAAACACAACTGTCATTTCAAATCCTGGTCTCTTAACGGTAAAGATATATAATTCCAATAATATTCAATTACCAATTGAAATAAATAATAATAAACGGATTTTACATGCTTTAGCAATTAATTCAAATAATGCATCAGTTAGTCAACAATTATTAAGGAATTTATCAACCCTTTCAACTCCAAATGAAGTAGATGATGATAATGAAAATGGAGGATTAAATGATAATAATGCTAGTGAATATTTATCAGGAGGTATAGCTACTAATTTATTACCATCAATCATAACTATACCTTCAGAGAATTTAGTTAAATCATTATTATATTTGACAATTGAATTTGAAAATAACGTTTTATTAATTGAACCTCAAAAGGGTTCAGTAAATCAATCAACTTGGAATCAAGTAGTATCATTCGATGTAACCAAATCATCCTTATCCAATCCAAATTCTTCAAATGGTAGTAATGGATCCAATAACAATAATACAGGCTCGAATTTTCTTAATTTGAACTTATTCATAAGATTACCTAATTCACTTATTCCTGAATCTGAAAAGGAATCTAAAAAGCATTTATTCACAAACTATAATTCGTCATCTCCCAATGCTGCAGCCAATTCAACCAATATTGGTGATTTGTTGATTGGAACTATTAAATTACCATTAAATTTAAAATATCATACTAAGCAAATAAGATTAATGAATCATGAATATTTAAAATTCAATAATTTTAATTTGGGACAGAATTTGTCCAAAGAAATGGGAGAAATTATGTTGACCATTGAATTTAAACCTATATTAAAGACTCATTTATCTATTGATGATTTTGATTTATTGAAAGTAATTGGGAAGGGATCCTTTGGGAAAGTTATGCAAGTTGTTAAAAAGGATACCAAGCAAATCTATGCTTTAAAGACATTAAGAAAGCAACATATTGTATCAAGAATGGAAGTTACTCATACTTTAGCTGAAAGAACTGTATTAGCCAGAATTAACAATCCATTCATTGTTCCATTGAAATTTTCTTTCCAATCACCTGAAAAATTATATCTTGTACTATCATTTATTAATGGAGGTGAATTATTCTGGCATTTACAAAGAGAAGGGAAATTCTCAATGGATAGATCTAGATTTTATATTGCTGAATTATTAACTGCATTAGAAAGTTTACATGAATTGAATGTGATTTATCGTGATTTAAAGCCAGAAAATATTTTATTGGATTATCAAGGTCATATTGCACTTTGTGATTTTGGATTATGTAAATTAAATATGGGGAATGATGATAGAACTTCGACATTTTGTGGTACTCCTGAATATTTAGCACCTGAATTATTACTTAATCAAGGTTATACTAGAAGTGTTGATTGGTGGACATTAGGTACTTTATTATATGAGATGTTAACTGGATTACCACCATTTTATGATGATGATACTAATACTATGTATAGAAAAATCTTACAAAATCCTTTAAAATTCCCGGGATTTTTAGAAGGAAGTGATGCTCAAGATTTATTAATTCAATTATTACAAAAGGATCCTAAACATAGATTAAATGATGCAGAAAAGATTAGAAGTCATCGATTCTTTAAAGATATTGATTGGCAAAAGTTATTAAATAAGAGTTATTTACCTCCATTTAAGCCTAATGTTGAGAATTTATTAGATACTTCTAATTTTGATCAAGAATTCACAAAGGAGAAACCTCAAGATTCTGTTGTGGATGATTTCTTAACTGAAAGTGTTCAAAAACAGTTTGGAGGATGGACTTATAATGGGGAAAATGCCTTTAATTGATATTACAGTTTATATGACAATTTTATAAGTTTATACATTGATTGACCTTTATAGATCATATACTTATTTTACTTTATTACTTTATTACTTTATTATATTATTCTCTTTGACTCTCTCATTATTTATTAGCAGCATTATTATATGTAACTCCACTTCTACCAGGAAAGAATCCACTACCATCTTTCCGAGTAGGATTCTGAGTACCTGTATTTAATTTCCCCTTAGGATTAGGGATATCTCCCTGTTGAATCCGTTGTTGATCTCGGGCAAGATATTGTTGGTATGATGGATTTAAGTACTGAGGTCTTGCTTGTGTTATATTTACAAGATCAGAACCTACTACTACTACATTAGGGTCTTGCATGGGATCGTAACCTTGGGGCGGTGGTGGCTGAGCATACCCTTGTTGCTGGTATCCTTGAGGAGGTGGAGCATACGATGAGCCTGAAGTTGGAGGCAATTGTTGATATTGTTGATATTGCTGATAACCCTGTTGATAACCCTGTTGGAAACTCTGTTGATAAACCTGATTAGGTTGCTGTGGTAGTTGCGGTGGTGCCTCGGGGGGTCTAGAGTAGTTATGGTCTAGTTCATCATATGCGGGGGGAGGGGCATCCTCAATTGGCTTTTTATCATAGCCTGCTTCCTCTGCTTTACTAGGAGTCTTTTCTTGAGACATAGTGTAGAACTTGTTCAGAGTATCATGCAACTGTACTTCTAAATAGACAATTTAGATTTAAAAGTACCTGAAACTGCTGACCCCGTTGTTGCAATTTCAATTGCAAACAATGATGGGGTATATGCAGTCGTTTCTTAATTGTCTGTCTGGTTAAGTAGTGGACTTTGAATTTTTATCGAATTTAAGTAAGTATTACAGAAACAAAGCTTATGAGCGATGTAGTATGAATGTCAGGTAGTTTTCTTATTTTGAACGGTTCCATATATATGCGGTGTTGTTTTAAACACTACGTTAGTTGCTTGTCTTTAGTAGCAATTTAATGCATATTTGGCAAGACTTCTGTGATTATTCGTTCCTGCTTTTATTACAGAACAACAATCCATTCATAAGAATACCGAAGAGCAATAATAGACAAACAATGACCTAGAATCTCTACATCGTGAACCAGTTCCCCCATAATCGGCCTTACCCATTACATCAATTACGAATTGCTGCGAAAAATGCCTATGCCTCATTATGATGAACCACCATAACTCTTATTGGACGATAACGGCACTAACAAACACATAGCATATATGACCAATAACGAACACATCCATTAATAAATATGGCATTAACTTAACCGATGCTATACACAACTGGTATAGACAGACTAAAACAGATTATGTAAAATACAGAGCATGCGTATGTTCAATGTTCAACACCTAGAACTACATCCAATAGGTCAAATTCAAACTCTATTTAAAGAAGATAAACCCCTAGAGCTATCACCGAAACACTGCCTCAATCAGAAACTTATACTAGATTCAAATCAAAGTGACTGTACAACCAGATGACTCAACATCTCTTTCACTAGTGCTAATAAAAGTCGTCTTTAACATTTTGTATGTCGTGCACCAACCGGACACTTTTGGTAACCAAAAATTTTTCAGACTGAATTATCTATTCCATAATCAAAATCTACCATAATACCATACAGAAGTCAAATCCCATAATGTTTAAGGGGTCTATACCAGTCAACGGATCTAGCCGTATAATAAGCAACGTCATAAATGTTTTCACCCGTGGAAAAAGGACGAAAGCTACCAATGTTGTCAATGCATCAACTCAAAAAATAGTAAACCAATTATCAGCATTATCAGCTAGTAGAAAGCAACCTAAATTAATAAGATTATGTCAAGAAGATTTAATTAAACATCAAACTATAATGAATGCATGGAGAGTTGTACAAAGACGTAATGAACAAAAGAGAAATAATCAGTTAAAGAAACAGTATCAAAGTATTGTCAATGCCATGGAAGATTTAAAGACTTCTCATCCAGCCTTATACAAATTTGCTAATTATAAACCAAAGGATGGTACTAGATTTCCATTGGATTTAAGAATGCCAACAGATTTCCCTCCTAATAAGCCATGGGTATATGATTATGTTCCAGCCGAGACTAATGAAAAGAGGGCTAAACAATAGTCATAGTCAGTATATATCTATTTAGTCATCTTGTAAATAAAAAAATACATATATATATATAATACAGTTATATATATTATTACTATAGTATACAGTTACATAATCAATCATCTAATACTCGAGCTTTACGTTTCCTACTTGGAGTACTTACATTACTCGAACCTTCTCTATCACTTGAAGCACTTTTATGACCTCCATTTACTATGGTATTGGCATTATTACTATTCAGTAATGGATTTGAACTACCATTGGTTGGTTCAATAGAATCTTCATAATCATCAAAATCATCTTTATCCTTAGATGCAGAATCCTTATTTGAAGACGATGAACCATTATTACCATTACTTGATGTTGGAGTTGTAGATGTATGAATTCCATTAATTCCATTTAATGATATCCCTTGCTTCTTCATTAAACTTTTAATAAAACTAATAGAACTTAGACTGAATATATGATCTTCATCAGCATATTGGACTCTTCTTTTATTGGTATTATAACCACCAGATCCAGATTGACTACTAGATTGCCCACCACCAGATGATCCACTTGCCTTTGAAAAATTCTCAAATCCCTTTACAATCGATCCATATAAACTTTCATCAAAATATTCATTTTCCTTTTCATAAATAACATCTTCTAGATTAGACAATCGTGCACTTAATTCTTGTTTCTTAAGAATCTCTTGTGTTAATTGGTTCTTGAGTTGATTATACTTTTCTATACTTGCCTTTGGATCGTCTTGAGCTGATTGTGATGAAGGTGTGGCAGCAGCTGCATCACCAGTTGCAGCAGCAGGCGTCTGTCGTGATTGTTTAGCGGGTGAAGATGGTGCTGATGACTTCTTATTATTGGTATTGTCTGTAGTTGAAGTAGAGGTTGTTGAAGGAGTCAGTTTGGTGTCGGAGCCTGCTTTAGGAGATCCCACTTTTGATGTTCCCGATTTGGAAGGTGACAGCTGAGCCTTGCCGTCCCTATTGCTCATATTTTGTTAGATGGATGGGGTAATATGAGGTGTTTGTTAGTAGCTGAATTTCAAAGTCTAAGTAGGTTTGGTATTTTGAAGAATAGGTAAAGTGCTATGTCGCATAGTTACATAAGCATATGTCAAATGGTATGACAAATGACAAAAAGCTAGTAAATGACAAATGTCACATGACCAAATCCGGGATTCTGTTACGATCCGGTGGCGGTGGTCCGGGATGTGAGAACTGGATTAAAGGCAAGGAAAGTCCGAGTCCGAAATGAACACAAACAGATTAACGACGAGTAGTTCAACGACGTAGAGGTTTAATTACATGAGTAGTATAAGTACGGCGTATCCAGATTCAATGGCTGCGTCACGTTGATTTATGTGCTAATATAAGATCATAATGAAGCCATCATCAGAATGAAAGAAAATAATAATACATACAAACAAACACGCTTATATAAACTTTATACTTACATATAAAGGTCATATGATGTGCACGGTGTAGGTGTGTGTAGTACAACACTTCCAATCTGGTGATGGATTTTTTTGAAAGTGCCCGGCACATCGGAAATGAGTGGTCCTTGTACACACCAATTTTTCCCTCACTATCGGTTAATATGGTGATGCTCACTAAACTTCCTGGTAAAACCTCACCAGCCAAAAAATGTGGTTTTGGTGGGTGGACGAACTTTTGTGAAAAATTTACATAAAGACTCCTTGAATTTCCTGTCCCCTCGAATTGAATTTTAATTGTTACTCTTTTTCCTGATTTGATTTCTTTTGATTTCTTATAATTATCAACTCAATTGATATTGTAATATCTTTTTTAATTGTTAATTGGTTTATATAATGGCTGTTTCAAAAATTTTTGCTAGATACGTTTACGATTCTCGTGGTAATCCAACTGTTGAAGTTGATTTACATACTGAAAAAGGTTTATTCAGAGCCATTGTTCCATCTGGTGCTTCTACTGGTATCCATGAAGCCTTAGAATTAAGAGATGGTGATAAATCTAAATGGTTAGGTAAGGGTGTTTTAAAGGCCGTTGCTAACGTTAATGAAATCATTGCTCCAGCTTTTGTTAAGGCTGACATTGATATTAAAGATCAAGCTAAAGTTGATGAATTCTTAAACTCATTAGACGGTACTCCAAACAAATCTAAGTTAGGTGCCAATGCTATCTTAGGTGTTTCTTTAGCTGCTGCTAAGGCTGCTGCTGCTGAAAAGAATGTCCCATTATATAAACATATTGCTGACATTTCTGGTGCTAAACAAGATAAATTTGTTTTACCAGTTCCATTCCAAAATGTCTTGAACGGTGGTTCCCACGCTGGTGGTGATTTAGCCTTCCAAGAATTCATGATTGTTCCAACTGATGCTCCAACTTTCTCTGAAGCTTTAAGAATTGGTTCTGAAGTTTACCACCACTTAAAAACCATCACTAAAAAGACTTACGGTCAATCCGCCGGTAATGTTGGTGATGAAGGTGGTGTTGCTCCAAACATTGCTACTCCAAAGGAAGCTTTAGATTTAATCACTGCTTCTATTGAAAAGGCTGGTTACACCGGTAAGGTTGGTATTGCCTTAGATGTTGCCTCCTCTGAATTTTACAAGGAAGAAGCTAACAAGTACGATTTAGATTTCAAAAATCCAAACTCTGACCCAACTAAATGGTTAACTGGTGAAGAATTAGCTTCCTTATACGAACAATTGATTGAAGAATATCCAATTGTTTCCATCGAAGATCCATTTGCTGAAGATGACTGGGATGCTTGGGTTCACTTTTACTCCAAGGTTGGTTCTAAGATCCAAATTGTTGGTGATGATTTAACTGTCACTAACCCAATCAGAATTAAGACTGCCATTGAAAAGAAGGCTGCTAATGCTTTATTATTAAAGGTTAACCAAATTGGTTCTTTAACCGAATCCATCAAGGCTGCTAATGACTCTTATGCTGCTGGTTGGGGTGTTATGGTTTCCCACAGATCAGGTGAAACCGAAGATACCACCATTGCTGATTTATCTGTTGGTTTAAGAGCTGGTCAAATTAAGACTGGTGCTCCAGCTAGATCTGAAAGATTAGCCAAATTAAACCAAATCTTAAGAATTGAAGAAGAATTAGGTGACAAGGCTGTCTACGCTGGTAAGGACTTCCACATTGCTCAAACTTTATAAGGAATTCAATTGAGCATTCTCTAATGTCAATTTATTGTATAAATTGATGACGTCAATTGATGTCTAATATATATCGAATATAAAAATCTGAATTTTAAAGGTTAACTTGTAAGAATATGACAATTAAGCGTATATATTTTTATTTTTATTTTTAAAAAAAAACAGTCAGACGTTTGGGTTTGTTTACACGTGTGAATATGGTAAGGGGTATACTAACTATTTGATTGTTAAGGTTTGAATCACCATATATCGGCGTGAATCAACAGATAAAAGATGGTTTCTACATGCACACAATAAAGCCCAATTAGGCAATAGTTGCTTCTAAAAATAAATACACTATTTAGTATCTTCTATTAAACCTTAAATTTTTCGTAAAGAAACGAACACGAACATCATTTACGTAATAGAATTATACATAGACATCGATCGAAGCAGAGAAGATTCATTACGCATTCAGAAGGGGCAGGAAGAGTGGATAGAGGGATGGCTGAGTGCAATGATCTATGTCATTTCATTAAAAATAATTGCGTAATGCTTCACCGCCTTTGAGTAACGGGTGCAGCTGTTACAACTTCCTTTCTCGTACTGTAATGAATTGCTTTACATGATGCACTGTAGTAACTGTAGCTCAATTTCCAACTTGTCCACAAAGAAAGCTCTGTGCTAAAAATAATTTTTAAAATGTCATCCAAAGAAAAAAAATGTCAAAGAAAAAAAAAAAAGGGAAAAAAAAGGAAAGAAAAAGGAAAGAAAAAGAAAAAAAAAGTCAAAAGCGTAAAATACAGCTACAGAATGAGCGAACAATGCTCTTAGATTCGTTCGCTTCTCTTCCAAATCGGTCTATAATCTGACCTCCCGAGGTTAACGAGATTATCTGAGAATGGAAAGATTTTGACGGAATTCAGAAGTTTGTAATTAAAAATTATTTGCTTTACAATACCGCTTAATATGTTCCTGATAGTATAAATTTTTTGTAATTATTCATCTCTTCGCCTGCCTCATGATGTTTTTCTAATTGTAAATCTGGAGAAATACTCTTTTATTTAAAATGAGCATGGTAATATTTTTAACCGTGGTTACCTTTACTACCACTAAATTTTTCATATTCATCTCTAATTATGTATTGAGAAAGCTGAAGCTCATCTCGAGTTCCCAAATAGGAATAATTAGTGATTTCGCATAAGCATGAGTAATAATATTTTTAGGCTCATGAGAAATAATATTAATTATTTTTGCTTGTCGTCGGTCTGGATACCCTCAGGGAAAATTTTTCTACTGGCTGGTAGAGATGAGATTAAGGAGCATAAAGGGGGCACTTCAAAGAACATGGCATCAAAACGTATAGAATAAAATGAACAGTCGTAGAAGATTAAGACTTGCATCTTTGAATAATCTAACAATACTATTATTAAGTTTAAGGATAAGATTGTAATGTTAACTTTAATTTTGAACCAAGGAAAAGTCTTTAACTGTGCCGATAGCCGCTAAAACCGACTTGAAACTTTCGAAATTAGGACAAGAAATAAGTCGTAAAGAAAGTCTGAAGTCGGTTTCAGAATCAGAGTCATTACATAAAATAGAAACAAAAAAAATTTCTCTACTTAAGGAGTAACAAGTAACGAGCAATAAAGGCACAATTCCAGCGAAGAAAAAAACGACCACAAATGAACGAGATTCGGTCACTAAATCAAACTCTTCTACGTCTAAAATCGCCCCAAAATAAAGCAATCTTAGCACGGAAGTATCTCCATAACCATGTACAAACGCAGAACAAAGTAACAAAAGAAGTTTAAACAGAAGGAACCTTCGAATTTCAATGACTTGCAGCATCAAGTTGAACTAGGTAGTATTAAGCTTTAACCATCCATACGTCAGACAAGAAAATATCGATAATAAATGAAATAACTCTACTTGACTATAAACAAACAACGACACGGTTCACCAAATTTGCAACTTCAATAACGCGGTATTCATGTGTGATTTCTTGCAATTTCAATTGAAGGGAATGAAACTGTATAATTACAATTACAATTTCAAAGAAGTAGCTCCAAACTCCATATTTGGGCTGCAGTGACTATACTTTGTACGCTACGTACATATGGCTGGTAGCAATGTCTATGTCCATTACTTCCGAGAGATGTTCCTTTCTTTTTGGTCTATAGCTCAGCCTTCGCGACGGGGGTTCCAACTCGGTTCCTAAAGAAGTAAAATTAAAGTTTTACTATGTCTAATTCAAATCACGCAAAATAAAAGAAAAGACAAGAGAAAATAAATGCATGCAGCGGTCGAAGGAAAACCAAAATAAAAATAAAAAGAAATTGACCTCTAAAAGTTGTCAATTAAGAGTAGTCAACTACTATGGAAATATGTTTCTTTGCAACTATACCCATTTAGACCATTGCAAGTATTTTACTTATGGGGATTCACTATCCATGTTTTTAACAACCCTTAAGGAATGTTTCTCATTAATTCTACAAAGCTTATGAATAACCAAAGTAACAAAACAGAATCAGTGTTTGCACAAAAGGAGGTATGAAATTTGGTTTATAATCTTGCTTTGTTTGACCATTTGAATGAATAGTGAATTGTTCACGTAATGTATTACTTCATTATTTGGTATGTGGGTCTCGCATACTTCCAGTTCCATCCATGATCAGTGAATGATGGACAATAAGGGCAGGAGTGTAACAAAAGAGATTTCTGGCTCATATGTATGCAACAAACTTTTGCGCGCGTTTTCCAACTAACAACTTTTCTAAATTTAACTTTTTTATTTTATGAATATTTTTTAAACTATTATTTTTTAACGAATTATTTTACATCCTTAAATTGATTAATTTTTTTTTTGCAAATTGGATGAACATCAATTCGTACCTGTCCATATTACAAAAATTTATATAAATAAGAGTTGAACCCTCGTTTGAGTTGCATTCAACATGTTCGTAATTTTAGATTTGTCTTTACCTTAATTCTTTAGTATTAAATCAGTTTGTATTTATAACTGAAGAATAGTCCATTCGCTTATCACATACATAAATAATGACTGCTGAATTCGATCACGAGGCTCAACAACCTGTTGAATCCTATGATCCAAAATTAGATACTGCCATTACTGCTTCTCCATTAAAAAACCATTTAATTGCCTTTTTAGGTGAATTCTTTGGTACTTTTATTTTCTTATGGGTTGCTTTCGTTATTGCTCAAATTGCCAACCAAGATCCAAACATTCCAAAAGCTGGAGGTGGATCTAATCCTCCACAATTAATTATGATTTCCTTTGGTTTCGGTTTTGGTGTTATGATGGCTGTTTTCATGTTCTTCAGAATTTCTGGTGGTAACTTAAACCCAGCTGTTACTTTAACTTTAGTTTTAGCTCAAGCTATCCCACCAATCAGAGGTGCTATTATGATGGTTGCTCAAATCATTGCTGGTATGGCTGCTGCTGGTGCTGCCTCAGCCATGACTCCAGGTCCAATTGCCTTTGCTAATGCTTTAGGTGGTGGATGTTCTAGATCAAGAGGTGTTTTCATTGAAGCCTTTGGTACTACCATTTTATGTTTAACTGTTTTATTATTGGCTGTTGAAAAGCATAAAGCTACTTTTATGGCTCCATTTGCCATTGGTATCTCCCTTTTCTTAGGACATTTGATCTGTGTTTACTACACCGGTGCTGGTTTAAACCCAGCCAGATCTTTTGGTCCAGCCGTTGCTTCTAGATCATTCCCAGACTATCACTGGATTTACTGGGTCGGACCAATCTTAGGTTCCGTCATTGCTTTCTCCATCTGGAAGATCTTCAAGCTCTTAAACTACGAAACCTGTAACCCAGGTCAAGATGCTGATCATTAATCTACTCTACTTCACAACATAAACAATTTCAATCGGATTGTTGATTGTTCATATATAATTACTTGCATTTCAAGATTTACTTCTTAATATTCTTTGTATGTATTTCGAGACCCTGTCCAAATTTGGAAGTGTCCACCTTAATAATATTTAATTCTTAATATTTAAAATTTAACTAACTGTAGTCGGTAACTAATTAGATCTCCACTATTTCTCGTTTGTGATGACTCTCACTTAGAGGGTATTTATTTGGGGGGTGGTCATCGACGGATTTAATTTACAGGTTAAAAAAAAAAATCTCCTAGATTTTTCTCGTGGTTATGAGCCAATCTGTATATACGAACACTTATGCTATAAGCACACTATATTAGAAGCTTAGTATATAGTATATATTAGAGCTTACTATATCTCCTAATGCAACTCTGTTCATTACCTTAATCATACCATCTAATGGTCTGCATTATCCAATAAGATACAGTCTGACTAATGTATTACTCCTTCCCAATTAGGCATAATTCGACACATGCACCACAAAATCAAAATCACCACAAAGCGAACCGACTTATACCTAAAAAATAAAAAACCATAATAGACATCAATAAAATGAAAAAAATTTGACAATAAGCTGAACAATGGACTTATAAAATTATTAACAATAACCTGCCAATCAATAATCTGATCTATCTGTATCGGCAAGTCACGTGTATTCTTACTCTACTCTGCTTTACTTAATTAATTAATTCTTAGTTAAATTCATATCACTCATTGTAAAGAGCAAGTCATCATCTTCGAAATCATCAGGTTGAGAGTTGTGATGGTGATGATGGTGGTGTTGATGTAAATGATGATGCAAATGATGATCATCTGCCTCATGCTGTTTCTGTATGGTGGAATGGGCCTTTTGTTGATCTTGTTCATGTTGTTCATGTTGTTCATGTTCATGTTCCTCTTCATGTTCTTGTTTAGATACTTCCTCAGTCTTAGTATTATCGGATTCACTGTTATCTTCATCGTCATCATCTTCATCAAACACATTCTCATACCGAATACTCTTTTTGTAAACCGATGGAGTTGTGGCCATACCTCTAACACTGTCAGTCTCTTGATGTAAATTAGTATTGGCATGAACTGTAGCTCTTGAAACAACCGGTGTAGCTGATGATGAAGACTTCAAAAATGTACTATTACCACTATCAGATCTCTTCTCTGGCGATAAGGATCTTCTAATCTCATTGGCTATTGGTGCTGGAGGTGGAACAAGCATAGGAGATCCAGAATACGAAGTCTCTGCTCCTGTTCCTGTTCCAGTTCCAGCACCAGATCCTGTACCAGTTCCACTTGGAGTTCCTGTTGAAGGAGATCTTTCCTTTAATCGAGAACTAATGGAAGGAATTGATGCTGGTGGAGAAGCCATAGAATGTGAACTCTTACGACTTGAACCTCGTGATCCACTAACTCCACCACCCATCCCAATTCCAATTCCACTAGCAGTAGCAGAATGTAAATTCAAACTAGCATGAACACTCTCTCCTAATTGCTGATGTTGACTTCTAAGTGATTGGAATCTACTTAAAGTATCACTTGCATTTGCTGATTGTCCACTCCCACTACCAATAGCTCCAAGAATTCCTACCCCTACTCCACTATTAGTTGCATTATAAGACGAAGAAGAGAATCGAAGATCTGTAGTACTATCAATCATTCTTACAAAATCATTAATATCATCATCCATATAAAGTCCACTTAATGGAGCTCCTCCTGTTGAATTGGTCAGTCCAGCACTAGTCCCTAATATATCATGAGATATAGTAGTACTGGTTCCACCACCTCCACCACCACCAGTATTACTATTGGCCATAGGGGTACTTTGTTTAATACTTGTATTAGAAAACCTTCTACTGGCTCTAGATCCAAAGGATGATGAGAATCGTGGAGTGTTGGAATTGGAATTGGAATTTATATCCGTAAATCCTGTATCATCATGAGGTAAAGTTGAACCATGAGATGACGAGATGGATCGAGGAATTGAGCCTACAGTTACGCCACCTATTCCTGCTGCATTAGAATTAGTAGCAGTACTGATAGGGATAGTGGCTGTATGACTTAAGGAAGTACTACTTCTTGGATTTCTTAAAGTAGCAGCCAATGATGCATTGGACGTAGACTTATTACTAGTAATAGATACTTTCCTTTCTAAGGAGGAACCTCCACTACCAATAGGGGGTGGAGAATTTCCAATAAAGCCTACTTTAAATGGTTGAATAGATGGTCGTTGTTGTTTCTTCGTACCGGGAGAGTTCTCTCGTAACATCTCTCGATTTGCACTGGAACATGGAGATACAGACATGGATACTGCACTGGAGATGGAGAGTCGTTTATTGATTTTAGTTTCTTCTTGTTCTTCTTGTTCTTCTGGTTCTCGATCTTCATCTTCTTGTTGTTCTTGTTCTCCTGTGTTGTGATCAATATGATCAATATGATCTATATCAAACTTGGCTCTGGGTCCATGGCCAGAGTCCATAGTAAGAAAGGCAGATGATAAGACTTCTTCATTGTCAATAAGATCGAATTCGTAATGATTACGATATGCTACCGATACCTTAAGACTACCCAAACTTGTTTGAATAGGTTGGAAATGCTTTTGTTCCAAATGAGACTCAGTCGTCAACATTTGATGAGGAATAATCGATTTGGATAATCCTATTCTCCCCTTAGAACTTATAGGAAGAGATCCATCAAGGATACGATTAATGAGCAGTAATTTAGTTAATTTAGTATGTTGACTCATAAGTTTTTTTAATTTAAATGCTGGCATAATACGAAGGAATCCATAAATACTTCGAAGTAATACAATGGCTCTCTTATAAATTAATGGTAATTCATCTATTGTAGTTCCTGATACTTGAGATGAATCAAATTCTATACACCATCGTTCTAATACAACTTCTAATTTTTTAGATCCTCCCTTAGTTACTGTCCATGGATTATCAGTATCATCACGTAATACTAATGTTTCACTAGCAGTAAGTTGTCGTAAATCAAGATGAGTCTCTATAATCATTGGCGGTATGACCGACAATTCATTACAATTCTTCCAAATTTTAATATCTTCTCTTGGTAAATCTTGGGTTGTACTTGTATATATATTAAACCATTTATTAATCTTGGCTCCATCTTCAGCATTAGCAAGTATTTCAATGGCACTTGCTTCACTAAGAGTTCGAGATTGAAGTACTACTAATGCTGATTTAGTAAAGAAATTTTGAATTACTTGAGTTAATTTGCCATTAGCCTTCCGAATTTGAGATTCTGGCTCAGGATAATGATCCTGTTGCAGTTTATAGTGATAGTTATCTGTCATTGATGAGTTAATAATGAGTTATTGATTCATTGGTTGGCTGATTGATTGATGGATGATAGTTATGGGTAATGTTAATGGTTATAAGAATGTCTCCAATGTCGCTTGTTTCGTATTGATCGTGACTGATAGTTATATTATTATTATTATTTATGATTCTTTATCAGTACATGGTGCAGGGCTGGGATCGCAGTATGCAGGAGGTGGAGAACTATACTGAAAGGAGGGGTGCAACACACTACAACTGATACTTTACTACAAATGATTAAGTATGACTATTTCTCTACTAAATATTGACTCTGTAACTACTGATTATTGACTCTGTAGCTACTGACTATACAAGTTGTAACTGTGTAACTGTGTAACTGCGTAACTGTAACTTGAAGTGACTACAAATGACTCACAATGACTAACTGTAACTAAGTGCACTCCTAACTGCGTGTAACTTAAGCTTTAACTACTCTCTACTAAATACTACTGTTCTAGACGCTGGACTCTACTACTTCTGTGACTGCAACTGTAACTATAACTATATTGAACTCACTACTACTAACTACTTACTGTACCAGGACATAGTAACATACTCCTCTGCACTTCTCTCAACTTCCCACTATCCAAATATGCGAGTGACAACTGCGTGGTACTAACTCCACCAAATGAAGCAATCGCAAGTGACATGTCTGTATTGATATGTCTCCACACCTCAAACTCTCCTGGAAAGAGTAATGCACTTCTCTGCCACACCGTATCATGAGTATCAAGTCGTTTATTGATCTCTTCAAGTAAAGTAGGAATCGTCCAATGATACTCAGCAAGTGAAAGTGACTCTAGTTCCTCCTTAATAGGTGCCAAGTACTCCTCTAAATCATCTACCACAGAAATGGCTCCTAATGTAAGAACTACAAGTAATGAAGATCCATTTGACTCTATGAATGCAAACAATTGATCTATAGCTGCCTGCTTAGACTCATCTGTACCATTAGCATATAGGATCTGGGCCACAAGTGTCACTAATTGTTGAGACTCATGATGTTCCTGTAAGATTAATCTCAATTGATCTAATGCGGCTCCAAACTCATGCTGGAAGAATTTACTGAGTCCAATAGTAATACGACAAGATACAACCAAATCACTAATATCTGGTGATTCATTACCCACTAGCTCAAGGGCAAATTGAGCACTATTAATAGCTTCATTATACTGTTGAAGGCCCATGTATAACCGACCCTCTTGTGACTTAGCCCGAGCAAATTGCATAAGCACATCTTCACTTTCCAGTGAATCATACTTATTCGCAAGTAAGTCACAGAGGCGATTACTCATCTCAAGAGCACTGGTAAAGTTCCTACATCTTTCAGCAATATTGACAGCAATCTGGAGTGCTCTCACTTCATCAGGACAGTATTTCAAGTACTTGATCATGGCTTGGTTGGCCACACTCAATTCTTGACATGCACTGGGATCACGAATATCACTACCAGATGCCAGACTGAGCACTGATAATCCATAGAGGAACTGTGCAAGTGGTGAGCGTCCATTAGAGAGAATGAATGCGTGAGTGAATAAACGACTAGAAGTCGTTTCATCACCAGAAGCTTGAGCAGTAAGTGCATGACCTAACCACGATTGTGACTCCAGTGGAGCTACTGACTGTGACCGTAAGAAAGTTTCCTGAGCTAATTCAGTATCGCCCCAGTACAAATAGAGAGCTGCAAGATTCGTCCAGATACTGACATTTCTACTATCCAATACTGTGGCCTTAATAAAACAATGTTGAGCTATTTGTGGATGACTCGTGACATACGAATTACCCAAAGCGATCCAGAATAAGGCATTATCACCTTCTAATTGAATAGCTTTCTTCAAGTAGCTAATGGCAATATCACGCGTATGCTCAATATTATTGACATGGAATACTTCCAAGTACGATAAGCCCAAATTATAGTAGACTATAGATGACAAGTACCTACTGGATTTAGAAGGTAAGTACACTACAGCAGCCTTAGCATAGAGAACCACTAATTTGGCAAGTGCCTCCTCATACTGCTGATCCTTATAGAGTATCTCTACGTCCAGTAAATTAATGAGATCATCTCCAACTCCATCAATGGCTCTGAAACTATCAAAGTCTACTTGGACCAACATCTTCTGAACTATATCCATGGGGAACTGGGACACATTCTGACCCACTAGCTTATAGATCTTAGTGCATTCAGCCAAGGATTTCCATAAGCTCTGGGACTGTTTATTGATGGTAAAGGCTCGAGAAAGAAGCTCTATGGCATGAAGACAAGCATCCAGTGACCGGCCAAAGAAACCACCTGCCACCAACTTCTGTGAATACTCAACGTACGCCTCATACAAGGCATTCAATACAAACTCTTCATCGGGCCGAGCCTCAAGCACATTGCCCAAAATGGCAAACCCTTCTTCAAACTCTCCCATCTTACAATGGGTTAAGCCCAACAAGTGCTGAGATACCCAGCTAGTAGGATCAATTTCAACGGCATGCTTGAACACCTTGACTGCCGCATCAAACCGGCCACAATTAAAGTATGCTTCACCTAATCCGGACCAGGACTCAGTATCGGCTGAATTGAACCGAAGAGCCGACTGGAACCATTCCACTGCCTTGGCATCATCCTGCTTGTTCAAGGCCGAACATCCAAGCATTCGGAACGGCCAGGACCGGTCAGGATCTTCATAGTTGTTGCTCAAGAGAAGTCTCCGAGCCGTGTCTGAATCCACAAGCCGTTTACAGAGAATCTCAGCCACTGACCATTCATTTTTAGTGGCCAAATCCTCTACCAAATACTTAGCAGCACTGACTTCTACCACATCCAATTCTACAGCTTTATAGAAACATTTTTGAGCTCTAGATCTATCGCCATAGTATTCTTGAAGTACAGTTCCAAGTAAAGTATAGGCTGGAGCGTAATTCTGAGATTCCTTCAAGGACTCTACCAAATGACCATATGCCTCATCAACTTTAGCAGGATCTTTATCATCCTCCGAGAGTAAACTCTGAGCAATTCTCCAGTGGATAAGGGCTCTAACGTCTCTGCTATGGATATCTGTTCCTGGAATGGTTTGAATTACTTTAAGTAATCCATTTCTTCCTTCAGTAAACTGACCAAGCTTAATGAGACACCAATAGAGTTCGACATTGGCATCGGTATTAGCAGGGTATTCCTTAACTACGTCTTGGAGAAGTTCATGAGCTGCTTCATAACTTCTTTGTTCTACAAGAATCAATCCCTTCCCGATCCGAGCCTTAACATTGACCTTATTACCTTCAAGTACCTTATCATATAATTGTAAAGCTCGAGGAAAATTCTTAGGTGCCTCATAATAAGTATAGACTACTGCTAATGAGCATAAGATATCTTCACGAGAGTTCTTCAAATCGATTCCATGCGATCTCTGCAAGTCGGCCAATAACTTTATAGCTTCTCGGCATCGTTCAGAACATTCTGCATATTCTCGTAAATGGATATAATACTCAATGATGATTCGATTGGCAAGTATCCAATGAGAGGCATGTTCAAATCCTTCGAGCATTAATGAAAGAACCTGATCCGGTAACAAGTTGTATTGAGACTTATCCGTCTCAAATTCATCATCTTCAATGCTGAGCAAAGTCTCTTCTTCTTCACTATCGACGTCAGTCTTTTCATGCTTGGTGGTTTCTCTTTCAAATTTGGCCAGTAAACCTTCAATTACTTTCTCCTTATCAAAGGGTGAGATATCACTCATAGTTAATGCAAACAAGATACCACCTAAACCCTTATTGGAGAAGTGATTGAGATAGTAGATGACATTGTTAAAATCAAGATCACTCAAACTTGCCACATCACTCAAGTTAAAGTATAAGTCCCAACAGAGTTGACTAGAACTTTTGATTAACACCATTCCTTCCACCATTTGTTTAATATCAGCAAGAAGTACTGACTTATCCTTATCGGGTATGACCTTAAGCACATCATATTTATATTTCAAGTATTGTTCTTCATACTCTCGACGTGTTGTATCATCATTACTGATATTAAGTAATAATTCATAGAGTGAATCCAATTTAGCAGCCTCATAGTAAGTATATTCAATAGAATTTAATATGGATTTCTGATCGACCGTCAATATCCTTCCGAACTTAACCCGTTCCTTCAGTATCCTATTCTTAATATCCTTTTCAACTCGACTTTTCTCTAAATCAAGTAAACTTTTAACATTATCTTCTGGTCTTCCAAGGTTATTTCCTATAAGATCTCCCAATTCTGTACCGGGAATAATTGACCGCAAATACGTCACATGCAATACAGGATCCTTCTTATACTCATTAATATCAAGATACTTCCGAATATCCTTAAGAGTATCTGCTATAGCGACTCCTTCGTCGACTTGAAGTTTGATTAACTTAGTGGCTACGGAAAAGAACAATTCATAATCTTTGGAACTTTTCACCGCCTGCAAATATCCCTTCCATCCCAATAAGGTACTGGGTTCTACTGTCGTAGCATGCTGAAATGACTCTATAGCTTTGGGAATATCATCGAGAAGTTGGTATGACTTGGCTTGAAAAATTAGAGCAAAGTAGCAGTCTGGGTCGTATTCCAACGCCTCTTCCACAGATTCAAGTGCGGAAAGCGGGTCGTTATGTTCAATGGCACTCTTGGCGGCCTTAAGGGCCTTTTTAAGGCTCGACATGCTTAGTAATGGCTAGCTAATGGTGAGTTATGGGTCATTATAGGGTTGAAATATTGGTGGAGAGAGTGTGCACACAGGATGGCAGCGAGCGACAATGTCGCGGTGTATAACGATCCAATGTCGTCTGGTTCTACTAATATATAACCATAGAAATATGTATATGAACTTCAGCATATGTGAAACTATAGTAATTATGAAGTATGTTACGTGAAGTATAATATATGATGCTATTTGCGATAATTTTTAGTATGAAATATCTGTTAGTAAGATATATGTGTTAGTAGGATATGTTTGTTAGATCTTCTGGTAAATCTCTACTGTCTACTTCTGTATTATATATATTTACATTATATATAGCATTATTATGCATTACTGCAACATTCACTTTATTGCATCTTCTATTTGTTTGAAATATGTATTGTAGTCTATGCATTAGATGCATATTAACTTCTATTAATATTTTACTACTCAATTTTACATCGCTGTGAACGATGTTAGTCGCCGTTAATTACAGATTGACTCACTGTTCATAATCTGCTAATTACATATTATACAGCCTTTACATACTAGTAACTGATAAATATGAGATTTAACAGAAATTAGTTGTCGTCATCTAACTTTCGTCATTTTTTTCCTTATCAATTATAAAATCCACTGACATTTCAATCAACTTTGGTCTGATACAATCCTTCATATTTGGAGATGATTACAAAATTTCATTTTCCCTAGCCTTTATCTCTGAACTCTCCAAATAAAGTTGTTATAGGGATTGACTAATAATATTTATGAAAATAGCAGAGCGGTAAATATCTTCTCTATTTTGCAGCTACCTGCATAAACCACCCTTTTCCACAAAGGGAAATTCAAGTATGCGGCGTCCACCTCTTCCCTCCTGCACACAGCCCAAGCTTTTTCAATAATTTTCACCAAACACATTACCATCTCTAACTTCCTAAATCACCACTAACACCATGCAAGGAGGACTCAGTGAAGCTTCAAAGACTCAGTCACCGAGTTCGTACCTCTACACGTGCATAGCACAAAAAAATTTGGGAGAAATAGCTGCCATAGTCATCTCTAGCTTGATCTCTTATGGTAGACTCAGTTGTCGAGAGATCAGTCACAAGACAAAGCTTTCAGTAAAAGTAGTTCAGTCAGCATTGGTATCACTAATTCAATTACAGTGTGTGTACTATGTCAAGGATGAGAACTCTGGTACCGTTCACTATACTTTCAACGAAACAGGTGTTCTTAATTTCTTACACAGTGGAGAAATCATCAACCATATCAAGACAGCTTATGGTGATGACCATGCTGAAATTATTCAGAATATCTTAGTCAATGGACATATAAAAGTCGCTGATTATATCAATAATATCGATGATGCCCAAAAGAAATTGGATACCGAGACGTTATTCGTCAAATTGTTCAGTGATAAGTGGTTAGTTAGAGTTCAATTATTTGACTTCCATCCCTATGCTGATATCTGGAACAACATTTATCAGGATATATTGAAGAAGACACCACGTTCAGCTACTACATCTGAAATTAAGAGGGTCAATGAAGCTAAGGAAAAGGCTAAGATTGCTTTTGTTCAGCTCCTTGAATCAGGACAAACATCTAAAGATTTGTATACGGTAAAGGACGGATTCAAGACTCTCAATCCTAACTTAATAGTTCGGTTCAATTTGAATCGATTCCAGAAGCATCTACGGTCCGTTGCATTAATCAACTTGGCCAAATCCCGGATCGGAACTTTATCAGCCAAGATCTATGAGACGGCATTAAACCTCATAGAACAGGAAAGTCCTGATATAATACATCCATTTTTACAGATCAGTGGATTGATAAATGATCCAGAAGAAGAAAGAGCATTCATAAACTCGATTGAGAATAAATCTGTTGAAGAAAAGAAAATTGTATTTACTATACGAGAAATTGAACGGTCTTTGCCAACGGATTTGGATCTCCGTAACTCCATCTTGACTCACAATTTCCTTAAGCCAAATCTCAAGAAGAGAGTAGCTGATGAAGTAGATTCACCTAACAAACGAGTTAAGACTGAATCAGATACTCCTGATTTGTTGGCCGAGTTTCAACTCAAAAATGATATCATCATTGAAGAAGAAATCGACACAGACTCCGATTTACAATCAACTTCATTAATACAACACCATCTCAAATTGCTTTCTTCCGGTTCTACCATTCAGTTCTTAATTGAAATGACTCCTGGGACATATACTATCCCATTCACTGCATTAATCAAACAATTGAAGCAGTACAACTTTGAAACACTTGTCAAAACTACTTTAGGTGGTAATGCATTCCGAGTATTACGATGCTTGAAAACACAAAAGATTGGAGATGAGAAGTCATTAGCTACCGCAGTATTACTTAAGGAAAAAACAGTAAGAAATGAAGTGTATAAGTTAGTGAAAGCTAATTTAGTAGAAATTCAAGAAGTTCCAAGAAGTGCAGATCGTGCAGCATCCAAAACATTCTACTTGTTCAGACATAAGGAGATCATGAGTTATAATTTCTTAAGAAATGCTCTTATTTTCACCATGTCAGAGATCTTAGTCAATATCCTGAACTTTAAGGAGGACCATAAGATCTTATTGGATAAATGTGAAAGAGAAGATGTGAAGGGTCATGAAGAAGAGTTGTTACTTGATTCAGAATTGAAGACCCTTAAGAATTTACAAGCAAGAGAGATTCTGAATATTGGTAGATTTAATAGAATCAAGGCACTCTTTGAGATCTACTCATTATGAGCATTGTATACTATGTATTACACTTATTATAAATATTAACATCACTATTAAAACCATCTCTTAATATATAATTATTACTTATTATGTAACTACTCATCGATAGCAACCAATTTGGGACTCAATTGTGCATAAGTCTGTGGAATATCTACCACAGGTTCATCACCAAATAATCCAAAATTCTTTAAATGTACTTGAGCACCTTTGTCTCTAGGCACATCATCAAAAAAGTTACTAGCCCCTCTAACAGTAGCAGGCCAGACCAACATTATAGTAGATACAGTAAGTAAAGCTCCAAAGAAATTAGGTAATTCTTGTAGGTATACCTTACCAAGTTTAGACATCAGTTCAAACGTATTGATGTCGGCGTATCCATTCTTAATACTAGAAGAATAATCGTGAGGAACGTAATTGGAATAGAATCTACGACTCATTAATCTTCCCATAGGTCTGGGTTTGGCGTAGTCACCAATGAAGGGACCCCTAGACATTTTGGGGACAGCATAGTCACCGATGAAGGGACCTTTAACACGCAATTGCTTGAGAAATTTAGACATCTTTATTGATGGTATGTAGAGGATAATACATAACTACAATTGGCTACAATTGGCTTATAGGGGAAACTAACCATATATATTAGTGAGTGAGTATTAAACAGAAAATAGCGAACTTATCCCTAACAAAAGGCTTATAGGGGGTGGGGTACCAAAGGTCATTAGAATTTACCAGAGTTACTTTTTCAGGGATGGGGGGAAGACACAATAAAATAATGTGGGAGAGGGTAGTGAGGATGCGAAAGAGTTGTAGTGGTGTGATTAGTGAGTGAGAGTAATACAGTAAGTTATATAGTAAGTTATATAGTAAGTTATATAGTAGCGAGTGGGTTAAATTAGTAATTACATTAGTGAGCGTAGCTGGTGACATTGTGTCAGTATTACAGTGTATGTAGTGTATCTATTCAGCATTATATATACTATAACGTATGTTCAAAGCCAGCAAAATCAAATTGCTCATCAACTACCAGCCCAGCAATTCCATATCGAACTTTAACTCTCAACTTAATCTTAGCTCCTGCCTTACCAACAAGTTTTAATGTTTGCTTTATAGATTGTCCTGGACTTACAGTGTCTCCCGAGGTTGAAGTAATGGTTAACTTCTGTGATTTGGGGACAGCTATAAGTAATTGAACCTGTTCAAGTATTGCTGACAGTTCATGAGATTCTATTATACTCTCAATAACTGCTGTACCATTCTGAGGGAACAGTTTAGGAGTGAACAAGACGCGAACATGACTATTTGCGTATGCTTCAATTGATGGGATTGTCGTTGAATTAGAAGTTGTACTCGTACTTGCAGTTACATTAGAAGCTGGAGTATTGAATAGATCAAGGATAGCATCATTATTGGAACGAGCAGGTTTGGTATTGCTACCAAAGATATCAGAAAGTAATTCATTTTGATTAGTGGAATTAGTGGCAGATGTACTGTTATTATCGTCCAAGAGATCAAGTAATAAATCATCAGTCAGAGGAGGAACTGCAGGTCCTGAACCATTAGTAGCTGAACCCATAGATGTAGATTTTTTAACACTTCCTGTAGCATGTAATGAAAGTGATTCACGTTCCTTCAATGGAGGAGCAGGCATTCTAGCTAATAAACCTTTCTTTAATTGAGTATCTTGAGCAAAGATTTCTTGATACTCAAGAGCTCTAATTTGAATTTCTAAATTATTATCATAAGTTCTTGCGTTTAAGATTAATCTTAGTGATTCAATTGATTGAGAATCTTTGAATTTAATGGATAATTTAATTACAGCAGTTAAGATATAAGTAATTAATTGAGTAGTTTCAGCTTGAGAGTAAGTGGTATTATTAATTAATTCATCAATTAATTGTAGAATAACACTTTCAGTAATTAATTTAGATTTCTTTTCTCCAATTTCTACTGTTTGATTAAGTATTAAATCAGCATATTCACCAATAGACCAAATAGTAATGATTGATAATCCAAATTGAGTAGAATCTTCAAGACAAGCACCTAATAAACTGGAGATTATATGCCTTTTCAATTCTATATCATTACATTGTAAAATTAATGCCAAAATATTAGATATAATATCAGAAGTTACAAAATTCCCACTAACTTTTAACATTCTAATTAATGTATCAAAATGCCATTTATCATTAGGACTATATTTATTTGCAGCAAGAGTTAATTGAGATGTCACATAAGATTTTAATTCATTATCACCAGAAGTTTCTAAAAAGGTTAAAATCTCTCGAACTAATACTCTTATATTTTGATCATTTAATATAGCAAATGATAATTCTAAAGCTCTTCTTCTAATAGAAATATCTCCATCAGAAAGACAATTAACGATGGTTGATCTATGTCTTTGAACAGCCAATGGTTCAATATTAATAACTGATAATAAAGTATCTAAAGCAACATATCTTGTATTATTATCTTTAGTAGATAAGAATTTTCCTAATAAATTAACTCCCAAAATCTTTAATGATTGATCAGATGGAATAGTAAAGATAGTTTTAACACATTCATATAAAACTGCATTGGCAGAATTCTTTCCACTCTCTAAATTAGAAGCTACTTGCGTTAAAATATCATTAATATCTTCAGCATAAGTTTGATTTCCATCTCCATTAGCTAAAATTCTTAATAAACTTAATAAATTAACTTGTAAAAATGGATCTGTAACACCTCCTACATCATAATCTGGCATATAACCTGAAGTTGTAACTCTTTTTAAATGACCAATTATCTTGGGAATATATTTAATTAATTGAGATCTATCATCTTCATTATTAATATAAATTGATTCCATTAATCTTACAGCTCCTAATAAAGTACTTGAAGATTTATCATTAATTAATTGAGGAATTTTATTTAAAAAGAATTCTGATAATTCCGGATCTTTCTCAACTAATTTAGCTGCAACAATACATGCTTTCTTCTTTAAATATCCATTATTTGATGTCATAATAGTTTCTACATTAGTATATAAATCACGAGCCAATTCGGGTGAAGCAATATTCCCAAGACAACTTAAAGCTAATCCAACAATATAAGCATTGGGATGTTGCATATCATTATCTAAAGAATTAGTTAATAATGTTAAAACTTCTTGATTTTCATCTAATAATAACATAGCTGCTAAATATCCTAAACGTTTATCAAGAAATCGTGGTGATGCTAATAATTTCAAACATTCTACTTGTCCAAAATGGGTCTTTTCTCCCATAATATAAAGGTATAGTAATTTGGAGATATTAATTCTTCGAGTTGTTTGATCAAGTCCAGCATCTCGGAATGAGGTCCGGATTAACGCAGATTCCTTCCGAACCACCGCACGTTCATCCGCAATGGTCTTGGCCTTTCTTACTGCCTTAATGAACGACTTCAACGATGCCATTGTTATTGTTGTTGGTACTTCAAGGTATAATCAAGTTGGTGATCTATAGGCCGGTTAAAAACATTGGCCCAATGGGGAAATAGTCGTGTCGTGGCCGCAATCAATCAATAGCACCACCCTCACCACTGACTACTGAAAAAAAAAGCAGCGCTACCAGTTGGATTGCCCTAACCGTCAACTTGCAACTTGCAACCACTCTTTTATCATACAAACATATATGTATTATACTATACACAGAGAAGTCGCTCGTAGTAGTAAAGTTATCACGTGAATCGCTACTGAAGAATACATTTATAGCGGAGTGGTTTGGACACTTTTTTAGGAAACAGAGCCTGTGTTGCCTCGTCTATCAACTCCTTAGTGCCCTTACCAGTATAGCTGGAAGTCTCGATATAATTTATAGCTCCTATTTCAGTAGCCAAGGCACGAGCTGTTCTGTTTTCCACAACAATATGACCTTCTTCAGCTCGAAGATCACTCTTACATCCTACTAGAAAGATAGGAACGTCACTCTTGGTATGACTCCTAACAACATCTAACCATTGACTCTTAACATGATCGAAAGAAGTTACATCATTGATAGCAAAACAGATAAATACCACGGCAGCATGTTCATACAACTTCTGTGAATCAGGTGAACTTCCTGTATCTGTTAATAGTAGTGCCACAACTCTCTCGCCTATCTTCAGTTCAACAGAATGAACTTCATGAACATCAGGAATAGTATCAGTAGGATCAGGAGAAACTCCAGTAATCAAACGACTAGTTAGACTGGTTTTACCGACACTGATGTCTCCTACAATTAAGCATTTATTGGTGGGTACGTTCATTTTATAGTGGTTACTTTCAACTATTGTTACTAAAGTGCAGTTATTACTCACTTTATATAGTTTCACAGCATTAACTATGACTCCAACTAAGATTGCTCTCAATAAGTTATGCCTATGCCGTTCAGTGGGGTAAGGCAAAAGTCTTGTTTAGAGATTATGGAGACTTGGTGATGTGGGGGATATAATTGCTACCATTGTTAAATACAATACAATACAATAATAATAATAGATAAACTAAATAGGAACTATATGTAAAATTAATACCATTATAATAACAATATATGAATAGTATGTATAAAAAGAAGGTGTATAAAAAGGTTGGACTATAGCCAAATAGTAATAGCCAAGTTTAGTGATCTAAATCTAGATTGAATGATGAGATTGAAATTGGAAATGAATTGAATAACTAAAAGTAGAATTGATTATAAAACAATACATTTCTTACTCTTCTTACCATCTTTCTTTTCTTTAGTTCTTAAAGAAGCTCTAGTTGCAGCTTCAAAGACTTCTCTAACACCTTGACCAGTTCTTGCTGAACATTCTAAATAATCAGTAGCACCAATCTTTTGAGCAACAGTTTGACCTTCAGAAGTTGCAACTGGTTGTTGTTGATTATCTCTTAATTTAGCAATGGTTTGAGGATCATTTCTTAAATCAGCTTTACAACCAACTAAAATAATTGGAACACCTTGACAGAAATGTAATACTTCAGCAATCCATTTTTCTAAGACATTATCTAAAGAATCAGGAGAATCAACTGAAAAACAAATTAAAATAACATTTGAATCAGGATAAGATAAAGGTCTTAATCTATCATAATCTTCTTGACCAGCCGTATCCCATAAGGCCAATTCGACTTTTCTACCATCAACTTCAACATCGGCAACGTAATTTTCAAAAACGGTTGGAACATAAACTTCTGGGAAAGTACCTTTAGAAAATACAATTAATAAACAAGTTTTACCACAAGCACCATCACCGACAATGACTAATTTTCTTCTAATTTCAGCAGGAGGAGGAACCATTATGAATTGTTAAACTATGAATATGATTTGTGAATATGATTTATGATTTATGATAAATGATAAAAGGATATGTATATACTATTGAACAGAATTAAATGTTAATAATTAATATTTAATATTTAATATTAATGATATTAGGATTATATGCAAAAGGGGATAATATGACTAGATGAATGAAATCAGTTAGTATAAAATTTTCCGACTCGTGATCTCCGATCTAAGTACCGATTTAGACTTCAATTACTGACACTATAAAACAACACTGAGTACTAATCCAGCTACTGTTGCTTGTTGTTGATGGTTCGTTTCGTCTGTCTACCAATTTTCGCTCGCTACTCCTTTTTTTTTTTTTTCCTTCTCCGTTTAGGAAAAATTGGCAGTGCTGAATTTGGTAAACAATGTGAAGGAGGATGAGGAATGGGGATTATTAGTGAGCAAAATCTTAGTGAGTACCAATAGTGAGAGTAATTAGAGTGATAGGACAGTAGTGGGACAGTTCAGGAGATAGGTTGAAACAATTTAACACAGTACTAGAGGGTCAAGTAGGCAATTGTAGTGGTGTAATTAAGTGATAGTAGTAGTAGTAGTAGTGTGTGGATTACGTAATCCACTGATTGGGCCTGAGAATGTCAACACAAAATCGGTTCAGTTAGGTGGATCAATGATTGAGTTGGAGGCCATCAGTAGATAGTTATTTAGTTAGTTAGTAGTGATCGATCTGCGTGTGAATGTGCTGCACGTTTGTTTGTTTGTCTGATTGTACTTGTCCTTGAATTTGATTTGGATTCGATTTGAATTCAACTTTGTATTTGCCTCTGTCTCTAGACTCGGTGTCTGTCTTCTATTTCTCCTCTGATCTGTCATTTGATCACTATTTATCTGTCTGTTATCTGTCTGTCTGAAGTCGAATCTTTCCGTGTGAACATACATACCGTTACTATATCTATCAATCGCTGAATCAATGACTATCTCTTGACTTTTGTTAGTGACTGTTAGTTTATGTCTGGCTTTGACTGTTTCTATAAGTAAGTAAAATAAGGTCGTGCAAGATTGTCAATTCATATTGGTCGTTCGAGTTTTAGTTTTACTTGTTCTAAAAATAATATTGGTCATGTGATTTGTACATCCTTTGAACTTTTTTTTGTTTCTAGACCATTTCGATTTGGTTAACCTTCGTTTATTGTTGCGGTGAGGATGCGCGTTTTTTTTCTTAGTACTAAGGCATTTTAGGTAAGGAATGCCGTAGTGAAGTTACAGGTTATGTGAGAGAGTAAGGAGTGGAAGAGAAGAGTGAATAAAGTGAGCAGAAGCGAGCAAAGTAAGAGCCTTGTTATTGTAGTAGTATGTAATGTTATTATTGGATTATTTTCATGGTTTTACACTATTCCTGGATATGTAGCGTGACACTGTCAGAGTCACTATGACACTACACAGGCTGCGATCTTATCAGGTTATCTAATCAAAGGAGGCGTCGTGTCGAGTACAAGAAAAATTTTCACTGGGGCAAGTTTGAGCGATAACCGGTGAGAATGTCGTTTATCTTATCGGGTAACCTGTAAAAGGGTGGTAGAAGGAAACAGTAGGGACAGTAGAGAAAAGAATAGTATAGAGTAGAGAAGATAGAGAGGAGAGAAAACATAAGAGTATATCAATAGTTAGCAGTAAATGTAGAGTGGTATATAGTACTCTGTAGAGTACAGTAGAGTACCATAGAGTAGTAGTAAGTGTAGACATGTACTAGAACACCATTAACTTCATAACACTGACTACCACTAATACTTGAGACTATTGTATTGAAACAAACTCTGCTGCACTCACTAATACTATCTCTACTACCCTCACTACTACGATTATTAACTCTTCTCTTACATATTACCTATTACTTATTGCTTCTTCTCTTCCTCTCTTCTCCCGCCTAACCTGTAAATTAATTGCCCCTTTCGGACAGCAAACTTTTCCTTTTATCTTTCTCACTTTTCTCTTCATATACAACTACCGCCAACTCACCACTAACTCACCACTTTGCTGACTACTGTCCTTCAGACATCTTAACTACGCTCAGCTAACTAGTCATTCCCTCACTAACTCACTCACGACTATCGCCACCACTTTGAAGTTATCATTTAGCGTAACTTTCAAACACTGCGTAACTATATACCTTTGGCTGCCTAATTATAAAAGCTAAAAACATGAGTGAAATTCAGCAACGATTACAAGTGCCTTCAGTAGTGCCTTCAGTAGTACCTCCAGTAGTACCTCCAACCCCTCCTCATGTTCCTACTACTGCAGGTACCCCTGTTTCCACTCAGTCGAAATCGGCACCACCATCACAACCACAAGATCTCCCATCTCACCATCACCTTCATCAACCTCATGCTCCATTATCTGTATCAGCTACCATTTCCACATCTTCATCTATTTCTAATTCATTATCTCCCAGTTCACCTTCTCCAGCGACTGTAGCACCACCAGCACCACCATCTGCTGGTGTTGGTGCTACTACTGGAGCTGGAGCTGGAGCAGCTTCAGTGACTACAGTTAAACAAGAACAGTCAGAAAAGAAGTCTCTTGTACTGACAGATTCAGCAACTCCATCTAATCCAGTTCATCCCAATGCTAAGACTATAACTCATGTAAATAATGGTACTACCACTACAAAGACCAATATCACCAGTCCTGTGTGTCGTAATTGTAAAACTCAAACAACTCCTCTTTGGAGAAGAGATGAAACCGGTCAAGTATTATGTAATGCTTGTGGTTTATTTTTAAAATTACATGGTCGTCCTCGTCCAATTAGTTTAAAGACCGATACAATCAAGTCAAGAAATAGAATTAAACTGCAGAATGGTAATGGAACTCCAAATAGTCAGAAATCAACAGCTCCAAATACTCCTGAATTAAAATCTAAGGATTCTTCTTCATCAAATAATTTGAATTTAGGTAATAAACTTGGATCTAGTTCGGGTAAAAAATCACCTAAATCATCTAAGAAACACTCTAAATCAAATTCTCAACATTCAGCTTCAACTGGAGGAACTTCTTCAGATCCAAATTATTCATCTTTAACTCCTTTATTACCGGCTTCTGGAAATTCTTCAACTACAAATACTCCAACTGGTCATCAAACTGGAACAACTCCTCATCAACCATTCCCTCATCCTTATTCAAATCATCCTCATCATCATCATTTACATTTACCTCCTCATTTACAAGCAGCTTCATCTCATATAGTTCAACCATTACATTATCCTTCATCTACTCCTACACAATTTGCTCCTGGATCTTTAAGAATTACATCTCCATTATTATTATCGAATTCTCTGTCAATTTCTAATACAAGAACAAGTTCAGCAAATAAACTTAGTTCAATTCAACAAGCAGCAGGAGCTTTGGAACATATGTCTGCAGAATTAGGACCAAGTGCCACCTTTAAATTTGGTAATAATAAGAATTCTACTGGATCTCAAGATGGTAGAACTATTTCTGGAGTATCATTAATGAGTGGAGGAGTTAAACGAGAACCAAAATCTTCCTTACTTGGTAATTCTTCATCGATTTTCTCATCTGTTCAACAACCACCAAAATTACCAGCTTTAGGTCAACGATCACCAAATCTTGATGCTCATTCAAGATCTTCAACGCCTGGTTTACATGCAGTTCAATCACCCATGTTACCCCCTCTTCATCATGCTCCTACAGCAAATTCAAATACAACTGCATCTACCACTGGGTCAGGTTCGGGCTCAGGTTCAAAAGATCCTTTGAGTGGTTTACCACCATTCCCCAGCTTGAATGCAACCAATAGCACAGGTTATACACCATCACCAGGTGATAGAGATGGTAATGAGCATAATAACTACAATAATAATAATAATAATGGTAATAATAATAATAATAATAATAATGGTAATAACAACAATAATAACAATAGCTCATTATTATCCAACCATGAAGTAACATTATTGAAGACGAGAATATCGGAATTGGAATTGGTCAATGACTTATACAGAACGAGAATCATGGAATTAGAAGCAATGGAACAAGCAGCTAGATTAAGAGAAAGTAGTATGAGAAAGAGATTAGATGAAGTATTAAGTTTAAGAAACTTACCGGTGAAGAATACCACTAGTTCAGTCAATGAATCAAACACCAATAAGAATGTTTCAAGTTCTACTACTGGATCATCTATACCTCCAAGTACAGCTCCAAGTACGGCCGGATCAGGAGGATATTCACCTCATGTAAATTTAACTCCTAGTTCTGTATCTTCTAGTGTTTTGGCCCAAATCAGAACTCCAGCTCCAACATCCCAACCAGCTCCTCCTTCATTACCAGCCAGTAGTTTAATTTATTTAACAGGAGCTAATCCTACTACTACAACTCCAGCAGGAACTGCTATTCAACCTCCAACGTTTAATAGATTTGATACTAATGCTGTACTTCATCAACTCTCACCGGGCTCAACTCATCAACCTCCACCAGTTACAACATTACCATCAATTAGAAGTGTGACTGATTCAGGACCAGGATCTAATTCAGGTTCAGGACCTAATTCATCACCCATTGTATTACCTAGTTTAAAAAGAGAGAATGATGATGGATTACATGAAGTTAAGAAACCCAAATTGGGTTAATTATATTATATTGAAATTAATAATAACAGATTCTTACTTAATTATTTATATACTTTAGGCTCTTTATATAACCATTTACATGTACATTATAACATTTAGGTTTTAACATCAGGTACATCTTTGCCTAAGAATTGTTTAAATTTTAACAATTCCAATACAAATTCAATCTCTTTGGATAAGTATTGATCAACTTTTAATTGATAAGTTGATTTATCAGTACTATGCTTTTCTAAGTATAATCTAACAGTAGCACCAGATGAACCAGTACCTGATAATCTAACAATGAATCTTAAACCAGATTGAAATTTAATAAATAATCCTTGATTATTAGATACAGAACCATCTAAATCAGTATATGAAAAATTAGCAGCTTCTTCAACAATATAACCAGGTTTTAATTCATCACCAGGTTTTGAAGATTCAACAATAGAAGCAAGTAAATCTACAAGTTGATTAGCTCCACTAGTTGCAACATTCTCATAATCATATCTAGTAAAGAATGTTCTACCATACTTAAGCCAGAATGAATCTTGAACAATTTTAATGGATGTTTTACTAGTAGGATTTTGTAAGTTATAATCAGCCAATACATTAAGCCAAGCAACTATAGCCCATAAACCATCCTTTTCTCTAATATGATTAGAACCAGTTCCAAAGGATTCTTCTCCACAAATACTAAGTTTATCAGCATCAAATAATGAACAAAAGAATTTCCATCCAGTTGGAACTTCATAAACATTTAACCCTTTTGCTTTGGCTACTAAATCAATAGCACCAGAAGTAGGCATAGAACGAGCAAGTCCATAAATACCTTGCTTTTTAAAATAAGGAATTGAATCAGCATACTCAGAGATGATAGCAACTGAATCTCCTGGAGATACAAAAGTTCCAGCTCCATAGATCATATTTCTATCACCATCACCATCTGAAGCAGCTCCAAAATCAATATTTTCCTTATCAACTCTTTCCACTAACGTATGGGCATAAGTTAAATTAGGATCTGGATGTAAACCACCAAAGTCAGGTTGAGGATGATAATTTTGAATAGAACTTTCTGGTAAACCCAATTCCTTAACAAAGATTTGATAACCATAAGGACCAGTGACTCCATTAAGGGCATCAAATAATACTTTAAAGTTTTGATCATTAGTGGCCTTAGCAATGAACGATTTAATTAATGGGAAATCAAAGATGGATTTGAGCATAGCAACATAATCCTTAGTAGAATCAATGACTTCTACTTCAATGATATTACCAACATTGGTGGTACCTAATTTAGTGATGTCAACTTGTGGTAAATCGATCAATTTGTAATGAGTCAATTGCTTAGAAACTTCATAAATCTTATTAGTTACTGACTCTGGTGCTGGACCTCCATTGCCTAAATTATACTTAATACCTAAATCGTTAGTGGGACCTCCTGGATTATGACTGGCAGTTAAGATAATTCCTCCTGTTGATTTAGTAATTCTGATCACATGAGATGTGGCTGGCGTAGAAAGGATCCCATTCTGACCTAAGATCAATTTCTTAACACCATTAGCAGCAGCAATCTTAACAATGATTTGAATTACCACATCGTTATAGAATCTACCGTCACCTCCAATCACTAATGTGGAATCCTGAGCTCCTTCAGGAATTGCATCTAAGATGGCCTGAATGAAGTTCTCAGTATAATGAGGTTGTTGAAATACAGTGACTCTCTTTCTTAAACCTGAAGTTCCGGGTTTCTGATCCTGAAAGGGACTAGTGGCGATTTGTTGAATAGACATTGTTGGGAACAGACAGACAGACAGACAATTAAATGTGACAATTGAGTAGACAGACAGTTGTCAGTAATCAATAGTCAGTCAATTGTGTTAGCACAGGCTGGAGTCTGTCAATTGAATACTTAGTGATAGGTCAGTAAGTTGGTAATTTCATAGTGGGGCTGCGTGTACCTTACCAAGGAAATTGCTCGCTAGTGGGGTGACGATGAGGAGGAGAAGAGTTGGTTAAGGGAGCAACATACGAAAACTTGCTTAAATTAGGGAAGAGTTTAGTGAGGGAGAAGTGATAGTGGTGTTAGTTGTAAATAATATCTCAGTAAAGAGTCTATAGTATATAGTCTGTAGTATGTAGTCTATAGAGTCGGTAATATGTAGAGTCGAGCGGTCTGTAGATAAGGGTCTCGGAAGATAAGAATCTCAGTAATCCCGGCCTCAGTAGCTCGCTCCCAGTAGTCTTTCACAAATTACTAATCTCGCTATTAATATCACTACTAATGTTACTCTTAGTTTATGATAAATCTCTTATCGGATTGTTAAGCGATTTACTATTACATCATGCACAGGTTTATTCTAACTAGTCAGAGCCATTCATTCTAGTTGCGCTTGGTTCTAGAAATATGCATTTGACAGCGAATGTTTCCGGAGGGAGCCATTTCCCAATTAGGCAATGAAACTCTTATCTGGTAGAACATTCATCCAACAACAAATATCACTTCATTAATCTGCAGTACAAGTAGGCTTGAGTTAGAGGCTAAAATAGCCAGACAGTGTCCTGACAACAGATTCAGTACTTGAGCAAAGAACGACGTAAACGTAATCATCCACTACCACTACTACTGCCTTCTCTACCACCACCACCGCTACCTTTTCTCCTACTAAAGACTACTCATAGAGTGTGGATATGGCGTTCTAGTCGATCCTACACGGCAGGTACTATGATAGCGCAATTCTCACTGGATTATTTCAGACATCGGACAAAAATTGACAAATTCCTCCGGCAATAAAAAGTACGCACAACAGACAAACAAGCCGACATAATTTCGCAATTTAATTCTCTCCTGGAGCCCTTCGAGGATGCGGTGTCACATTTTTGACAATGTCGGGACATCCCTTATCAGAATTGACATTAACTTCTCCACAACTGAGATAAGCAGTTTCAGACTTTTAATAGTCTGATAGTAGCAATAATACTAAATCAAACTTGATCGAAAAGGAGTCATAGTCATCATAATCCTCGTAGTTGTCGCAGTATTCATCGTAACAGAACAACCACTCCTTTCTATTCATAACTCGTAATCTTTATCGTCGTACAAGGTGCTATTGTTAACATTGTTCTTTCTGTTTATTGTTTTAGTGTAATTCGCTCTTGCATATGCTATCGCGGAAAGGTAACACATGAATAATCCCGATAAAATTTTTTACAGCCATTCAGCAAGGGTAATAAAGTGAAAATCTTTAGGTACCACAGTTTATCGTAGCCGTAGTTCAAAGGAATATACAGGATCAAAACTCGGAGTCAAATTAACTACATTCCAAACATGTTGTTTACAGGTGTCAAAATGCGCAAATACCAAGAAATTTCTAACAAAGATCTGACAGTTCGGCAGATCGTATTAAAGATTTCTCTTTCTTTATTTAATTCGCTTGTTGAGGATCGTTTTTAATAGTATTCACGTCGCTGTTCTTCAATCGTTTCTAAATTTACTTGCTTCTGTTGATTGCTGTATTAACATGAGAGAACAAAATGTCTGAAAGCCACCTTTGTTTCCTTTTAGTTGGTTGATGCCAAAAATATTTTTTATGTTATCTCAAAAAATAATCTCATACATTTTGCAGTTGTTATTGCATTGTGAAATCTGATCCGTTTGTTTCTTCGGATCGATTTAAGTCTACCAGATAACTTTGTAATGGGCTTTGACATTTATCATTTAATTATGATACGCTTGGATGCATAGATAATTAGAACTCTGCATTGAATGGCTCTCCAATCTTTCTATTCGAGTTCTTTAATTAATTTTCAAATAATTTCAATTTTAATTTTAACCTTATCAATATATGGCGTCAATGGATTTCAATCTGGGTTAAATTAATTCTATTATTATTATTATTATTATTATTATTATTTTTCATTTATTCATTCATTCATTTAATTAATTTCAAACAACTATTTAACCCCCTAAGAATCCCGGCTATTAAGATTTAATTGCAAGAACTTTCATTTACTAACTAAAGACCTTTATATATTACAGTTCTTCTCCTACTGGTAAGAGAAGTACTATAGAACATATATACAGATATATAATGTCCGACGAAAAGAAGGAGGTCACTAATATTACTAGTATTACAAGTGTTGGTAGTCACTACCAAGAACTTGAAGATCATGAAATTGATTTGGCCGCCGTTACTTCTCACCCAATTTCTATTGGTGATGTTGGTACCACTTTAACTTCTGATCAAAAATGGTTTATATTAAACAGATTAAACTTTCAAGGTTTAGTCTCTTTAGAAAATATTCCAATTCAAGCAAGTTTTATGATTGAAAAGATTGAAGGTTTAACGGTTGAAGAATCGGTTGAAATTGTCAAAACTACTATCCATAATCATAGAGAAGATATTAATTATCCATCTGAAGATTACGACTTACTTATCAAGTTAATTGAGTACAATGATTCTCATGATGGTGGTGTCAAAGATAAGTTGAACGAGAACTTTGCTGAAAAGGAAAAAACAGAAGGTTCTTCTTATTCTTCCAGTAGTCCAATTGAAGAGGATAAATATAATACTGATTTCCATGAAATTGTTGATTGGGAATTGCAAATTAAATTGGAAGCTTCATTGATTGCTTATCACTCTCCTTACCCAGAAGTCAGAGCTGTTACTGATCCATTTGATGATCCTTCCGTTCCCGTTGAAACTGTCAGAGTTTATATTGCGGGTGTTATCTGGACTGCCATTGGTGCGGTTATTAATCAACTTTTCGCTGAAAGACAACCTGGTATTACCTTAGATGCTTCTGTTGTACAAGTTTTTCTTTATCCAACTGGTTTGATTTTAGAAAGAATCTTACCAAAATGGAAGTTTAAAGTCTGGAGATACACAATCGATTTAAATCCAGGTCCATGGACTTTCAAAGAACAATTCTTAGCTACTTTATTCTATTCTGTTTCAGGTGTATCTTCTTATGTGTCTTATAACATTCATGTTCAAAAATTAAAATTCTTTTATGACAATCAATGGGCTGACTTCGGTTATCAAACTTTATTGATTTTATCTAATAACTTCTTAGGTTTCGGTTTTGCTGGTGTTATGAGAAAATTTGCTGTCTACCCTGTTGAAGCTTACTGGCCAACCTTGTTACCAACAATTGCTTTGAATAGAGCTTTGATGCAACCTGAAAAGAGAGAAAAGATTAATGGCTGGTCTATTTCTAAATACAGATTCTTCTTCTACATGTTCATCTTTTCCTTCGTTTACTTCTGGATTCCAGATTTCTTATTCAATGCTGTTTCAACTTTCAACTGGCTTACTTGGATTAGTCCAAATAATTTTAATCTTGCTATGATTACTGGTTCCTTTGCTGGTTTAGGTTTAAATCCAATTCCAACTTTCGACTGGAATTACTTAAACTTCAATTATGCTTTGACTATTCCATTTTACTCACAAGCATCTCAATATGTTGGTTCCATAATTACTTTCTTCTGTATTATAGGTGTTTACTGGTCAAATTACAAATGGACTGCTTACTTACCAATCAATTCTTCCTCATTATTCACCAACACCGGTGAACCATATGAAGTTACTTCAATTCTTAATAGCAAAAGTTTGTTAGATCAATCCAAATATGATGTCTATGGTCCTCCATTTTATTCAGCTGCTAATTTAGTGCTTTATGGTGCTTTCTTTGCCCTTTATCCTTTTGCCATTGTTTACGAGATTGGTACTAAATATGAATCCATGTACTCTGCTATGAAATCATTTATTCTTGGTCTTAGAAACTACAGAAAATCTACATTTGAAGGTTTCGATGATCCTCACACCAGAATGATGACTGCCTATAAGGAAGTCCCTGATTGGGCTTTCTTGTGTGTTTTAATAATTGCTCTTGTGTTAAGTATCATTTGTGTCAAGATCTATCCTGCTGAAACTCCAGTGTGGGGTATTTTCTTTGCTCTTGGTATTAATTTTGTTTTCTTGATTCCAATCACTGCTGTTTATTCAAGAACTGGTTTCGGTTTCGGTCTTAATGTCTTGGTCGAATTGATTGTCGGTTATGCTCTTCCAGGTAATGGTTTAGCCTTGAACTTCATCAAGGCCTTCGGTTACAACATCGATGGTCAAGCTCAAAACTATATTACTGATCAAAAGATGGCTCATTACGTTAAGATTCCTCCAAGATCGTTATTTAGAGTTCAAATGTTATCTGTCTTCATTGCTTCTTTCATTCAATTGGGTATATTAAACTTCTGTATTGATCACATCAAGGGTTACTGTGAGCTTGATAATCCTCAAAAATTCACTTGTCCAAACTCCAGAGTTTTCTATTCTGCTTCTATCTTATGGGGGGTCATTGGTCCAAAGAAGGTTTTCGACGGTTTATATCCAATTTTAAGATGGACATTCTTAATGGGTTTCCTCCTTGCTATTCCTTGTCTTATCTTTAAGAGATATGGTCCAAGGAAAATCACCAAATATTTTGAACCTACTATTATTATCGGAGGTATGTTAATTTGGGCTCCTTACAACTTGTCTTATTATACTGGTGGTCTTTACTTATCATTCTTCTTTATGTTCTACTTAAAGAGAAAGTACCAATCTTGGTGGACAAAGTACAACTATATCTTGACCAGTGGTTTAAGTGCTGGTCTTGCTTTCTCTTCTATCATTATGTTCTTTGCAGTCGAATATAAGACTGTCTATCTTTCATGGTGGGGTAATAATGTTCCTTATGCTGGTATTGATGGTGGTGTTGGTCAACAATCTTTATTGGATCCAACCAGTGTTCCAGGTGGATATTTTGGTCCAAGAGCTGGTCATTTCCCTTGATCAAATTTTTAACGTAAAGGTGATATTTTGTTAACTTCACCTGTAAGTTACTTTCTTCTATGTATCTTATCGTTAATCAATAAATAATTTCGTTAAATAATTTGCAAAAAGTTGAAAAAAAAGTTAAGTTCAGCTAATTTCGTGTAATGCATAATTAATACAATTAATGAAGAACCGATTGTAGAGAATTGTCTTTAGTCTAAAATTTGAAAATTTGAGTGTAGAAGACTCTGCCAAGTCTATCAATTAAGTGCATTTTTTAAAAAGGCTAAATAATATAAAGCCTGCTTCAAAATTTCCTCTTTGTCCGATATTCCTCGGAAATGTCGACTACTACTGATATTCGTAAATAATCTTAACTTTATTTCTCGAACTTAAGCACAAAAGGTCTATTCTACAAATATTCTACTGGACATAATTTCAAAAACCTATAGGTCCTTATCTTCAACGAAACCAAGACACCTGAAAGATCATCCTCAGTTTTGCAGTCAGCCAAATGCATCGTATATAAAGACTGCACACAATGAATGATTATTATATAAAACTGCAGTCATAAACGGAAAATATTCAATGTTCCTCGGCTAGAAGCTTTTACCATTTTAGGTGAAGTGTTTGAATTTTAAACTCTGTTTCAATCAATCCTTTTGATGGAACGGCTCTGTCTTTTTTTATTTTTCATGCAGATTGTGGATTATTATTTGTAATTTATTTTGTCCCTTTTTTGTCAGAATTTCAGACATTTTAAAATTGTCAAATTGTCATTTTATGATGACAATTTTTCTCTTGGCAGTCTTTTTTTGAATCCATTAATTGTACGGCTGCGCTAATTGCAAAGTTCAAGTTACTATACAGAGAAATAGTAATGCCTTAATAATTCACAAATAGGTAGCCATAGTAAATCATGACACTTTGAATTCTATGGTTAATTGTGGATAGTATAATCCTTAAGTGTTGTAGCAATACTCATAACCCCACAAAATCTATTGACAATAAACACCTGTTAGTTAGCCATCTAAACGTCACATTTTGAGATACAGCAAATGTGATCATATCTCTTACGTCCATTATTTGAACTCGAATGTAATAACATATATTAAAAAAATACTGTAGTAAGAATAGCAATAGTTAATGATAACGAAATATATAAGGGAATATTGACTTGTAAATCCTAATGGCAAACCTTCATGGGAAGTTGCCGATTCTTGGACCAAAATATCCATCATGTGCTTCAGCAGTAACATTCTTTAAGGATTGTCTTCCATTACCACCATCAATACCGATGAATGAAACATAATTACCCCACCAGTCGATATCTTTAGCATGATATTCGACTGCAAAGAAGATGATGATAGATGAAAATGCAACACCGGCAGTCAAACCTCCACTTAAAATATAATTATACTTACTCCACCATGCTGTGAATCTCGTTCTAATATACCACATGAAAGCTATAGAAGCATATAAAGATGGAGTAAAGTAAGATAAATTATATGGAGCATAATTCAAGAACCCACCAATAATGATAGTTGGTTCGAAGTATTTGGAATATTTCTTTGGAGCATACTTCTTAAAGGCAATACAAGGGAAAGCCAACAAGAAACCAATTAAGAAACAGTATTGTAAAATTGGATACAAACCGTTGAACACTCTCTTAGGACCAATGACCCCCCATTGAATGGATGCACTGTAGAAAGTTCTAGAGTTTGGACAAGTGAAGTGTTGAGTATTATGAGGATCACAATAATTCTTAATGTTTCCGATAATAAAATTGATTATACCCAATTGAATGAAGGAAGCAATGAAGACAGATAAGATTTGAACTCTGAATAATGATCTGGGAGGAATCTTAACATAATGAGCCATCTTTTGATCAGTAATATAGTTTTGAGCTTGACCATCGATGTTGTAACCGAAGGCCTTGATGAAGTTCAAGGCTAAACCATTACCTGGAAGAGCATAACCAACAATCAATTCGACCAAGACATTAAGTCCGAAACTGAAACCAGTTCTTGAATAAACAGCAGTGATTGGAATCAAGAAAACAAAATTAATACCAAGAGCAAAGAAAATACCCCACACTGGAGTTTCAGCGGGATAGATTTCCACACAGATGATAGCCAAAACCAATGAAATAACCAAGATGACCAAGAACGCCCAATCTGGAACTTCCTTGTAAGCTTTCATCATGGTGGTGTGAGGATCATTAAAGCCTTCAAAGGTGGATTTATTATAACTTTTGAAACCAATACTAAGACCTTTGATTGCTTTCCACATAGATTTGTAGTTCAATGTACATTCATAGACCACAGCAAATGGATAAAGAGCAAAGAACGCACCATACAAGACCAAGTTAGCAGCGGTATAGAATGGCGGACCGTATTCTTGATATTTAGCTTCATCCAACAAACCCCTTTCATTAAGGATTGCAGTGACTGCGTATCGCTCACCAGTATTAGTGAATAAACCATTGGAATTGATAGGTAAGAAAGCTGTCCATTTGTAATTCGACCAATATACACCAATGATACAGAAAAAACCTATCATCATTCCAATATAATTATTCACCTGATTGTAGAATGGTAAATATAAAGGACCATTAAAACTGATGATGTTCCAATCGAATGTTGGAATAGGATTCAATCCTAAACCGGAGATTGAACCAGTAATCATAGCTAGATTAAAGTTATCAGGAGCTATCCATGTCATCCAATTGAAGTACGAAAGTGCTTGAAACAAATAATCTGGAACCCAGAAGTAAACAAACAGGGCTGCAAAAGTAAGGAAAAAGAAATAATATCTGGATATTTTCCATCCATTAATAACTTCTCTCTTCTCCGGCTGCATCAAAGCTTTATTCAATGCAATCGTTGGTAATAATGTGGGCCAAACAGCAGCAGTTGGATACACAGTAAACTTTCTCATAACACCAGCAAAACCGAAACCTAAGAAGTTATTAGATAAGATCAACAATACTTCGTAACCGAAATCGACCCATTTATTATCATAAAACATAGCCATCTTTTGAACATGGATATTATATGATACGTAACTTCTACCACCGGAGACTGAGTAAAATAAGGTAGCTAGAAACTGTTCTTTGTAATTCCATGGGCCTGGATTCAAGTCGATGGTATATTTCCAAATCTTGAATTTCCATTTAGGTAAAATTCGTTCCAAGATCAAACCAGTAGGATAAAGCAAGATTTGAACAACAGACGAGTCTAAGGTGATACCAGGTTGTCTTTCAGCAAAGAATTGGTTGATGACAGCACCAATGGCAGTCCAGATGATACCAGCAATATAAACTCTGACGGTCTCAACAGGAATAGAAGGATCATCATAAGGCTCAATGACAGCTCTAACTTCTGGGTAAGGAGAGTGATAAGCAATCAACGCAGCTTCTAATCTGACTTGCAATTCCCAATCAACAATTTGATGATAGTCGACATCATATATATTACCAAAGACGGTAGGTTGTTCAGGTGAAGACTGGTCAGTGTTGCTCTTCTCATCCTTAATAATAGCATAATCTAATTTCTCCTTTATGTCAGATGGTTCATTAACATACGAGTGAGAGTCAGCACTAGCGATCAAGTCGTCGATCAAGTCTAAATCAGCTCTAGGAATATTGATATCATCCTCATGTTCCACAGCAGCATCCTTCAATATTTGAACGGCTTCATCTATTTTCAAGCCTTCGACCTTTTCAATCATGAAAGAGGCTTGAACAGGCAATTCAGCCAAGGACACCAAGTGGTCGAAGTGTAAACGTTTCAAGATGAACCATTTCTGATCGTTAGTTAAGGAGGTACCGACGTCACCAAGGGATACTGCGTTCGATGCGACGGCTCTTAAATCAATCTCATGATCTTCTATATCCAAATGACTTCCAACACTTTTAATGCTGGTAATTCCAGTGATCTTTTCTGGAACAGACATTTGAACTTAAGTTGTAGTATGAAATAATTTTGACAGGTCTTCATGATAGCAGCATGGTAAAGAGTGGAATCACAGACTTATATATTACAAAATTGCAGTATTATGCACCAGCAAATATTAGAGCCATTCGTTTTAGTGATTGAGTTACTTTTAAGGTTTAGCATATTTAATTTGATTTTCGGCATTTCGGCAAACAATTATTTTTCATTTTTGCAGTCGATAAGATAGATTATGAAAGTTCTACAGTCGGAAGGGCCATCATGGAGCCGCCTCAGACAATATTGAATATCAAGAGACTTTTTCATTATATCATTGTCAAAGGAATTTATAATAGACATTAATTAACGATGACAATTGCAATTCATGACCCAACCACGAAAACTACCATGACCACAAACTTTCATTTAAAAAAAATTTTTAAGCGAAAGTTTTGCCGCTTTCTTTAATCGTGGATACTCCATTTTGCGATGCTCCATAAGCCACCTAAAAGCGCAAACTAATTTATTTTTATTTTCTTTGTAGGGGTAGTTCCTCTTACACTTGCCTATAATTTGGAGTTTTTCTGTAGCCGTTTTCACAATATCTATTTTCTTGACAAAATTTATCCACTTATCAATTAGAGGTCATATTGTAGAATCGCCAAGATTGTTAATTAAATTTTCAAGAAACTTTCATTGATTACGACATCTTTAATGTCCAGTTAATGGAAAATTCTGAATACTTCGAATCAGAGATTAACCATTGTACGAAGCCTTAGTAATTACAATGTAATTATTTAATGAAATGTATTGTCCTGAAGAAACTCCATAGTACTACTCAAACTTTAAATCAATTTGTGTCATTTCCAAGAATAATATAATCCTAAACCTTACAACAAACTATCTGTATTGTAGCCAAGGTCTGATACGGCTCTGTTGAGAGAACCGATAATCGAAGACGTAAAGCCTGAATCGCTCCCCGACAGCTTACATAGGTTTTGTATTACACAATTACAGTAAATATGGTAAACATAATATATTATTCTAAAACAGCCTTATGAGGTAGCGGCACAAATTGGGGAATTCCAGCTGTAGTCATATAGTCATGGTTATAGTCAATATCAAAACGAAGGTTTAAAAATTTAGTACTTCCTGAGTAAAATAAAATTTTATTGAAACTTAAATAAATGATAGTATAATATAATATTTATCTGTTGAGATTCAATCTTTTCAAGGGAAATTTCCGATTCTTGGGCCAAAGTATCCATCAGGAGCTTCAGCAGTAACATTCTTTAAGGATTGTCTTCCATAACCACCATCAATCCCAATGAATGGAGCAATATTACCCCACCAGTTGACGTCTTTTTCATGATATTCGACTGCAAAGAAGATGATGATAGACGAGAAAGCAACACCGGCAGTCAAACCTCCACTTAAAATATAATTATACTTACTCCACCATGCTATGAATCTCGTTCTAATATACCACATGAAAGCAATAGAAGCATATAAAGATGGTGTTATATATGACAAATTATATGGAGCATAATTCAAGAACCCACCAATAATGATAGTTGGTTCGAAGTATTTGGAATATTTCTTTGGAGCATACTTCTTAAAGGCAATACAAGGGAAAGCCAACAAGAAACCAATTAAGAAACAGTATTGTAAAATTGGATACAAACCGTTGAACACTCTCTTAGGACCAATGACCCCCCATTGAATGGATGCACTGTAGAAAGTTCTAGAGTTTGGACAAGTGAAGTGTTGAGTATTATGAGGATCACAGTAATTCTTAATGTTGTCAATTACAAAGTTGATTATACCTAATTGAATGAAAGAAGCAATGAACACAGATAAGATTTGAACTCTAAATAATGATCTGGGAGGAATCTTAACATAATGAGCCATCTTTTGATCAGTAATATAGTTTTGAGCTTGACCATCGATGTTGTAACCGAAAGCCTTGATGAAGTTCAAGGCTAAACCATTACCTGGAAGAGCATAACCAACAATCAATTCGACCAAGACATTAAGACCGAAACTGAAACCAGTTCTTGAATACACTGCGGTGATTGGAATCAAGAAAACAAAATTAATACCAAGAGCAAAGAAGAGACCCCACACTGGAGTTTCAGCGGGATAGATCTCCACACAGATGATAGCCAAAACTAAGGAAATGACCAAGATGACCAAGAACGCCCAGTCTGGAACTTCCTTGTAAGCTTTCATCATAGTGGTGTGAGGATCATTAAAGCCTTCGAAGGTGGATTTCTTATAACTTTTGAAACCAACACTAAGACCTTTGAGTGCTTTCCACATAGATTTGTAGTTCAATGTACACTCATAGACCACAGCAAATGGATAAAGAGCAAAGAACGCACCATACAAGACCAAATTAGCAGCAGTATAGAATGGTGGACCGTATTCTTGATATTTAGATTCATCCAACAAACCCCTTTCATTAAGGATTGCAGTGACAGCGTATCGCTCACCAGTGTTAGTGAATAAACCATTGGAATTGATAGGTAAGAAAGCTGTCCATTTGTAATTTGACCAATAGACACCAATGATACAGAAAAAACCTATCATCATTCCAATATAATTATTCACCTGATTGTAGAATGGTAAATATAAAGGACCATTAAAACTGATGATATTCCAATCAAATGTTGGAATAGGATTCAATCCTAACCCGGAGATTGAACCAGTAATCATAGCTAGATTAAAGTTATCAGGGGCTATCCATGTCATCCAATTGAAGTACGAAAGTGCCTGAAATAAATAGTTGGGTACCCAAAAATAAACAAACAGGGCTGCAAAACAAATGAAGAAGAAATAGTATCTGGATATTTTCCATCCATTAATAACTTCTCTCTTTTCTGGTTGCATCAAAGCTTTATTCAATGCAATCGTTGGTAACAATGTGGGCCAAACAGCAGCAGTTGGATACACAGTAAACTTTCTCATGATACCAGCCAATCCAAAACCCAAGAAGTTATTTGATAAGATCAACAATACCTGGTAACCGAAATCGACCCATTTATTATCATAGAACATAGCCATCTTTTGAACATGGATATTAAATGATACATAACTTGTTCCTCCAGAACCAGACACCGAATAAAACAATGTAGCTAAAAATTGTTCTTTGTAATTCCATGGGCCTGGGTTCAAGTCATGGTAAATTTCCAAATCTTGAATTTCCATTTAGGTAAAACTCTTTCCAAGATCAAACCAGTAGGATAAAGGAAGATTTGGACAACAGATGCATCTAGCGTGATACCAGGTTGTCTTTCAGCAAAGAATTGGTTGATGACAGCACCAATTGCAGTCCAGATGATCCCAGCAATATAGACTCTAATGGTCTCAACAGGAATAGAAGGATCATCGTATGGTTCAACAACAGCTCTGACTTCCGGATAAGGAGAGTGATAAGCAATCAACGCAGCTTCTAATCTGACTTGCAATTCCCAATCAACAATTTGATGATAGTCGACATCATATATATTACCAAACACGGTAGGTTGTTCGGCCGAGGACTCGTCCGTATTGATCTTCTCATCCTTAATAATAGCATAATCCAATTTCTCCTTTATGTCAGATGGTTCATTAACATAAGAGTGAGAGGCAGCACCAGCAATCAAGTCGTCGATCAAATCTAAATCAGCTCTAGGAATATTGATATCATCTTGGTGTTCCACAGCAGCATCCTTCAATATTTTAACAGCTTCATCTATTTTCAAGCCTTCGACCTTTTCAATCATGAAAGAGGCTTGAACAGGCAATTCAGCCAAGGACACCAAGTGGTCGAAGTGTAAACGTTTCAAGATGAACCATTTCTGATCGTTAGTTAAGGAGGTACCGACGTCACCAAGGGATACTGCGTTAGATGCGACGGCTCTTAAATCAATCTCATGATCTTCTATATCCAAATGACTTCCAACACTTTTAATGCTGGTAATTCCAGTGATCTTTTCTGGAACAGACATTTGAACTTAAGTTGTAGAATGAAATAATTTTGACAGATATTAATAACAGCAGCATTTTAAGGAGTGAAATTTATAAACTTATATAATATACAATTGGTGAATTGTGCAATAGCAAATATTGGAGCCATTCGTTCCAGGGATTGAGTTACTTTTTTTAAGGTTTAGCATTTTTAATATGATTTTCGGCATTTCGACAATTAATTATTTTTATTTTTGCAGTCTATAAAATAGATCATAAGAGCTCCACAGTCGGAAAGAGAGTTTGGAGCCGCCTCAGACAATATTGCATATCAAGAGACTTTTTCATTATATCATTGTAAAAGAAATTTTATAATAGACATTAATTAACGTAACAGTTGCAAGTCGATCTGTAAAAACTAACATGGCCACAAAACTTGATTTAAAAAATAAATTCACATTTTTGCGAGGCTCCATTAAGCCATTGTAAAGCGCAAAACATTTTCTTTTCCTTCCTCTTACCCCTGCCAATAATTTGGAGTTCAACTGTGCAACAGTCACTCGAACCGTTTTTACAATATCTATTTTCTTGACAAATTTTATCCATTTATCAATTAAATGGAGAAGTAATAATATGGATCGCCAAGATTTGTTAATTAAATTGTCAAGAGACTTTCATTGATAACGACATCTCTAAAGTCAATTTTGAAATTTTGGTGCTTCATTCCAGTTAGATGACAATTCCGAATACTTCGATGAGCCATTGAAAAATCCTGGGCAATTGCATACAATCTAATTAGATGAAATACAAAAATGGTATTGTCCCATGAGGCAACTCCATGACTAGTTAAAATATAACTCAAACTTTAAATCATTTTGTGTCATTTCATGCCAAGAATAATGTAATCATAAACCTTAAACAACACACTAACTTATAATCTTAATGTATTATAGCCAGGGTTTGATACGGCTCTGTCAAGATAACCGGATTTTCAGAGTATTCTAATCTAAGATGTAAAGCCTGAATCGCTCCCCGACAGATTACATAAGTATTGTATTACACAATTACAGTCAATATGATAAACATAATATATTATTCAAAAATAGCCTTACGAAGTAGTGGCACAAAGTTGCCAATTCTAGCTGAAGTCATATAGTCCTTCAAATCACTATCAAAATGAAGATTTTAAAATTATAGTACTTCCTAATTTTATTGAAACTTAAATAAATGATAGTATAATATAATATTTATCTGTTGAGATCCAATCTTTTCAAGGGAAATTTCCGATTCTTGGGCCAAAGTATCCATCAGGAGCTTCAGCAGTAACATTCTTTAAGGATTGTCTTCCATAACCACCATCAATCCCAATGAATGAAACATAATTACCCCACCAGTTGACATCTTTTTCATGATATTCGACTGCAAAGAAGATGATGATAGATGAGAAAGCAACACCGGCAGTCAAACCTCCACTTAAAATATAATTATACTTACTCCACCATGCTATGAATCTCGTTCTAATATACCACATGAAAGCAATAGACGCATATAAAGATGGAGTTATGAACGATAAATTGTATGGAGCATAATTCAAGAACCCACCAATAATGATAGTTGGTTCGAAGTATTTGGAATATTTCTTTGGAGCATACTTCTTAAAGGCAATACAAGGGAAAGCCAACAAGAAACCAATTAAGAAACAGTATTGTAAAATTGGATACAAACCGTTGAACACTCTCTTAGGACCAATGACCCCCCATTGAATGGATGCACTGTAGAAAGTTCTAGAGTTTGGACAAGTGAAGTGTTGAGTATTATGAGGATCACAATAATTCTTAATGTTTCCGATAACAAAGTTGATTATACCTAATTGAATGAAAGAAGCAATGAACACAGATAAGATTTGAACTCTGAATAATGATCTTGGAGGAATCTTAACGTAATGAGCCATCTTTTGATCAGTAATATAGTTTTGAGCTTGACCATCGATGTTGTAACCGAAGGCCTTGATGAAGTTCAAGGCTAAACCATTACCTGGAAGAGCATAACCAACAATCAATTCGACCAAGACATTAAGACCGAAACTGAAACCAGTTCTTGAATAAACAGCAGTGATTGGAATCAAAAACACTAAGTTAATACCAAGAGCAAAAAAGAGACCCCACACTGGAGTTTCGGCCGGATAGATCTCCACACAGATGATAGCCAAAACTAAGGAAATAACCAAGATGACCAAGAACGCCCAATCTGGAACTTCCTTGTAAGCTTTCATCATGGTGGTGTGAGGATCATTAAAGCCTTCAAAAGTGGATTTCTTATAACTTTTGAAACCAACACTAAGACCTTTGAGTGCTTTCCACATAGATTTGTAGTTCAATGTACATTCATAGACCACAGCAAATGGATAAAGAGCAAAGAACGCACCATACAAGACCAAGTTAGCAGCACTGTAGAATGGCGGACCGTATTCTTGATATTTAGCTTCATCCAACAAACCCCTTTCATTAAGGATTGCAGTGACTGCGTATGGATCACCAGTATTAGTGAATAAACCATTGGAATTGATAGGTAAGAAAGCTGTCCATTTGTAATTCGACCAATATACACCAATGATACAGAAAAAACCTATAATCATTCCAATATAATTATTCACCTGATTGTAGAATGGTAAATATAAAGGACCATTAAAACTGATGATGTTCCAATCGAATGTTGGAATAGGATTCAATCCTAAACCGGAGATTGAACCAGTAATCATAGCAAGGTTAAAGTTATCAGGAGCTATCCATGTCATCCAATTGAAGTACGAAAGTGCTTGAAACAAATAATCTGGAACCCAGAAGTAGACGAACAGGGCTGCAAAAGTAAGGAAGAAGAAATAATATCTGGATATTTTCCATCCATTAATAACTTCTCTCTTCTCCGGTTGCATCAAAGCTTTATTCAATGCAATCGTTGGTAATAATGTGGGCCAAACAGCAGCAGTTGGATACACAGTAAACTTTCTCATGATACCAGCCAATCCAAAACCTAAGAAGTTATTAGATAAGATCAACAATACTTCGTAACCGAAATCAACCCATTTATTATCATAAAACACAGCCATCTTTTGAACATGGATATTATATGATACATAACTTGTAGCACCAGACACCGAGTAAAATAAAGTGGCTAAAAACTGTTCTTTGTAATTCCATGGGCCTGGATTCAAGTCGATGGTATATTTCCAAATCTTGAATTTCCATTTAGGTAAAATTCGTTCCAAGATCAAACCAGTAGGATAAAGAAAGATTTGAACAACAGACGAGTCTAAGGTGATACCAGGTTGTCTTTCAGCAAAGAATTGGTTGATGACAGCACCAATGGCAGTCCAGATGATACCAGCAATATAAACTCTGACGGTCTCAACGGGAATAGTAGGATCATCATAAGGCTCAATGACAGCCCTCACTTCCGGATAAGGAGAGTGATAAGCAATCAACGCAGCTTCTAATCTGACTTGCAATTCCCAATCAACAATTTGATGATAGTCGACATCATATATATTCCCGAAGACGGTAGGTTGTTCCGCCGAGGACTCGTCCGTGTTGATCTTCTCATCCTTAATAATAGCATAATCTAATTTCTCCTTTATATCAGATGATTCATGAACATACGAGTGAGAGGCAGCACCAGCAATCAAGTCGTCGATCAAGTCTAAATCAGCTCTAGGAATATTGATATCATCCTCATGTTCCACAGCAGCATCCTTCAATATTTGAACGGCTTCATCTATTTTCAAGCCTTCGACCTTTTCAATCATGAAAGAGGCTTGAACAGGCAATTCAGCCAAGGACACCAAGTGGTCGAAGTGTAAACGTTTCAAGATGAACCATTTCTGATCGTTAGTTAAGGAGGTACCGACGTCACCAAGAGAAACTGCATTTGATGCCACAGCTCTTAAATCAATCTCATGATCTTCTATATCCAAATGACTTCCAACACTTCTTATGCTGGTTATCCCAGTAATTTTCTCTGCAGTTGCCATTTTAATTGAATTGTAGCAATGAGATAAATTTTAAAAATGTTAATGAACTACTTAAGATACGGAGGAATATCCGGTCTTATATAATAAAAAGTGAAGTATGTAACCAGATACATAGTGCCAGTCAGTTCAAGGATAGAGTTATTTTTGAGGTAAACCATTATTAATTTGAATTTTAATTTTTGGACATTTAATTATTTTGCAGTCGATTAAGATAGCAGTTCCACAGTCGGAACAGCCTTCCTGGAGCCGCCCCAAGGTAACATTGCATAAAAACAGACATTTTCATTACATCATTGTCAAATGAGATAAAAATTTAGACATTAATGAACGATAACAGTCACAATTGATAACATAATCTGTGAACCCATAAATTATTGCGGCCACAAAATTTCAGATTTAAAAAATAATTAGAAGCGAATGTTTTGTTTCTAAGTCCTTTAGAAAAATAAGTGGCTTCATGCTTTTGCGAGCTTCCATGAGCCTTCGAAAAGCCCCTAACTACTTTATTTTGCTTATGGCAGAAGTTTCTCTTAGGCTGACAATGTTTTGCAGTTTCCGAGCAACAATTAACTCTATTAATCTTACTATAATCTTTGATAGAACAGACAGTTCTTGAAAAATTATCTTCGAAGATGAAAGACATGTATTGTGGAAATGCCAAGAAATTCCTCTAAATTGTCAAGGAGATTTACTTTGATAACAACATGATTGAAGTGAATTCGGAAACACACGCATCAAACCGGTTGTGCGCGACAATTTCTGTATTTTTCAAGCTTGTGATAAGCTTGCATAGAAATTAGGCAGCAATGGAACTCAAGCAAAAGTCTTGGACAATTGTTCCCCCCCCCCAAAATTGCAGTTTTGTGTCATTCGTGCCTAGAATAAATGTACTGCAGCCAAGGTCTGATACGGCTCCGTAAAAGATAACCGTTTGTAGTCATACGCCAAAGTAAGACAAAAGCTGTTTAAATATTTCTTGTGTTACACAGTTACAGTCGAATTTGGGAAACAAAAATATATTTATTCTAATTAGCCTTATGATGTAGCGGCACAAATATGCCAATTCTAGCTGAAGTCATGTAGCCAAAGTTCGAGTCCTTGTCAAATCAAACTTTAGTACACCCTAAGCAAAATAAAGAATACCGAAACTTACATGAAAATGGTTGTAACTGTTTAGATCCCATCTCTCTAGGGGAAACTTCCTATTCTTGGCCCGAAGTATCCATCGGGAGCCTGAGAGGCTGCATCTAACAAAGATTGCCTTCCATTTCCTCCATCAATACCTTCATACATAACTTTATTTCCCCACCAATTAATTGCCTTGTTATGGTATTGAACAGCAAAGAAAATTATAATACCTGAAAATGCAATACCAGCGCTTAAACCTCCACTCAAAATATAATTATATTTACTCCACCAAGCCTGGTATCTATACTTGATTAATCCCATAAATATAATTGAAAAGTATACGCCTTGAATAAAGTAACTAATATTGTAAGGAGCAAAGGAAAGGAAACCACCAATAATGATAGTTGGCTCAAAGTACTTAGTATAGGTTTTGGGGCCATATCTCTTAAATGCGATACATGGGAACACCAATAAAAATCCGATGAGAAAGCACCATTTCAAGATAGGATATAATCCATCAAAGACCCTCTTTGGACCAATAACACCCCAAATAACAGATGCACTATAGAATGTTCTTGCTCCTGGACAAGTGAAGTGTTGAGTATTATGAGGATCACAATAATTCTTAATGTTTCCGATAACAAAATTGATTATACCCAATTGAATGAAGGAAGCAATGAAAACAGATAAGATTTGAACTCTGAATAATGATCTTGGAGGAATCTTAACGTAATGAGCCATCTTTTGATCAGTAATATAGTTTTGAGCTTGACCATCGATGTTGTAACCGAAGGCCTTGATGAAGTTCAAGGCTAAACCATTACCTGGAAGAGCATAACCGACAATCAATTCGACCAAGACATTAAGACCGAAACTGAAACCAGTTCTGGAGTAGACAGCAGTGATTGGAATCAAGAAAACAAAATTAATACCAAGAGCAAAGAAGAGACCCCACACTGGAGTTTCGGCCGGATAGATCTCCACACAGATGATAGCCAAAACTAAGGAAATAACCAAGATGACCAAGAACGCCCAATCTGGAACTTCCTTGTAAGCTCTCATCATAGTGGTATGTGGATCATTAAAACCTTCGAATGTAGATTTAGATTTTCTAAAGCTTCTGAAATCACTGAGAACACCCTTAAATGCCTTCCATACTGTTTTATAGTTATTTGCGCATTCGTAAATAATAGCAAAGGGATAAAGCGCAAAAAATGCGCCATAAGTAACCATATTCGCAGCACTGTAAAAAGGAGGGCCATACTCCTGATATTTAACTTCATCAAATAAAGTCTCTCTATTAACCACTGCTTTAATATTAAAAGAATTCCCTTGATTATTATACAAACCATTGGAATTAATTGGCAAGAAAGCTGTCCACTTGTAATTCGACCAATAGACACCAACAATGCAAATAAAACCCAACATGATTCCTACAAAATTGCTCAATTGATTGTATAAAGGCAAAATCAAAGGATTGTTGAAACCGATAACATTCCAATCAAATGATGGCCAAGGATTCAATCCTAAACCGGAGATTGAACCAGTAATCATAGCAAGGTTAAAGTTATCAGGAGCTATCCATGTCATCCAATTAAAGTACGAAAGTGCTTGAAACAAATAGTTAGGAACCCAGAAATAAGCAAACAGGGCTGCAAAAGTAATGAAGAAGAAATAATATCTGGATATTTTCCATCCATTAATAACTTCTCTCTTTTCTGGTTGCATCAAAGCTTTATTCAATGCAATCGTTGGTAACAATGTGGGCCAGACTGCTATGGTTGGATACACAGTGAATTTTCTCATAACACCAGCCAATCCGAAACCTAAGAAGTTATTAGATAAGATCAACAATACTTCGTAACCGAAATCGACCCATTTATTATCATAAAACATCGTCATCTTTTGAACATGAATATTAGAAGAAACATAACTTGTAGTACCAGACACTGAGTAAAATAAGGTAGCTAAAAACTGTTCTTTGTAATTCCATGGGCCCGGGTTCAAGTCGATGGTATATTTCCAAATCTTGAATTTCCATTTAGGTAAAATTCGTTCCAAGATCAAACCAGTAGGATAAAGAAAGATTTGAACAACTGGAGCACCTAAGGAGATACCAGGTTGTCTTTCAGCAAAGAATTGGTTGATGACAGCACCAATGGCAGTCCAGATGATACCAGCAATATAAACTCTGACGGTCTCAACGGGAATAGTAGGATCATCATAAGGCTCAATGACAGCCCTCACTTCCGGATAAGGAGAGTGATAAGCAATCAACGCAGCTTCTAATCTGACTTGCAATTCCCAATCAACAATTTGATGATAGTCGACATCATATATATTCCCGAAGACGGTAGGTTGTTCCGCCGAGGACTCGTCCGTGTTGATCTTCTCATCCTTAATAATAGCATAATCTAATTTCTCCTTTATATCAGATGATTCATGAACATACGAGTGAGAGGCAGCACCAGCAATCAAGTCGTCGATCAAGTCTAAATCAGCTCTAGGAATATTGATATCATCCTCATGTTCCACAGCAGCATCCTTCAATATTTGAACGGCTTCATCTATTTTCAAGCCTTCGACCTTTTCAATCATGAAAGAGGCTTGAACAGGCAATTCAGCCAAGGACACCAAGTGGTCGAAGTGTAAACGTTTCAAGATGAACCATTTCTGATCGTTAGTTAAGGAGGTACCGACGTCGCCAAGGGATACTGCGTTCGATGCGACGGCTCTTAAATCAATCTCATGATCTTCTATATCCAAATGACTTCCAACACTTTTTATGCTGGTTATCCCAGTAATTTTGTCTCCCATAGTCAGAGTACTGTATTGTATACAAATTGGTTGAAATATGATATATCCTTCTGTTTAAATAATTATTTTTCATTAGTTGCCAAAAGTTGGGGCCGTTCATTGAGAGGATATAACAAATGTGTATTTCTTAAATTGATTGTGCAGGGTATTGTATGATATTGATTCTTCTAGATAATGTGAATTAGTGTTCATTTGCAAGAAAATATTGCGGTATTTTGCTGCAAGAATTTAATCCAAATTGATTTTCGATACTACGCAATTTATGCAACGCAATTTATAAATAGCGCAAAATATTTTTACACTTTGTACAATTCTATAATGTCGAAGTCGCGCAGATTTCTGAGCACCAATAAATGGGTATGTAAGGCTGAACATGGGCTACGAACTAGGAATTCTTGTCTCTTACCATCTTCAGCCTTGTATATCCGAATAGAGAAGCGTATACTTTAGCAAAGTTGTCAATTCGCCTATAAATTAAAGTGAAATTGGCAGGACAATTATAATTGAGGAGCAAAATGTAATTATTTGCAATTAAGGTTTTGTGATTTTGCTGCTTTCTATTTGAATGAAATCTGACAGAGGAAGGGCACGCAACCATGGAGCCAATTTGAGCCGTAGTGAGATATGCCGAGGGCATGTACGGCAACATGTTTCATTTACACTCTGAATTGACGTTTTCACACAAGGTAAATTATTAGATAATTAACCAATAGTATTCAATAACTATAAATAGAAACTGGCATTATCTTCGACTTTTTGGTAGACTTATAGAGATCAGCTTGTGCCTTATCAGTATAGATAACGAAAAACAAAATGAATGAAGCAATCACATTCAGTCTTTATAATAGTAAAAATTTCAATGTAACTGATCCATATGATATTCAATATGTTTAGAACCGTAGACGATCACATATGCTTAAAAAGTAGTAAACAGGCGGTTTTACATAGGTAACTTATTACAGAAATCTAAAATAATAGTGTCTTATAAATTTATGCTAGCTCACCTTATAAGTTGGGTTTGAAGAAACTCATAGTATGTAGCTGAATCTCTATGCAAGACATCTGTCTATTATGATTCTTTCAAAATATGCATTTCGATGTAAATCTGTTATGAGTTTTACTCTTTTTTTCCTTTTATATGGGTATTGGCCATTATTGGTGTAAAATTTCATAGCTATTGTGGTCTATTTCCTTTGCGGTACTATCTCCAGATATGTTAAAGGATTTTCCTATATAACCTTTATTGCTTATAACAGACATTATTTAGAACTATATCTCTAACTCTTAATGGACGTGTCTCAGTTGAACTCTAATCCATTCGGTATATAGCAGTATAACTTCCTAAACCAATTACAGCTCTTCACCAACTTAGTACAAGAAATTTACCAGTTTATTTAAATACCAATTTGTATTACCACATTCTGAAATCGAATATTTCATGACTGTCAGCTTTCCGTTATCTATGCTATAGTAACACAAAAATGCATTTACTAATCCATTGTTTATATATATATCAACATTTTGGTATTGGTGTAGTTGAATATTTAGCTAGAGGAGTAATTCCACTTCTTAATTGTAAATGTTGGATAAGATCACTCGCATCATTAACAGTGAACCTAGGATTTACTTAGGAAATAGAAGAATTGGCCGTAGATATATGTAGTCACTGACTGAAAATAGAATAATCCTTAATATTATTTTTCAAAAATGTGTCATACATTCTAATATAAATGGAGCTAACTCTATCTAAAGAGAAATATGACAATTATATAGTTGAGAGAAACGTAAAAGATACATAAAAACTCTCTTAAAGAACAGAATGTAGTAAGTGGAATTTAGCATTAGGCTAATTAGAGTAATAAACAAGTATTTTTTAATTAATAATGTTAGAGTAAGATACCAAAATCAGCATGAAAATAATCAGTTTAAATTCAGTCACCGCCATTAACACATTGTCTCTTCCATAAATGAACATCGCTGTCATCGCCTTTCTCAAATCTTTTTTTCAAGCATGCTAAACCATCATCGCAATCAGCGTGGCTGTTGCAGGGCCCTCCAACTCCAACTCCATGAACCAACCCTAAAGTCGTAAAGCAGATAAATAAAATATTGACAACCTTCATTATAACTCTCAACTATTTAAGTAATTGAATATAGATACCTTTTCAGAAATGTAACAAGATGACAACAAATATAATATTATGTCGTTTGGCTGAGGTGATCTTCCCTTTTTATACCTCAGTATTCTACTTTCATTATTCAACCACATCCCCGTGAAACCTCGGCCAGAGTTCACTCTTTAGAGAATTATATCTAATCGTTTTCGTAATTTATAAATAGAGCAAACGTTTTACATTGTACACTAGTATCCCTTTTTTTCAAGTGGCTGCTTCTTTGAAAGTCACCAAAATATCAGTGCCGCTCAACAAGAGAATCATTCATTTGCAACTGAGGCATCGCCCTACAGGTTAAAGTTTATAACATAAATTGGGCGGGCTAAAAATGTCTGTAAAACTGAGCATGAGCACGAAGAAGGAAGCATTATCTGTTGCTACATTCTAGCTATGTATATCCAAATAGAGAAATGGATGCTTCATCTAAATTGTCAATAGGTTTGGGCATTAAAAGGAAATTGACAGTATAATTATCTAATTATAAATGAGAAGCAAATTTAATTGTTTACAATTAAGGTTTTGTGATTTTATTACTTTAAAAATGAAATCTGAAGAAGGTAGCGCACCAAACCACGGAGGCAGAGTGAATTTTGTTTAATAATAGAGTATGAATAGCAGTCTTCACAGAAAACATAAGATTAGCTACATTACACTATTCAATAATTTGATCCTATAAATAGAATCGGTCATTGTCCTGACTTTATGGAATTGTTTATGGAAATTCACAAACGCCTTATAGATATAGATAAAGGAAAACATGATTAATGGATTGATCTGTAATTTCTCATTGTAGTGCACTTGAGCAGAAGCTGAAACTATCACGTTTTACTATATTAATCTTTTGTTGATAGCGATTTATTTGTTATGTATATTCACATAAAACCGTAAATATATAAGCTTCAATGTTATAAATCATACACATTTGATATGAGTAAAGTTATTGAAGTAAACTAACGCAGTGAGGTTTCATAAATTGATACCCTATTAGGTTGTTTCGGAAGAATCTCTTAATGAAACCGAAATTCATGCTCCCCCAGGGAATTTAATCTTTTTTGAATTTTTATCTCCCTTTTAATATAGGTTTCAACCACTATTAGTGATCTTGCCTCCAATGTCTTTGTTTTTCTTTACAGTATCATAATAAGGTATTAGGCTGATACCTGAATGCTGTTTACTACTCATAATATCTAGTATAACGAAGGGGCCTAACTTATGGTTTGTCTGGATTTAAAGTTAGAGCTATTTATTTACATAACAAAGTCTAAGAATCCGATCCATTTATTACTTTGCTCTTTGCCAATGAATGGGAATCCGATACGAGACTACATTACGGTAAATTGCATTAAAAGATTTCAGAAATAATAATTACAAGATAAAAATAGTAAATTGCTAAGCATTAACTAGAATCTTTAGTCTGATTTCTCTTGAATTCCCCTTGCACGAAGACTTAAATTATTACCACGCATGTTATTCAGTTCTCTGCTAATCAGCTAATCCTTAATTTAGTTTCTTAATAACGATTCACAGGTATACTTGCTGTTCCATATAGCATGCTAATATGATCAGCCTAAATTAGTGAAGCACCCTACATGCAACATGATTTCTATAAATGATAGTTGGCATGTTGATGCATTTAATTCCTGGAAATCAAGCTATATATTCAATCTGACTAAATAAGAATTACTAAAAGAGGATTAAATGATTTAGTAAAACCCTATTCAAACTTCAACTCTAGTATCTTGCCCTCTTACTTCCTTGATATACTTTCCAAATTGACCACGTACTCTACTAGTAGCAGCATCTATCAATGCATCAGCAGTCAAAGTTGAGGGATCATAGATCTTGTCCAAGCTAACAATATTCTGCTCTTGAGGCTCATAAATGTTGCTGTCATATTGATTAAAATCGTTTTTAGTAATGAATTTTTCACTTAATTCACCTAATACGGCTATCTCATTTCCAGTCAGGCTTCTAACAATTTCTATATATCTATTTTCTGAAATCCGAAAGAAACAACATTTTGGACTTAAGAAAGCAATTTCATCAAGTGATCCAAGCAGGGCATTGATTTTCGAGTACTTAATGTACACTTCCTTTGGTTGAATGACTGTGTAAACACTTCGGTTAAATACACTAACATTTGGATAAACATTTTTTTGTTCAACATCTCTGAAATTATCAGAATTAAACCATAAATCGATTGAACTATCACTTACCATTGTTGCTTAGTTTCTTTTCAATGATTGTCGTTTGACACTATCAAATCTTATTCTATTATTGAATAATAAAATAATGCTTCTTAATGCTTGATTGTTTGAAGAACTGAATAAAATGTTCCCATATTTATAAATTATTCTTATACCTCGTTGACCACATGGTAATCCATATTAGAGTGACCTTATCTATGGAATTTGCGCCCAATATTCCAGCCCCGCATGAGACCCGGAGTATTATGCGCGGCTGTGAGGAATATTTGTGTAACGTTACATCATAGTAAGCCTTCTATCTACTCATTACATATGTATTTTCCCAGACTTCGGAGAGAAGCAACATATACTTTAAAAGCCTATTTGAATCATTCAATATTAATAGAATAGGGGATTCAATGACTAAATATAACCTTTGTAAGTATTTAGGCAACATTCTCGCAATGGTATTCTAGTTAACTCTGATTTCTAACTGTTGGACGCTTCCCTGAGATTACTCCTCGTGGTCTGAATTAACATCCTAAGGGAAAATTTGATTCTCAATAAGAAATCTATACGAAGTAAAGGAAAGGCAGAGAAAATGGGGCTATCGATAACATTGTTTAAGTTTAACTTTTAATGCGGTATCAAATCAAAATTTTAAAATGATAAAGTCTTCACAATACATTGAAAACAAGTACGGCTCATACATGGTCAATACTGTAAAGATATTGCATTAATTTGATTCGCTGAATACTTTGAAAAAGTGGTCAATAATAAGATTAGTCATCCACAGTTCCAAACTGAAATATTTATTTCAAAAAAGCATGTCTAGACTAATTGATGTATAATTAAAGACTTGGATTATTACCATATGTCTTTTATCTCGATGTAATAATAAACAGTTTAGGAAAAAAGTATTGGTGAGTGACAACAAAGTTTGCTCTGAACTTTCTAACCGAAAACAGAGACGCACCTATGGCCCTTAAGCTACATGGCACGTTTGAATGACTTCCTCGGTTATCATTAATGATATTTCCTGTTTCGTATACAAACTAAATAAGAGTAATATGCAAGAGCTTATGGCTGAAGTTTTGGCCGGGAGTTTATCAAGTCATCAAAAGTATTTTATTTCAACATAGCTTTAATGTAGATCCAAGGATATTGTAATATCTAGGAAGTGCCTTTAGCATGATTAACTGATTTGCAAGCGGAGAGAAGTTTAAAATTAAGTTATAAAATCACCATGGCCTCAGGAGAGATTGGAATAACCCAATGCAATTAGCCTTGTTATACTTTGACTTTTATGTGTATAATAATTTGTATATCAAGTGCAAAGTTGCAATTAATTTAACTCCTCATAAGGTAAAACCTACTTATGAGTATGGAAGTAATGTAGACAGATAAGATAGGGAATAAGTTTTGTAAAAAACACGTCATTCACTCGAAGGAGCTATTTATAAGTCTTGTAGATCGGAACAAATGGTAAGTAATTATCGAAACAACTGGCTCAAAGTTCCATTTTCAAAACAACAATTGGAAAATCTGATTCAATTTTATCGCTGTTGAATAGCCTTCAGAGTGAATGGCTCTTCGCAGATCTGGCTTATCGTTTGTCTCAATATTTTTTATATCCGAAAGCGGAAAGAGAGAATTATAAAATTTGTTCTTCTCTTCTAATTGCGCTCCTACATTTTCCCCATTTCTTTACATTTTCGGACACAGTTAAGAAGAGTAAATAAGCCAGCTCGAATTAGAAAGATCAATTTCATAAGTGATTAATATATTATATGCTAGGTAAGGTATTTCCAGACAATCATACAAACAATATTTTTGAATTTAAGAGAATATTGAATAAGCAAATTAAAATTTATCATCTTCTTTGATATGGGCTAAACTAGCATATAGATATCACGTGGTTATTTCATGATACACATAGAGAGATTCAAAATATATGGTATTGCAAAGAAGCTTAGTGAAAAGACTTTGTATATTGTAATTTGTTTTATTTTATTAAGGAAGTATCGTCTCAATTTATTGTTAATCTGCAATTGCAATGATATCATTGATAGGCAAGAATTCATGAATTCATGTACATGTAAGGTTAAATCAAATATTTCAGTTGTGTATCAATGTCGAGTCATCAAAACTGTTACATTTTGCATTTTCTCTAATATTTTGAAGAAATAGTTAGCCATCTATTCGTATCTGTACACATATTTAATGCTTACTTTCATCTAAAGAACATTCATTCCTGCCTTTGTTTTTATCGATTAGAGTTTTCTTTTCTTTTCTAGTTTGTTTCTTATTGTTTTAGGTAAAGGGTCACAGTTACATTTTCATGAGAAGCCTCTGTTATAATATTAGTCTTACTTTCTATAAGACCTACAGAATAATCTACAGGATACTGTTCAGCCTCTTCTCTAATATTCGCGGATCTTATAGTCAATGTCAATCACAAAGACACCTCCTAAGCTCGGATCTTCTAATTTGTTAGGCAAGATTACTTTAACAGGAATTCAATTTGTAAATGACAGCATGTGACTTGAAATTTTACTTTCATAAAGGAGTTATCAAGAATATTACATACTAGCAGTTCTCAATCGTTCTTTTGAACATAGCTTATTTTATCAAATCAGAACAACACTTTTTGTGGATATTTATATAATCAAATGTTCTGAAATCTTTTCAGTAAGTATTATGATCAAACTCTAATATATTAGGAATACCAAATAAGTAATAAATTGCATTATTTATGTTTTAGTTGGTATCCAAATCTTTTGAAAGTTTGGGACAATGATACAAACTAATTTTGTGTGATTGTAAGCATCTTTTTTGCAGCTTTTTGCGCAGTGAAAAAATAATTCTTCGCCTAAATATGACCTTTTTGGTATACCAATAACGGCTAATAATATTATGATAATTCAACAAAAAGTTGCAATAACCTGAAAATAATGATTTTATTAAACTATTTTTTAATTTCATTTATTTCCATATAATTTATTAAGTTTTGGAATTTTGCTTTTTAATCTTCTATTTATAGAGTATTTTATTCTATCTGTATTCATCTACTAAATCTTTTCACCAATTCAAATCAATTCAGTACTTTTATTAGCATCCTGAGTTCAAGACAAACTCTCTTTAATACCTATATCATCCGTACAAAAACCAAGTTAGATATTTGAGTGAATATTATTTGTACTTAATAGCTGATCACTATCATTCTATATAACTCTAGCTTCCGAATAGTCATCGCAATCAACCATAGTGTATGAAGTATGAAGTGCAATAATCAATGATTTTCCACTCACATTAGGGATTATCAGTGTAGCAGAAAGATATAACGGTGCTATTTTCATAGCCAGAATAGTGGGTTTCAAACGCATATGTTATCTGTACAGAACATACAAACAACCGTTCATTAATATATATACATAATTTCTATTACTACTCTTGCAGACAGTTACTATTGGATAAAACAACACTTATGTTGAAATGTTATAACCGAATACATCTTAGCATTCACTTACTAATCTTTTGGGTTCATACGAAAGTAAGGTGATATTATTGCATATCGTCATAATTAATGTCGAGCTAATATGACTAGCAAGTCATTCAGCCAGCAAAAAATGTAGAATTAATTAATCTATTTCCTATATAAAATAGTTATTATTAACATGTATAGAATTTGACGAAGAACACACACCAACGGCAAACATGACTACTGTATCAGTTGAAATATTTCAAAATCACCAATTATCTCCCCAGCCATCGTTTTCATCCTCCTCTACTTTAAGATTAAGTTTCAAAGGTGTTACAGTCTTCTTTGCATGTGAACCTAACTTTAGGCTTGATGTCTTTCTAGTTGTAGTGTTGCCTGATCTTAAAGTCAGACTTTTAATTGGAGCCTTTCTATTTGGTTTGTTGGCTTCCGATAATTTTAAGGCTTTAAAACTTTCATTAACATTTTGAACTGGAGGCACAGGATCTTCAGTTACTTCATCATCCATATTCCAACCATCATCAACATCAATATCATTGTTGAAATCATCCCAAGAACTTTCTGTTGCGTTGGTGGTTGTTGCAGCCACCTTTGTATGGGTCGCAGTAGGAGTTGATATTCTAGTCAAGTCTGGTGTTGAAACATTAAAATCATTGTTTAATTGACCTTCTACAGCACCTCCAGAAACAATTTTATTGACCACTCCCCATCCGAAAGATGATAAAGCACTCAGCCCATTATTATCACTTGGTGCACTATTATTATTATCAGATGTGCCCGAAGTCGATGATGTAATAGGGTTAGAAGCGGAAAACTTTCTAAAGAATTCAGCTTCTTCTTGATTTTCATCATCTTCAACTTCAGGTAAAGAATTAGAATGGCTCTCTACTGAATCTAAATATAGTTTAAAAATTCTTCTTGCTTCATTACGAACTTTTGTAGACTTCTTATCCATTAATGAAATGGCCAATTGACCCAATATCTTTGAACAAATTTCATCTAAAGAGAATTCACCAATCAAGCTTTCAAATCCCGATAATGCAGTCATTTTACAAGGAGTAAAGGTGTCTCTCAAAGATTTAGATAAAGCTGTTATTATAACGCTGTTTTTGGAATTTGAATATATCTTTGGGGATATTTTAATAATCAAAATTAAAGTATTAACTCTGATGGAAGGTTTTGGATCCATTTGAGATTTGGCTAAGACTTTCAATAAATCTTGATTTACTTGTTTGACAGAAACTTTATCAATAATAATAGTGATAGACTTCAAAGTAGTTTCTCTGATCATAAAATTTGTATCTTGAAACCCATTAATAAGGTTTAAGAATATTTTCAGTTGTACTTCTGAATCAGTCAAGAATTTTTCAAACCCAGGTAAATGATTCAATAAAGTTAATCTTACTGATCTATCACCCAGAGTGAATGATTCAAAAATGATAGGTTTTATTAACTTATTGAATTGATCTAATGTTAATTTGATTCCAAATTTAAGAATGAAATTCAACAAAATAGAATGAGATTCTTGTCTTTGTTGAAGGACAGCTGGATCTGTCACACTAGCAGCAAATTTGTTCTTTGCAATATTATTGTACTGGCTTATCAATTCAGGTAATAATTTATATTCAAGTAAACCAGAAGGAAAATAGTAATTATTTGAATCATCATTGAATAATGTTCCCAATTCATATTTGAAGAATTCAAATTTCTGTTGATCATTTTGAAATTTCAAATCTTCTAATTGTTTATTAAATGTAATTAATTTATTCAGTTCAAAATTAGTTTCTTCAACTTCCAAAAACTTCTCTACTGTGATTCTCAATCCCAATTTTGGATTTATTAATTTCTTAAAAGAAGTTCTTAATTTTGCAGGTACTAAGGATTCATTCAACCCTTTATTATAGGTTGGATCAAATGAAGTAAAATCTTTAGTTGTTAATATTTGAAAAATAAACACACCAAACTTGTAAGAATCAAACTTTATAGGGAAGGATCTTATAGCTTCAATATTTCCATCAGAAACATCAGTTGGTAAAAAGTAATTGAATCCTGGTAATCTTTGAGAAAATCTGTATATTGGTTGATCTGGATCAGATTGTAAATTTGTTAATACTTCAAATCCAAATAACTTCCAATCTCCTTGTTGATTGACGTATACTGAATTCAATAAATTTACATTCCCATGTAAACTAGTACAAGTTTGATTAATAAATGATATACTTTGAGCTACATGGTATAAGCCATATAACTTAGCATCAACTGAAATATCATGAGAAACTTGATTTAAATATGTTAATAATGGTATAACAGGTTCAGTAATAATATATAAATAAGTATCATTTTCAATAAACTCCACGGTGGAGATTATACCTGGGAATCTAATTAACTTTAATTTCTTAAACGCATTACGAGCTAATGAATCAAAGCCCGATTGAATATTTTTTGGATCAGTGAGATTAAATTCAAATACGGTTACTGAACTATTATCTGATTTAGGATTAGTAGCATTATAAACTGTCCAAATAGAATTATGATCAATGACAGATTTCCCATCAACAGGATCAACAATTTTATCCTTAAGTGTATAGGGAATTGAATTCCCAGTTAAGGAATTAAATGTCTTAGTTAAAAAATTCATATACTTCTGGTAATGAGTAATGAGTGATAAATTATTGGAAATGCTTAAGAATTAAGAATTAAAAATAAATAACCAAGCCTTTATCAAAAGTATCACGACATTTGACAATGTGTTTTCAAAACGCGAAAATGCGTAACAAATTTTTATTGCGAACTATATAGAAACCTAACAATATGAAACCGGAATAATACCTGTAGAATACAATAGAAAAAAATAAGGGTAGTGAGAACATGAGAAAAAACATAATAAAAGTGACAGATAGAACAAAATAGTATAACATGATATAATTACAAACAGTGATAGATAGAGATTGCAATAGAGTGATAGTAGATGGTGAGTAACTAATTCCTATATCCATTAATGGTATTAGCCAATTGATTATTCATGAAATCAATGGATTGAAATTGTTGAGCATTACCTGTATTATTAACATTAGCGGCACCTGCAACTCCTGAAGTACTAGGATGTTGACGAGGGAGAGTTTGTTGAAGTTGTTGTTGCAGATGTTGAGGTGATTGAGGTTGTAATCTGAATTGATTCATATTAGAAGGACTAGTAGATCCTCCAGTATAGGTTGGAATTTGTTGATTAGATTCTGGTGATCCGGGAATTTCATTACCATTTGTAGGTTGTTGTTTACCTCTACCTCTAATTCCCTTATTAGAATTCTTATAAAGATCACGAAAGTAAAATAACAATTCCTTTTCTTCACTAGGTAATTGATTAAGAGCTGGTCCACTCAATTGAGCCAATTTTTGAGTTAAAGAATTTAAAGTATTTAAATGGAATCGATTTTGGTGTGACTTCAAGTTCCCTAATTGAGTAAATGATTTATCACAATTATCTAATTTACATTCAAATGGTTTTAATTTATCATGAGTCAATTTATGAGCTGCTAAATTACCCTTTCTATTGAATGATCTATGACAAATATCGCATGGGAATGGTTTTTCACCCGTATGTAATCTAAGATGAGTTCTTAAATTACCTCCTTGAGTAAATTTCTTGTGACAATAATTACATTCAAATGGTTTGAGTCCAATATGAGATCTAATATGAACTTCAAGATGGGTCGATTGGGTAAATGTTTTAAAGCAATGAGGACATTGTTGAGTCTTATGTCTTCTCTTTCTATTCTTACCTTCTCCATCACCATCTTCATCATCATATTCTTCATGACCTTCATCACTATCAATACTACCACGTTTAGTAGGTTTATCAACTCCACCTACCAAACTAACTGGTCTTGGTAATACACTAGCATCTTTACCCTTTTCTGATGAAAAATTAGGTGATCCTAAGATACTACCATCAGGAGCTTGTTGAATAGTATTGGTAATTCCCTTCTCACGAGCTTGAATTACAAGCATTAATTGATCAATCTTAGTAGCTCCAACCAATGGACGTCCATCTTCAGATTTGACATATTGTTGAGCAGTAACTAATCCACCTTTATCAACATTTGTAGGTGTAGGTATAAGATTTTGTTGTGGATCAATTGATGGTTCACTCTTAACCAGACGTGACTTTCTACTCTGTGATTGTTTACGAGGTTTAGACTTGGATTGTTTATTAACACGATTTCCACTTTTAGCCAACATTGGGTCTAATGGTTGCTCCTGGGTTATTTGATTTTGAGATGGTTGTTGTTGATACTGGTTATTCTGATAACTAGAGGGTGGTAAGTATTGTTGATGATAAGATAATTGTTGTGGAGATGAGAAATAGTTAGCCAGAGGTTGGGTAGGAGCTGGGGGTGGTTGATTCCTTATTGTTGCATTAGGTGGTAATGATTGAAATTGTCCTGGAGACGAATAGTTTGGATTATAATACTGATTTTGACCCGGGATTTGATAATTATCAAACATTCTTTGTGAAGGCTGAGGCAAGATCTGTTGTTGGCTATACATAGACGGTGGTGGAGGTGGACGTTGGTAGTTGAATTGTTGTTGTTGCTGTTGTTGCTGTTGCTGACCTTGTTGCTGTTGTTGAACACGCGAGTTATAGCTTGAAGGACTTGTCTTTGGGGACTGTGGTTCATCATTATACTTACCAGAAGCTCTTGATGACATTGACGAAGTAGGAGATAAATGATCCTTTTCAGGTACATTTAACTTCGAAGATGAAGCCTTTGAAGATTTGTATTTAGGATCAGCATTACCTTGCTTAGCATTCAGATTAATTGTAGCGACTGAACCAGATTGATTCTTTGAAAATATATCTTCTCTTAATTTTGTATTGGCATCAGCAATTACTGAAGGTGGTTGTTGGTGATGATTAAATGTAGTATGTCTCTTATCCAATTCTGAACTAGGTATTCTCAGATTTCTATAAGTTTGCAGATCATTAACGAATTTCAATATAGAATCTCTTCTTTGTTCATTAATATTACTTAAATCAATACTACCATTTGAAATCATTCCAGCAATTATATCACCAAGACTTCCATTAAATCCACTTATAGAACCACCAGGGACACCTACTAAACCACTAATGCTATTGTTTGAGTTTGCATTTGCATTTTCATTCCAAAGGGATAAATCAATCGACCCAAACTTAGATCGTTGTCCAGATGATGTACCACCTGAAATACTTGACTTTGTATCTTGTTGCTGTTGTTGTTGCCAAGCCATTAAATTTCCTAGACTTTCTTTATTAATTAAATTCTCTAAATCTTCAATAGAAAATTGTTCTTGAATTCCACCTTGTTGAGATAAAGAGGGAAATATTGATAATTGTCTAGATCTTGGATTAGAAGTATTTGGATTGGAAGTTCCGCCAGCAGAATTTGAATTGTTTTTAATAAAATTGGATGATTGTTCACTTATGGAATTGCCAGCAGAATTAGGTATTTGAATTAAGGATGAGAATATACTATTTGATCTTGAAGAGAATGAATTTCCTGAATTGGTATTTGAAGTTGTTGTATTTGGTATATTGTTAGATGAAGTATTATCATAATTATCACTTGAATTTGTCAGTCTTAATTGTGAATTTATAGGAGGTGGCAAGAATATACTATCACCTCTTGGTCTTAAAAGAGTTGAACCAGGTACTTGTTGTTGAGATTGTTGAGCTTGTGTTTGAGATTGTTGATTTTGATTCTGTTGATTGAATGATGAAGGAGGTAAAGAATCTCTATTATTTAAGTAGTAGCTAGGATAACTGTTCTCCATTATTTTATTATTTTGATTATTAGTCGAGGATGATGCAGAAGATGCAGAAGATGATTGATTGGAGTTGGGGTCCTTATTGGTTGTATAACTCGAAGGATAAGTATTTAAAAGAGAACTAATGGAGTCCTGTCTGCCTGGATTAAATAAGTAAGTATTTCTTGAATTAGATTGATCGTCCGATAATCTCGTGGCAGAAATATTTGAATTATTGGAATTATTATCACTATTATTTGTGGTGGATTTATTACTATTCTTGGGTAATCTTGAAGTTTGAGATATTGCTGATTTTCCCATCATTACCTTAATAGATAATTGATGAATGTGTATTTATAAATTAATGAGATGAGGAAAACAAGCCTTTAACCAGCTAAGCAAAGCAAAACAAAGTTTAAAGCAAAGCAAACGTGGAATTGGGCGAATTAAAGATCTGTATAAATGATGTACAGGACCTCAGTTAATAGTGCGAGTATATAGTATTGATGAGGTAATCGATGAGTTGGGGGACGACTACGGTGATGATATGAAATGGAACGAAATCTCGGAGCAGGTGGAGAGATACGAGCCAACGGAAATTTAAATGAGTGAAACTATCAGTGCGTAAAAGCAAAGTAGGACACAATGAAGAATGGAAGCGATGTATATATTGTAGATAGTATAGTTAACAGACGGGAAATTGTCTATTTAGTATAATATGCCACAAACTCTTTATGAATTTTAGTATTGAGGATAACGTCGTAGGGAGGTGATTATGTCATTCAATTTTTCTCAATGTACTGAAAAGACAAAATACAGGATCACACAACAGTTAAGATAGTTATAATTATAATAAGATTGTAGATACTTATTTAATAGTATAGTTATTTATAAGACAATCTTAAAAGGAAATCTAAAAAGAGAAAGAAGAAAGCAAGAAAAGAAAAGAGATAAAAGATCTAAAGCCGTTCAACAGAAAAGAAATTCATGAGTATATATTGTATTTAATGTAAAGACTATAACGATGGAAAACCTCGCTTCAATTACAAAACCACAATACTTACGGCTTTACATCATGACAATCTAAGGAATGTTCCTGGTAAAGATGCATTGTTTATGCAATGAGTAATACTCTATTAATGATTAACGAACCATGTAGTGATAAAATAAATACGTGACAGAATTCATCAACAAATAGAATCCTCACTAGTTAATACAAAATTACTACTACATACTAATTATAATCTATATGTAATACTCGCCACATAAAAAATACATAAAACAAATACCATAACCTGTCACCTATTTCGTATTCAAAATCAAACCCTACAGTAATAACTTACAACTATTAATATTAACAGGCTATGTGTTATATGTACGTAATTAAAATAGCTGGGCATTGCTCATAATAAATCTGAAGTCATGGAAATCATCCCACTCAAGGAAATCCATCCTTCGAACAATCACTGGTTTTTTTTAGTGCGTGCACCGTGCAGAAATCCGGTCATTGATTAGGAAGTCCGAACAGATCTTACATTTGCGCTTTTCGGAACAAAATTTCAATACCAAACTATAGCGATGACGTGTTCTAGAAACTTCCACTACTAATAGAAGTGTTTTGAAGTTGATAGCTGTTATGTAGGTAGACAACACTAAATGTAATCTACAATATGACAAGAGAAATAACTACAAGTATATAATAATCCTGTAAGAATTTTCACTCTTGGCATCAAAACTCGTAATTGACTCCTAGATTTATGCTGACTATTTTTCTTTACTATTCTATCATAGTGCCTTAGGCATTTATTGTTTTCTACGGATACTGGGTATTGCCGCTACCTTCCGACACTGAACTCGATTCCGGCCTTGCCCTCGTAAGTTATGACGAAACATGATATCTTATCAGTTCTGGACCATTATTTCTCTTTACGAAATTTACGTAGATTACATAATATTCTGCATCTAAAGATCGATAATCTTTCAGTTCTTGTAATGCTACATGATTAGTAAATTTACGCTTTTCTATAACTATAAAAATCCATATTAAACACTATTTAAAATTGTTCTGATTAATATCATTTTCCTTTATCACCCCGGAAACGGTCTGAAGCATTTCTCTCAAACATTCATTTAAATGTTCTAAATTCTTTTCAGGCTTCCCCCCTCTCTTTAAATAATCAGATGGTACAATGTCATTGTTCTCGTATAAGATCTTATGTAAATTGTCAAGAAATTGACGACTAATTGTCATAAATTGACCGATACCTCTAATATTAGATTCAAAATCTTCTCCGATACATAAAATCATCATTGTTTCCTTGATAATATTGGACATTTTCACTTTGGTTAATTTATCAACCTTGTCAAGATTGTATCTTTGATAAAATGAATCAGTTCCTTCTTTACCAGTAATTAGCATCAGCTTATCTCCAATTTCTTTCTGTAATTCCTCCACTAGAGATTTGAGATTGAGAAGTTCAACTTCGTTAACCATTTGTTTGACATTGCTTCCAGAAGCATTATCACTAGTGGGTCCTAACTTTGGTTGTTGTTGTTGTTGTGGTGGTGGTGGTGGTGATGGTTGTTGGACTTTTTCGGATTCCTTTGGCTCGGTCTTATTAAAAGTTTCCATTTTAGGATTCTTGATTGGTATGCAAATATCAGTATCTTCATCTTCTTCAGTAACAGATGTAGCAATGCCTGATGCTGATTGATAATCATTACTGACCGTTGGAACTCTTTTCATTTGACCTGATTCCTTAGATTCACTCTTACTTCTAAGATATTTGACTTCATTAGATAATTCTTGACATTGAGTCTTTAATAATTCAACTTCTTTATTCAAATTCTTATTCTCAACTCGCAATTTCCCATTTTCCAACTTTGTTTCATTTTCAACTTTGTTCGAAATATCATTATTTTGATCAACTATCTGTTTTTCAAATAATCGGGACGATTCATCAAGATTCAACTCTATAGGATACGGTACTTCAATATCCTCTATAAGCTCAGGCGCCAAATTCTTTTTTAGTTTTGCAACCTCTTTAGCTAACATGTCTGTCATATTTTTTTGATATTCAAGAGATTCCTTTAATGTTGTGATAGTTCTGAAGGCTTCATCATAACGTTTAATATCTTCAGGTTCATTCAAACTAAGGTTAAATAACTTCGAATTAATTTCCTCTTGGGATCGTGGAGGTGTAGTTCTTGGGGTTTCTTCATCAATGGTTGTAGATATTGGGTATCCTGTAAATCTTGGTTGATGCTTTTGATGTTCTGAATGTGGCCTAGACTGATTTTGGAAACTGCCATTACTATCAACCGTAGGAAAGTTTTTATTTGATTTATAACTCAGTCCTAATTGATCATAAGGATAAACTTGATGACGATGAGGGTTGGGAATACTAAGACTTAAATCATCATCATCTCCTTCATCCTTATCATATTCATCGTCTCCCTCGTCTTCATCTTCTGTGGTGGTGGGATATACTAATGATCTTTGTTGTTCAGTACTTCTCTTCTTAAGGTTATTGAACTGATTCTGTACTGCATCCATAGACTCTTGGATCTTGGCAATGGGCTCCGAATTATCATGTTCATTGATATCTGAAAGTTTAATATTATCTGGACCTCTTCTTGTATCGGTTGCTAAACCAGGATGATGAATTCTTGATATTAATGGAGTGGAATGGGATGAAAACATTAGTGATACGTCATTATCATTTTTCTTTAATTGTTGAATGATAGGATTTGTATTCTTATATATTGAATGTTGTCCATTAATCTGGGAACTATGCACAGGTTTTAAAGGTTCTCTTGATTTCACTGGAGTGTCCAAATTCACAGAGTTCATGACTTCACTATTCAAACTTAAGTCATCCAAGCCTCTTCCAATTCCTCTAGAACTGTCCTGTTCCTTCTCTCGATCCAAATTTTTAGCAAGACTAAGTATTCTTACTGTATCTTCTGGTATAGTAGTACCATTTATAGTCTCAGAATATCCATCTCGAGTACTATTTTCTCCATCACTGGAAACGTATATGTATGAGTTGGTCACGTTATTCGACATACCTCCCTGTGCTTGACCATTCATATGATAAGTAGTATAGTTAAATTATTCAACAGCTCTAATTACGTCTATTTGTGGATTTTGTTATCGAATTGTAAACAACGCGAATTATTTTTTTCAGTCTTGGTAGATGGTTGCAATATGCCCCATTCGGAACTAGTTCATACAACAAATAAGGTAATAACTTAGTTGAATAGAGGCAACTTATAGAGGAAGATGACTCATATGTTGTAACGATCAAATTGTATTGAGTCCCAATTTACTTAATCTCAATAACTATAATAGTATAGTATAGTATAGTACCATAGTAGTCAATCTTACTAAGTAGGGTATTTTCGGTATGCGCACACCCTCCATCTTAAAAAAAGTATTCGAAAATTTTATAGATGGTATAGACTAATGAAGACTGTCTTACTTGATAGATAGTAGCATATAAATTAGACAAAATGGCTGAGTTGGAAGACGTGTCAATGGTGGACGAAAAGATTGAACAAGTCGAAGAAGAAGAACAAGAATATGACTTAGATAAAATCAAGCTATTGCCCGGCTCATCGGATGATGGATCAGCTGCCTCATTTCAAATCATCGATGAAGATCATACTTTAGGAAATGCCTTACGTTATATTATTATGAAGAATCCTGAAGTTGAATTCTGTGGATATTCTATTCCTCATCCTTCTGAAAATAAGTTAAATATTAGAATTCAAACTTATGGTAGTATTACTGCTGTAGAAGCATTACATCAAGGTTTAGACAATTTAACAGAATTATGCACAGTTATTGAAGATAAATTTAGTGAAAAGATTGAAGCTGGGGGTTATAAGACAGTCGAAACTACAAACAACATCTAGATATCAAAATATAGTATATGCTTCCTAAATAATTATTATAACGATTTAAATTAATTTATAATAAAATGGGATGCAAAGGCATTAAGGTAATGCATGTCGACGGCTTACAAATTGCCTTGTATCATAATAACGTCGGACCATCATCGAACTTTATATTAAATAAAAGTATCATTATAAATGTATTTTGTATAATGTAGCTAGCTACGAGTATTTACGTATGAAATGTAGTATAAGTCGGAGTGTATAAGCCCAACTAAAGTTCTATATAATAGATCTATATGAACAAGATAACGCTTTAGTGTATTTGTAAGATAAGCAAACAAAACTAAACTAATTCAACTACAACTACAACTAGTACTAGTACTACAACTTCAAAATATAACTAATCTAGTAGTAAAAAATTTCAACCCTAGTAGCACGAATCTGCACGCATTTACCCAATTAGGAAGTCTAAACAAGTTTTCTTTTTTTTTATTACGCATCGTATAAAAAAATTTTCAAATTCATCCCCTAAATTCCTTATCTGTAACACTTCTTCTTCTTCTTCTTCTTCTTTAGCAATTAATAAGAATATACTAAAGATGTCTTATAATAGTGATAATCGTGGAGGTTACGACCGTGGTGGATATGTCAACAATAACCGTGGAGCTGACAGAAGTTATGGTGAAAGAGGTTACGGAGGTAACGGTGGTAGATTTGATAGAAATGGTGGTAATGGTGGTAGTCGTGGATTTGGTGGTGGTCGTGGTGGATTCGGTGGTCGTGGAGGTTTCCAACAACAAAGAAATGAATTGGTTGCTCCAAATTGGGATTTAGAAACTTTACCAGTCTTTGAAAAGAACTTTTATGAAGAACATCCAGATGTTAAGAATCGTTCTGATGCTGATATTGCTGCTTTCAGAAGAAAGAATGAAATGAGTATTATTGGTGAAGATATTCCTCACCCAATTACCACTTTTGAAGAAGCTGGTTTCCCAGATTATGTTTTAACTGAATTAACTGCTCAAGGTTTCCCATCTCCAACTGCTATTCAATGTCAAGGTTGGCCAATGGCTTTAAGTGGTAGAGATATGGTTGGTATTGCTGCCACTGGTTCAGGTAAAACTTTATCTTATTGTTTACCAGGTATTGTCCATATTAATGCTCAACCTTTATTAAGTCAAGGTGATGGTCCAATTGTTTTAGTTTTAGCTCCTACCAGAGAATTAGCTGTTCAAATTGAACAAGAATGTTCTAAATTTGGTAAATCATCAAGAATTAGAAATACTTGTGTTTATGGTGGTGCTCCAAAGGGTGAACAAATTAGAGCTTTAGCCAGAGGTGTTGAAATTTGTATTGCCACTCCAGGTAGATTAATTGATATGTTAGAAATGGGTAAGACTAACTTGAAGAGAGTTACTTACTTAGTTTTGGATGAAGCCGATAGAATGTTAGATATGGGTTTTGAACCTCAAATTAGAAAGATTGTTGATCAAATTAGACCTGATCGTCAAACTTTAATGTGGTCTGCTACTTGGCCAAAGGAAGTTCAAGCTTTAGCTAATGATTATTTAGTTGATCCAATTCAAGTTACTATTGGTTCTTTAGAATTGGCTGCATCTCACACCATTACTCAATTAGTTGAAGTTATCACTGAATATGAAAAACGTGACAGATTAGTTAAACATTTAGAATCAGCTACTGCTGATCAAGCCGCTAAAGTTTTAGTATTCTCTTCTACTAAGAGAAGTTGTGATGAAATCACTTCTTACTTAAGAAGTGATGGATGGCCTGCATTAGCCATTCATGGTGATAAACAACAAAGTGAAAGAGATTGGGTTTTAAACGAATTCAAGAATGGTAAATCTCCTATTATGATTGCAACTGATGTTGCTGCTAGAGGTATTGGTATGTATTTTACATTTTAATTTTCATTACTAACGATTTTATTTTTTATTTAGTTATTGTTTGGGTTTTCTGGGGAGTTTTACGATATTATTTTTATCTTTTTATTAAGATAATTGGGATTATTTTTGGGATATGGTTTTTTTTACAGCACAGTCTAATAGTAAAAATATGAAACAAAAGTCTTGCCCTTGAATAGAAGGGCCGTTGCTGATAAGTTAATAAGAAGTGCTGGACATTTCTATATTAACAATATGAAGCATCGATAAAAGCCTCAAAAGACTTTGAAGAAGGTTTTTTTAAAAGTTATCTTCATTTTAATGGAAAGCTTGTTTGAAAGTGTGTTCGTACAATGTTTAGATCTCATTTCTAGCTTCAATTATTCCTTGTTTGTAAATGTTAAGTTATAGAAGATTGATTTATAGGGTGATTCCTTTAATATCTTCTTGAGATAAGCTTACTTTAAGGAATAATTTAGAGGCTATTTGATTTTAAAATAGTGCCATTATATTCTTCGTGATGAAGAGATTTATAAGGCATGGATTATTTTATATGAGATTGGATGATATTGTATATATGTCTTTCTTTGTATCAGCTTTTCAATAGATGAACCGATATTTCCTTCTATGTTTCATCTCCGATAAGGAGTTTTTCACTAATATTAAACATCAATTAACTTTAATTGTTTAATATTCTTTGTGATTTGTAGACTGTGATTCGTATTAATCTCTTAACTTTCTGTAATCGTATCATTTGATAGACTCCTTGGCAAGATCATAAGTAATTAAATTGATTGGATTAAAATCAAGTAAAGATTTGTTTTATTTTAAAAAAGACTTTATACTAACTTAAAATTTATTATAGATGTTAAAGGTATAACATATGTTATCAACTACGATATGCCAGGTAATATTGAAGATTATGTTCATAGAATTGGTAGAACTGGTAGAGGTGGTGCCACTGGTACTGCTGTATCATTCTTTACCGATAAGAATTTCAAATTAGGTACTGATTTATGTAAAATCATGAGAGAAGCTAAACAAACTATTCCACCAGAATTACAAAGATTTGACAGAGGTGGATATGGATCTCATATCAGATACGGTCAAGGACGTGGAGGACGTGGAGGTCGTGGAGGCCGTGGTGGTCGTGGAGGTCGTGGTGGATATGGTGGTGGTAGATACCAATCTGGATCCAACACTGCTCCACTTTCCAACCGTCGTTTTTAAGGATTAGAATATAGAGAAATTATTTATTATCGGTTGATTTGTGCCACTTAGTATAGTATAGTGTAAAATAGTTTAGAATAGCTAATAATTAATTTATGCAATAATTGTGAGAAGCAGAAGCAGTGTAGAGTAGAGTTAGTAATGGTTAATAAGTTAGTAGATAGTTAATTAATTCAGAGTTTGCAGCTATCCAGTAACAGTAACAGTTGTTGCAGAAACTCGTGCCGCCAAATTGCACCGCCACGACCCAGGCATAATCGGACCAAACACCCAAAGTGCATGTGATTTTTTCTCGTCCTAGAACGGAAATACGATAAACTCACACGAGCCAACAATTTATAGTAATTTTTCAGATTCAAAGTATATCGAATTTAGTTCTTTTTCTGATTCGATAAGTTAGCTTAGTTCTTATTAAAGTAGTAAGTAACAAATAACTTGTACTAAATTGGTGTAGATCAATTCACGAGGTAATCCTATCTTTCCCCACAATAATTGCTATCTTCATCAGTGCACAAAACGAGTGAATCTATTACCATAGTTAATTCACTCTATTCCTACTATTAGTTGTACTAGATAAATCTTTTTTTATTTTATTTACAACTACAGCTATTAACTAGTAGAAATATTGCAAGACAGCGCAATCAATCAACTATTCACAGATTATCACAATTGTATACTTTCGCTATATCTTATTGTCTAAAATAAGCATAATATAATTTTTTATTATACTACTAAGTAACAAAACACGTGATTTTCCCCATACAAAATATCACGAGAGACTCAAACTCGAATATGTCATCATCATCTTCAACTACTTCATCTATTGCCAGTTTGTCGTCTTCAACTACTACTACTGCTAGAAAGTCAAAGAAAAACTTAAGTACTTCTAAAATGACTACTGAGAGTACCCTTCAACAGGATATCTCTGAAAAACTGGGACCAAAGGGAATAACTTTTAGTGGTTCAACCTTTATTGTCCCTGAAACCCAGGATATGGTTAAGACTTTATTTGATCCAACAGTTAAAAAATCAAATTTAGAATTAATCATATTAGTTTGTTTATTTGCAAATTTATCAGTATTTTATTTTATTAAAGATAATTCTATAAGAATTAATATTTTTATTTATTTTTATATCTTTTGGAGATTATCTTATAATTTTGGTATTGGTTATTTATTATATAATCAATCTAATCATAATAGATTAGTTGAATGGTCAAAAAATTTAAAATTATTTGATCCTAATTCAACTTCATTCCTTTCAAAATTTATTCAAGCAGAAATCAAATCTCAAAGAGGTTCAAAATATGATCTTTATTCATATCCAATAGAATTTAATACTTGGTTAATCTTTAGAAAAGTTGTTGATTTAATTTTAATGCTGGATTTTGTAACTTTTATCTTAGTATTTTATACTTGTGCTATAAATAATAATAATCAATTTATTCATAATCAAGATAATTTATTAATTTATTCAAGATTAATTATTGGTGCTGGATTAATTTTATTTAATTTATGGGTAAAAGTTAATGCTCATAATACTATTAAGGATTATGCTTGGTATTGGGGTGATTTCTTTTTCCGTCAAATTAATAATGAAGAATTAATATTTGATGGAGTATTTGAAATGTTCCCTCATCCAATGTATTCTGTTGGTTATATTGGTTATTATGGTTTCGCATTAATTGCAAAATCTTATACAGTATTAATTATTGCAATCTTTGGACATTTCTTACAAATGGTATTTTTACATTATATTGAAAATCCTCATATTGATAAAATTTATGGACCATCTAAAAGTGAAATTAGTTTAATTAAATTATTAAAATTAAAAGATTTAAAAAATTTTGATTATTTAAAACCTTTAGTTGGTTTATATAATTTTAATTGGCTTAGAGGTTCAGATTTTGTAAATATTGTATTGGTTATTACTTATGGATTAATTATTCCTGCTTTTGCAAGTGCATCAAATAATTTAGTTTGGAAATTTGGTTCATTTAAATTAGATGTAGTATTTTTATTAGCAGTGGCAATAAAATTATTTGAATCTATTTCAATTAATGTTTTATTAACTTTACAAAGTCATTCAAAAGTATTTACTAAATGGTTCTTAGCTAATGGTATTCCATTAGAAAAGTCTTTAAGTAATTGGTCAGTTATTTATAATACATTAATTAATCTTACTTATTCATCATTATTTGGAGTTAATTTATATTATTATTTACAAGGTGGAAATAATGATTTATTATTAAGTGATTGGTTATATCTTCGAATTTTCGTAGGAATTATACTTATTTTTACTCAAGTTTGGATAAATTCTTCAATTATAGATCTGATTGGTTATTTTGGTTGGTTCTATGGAGATTTCTTTATTCCAAAATCTCAAAGTAGTCTGATACATTTAACTAAAGCAGGAGTTTATCGTTATTTAAATAATCCTGAACAAATCTTTGGAGTTTGTGGAGTTATGGGAGTTTTCATTATGATTCCTTCAATTGAAAATTTAGTATGTTGTGGATTATGGATTCTTAATAATTTTTTTAGAATTAATTTTATTGAAAGAGCTCATATGATTAAAATTTATGGAGAAAATGAAGTCTTACAAGATTCAGGAGTTACTAAGACATTTAAGAAACATTTATTACCAGAAGCTATTCAAAGAAGATTTAGTAATGATAATGGAGAAGAATCTAAAAAAATCAGAAGAAAGAGTTCTTCCATGAGTATTACTGAATCATTAGATAATTTTATTAAAGAATTAAAAACTTCTTCTACTAAACTTTCAAATCAAAAGTTAATTGAATTATCTCAGAATCTTTCATTTGAAAATTCCGATTATAAATTAGAAATTAATGGATTAAAATCTGATTCCAAATCTGGAAATAAAAGATATTTACCAAAGTATACTACTGTTGGTAGTCCAATTGATATTAAATGGAATGCTCCAAAGAATAGTTTTTCAACTAGAGATTGGATTGGAGTTTATAAGATTGTTCAAACTGCTTATTCTCGTAATAAAACATTAATTTCTTCATCTGGTCGTTGGACTTGGTGTACTTCCAATAGTGGTTCATATACTTTTGGAGGTGATAAATTATTTTGGGAAGAAGGACTTTATGAATTCAGATATCACTTAAATGATACCCATGATGTTGCATATATCTCAGAACCATTTGAAATTAGAATTCCAAAAGTTTCAGTACCTGTAGCTGGTATTGAATTAGAAAAATTTGCATCTAATTTAAAATCAGTTATTTTTGATAAAGTTATTCAACTTGATTCTATTGATGAAATTATTTCTAGTGCTGCTAATAAAACTGATAGTATTTTTGAAGTTTATCATTTATTAAGTAGTTTAATCTCCAAATCTACTGATGTAAAGATTAATTCTAAAATCTTTTTGGATTATGATGAAACTGATGGTTTAACTATTAGAAAATTAAGTAAGAAACTTTTTGATATTAGAAGAGTCTTGGAAGAATTATCTACCAAAGATTCTACTTATTAAATATATCATTTATATAAGTTATATATTAGTATAGAATTTAAAAATACATTATTCCTGGCTATATTTGCTATATATTTACTGTAAACTATCTATTAAGAAGGAGTTTATGTTAGCTCTTATTTTCTTAGACATATCATTACATCCATTTATTACTTTAGTAACTAAATCTTGATCAATATCTCCACCTTCTACCCATATACCTACAAGTTGATCATTATTTAAATTCATAAAACTGGCAACTCCCAATACATTTTCTTCATTTTGATCATCTTGTTCATCTTGTTCATTTTGTTCATCTTCTATTTGACCTCGAGGATCAATAATTATATCACCAGATTTATTGGATTTAACAATTCCACTAGTAACTATATCTTTAACTTCTACATTAGCATCTACTAAAGCTACTGAAGCACAATTAACTATCCAATTAGTTAATCTCATTAATTTTTCATTTGAATTATAAGTTGGAGTTTCAGTAGCTACTATAGTTACAAATACATCAAAAGTTGATTTAGGATATTTTTCAAGAATTATTGAAGGTAATAAAGCAGTTTCAACATAAGAAGATATCTTATGTTCAATAGTTGTTAACCCAGTTCTACCATTAGCATTTGTATTTGAATTTGAATTATTAAATTGATTATTGGTATTAAATAATTCATCACCTGGTTGAGATATATAAGGTAAAAATTTACATTCAACTGAAAATGATGCTCGATCAATGAAAGATCCTCTAATTGGTCTAGGACCAAACACCAGAACTTCAATAACATTATTTCCAACTTCTAAATATGCTGATCCATTAGCATTTTCAATAATTCCTGTCTTTAAGAAGAAATTTTCAATATCATTCTTATTAGATGATGATGATGATGATATGCCAGTTTGAGGAGTAGATTTCGATCCATTGATTTCTGATGATATACCTATATTCGGTATCACTGTATTCAAAGGTCCAAGTAATCTTCTTCTATCCATTATGGCTGGTGTTATGTATATATATGGATGTATGTATATAGTGTGGTGATAATTTGAGTGTGATGAGGTTGGATGTTAAGTATGCTCACCAAAAAAAAGGTACAGAACAGAAAAAGTAGAAAAGCAGAAAAGTAGAAAAGTAGAAAAGTACGTAATAGAAAAGAATTATAGTACATAGTAATGTCTTTTACATTATACTAATACATACTTACAGTATACCAATACATACTTACAGTATAGTAATAAGTATTTACAGTTGTAAATTATATATTATTAATAAATTACTTATATTCACAGTACATATAGAGACATGATTCGTAGCTAGTTAGACATTGTAAAATTACATTAATAAATATACAAAGGAATTTAACCTTTGAAATCACTGTAAACTGAGCTGTAAGGGTCTAAAAAATCTAAATTATTAGGATCACCTAAACTAGAGAAATCAAATGAATCAAGATTCAAATTAGATAATTGACCTGCTGGTTCACCTAAAGGTCCAGGAATTTGAGGTGGATTAGTTGAAACATTTGAATCAGATACTTGAGTTGTTGTAACCCCTCCTCCTCCTCCTGAAGTGGATGATGATCTTTCGGCATTCTTTTCTAACATATAAGGTGGAAGAATTCTTCCAAATATTTGTGCATCTAATTTATCAAATGGTCCTGGCATATAATTACTTTTAAAATCATCTCGATTATTAGATGTAGCATTTTGACCAGTTTGTTGTTGTTCATCATCAATTAATGGTAATGATTGACTTTCAGATGATGTATTCCCAATAAGTTCAGCTGTTTGTTCAGGAGTTTCAGTCTTAAGAAATGAAATCCCACTACCTGATCCTTTCCTACCTTGTGAAGTCTTATTAGCAAGTGAACTTGCTTCAAAAGTTGCTAAACTTGCATCAGTAAATAATTGTCCTAATGATTGATTTTTATCTCGAGCATAAGCTCCAAAGTCTTGCGCCGTTGGTGGTTTATTATTTGTATCAAATTTATTAATTTTATCAAAATTAACAAAGGTACTTTTAATAGCTGCATTACCAGGAGTTGATTCTGATTTTCCTGGAGTTGCACTTGATGGTGATTGACTTAATATATTAGTTCTAAATCTTGAAGAATTAGCTGTTCTTCTATTTAATTGTTCAAATAATGTATTTAAAATATTATAAATTCTAGTAGATGCACTAGAACTATTCTTTAAATGATCTAATAATCTTCTACCTACTTCAATATCTTTTTTAATCATATCAATATTTAAATCATCATCAAATAGTACTCCAACATAATTAGCTCCACTTTGAAAATTTGGATTATTAGGATTATTATTATGATAATTAGCAAAATGGAAATAATAAATTAAACATGCAATTGAAAAAAATATAGTATACATTGAAAACCAATAAGTTCCAACCAAAAGATTTTTTGCAATCATTTTATCGGCTAATTTAACTACTAAACGAGCAACTTTAATACAATTTCTACCTCTAATTAATGATCTTGGATCAGAATTTTGACTATTAGTTTGAACTCCTCCTCCATCACTAATAAAATGTATAAATGGACGATAAAGCATAATTTGACAATTTAAAAAGGCAAGATGTAAATAATAATTAGCCAATAAATATCTTTCGGGAATATTATTACCTACATTATAATCATTTGGATCAGTAGGTTTTAATTCTGCTGGTAAATTATCTAACCAAGTTTTTAATTCAAGTTCAAGTTCAGTAACTTTAACATGAATACTATCAGTAGTTAATAATGGAGTATTATTTTGTTTAACTTTAATTGGATATAATTTCTTAACTATATGAGATAAAATTAACATTAATTTTGTATGTTGATTTGCGCATCCTGAAGAACTTAAACGTCCTTCTTGTTTATCCAGAAGATATTCATTTCTTGTAATATTTTCATCATCTAATTCTGTTGGTAATTCTTGATCAAATTCATCTTCATTAAGTGATCTTGGTAATCCTAATAAAGAATTAATATAAATATCCATTTTATAAATTGTATAAAATAATCTCTTTCTTGTATCAACTTCAATTGGATCTAATTTACGTCTTGAATTTTGAAATATCAGTAAATTACGATGTAAACCTTCCTTTAATGCACTTCTAAGTGCTATACCAATATATGAATAACAAGTTGATAATCTTGCTGAACATTGTAAATACATAATCATCATAACAATTGTTTGAATTGAATTAATATCTCCTACATTACTTATATCAATTAATTTTCTTGCCTCTAAGAAATATTTAAATCCTTCATCTTCTAAATTTTCATTATGACTTGGTGAACTATTATCATTTGTTTTAGAGAATAATGATCCACAAGCTAAAATTGAATATAAAAATGGTAAGAATTTTTGTTGTCTATCACCATAATTATAAGGATCAAGAGAATATAATAAATCAACTTCTTCTAATAACAGAGGACGATGATAAAACCTGAATAATACACAAGCTTTATTCCAAGTTGTATAAATTAATTGTAAGGCAATTTCTTTACTTGGTAAATATAATTTAATTTCTTTTCCAAGTGATAAATCATCATTTGACAGAACTGATGATTGTCGATCATGAGAATTAATTGCAATTGGTGACAGCATTGAAGTTGGTTCTAAATATAATTCAGAAATTTCATTTAATGATTGAGTTCCATGTTTAGAATCTACATATTGATGAGCTCTTTGAAATCTTTCAACATCAAAATTAAAATTTAAATCAAAAACATTTAATTTTAATTTTGGTAAAAGAGTATTTATAATATTTTGACAAGCAATTAAATTTCTATTAGGAAACATATCACTTGATAAAGTTGAATTTGAAGCTGCTGCTGCAGCTGCTGCAGCTGCTAATACTGTTGCTGATGGTTGAGCAGGAATTGGTATACCACTATTCTTTTTATTTCTTATATTTGGTTGATCATAAGTACATTTAAATGAATAAACAGTACAATGAATACAAGGTTGTTTACCATCACATTTAACTTTCTTTTGTCGACAATTATCACAAGCTCTGGTAACTCTTCTCCTTTTATTTTCGGCTAATGTTGAACTATTAACATTTGGAGTTGGAGGAAATTGAGATATTGAAGATATACTACTTGAACCATCCTTTGACATTGAAGTCGAATCTATTGATGAAACTGGAGGATAATTATGAATATTGGCTGATGAAAATAAGGTCGTATCTGATAAAGTTGTTGGAGTTATCGAGACATCGGAGTTGGACGGAATTGTGCTCTCGTCATTAATTTCTCTTTTAACCATGATAATTAGTTGGTTATACCTATTGGGGTGGAGGGAGGGGGATTATTAATTGAATACGATAGAAATTTAATGAATGGTGGAAAATGAGCAGATTACAACTGGTGATAACTCTTCAATGATATCAACCAGTTTGTTCTATAAAAAGTATGAGCACAACTTAAACACTAGATTGTTCAGACAAGAATGTTCAGACAATTCCAACTATAACTTATTCAAACTGTAATAACTGAAAATTTAACTACTTCTCCAGTTTTTGGGTATTGTCTTGGCCGTTCCCGTTCTGTCTGATTTTTTCTATGTCCCAACTAATTTGTCAGAAGCTTATTTGAGATAAAAAAAAAATGAGAACTCCGTATTATCTTCCTAATCGGGATCGTATACAGACATTAATATTATTACTTTAACTATAAATATAACTATTACTATTACTACTAAATTTTATAAACAATATAAAAATTACATATAAGTATATATATATATATATGTATATAGATAGATAGAGTATATGATTTAGTTAATTTTAATGGGTTTCTCTAATAAATGTCCCATTCTTTCAATCTTAGTACTTAAATATCCTTCAATTTCTTTTGATTTAATTCCTTCATCTTGATTCTTCCATGCTAATGGTATCATTGGAACTCTTTCAGTAACTTTTACAAGTCTATTTTTACCTTCAACAGCAATAATTTTATCAGGATTATTAGTTAATAATTTAATATCTTCTAATCCTAAATCATATAAAATAGCTGTGGCTAATGAAAAATCTCGAGCATCAGCTGGATGTCTTAATAATAAATTAGCTTGAACTGTATCAGCTCCTAAATCTTGTAAATTATAAGCTTTTAATTTTTCTCCAAGTCCAATACCTCTACCTTCTTGTCTTAAATATACCATACATCCATGACCATTTAATCCCATTAATCTACCAGCTTCATCAAATTGTTCTCCACAATCACATCTTGCTGACCATGCAGTTTCTCCTGTATAACATTCACTATGAATACGTACAAGTATTGGTTCTCCACTATATGTAGTAGATGGTTCTCTAATTAAATCTCCATTATCATTAAATCTTAATTCTAATCCTGCCTTATCATCACGATCAGCTTGTAATCTACCAGGATATAATTTTCCAATATATGCACCTCGAGTCATACGATCTTGTTGAGATTCTCCATCTCTTCTTTTATATAAAGTCTTTGATCTAACATCTTCACCAAATACAATAGCTAAATGTTCTTTATTATCAATATTATTCAGATATAAATGTAAAAAGATTTCTGGACCTTGAGTAGTAGGAATTCTTGCTCTTGCTAAACAATTTACAATGGGTAAATTATCAGGTAAAGGTAATTGATTTCTTAATTCTTGAGATAATTGAGGTAAAGCAGTATTGGCATTATTAAGTATAGATGGTGTGGCAGATGGTGATATTATAGGTATATTATTAAAATCAGGTAATTTATTAGTAGTAGAAGGTATTGGACATTGAATCGGTTGAGTAGTGGAATTATCATTAGTCATTTCTGGATTAGACATTATATGATTTATATATTTCTTAAATTTATTAGTATTATGAATTTATTGATTATTATTTAGTTATTATGATTATTATATTTGAGCTATAGTATATACAAGTAATGACTCAAATAATGACTATACTGTTGTTAAAGCCCTTCGGAATATGTTACAATTATCGGTATATATACTATTCGGTAATGAAAATCTTCGACTCACTTTTTTTCCTCACTTAATTACTAAACCGAGTAGCCCCATACAAATAATACAAATAAATTACTAATAGAAATTCGGTTTGTAATTCCGAGCAGGAGAAAAACTAATTAAGCCGCCATAGTTAGTAATCTCGATGGAGTTACAAGGAAGAGGCTTTACAGTTTACGGTCATTTAATTAACTTATATATAGCTGCAAAATATTTGTTAATTAATTACAGAATGATTTGACTAAATTTGCTAGTTAATAGAAATAAGTTCTAATTTAGCTCATTCCTTTTTAATAAATCTAGTAAAATTTCGATACCAACTAATTGCTCCATCAAGCTAATATGATTCTTAAAATAAGTTGCATGTAACCAGTCCAGCTCTTTGGAATATAAATCTAACCCTAATGATTTGATCAGTGCAGTTCTAAAGAAACAGTAATATCCGAGATCTTCGGCATGTTTCTTTGCAAAATTTTCAAATCTTGTAACTAGTTGTTTAGTAATATGACGACTAAGTATTCTGTAGAACGAAAAGAGGTTATGAAATAAAATGTAACCGACTAAACCTGGAGCATCACTATCAAATCCAAATGCTTTTAGTAATGACTTATTTTTAACAAAACCCGTCGATAAGCAGATATATAATACTGAATCAGCAATTGCAAGAAGAACCAACTTATTAATATGACCATGTTTATAATGACCAAATAGTTGTGCCATATTAGCAAGAACTTCTTTATTTGAGCTAGTTTTAATTAAACTATCAAAGAGGACAATTTTCCTATTCCATGGTAATCCAGTAATGTAGGCGTTTTGGCGTGAAGTTTTTTTTGAGCTATCAATAACATATATGTCTCTTGATGAGAAACCATGTTTAGCTGCCAACTTTATGATTTCATTTCTTAAATTGCCTTGTTCCAAATGGTTGAATTTGAAAAACAATGGATCAATTAAACTTGGAGTAATACTGTAAATGAATATTATATATACAGTAACAAATGAAGTACCATAAATAACATAATTATCTCCACAGTAATCTATAATAACTCCTAAAGATAATGTCAAGATAGCCAGCAACAGATCACTAATGACAAGCAGTAAAATTTTGTCTCTAAGCCAAGATTTCCATTTGTACTTGTTCATACCTAACTCTGATAAAAATGTATAAATACAGTCCAAGCGAAATGATTCAAGATCGCTCCCCAAACGTTGAATACAATAAAATACTAAACATCGAACAACAAGAGAGTTGGTACTGACTGTTGGTAAGGCCCATGAAAATTTCGATAATATAAATCCACTAATAACCCAGAGGTAATATAAAACATTTATCGAGATACTGAGACAGCTTAAGATACATTTATTCAAATTTTTAACAAAGTTGGTTATCAAATCTAACCTAGCCTCGAGTCTATGACATTCGTAGAGATTCACAATAGGCTCTGATTTCAAAATTTTAGGTGGCGTTGGATTATTCAAGAGTTTATATCTATGAATTTCTGAATAATTATCAAATACAAATTTGCATATTAAAATACTAGAGGTAATGAGTTTCCAAGGAATTGAATCATTATCTAAGTAAGACATCAACTGGAACTGTTAATATAAATCATTCCCATAAATCAGTTGGATTATACTCACTGAGGATAAAGGACCCATGATCAGAATTGCACTCAGATGTATTATCTTCAAATAGTAAATTCTTTCTATGACAGTCAAATCCCTTGGGTTTTTATAGTTTTTTAGATTTTTTGCAGCACGCAACAGTAAACAAAAAATTACATAAAGATCATAATTGTTAATTATATATAACAAGTACCAGATATTTATTCAGTTAGAAATGTAATAACTATTTATTAAAGCAATTAGATTCTAGAAATAATATAAACTTTATACAAACAATGAAGAACTAATCTTTTTTAAGTGACTTATCTTCAACATAATCTATAGCAGTTAATCTCTCAACCAAGTCAGGATGATTTTGAAAATATGTTGAATACAACCAATCCAGATCGGTGGCCATTAAATTCAAACCTAATAATTTGATTAACCCGGATCTGAGACTAGAAGAATACCCAATATCTTTGGCATGTTTATCAGCCGTATATTCAAAACTTCTAACAAGCAAGTTACTAGCAAGTTGTTCAATCACTGAAAAAAAGTCAAAGACCTTCTCAAATAATATATAGCCAATAAACCCTGGAGTATTACCATCAAATCCAAATTCTTTAAGTAAGGACTCATTTCCGATCAATCCAGAGGATGAGTAGACCCACAATGCTGCGTCAGCGATACTAAAAATGGTTAACTTGTTAGTATGGCCATATTTGTAGTGCCCAAATTCATGTGCAACTATAGCAACAACTTCTTCATTAGAATGGTCGTTAATCAAAGTGTCAAAGAGAACGATTCTCTTATTCCATGGTAGACCGGTCAAGAAAGCGTTCGAATGAGAGCTCTTTGATGAGCCATCAATGACGTATAAATCTCTTGATGGGAAACCATGTTTTGCAGCCAATTCTTCAATTTCATCTCTCAACTTACCTTGCTCTAATGGAGTGAACTTGTAAAACAATGGTGAAAGGAGACTTGGAGATATAGTGAAAATGAATAAAATAAAAATAGCATAAAATGCAATACCATAAACAACATAATTATCTCCAAAATGATCTATAATAGCTCCTAAAGATAAAGTAAAAATTGACAGAAATATACTACTTATAATAAACAGAAGAAACTTATCCCTTGACCAAGATTTCAAAGTAAATTTGTTGAAGCCAAATTTCTCTTCTATAACAAAGGTCTGGTAGTAATCAAAGGGGAGCGAAATTAATAGATCCACCACCTTTTTAATACCAAAGAAAACAAGACCCTGAGCTATAAGTGAGTTACTGATGCTTATTGGTAAAACTGATGAAAGATTTAATAAAACATCACTACTGATAGACCAGTATTGATGTAATATATTATATTTAATACTAATAACATTAGATATTAATCTTCTCAAACTATTGACAAATTGAAATCTGAAATTAGTCTTAGTATAGTCCTGACTTTTTTGGAAAACATCTAAAGTTATTTCAGATTTCAAAGCTTTGGGAGGAGATGGATTACTCAAGACTTGGTATTGACGATATTTCAAATAATTCTCGAAAACGAATTTACCAATTGAAATACCAATGATGATAGATTTCCAAGGGATGGAATCATTATCTAAAAAGGATAAAGTCTACAATTGTTAATATTTACCATTTATCGCATTGCATCATTTATTTTATACTTACTTGCACGAAAGACATGTTTTGCAATTGATTTCTTGATGATACTCTGAAAAATTCTTTTCAATTCCAGCCACAGGTCTCCATATTTATATTAAATTTCAATTATAATCTTTAGCACATAGTATTCATAGCACACAATCCCTCGGTCCAGTGAACTGTATACTGAGCTGGTGATTCTGAGATTAAGGTTACTGATTAATTTACAATAGGTTTTGGGCAACAGACTGCAGTTCAACTTTAGCCATGTTTCTTAGCATAGAGCCGATAATCAAAACTATATAGAGCCGTGCCTTGAATGGATTTGATTTGCGCCTTTTTTTTGCGCTTAATTTATGTACCCCGTTTAGATATGTTTGCCGATTATACTATATTTGCGTTTATCAAGTAAGGAGTTAGAAAGTGATAAACTTATCTTTATATTAAACGTGTATTCATATATTCTAATTATAAATTTCCTATTTTGGAACCAGTACATTCGCAGGAATTTCAGGAAGTACACCATTCATGTTTTTATTCATACATCGGATAGGAAATGAATATACCAACCTACAGATATGTTATGAATCAATGACCAGAATTTTTATTAGGGGTAAGGGGTTTTTCTATATCTTCTAAAGTGTTGCCATGCAGATGTGAAATTCATAGTATATTGATTACGTGGCCTTATCACATAATCTTGATGATAAGTTGTAAGTATGAGCAATAATAAATGCACTGTGAATGTCGTTAGTTGTATTCAAGTCTGAGCCACCATATCTCTTTAGAAATACTACATCACATCGGTAAAAGCCATGGTTGCGGCTCATTGTACTATTATTACTACACCGAGTTATCTTTGCTTATTTACGCACTAATAAAACAGTCATACCGTCTGATGCTACCTACAATTATACCCACTGGTTGGAATATTCAAAGCTGTTTGGAAAAACTATATTTTCGTGAAAGAGTAAATCACTTCGTCTATAAAAATAAATCAGATAAATATGTTGTAGTTGTAATTCCAGGGGTCATCTTCGTGGACAATTAAACTTTAAAAGTACATTGACAGTCCCGTAAATTGGAAATAGTCGTAATCCTATTAGACTTGTCGATAACTTGTTGTAAGATTACAGCTACTTTCTTCACACTTCTCAGCAAGAAGTTTATCCTCTCAGACTCTGTAAAGTAGACTATAGGCTAATCAATGGTCTTTATCCATTCAATCAAGTCTTGTTCGCTGAAAGTTTTCAATTCAGGTACATACCTATCGATAGGTATTTGCTTCTTCAATAATAACAAAGCTGGTATTTTATCACCCACAACGTATTTCAAAAGTAGTTCGCGTCCTCCTGCTTCATCTGCTAATATATTAACCAAATAAATTTGTTTGTCTTTGAGAGGATACTTTTCTCTATTACTCAATATATCAAACAATGATTGAGTAACTTTGTTACATTCTTCTGTAGCATAAGTAAAGTTAAGTACGATTGGTTGATTTATTAAGATAATGTTAGATAATTCTTCATCGTTAGTCACATAGTTTTCAATGATTCTATTATCCGTTGTGAATTCTTGTGGCTTAGGTGGATATATCAATCTTTGTGAAGTAAACCATTTGAAGTTCAAGAAGAATGATCTTTTGAATGTCAAATGATTTATGGGAGTATTTCTGGATATGATTGGTCTGATCATTATATACTTATAGAAGTAATAAATCTATGATAATTCAAATGAGAAATTGTTCAAGTCAAGATGAAATTCATAGCAACATTGAAAAATTCCAGTGCTAGCTTCTCCACACAAAAATTTTATATACATTCAACTTTTATATTCAATGTTTTAGTTTACTTTTATGAGTTCTTATTCTATTTACAGTCTAAAGGATTATCGTATTATCTCTATATACAGTAATTTTTATTGATAATCAATTATCATCGTTATCCCAACCATTTTTCCATCTCTGTTTCCATAAATTACAATTAAATTTAGGCTTACCTAATTTAACATTTACCTCATTATGAGCTTCACATAACCATTTACCAAAATTATCTTGAGTTTCAACTTTAGGTTCATTCTTATCTATATATTTGACAAAGTCGTCTCGACAAAACCAGCACGGATAGAAATTTCCAAATAATTTAACAAATTGTTTTAAATCTTGTTGTTCCTTGGTGCTTGGATTCTCAGGATAAGTAGCAGCAATGGAATGTAATAATGTCCATGAGGATCTTCCCAATTCCAGAACATCTGGTGGATAATCTTTAGCATAACCTCCAGCTATCTTGTTAGATGTATCTACTGGAGATGCAATGGCTGATTCTGAAACTGTTTTGTTAGAAGTAGAAGGGGGCGGAGATGTTAACTTTGGTTTCATTCCAGCTGTAACAAATTGGAAGTCTTGTAAAGTATTACAAGTTCGACAACTACATGTAATGTTAGTATATTTGTTAATTTGACTAGCTGAGTAATACACTACTTACGGTTTACCATCTTTATCATAAACAATTTTACGACCAGTTACTCCAATTTGGGGCTTCTGGTCTGAATGTGAAGTGGATTCAACTTCTGCTGCAATAGGAGCAGTTGCACTTGGCATTTTAATTGGTGAATGGATGTTGTAGTATGTCTATATAAATGCAATGGCAATATTTCAAATTTATAGATGGCAGGTTATATGCACACCATTGACTTACTGCAAAATTTATGTTAATTCATATTAACTATTATTGTTCATATTGTTTTCGATGTTCTAGAAAAAGTGTAATAGTAGCTTGCTTAATTGAATCTTGTATAATGCTAAATAAGAAATAGTTACAATAATTATTAAGTAAGAATTTAAATATGTCGAATAATCTAAGTTTTTGACGAAATTGGTCGAAATTTGAGGGAAAAATGTTTGTGTATATTAATTAAAGATTTCTTTAGAATATATATGTATAAACTTTACAATAGAATATTAAAAATTATAGCTATAACTATGCAAGAAATTAAACTTGTGCAGATTGCAAATTTTGAATCAAGATTTTACGTTGAGCAATGACTTCATCACATAATTCGCCAATTTCGGGAGTAACAATGGCTGATCTACTATCATAAAACTCACCAAGATCATATTGAAGACCAAATTCTTGTTCATATTCCCAAGCTTGTTGAATCATTTCATACTTATCAATATCTTTAACATATCTTGCTTCTGTTGTTCTTATTTCTTCATAATCTAACCATAATTCAAGAATTTCTTCAGCATATTCAGGATTATAAGGTTTAATTAATGATGCTAAATAATTAATGGATTCTAATTCTCTTCTATGTTTTTCTTCTTTAGTAACACCACCAAATGGAGTAATATCACCAACCAAGGATTCGGCAATATCATGCACAATTGCCACTTTAACACATTTATTGAGATCAATATTTGAATTAGGAATTAACATTGCAATAATCGACATTCTATACATATGATCACTAATACTTTCCACTTTTCTAGGTGGAATACCTCTATCGAGCCAACCAGTTCTCTTTTGAGTCTTTAAAAGTCTTACAATTTGAATAAATGCTAATATATAGTTGATCCTTGCATTAGGATGATCTGGAATTAATAACTTTTTAATATTGGACGGTACAGCACTTTCTGCTGACCACCTTTTCTTAGCAGTAGCTCTTGTCCTAGAATTAGATCTACTACGAGGACTTTCTGGAGAAGTTGGAACTGTAGCTGCTGTTGACATATTTAATCTTGGAACTCTATTCAATACTGAGTACAATGGCAATATCGGCGATGACGACTTCAAAATTACTGACTCCACAAACCCTCTTCTTCCAATGCTATTTCTGGCAATGGTATTGATCATATATGTGTATTAATCTCTATAGTAATTAGTAAAGAACTAAGTGACTTATTATGATAGAGTAAACAGTTATACCGATAACTGCAAATTGCATATTAGAGAAATCGATCCGTTGGTAGATGAGTATATTAATTTGGGGAAAAACAAAACACGGGATCGCAGACATCCATACCGCAGTACATAAGCAAATTTTTCTCATTAAATAATTATATGGTACCTACTATTATTAACTACTACATTCAAAGTTATACTATTAAAACGTTATAATGATTATTATATTTTTTGGGTTATTTCTACTATACACTGTATTATCTCCTAAAGTTATTTAAAATAATATATATGACAAAAAAGGAGATAATATTTTAAGTATAATATAGATATGGAAGGGATGATTGTACAAATTTAAATTAAGCAACTAATTCAACAACACCACCAACAGCTCTGATCTTTTCTTCAGCTAATTTAGAAACGAATCTGGCCTTGACAATGACTGGGACTTCTGGTAATCTACCTTTACCTAAGACCTTACCGTAACCGTGAGCTAAGGTGTCAATGACTGGAGCAGCAGAAGCAGAGGCTGATTTTAAGTATTCATCTCTCTTTTCTTCTTCAACTAAAGTCCATAATTTGTCTAAGTTAATTTCTGGTCTCCAGAATTGGTTTTGTTGCTTGTGGAAGTATCTCATACCAACCTTACCGAAGTAACCTGGATGGTATTTATCTAAATTGGTTCTGTGATGATGTTGACCACCAGCCTTACCTCTACCACCGGGATGCTTTCTGTGCTTACCGACTCTACCTTTACCGGCTATAATTAATTTTTGTTAGTATTTCGTTTAAGTTATAGATAATTTTATCTATTATTATTGTCACATTACTGAGTTATTGATATAATTTATTCTTCATTCTACAAAACTCCTGTGATAGTCAGTGGATGATATTCTTATTTTAAATTCATATAGTAGTTTCTTAGTTTTGGTAGTAGTAAATTTCTAGTGTGGTTGAATGATACATTAAAATTTTCATTTATTGATGGTTTCTTTATAGATAGTACTACGCTGAGTTACCCTTGAATCAGAAAATGATTATGAGATAAATGTATTATACTAATGACTTTGATATTATAATGTGAATTATTAAACTTTTTTTATGATAATGTTTTACATATTCTTGACACTTATTTTATATGGTTCAATCTCCTCTATGAATGTGATAATATAATATTAGATAGGTTGATGGATTCACTCCGGATTCATTTGATTACATACCTGAGACATTACCTCTGTGTTTTCTGGTCTTAGTTAATCTGGTTGGCATTGTTGATGTTATAAACCTGGTTAACAGTGAAGTTGAAAGAAAGAAATCTATGTAAAACTGTCTTTGCTTAAATTGAAAATTGATAAATTTTTTCCTCTTCGTTTTCCATCCTCACTCACTCTGGTACATACAAAAAGTTTTAACTACGGGAAAAATTGTTAGTGCGGGTGTGTGTGCAGGACTGACACCATAATAAAAAAAGTTAACTATGGAGATATGTTTGTTAGGGCTGTGAACCCTAGACTAGACTGGAGGCACGTGAGAGAACCATAAATTAAATTTTTAAAAGTCCAGTTTTATTCAACTATTTTGTTTAGCACTTACATTTCCTAATGCGGTAATATGACTGTGAATCATCATTAGCAAAACATAGATTTATCAGCAACCTAAATAGTGATACTATATATATATATATATACATAATACGTATATAATTCACATTAATTAATTTACTTAATTATGGCCGAGCCAGACTTCTTCATATGAATGAAGTCCCTTGGTTTCTGGTATATACTTTTTAACAAACAAGTAACTGAGGATACACATAAATGTAAATATGAAATAAACCCCACCACCAATCCAAGAATTCTTTAATATTGGGAATATAAATCCTACTATAAATGTAGCCAACCAATTCATAGTTGTACCCCAACTTTGTGCCAGACCTTTAGCTTGAGGTTGAGTAACTTCTCCAACTAATAAGAATGGTATAGGACCCAATCCGATAGCAAAGAATGTAATATAGGTAAATGTACCAATTATTGATATTAAAGAATTGGAATATATTATTCCAATACCCATTAGAGTGGACAGAATTCCTAAAAACAGAACCGATATCAATAATAATGGTTTTCTACCCAATCTATCAACGATAGTTGCTGAAACAAATGTAACAACAACATTGACCACTGATATTAAACAATTAATAATAATAGAATGATTAGGGAAAATAGATATTAATACTGATACTCCATAAAAAATTATTGAATTAATACCATCAAATTGTTGAAAGATTAAAATACCTGTGGCAACAATCTTAGAATTATTATATTCGGGATTTACTAAATATTCTTTTAATGTAACTGCTGAAGATTCTGATTTTGGAATAGGTTCACCTTCTTCTAATGCTCCTCCTGAATCACTATCACCAGCCATTAAACCTCCACTTTCAGCACTTGAATTTGAGGTCTTCCAACTATTAACTTCATTAGTAGAATCACTATAACTTCCACCTCTCAATCTATGAAGAACAGTAAACGCCTGAGTATGATGACCATTATTTGATAACCAAACTGGAGATTCTTCAACATAAATTAATACTAAAATAAATGTTATCACTGAAAGTATAGTTCCCATAAATAATAATAATCTCCATGAATTATTGGTACTCCAAGATAAAGATAACAATTGAGTAAATAATATCCCGATATTAATACTGAATTGATTCATTGAACCTAATAAACCTTTAGAATTTGCAGGAGATATTTCATTAATTAATAAGGATGTTATAACAATAGCTGCACCAGCTCCTAAACCACAAACAAATCTTCCAAATAATAAAGCAAAATAATCATTACTAAGACCATTGATAGTAGAACCAAAGAAAAAGAATACACAATGTAATAAACTTGCTTTCTTTCTACCAATTGAATCAGCAATAGAACCTATATAAAGTGAACCAACTAATCCACCAATACTAAATATTGAAGTAACTAAACCAATTTGTTCAGGACCTAAAGGAATACATTGAACAAATCCATGTTGACCAAACCAAGAATGTTTATAAGCAACTTTACCAGGAACTGATCTACGACATGAAAGAACTAATTCGGGAGAATTTAATTCTGCCATATGATAACCAAATTGTAATGATCCTAAACATATAATTGCAACTGTAGTAATTAAGTTAGCCGTAAGACCGGACTTTGAACTTGGTGAAGCCATTAGGAATCACGCTTAATCCAGATAAATTCTATACAATAACCCAATACAATCAAATCAATCAAATAAATAAATTAAATTAAATTAAATTAAATAAAATAAAATTAAGTAAAATTAAATAAACTCAATAAATTCAAATCAAATCAAACACCGTATACTTTAACACAAATTAGGAAAACGTAATCTCGCACTATCAAATCCCAAATTAGCTTGCTGTGGGTGCCCCGTTCCATCCCCCACAAAAGGACTGTACAAATTGGCTGCGGAATATTTACTTTAAAGGGGACATAAAAAATATATATACAGTATACATATAAATGGGTCGTAACGTTTATTAATAGTACAAATATAATTAATAAGTAGTCTATATTATGGGTAAGAAATTTCCTATTATCATCATAGGTATACCAAATACATCTCTCTTTAAAGTCCACATACATCCAGTTCTAATTTTTACATCGGATTTAGGAGTTAATAAAGTACATTCAGTCATAGTTGCACCTAAGAAATCTCCAAAGGCAATTCTCAGAAATAATTGAAAATATTCTACAACTGATTTATCATCAAGTAATTCAACAATAAATTTTCGTTGTTTACCAACTAATTCTTCTTTTGGCCAACCAGTTAATACACAAAATTCATTTCCAACATATGCAATCTCTCCTGTTCTTCTCCAAACAATTGTAGGAGTTCCACTAACTCTAATAAAATTATCATAAGTTAATAAAGTTCTTTGAAAACATTGTTCCATAAATATAAGATCTCCTTCTTTTAAAGAATTTGTACATGCAATAAATGATGGTCTATATGTAGCCATACTTTCTGCCATTTTAACTAACATTGGTTTAGGAAATCTTTTTCTTAAATAAGCAATTAATGAATGATAACCTGGAGTATATGAAAATGGTTTTTTAACTTTAGCATAAATTTCTTCTGGTTCTTTAAAGAAACTTTCATATTCTTCCTTTGAATAATGGGAATCTTCAGGAACTATCCCAATAGTAAATGATAATGCCAGTTTAGAATTTCTCTCAAAATAAACAGCTGGATCACTCAGTTTCATAACATTTATAGCAGTAATTACATCAGGATAAAGCAGAATATGATCTCCATCTGTAGGTCCAAGAAAATATTGATTAATAGATTCATCACATTTAGGATATCGAGGATGATCATAAATTTTACTGGCATTTACGGAAATTCTTGATTGAGTTTTATCATTGGGAGATGGAGTTTGTGAAGGTCCAGAAATATATGGTGATATGGGTTGAAGGCTAGCAGATTTTGGTAAATAATGAATATCATTAGGAGAATTAGCACTTTTACGATTAACATTATTTGATGCACTTGTACTTAAAGTATGTGGAGATAAAGCAGGAGATAAAGTTATTGAATTTGGAGTTCCTTCATTTGAGGTAGCTGAATGAGCTACATGCATGAAATTATCTTGAAGTATACTAGATAAGGTAGAATATTCTAGATCAGCAGCTGAAGAAAGGAAATTAGTTCTTCTAGATTTTGGTGGGACATTTTGTAATGAATTTTGATTATTTTGAGGATATGCATTTGATGATTGAGGTGGTACCGGAAGGGGCATATTTGATTGGATATGTTCGGACTTAACTTGTCCATTACTCGGTTGCGGTATTATTTGTTGAGGAACTTGATTTACTTGTTGAACTTGTACTTGAACTTGAGATAATTGTGGTTGAGGTAATTCCTGATCATAACTACTTGAAGAATATAAGAAATCTGATCCTGTTCCCATACCATAATTAGATGGCATAGTTGCGCTATGTTGAAAAGTTGTTGCTTGGAATCTTCCTGGATCATTATTTAATCCAATTATATTAGAATTATCTATAGTTGTTGTATGCTTTAAATGATTAGGTTTTAAAGCATTATTAGGAACATCAGCCAAATACTTCTTTCTCTTTCGGGGTGCATCTTCACAAGATTTCTCAAGTCCTCTTTGAATGCATCTCTTACATGGCCGACTGGTGTCACATGTCATATGTGCCTTATGACAATGATTACATGCTCTTGAAGTTTTCTTACGTTTCTATATTTTTAATTTAGTTAGTAACGGAACGGATCTCCACCTTAAAAAATATATATATATAATTACTTATATCTATACATACCGGTTTAGAATCCGAGGGAATATCTTCGGATGAAGCACTCTTGAATTCTGACTCTCTCTCACTCATTGGTACTGCACAAATGTCACCCTTCTAATAATAATCAATAGTCATATAACTGATCATTAACTGTTAGGAATTCCAATATAGTTTTACTGTTACTCCGATACTTGAACCCACAAATTTGTATGCGCAATACGACCAAACAATTATCCTAATTAGGTGAGAAATTGAGAAAAATGCGGGTCACGTGATATTCTCCAAATTACATAGTATTGAAATTTTTTTTACTCTTACTCTTACTATAGTAAGATATCGACACTATATAAAATATTTAGGTATATCATATATCATATTGTATATAATAGAATAGAATAGATAATGGCTGATTTCCTTACTACTTTTGAAAAATTATCCTTAAAGGATATTTCAGCTGTTGATGAATCCAAATTTGGTCCATTGACTGATGAGCAAAAGGCATTATCATCTCAATTTCAAACCTTATCTGGTAGATTAAATGAAGTTGAATCTTTAACTGCATTAAATGATAATTTAAGATCAAAGACTTTTATTGTTGGTACTATTCCTTCTAAGGCCGACTTTGTTGTATTTGAAAAAGTCTTCCCATTATCATTCAAATGGACCAGTGGTGATGATTTAGCCAAGTATAGACACATCATCAGATGGGTTGATTTATTTCAAACCAAATATGTTGATGTTCCTGAAGCTGAAAAGTTAAAGATTGACTATGACACTCCACTTCCAAGAGAAGTTAAGGAAAAGAAGAAGCCTGCCGCTGCTGCCGCTGCTGCTGCTGCTCCAGCCGATGCTAAAGCTGCTAAAGCTGAAAAGTCTGCTTCTCCAGCTCCAACCGGTGAAAGAAAAGAATTAACTGAAGAAGAAAAGAAACTTAAGGCTGAAGCTGCCAAAGCCAAGAAGGCTGCTAAAGCTAAGGCTAAGGCTGATGCTAATGCTGCCAAAGCTCCAGAAGCTGCTCCAAGTCCAGCATTAATTGATTTTAGAGTTGGATTCATTCAAAAGGCTGAAAAACATCCAAATGCCGATTCCTTATACGTTTCTACTATAGATATGGGAGATGAAGAAGGTCCAAGAACCGTATGTTCAGGTTTAGTTAATTATTTCCCTCTTGAAGCTATGCAACAAAGATGGGTAGTTGTTGTTGCTAATTTAAAACCAGTTACTATGAGAGGTATTAAATCATCAGCTATGGTATTCTGTGCTTCTAAAGATAATAAAGTTGAATTCATTAATCCTCCAGCCAATTCTAAACCTGGTGAAAAGATTTTCTTTGAAACTTATGATGGTGTACCAGAGAAACAATTAAATCCAAAGAAGAAAGTATGGGAAACTGTTCAACCAGGATTTTCTACAAATGAAAATTTCGAAGTTACATACACTTCTGAAGGTAAGGCTCCAGTTAGATTAGTTAATACAAGAGGTGAACTTTGTAAGAACACTACCATTGTTGGAGCTGAAGTTAAATAGTTAGACACAAATTGTTATTGTTCCATAGATAATGAAAACTTACGTAGTGCGCACCATTTTTTTCCAGCCTGTAATGAGCATGTAATTATGCTTACTGCTCACTGTAATAGTCAATGATTAATTGTTAGCTACTTAATTAGTACAGTTAGTTGATTAGTAACAATGATAGTGAAGAATAAAGTTAAACTTAAAGATAAGAATGTGGCATTAACACTTGTACCTCAAGATTCAGAAGATCTTTGGTATTTATATAATTTACTTCGAGTAGGAGATACAGTTCATGTATTGAGTCATAGAAATGTTAAAAAGGGTAATCAAGCTCAAATACAAAAGGGGAAGAGTAAGATGGAGAAAATCTTAGTAAAATTAAAACTTTTAATTGAAGATATTGATTATATTGCATCTGATAATACTATGAGATTAAGTGGTAAAACTGTTGAACCAAATGAATATGTTCCATTAAATAGTTATCATACTGCTGATATAGAATTAAATAAAGATCTTACAATTCTTAAAGAAAATTGGGATGAATATGATATGTCAATACTTGATGATTTATGTTCAGTTGAAAAGAAAGCAGATATTGGTGCAGTTGTATTACAAGAAGGTGTTGCACATATATGTTTTATTACTGAAACAATGACAGTACTTAAATCAAAAGTTGAAAAATCAATTCCACGTAAAAATCCTCAATATGGAACTAGAGATCTTGATAAAGCAATGAATACATTTTTAAGTATGGTACTGGAAACTATGATAAGACATTTTGATTTTGATAAATTAAAAGTTATACTATTAGCTTCACCAGGATTTTTAGCTAAATCATTATTTGATAAAATAATGTTAGATTGTCAAACTAGTCAAAATTCAGGTGAAAATAAAGTTTATAATAGTATTTTAAAGAATAAATCTAAATTTGTTATTGCTCATTCATCTACTGGTTATTTACAAGGTTTAGAAGAAGCACTTCAAGATCCTCAAACTAAGAAAAGACTTAGTGATACTAAATTTTCTGAAGAATCTAATGCACTTTCAGATTTTCATAAGGCTTTAAATGATGATGATGGAAGAGCATGGTATGGATTAGAAGAAGTTAAAAAGGCAATCTATATGGATGCTGTACGATACTTAATGGTAACTGATCAATTATTTAATAATGATGATGTTGAAACTAGACGAATGTATATTGAATTAACAGAAACTGCCAAAAAGAATGGAGCTCAAGTATTTATCTTTTCAAGCTTACATGAATCAGGAGTTCAACTTAATCAATTGACTGGTATAGCGGCATTATTGAAGTATCCTGTTCCTGATTTAGATGAGTCTGAAGATGAAGATGAAGATGAAAATGAAAATGAAGACAATGACGAATAGATTAGATTAGATTAGTTTCTTTATTCCTTTATTCTATGTACATAAACTTAAATAGATGATATTTACAAACTGACAATAGATTTATCATTATGTTTTGGATTTTTAATGCCGAGTTTATCGAGATACCATACATTCCCCCCTCTGGTAAAGATTAATAAATCTTGAGTTATTCCTAAACTTAGACCCATTGCAGAACCTTTAAACATATACTTCTTAACTTGAACCGCACTTAAATTATTATAAATACCATATATACCAGCAAATATCGTACTTGCAGTCATAGTATTAAATAAATCAATTGTATCATGACGAATATACTTATCTATTAAATATTCTAATCCAAAGAATCCTCCTACCATAAATGTATATTTAAATCCATGTCTTAAACCTGTTTGAACTCCATTTACAATCATAACATAATTCTTTTTCTTATGATAGAAATACCATCCACCTACTGTTCTTGGTAATCTATGACCATTCTCAGTTAAATATCTTATACTAGCTAATTTAGTTCCTTCATAAAATCCGGTAAATCCTCCTATTAAACCAGCAGTTATTGCAAATGATTCAAGTCTTTCATATGGAAATAAATGAAATCGTTCATTTCGTCTTATATCCGGTGGTCCAATCTCCACTGCATCTATTTTTGACATTGTTGATAGTCCATATCAAATAGTCTGGTACTACTGTAAGCCTCTGAAAATTTATTAGTATCGCGGAGATTTGTTAGTGTTCGCACCCATAAAGTATGAGATTATATACTAAAGCCATATACCAATAGATAAAGCTGTAGTACGAAATACAGTACATAAAGACATACTGCATTATATAGTACCCAATCAGTTAAACCCATAAAATCAGTATTATTCAGTATTCAGTATTGTTCAGTATTATTCATAATTGTACAGAGAAAGTCACTACATAGTACACTGGTCAGATAAAACCCAATATATATTCCATAAGTATCACAAGAAAGAAAGTATGAATTACAAATACACAGTATTACTTATTGATCTAATATAGATTTAACAAATTCAACATAATCAACATTACCTTCAGAAGTAACATTGACACCTTTCAAAAGTTCATCAACTTCAGAATCAGATAATTTTTCTCCAATAGATGTTAAAATGTATCTTAATTCTCCAACTCCAATATAACCGGTTTGTTCTTTATCAAATACTTGAAATCCCTTTATATAATCTTCTGGTAAACCCAATGGTTTAAAACCATCTGGTCTATTAATGATTTTTTGATAAGTATCAAAATCAAAATCATTAGATGGAATAGTACTTTGTAATTCAGAAATTTCTGCTAATGTAGGATTTTGACCTACTGCTCTTAATAAATCACCTAAATGTTCAACAGGAATCTTACCTGTACCTTTCTTGTCAAATAAGGCAAATGCGTCCTTGTAAGTTTTAGTATTTTGTGACTATACAATGGGGTTTAGTTAGTAATTGTTCCAACCATCTTAAATATATAATGTCCAGTAAGTAATACACTGATTATTTACTCAATGAAATACATACCATAATCTTGAGCTATTCTTTAAGTTACTTAGTACTGAAGTAGTATTGTTGATTCGGTTGTTTCAGGACAAATTTTTGTTGTTTTTGTAAACAAACAGTGATTTGGACGACGCGCACTACCTCGTCTCATATACACCACTCTACCTATAAATGGATAACTGTATAGTACTTTGATACAGGCAATGTACCATGTACTATATGATATGATATGGTATGGTATGTGATATTATATGATATTATACGATATATCATATGGTATTATACTATAAACATGTGTAGGGACTGTTGGCTGTTGTATACAAAACATAGATCTGACTGGACCGTAGATGTTAGTACTTAAACACTTGACACTTGAGCAATATTGTTAAAACATGGGTGTTGTAGGTGTATTAGATACCACAATGAACGCACTAGCTTACAATTAGACTATGAAAAAGTTTAACTACAGGTTAGAACGTACACTAAGCTGCTTCAACATACATGAGGTACTCTCCACCACCACTACTACTAACTACACTAACTACTAACTACTACTAACTACACTACTACTAACTACACTACTACTAACTACTGATTAAAAACTATATATTTATCTATTACTAAACTTATGGATCTTGTATACTCTATTCTCTTTTCTATTCTCTTCTCTATACTATTTACTTGTTCCACATCCTTTCTTATACTTAGTACTCTTGATAGTTACGCATCTGGTAATGCCCACATATACGCGTTTCAAATCAAATATCTCACCCCCAACTAATACTAACTTTTACTAACACTACAATAAAACTATAAAGACTAACATTATGAGTGCTGATATTATAGATACATTCATTCGTGAAGATTCAGTTATGAATGGCAATAAACGTCGAAGAGTCGAAGTAAATAAAAATCAATTTCGTCCGGGGTATATTGAAAAGGTTAAAGTAAGTAATTTTACAACTTATTCAGAAGGAGAATTTAATTTATCTCCATCACTTAATATGATTATAGGACCAAATGGTACTGGGAAAAGTACTCTTGTAGCAGCCATATGTTTAGGATTAGGAGGGAAAATTGATTTAATAAAACGAAAGAATATGAAAAGTATGATAAAGACAGGACAAACAAGAAGTATAATAGAAATTTGGATTAAAAATTATGATAATGAACCATCAATTATTATAAAGAGAGAATTTACTGATAAAGAATCTCGATGGAGTATAAATAATCGACCAGCCAATGAAAGTAAAATTAAAGAAATTCGTAAAAAATTTAATATTCAATTAGATAATTTATGTCATTTCTTACCCCAAGAACGAGTAGCTGAATTTGCTGGGTTAAGTCCTGAAAAACTTTTACTTGAAACTGAAAGAACTTTAGGTGATGGGCATTTATTAGAATCTCATCAAGATTTAATTCGAATGGATAATGAATCTCAAACTATTCTGTCGAATATTGAAGATATTGAAATAAGATTAAATCAATTATTAGAAGAAAAGAGTAAATTAGAAGAAGAAGCTAAACGATTTGAAGAATATGAAAAGAAATTAAAACAAATTGATTTACATAATAAATTAATCCCTTATGCTCAATTATTAGATTTAAAGAAACAAAAGGAACAATTACAAAGAGATACTCGAGCAGCAAAAGATGCATTAAATAAATTCTCCGCTAGTATTGAACCAGCTATAAATCAAGTTCAACAATTTTGGGAACATGTTGAACAATGTGTTAAAGTATCAAAACAATTTCAAGATGAAGAAATTGAAGTTAAATCAAGAATAGATAATGCAAAATCAGATTTAAATAAAATTAAAGATAATATAGATTCTTTAAAGGGAAGTATTATAACTTGGAGAAAACGATCATCTGAAAGTAAAATTCAATTAGATAAATTAAGAAAGGATAAATTATTACTTGAAGAAGCTTTAAATGATATTGAAGATATTGATGATAATTTATTTCAAGAAATTCGAAAAACTCTTCAAAATAAAAATGAAGATAAAAATAATATTGTATCAACTATTGAACAACTTGAATCTGAATCAAAACCAATTGCTAGAAATATTGATCAACTTGAACGGAAAAAGGTTGAAATTCAAAATCGTTTAAAAGGTAGTGATAAATTAGCATTATTAGAACATTCAGAAACTAAAAATACTCAAAGAGATGTTGCTTATAATAGTCATGTACGATTAAGAATGACATCCGAATTAAAAAATCATTATTTTGAATGTCCTATAGTTAGTTGTACAGTAACTGATGTTGATTTTGCCAAAGTATTAGAAAAAGTTGTTGATAATAATTCATTATTTTCAATAACAACAACCAATAATGAAGATTTTAATTTAATTCGAAAATTCGCCGAAGAAATTAAAATTAATTTCCCCATTAGATTAACTGATGTTAAGAATATTCCTCAACCAGCCATTAATGTTGAACAAATTAAAGCCTTTGGATTTGATGGTTATCTATCAGATTTTGTTGAAGGTCCCAAGGAAGTTTTAAGTATGTTATATGATACATCAAAAATTTATAATATACCAGTTAGTAAACAACCATTTACAACATCACAAATTGATAAATTAATTAAAAATGGTAGTGGTTATATACCATTTATGAAATTTATTGCAGGAAATATAATGTATAATATTAATAGATCAAGGTATGGACTGAAACAAATCTTTTATACGACTGAACAAATTGATGATGCAAGATATTTTAATTCTAAAGGTTTAAGTGAAGAAACAAGAATTCGATATAATAATCAACTTCAAGAAGTGAATAATCAAATTAAACAAGAACGTATAAAGCTTAGTAATTTTCAAAATAGTATAACTACTGCTAAAGAAGAACGTCGAGCTATTCAACATGAAATGGAAAAACTTGTAAATAAATCCGATTCTATTAAAGCATTAAAGAAGAAAAAGACTGCATTAGAAACCAAATTATCTAATAAAAAGGAAGATATTGCTAAAACTATAAGAATTTCTAAACGAGATTATAGTGAAAAAATCGATAAAGCTTTACAAGAAGTGAATGCAAAATATTTAGAAAGTTCACAACAAATGATTAAAATATCTAATTATATTCAAGAATTGACTAATTTAACTATAGAAACTAATATGAAGAAATTTGCAGTAATTGAAGCTAAAAATAAGCATACAAAGGCTCAATCTATGCTACAAGATTTAGAGAGTGAAAAGGAAAGATTACAAGAAGAATATCATATACTTAAAGAAGAGTATAGTAAAATTAAAAAGGGAGATGCAGCCAAGAAAATTGAAGAACAAAGTCGATCTTATACTCAAGAAGAACGAGCAGATTTAGCAGAATTAGCCCAAATGTATAAAGATAATGAGGAATTAACAGAAAGAATTATTCGAGAAAAGATTTCTATATTAGAAGATGAAAAATCCGTAATGGCCACGGCTGATCAAAGTTCAATTGAAACTTTAAGAAGAAAACTTAAAGAGATTGAAACAGCTGGTAGAGAATTACCTCGATTGAAAACTGCTAAGGAAAGATTAGATGAAAGAATTAAAACTATTCAAGATTCATGGGAAAGTGAATTACAAGCATTAGTCAATCAAATCTCTCTTTCATTTAATAAAAGATTTACAAAAGTTGCTAGTGATGGACAAGTTGAATTAGCAAAAAGTGAAAGATTTAAAGATTGGAAACTTCAAATTCTTGTTAAATTTCGAGAAGAATCTGATCTTAAGATTTTAGATCATCAATCTCAATCAGGAGGTGAAAGAGCAGTATCTACTATCTTTTTTATAATGTCATTACAAGGATTAACTGATGCACCATTCCGAGTAGTTGATGAAATTAATCAAGGAATGGATCCAAAGAATGAAAAGATGGCTCATCGATATTTTGTTCATACGGCTTGTCAAAATCAAAATTCTCAATACTTTTTAGTAACTCCTAAATTATTAACCGGATTATATTATCATCCTGATATGGTAGTTCATTGTATTTATACTGGTCCATTAATAGAGGCACCAGAAGAACTGACATTACTGACAGGATTTATGGATTTCACTAAAATCTATTAGATTAACTAGAACCTAGAACCTATATACATATTAATCTATATATACTTTAATGATTCCTTTATTCTAGCTTGATATTCTTTCTTACCAATAATATGTAAAAGGATTGGAATAGTTAAACCTGATGTACCACCAGCAAGGGCATATCGTAATGATTGAAATACATGTTTCTTTGAAACATCAGGGAGTCTCTTGAGTACTTCATCAATACTCTCATAAGTTTGAAAACATTCAAGAATATCACGAGCTTGACTTGGTAACTTTTTAGTATCAATACTAGTATAATCAATTGATTCATACAAGTATGAATGTTTAGTAAAGATTTCATCTAAACAATCTACACTTGGACCTACTTCTCTTACAATGTCTTTAACTTGAGCTTTATCAATTGAACTGGTTGTATGTTGTTGGAATTTAGGATAAAATTCACAAACTAATTCATCTAATCTACTATCATCCTTTACAAGATTATTCATATGATGTCTATTGAAGAAATATAATTTTGAATCATTAACTTTAGCATTGCCTCTAGTTAAGTTATCTAAGGAGAATTTATTGATTATTTCTGATAATTGCATAACTTCAGTAGAACTAATTCCTGGTGTATCTCTTACAGCAGACCAACCAAATAAAGCTACAAAATTTATTACTGCTTCTGGTAATATTCCCTTATCTTTCATAGTAAGAATCCCTATATCTCCTAAACGTTTAGATAGTTTTTTATCTTCTAAAGATGTTAATAATGGTATATGAACAAATTTAGGTTCTTGCCAACCAAAGGCTCGATACATAGCAATATGTTTGGGAGTTGAAGGTAACCACTCTTCTCCACGAATTACATGAGTGATTTTCATAAGATGATCATCTACAACATTAGCAAAATGATAAGTAGGTAATCCATCTGATTTCATAATAACAAAATCATCATATCGTCTATCATTAACATTATATTGAGGTTGAATATCCAACTTTCCATGAACTAAATCCGTAAATGGTTCATATAGGTCAGGTGACTTAAATCGAATAACTGACCCTATTGAAGGTTTAGGTTTAGGTTCAGTAGGATGATGTAAACATTTTCTATCATAACTTACAGTAGTAGGAGGTTTTAATTGTGCAGCAGATTCTCTTAATTCAAGCAACCTATCCTTTGAACAATCACAATAATAAGCATGGCCCTTATTGACTAATTCTTGAGCATATTGTGCATATATTTCCTTTCTAGAAGATTGACTATATGGTTCATAAGGTCCTCCCCGTATAGGACTTTCATCAGGAATTATTCCACACCATTCAAGTGTATCATATATATTTTGTTCTGCATCTGGTACAAGTCTAGTCTGATCAGTATCTTCTAGACGTAATAAGAATTGACCTCCTGTATTCTTAGCCAATAAATAATTATATAATGCTGTTCTTAAAGATCCTAAATGTAAGTATCCAGTAGGAGATGGTGCAAATCTCGTTCGAGCTGGTTGTGTGGGGTGAATTGATGTCTTAGTAACTTTTAGCAGTCCCAGTTTTGGACTTATTAAACTACTGAGTCGTGGCAGACCCGTTAGTCCACTAAGTTTTGAGTATAGTCTTATTTGCATAAGTGTTGTATAAGCTACTTTTGTATTGGCATACTACAGTAGTTAAGAGTGAAAAATTCCTGGAGGTATCTGTGAAGCCATTTTCCTGCACCCAGACCCAAAAATGTTGCAACAGGACAGGCAATACATAGTAGCATGAGGAAGAGAGAGAGAGACAACGATAATCAATTGGTTATTGAATGGTACTGGATACTGCTGGGTTAGTGAGTACAAAATAATTCAATGGTATCTTTCAGTACTGATCCAATGATATATGCTAAATATGTTCGGTACCGATAGTGGAAATAGATTCAGTACATTCTAGTGATGTACGCTTAGTGGCATATTACTGGAAATTACTGGAAATTACTGAAACTTATCTGGAACGATATGTGGGCCCATGTAGTGAAGCTTAAATTGAAATTTGCCATTACCAGTGGCAAACAGCTGTAGCAGCTCAGTAAATTAATTCCGTACTAGTGCTACTCCCTGCATGCGGCTGTTGCTACTAATTTAGGGAGGAAAAAAAATCAAAACAGGGGGCAGAAGAAGATACGGATAGGGAGGCAAATAGTCTATAATATATAATATATAATATATAAGACCATTAAAAGTTTCACTTGTGATAGTCATAGTAATAGTTTCAATAATTGTATAGTAATTAATAAAAATATTTCCTAGTAATTAATTAACGTTTATATAATGTGTTTTCCAGGGGACAGAAACAGAAAGTCTAGTAATTCAGATGATGCAACTAATCAAACTAATGATCCAGATATGGATAAATTAGTTGCAAACATTGAGGATTTCAAACGGAATTTTAGTAGTGTTACCAAATCAATTTTCAATATAACCAATGAGTCATTGAGTCAATTCAATGACATTGCCAAAGACTATTCATTCAATTGGTTATTTGATCTTGATCGTGATACTGATACAACTACAGAAGATTTTAGAAAGAGTTTTAAGGATTTCTTAGCCAAAGATGGTGATTCACCATTTGAAGAAAGTCAAGATAAAGAATTTGAATATCCAAGTCAATATGAAGTTAGAAATTCTTATTCCAAAGCAGTTGGTGCTGGTGATAATGTTTCAGTAAATCCATTTATTGGTGGAGGATTTCGTGATTTTTTTCATGGGAACTTTAGAAGTGGTAAATCTCCATTTGGTTATTATTCTTATAAGGCTCCTTCCATTAGATATTATAATCAATGTGTTAATAAAGGTGGTGAATCTGTTTGGGATGCTAAGGGATACTGGAGATGTTTATTTCCCAATAGTGAAATTCCGGTTGAATTATTAAATTACAAGCAAGAAAAGTTATCTGATAGAATTCTTACTAAGGAAGATTTAAATAATGCTATTCAAGAAAAGGGGGTAAATAGTAAAGATGGGGTCATTGATCTTGGAGAAAAGGGGGTATTTTTCCACAAGTTTGAAGATTACTTGAATTGGAAGAGTATTATGTATGACAATGTTAAAAAGGACAGAATTAGAAGAAGAGGTCACTGGAAAAAGAAGTTGGAGGATGCTAAAGACAAATTGCTTGTCCAAGACAACAATAATGCGAAAGAGCCAGTTAAACAGCCAGTGAAAGAGTTTGTTAATGAACCAAGTACTGAGAAAAAAGTTACCTCTACTGTTGTAAGCTCTCATTTTCATACTAATCCTAATACAAATGAAGTAGAATTCAATGAGATTAGAAAGGAGTACTTTACAGATGGTACATCATTGACTAGAAGAATCAAGAAATCCAAGCCTGTCGAGGCTGACGATTGGGTCAATATCAATGAGACCATTGAGTCTGGTGGAGTTAAGAAGGCGTTAAGTTCCGCAGCTCCAGCTCCAGCTCCAACAACAACCCCCGCAACAAACGAACTGAGTGGCGGTTGGTTCTGGAACTCGGGAAAGAAGTAGTCTTTTTTTATATTCATATATCATATACTGTGGTGGATATGGTTTGGTTCTTAGGTTAAATAGGCGTGTATATATTTTGTTAGTTGTATGTAATGAATTGTTTTATTTGAATTGTGTCGCGTGGTAGCGCGCGGAGGGAGCCAAGGAAGCCGCACCGTCACCTAAACACAAACATGCGCCAACAGTCTAAATCCCAATTGCCTATGGTTCATACACCATTGCCTACGCTCCCCACAAATTTAGTGTTAGTGTTAGTGTCAGTGTTATCAATAGTGGTATACTCACATATACGCAGTACGTTCTAGATTTACCACACAAACAATTCAAAGTCAGTGGCCAACTCATTCCCATCTCAAGCACTATCCTTACCTTACCCTACCCTACCCTAAATATTCATAGATGAATCCTTTAAATAAGATAATCTTCTTATCAGCATTTTTGGCTAGTGGATTCTTATTGATTCTATTATCATGTGCATTATACAATAATTACAAAACATTATGGGTAATATTAATCTTTTTAATAGCTCCATTACCTAATATAGTATCTAATTCAATTGATAATTCTCGAGATGATTTCTTAAGATTTAATAGTAGTGATATGAATAGTCCTTCTCCAGTTCAAGAATTTTGTAAATCATTAACTGGATTCTTAATTATAAGTGGAATAGCTTTACCATTAACATTTTATCATACTCATTTAATTGAACTTGGATCAACTGTAATGAGTATTATTGGAGGTTTAATTGTTTATATAGATATTACCGTATTTATATGGTTCTTCTCTGAAGAGGAAGATGAAAATGACGATTTCAATTTCTAGTCAAGTAATTAATTAAATATATTAAATAAATTAAAAAATAGAATTATTTATCTATATATATATAGTGTATATATTTATATATGTATTATATTCTAATTTAGAACCACCAATAGTAATACTAATATAACTGTCAATACTATAATGGTAACAAGACTACCATTCTCCTTACATGTCTTACGGAATTCATTTAATCTTCTCGTAGCACTACTGAGTCTCAGTTGTGCACGATCAATTCCCAGTTCTAAATCATTCAATATAATTAATTGATCATCAAGCTCTTCATTTATCGTCATACCCATTGAATGTTGTCGCCTTATGGATTGATGTAAAAGATCAAGATCAGAATCTTGCTCATTAAGTGTCTGTTGATGTTGGGCAAACATCTGTTGATTACTTTGGGCATCAAATGATTCAGCCTCACTATCAATATCAGTACTATTATTATCATTATCTGAATATGGTTTAAAGGCTCTTGTTCCCATTAATTCATTTCTTAATATATCATTATCTTCATCAATATCATCTTTAAATCTAACTGATTTAGATCCTGTAGTATCCTTAACACTCTTAGGTATACTATTAGCTCCCAAAGTTAAATTTAAATTAAATTTATATTCTTCTACATCTATAGTTGCCTCTTTAGATACTTGCTCAACAAGTTCATTATACTTTAATGCCAATACTCGAAATTGTCCAATATGTTCATCTATAATACTTCTATCTCGTCTAACCAATACTTCCAAATCATCTTGTAAATATCGTAAATATTTAGATAATTTTTGTAATAAACTAATTAAATCATAATTATCATTACTACTTGGAGTAAGTTTAAGTACACTAATTAATCGTTCTCTTTCTTCAATAGATGACGATAATTCTTCTAGGTATATTTGAACTTTACCAAGAGATATCTTCACGTCCTTTACAGTCGGAGGCATTTGTAATTACTTCTTACTCTACTGATTATTAATATTAAACTGTGGAACTTGATCATTAATCCTGCTCTGCTTGTACTAAGTTTACGATAACGAGGCCATGCCATATGCGGATATGCGGCGGCGGGTCACGTGCATGCAATTACCAACAAAGGTAATTAATGATTTCTGAATATTTCTCAGGATTCGAACCGATTCACAATATAATTCTCCATTACAGTCCAATTGGGTTGAACACGTCAAAATGTTCTCAAAGCTTAAGACCTTCTCGGAGGACATGGCGAAGAGTTTCAATGATATGAATTTGAACGAGGCCGGAACAGGACCGGAACGACGTCCGAATCCCATTACTGAATTAAAGAATGAATCAAAAGTGTTGGCCACACAAACTCCAGATGCTTCTGAGTTAACTCAACCAGAAGATGAACCAGTTATTGAAAGTAAATCACCCACCCCAGTGGCCAAAAAGTCTGTAGGCACAGATCCAGTTCATAATAAGGAAGTGGAGAAATCAGACAAGCCAGAGTCTGTAAGATCAGAAACATCAGCAGAACCAGAGAAATCACCAGAACCACAAACACCTCAGAAAGTATTGGAACCTCCAAAAGCAGTGGAACCTTTGAAAGTAGAATTACCTCCGACAGTAGTGTCCAAATTAAAGAAATTTGTCAAATATGAGGAAAAGTATCCCATCTTGTTACAAGCCTATAAGACTGAGAAACGTAAAGGAGAATTGATAATCCTATTCGAACGAGTTCTTAAAGAACATACACCTGTGTCTAGTATTTCCGATGCAGGGGCATTGGTAGAGTATCTTAATGGATTAAATGAAAAGAATAATATGTTGAATGCTGAAATGAGAAGGTATGCAAAGGAAAATACTGAATTGACAAAATCCAATATCAGTCTATCGGAAAAGCTTGATAAATCAAATACTGATTTAGAACGAGTTAATGCTGCACAAGCTGAATTAACTTTAAAACTTAAAGAGAAAGAAGTTCAAGACACTGAGGCTGATAATGAAGAGATTGAAAAGTTAAAGGATCAATTAAATTCGACTGTAAAGGAAAATGAGGAATTTAAGCATAAAATTACTGATTTGGAGACCAAATTAGATGAGAATGTGAAACAAATAGAACAATTCAAATCACAAGCAGAGGATCATAATTCTTTAGTGGAAAAATTAAATGTAGAACTTGAAGCTGCTAAATCTGCAGTAGATGTACAAGCCTTGCAAAAGGAAATTGAGGTGTTGAAAGACTCAGTCAACGAAAAAGAAAAAGAGATATCATCAATCAAATCAGTAGAGACAAAAAGAGAAGTTGTACATAGTCCAGCTAATAATGGTAGCAAGGGAAAAAAGAAAAAGTCCAAGAAGAAGAAGAACGGAACTCAGGAACCTGAACCAGAAAATGAACCAGAGAATGAGACAGTTGAAGATGCGGAAATAGAGAAACTTAAAAGTTCATTAGAAACACTTGAAAGTGAAAACAAGACATTAATTGAAGAAAATAGGAAAATCAAGCAAGACTTAAGATTACAAATTGAGGAAGTTGAAGAATTGAGAGATCTGTTAAAAAACATAGGAGATGATTTAGTTCAAAGTCGAGATGAAGTAAAGTCATTAAAACAAAGTACTCCAACATTGATAGACGACAATCAAGCCTTAAAAGAAAAGTCATTATTGATTGATAATCTCAGCAAAGATAAGGACAGTCTTGAGAAGCAATTGAATGATATTAGTGATAAGCTAGACAAAGCCTTGCAAGAACATGAGTCTAAATCTAAGGAATATGTAGCCGAGATTGAAAGCTTAAAGAAGTCAGAGAGCAATCTCAATGAATCAATTGATATTGTCAGACAGAATTTACGTAAGGCAGAAGACACTATAACTCTGTTAGAGAAGAGTATCACCGTATTGAGATCAGAAAAGGAAGGGTTAAACACCAGGATCACTGAATTATCTAAATATAAAAGCAGTGACACATCACTCAAATTGGAAATCAATACTCTTAGAACTACCTTAATTCATAAGGATAAACAAATTGAGGATTTAAAGCAAAAAGTAAATGATGTCACTTCCCAAAGAGATCAATTAAATCAAACGGCTACTAAGTTAAAGGCAACCAATGCTGATTTACAACACAGCAGTAAAATCTTAGTTGCTGAGAAGAATCAGTTACTCACCAAACAAGAATTATCTATTGAAAAGACAAGAGCTTTATCTGCAGAATTACAGAAGTTACAGACTGAAAAGCATAAAGCTGTTACTGAGTTGGAAAGATTAAGATCTAAACATGATTCTATAGTTAAGGAAGCAGCAAGCAGCAATTCTGATTACCTTTCTTTCAAGCAGCAATATGATGAATTGTCAATGAAAACTAAAGAATCATCCATAAGAATTGAGAGTTTGGAAGATGATTTAAGTGAAGCCAGAAACCTTTTGCAAGAAAGAACAAGAGAAGCTTCAACAATCAGAAGATTACTTGTTGATGCTGAAGAACAAGTACGTCTTAAAGAGTCGGAGCATAAATCTGAAATTAAAAGGATTCAAGAAGAATTATTGGATGAACAGACCAATATTCAAAGCCAATTAAAAAGAAAGCAACGAGAAATTGATGAACTCAAATCAATTACCGATAGTTACTTGCTGAAAATTCAAGATTTAGAGAAGAACTTGAATGAATCTAAAGAGAAAAACAACGAGCTAGAGAATAGTTTCTCACAGGAATCTTCACAAGCAGTTGTTGATCCCGATAATTCTTTTGAAGATACTCAACAAACCATACAAACATTGAGACAGTCATTACAACTTTCAGCTAAAAAAGTGAGAGAGTATGAGAATGTCAATGGAGTACTTAAGAAATTGAATGAAGAATCCAACTTAAAATTCGAGAGATTATCGAAAAACTATAAGATCATCACTCAACAATATAGACAAATGAAGTCATCTCAGGGTTCTCCTGCTTCCAGTAATGGTCATTCTACTGATTCTTTACCAGTAAGAACTCCACGTCAATCATTAGATGATAGCGGAGAACAGAAGGAGACAAATACAGCATACTTAAAGAATGTATTACTAGGCTTCTTTGAGCATAAAGAACAAAGGGATATGTTATTACCGGTAGTGAAAACTATATTCAATTTCTCAGATGATGATGAACGAAAATTTTTACTTGCATTGAAGTGAGATTATTAAAACTGGTAAATATGTATAGAGATAACTTTTTGTATGTGTGTAGAGAATTTGCATCATTTTTCGCATCTTATCGCTGTGAAAAGTTTACCTGAAAAATTCCATATATAACTAAATAAAAGTATTAGAAACAGTTACACCTCAACAGCAGTGTAGAAGTAGAACGATGCAAGATTCGTTTGATCAGAAGAAACAGGCCATTCTTAAAGATTTGGCATTGAATAGTGAAGATTCACCAGATGCATCTCCTAAGGGTACAGTAGATGTCAAATGTTTACCAATAATCCATCTCATTAATTCCAACGACCATATGGTCACTACATCATCATGTTCGGGTAGAGTATCTGTCTTTTTAGAGGGTGTTAAAGAAGTACAACAAGGTGATACCAAGATAGGGGCAAAGGGGAACCAAGGAAGATGGCTCTTTGTTACGCATGATCCCGATGACCTTGATGATTGGCATCACAATATAGAATTCCATACTAGTGAAGAACAAATCCCAACTGATATTAATACGAGATATATCCTATATAAATTCGAACCACTTATACTTCATGTCAAGTGTCGAGATCAAGATACTGCTAAGTTATTATATACTACAGCTATGAATTGTGGATTCCGAGAATCAGGTATAGGAAGTAATAATATCGTTGCTATTAGAATATCCATAAAGTTGGATGTACCAATTGGATATTTAAATGTGCGAGATGAGTCAGTCCTTTTAGTTACCAAACAGTACTTAGATGTACTCACCAGACTCTCTCACGACCGATTCAGAGAAAACTTTAAGAAAATGGACCAATTACATGCATCAATAGAGACTAGTCTCTTTAGCTCGCGGCCATCGAAGCCCGCTGAGGAAACTAAGGAACAAAGAAGAGAGCGAAAGATTAGAGAGGGATTAGAGAGGAAGGCAGCCTTACAGAAAGCTGAAAAGGAGAAAGTACAAGAGCAAGAGAAAGCAGATACACAAATAGACAATGTATAATATATAGTCATCGTAATAGTCAGTATGTATATAGTCACTATTAATTATAGTATGAGTATGTAGTCACACTACGTAGTCATAATAAAATTGCATCCAGTGCGATTACATAATGCGCTGAAAATTTTTGGTGGACTATAAAAAAAAGAATAGTCATAGTTGTAACAGGTGATCCCCAGATAGTACAAATCATCAGAAATCATGTCTGCTGAAGGTGTTGAAAAATTGACCATTGACGAAAGTAAAGTGGCTCCAGTAGCTGCTGCTGTAGAGGCTTCTGGTTCTACTGAAAGTTCAAATGAACCAGTAATTCTCGGAGAAGATGGCCAACCATTATCCAAGAAGGCCTTGAAGAAATTACAAAAGGAAAAGGAAAAGGCTGAAAAGAAAGCTGAAAGACAAAGACAATTGGAACAAGAAAAGGCTGAAAAGGAAGCTGCTGCTGGTGAAGATCCAGCCAAGGAAAAATATGGTAAGTATCCATTAATTAATTCTGCCTTTAAGAATAATGAAAAGAGAGTTGAAATTAAGGACTTATCCGCAGCTAATGATGGAGAAAAAGTTATCTTTAGAGCTAGAGTTCATAATACCAGACAACAAGGTGCTACTATGTTGTTTTTAACTTTAAGACAACAATCCAATTTAATTCAAGCTTTATTAAGAGCCAATAAAGATACTGATGAAAAGGCTATTTCTAAACAAATGGTTAAATGGGCCTCATCTATTAATTTAGAATCTATTGTCGTAGTTTATGGTACTGTTCGTAAAGTTGATGAATTAATTAAATCATCTACCATTCAAGATGTTGAAATTCATGTTGATAAAATTCATACTGTTCATGAAACTCCAGAACAATTACCATTATTAATTGAAGATGCTTCTAGATCTGATGCTGAAGCTGAAGCTCTTAAACTTCCAATTGTTAATTTAGATACTAGATTAGATGCTAGAGTTATTGATTTAAGAACTCCAACAAATCAAGCTATCTTCAAGATTCAATCTGGAGTTTGTTTATTATTTAGAGAATTCTTAACCAAGAAAGGATTCACTGAAGTTCATACTCCAAAAATTATTGGTGCTGCATCTGAAGGTGGTGCTAATGTCTTTGAAATTAATTATTTTAAAGGTTCTGCTTTCTTAGCTCAATCCCCTCAATTTTATAAAGAACAATTAATTGCTGCTGATTTCGAAAAAGTTTTCGAAATTGCTCCTGTTTTCAGAGCTGAAAATTCAAATACTCATCGTCATATGACTGAATTCACTGGTTTAGATTTAGAAATGGCATTTGAAGAACATTATGATGAAGTTCTTGATGTCTTAATGGAATTATTCGTTTTTATCTTTACTGAATTGAAAAACAGATATGGTAAAGAAATTGCTACTGTTAGAAAACAATTCCCAGTTGAAGAATTTAAAATTCCTCATGATGGTAAAATGGTTAGACTTCACTTTAAAGAAGGTATTGCTATGTTAAGAGCTGCTGGAAAGGAAGTTGATGATTTTGAAGATTTATCTACTGAAAATGAAAAATTATTAGGTAAATTGGTTAGAGATAAATATGATACTGATTTCTATATCTTAGATAAATTCCCATTGGCTGTTAGACCATTCTATACCATGCCAGATCCTGAAGATCCAAGATATTCTAATTCTTATGATTTCTTTATGAGAGGTGAAGAAATTTTATCAGGAGCTCAACGTGTTCATGATCCAGAATTATTAAGAGAAAGATTAGCTGCTCATGAAGTTGACTGGCATGTTCCAGGTTTACAAGAATATGTTGATGCTTTTACTTATGGATGTCCACCTCATGCTGGTGGAGGTATTGGATTAGAAAGAGTTGTTATGTTTTTCTTAGACTTGAAGAATATCCGTAGAGCTTCGTTATTCCCAAGAGATCCAAGACGTTTAAGACCATAGAGATCTCAATATGATGTAAATAAATAATAAATAATAAATATACTTAATAAACATATAGCCTATTATATAATAATTGTACTTCACATAGTTTTCTATTTGCTAGTTGTTATTTTACGCTTTTCGTCTTTACACGAATTCCGTTATCTCATCAGTGCGAGCAACAAAAAATAAATAGAGCCATATAAAAGTTAACCATAACAAATATAATTACTTAGTACTAATTATTTAATTATTTAATTATAGCTAGCAATGGAAGCGACATTATTACCTAATCCCAAAGATACCAATGCGACAATATTGTTGATGGGATTAAGAAGAGGAGGTAAATCTTCTATATGTAAGGTAGTGTTTCATAATATGCAACCATTAGATACCTTATATTTAGAAAGTACTTCAAAACCAACTACTGAACAATTCTCTTCATTAATAGATTTATCAGTAATGGAATTACCAGGTCAGTTAAATTATTTCGAACCAAATTATGATTCTGAAAGATTATTTTCCAGTATAGGTGCACTTGTATATGTTATTGATTCTCAAGATGAATATTTAAATGCATTAACTAATTTATCTATGATTATTGAATTTGCTTATAAAGTAAATCCAAAGATTAATATTGAAGTATTAATTCATAAAATTGATGGATTATCTGAAGATTATAGAATGGATGCTCAAAGAGATATAATGCAAAGAACTGGTGATGAATTACTAGATCTTGGATTAGAAGGTGTACAAGTATCATTTTATCTTACATCAATTTTTGATCATTCTATTTATGAAGCATTTTCAAGAATTGTTCAAAAATTAATTCCAGAATTACCATCATTAGAAAATATGTTGGATAATTTAGTTCAACATTCATCAATTGATAAAGTATTTTTATTTGATGTTAATTCTAAAATTTATGTAGCAACTGATTCATCCCCGGTGGATATACAAACTTATGAAGTATGTGCAGAATTTATTGATATAACTATAGATCTTGATGATTTATATGTAGAAAATGATGGAAATGGAGAGAATAAACCTCGAGAATTAAGATCAGTTAGTCATTTATCACTGGGTTCTATACTATATTTAAAACAAATGATTAGAGGTTTAGCATTAGTTGCATTAATTAAGAATGAAGATTCAAATGATAATAAATCTATTCAATCAAGTGCTAGTCAAGATAAGACATTAACTATTATAGATTATAATATTAATCTATTTAAAAAATCTTTAATGAGAATGTGGGAACATTCAAGATTTGTACCTGTTGATGGTTTAAATACTGAAGAAACTTTATCAATAGGTAAAGGTATAACTAAGAATATATAGATAGGAAATAATATATTTATCTTGTAAATTATTAATATACTACTAGAATTTAATAAATCATTTTTAAATTAGCCAAATCGCCAGACTTGGAATCAAACTTAAAAAAATATTTATATAATGAATTGAAATCTTCATATTCACTATTGATAGTTAAGAAATCAAAAATTGAAAGATCCACACTCCTCAATCACTAAAATCCCAAAGGGAAAATAGTAGACATTAGAAAAGTTGGCGCAACATATCATGGCCCTGTGCAATGCCTCTAATATATCACGATCATAGGACTTCTTGATCTCCTACAACATCTCTAGGTAAGTATGAAGATTAAAAGAAGTTAAAGAAATTTAAAAATTTCTGGCTGGGATCAAGATTTTTTTATACCTTTTCGATTAGCGCCGGGTAAATCACGAACCCGCACTCCATTACCCGCCATTGATTTAGCTGCAAAAGTTTGTTAATTACTATAATCTATAGAATTACTAAATACATAATCTATGTCTTGATTATAATAGCTTCAGCAGCATAGTATGATGTTTGACCAATATTTCTAATATATAACGTTGTAGATCCTTTGATTGAGATATCAGCTTTAACTAAACCAATACCTGATGCAATCCCTAATTGAATATTATAACCTCCACTAGTTATGAATCCTACAATGGCTGCATAGTTATAAGGATCAGTTTCTTGAAGATATATTCTTGCACCATCTCTTAATCTACCCTTCCCTACTAATTTAACAGAAATTTGAATCACTGGAAGACTGACAATATTAACATACCGGGCTTGATTAATAGTATAGTTTCCTGTAATAAATTTCTGATGAAATTCAAGTTCTTCATCAAACAAACTTATTGATATATCTGTAGGTAATCTATAATAATGTAATTCTCGTACATCCTTTGATAATTGTAATAAATCATGACCAGAATTGATTTGTCTAATAAAAAGATCCTCTCCATAGTCAGCATAAGTATTATCCTTTTCAAGCTCTTCAATACTCATTCCAGAGAACTTTTGTAATAATGTGATAGTTCTAAGGAAATTCCAATCACAATGGAATGGACTTATTAATTCTAAATCAGTAAAATCAGGACGACTAGAGTTCAAAAGATGTTTCGGAAGTTTATAATACTTCTCACGGTTAAGTGAATCCAAAGAGAGATTATTTTCCCAACCATCTCTCAACCAAGGGTAATCATTGGGGAAATTGGGTTTACCATTTTCATAATTCACTTGTCTCATTTGTTTTATACCTCCTGGTATAACATGCTTGATCTTGACTAGTTTTTGCCATATAGGTAATACCCAAAACCAAGGTACTATTAATGTCCATGATTGATCTCCTGTTTTTGATAATAGAATAGGAATTCGGGAATGTTTTAGTATTTCAGGACTTAAACTTCTACTTCTAGTGGAAATCTTACCAAATTCCTTTCCAATATCTTTAATTGACATTTGGTTTTCATATGACTTAGTTCTACCTTCACGAGTTGAAAGATTTTTAACAGAAGTTGGATCTAAGAATGTAGTTGAGTTCATAGATGCAATTGCATCATAATAAGCATCTAAATCACTATCATTATTATGTTTGGTTCTACTTGATTTATTCCAAAATCTTGGATCCATTATATCAAAAGAAAAATTAAACCCAATAGGAATAGCTTTAGTATCTTTGACTGATGTTAAAACTGACCATAATTTCTTGATATTGGAAGATTTATCTTCATCATATATGTGCAATATCTTACTGAGAGAGAGAAGTGATAATGGTCCAACCAAATCAATACTTCCCAATGAGTATTGACAATCATAGATGGAGTTTAGACCACTCGAACACATTAAAAAGTTTTCACAATGATTAAATATATCCTTATAAATTGATGGGAAAGTTCTAATTATAATAGTATGAGAAGCAATATGAGCAAATATAAATCCTTTTCCTATTTGTTGTCCTTCAATATAAAGCCAATCATTGTAAGCTCTTTCACCTTTTAATATTTTATCGGGAATAGCCACATGAAATTTGGTGATAAATATTAATAATTCCTTAAAAACATCATCATCTTCGATATTAATGATTAAACTGGAATAATATGAAGTATCAAAAGCAATGGAATCATTTTTGCTTTGTCTACTCATTAATCGGAAACATTTTTGAGTAGGTGAAAGAGGTATTTGGTAACCATATTGCTTAATCATATGAAATCGTTTGGCATGCCAAATATGAGTAGGAAGCCATACAAATTGACGTTGTCTCTTATGATATTTAATATTTCCCATGGGTCTAGAGGCATATCCACCATATCCTGTATTATCATATGCTCCTACTTTATTGTTAATAGCCAATGGACTATTAGTAGATGATTTAAGTTCTCTAATTTGTTTATTCAAAGATTTTATTTTAGTTCTTATATTAAGTTTCTTTCCAAGAAGTTCACGATCAGGCAAAGTACCTAATAGTTTAAGATTATTCCCTAATTTTAATAATTTCTTAGACATATTAAGTTTATACAATGCTCTACCTCGTGAATGTTTCTTCTTAGGAGGAGTTCCAGTAATAGAATTTTTCATTTCTCGAAGAGCTTTAGCTCTTAATCTTTTTGGTATACGTTTGACATTATGAGATGCGGCACGACGTCTTAATGATCTTGGTAAACTCTGGAAAACTCGATTAGATGAGGCATATTTCGAATTCAATTGTGATAATTCAAATGACTTGATTTCAAACTCTCGAGATCCTAAAAAGTCTGGAACATTAAGCTTTTCTTTATCTACAAAACTGGAATCCGACAAATGGGTTCGGATATTCCGACTATTGTACAATCTGGCCTTTTTGGCATTGGGTGGAGCCTTTGGTGGCATAGTGGATCCGTGTTAACAAGTAGTAAGTTGTTCTAACAGTAGTGTTTTGATACTCTTCCTAAATTTTTTTCAGTCCATATTGGGACATATTTCGAAGACTACTACCACAAATAAACAACACTATTACCATAAATAACTACTACCACAGACAATCACAACTACAAATGACTACAATTAACTAAACTACAATTAACTCTACGGCTATTTCTATGAGTGAGTACTTTTATTAATTACATTAAACTAGTAGTACGATATGCTATATAAGGTGGGTAAATGAGTATGGTCTTTCTGCCATTCTGTCAATATACCCATCATTTGATCTTCTAGAATTACATCAGATTCATCTTCATATTGATCTTTCTTCTTTTGTCTAAAGTCATGAATCATATTAACTAATTTTAAAATACCTTTACCTCCTAGAAGTGCATTTTCATTATCATCTTTAATATCAACATTAATTATATGAACAACTTGCCTTACTTCATTTGAATCATCTCTACTATACATTCTAAACATTAAATCATCCACCACGCTATCAAAGCATCTTTCTTCACAAGTTATTACTAAATCAAAATTTCCAGCATAAGCATTGTTTTGCCACTTTTCTGGTGCTTGTTTAACTTTTCTATTTCTATCCAACATGTGAATTAATCCATTTGCTTCATACATTTTTCTACAACTTTGACTTATTAAATCTTGATAAATATCTTCATATGGTGTTCCAAATTCATAAACATTAGGTTTATCTATAGATGGACCTGGTAATCTAACTGCTGAACCAGTACCAAATGATTTGACATTATATCCTGCATCTCGTAGTTGCTTATGAGCTTCCATAGATCTATTATTATTGGATGCACATACTGTACATATCTTTAAACTATCTGTTAAAACCATATTAACTCTATTGGTTCAGTAGTTAGTAGTTAATTAGTGACCAGAAAAGTCAAAGTCTACTAGACTTTTCAGTATACTACTTTTTTTTGGGTGCGCACACGTCTTTGTCTTCGTCCTCGTCCTTCTCCTCTTCCTACTCTAACTACCATAATTTATTAACTATGCAATATACCCGTATATTCTATGCCTATATAGATTCATATTCTTCAATCTTATCAGTAGACTCAGTTTCAGTAAGCACCCGTGAGTCGTCGTTGTCAGTTATTTGATTCATTGGCTCAATCTGGACAGGCGACTCTTCCTTAATAATTTCAATTTCATTTTCAATTTCATTTTCAATTTCATTTTCATTTTCGCAACCATCTTGTTCAGCATCTTCAACATCTTCAGCCTCTTCTTCAGCTACTGAGAATTCATTACCGAGATCTATGAATCCATCTACATTACCAGAATTTTGCAGTTCTTGACTAATATTTATGAATTCATCATTGGGCGGTAAATCACATGATCCTATATTAATAAATTCTGAAGCTACATTACTTTGACTCTGGAAATTCACAACTTTTTCTTTAGGAAAATGAATAATCTTATTGGAATCATTATGACATGACTGCTTAAATGAATTGTAATCTTGTAGATCTTTAACCAAAATCCCAATCATCATCAGAGGATCTAGTTTATTTATATCCAATTTATTATATTTTAAAGTATGATAAGAATCATAATCTGTCTGCTCATTAGTAGACTGAGGACGATGAGGATCAACATAAATTAATTGAGAACCTTGATATCCAAGAAAATAAAATGATGATGATGGTTTACCTCCTGCAATACCAACCGATTGAGGTAATGAAAGTAAATGTTTTAAACTACTATGATAATATGAATTAACTTTATCTATCCCTAATCTAACAGGGAAAAGAATTAACAAGGCCAGAGTATCTGTATTATTAAATATATCTGTTACTTCTGAATCATGAATATCTGTACTTTCACTTATTAATACTTTTATTTTAGGGAATGATTCATCTAGATCAGTTCTATTCAATTTCTCACATAATCGTTTGATTGATACAGATGCAGCATCTGGTCCAAACCATTCACCTGGTTTAACTTTTAATGGCAGATCAGAGGCTACTTGAATGAAATTATGTAATGAAAATGGACTATTGGGAGTATCTTTGAATAAGTCAATAACCTGTTTATCAAATTTATCAGTATCAAGATCAATATCAGTTTCATTCTCTAAAGAGGATTGTTGTTTACTCTCTCTTGCCTTGATATAACTGTTAGCTAATAAACTTTGAGAAGTTCTTATCATACATCCCCACCCCACATCGGTAACGAAATTGCTTTTATCTACTATTCGAGGGATATTATGAATATTTGGTAGTAAACTAGGATTAAATACAAAATAGAGAGGATTTGGTCCCTCAAGTGATCGAGGTATAGGTTCAAATCCAAATCGATAAGTTAAACATATTCTTGATTTTATGGCTGATTCTGATTTCTCTACTTCATCATATGAATTTCCTAAGATAACTATTGGATCACTTATAACTTCCTTATTGTCTTCACTCTCCTTATCAATGACTTTGCTTATCAGTTGCCACATCTGCGAAAATGTATACGGAGAAGGACTGGGACTCATACTTGAAGTAGGCGCCGTAGTATTATCACTATCACTAGAATCATTAATCTGCGACATACTCCGAGTCCAACTTATTATATACCAATACTAATACTAATAATGTACCATTAAATATATGATACTACACGTAAATAAAATTACATTACCACCTTTGACACCTTTACCTTAACTATGAGATATATTATGTATTCGCGGGGGCATGGGCCTTAGTTAATCTTTGGCCTGCATACAACAAAAGCGCAATCCAACCGGATTTGTATTAACGACATTATCTCATAATAAACCTTAAAGTACAGTATAAATTTCAATATATCCTTATATAACACGTGAAATTATTATGGTAAAGAAGTATAAAGGTGGTGGAGGTCGATTCCCAAAGAGTAAGGCCAAGTCTAGACCCAGTCAAAGTAGTAGAAAACGGAAAAGTAAAGGTACATCTAATAATCATAGTACAGGGTACCATGGCATCGATGTACCTGAACTTATGGATACTGAAGCCAATGTATATATACCGTCTACTACTATGCAAAAGCTTTCTAAACGACCAGGACGATTAATAGATGAAGTAAAATATACAGCAAACCATCAAGGAGAAACGTTAGGACGAGCACTTCGTAATAAACCCATTGAATTTGTTAAGGCCAAAGAGGTATACGATCCAAGTCGAGATTTACTTAAAAAGGTAGAGCAGATTAAAGAAAAGGTAGTCAAAGACATTGAGAATGAGAATGCAAATGATATTGATGTTGAAGTTGAAGATGTAGAAGTATTAGAAGCCGAATCTCCAGAAGCAGAACCTGTTGTAGTTGAAGATGAAGAAGATGAGTCAGAAGGATTCTCCGAAGTCCAACAGGAAGATCTTGTAAAAAATTTATCAATCACAGATAATGCAGTAACCAGTCTTAGACTAAAGTCTGGCTTTTGTATAGATGAGAAAGGAGATAAAAAGTTGAGTGAAAGAGTAATTAAACCCGATACTACTACTCTTATCAAAGAGGTTACAGTTGACCAAACAGAGTATGATCCTACGTTGACAGTAGGAAAAGTACTGATGACAACATTTAGAGATGATTCTGGAAATAGTACGATAGAGCTTCCACTCACAAGCAAACATGAGATCGAGTCTGAAGATAAGGCAGCTCTCTATCGTGATTACATTGCCAATGTAATACGAGGCATTCAAGCTGGTAGTGATGATGATGATGAAGATGAAGATGAAGATGAAGATGAAAATGAAAACGATCTGAGTGAATTCGAATATTACGAAGAAGATCCAAATGATAAGGAGCCAACAGATGAAGAAATCGAAGAAGAGATTGAAGAAGAGCTGAAAGATCCAGAGTACGGATTTCTTCCTGAAGATTACGAGTTTGATGTATCAAAGATATCCGTGAGTAATTTACGGTACGGAATTAAGAACCAATACTTCACAAGATGTTTAGAACTCACTGGTTCTGAAGATGAAGGTGTATGGATTGATGAAGATGAAATCATCGACTATGCCTTAGCCAATGGTGTAAAAGAGCACCGGATTCCTAGTTTCTTAAAATTCATAACTGCTTCCTTCATGGATAGTCAGAATGAAGCCAAAGAAGAGGATTATGATGATGTTTATATTTCAGATTCATCTGAGGATGAAGAACTTATAGTTGAACATGACTCAGAGGAAGAAGACGATGATGATCTTGAATCATTGGTATCATATGCCAAAGCCAGTAAGTCTCAAGATTTCTTGTCATTAGATTCGTATGATCCTCAATACAAACCCAAAAGAAGAGGTCCTAACTTGGACCAATTTGATTTGGATAATGAATTAAGAGAATCTCTAATGGATCAGTATGAAATTCATCGTCAAGGTAGAAAGAATAGAAAGCAAAATAAGAGAGATGCTGCCTTACAAGATGGTATAGATAAACATGATTTATTAGCTATTTATGAATTCTCTATCCATATCAGAGATATGAAAAGAGAATTCGAATTATTCCTTCATGATTCTGATAGACAAGATATGAGTTTCCCACCATTAGATCCTCATGGGAATAAAACTATAACTAAAATGGCTAAAGGTTATAATTTAAAATCCAAAAAATGTGGTAATAGAGGTTTAAATCAATTCATAAAAGTATCTAAGTATAGAGGTACATTCCACTACTTACCAAGATATAATGAAATAAATCATATGTTAAATCAAAGACCGATTTTCCATAGAACCGACAAGAAAAGACCTAAAGAAGAGTTTGAAGCTTCTGATCAAGCAAAGACTAGAAGAGGTAAACCACAACATGCCGTTCTTAAAGAAGGAGATATTGTGGGAGCTCAAGCTCCAGAAATTGATAGAAGTAATATAGGTAGACAATTACTTGAGAGAATGGGATGGATTCAAGGTGAAGGGCTTGGAGCTATGGGTAATAAAGGTATTAGTGAACCAGTTATGGCTAAAATCAAAAAGTCCAAAGTGGGTATTGTTGTATCTAAATAAGCTTAAATAGTATTACATAATAGTATTACATAATATAAGGGATTCTATAGACTATACATCAATCACTTCTTCTTCGATTTCTTTTTCTTATTAGCCTTAGGAGCCAATGCATGGCCGGTTGTATTAATATGCTGGAATAGTTTATTTCTAGAATTGAACTCTAAATGGCATACCGTACATATGTCAGTACCTGAGGAAGGAATTGGCACTGGAATTGGAACTGGTGTAGATTCTCTACTATTACTATTGGATACTTCAGTAGATTTACTCTTCTTCTTTTTCTTCTTATCTTTCTTTTTCTTACTGGTGGTGGACCAGTCATCATCAGTGTCTTCATCAATTTCTGTTAACTTAATACTATCGGTTGCTTGTATTACTTCGGCAACTTCCTTTTCAGGTACCTCTTCATCACTATCTATTGTATCGTCCACTTCAAAGTCAAGCTTAGACGTTTGTGGAACTGCTGCTGGGACAGGAGCTTCTGGGGAGGAATTGTCTAATTCATCATCATCATCATCAATATCTCTATTCACTGCATCTTCTGGCTCAATGACTTGGTCATCTCCATCAGAGAACTCACTACTAGCAGTCTCAAAATCATCCAAATCAATATCGTCCTTATCGATCCCTAAATCTATACCTTCTTTCTTCATTTCCCATTTGAGTTGCTTTAACTTCTTTTTATGCTTGTTGGAATTCTCATGAACTTGGAATTGTTTCTCATTCTTGAAGTACTTATCACAGATAATACATTCGTAAGTGTCAATGACTTCATCTTCTGGGTTTTCAAATTCATCAAATTCACTATCAGAGTCATAATCAGATGATAAGTTATATTCATCTTCCAACATTTGTTCAAGCTCTTGTAATTCTTCTACCGATAGTTGTTGCCAATCTTGAGCTGTGAAATTAGTTTTCTTTTTATCATCTATCATGGATTTCAATTTTTGTTGTTTAATCTGCTGTTCTAATTCTTGTTGTCTCTGTTTCTTCTTTTGTTTTTCAAATTCATTAATTCCAATTTTAACACGAGGATCTCTCTTCTTTACAAATTGTACAAAACTTCGAATGGTTTCATTATACTCCTTTCTGGCAGTATCTCTAGATTTTTTATTCTCTCTTTCCATCATACGTCTAGTTCGTCTATCAGGAGCCATTGAATATCTATATTCATCTTTCCAATTAAAAGTCTTTACACTTGAAAAATTCAGCCATGAATTATAAAATGGCCGTATAGTCTCCACATAATCTGATTTAGAATTCCCAAATCTTGGAAATAAAAGTAATGAAGGATCTATAGCATTAATATTAGTTAAATCATCATCTTTATATTTGGAATATTCTGCTTGATTTTGTGATTTACCATGAATAATTTCTTCTGATGCTAATCTTTCAAATAATCTAGATACTGTATTATAAAATCCGGCTTGTGAATCATCAATTTTTTCATAAAGTGATGAATTAAAATATCTCATAATTTCATCAATAGATATACTGGGGATAGTCATTTCCACTTCATCATCATTATCATAACCATAATCATCATCTTCACGAAGAATAGATGATTTATGAGCATCATACCAAGCTCTTTCATTAGAATCACTTAATACTTCATAAGCAGCTCGAATTAATGCAAATTTATGAGTGGCTTCTTCAACATTATCAGGATTCTTATCAGGATGTAGTTGAAGAGCTTTCTTCCTATATGCTTTCTTAAGTTCGGAATCAGTTGCCGATACTTCAACTTCTAGAAGTTCATAGTAATCGGTCTTCATTATCTTGCGCTTCCAATAGATGAATTCAGTAAATTAATTAATTGCAGATTGACATAATTTTTAACGTAATGAGATATCGCCGATATTTGCGCTGCTCAAAATGTTAAAGTTTTTTTTTCCTGGTTACGATTTGCAACTAAACCGAAAACTGCAGCAACTGCAACTGCAACTGAAATTACAACTACAAATACAATTACTACAAATACAATATAAAAGCATAGAAGAAGATATATATTTGTACACTATAGGAATTTATAAACCAAACCATTACTTTTAAGAGAATACTAGGATTAGCATTAGAAAACAACATATATATATATTTTACCACCCCTTTGCATGATAATCATCAAAATCACTATCATCACCTCCTACAGTGGCCATACCATTAGCTCTCATAATTTTATCACTATCTATGACTCTAGTAGGTAGAGGGATTTTTCCTAATTTGTAATCAATGATGATAGATTCTTTAAGTGATTCACTTAGTTCTGATGATAACATTTCTTTTCGTTTAGTACTGGGTGACATTTCAATTGGTTCAGCTTTTACATTAGGCAGCGAAGTGATTCCATCTTCTGGATCTTTAAGAACTTTATTTGAAAGTTCTGGTGAAGTTGAAATTGGAGTTGATGGTGAAACCTGTACTTGGGGATACTTTGGAGTCAATGGTTTAAGATGATATGGCTTTGATGTACTTCCTTCAAGCTGATTAAAATTAGATTTATCAGATTCAAAACTTGTTTCTGATCTTCCAAATTTTGATTTTGAATTTGTATATAATCTTGATAAGTTCAAAGTTTGCTTGGGAAGTAAGATATTCCTTATGGAATTATTTGAAACCGATCTTGATATTCTATGAAGACTTGATGATAATGTTTCATGATCTGGTTTCGATTCTATCGATGTATGAGGTTTATTATCATTACTATCTGAAGTATAATTCGAAGGTATAGCTGCAGACATGGCCAGAGTGACTGTACTATATGATACACCAACTATTGATTTCTGCTTATTTTTACTGTTGAACCAGAGATGCTCTTCATGACTTGTAGCGCTATGAGCATCAGAACCAGTGCCTGCACCGTTTCTATCAATTTGATTTTGATTAATTTCTAGATTCTCAGAAACTTGTTGATCAGGAAGAAGACTAGATGATCTATGACGTATATCAGTCATTGAAGTATATCTTTTATTAAGTATTAATGTTGGACGCTTTGTAGTAAAACCAATAACTGATTTTAGTTTTTGAGGTGGATTATGTTGTTGTTGCTGAGTCGTTGTTATTATACCAGTGGTTGAGGATCTCTTCAAGACAGGTTTTGAATTCTCTCCATCATTATTATACAGATTATAAGCATCATGAGAAACATTTGCTAATTCATTCAAGAATAAACCCGATAATAATGATCTTGGTTTCTTTATAGAACCTTGAGGAGTAAATCGACTAGTAGAACTTAAATTAACATTTTCTTCAACGATAGGTAAAATATCAGTTGATGTTGAAGAAATATTTGAACCATGAGATATGGTAGGAACAATTTTATTAAATTGTAAAGGTGCTAAAGCATGATGATTTTGACCATCAAGTGATTTATTAGTATGATCATCTTCAGAAGATACAGATAACCATTCCCTATCATTCTCATTATCGGTAGTGCCAGCACTTTTTGATTTAGTATTAATAATGATCTTTTCTGATTTTTGATTATTACTTTTTAATCCATGTAATAAATTTGCTCTACGAGCATCAAAGAATATTTTGGAACTTGATTTAGGTAATTCTGGATGATTATTTTCATCATGTTTACCGAATTCAGGTTTAGATTGTAATTGTGTTTTTTCATTTATCTCTTTTGCATTATGTTGTTCATTTTCATTATCATCGTCTTCCTCTTCTTCCTCTTCTTCATAAATATCATCTTCATCTTCATCTTCATCTATATCAGTTGAAGAATATCCACTTTCATCATGAGAATCCAACTCATTAATTGACTTGGTTTGTATTTGATTGGTAGAACTAAATAATGAGCTTTGCCTTTTTACAGGTTGAGGGTGGAACAGATTAGATGATCTTTGTGGTTGAGGGTTTAGTTGTTGGTTTAAACTAATGATGTGCTCAGCATCTTGTTGATTCTTCTGAGGAGGAGAAGGAGAATTGGCAATATAGAACATATTTTTGGAAGAATTATGAGAAGACGCATGAGATTGAGGTTGAGGTTGATGTTGATGTTGAGATTTAGATGAAGTCAGAGAATGTGACTCTCTTCGTGTTTGATATAGTTCCTCTTCATGACTATGTTCAGGGTTATGTTTATCTTTAAATAAAGGACTTACTGAACTAGATGAAGGAGGATGAACTTGAACTGGAACTTGAAGGACATTGGATTGGTCATTTTCAGAATGTGGTTGCTTTGCAGATATAGATGTAGTTGTATAAGATTCTAAGGTTGAATTATTAGTTGATTTTCTAGTATGGGATGCAAGACTTAATTTTGAATTTTGGGATGAGAATAATGACGATGGTCTAGCGGAATTATTTATATGGTTATTTAAAAGATTTCTATCATTATCAGAAGATACATATTTTTGAGATGATATAAACTGACTTTGTTTAGGTAACAAGTCGGATAAGGAATCCTTTGAGAAGTCAGTTATTGTATGAAGAGGCAGTAATGGGATATATTGATGAGTATCTGGTTGAATATTATTTGTATTAATATTTGGAGTAGGTTGATTAGTAGTGGATGTTACTGATGTAGTAATAGGAGTAGGTTTATTAACCAAAAGCTTTTTACTGACAATACGCCAAGATCTATTATTGATTCTTTCTATAGAGGAATATTTTGAGTATATGCAATTTTGATGATTGTTCTGAGATGAACATGTGGATTGAGGATTGGTGATTTTCCATAGTTGTATTAAGGATAGATCCGATTCATTATCGTATCTAAATGATAAGTCTAACGACTGCATGGTTAGGAATGGGGACTGTGACTGGGACTGTATGGAGACTGTGATTGCTTACAATTGGAAAGTCATACGAAATGGGAAATAATATGGTGGTGGGTGTCTAGTGGATGATGGAGGTGGTTATACTGGTGAAGGTACTCGAGTGTTTTTAGTAATTTAATTATATTTAATTGCTGAACGGTCGCCGCAGTTAGTGATAGTGCGTGGAATTTGATACGACACAGAGTGGCTATGGAGGAGTGATAGTTATGACAAGTCTAAGGTGTTTTAAGTATGTGGTTCACAGGAATTGTGTCCTACTGAAGTTGAAAGTTGGTTAGCTGCTCTATAAGAGATTCGGTATTACAAAGAATCATTCAGTGAAAAATAAACAGGAGAAAAATAAAAAAAAAAAATAAAAAAAAAGAAAAATAAAAAGAAAAGCAGAAATGAATGATTAGAATTTCGACTATCACCATTAAGGTTGGTGATGAGTTACTGACTGAATGATGATATTTTTAGTGGACCAGTAGCCGGTAACGTCGCGCGGTATATTTTCCTGGTTAGGGTATCTCTCCATTAGCATAATTTGTATTACTGTTAGGAAGTACCATTACATTATTTATACGCACGGTGTCAAACTGAGAAACCACAAAAGTAAGTATCCGCACAGCCAGGTTCTTGACCAGGCTATACTGTTTAATATCATAAATGAAATAACTCTGTAACTAATAAGCATGCAATAAACTTAACTTCTTATACCCACCTGGGTTACTAACTCCATTTACTGAAAAGTTGCAGTTGCAATCATTCACTCCAATTTCATTGACCGTCTCTAATCCTTAATGGGTAGGCGTCCTGCAGGTAGCCGAGCGAATATTACACAAACCAAAATGAATGATCAGCTCCATTAACTATGGCTGTTTGTGGTTATATACATATTATTAGTAGTGATCATTTACCGCTTAATAGCGATAAGAGATGAAATCTAAATGAGGAGAACTCTTTGACATTTGTGGAGTAATGTTTCGATTTGAACCCTTTTCCATCGTTTGTAGTTTGTGTTAAAGTCCAAATTTGACGTATTTTTGTTAATTACCACATAAGTTATATAAAACGTGAGCTTAATTAATTTTTGCACCAATTAATTCAACTGTAAATATTAATATATTTAATAATATTTAACTTTAATATATTAATGTACATAGTAAACTTAATAAAATCTATTAAACTAATTAAACTTATTAGACTACTTAAATTTATTAAACTTATTAAGTTTATTAAACCTAATATCTAAATACTACCTTCTCACCACTAACCTTATTTTGTCTTAATAATTCTAAGGCTTCATTGCTACTTTCTAATCCAGCTTCTAATACTTTCAAATTAGATGATTTCAATTCTCCAATATATTTAGGTAATACATTGGTCCAGAATTCCTTATAATCCTTTAATAATTCTGGAGTAGCCTTAGTGGTCTTAGTTCCTAAAGTAACATCTTTACCTAATGCAGTATAAGCTAAAGTAGTACCATAGCTAACTTTTCTACCAGCTTTGGTAGTAATAGAGTTTCCATCCAATCCCAATAAAGTATCTAACTTAACAAATTCAGCACCTTCGGTAGCATCATAAACAGATTGGAAAGTTTCAGGGAATGCAATAGTATCTAAACCATATTCAATCTTACCTGAACCAGCAGCTTTAATCTTACTAACGACTTCAGAATCATTATAATCAAAAGTCAAATCAGCTCCTAATGATTTCAAGAAGTCGAAATTCTTTGGAGATGATGTAGTAATAACTTTAATACCAAAGATCAATTTAGCTAATTGAATAGCTAAAACCCCAGTAGCAGTTGCACCACCCCAAATTAATAAATATTTGTCTTTATTGTTTTCCTTATTAAGATCCAATTTTAATGAATGAGAAAATGAAATGGCAACAGTCACTAATCCTAAAGTAACAGATGCAGCACTTTCAAAAGTATTCAAATAAGAAGATTCGTGCTTACCAACACTCAAAACTTTCTTAACATCGAATTTACTGGAATCATATTTAACAACGGTTGCAGGATCTAAGATTGCGTATTCAGTGTAATTACCAGTTCTATCACTAATATTACCATGTATAAATGCAGATACAATATCACCTTTGGCAAAATCTTTAACTTCAGATCCAACTTCCTCAACAATACCAGAAACATCAGATCCAACAATAGATCCTTTGGCTCCTAACCCATAAACAATATGTTTCCAATCTGTAGGATTGACTGCGAAAGCAACAGACTTGACCAAGATTTCAGTAGGTTTAATAGCTGGTAAGGGAATAGTAACGACTTCAGCCAATTTACCCTCTTCTAAAGATCCAGAGATGACAGCTGCTTTACGAGACATTATGTTATAAAATTACTATTGGATTTAAACTTATAAATCAAAAAAGACAACAATCCAATCGATTTTTCAAATTATTGAAATCGAAAAAATAAATAAAATTGTTAATATTTTGATAGAAGTAGGTAAATTTAAATACATTCTAGAACAAGAGAATTTGACATATATATATATATATCGGCCAACAAACATCATAATAAAAAATATAAGTATATGCATAATGAATATAAAATTATTAATAAAAAATAAATGCACAAACGCAACATCTCACTAACATGGCATAGCTTTCGGCTTCAATAATACGAATCCTCCGCCTATATGAAATATTTGCCTTGGAGGAAACGAAATATGTATTGAAAATTGAATGCAACCATGCATGTATGAGAAATTTGAATTTTCGGCAGTTGGGTTTGTCCTGCATGTATAGTCCTCTCGCAACTAACGGTTAAAAAATAATTAATAATCATCTTTTGGACATTTTTTTCTTTTGTTTAATTTGATTTTATTACTCCTCTTGATTGTATACCTCACCCCCATATTCAGTTAAATTATTAGCCCCCCAGAACTTCATTTTTTGCGGTTCCAATAATAATGCTTTGTTTGTGAATGAAAATCAGCCGGTTTTGCTATACATTGCACCCCTGCACATTAACATTAACCATGATTGCAAAATCTATGAACCTTTTTGACTTATACTGATAGTGGCATAGACGTACATACAATGAGATCAATTGACGAATTACACACCAGAAGGATTTCAGGTTCCATCAATTCCACTTACTTTTACGCAAAATATACATGAACAAATATAATAATATGCTGTTTTTTGTTGCGTGTCGTACATCCGTTGAGATGGACAATCGTTTTGTTTATTCCTGAGGTTTTACATATCAGGGATCTAACTCTGACACATTAATCCATCAGTGACAACCCACTTTTTTGGGGTATGTATGTATTACTCCTCAAATCATACCATAATATATCGTATTAGATTAATACAAAAGCCCACCCTCATAACGCAATCATTTATTTTACCGTCTCGTTATCCAATTAATGTGGTAACAATAAGTTTTTTTTAGTGGTTTGGCATATTTCCAGTATAAAGGGTGCGGAATTATGAATAGGAAAAGAAAAATACTACGGAAATGTCGCAGTTGCGTTTGTGACCACAACCAAATCTTAATCAGATATTTTTTTTCAGTATGTTTTACTACGCTGAACGGTTACAATTACCTTTTATATTCACAACAAATGAAAAAACAACAAAGTGGGCTAGTAAATAAATAACCCCAAAGTAAAGTAACAAATAAATATGAATTTACGATAATTGTATTATATAGAAATATTTTAAAATAATAAATTGGGAAAAAAAGGGGGTTTTTGGTCTTGTTAAGTTTTATCACACAGTAAGGAGTAAACCTTTTATCCTCTAAAAACAACTTTCCCTCCACTAACTTTATCTTCTTTTAATAAAGCGAGTGCTTCGTTAGCAGACTCAAATCCTGGCTTTAAAACTATAAGTTCTGGGTTCTTTAATTGGCCAACATGTGGTGGTAATAATTCAAACCAAAATTTATTATAATCAGCTAACAATTCTGGAGTAGCTTCAATAACGGTTTCTAATCTTTGGCTTTCACCATTAGCTAAATAAACCAAGGTAGCACCAAATCTGGCATTGGCACTGTCATCATATCTAAGCTTAAGGTCGTCCTTACCTAAGAACAATAAATTGTCAAAACTCTTGACTGGTGATCCTTCGGTAGCATCATAGACTTGTTGGTAAGTGGTCTTGGAAGAAACAGTGTCAAAAGCATAATAAATCTTTCCACCAGCAGCTTTCTTAATTTGTTCAAGAACATCAGAGTCACGATAATCTAAAGTGATATCAGCTCCTAATGATTTCAAAAATTCATGATGCTTCTTAGAAGCAGTAGTGATAACTTTCAATCCATAAATTAATTTAGCAACTTGAATACCAAGAATTGCAGTTGCTGTGGCTCCTCCCCAAATTAAGATATATTTTTCAGAGTTACCCTTAAGGTCAGGAGTGATCTTTAAAGAATGACTGTATGATAATCCAACAGTAGCTAAACTTAAAGTAATAGCAGCAGCACCTTCAAAAGTATTAATTAAACTAGATGGAGTTTTTCCAACAGGTAAAGGCTCAGTTAAAAACTTAGATTTATCGTATTTGACAGTGGTAGCTGGATCAGCAATAACATATTCAGCAAATCCCCCTCTATCTTTTCTGTAATTACCATGTAAAGTTGTTGAAACAAAATCTCCAACTTCAAATCCTTTGACATCTTTACCAACTTCATAGACAATACCAGAAGCATCAGAACCAGCAATTGAACCAGGTGCACCCCATTTGTTTGCAATATGTTTCCAATCGGTTGGATTAGCAGCATATGCAATACCCTTAATTAAGATTTGGTCATCATTATAGACTGGGAATGGACCATTGGATACAGTAGTAAAACTTCCAATTTCCGCAGTAGAAACAGCAATTTTGTTAGTAGACATTTTAGTTAGGATTTTCTTGATTTAGTTTGATTCGTATTGATTCTCAATACTTAAGAGATAATTCAATTGATTACAACTTCAATGGGTTCAGTTACTTTATAAATAATTTTCAAATATATTGTGACTTTTACTTTCGGAGTTCGTGGACAATACCCGGTTGACAGCTTTGTAATCAAATTTGGAGGAACACTATGTTGCTCTTTTTGTCATTTTTTTAAGACACATTTTTATGTCGCATTTTTCGATTAATAATTTGTCAACCAGTTGCGACTATCGATATATCCGATATAGCATTAGTTAACCTATCTACACAAATACGTAAATACATAAATATACAACAAATTTCTATTATTAATTATAATCTCATCAGAACTGCTGACAAAACCCTATGAACCATCGGTATTACCGTGGATATAATTTTGATTGATATGAAACACAGTATATGTGCCAGGTGTTGGAGGTGCGGCTGTTTTTGACAGATCACGTAGTTTATATTTGGAAGCTGTACCTGCCATATGATTAGTAAACGGCCGAACATTCATGTCAGATGCACTTTCATCTTGATTTGAACCCACTGTTGATGTGAAATTATTAATTGGTACTGTTCGATGTAGTGCCGTATGATCATGGGGTTTATTATTCAGCGATTTTCGGGACTTATCCTGAGTCTGTGAACTAGGGTCTTTATTCATTTGAAATAGTCGTTTCCCTATCATTTCGGGATATTTGATATGTTGTGTGTCCTCATTTATATATGCAGTTTTCCTATCTGCCATCTTTATAGTTGAAGTGCCTGGAACATCTTGACGGCGATTATTGAGATGATTCTTATTATCTAATGTAAAAACCATTGAATGAGTTGTACTAATTGCTTTATCTTCTTTGAACGAATTCATATTAATTTGGTAATCTTGATTTATTGTTTGGGGATTTGATGCCTTTACATCAAGCAGTATTATCGAGGAACCAGGCCAGTCAATTGAATTAATCATTAATTTGGATGTTCCTGGAATAACTCTTTTGGCTCTCCGTTTCGTTACCTTGGAGGTAGTGGTATTCTTTCGTGTCATACTATCTCATTTATTATTCATGTTTTTATCAATTGATCAGAAGTTTACATCCACAGAGAACATTCTATTAGCTGTACTTTAAAAGTGCGGCTCCGAATGCTCAATATGGTTAAGAATGGGTACGTGGTGTTATTAAATTCTGATGAATCCCTATTCAATAATACCTTTATTTTTAAAGTACTGCATATAAATTGCTCTTGGCCTAGATAGTTAATTATATGCGCATATTCTCTTAACGGTCTTTTTTTGCAGCAATAAGCCAATGTTTTACCACTTGGGTTCTGCGTAAAACTATACAGAAACAATTTTGATCTTTAAAAGTTTTAAAATCTCAGAATTGACGATAGCCTCATTACTCAAACTAGAATTTAATGTTGAACAACTGTGTTAAGGATACTTTAACTCATTCATAGTTCGATACCAAATCAAAGACAACTCCAACGAAGCACGATTAATCGATATTTATCCAGTTAACAAATCTAATCGTTGGGGCAATTTCGGAAAATGTCAGCTCTGTAATGGATTATCTGAACCCTTTGAAATTACCTAAAAACAAAAACTGTTTTGTTAATAGTGATGACTTTTGAGAAATTCTGAATCCATAAACAGCTAAAGGTAATATTTACGGAAAAGAAATTGGAAGATGACTAAAGCCACTTATGGTGTGATCAATTAATAAAGTACAATGTAAAACGGCAACTACATTATTATAATTAAGTATTGATATTAAATAAATATTATAAGCTGTATATAATTTACATAGTCTTATTCAAATTAAGTATTAAAGGAACTTCTAAAATAGATCCTAAAATTAGGAGTTTTGAGTATATCACATCAATTAGATTCTTCTGAGCTTGGTAATGCTGACTCCTTTGGTTGTCTGACTCTATCTTTGATTAATTCACATACACCAGCAGCAATGATACTAACTCCTAACATGACAACCAACATCATATTGGAATATTGGTATAATCTTGCTTTATCAGCTGGCCAGCCAGAATATAAGGCATAAGTAGAAACAACTGATCCTAAATTACCTAATCCACTTACTAATGCAGCACTAACGGCAGTACCAACATCACCGTATGTTGGTTGGAAAATTTCTGCAGCCCATGACATACAAATTGGAACTGTTGGACCTAATCCGAATCCAGCAATTAATAAACCTCCATATCTACTCCATTTACCTTTAGCGTAAGTAGTAACAAACATACCACACATAATGATAGCTGTAGCAAATGAAAAAATATATGGTCTTAACAGTTTACGTCTATCAGCAAATGGAGTCATGATTAAAATACCAGCTAAATCAAATAACCAAATTGGTGCATAAAGTAATGAAACTTGAATAGAAGTTAAGGATGGATTGTTAACAGCAATAAGTGTTGAACCGAAAACAGCTAAACCAAATCCAGTTCCTACAACACCAAAATACATAATGATGAGTGGCCAAATTCTCAAGTCAGTAATAATTTCAATGAGGTCTCTCCAGCCCCAAGAAAGTTTCTTATATCTTCCTTCTAAATCCATTCTATGTAATTTCTTTTCTTCTTCATTAAGAGGATGAGTTGGAGTAAAAAATTTTCTGTATAAAATATGTAACTTATTATCAGATTCTGTCGTGGTCTTAAATGGTCTATCAGGTAACCACCATAATAACAGTATTCCACAGGCTAATGTGACAAGACCATAGACTAAATACATCCATTGCCAGCCAGCATAACCTCTCATTCCATCCATTTTTTGAAATCCAGCACTGACTAAACCAGCAACAGCAGCTGAAATTTGAGCAGCAGTAAAGTAATAACCAATTCTTCTGGTCAGTCTATCGTTTGGATACCAAAGTGAAACATAGTAACTCATACCAGGCCAAGTACCAGCACCAACCATTCCTGAAATAAATCTGATAGCAATAAGACCTTGGCTGTTTTCAAGGACATGGTATAAAGTATAAACTAATCCAATTGTAATAATAATTCTAGCCAACCAAGATTGAGGACTGACTTTAGTCATAACTAAATTCATTGGAACATCAAAAAGAATATATCCAACATAGTATAAAGCAGAAGCAGTAGAAATATCATGGGCACTAAGTTTCAATTTTTGACCTAAAGAATGTCCCTGATCAGCATTCATAGTTAAAGTTAATCCATAGGCACTAGAACCAAAAGATTCCAAGAAGTATAAGCACCATAAAGCAGGAATGATTCTGAAATCCAACTTTCTATAAATCTTATCCAATTTCTTGTTATCTAATTCCTCTAAGGGACTTAATAACAGTTCCTCATCATGAAGTGAGTCAGTATGAGCCTCACCAGTTAACTTATGCGACATTTGCAGTTCTAATTCGTTAGCCATAACTTCTTCTCTAATTGAAATTCGAATTGATTCCTATCTTAAGAGAAATAATTAAATAAATCTCAAGAGGAATATTGTCCCTTATTTATACCGTTAAAATTAACCCAACTAGAACTTAAAATAATACGATGATGATAATTAAGAGTAGCAAAAAAAAAAATGTTGAATCAGCGTTGAGTCAAAATGATTCAAAATCATCCTTTAAACTATTACGGCGCACTACCTTATGACTCGTAGTCATTTTTTTGAGCCATAAATTAATTAGTTCTACATAAAAACTTAATTGACAAATTACGCCGTATCGTTGAAGAAACTTTTTAATATATCGATGGTGATTCGTGAGAACTCAACACTTTTATCAACACAAAAGCTATGTGTAATACCCTCCTTGGCATGGGCTATCTCAAATATTACTTCTTTATTACTTTTCTCATAATACCGTTTTACTAAAAAATCTCTAGTTTGATGATTGACCCAACGATCAGAGTCACCAAAATAAACCCAAATCTTGGCTTCTGGGTCAAATTTCCTGCCAAAAAACCAATCATTGATCTCATTCTCTTCGGTAATATCTCGCATTTCTTCCTTAGCAAGGCTCAAAACTTGTTTGACTATGTCCGGATTTTTAATAATGTTTAAAGCTCCTGTTACGGAGTTTTCAAAATTTCGGAATGATACTGAGTCATCCAATACTGGCTTTTGAATTACATAAGTCTTTATAAATTTGCGCAAGTACAGTTCCGGAAATAATTTGAAAAGAACCCGACTTGCATGTATGGCAAAACTCACAAAGGGAGTATAGTTAAACAAAGTAGAAAATATTATTCCATTCTGTGATTGACCAATGTTTCTAATTGTTGGGAACAATAACCCTACAAATTTTATTCTATACTTTCCTGAAAGCAGTTGATCTTCATGTAAATATTTTATTACTCTTTGATTAAAATATGATCCAACTGAATGCGAAAGGAAATATAAATCATAATTTTGCTTGTTGGAGCTTTGAATCAAATCCCGAATAATTTCATATTTGTGAGTAATTTGATCTTCTAATCCGTATAATTGTAATGATTGAATTGAAGCTGGATCACATCCAGCATTACTAGGACATAATATTTCGAAGTGTGGAAATGCTTCTTGAATTAGATTCAAATAACATTTGTAGAAATTAGTTAATCCGGGATTACCTGGAAGTAGTACCAATAATGATCCAACATTTTCTTCTACTAGCGGAAGCTTATGGTAAATGTCTGTATCTGCTGGTATTGTATATACTTTTTGTATCATCATGAGGTAACGTTCGATGAAGGCTTTCTAAATTTCACACAACGTTAAAGTCTTTTTTAGCTGAGAATTTAGTGAGTACAATGAAATTACAATTTAAGATTATTTAATTAATATAGAACGTTTTCTTTAGAATGTTTTCTTTGGTTTAGACATTTTAAGATTCTTTTTCTTAACACTTTACATATGTATTCATAACATGTTTGTAGTTAAACAGGAAATCGAGAAGCTAATTTAAAATCCATATATAACTTAACCCGGTTACTCCGCTCCGGTTAACTTAATATTTAATTGATAGGATATTTCCCTCTACAATGTTAACACCAGCCTTACTCAATATTTATGAAATTAATTAATTAATTAACTATATATCTAAAAACAAACGATTAAGATAACTTTTAATATTTTATAGATTCTCTAATATCTACTTGGTTGAGGGACCTTAAAACTGAAATGTTGATTGAAGCTCCTATCTGTCTCAATATCATCAGAATTGTGAAGGTTTCGTTCAAAATAATCTATTGTGCCATGTTTATCTAATATTATAACTGTCTGGGTACGGGTACCATAATATCTACCTACTGTTTTACTTGAGTCCTGCTCTGGTTTACCTGTATCTAAAGGAGGAATGAAAATGGAATTTCTTAATTCTTTGAATTTAATGTCAAAGTCATTACATTGATAAATTTCCCGATTGTATGTATCAGTACTAAGTATTTTAAAGCATTCTTCAATAAGCTCATGTTTTGATAAACTTTCAGTTGTAGTTCTCTCCATTAGTTCATCCACCATATCTTCTCCTAATTTCACTTTCCTCCAGGGATTATAATATAAAGAATTTGAAATTCCAAATGTTTTCTTAGAATATATATCATCATGTAAATCGTTACAGGGTTCGCCGTGTACTTGATTAGTGCCTAATATTTTCCCATGATCACCCCTATTACTAATAATATTCAAATGATCAATTTTAGTGGTACCAGGATCGATGTTTAATTTTCCAAACACTAACGAGAAACCTCCAATCCTTGATAAATCTATCTTTCCTTCATTTGGTAACTTAATATGATGAAACCAGTCATCATCACTTGATTTGCCACATAGGTATTCTAATGGGAGTATTCCACGAGAAATCTCACTAAAACTATTCTTATTATCGTCTTCTCTATAATTCAATAATACAGCTATTTTCCCAGTGGTTGTTATACCTATCCAAGTACCATTTTCCAGTCTTCCTAAATCTGCTGGCGATAATATCTTCAGACTACTATCTAAGGGTCTAAAATGTGCTGGTCTGGTGGGCCTTTTGAAATATTCATCTCGATTTGATAGAAGAATAAGGGGATAATCTGGATGTTTGGTAGTCGCTACTAGTATACACATTGTTATTGATATGTCTTATTAAGACATAAATATTTCTAAAGAAGAATAAATTTTAAAGAGTTGATTTTGAATTAGTTAAAGATGTAAATTATAGTGCTAAATATTTAGTGCTACACATGCAGTTCTAAAAAAAAGTAACGTGAAGTTTCCTTTTTCGTGACGCTTTAGCGGGCCCGCAGTTTTGTGGGTTGTGGGGTAGAGATCATCGGGAATTTAATCTAACATGACGAAATGTGAAGGTGGGGAGATGATAAGACACAACAATGGTATTCCGATACTATACTTCGTGTATATTTTTTATTCAAATATACATTATTGATCATTGAATAATAATTCCCACATCTCCTTGAACTAGATGTTGATCCTCGGGAAATATTTCAGATGATGGAAAGGCTGAATCTTCTAAGAAATCTTGGCAGTAATTTTGTTCTGGATAATATGTATAACCTTGTACAGTTTTGTCGCATTCTTCATCAGCTATCACAACATTATTATTAATATTAATATTAATATTCATATTCATATTTCTTCTGGTTTGATCCTCTGCTTGCATTTCGGCAAGAAACTTGTCATAGCTTTGAGTTTGAACTGGTGTAGTAACTCCAGTAATATTTTGAAATGCAGATGGAGTAGATAAAGATTGAATAGCGAAAGCATCAAGTATTTCTTCTTCTTCTTTTGCCTGAGAATCATTGTGTTCAAAATTGGAGAAGGCTTCATTAGATGCATTCTGTGAAGTTGGATTACTATCATTTAATTGTTTATTTCTTCCATTACTTTGAGTATCACTCAAAGAATTCTTTCTCTCACTTTCGTAAGCTGAGATAAATGTGTTCTCAAAGTAGGTCATTCCACAGAGAGCCTCTGAAGAAGCTCTTGCATAGGGATCCCATAACAAACATACACTTGCAACAGGAATTATTTCATCGTAGTATCTTTCTTTAATTATTTCAGTATACGTTGATCCATAACATAAAGGAAATTGGAATTGGCATTTTTCGGCAAGATTTGCAGCCTCTCTCCAAAATCCTCCTAATGGCCGATGAAAATGTGGATGAAAATATTCTGGCAATGGAGATCCAAGGATTTGAATAGTCTTGAGAACTTGATCATAATGTGAACCACCAGCAATTAAAGGTGCATGATTCACTAATTCTAATGCAATTACTCCGAAAGCCCAAATATCAACTGGTTGCGAATAAAAACCCTGATACAATAAAATCTCTGGAGCTCTATACCATCTTGTAGAAACATATCCAGTAGATATTTTGGTATCGTATATGCTTCTAGCTAATCCATAATCTCCAAGTTTAACAACTAATACATCATTTTGTCTATGTGGAGGAATACCTTCATTTGAGCCATAATAATAACAAGTTGGGATAATGAGAATATTATCTGGTTTAATATCTCTATGATAATATCCATGAATATGTATATGATTAATAGCACTCAATAATTGTGATAATATACACTTAACCGTGCTTCTTGTGAATTTATAATTTCTATTTCTCATCAATATGTTTAAATTTTGGGTCATACTTTCCATACAAACATGCAATTCAAAATTATAGTCATCAATTATCATTTCATAAATTTGAAGAAGACAAGGATGTGAAGGCATGTTAAGAATGAAATCCACTTCTTTAATGTTTTTAAAATACTTTAACTTCTTCATTCTATATCTGAAAGTTTTAATGGCAACAAGACCAGTATTATTAAACTGAGCGTCATCTAGGGGATCTAAAAGTGTACCAACTTTATCAATACTTCTCCTCATAAGCTCTTCTCTATTAAACTTTGACATAGCTAAAAACACATTCCCAAACGCCCCTTGTCCAATTTCATGCACATATTGATATCTTTCATGAAGATTTGCCAAAGTAATTAGTTTTGCACAAGTCGTCGTATCCAGCGGTATGAACCTTTCTCGTGCACAACCAGGAGGGAATGCAAAATCATATATTGCACTTGGAATCTTTTCTTGAGGTAAACGCTTAGGAGCTTTAACATCTAATTTACCCATTGAACTCTTGACTACAGGTGTATCAATATATAACTCTCTCTATATGACCGTAATGATAATTCAGCTTGAAAAATATAAGTTATGTCCCTACACACGGTGTGTAGTCAATAGTATTATACTAGAATACAATTACAAGACCGGAAAGATCAAATTATTAAACTTATATATCCTCTCTAAATGCCTGTTATTGAATGCTATTGACTATTTGTAATTTGGTCGTAAAAACGGTTGTCAAATTTGCAACATTTTTTAGCGCGATTTACAAAAGGTTAAACAATAAGATATCATTATAGGAATGTATATTACAACCTATATATGTACAAAATCCGAATTTTCTTCTATATCTCCCAGGTCTTCGTCCTCAGACGAATCAGATTCAGAATCACTTAATATGATCATAAATTGCTGATTTGGAGTTGCTGTTGGAGCTCCTTGTTTATCAATATATATATCGTACTTACCGTTTAAACTTGAATATGATAATAAAAGTTCAGGATCAACTGTGTAACTACTAATAATTTCTTCTTCTTCATTTTCTTCTGTATCATCGGGTCCAACTTCTACTGAATTGTCATTATCAAAACTCTCTGAATTTGACATTAATCTCTGAATTCTTTTCGTTACTGGATGAGCTAAATCACAAGATTTGTTTCTTAAACAAAATCCTTGCTCTTCAAAATCAGGACAATTAAACAAATGTAAAAATGGGCATTTATTACCTCGAACACACCAACCTCCAATTGCAAATGGTCGACATATCCATATTTCAGTATGAGGTTCATCATATCTTGGTGGTTTTATATGTTGAAATTTACAATTAGGATTGAAACATTTGTTTTCTAAAAAATACTTACATAATGGAGTATTAAATTCTGTACTATTATGAGATAATAAGCAATTCTTATTCCAACAATTTTCTACCATGAATTGATTACATATTCTGATTTTAGATCTGTCATGACTATATTTACATTTTGAACCTTTCTGACAAATTCCTAAATAGATTTGAAAGATTCATAAACAATTTCATCTTATGTTAGTAAAATACACTATATAAATATCATTTAAAAAGGAGTACTCACCTGTTCTTGAAAAGTATCTACATAACTCTGTAGGTGATCTAAATGATTGTCTGTTAGTATTGATTAAAATGGCATGTTATGTTTAATAAAATTAGTACTTACTTTCTAGTTTTCCCACTAACACATTTTAAACTCGCTCCATTCTTAATTGAATATACTTTATTAGCCCAAACTATTTGTTTCTTTAACATAAATTCAGAATTCGGTATTCCAAGAGGTAATAACCTATTCCCCATTTTAGTTACGGCATATGGTACACCCTCTATTTTAATCCTATCACAATTATCAGCTCGTACTTTATTTCTAGAAACATTTTTCTGTAGAAGTTGTTGACTCCTCTGTGACTCCTTTAACTTCTTTAATTCTTCCTTCTCTTGTAGAATTTTATGATATTGTTGTTGTTGTCTTTGATATACAGCAGTATTTACAAGGGACATACTACCTTTTGATGTTTTACTTACATATCCCTGAGAAACATCATTGGATACAGTATTTTTATCATCTTTAGTAAAAACTGCAGTAACATTTGAAAATGAACTTCTCATTGATTTAGCCTGTTTATTTTGCCATTTCTTTTGAATTGGCGCTGATCGGACTGGTACATAATTATTGATATATCTTGTTCTACTTCCTCTAGCTTGCTTTTCAGCCTGTTTCTTTTCTTCAAGTGCCTTTTTCAAAGCAGCAATCTCAGCATACTTCTTCTTGAACGCATCTCCATCTTCATTTGACGACATTTAATCTCACAAACAATAAATGTCCTGTAAATTGTTAGTCATCATACATAGAGAGATGCTCTCTATATTTTGTTTTTTTCTTAAGGAAGGATATGACTGAGAAATTAGAAATTACACTCTCCATATAATTAAACTATACTAACTATATCTATCCAAATGTCGCTGGGACAAAAAGATACTAAACTTATAGAATTCGGAATATCATCAATTCAATCATTAATACCGATTGATACGGAATCATGTCGAGAAATTATCAATTATTCATTAAATTTAGGTAATGACAAATTAATTCTGGACCATTTACTAGATATCCTTGGAGTCAATTCTGAAGCATTATCATTTATTGAAAAGTTTATAGCTTTGAAACAAGAATCTGAAACCACTCCTAAACCTGTATGGAAACCATCAGAAGTGGAGAAGTCATCTCATAAGCAAGATCAATCTAAAGTATCTAATATCAAACATAATAAATCTTCAGTAACTACTTCACAACTTCTAGATAAACGTCTGCCAGTATCTGTACCAGTACCAACACCTTCCAAAACAGCTAAAAATAAGAAACTTAGAAATCTAAATAATCTTAAGGATATTGAAGCTGCTATAAATGAAATAGAATCTACACAAGAGAGTACTATATCATCAACTGGAGGTATACGAGTATGTAATTGTTTAGCTACTAGACATCCTTTATTTGAATTAGCTCCTAATTGTTTAAATTGTGGGAAGATTATATGTAGTAAAGAAGGACTTCAGCCTTGTTCATTCTGTGGAACTCCACTATTAAATTCCGATGAAACTAAAAGTATACTTAATGCACTTGAACTGGAAAGAGATGTATTACTTAAACGGAATGGTGGAGAAACAAAGGATGATCCTAAAACTAAACCTCATAGTAAACCAAAGAAAATTGTGGTTTCTGTAAATAAAGGTGAAAATCTTTGGAAAGCTCAAGAAAGAGCCTTTAAAATGGCTGAAGATGAATTTAAAAAGCTGAAACAGGCAAAGGAAGAAGAAAAGATAGAGGCAGAATTAAATAGAATAGAATCAATTGATTCAATAGATCCTGATCTTCAAAAGGCTACTGAAAGATTAGAAACATTACTTGACTTTCAAGCTACTGGAGCTGAAAGAACTAAGATTATTGATAATGCAGCCGATTTCGATATGCCAACAGCTTCCGGAACAATGTGGTTATCACCAATGGAACGAGCATTACAATTAAAAGTATGGCAAAAGGAATTAAAAAATCAAGAAGCAAAGAAAAATGAAAGAACTGGTAGAGGTGATAAATCTGTAGAAATGGTTATTAAAGATGGGAAAGTTACCATGGTTGAAAAGTATCGTACTCCAAAGGAAAATGATTCAAATGAATTAATAGAATTACATGAAGGAATTAAAAAACATAAACAACAAGCAGAAAAATCGAATTGGACATATTGGGATTATGAAAAGGATAAAGAAAAATGGGATAAACCAGTATATGTAGGAGTTAATCTGGTATCTACGGGTTCTACCGAATTACCTAAATCAAGAGTTCAATTTCAAAATCCTACAAATAGTGAAGAATTAGTTATAGCATTACCATAGTAATATATATTACTTATCTCTTAAATCGTTTCCACTTGGACTTTTGTATCTTAAGTCTTTTATAATTATTACTAGTTGGTTTGATTTTACCCTTAGTTGAACCCTGTTGTTCACGTTTTAATGGAGTTATATCTTCTTCATCGGCATCAGACTCATAATCTGATTCGGAATGACTTTCATCCTCAAGATAGTGTGTTAAAGACAGTTTCTCTTGTTCTTTAATTTGATCAATCTTCTTATGAATATCTTTAATTTTAGTAGTAGACACTTCCATTTCTTCTCGAGGTTTCATTTTCCATCTTCTTGTAGTTCTCTTTGGATTTTTCTTTTTATATTTTCTATTTTCTATATCACTGAAATCAGAATGATCCAGAAATACATCTTCATCTTCATTTTCATTTTCTTTGTCTTTATCTCTATCATATACATTAATTTCATTAGCTATTTCAGTTAATTTCGTAACAAATCGTAATGGTTTGATGGGAGTGGGGGATACTTGAAATGATATGGTAGTTTGTTTTATTGGGGTTGATAATGGTTGTTTATCATCTTGTTTACTGGTGGTTAAATATTGAGGTGTCATTAATGCATTACTAGCATTATTATTAAACTTTATAGGTGTTACAGGAAAATTGGATTCTGAAACTTCTTTAAGTTGAGCTGTTAACAGACGAGATACTGAATTTGATTCTCTGAATGGATCATTATTCTGATTCTTATTCCTTTTAGTAGGTGTTTTAAATGTACTAAATGATTGTGATTGTTTATCCTTTAATGGTGATGATTCAGGAGGAGTCATTTTCACATCAAAAATAGACATTACTTTCCCATTTGCCTGTGGAGTAGGTCCTAATTCCCCATTGGTAATATTCTTTATTGGACTCTTATAAGATTCATTATTTATAGTCGATACTGATACTGAAGATTCACCTGATTTAATTTTAACTGGTTGTGACTTTAATGTACGATAAGAACTATACAATTTATATATCCTCTTCTCTTGCTTTATATCTTCCTTTCCCGGTAGTCTATCATTCTTAGCTTTGAAATCATATTCCCATTGTTTTATCTTCTTTCGAACCTCCTCTAACTTGTTCATTGGATGCAATGCGTTGCTAGTTAAGTTACTTACTCACTAACTAACTGACTAACTAATGAAAATTAAAAATTAAAAATTAAAAATTAAAAATTAAAAATTAAAAATTAAAAAAAATATATATACATTATACGCGTACACGCCTAATTTAAATTATTTACAAAGCTATGAACATGAGAAAAGTTTTGAGCCTCACTATCTACTTGAGTTAAGATATGACGTAAAGCGGATTGGAATACTAATTTTTCTTGTTCTGAAGAAAATTTAGATCCTTGTGTTATATAACTTTCTATAAAGGATTCAACGGGAGATGAAGAATTATTCCAATATTTATATAGAAAATCTATCATAGAAGTTTTATCATTTCTAATGGCTAAATAAGTTACTAATCGAATCCATTTATTAATTGAATTTGTATCTTGATTAGTATTTAAAAATCCAAATGATGAATCCCATTCTTCCCAAAATTTATCCCATTTAGATGTATTACCATAAGTAAATAATATTAATTCTTTAAACAGATGAGGTATAACTCCCTTATAAAATTTATTTATTAAAAACATTACATCTCTTGCTCTATTACCAGGTTGTTCAACTTTTAAATTAAATGATAATTCGGAAATTTTCTTATTTCCAACTAATATATCATCTATAATTTTTGGTCCTATAAAGTCTTTTTCTTGCTTTATAGATAATCGCCATAATAAAACTAAGAATCCCTTTTGAGATAAAACATTATAATTAGATGAAAATCGGGTAATATTAGCAATGAATTGAGATAATTCATTAAAGATCAAATCAGTCAGCAATTCCTTTGCTTCAGGAGAATCCATTAATAAATTCATAAAATATATTATATCTTGAGTGATTTCCTTTTCTCGATCAATTTGAAAATTTAAGTTCAGATGTTTATCATAGATGGCTTCTGTTACTTTACTTAAAGGAATATAATTTGGATTTAAAATGTGTAGTTGTTTATAAAATTCAATTCTCATTTGATGATCTTTATTGGTTTGAAATTTATTATCGAATTCAGTTTTAAAATCTTCCACAGAAACTTTTGATTTATCACTATTTTTAAAATTATCAACTGTTTTTCTTAAATTCAATAGTCTAGTTGTGGTAGAAAATTCACGTCTTTGATTTGAAAATGTATTCAGACGATTTATACCAATGAAAATATCATCACCTATATCATCAGATTCAACTTTTCTTTCATATTTATGCATATCCTTCTCTTCACACCAAAGAGTTTCAAGTTCTAATTCATTTCTTCTCTCTTTTGTCAACATATGTATTATTATTTCACCTTTCTTAGGATCACAAACTACCCAACTATTAGGTGCTACACCATAAATATTATCAGTAGATGGAGGACCTTTACTACCTCTTCGAAGTAATCTTCTTCTAGCAACAGGACTTATTCCTGAAGAAACAACACCTTCAAGTCGAGGTAAAATGTTATATGTTTGCTTTATAAATAATCTTAATTCAGAGGCAGCTTTAAATAAATGCTTTTCTGATTTCCCAGTTCCTATAAGAATGAATGAATGAGGTTGATTTTTTGAACTATATTGATGATCTTCAGGTAAAAATCTTAAATCAAATAATTCAAGATCTTCAAGTCCATACTCTTCTCCTATAAGTTTAATTATATCATTTATAAATGGTGGTGCATCTTCTGGAACTACAGGTAACTTAATATCTTCTTTCTCCAGAAGTGGTGATGAAACTTTTTCACGTAAAAACCATGGTACTGATTCAGTTTCTTCTTGTTGTTGGAAAATTCTTGCTACAGACAGGAAGTTCCTTCTGCAGTGCAAGAGTGTTGGAAGTTGTCTCCTATAAATCCTTGAAAGCATGATATGCTAGGAATTATGACTACTAGTATAATATTGCAGTTCAGCTATAAAGTCTTTTCATCTCGAATTAATTAGAATTTAATTACACAAACATAAACATATGAGATCACGTGACTTTAAATAAACATAATCTTAATCATCAAATCTATCTAACAATTAAAACTATTTGAAGAGAATTGATATAAGTAAGTAGCGTAGTATGTAGTAAAGTGTCTTTGAAATAAATATGAATGGGTTTGATTTAATTCTTAAAAGTCTATAGATATCTTGTAAATATTTATTCAATTTATATATACTTAGTCAGATTTGGGGCTAAATATGAATAAAATAGAATATTTTCATAATTAAAATTAAACTTAGTAATAGTTCAATCATCTCTCGTCAACATCTTTACATACCTTTCATTTGTATACCATCTATACACTTTTATATTGACTTCTATTATTGATAAGTTTATATTTTGCATTCATTAAGAGTGCTGGACTATATACAGGAACTTCAAATTTTTTTTATGTAAAGCTCATCTTAGTATAGAGATGAATATTTCAATATATGAATTTAATAGAATAACTATACAATAAACAACTACTAGCATGACGAAATTAACTCATAATATACAGAAGAAACAGCATAGAGAACGTTCTCAAACTGAAAAGAGAGCCAAGTATGGGTTATTGGAAAAGAAGAAGGATTATAGATTAAGAGCCAATGATTATCATAAGAAACAAGCAGCTCTTAAAGCATTAAAAGCTAAAGCAGCAACTTATAATCCTGATGAATATTATCATGCTATGACAAAGAAGAGTACTGATAACAATGGTATAATAATTTCTGAAAGAGATAATGAAGTGTTATCAGTAAATGAAGTGAAATTATTAAAGACTCAAGATGTAAATTATATTCGAACCATACGTTTAAATGAATTACTGAAAATAAAGAAACAAAAGGAAACACTAGATTTTAAAGCTGATGGGAAACATACAGTATTTGTGGATTCTAAACAAGATTTAAATAATTTTGATGCAGCAGAATATTTCAAGACTGATTCATCTTTATTAAATAGACGAGAGAATAGATTAAAATTAGATCAATTACAAACCAATAAAAAATTAGTACAGAGTCAAGATATACTTTTAAAAGAGAAAAATGATGTCAAGAAACTTAAGCAATTTAAACTTTTACAACAAAGATTAAAGAGAGAAGCCGAATTAAAACAAATAGAATCAAGAATGGAACAAACTAAAGAATTAATGAAGAAAGGTAATAAAAAGAAAGTTGTTGGCTCTAATGGGAAAGTAGAATTTAAATGGAAAAATCAAAGGAAAAGATAGATATTTATATATATTTATATTTCAAATGCATTTAGTCATTTTCAAGACTTCTATTAATATACTCGACGAATAACGGAGTTATTCTTGAAATATCAACCGATCTCATTCTATTTAAACTTATGTATGTTCTTCTCATTCTTTGTAATTGACCGGTAGTAACTGCCACCGCTGGCATATCTACATATAAATTTTGATCTTTATCAATAATGGCTCTTCCTCCAATTGAAGAAAGTTGTTGATGTTGTAAAATCTTTGATAGTACTTGTTGAGTTTGTTTATCTAATTCTTGAAGGAAATTATTTCCTGAAGTTGGTTTAACTAATGTAGCAGCATTTGGAGGTGGAGGTCTTTTTAAAACAAGAGCATCCCATATTTCATCTATAGGTAATTTTTCATTTTCATCATCAGAAACTATTGTAAATAAAGGAGAATCCCATCGACTATCACCATTAGGTTCTTCATATCTCATACATAATTGATTTATTAATTCTTCATCCCAAGTATTATTCCATTCAAGACATTTTTCACGAGAACATAATACATGTATAACACAATGAGGTGTAACTACACCTTTCGCTTCACAAAATAATTGATATCTAAACCCCTTTATATAAGCTAAAGAATCAAGTATAACAAAATTAGTTCGAGAAAGATCTCTTTTAACAGCTGAAAGTTGATTCCCTCTAGCTTGCTTTTCAAGATTTGAATCCTTATAAGCATCATGAGATATACCTAATGTCTCATCGGAATGATAAATTACTTTATAATTCTTCCCCACCTCATCGGATTGTTGAGCTTTTAAAATTCTTTCTTCTAAAGCCACTTGTAATTTCTTAGCCCATGTTGACTTACCGGATGACGGGAATCCCGAAAACGTTATAAGTGGCATTTGAAGTAAAATTACCGTTTTGCAATCTAAATCAGATGAATAATTTTTTTTTTTATTTTCCGTTTATTTTCTATTTTCTTTCTATATTTTTCAGATATCTCAGCTCAGACTTTCCACTACTCTGCCTAAGCACTAAACACTAAGCAATAAGCAATAAGCACTAAGTAACATACCTTAATGAGTTTGAAATTTGTACCTCGAAGGATATTTCCGAATTACAATATCCCTTTGGCTAACTTTAAGGGTCATCATCAAAAGGCTCTTACTAGATTTGGACATTTAGCACCTCAAATCGATTTAGTACTAGAAGTTCGAGATTCTCGAGCTCCAATATCAACTATAAATGTTTTATTTAGGAAAATATTAGGTAATAAAGAAAAAATCGTTATTTATAGTAAGAATGATTTATCAGTATTAAAAACTGATATTATTAAGAAATGGCATGAATCATTAAATGAAAAGGTTTTATTTATTGATTGTAATAAAAGGAGTGATGCTAAAAAGGTAATTAATTTAGTTACGGAGAAATATAATTCAATGGATTTCCCTCCTCCTTTAGGGTTAAGACTTATGATAGTAGGAATGCCTAATGTAGGTAAATCATCTCTAGTTAATAATTTACGATATGTTGGTTATTCATCTCAACAAGAAGGAAGTATTTCAAGTAAAACTAGAAAAGTAGCTAAAACTGGAGGTCAACCAGGGGTTACAACAAGTACAAGTGAAGTTATTAAATTATCAGAAGATCCAAATATATTAGTTTATGATACTCCTGGAGTATTTCTTCCTACCATTAAAGATTCAGAAACTATGTTAGCATTAAGTTTAGTAGGATGTGTTCATGATTCATTTATCGATCCAGTAATTCAAGCTGATTATCTTCTTTATTTACTTAATTTACAAGATCCTACCGGATCTAAATATTCTGAATATTTAGATCATCCAACTAATTCAATAGATGAATTATTATTTAATATTGCTAAAACAAGAGGAGTTATACGAACTGATGGAACTTATGATGAAGATGGTATGGCATTACATTGGGTAAGTCTTTGGAAACAAGGTAAACATAGAAAATATAGAGGACTCTTTGATTTAGCAGCTATACTTGAATATAATGAAAAGGATTTACAACAAATCTTTAAGACAGAAATGAATAGAACTAAAGAAATGAAAGTTCATGAAAAAATCATGAATAGTAATAGTGATTCTGATGATAAACATAGGAAAAGAACAGCTAAAGATAGAGAATATGATTTAAGAAATAGATTATTCAAATAATAATATGGTAATTTATTTAATTTAAAATATCTCCAACATCAAAGAAACTATCGAAATTTTCTTGTTTAGTATCTTTATCAAAGAACCTTTCAAAAGCTGAAGCAGCAACTTTTCTTCGTTTTTGTTTTTGAGTTTGCAATAAGTATGAAGTATCAAGTTTCTTAAATAATTTCAAAGTTACTTGATTATCTGGATGAGTTATTTTATCAAGATAATTACCAGGTGTTTGAGATTCATTAAAGATATTGGATAATCTAAAAAGATTGGCATCAGAAGATAATTCTGAAAATAATTTATCATTGTTCAAATAGTCAAATAAAGACTCACTTCTAGTTGATGATGAGATGATACGTTTTAAATAATGTAAATATTTTTTGGCAGAAGGTGATTCTGATAATAACATTGAATCAATATTAATATTATTAATATTAGTATGAACATTTTCTGTCACTTTTCTATTGCTAATATAATCTGTAAATAGTTTTTCATCTTCATGATCTAAGGATTTAGAATTAATAAAGGAATCCATATCATGGATAATTTCATTGGAAGGGAAATTTCTTGAATCATTTGTAGTTTCTTGTTGTGATGATTCAGTTATTAATGTTGGAAATCTACCCATTTTCTCATCTTCTTTAAAGGCAAGACGAGTTACAATAAATATATAAGAATACTTAGAATCTCCCATTTCAACTAATTTGGGTACTAAAGCATTTAAAGTTATTTCTTTACCACTTGAAACAACCAATCTAACAATAGCTAATGATTCCATATCTAATAAAGATTTTGCTAATGAATTAAATGCAATATAATTCAGAGACGGTGAGTCACCTAATGGAACAATATATGATGAAGCACCGGTTAAATAAGCTATTGGTAAGTTTTTACTCTTAATAAATCCTAAAATATCAATCCCTGGTTCAGCCGTTAATTTCGACATTTCTTGTAAATCTCTATTTATAACAATAATATCTCGTTGAGAAAACTTAAAACCGGGTTCATGTTCTCCCTCCACTTGTATTTTTTCAAATATATCAGCATCATCTTCATCATCTTCATTTAAATCATCATCTCCTTCTTCTTCTTCTTCATTATCATTACCTTTATACTTTTTGATATAATATTTCGTTACTCGTTTAACTTTATGAACTGTATGATTAGCAGGATCAAGAATATAATCATGACCTTTAATAATATTTTCGGGTTTGACAGCAGGATATGCTTGAACATCTATGGTAATTGCTGAATTTGTAGATAATTCTGAATCTGCTTCTACATCTGTTCCAAACCGTATTTGACCCAGAAAATACAGACGAGGTCCTACTACTTTCAATTCCAGTAATGATTTATTAACCTGTTCAGTATCCTTTAGTTTGAAATTCAGCCACGTATGTGATAATTGTTGCCAAACAGTTTCATTTTTTATTTTAGTAACTGACTTGTCTAATTGTGAATTCAAATCAATAATATTCATTGAAACTCCAATATTATATTGACTACACATTTGGGAATATTCTGAAATTTCATCTAAATTATTTAATGATGTAGATGCAACATTACTTATGATATGTAATTGACGTTTAAATTTTAAATGTATTTTCAGTTTAAATTGATCTAAAGCTAATTCAACAGATTTTACTAAATCATTATTATCAGGAATATCTCTTGTAATTTTCAATTTTGAAGCAAATTGTTTGAATTTTTCATAAGTAAATTGTTCATCATCATATAAGATTTCGAAATTTAAATGATCTCCAGGATTATGAAGTGCTAAAGCAATTCTATCTGATTTTCTATTCTTTAATAATAAATTAGCAAGATAATCATATACGTAAATTAATCCAAATTCTAAATCAGTAATATTTCTAGTGGCATATTTTAATCCCATAGAGGGGGATAAATCTACTAAAAAGATTGTATATTCTTTAGATGCCATATTATTAGTACATAAATAAATAAATATAGATGATTGATATTCGGTAATTGATGGTGACTCAACTTAGACCAATTTAGAAGCGCAACATTAAGCGCGTTTTCCAAAATAGACCACTCGTAATTATAATTACGTCTCGGAATATCAACAATGAAAAATTTCCTAAGGTCGTTTATCTCGGGGTAAGAATTATACAAAAAACAATAGTTAAATAATTATATACGAGACTATTTTTTATCAATTAGACGACGATCATTAGTGTGTAATTATTTGTAATTTATCTATTGTTAGTAGCTATGGCTGTACCTTATAATCATCTATATTCTATGCAAGTCCAAGGTCAGATGACTCCTGTGTCTGACGAAGCCATGCAACAACAACAGCAACAACAACAGCAACAACAACAGCAGATTCAGCAACAACAGCAACTACCCCAACAGCAACAACAACAGCAGCAACAACAGCTACCCCAACATATCCAATATACCAATTCATTACCTCAAGTTTATTATACTAATCAACCTCAACTTATGGCCCCTCAACAAATACCTCAATATCAAGTACCTGTTGGAAATATTCCAATGAATCAAGACAGATTCAATAAAGATGATCCATTAGTATTTCAAGGTCAAACTCAAATGAGTCAATTTCCTTTACAACGGGGTATATCACCTATTTTCCAAGAAACTACAACGATGATGAATCCTCCTAATATTCCATTACCTATTGAATCTCATCAATTTGTTCAAAATAATCAACCTCATGTTCAATTCTTTAATAATCAAGCTTCTAATTCATATTTTAATTTTGGATTTGGAATGAATCAAGGAACATTTCCAAGACCAAATGAACGACCATCAGAATTCTTTTATAATCATCAAATTCCAATCGAATCAAAGAAAGAAATTAAATCAGAAACTCCTACACAAACTAAAAAGAATTCAAGACCAAGAATAAATAAAATAAGTAAAAATGAAGCATCATCTCCTAAACAACCAAGTGTTTTAGGAGAACTTTCAATTGAAGATTTATGTAATCATTTTCGAGAAATTCTTAAAATTGAAATTCCTGGAGATAATTCTTCAGCAGCATTTCAATTATCTATGAAAACAGAATTAGAATGTCAATTATTTGATATGTTTGTTAATAGGGTATCAACTTGTATTGATGTATTTTTACCACAAGAAGTATTTAAAAAAGTTATACCATATTTAGCACTTTATGATGAAACTAATATGATAATTGATGCAATATTTTGTTTAAGTTCATTAATGTTACAAAGAAGTTCTCCCGATAAAGTTGATCCATCAACTCCAATTAAATATTATCATCAATGTATTAAATCTGTTAGACATTATTTAAGTATGCCAGGTATAGAAAGTAGTGATACAGGTATTATATCAAGATGTTTATTAAGTACAATTTTATTATGTATTTATGAATTATTCTTTGTGGCAATTGATAGTACTTATGTTAAAGGAGCTTCAAGTATTTTATCATCTATTTTACAAAAACATAATATTCAACAAAATCAAAGTTTACTTAAAGAATCACCCTTTCATCAAACATGTTTTTGGGCCATGTTTATTAGTGATTTAATTTTATCTTTAAAATATCATTTACCAAGTATGTTTTCTGTTGAAAATTTTTGGAGATCATTAGATCCATTATATTTTGAAAATTTTGATAGAGGCTATCAAATTAAAAATAAAGAATCAGATATTTCTTCATTATTAATAAGTAAAGAATGTTCACTGTGGTTTTTACAAAAATCACTTTTAAATTTTAGTGAAGTTAATGAATTTAATAATCAAGTAAATGTTATTTCAAAGGAAGATTATGAAAGTAATAAAGCATTCCATGATTGGTTAAAATTAAAGACATTAATTGATGATTATGAAAATTCAATTCCATTAGGTTTAAAACCAGTAATTTATCGACCAGTTTCAAGTGAAAGAATATATCCTATTGTTTATTTTAAAGATGAAGTTGCAGCAATTATTGGATTAAATCTTAAATTATCAAAAATTGCCTTATATGAAGCATTAGTTCTGAAAACTGATACAAATAATTCAATGGTTATACAAGAATTATCAAAATATTCATCTAATTATTGTTATAAATTAGCTAAAGATATAATTGGAATTATGAAAACTTATGATGCAAATTTATTAATTTGGCCAGTTAATGTTCATACAATTAGACAAGTAGCTCGTTATGTATTTGATGATTCAGAAGCATTTAAAGGTTTAGAAGAATTAATTGAAAGAATGATATTTACTTGTAATTTACGATTACATGATAAAATCTTTCCTAGTCAATAATCAAAGGTTTTATATTTTATATTTGAATTATATTTTAATTATATTTTATATTTTATATTTGTGCTTTTATAGTTTTATGTGTATTATTAATATTAAATTAATCAGTTAAATATTTTTTTTAAAAATTTGAACTAGAAGACTTTGTCTTTAAGTTGTAATACTACAGCTGTTCTAGATGGGAGATAAATTTGGATAGAATTAGATCTATCATTCCAACGTTCATTGTTGGTAAAATATTCATATGGTATACCTTTATCATTAGTTTCTTCAACTCTTTGATGTCCACCAAATTCTTTATCATCAGATGATAAAACTAATACATAAGTACCTGAAGTTTCAATTCCAACTTTATAATCAGGATATGAATTCGAATGATGAAAATTAAACGCAAATAATAAACCATTTCTTTCAAAAATAAGAACTTTATCACTTTCATGTTTTAATGAAACATAAGCTTGTGGAGTATCTAATACTCCATATTTTGAATCTAATGATAACATTGCTCTATCAAATTCAAATAAAAATTTATATCTTAATAAATCATCTCCAATAAGATTAAATTGTCTTCTAGCATAATGATAAGATTCATTATTACCAATTCTTGGAAAATCTAACCATTCAGGATGACCAAATTCATTACCTTCAAAATTTAAATATCCTTCACCTCCAAGGGCAAAAGTAAGTAATCTAATTAATTTATGTAAGGCAATACCTCTATCAATTACAGGAGTATTTTCAGTTAATACTGACATATTTGTATACATTTCTTTATCCATTAACCAAAAGGCAATTGTTTTATCTCCAACTAATGCTTGATCATGAGATTCACAATATGCAATACATTTTTCTTTATATCTTCTATTGGTTAAAGTATGAACAATATTTGCAAGATCCCATTGTTCATCTGATAAATGTTTAAGAATTTTAATCCACATATCAGGAATTGCCATTGAAAGTCTATAATCAAATCCTATACCACCTTCAGAAATTTTTAAACAAAGTGTTGGCATTCCACTAACATCTTCAGCAATTGAAATAAATTTATCATCATTATTATCAATTTCATTTATTTCTTCTAATAATTTATGAGCAAGCATAAGATAAGTTATTGCTTCATCTTCAACCCAATCAGGATTAAAATATTCATTATAATCTCCACTAAATCCAAAACTTAAACCATGATGTTTATATAACATTGATGTAACACCATCAAATCTAAAACCATCAAATTTATATTCATCAATAAAGAATTTTAAATTAGATAATAAAAATCTTAAAGTTTCATGATTGGCATAATTAAATAATCTTGAATCCCATAAATCATGATTACCTTTAGCTCCACCATGAAATAAATAATGATCAGTTCCATTAAACATATTTAAACCATCTTGAACATTTTTTGAACTATGAGAATGAACAACATCTAATAAAACTTTAATTCCTAAACCATGAGCAGTATCAATTAATTCTTTTAAATCATCAGGTGTACCATAACGAGAAGAAATTGCAAAAAAATTAGTTACTTGATAACCAAAAGATGCATAATAAGCATGTTCCATAATAGCCATTAATTGAATAGTATTATAACCTAATTTATGAATTATTGGTAAAACATTTTCAGTAAAATTCTTATAAGTTCCAACTTTTGGTTCAGGAGTTGAAATTCCTACATGAGCTTCATAAATTCTAATACCTTCTTTATTATTAAATCTTGCTCGATTATTTTTAAAAACATATTGTTCATGTTTAGGAGGATTCCAAAATCTACCTTCATATAAAGTATTTTCTTTAGCTGGAGTTGCTCTTCTAAGCCAAGGATCTAATCTATAAATTATTTCACCTGATGGAATTTTAATAGCAATTTTATATCTTGAATCATGTTTAATTGCAAATTCATTATTAATTGAAGGAATTGTTAATGACCATAAACCAAAATCATTAATTTTAATTAATTTATGACTATTAAAATTCCAATCATTAAAATCTCCCACTAATGAAACTTCTAATACATCAGGAACATATTGAGTAATAATTATTGAATTATTATCCCAATTAGCATGTAAACCATAAGTATTATAAGATGAAGCAAATTTAATTAATGATCCTTCAGTATTATTTAAATCTTTATACCATTTTTGAAATTGAAGTTGACGATTAATTAAATGATGAGAAAATGGTTCTAACCATGGATCGATATCTAATGCGGGCTTAATGAGACTCCTATTATCAGTTCCACTCATTATTAAAAAAACTATCAGTAACTAATTAATGATTAATGATTATTAAAAAGTAAGTAATTAATTAACAATTGAGATTTATATTTATTTATATATATATTTAAAATATATCCCTACAATTTAAATTATGCTCAACAATCAACTAATTGCTGGATAATGCTTCCCTACCACATTTGCCAGGCACCTGTTTCTGGGCTACATCCCGCACTAATCTTACCCACTAAAAATTCCCACACCGACAAAAGGGTTTTTATTTTTGTGCCCATCATCTTTGTGCGATTGAGGCACACCACCATCCCCACCATTTAATTTGAATGATACATAAAAAGTTACAGGTATCTATTATACGTATGTAACAATTTTATTTACGTAATTCTATTGAGAATATACTAGCTAACCTACAATTTTATATTACATTATACTTACTAAGTATTTTGGTTTTAACAATGAATTTATCATTCAATTCATAATTTCATGTATTATTTAAAGTTGCTCTACTTTATTATCGTGGTTGGCACACGACTTGGTATGTCTTATCATTTTGCAACTCTCCTAGATTAATTAATTAATATTAATATTATATTTGTGATTGTGATCGTTATTGTTACAGTTACAGGTTTATTATTACACATTCTATATCATCTTATCTAAATCTTTGATTCAAGATTCTTTCCGGTCCAGCTTCTTCATATTCTTCTTTGCTAACCCACATTTGATGAAATGTACCTAATGATGCAAGAACACTACCACCAATCCAAGCTTGATTAACTCTTTCACTACTATTACCAACTGCATGTAACCTTATCTTTAATCCAGGATTAGAATTAGATAATTCATTATATAATCGTTCAGTTAATTGCGGTATTAAAGAAACTCCCCCAGTAACAATAATATTATGAGCAACTGAAGCTCGTAAATCTATATCAATACTTGATAATGTATGAGTAATTAATTTAGATAAACCTCGAACTTCCAGTTTAGATTCAGAAGTTTCTTCATTACCAGGTTGAGGAGTAGATTGATTAGATTCTGCTTTACGAATTCTCTTTAATGGTCTATAATCATCATATTTACTCTTAATTGAAAGTTCTCCACTATTTGGAGGATATTTCTTAGATAATGATTCATCATTAAATTTAGTAATTTGAGGATCAAATATAGATTCAGCCAATTCAAATCTTTCTCTACCTAATTCTAATGATTGACCAGTTGGAAATTCAAATAATCTTTTATAAGTATCTTGAGAATAAAATTCTTTTAATGATTGTGCTTGTTTTGGATTTAATGTAGTTAATTTTCTATCAGGAACTTCTAATACACTTTCTTTAAATTCATGCCATATTTTATTCTTTTGAAATTCATCAAATGATTCTGTTATATTTTCTGGTAAATCTCTTAATTCATATTTGGCTTCATTAGGATAAATTACTGGAGTTTTACTTTTAATTTTATAAGTTCCTTCAACTTTAAGATTTTCTTTTGATTTAATTAAATCCTTAATTTGATCATCTAAAAATCTTCCACCATAATTTGTTTTCATTGAATTTTTAAGTAAACATATTCCATCAATAACTGGAGTTACACTAACTGAATCATGACCTAAATCAACTACTAAACAATTAGGTCTACCTTGTTGAAACGAAACACATGTTGGAGCTTTTGCTAAATATAAAGCAGGAAATGAAAATGTTTCATAAAATGTTTCAACAAATTTTTGACGATATTTATTATCAGTCCATACTGGTTCAGTAATTAAAATTGGTTGTTCTTTAAAATCAATCTTTAATATTGAATTAAAATAATAAGAATATTGTTCAGTTGCTGCATCCCAATCAATTATTTCTGAATCTTTCATTATTGGTTTAATATCGAAATTTGATCGAGGAACTCCAATTGATTCTCCAAATAATTTCTTATTATTCTTTTTATTATTACCATTCTCATGAATTCCATAATATGATGATACAACTACTTTAGGAAAATCATCTCCTGCGTATCCTAATCTAGTATTATATGATCCGGGATCTAACACTACGGCATTTATTTCATCTCCTCCATACACATTGGTACTATTATTAGTGGATGACATATTGTATTGTATATTATTATATTTAACTAGTGTTTATTGCTGGACTAAGACTCGTTCAACTGAAAAAAAAATTATAAACCAAATCCGTTTACACACTATTTTTTTTAGTGTGTGGATGGAACGTGACTGCGAGAACGTGATGTATAATGTCCTACAACAACTACAACTACAACTCAACTATGAACTATAATAGATGAATATTTATAATGTTATAATGATATATGATATATGATAAATAAGTTTACAATAATTTGGTTTCTGATTCAATAAGGTTAATTAATAATTCAGCTTCAAGTCTCTTTCTACCTTCAATTACCCAATCATCAGCTAATTTTCTTGACCATCCCTTTAAATTAGTTACTTCTTCAACAGCAATATCTAAATCACCTTTAATTAAACTATTTTCAACTCTTGCAATGACAGATTCAATATCTTTACCATCTGGTTTATTACCTTTAACTGGTAATAATAATTTTGAAAATATAATTGAAGCTAAATGACCTAATAATCCAGCATTTGGTGGTAATAAAGAAGCTGATCTTAATTCAGGGGCAAGTTGTTCCCAACGACTTAATAATTGTGCAGTAGTTAAAATAGATTGATTAGATTCTTTTGAAAGTAATGGTTCTAATTCTTTTAATGCTAAATTTATTACTTCATCATTAGTAACTTTTGATGCAGAAGTTAAATTATCAACATATGGTTTAATTGATTTTGGATTATCAATAGCTTCTGAAGCAAATAATAATGATTTTAATCTTGTTAAAGATTGTTGAAGAATAAATCTATTATGATTAGCAACTAATTGATTTTCAAAACCTTCAGCAAATTTTTCTAATTCATTTATTCTAGTCGATAATTTTTCTAAATTAGCTAATTTACCATTTCTTTCTTCATTAATTCTATCAGCAATTAATTTTTCAAAACTTTTGGTTTGTTCAATACGAACCATAGAGACAGCATTTACAGCTGCTTGAGAAATAGCTTCTTTAGTAGCTTGAACTTCTTGACTTAAACGTTGATTTAATTTCTTTTCTAATTGAGCCTTTTCATGATTAAATTGATCTAATAAATTTTCAGTTAATTCCAATTCCTTTTTAGTATAAGAAGATAATAATTCAGTTTGAGATGATTTAAGTTTATTTTGTAATTCTTCTTCAAATTTATTAGTTAATGCATTTAATTTAGTTGATAATGCAGTAATATTATCATTTATAGATTTTATAAAATTAGATTTAGCAGGACCTAATTGACTTGCATCAATTGATTGAATTAATGTATTAAAAGAATCAATAGTATTTTTAAGACTAATATCAACTGATGATGCAACATTTTCACTTATATTAATTAATGGTAAATGTTCAATATCCTTTTTAACACTTTCAATTTCAACGGGTTTTTGAAGTTGAGCAGCAGGAGTAGTGGTATCAAAACCTGATTGATGTTTAATAGTTTGTTTAGTGGCATTATATATATCTTCACCTCTTTTAGTAATTTCTTGAGTTGTTGGAACTTTTATTGAAAATAATTTTGATTGAAGAGATTCAAACCCTGATTTAATATCTTCTACTGAACCTTTTTCAATAAAATCAATAATTTCTTCATAATAAGGTAATTGCCTATCAATAACAAAATCCAATACTTTTTCATTCTTTGTTGCAGCATATAATGTACCACCATAAGCTACTGTACCAAAAAGTGTAACATTAAATAATAATTTAAAAATTGAAAATCCCTTTTCCTTTTCTACTTTTGGTGCAATTGGAGTTTTAATTTCTTGAAGAATTCGTGAAATTCCACTGAAATTTCGACTTCTTAATGCATTGGTCTTTGCTAAACTCTGGTAAGCCCTTCCCTTTAACATTTCCAAATTATTTGTATATTTAAATTCCAATAAATAAATAATTTGTTACTAGTATTAATATATATAAATCGAAAATTTGTTCATGTTCGCGAAAACGATTGGTTAAAGTGAGGGAGTGAAGGAGTTCGGGCGGGTGGTTCCTTTGCACGTGACCACAGTTATCCCGAAATATTTCAGTGAGTATCAATTAATAATTTCCATCCACAGACTCAGCCATAATCATAATCATAACTATAACGATAGTTAACAGTAGATAGTTTATTAGAAATATAATAAATCATGTCGATCCAATCAATTGGATTAATTCCTCCTCAACCATCCACAGTTAGAGCCAATACAGTTCATCTTTCTTATGATAAAGTTCATGATAGAATAGTTTATCCTAATGGTAAATCAATTATTGTTAGATCAGTTGATCCAAAATCCAATGAACCAATTTTACAATTTATTAAACATGTTCATCCAACAACTTGTGCAACTTTTTCTCCATCAGGGAATTATGTTGCATCAGGTGATGAATCAGGTAATGTAAAAATTTGGGAAGCAATTAATTATGAAGATAAAGAAATTGAAAAATTAAAAGTTAAGAGTGAATTTCAAATTCTTTCGGGTCCAATTAAATCAATTGCATGGGATAATGATAATAGTAGAATTATAGCTGTTGGTCAAGGTAAAGAAAAGTTTGGTCATTGTTTTACTTGGGATAGTGGAAATTCAATTGGTGAAATTCAAGGTCATTCAAGTACAATTTATGATGTTGATATTAAATCTCAAAGACCTTATAGAGCTGCAACAGTAAGTGAAGATAAAGCATTAGTATTTTTTAATGGTCCTCCATTTAAATTTGATAAAAGTATTCGTGGTTATCATACAAATGCAATTAGAAGTGTTAAATTTTCTCCTGATGGGAAATGGTTAATTAGTGTTGGATCAGATAGAATTATTACTATTTATGATGGTAAAACAGGTGAATATATTAATAAAATTGAAAAGGCTCATGAAGGAGGAATATTTGCAGTTTCTTGGTTTGAAGATTCTTTAAAATTTGTTACAGCTTCAGCTGATAATACATTAAAGATTTGGAATATTGAAACTTTAAAAAGTGAAAATCAATTAGGATTTGAATCAGAAACAAATATAGATAATCAGCAAGTAGGAGTTGTTGTAACTAAAGATTATATTATTTCATTAACATTTAATGGTTATATTAATTATTTTACAACTGAAAGTACCAGACCAGTATTAATAGCTTTAGGTCATCAAACTGCATTAACTTCATTATTATATGTAGATAATACTATATTAACTGGAGGTTCTGATGGAAGTATTTTTAAATGGAAACAATTATCAAATCTGTTTGATATTATTCCATCTAAATTTGGTAATGGTCATAGTAATTATGTTGCCGATTTTATTCAATTAGATCAAAAGATTTATTCTATTGGTTGGGATGATAAACTTAAACAATGGGAAAATAATTCTGAATCTAAAAGTGTCCTGTTATCTCAACAACCAAAGGCTTTAAGAGTAATTGGTAAAAAATTATTAATATTATTTGAAAATCGAATTGAACTCTTTAATTTATCATTAGAGAAAGAAATTGAATTAGATTTAGAATTTTCGGCTGTTGATATTGGTATTATTGGTGAAGATAAAGTATTAGTAACAAATTTAAGTAATAATTCCTTGAAGGAATATACTTTAATTGATAATAAATTTATTGAATCTACTACCAATTATTCTTCTTTAAGATCTCCTCCTGCAATTATAAGAATTTCTCCTGATGGTAAATATGGAGCTATTGCTGATAATACTGGGAAGTATACTTTATATGATGTAATTAATTCAACAGTTGTAACAACTCGTTGGGCTTTCCATAGTAGTAAAGTAATTGATGCTAAATGGACTTCAGATTCTAAATTTATAATAAGTGGAGGTCTTGATACTGGATTATTATTATATTCAGTTAATAAACCATCTAAAGTATTGAAATTCCCTCTTGCTCATCAAATAGGAATTTCTGGTCTTGAATGGTTGAACTATGATCCCGAGGCTAAAACTGGTTCCTTTGCAAGTATTGGTCTTGATGGATCTATAAAAGTTTGGAATGTTGATTTCAGTGTCTACTAGATTTTGATTAGATTTTTTTTTAATAGATAAAACTATATTAACTAATGATGATATTAAACAATATATATATAATATAAGTCACATGGCAAGTACGGGATGCTTTACATAATGTTTTATATATTCACGAGATGTACAATAATATCAATAATTATTATCAATCATTCAATATATGAGCGTCTTCCTTCCCCGAATAAGTTTGAATCCAGAAACTTGTAGATCAGTAGATGAATAGAAAAGATTGACGATTGAAAACGAAGCAAACTTTGAAGTATTGGATACAGCAGTGGCATATTGTAGGATAATCCTAGGAAAGCAAGAATCGAAGAGAATAAGGAGTATTAAATATTTACATAGCTTTTGATTAATAATAAAATGAATAATTATACCGTCCTTAGTGAAATTAAACGAGATCAACTAAGTGAATAAGCAAACATAGGGATTTAAAGGATTCTTGACTTTATATAAACCAACGTATACTATATAAAATAGTTTAGAATACTGATTCGATAAACAAATAAATTCTTCAACATAGGATCAACTGAGTTTTATTACTATTAATATATACAAAGATAACGTATTTTAACACAGCTTATATTTGAAAAGCTCGTAATCTTAAACTATACTCTTACAACAAACTACAATGAGTTACATTTAAATAGAAATATCATAAATATATTAAGGAAGTCATAACGACAAACCTATACAACCTAGGGTTAGTAAAGATTAGCCTAAAAGTTATAATCTTCAGACAGAATGAATGGACCGGAGTCCAACAAGCTTATAAAGATTAGTTAGCCTTTATCTCCCCCGTCGGTCTTGATATGCCGACTCTAAGGAATCAGAACAGAAGAGCACTTGTGCCAAATTGTTATTTGGGAAGAAACCTTAACTGGAGTTACAGTCGGAAAAGAAATGATTCGAGAGCTCCATATAGGATGCCATTCAATATGCTTCTACGATATATGCACATCAACGAAACCTATATCCACTTATCATACCCATAAGGATCTTTCTAACTATATCAATTTTATATATGATGTGACATAATAATTTATTTGGTACTTCTGATATATTTCATTTTTGAAGGGAAATATTGGTAGTTATTTATCGAATTTTGGAAATAATAAGAATGTTGATAATTTTCTTAGAACTGTAAATATAACACTATTAAAGATAGGTTATGTAAGTAGTTAGTCTAAGGAATGTTGATGTAGAGTTTGATTAAGTGAGGATGAGCAAAAGTGGTATATTGAGCATATTTACAATAGCTAATAATTCCCGATCAGAGAAAGGTCGTGAATAGTGACAATTTTTCGAAGCACGTGAAATCTAGAACATGTGATTTTGGGGACGTAATTTTGGGGTCGTGACTTCGGGGTCGTGTGTAAGTTTGAATATCGCACGACATCCGAAGGTCGCACGTGAAAATGGAGGGACTTTCGGGATTTTTGGACCGAGATTCGCATGTCAGATAAGCCGCGCAATTTGATGTCGCGGTGCATGACGCATTCAGCAGAAAATAAGTGTTATAGGTATGATACATTACACAATACAAAGCGCATGTCTCATAACTGTTTCAGAATCCCAGTAAGAAAGATATAAAAGCTCTCTCATTTCTCCCTAAAATCTATCCTCTTTAATTCTTAGACAATATACAATATTTTATAGTACAACGCGGCATTTAATAGAGTATAACAAAGGAAAACCAAAATAAAAATAAAAAGAAATTGACCTCTAATAGTTGTCAATTAAGAGTACTCAATATGTTTCTTTGCAACTATACCCATTTAGACCATTGCAAGTATAATTACTTGTGGGGGATCCATGCATTGTTTGACCATTTGAATGAATAGTGTATTGTTCACGTAATGTATTACTTCATTATTTGGTATGTGGGTCTCGCATACTTCTAGTTCCATCCATGATCAGTGAATGATGGACAATAAGGGCAGGAGTGTAACAAAAGAGATTTCTGGCTCATATGTATGCAACAAACTTTTGCGCGGGTTTTCTAACTAACAACGTTTCTAAATTTAACTTTTTTATTTTATGAATATTTTTTAAACTATTATTTTTAACGAATTATTTTACATCCTTAAATTGATTAATTTGTTTTTTTGCAATTTGGATGAACATCAATTCGTACCTGTCCATATTACAAAAATTTATATAAATAAGAGTTGAACCCTCGTTTGAGTTGCATCCAACATGTTCGTAATTTTAAATTTGTCTTTACCTTGATTCTTTAGTATTAAATCAGTTTGTATTTATAACTGAAGAATAGTCCATTCGCTTATCACATACATAAATAATGACTGCTGAATTCGATCACGAGGCTCAACAAACTGTTGAATCCTATAATCCAAAATTAGATACTGCCATTATTGAATGCTATGATCCAAAATTAGATACTGACATTACTGGTTCTCCATTAAAAAACCATTTAATTGCCTTTTTAGGTGAATTCTTTGGTACGTTTATTTTCTTATGGGTTGCTTTCGTTATTGCCCAAATTGCCAACCAAGACCCAAACATTTCAAAAGCTGGAGGTGGATCTAATCCTCCACAATTAATTATGATTTCCTTTGGTTTCGGATTTGGTGTTATGATGGCTGTTTTCATGTTCTTCAGAATTTCTGGTGGTAACTTAAACCCAGCTGTTACTTTAACTTTAGTTTTAGCTCAAGCTATCCCACCAATCAGAGGTGCTATTATGATGGTTGCTCAAATCATTGCTGGTATGGCTGCTGCTGGTGCTGCCTCAGCCATGACTCCAGGTCCAATTGCCTTTGCTAATGCTTTAGGTGATAGATGCTCTAGATCAAGAGGTGTTTTCATTGAAGCCTTTGGTACTGCCATTTTATGTTTAACTGTTTTATTAATGGCTGTTGAAAAGCATAAGGCTACTTTTATGGCTCCATTTGCCATTGGTATCTCCCTTTTCTTAGGAAATTTGATCTGTGTTTACTACAGTGGAGCTGGTTTAAACCCAGCCAGATCTTTTGGTCCAGCCGTTGCTTCTAGATCGTTCCCAGACTATCACTGGATTTACTGGGTCGGACCAATCTTAGGTTCCGTCATTGCTTTCTCCATCTGGAAGATCTTCAAGCTCTTAAACTACGAAACCTGTAACCCAGGTCAAGATGCTGATCACTAATCTACTCTACTTAACAACATAAACAATTTTAATCGAATTGTTGCTTGTTCATATATAATTACTTGCATATCAAGATTTACTTCTTAATATTCTTTGTATGTATTTCGAGACCCTGTCCAAATTTGGAAGAGTCCACCTTAATAATATTTTAAAATTAACTAACCGTAGTCGGTGACTAATTAGATCTCCACTATTTTTCGTTTGTGATGACTCTCACTTAGAGGGTATTTATTTGGGGGGTGGTCATCGAAGGATTTAATTTAAAAAAAAAAAACCCTAGATTTTTCTCGTGGTTATGAGCCAATAGGTATATACGAACACTTACGCTATAAGCACACTATATTAGAAGCTTAGTATATAGTATATATTGGAGCTTACAATATCTCCCAATACAACTCTGTTCATTACCTTAATCATACCATCTACTGGTCTGCATTATCCAATAAGATACAGACCATTTTAGCGGGTATCTGACTAATGTATTACTCCTTCCCAATTAGGTATAATTTGACACATGCACCACAAAATCAAAATCACTACAAAGCGAGCCGACTTATATATAGAAACTAAAAAACCATAATAGACATCGATAAAATGAAAAAAATTCGACAATAACCAGAACAATAGACTTATAAAATTATTAACAATAACATGGCAATCAATAATTTGATCTATCTGTATCTGCAAGTCACGTGTATTCTTGCTTTACTTGGTTAATTAATTCTTAGTTAAATTCATATCACTCATTGTAAAGAGCAAGTCATCATCTTCGAAATCATCAGGTTGAGAGTTGTGATGGTGATGATGGTGGTGTTGATGTAAATGATGATGCAAATGATGATCATCTGCCTCATGCTGTTTCTGTATGGTGGAATGGGCCTTTTGTTGATCTTGTTCATGTTGTTCATGTTGTTCATGTTCATGTTCCTCTTCATGTTCTTGTTTAGATACTTCCTCAGTCTTAGTATTATCGGATTCACTGTTATCTTCATCGTCATCATCTTCATCAAACACATTCTCATACCGAATACTCTTTTTGTAAACCGATGGAGTTGTGGCCATACCTCTAACACTGTCAGTCTCTTGATGTAAATTAGTATTGGCATGAACTGTAGCTCTTGAAACAACCGGTGTAGCTGATGATGAAGACTTCAAAAATGTACTATTACCACTATCAGATCTCTTCTCTGGCGATAAGGATCTTCTAATCTCATTGGCTATTGGTGCTGGAGGTGGAACAAGCATAGGAGATCCAGAATACGAAGTCTCTGCTCCTGTTCCTGTTCCAGTTCCAGCACCAGATCCTGTACCAGTTCCACTTGGAGTTCCTGTTGAAGGAGATCTTTCCTTTAATCGAGAACTAATGGAAGGAATTGATGCTGGTGGAGAAGCCATAGAATGTGAACTCTTACGACTTGAACCTCGTGATCCACTAACTCCACCACCCATCCCAATTCCAATTCCACTAGCAGTAGCAGAATGTAAATTCAAACTAGCATGAACACTCTCTCCTAATTGCTGATGTTGACTTCTAAGTGATTGGAATCTACTTAAAGTATCACTTGCATTTGCTGATTGTCCACTCCCACTACCAATAGCTCCAAGAATTCCTACCCCTACTCCACTATTAGTTGCATTATAAGACGAAGAAGAGAATCGAAGATCTGTAGTACTATCAATCATTCTTACAAAATCATTAATATCATCATCCATATAAAGTCCACTTAATGGAGCTCCTCCTGTTGAATTGGTCAGTCCAGCACTAGTCCCTAATATATCATGAGATATAGTAGTACTGGTTCCACCACCTCCACCACCACCAGTATTACTATTGGCCATAGGGGTACTTTGTTTAATACTTGTATTAGAAAACCTTCTACTGGCTCTAGATCCAAAGGATGATGAGAATCGTGGAGTGTTGGAATTGGAATTGGAATTTATATCCGTAAATCCTGTATCATCATGAGGTAAAGTTGAACCATGAGATGACGAGATGGATCGAGGAATTGAGCCTACAGTTACGCCACCTATTCCTGCTGCATTAGAATTAGTAGCAGTACTGATAGGGATAGTGGCTGTATGACTTAAGGAAGTACTACTTCTTGGATTTCTTAAAGTAGCAGCCAATGATGCATTGGACGTAGACTTATTACTAGTAATAGATACTTTCCTTTCTAAGGAGGAACCTCCACTACCAATAGGGGGTGGAGAATTTCCAATAGAGCCTACTTTAAATGGTTGAATAGATGGTCGTTGTTGTTTCTTCGTACCGGGAGAGTTCTCTCGTAACATCTCTCGATTTGCACTGGAACATGGAGATACAGACATGGATACTGCACTGGAGATGGAGAGTCGTTTATTGATTTTAGTTTCTTCTTGTTCTTCTTGTTCTTCTGGTTCTCGATCTTCATCTTCTTGTTGTTCTTGTTCTCCTGTGTTGTGATCAATATGATCAATATGATCTATATCAAACTTGGCTCTGGGTCCATGGCCAGAGTCCATAGTAAGAAAGGCAGATGATAAGACTTCTTCATTGTCAATAAGATCGAATTCGTAATGATTACGATATGCTACCGATACCTTAAGACTACCCAAACTTGTTTGAATAGGTTGGAAATGCTTTTGTTCCAAATGAGACTCAGTCGTCAACATTTGATGAGGAATAATCGATTTGGATAATCCTATTCTCCCCTTAGAACTTATAGGAAGAGATCCATCAAGGACAATTTAGATAGTGGGGATCATTTAATTTTTCAGCTAGTATAGATATTAGCCTGTGTGCAGGAGAGCAGATTTACTATGTAAAAAATCAATTTTCACCTCGCAGGACAGAACTTGGGTGCATTTTGATTTTCCCATAGTTAAGGGTGCAAGTTGAGTCGTTTATATGCCGTACTAAAAAAATAGTCTAGTATAATTTAGATTGACCAGAAATTTTTATGAAGTGAGCTATGTAAATGTTTATTAACAACATAAGTAAACTACACTATTATTGATATGCAACATTTTAATGGTTTTTAAAGTACATATGTTATTTTGGTTATAGTTTCACCACGATCCATTTGAGTATGACTTTCAATTGTTACGGATTCACTAATTAGACATCATTGTATTTCTCATTATGATTAATATATTAATTACTATAATGTTATACAGCCATTGCAATTCAATGACTTTTAAGCTGGTTTTGATAAGATTCGTTTAGTATGGACTTGGGTCACTAGGTACACTTGTTTCAGAAGGTGATTTATTACTATTTGTGGAGCAGTAGTTTAATGGTCAAGAGTTATAAAGTAATTAGTGTAATATTATCCAGATAAGGCAATTCAATGACTTTTAAGCTGGTTTTGGTAAGGTTCGGTAGCTATTGCTTTTGGTCACTAGGTGCACTTGTTTAAGGTGATTTATTACTATTTGTGGATCAGTAATATAATAATCAAGAGTTTTAAAGTAATTACTATAATATTGTCCAGTCAAGGCAATTCAATGACTTTTAAGCTGGTTTTGGTAAGGTTAGGTAGCTATTGAGTTTGGTCACTCGGTGCACTTGTTTAGCACTCTAAGTTTTAATGGTATAGTTTGCTGGTGTTGATTGTTGGTAAATTTGGTATTTTTGTATATTAAGGGTTGTATTTAATATAGAAAGATCATCTTTTTCTTTGGAAGTTATTTCAAAAGATGTAGAATGTAATTAGATAAGTTATATATGTATAATTATTTTAATAAATGATTTGGTTCACATTTTATGCTCTTCTCTAGTTTGTAATAAATTTATGATTAATGTAGATTTGAATTTTTGGTCGTGCGTAGAAATTGTTAGCTGTAATTTTTTAGTGAGCAGAAAATTAAATTTATATTTTAAAGTATAGTAATTAGAGTTAGATAAGTGGCACTATGTACAATTGCTAAAGTAGTAACATTGGAACGTAATGTAGTTTAGATATTAGTTTGGAACATAATGTAATTTAGACATTAGTTTGGAACTTAATGCGCTTTAGAAGTAAGTTTGGAACATAATGTAGTTTAGATATTAGTTTGGAACATAATGTAATTTAGACATTAGTTTGGAACTTAATGCGCTTTAGAAGTTAGTTTGGAACATAATGTAGTTTAGATGTTAATTTGAAATTATTTAGATAGAACTAATACAATTTAGAATTAAGTAGTAGAATTTACTAGAAATTTAACAATAGCAAGTCAAGCTAAGTTAGCACTGAAGATAGAATTGGTTTAAATAGTAGTAATTAATGAGTGTTGTTAAATGTAGTAGTAACATAAGTAATCTTGTTCTAACTATCGGAAAGCTAATAGAATTTAATAAATATAGATATTGTTGTCACATAATAGTTGTATTTAAGGTGACTTTAATTAAAGTAAAGGAACTGTAGGATGGAAGGTAGAACAAATTAATTAGAAATATCATCATATGGAAATAGTAATTAAGTAATTAAAGAGTAATATAGAATGTCTATTAGATATTATAAGTATAGTTTTAGAGGTTATACTGAAGGTAACTTAATGATACTTTAAATATAAGTGTTATTCAAGGATATTGGAGGTACCCAATTGGAATTAGAAATAACTTCAATAGTATTAGCTGACGTATCAGTGGTATATGATATAGTTAAAAATGTAGAAGTAAGTAGCGCTTATTTTACAAGTCTAACTAAAAGTAGTGTTTATTAGTGATATGAATTAGAACAAGAGTCTAATGGATAGTAATCTTTAATTGGGAAAGTAATAAAATATACTATTGGAAGTAGCAGTAAGCTAGCAATAACTTTTATTGAGTATAGTAGAAAATATATTTAACTTGTATAAGTAATGATTAAGAGAAAGTAATGATTCTAAATGGAAGAAGTGAAGTTAAGTTAGTTAGAAATATATTGTAATGTTAAAATTTATACTAGAAAGAATTTTACATACATATATAACTATAATTTTATACTTACTTTAATACCATTTTAGTCTTCTTATCCAAATGGTAATGCATTATGCTGGTTTCCTCTTCTTTCACTTGTTGGATCATTATATATATGAAGTACATATACCCATATGTCCCTCGATATTCACTTAATATAACTTTAAGAAAATCATCGTAGCTGTGAAGTATCCATATTATTTCTTGATTCCTAAACATCTTAGATAAGGTAATAAAACACAAGTCTATATTGTAATAGCCAGTCAAAAGAATGAAACTTAGTAACTGTTCCATCATGCATTCACCTTGATGCATCAAGTGGCATCTTTTGCATGCTCCTTTAGTTTGTTTCTGTCTTAATCTATCTTCTAATTGTTTCATTTTTTCCTCTTTGACATTGTTGTCCATCAGCCATCCTACCTTACTACTTACTCCCCTCCAACCATTAATCACTTTAAGTGTTGTCAGGAAGTTTCTCCTTTTAGTTGTATCAGCCCCAAGCCTATTATTTGGCTTGGGGGTATACAATAGATTATACAAATCTTGACTTAATTCTTGAAAAGGGATATTATGATGAGTTAAGTTCAACTGTTTGTTGAATCTTAGTAATACACAGCTCTTCATTTTGGCTCTAAACAGCTCCTGATGTACATAATTAACTACTATATTTCTTAGTTCTATAGCCCTTTCTATATTATCCTGATTAATATAATTAAGTAACTTTTTGGAGGAACTCAAGACATATGGAATAAGGAGTCCCATAGTAAATCTGTAGTTGGGACATTCTATATTGTGGGTTTCGTGATTGAGTCCACATCCATAGCAGATCACCTGATTCCCAAGACCACGGTAATAGTAGTGTTGGAAATTATAAATTAAGGCATTATCAATTCTTAATTCATCCTCAAACTTAGCTTTTTTAAAACGTTGTGGATCCATCATTACATAGATATTATCATTATATTTCTGGAGTACTGAAATGACCGATTCATCTGTTTGAAGATATAATGATTCATCTGCTGATTGGTTATTTAATATCCGCTGTTGTTTGGAGGCAGATTGGTATGACTGTGTTTCTCCTCTTCTTTTCAATATTGGTCTTGTTGAATCAAAGGTTGACAAAGGTGACTGATATGTGTTGGTTGTATTGGACAGACTACCTGCAACTTCATTTATTGATGATTGAGCTAAAGGTATGTTAAATAAAATTCTATTGCTAGCTGGTTTATTTAGTGATCTATTAATCATACTAGGTGGAACTTGATTGACGACAGGCAAATTATCAAACCAGTCAGTAGTGTCTGTCTCATCCATTGTATTATCAGCTTGTGTTTCTACTTCAATTGGTCTATCTGTTTCTACTTCCATTGGTCTATCAACTTGTGTTTCTCCTTCAATTGGTCTATCTGTTTCTACTTCAATTGGTACTATCGGTTGTGTTGGACCATTGCTTCTGCAGACACTGCACAACAGTACTTTGAGTTCTGTGCACAGTTTGATTTCCAATTCTTGGGACCAATTTTGAACCTCCGACAAACATGTAGGTGACATGAGTTTCTTTTGAAATTCATCTTTACTTCTATTGGCTACAAGAATCAAATCAACTGTCGATGCCTGCCCATCTCTACCAGTCCTACCACTGGCTTGTATGAGAGTTTCGGCGTCATAGCATTGGTCTCCAATAATTAAATATCTAAGTGATGTTATGTCTAATCCGGTAGTAAACCCAGTAGTAGCAATTACAACTCTTAATTCACTATTGTATACCTTTTCTATAACACTCTCTTTATCAGCGAAATTTAACTTGGAATGGAACATTTCACAATTAATACCAGCCTCTTTGAATTCTTTATGATACTCTTGTACCTTTCTTATAGTGGGTAAGATAACAATACTAAAAGGAACTTGTAATACTTTTGATTTAATTATTTCAGCAACTTCTTCTTCTCTTTTGACAATGGTTTTATTAAGTATTATATTTGGACGAACAATGGAAGGACTTTCTAATCTAATTAGCCTTTTGGGATTTATCAAACTGTTCAATTCCCTTTCATATGATTTAGGGTATGTCGCTGACACAAAGAGCATTTGAAATCGTTTGCATTTAGCAATTTCTTCATTTTTGCTCTCTCTATATTGATGATACATAAAGTGGGCCTCTTCAAATATAATTCGACGTACTGACATATGGTTGGAAGCTTCAATGGTTTCTATCAATTCATTACTAAATAGTTCTAATTGTACTATTAGCATATCATATGCTGTGGTGTAATTAATAGTACCCTCATAAATTAATGGTACAACTCCGTAACGTTTTAGATGTTCTAATATATCAAATCTCAAGGAAATAAAGGGTACTACAACTACTGAGACTTGCCTTTTGCTACTTGGAAACACATAGTTTTCCAAATAGCTGGCAACCCCATATGTTGCTGTCTTTCCCTCAGAAGTTCTTAAACATATAGCTATAGAGTTATTTCTAAGAACCTCCAAGGTAGTAACCACTTGTATTTCTCTAGCTGGAAAATTCAAAACCTTAAGATAAGCGTCTTTTACATCCGCAATGCTAACATCTTGCCATATTATGTTTGAACTATTAACTTCGGGGGTTACATGATTAGTCAACATCTCATACCATCTATTGCAAACTTTCCTTTGGAGTAAATTGTTACTGACATTACTTCTGCTTTCATGATTATAACCGTAATTGACCAAGGCCGTTGTATTGGAATGGTTGCTCATTCTATTGATTTCACTGATTATTTGTTCAACTTTATTAAAGTCAACAACTAAAGAGTGAACCAATGAATGTAACCCTTGACGCATTTCTCTTTGATTTAACCCAACACCATATGC